TTTAATATTTTTATTTTTAATATAATATATTTTAGTAATAATTTATATATAAAATTATATTAATTTAAATATTAAATAAGATTATTATTTTTATTTATCTTTTTAGTTTAGATCTTAATTTAGAAAAAAAAAAATTATTATTTTATTAATTTAATAAAATATTATTTTATTCTATTTAAATATATATAAAAATTTATTAAATTCTTAAATTTATATTATTTAATTATATTATATTAAATATAATTCTTTTTTATAATAAGATTAAATAAAAATTATTTTATTTAGATTTTAAAAATATCTTAATTATTTTATATTTATTATAATTTAATCTTATCTAAATTTTTAATATATTAATTTTAATATTATTTATAAATTTTGTTTATATAAATTAATATAATATAATAGATTTTTTTTATTATTATTCTTAAATTTTTTATTATTTATATTAAAATATTATTTTATATTCTTAAATTAATTAGATTATTTCTAAATAATAAACTTAAGATTAAAAATATTAAGATTCTTAATTTTAATATCTTTTTTATTATAATATAAGATTAATTTATTATTATTTTAATTATATTTTAGAGTAATTTAAATATTAAATTAATCTTTTAATTCTTTTATTTTTAATAAAATCTCAAAATATTTCTTTTTTTTTCTAAATATTTTTATTTTTTTATTTTTTTTATTTTTTATACTAAAGATTTTAAATAAGATATAAGATATATTTATTATTATTTTTAAGATATTTAAAGATCTATTTTTTAATTTAATTAAAAAAATAAGATTTAAATAAATATTTTAAATTACTTTAGTTTTTAAAAATAATTAAAAAAAAAGAATTAGAATTATAATAATAAATAAATAAATTAGATATAAAAGATAAAATAATCAAAATTTTATATTTAGATAAAGAATTAAATATTATTTATAATTAGATAAAGATTTATTTTTATTAGAATTAATCTAAGAGATTTCTATTTTATTATTTTATTTATAAATAATATATAGATTTTTATTCTTTATTAACTTATTTTAATTAAATATAATATTATCTTATTTATTCTTATATTCTTTTATATTTATATTTTAAAATAAAATATATATTTTTTATTTTTTTAGTTTTAAATATAATAAAATACTAAGATTAAAATATATAATTTATAATTTATATATATTAAATAAGACTTAAAAAAATAATATAAGATATAAATTTATATAATTAAGATTAAAATCTTTTTTTAATAATTCTTATATTTATAATAGTTATAAATTTATAATTATAATCTTTATTAATAATCTTTTTAATATTTATCATTATTAATATATTAAATATATTCTTAATATTAAATATAAACTTAAATCTTAGTTTAAGATAAAAGATTATAATAAATTAATATAATTTATTAATATTTATATTATCTGAGATTATATAAATTAATATATATATATTTAAATTAATATATATATATTTAAATTAATATATATATTTTAAGAAGATTATATTAAGATTTTATCTTAAATCTTATTAAAAGATTTATATATTAATATTCTTTTTTTTTAATAATCTTATTAAAAAATATTAAATAAAAATAAGATTTATATTATATATTATTATTTAAATATATCTTAATATTATATTTATAAATTAAAAAATCTCATAATATTTTATAAAATCTATTAATTACTAAATAATTATAATTAATTATTTAATCTTATATTTTTATTAAATAAAAGATTTAAGTCTTATTTTTAAGATAAAAATACTAAATTTAATATTTATAATATCTTTTAATATTTTTTTATTAATAATCTTAATTATAAAAACTTAGAAAAATATATTTTTATTCTATTTAAAAATCTTATTAAATAATATATATATATAAATAATATATTATTATTATATTAATAATTAAGACTAAACTTTTTTTTATCTTATCTTTTATATATTAATTATATTAAATTAAGTATTATTTAAGTTTATTAATTTTAATATTAATATTCTTTTTAATCTATAATATAATAATATCTAAATAAATAATTTATTTATATATAAATATTCTAATTATTAGATTAAAATAAAATATATTAATATTTATTATTTTTAGATTTAGTAAGAAGTTTAAGCTAAGAGATTAAATATTATATAGATTCTTATTAAATATATAATTATAAATAAGACAACAAAGATCTATATTTATTAATTATAATAATATTTTACTAATTAACTTAATATATATATTTATAAGTTAAAAGATTAGATTAAAATAGTTTAATATTTTAATCTAAGAGAATATATTAGAATTAAGAGATTATAACTACTTAAATATAAGAGTTTATATATATAATATATATTATATTATTATATAATAAGATTTATTAACTTCTCCTTTTTTTATATACTAAATTATATATCCTAATTATAGTATTATATTTATTTATATTAATCTCTCTTTTATTATATTTATTATATTTATTATATTTATTATATTTATTAAATTTATTAAATTTATATATTATTATTTATATTATTTAAATAACTTAAATCTCTTACTTAAATAAAATAGGAATTTATACTTATTATAGGATTTAAGCTAAAGATAGCCTCTAATTTATACTACATTCTTTATATAACAACTAGAATTCACTTATCTTCCTTCTAGGAGTCCTTATTCCTTCTACTTCTTTATTTATTTATTATATCTAATATTAAACCCCCCTCTGATTATATAACTACTATCCTTCTTAGTATTATACCCCTAACTATATATATTACTATATCCTAGTATTATACTAAGGTTATAGGATAGCCTCTCTTCTAAATCCTAATAAATAGAGATTAATTTTTCTTAAAATTAATCTAAGAGATTTTTATTTTATTATTTTATCTTATAAATAATATATAAACTCTTATTTTTTATTAATTTATTTTTACTAAATATAATATTAATCTATTTATTCTTATATTTTTTATATTTATAAATAAAAGATTTAGTTTATAATATTAATTAGTTCTTAGGAGATAAAGAAGATATAATAACTTAATTTAAAATTATAAATCTTATAATTATATATTTTAAATATTATATATTATCTTTATAATTATTAATAAAATATTTATATTTCTTATATTAATTATTATTAAGATTATTAATTAAAAAGATATTTTTCTTAAATATCTTAATAATAAGATATTTTAGTATATCTTTAATCTTTTTATTTTATAAGAATTTAGTAATCTTATTATATAATATAATATAATCCTATATATATAATAATTAAGTAATATAATATATATTATTAATCTAGACAGATTAGTTAATAACTAAATTTAGTATAATATAAATTTTATTTTTAGGGGAAATTATTATTATAATAAAAAAAGGGAAATATTTAGATAAAAGGCTTAAAAAGGGGTTTAGGCTATTTTAGGGAATAAGCTCTTAAGAAGAGGCTTGAAAGGGTTTATTATTCTTTTATTCTTTTAGATTAAATAAGGCTAGGCTTATAATTATTAAGAGTTTATATATTAAGACTCCTAGGATCTTATAAGTTATATAATAGTAATTATATAATAAGGATAGTTATTTAGTTAGAGGTTAGGTATTTAATATCTAGAATAAATAGGATAAATATATAAAAAAGAAGAAGAAGGAATCTAGGATTCTAGAAGGAAGAATAAGATTTAATTATTATATAAATAATATAATAAGGGAAGTTCTACTAAGTTAAGCTTAAATCTTATAATAAGTATAAGATTCCTACTATATTTATATAATAAAAGATAACTAAGAAATAAGATAAGGAATAAGGGGTGAAATATATAATATATTCCTATACTCTAATTAATTAGAATATAGAAGACTATAGAAGAAAGGATTAATATAATATTTTAGTAGAAATAATACTAAGACTTCTACTTCTTACTAAATAGTAGCTTATGTACTCAAAATCTAGTTGTTTAAAGGAACAGCCCCTTAAATTACTAATAGATTATTTATTAAAACTAAAGGACTTATTCTTTTTCTTTCTCTTTTTATACTAGAATTTCTAGTTATATTATATCTAAATTAATTTACTACATTCTCTTAAATAATATTATAATATATTATAATTTATAAAAAAATTCTTATATATATTAATTATATCTTAATAAAAATATATAAATAATCTTAATAAATTATAATAATATAGAATATTTAATTATAGATTCAAAGAATAATCTTAGAAATTAATAATTAATCTTATAAATCTATTATAAATAACTCTTATTTTATCTTTATATATTATTATATATTATCTTAGAATCTCAGATTATTTAAGAGTATCTTAGATTATTCCTAGATTATTACAAAGATCCCTAGATCCTTATTATTATAATCTTATATCTTAGTACTCTAAACCTAATCTTTTATAGATCTTTAATATCTATCCTAAGACTAAGCCTTATAAATAAAATAGACTACTTAGTTATAATTATTTTAATAACTTCATATATAAAAGATAATTTTTAAATTATTTTAATACTAAATAAATAATTAATAATTAATCTATATAGTTAGGATCTTTATTTAAATTCGTATATTATAGAAATATTTAGCTTAGAAATTAAATATATTATTTCTTAATAAAAGTTCATATTTTTACTATAGAGATATAGCCTATTTACTAACAAATTTAGATGATTTTTCTCATCCTTAATTTCAAGATTATATAGCTCTGTTAAAGAAAAAACATACTAGAATTTCCAACTATAAGAAGTAATCATTATCTAATTCTTTATAACTTCACCATAATCAGAATAAAAAGTTCATATAGCGATTTACGGAGATATTGAATATCAAAGTTAGTAAGTTTTGCCATTTTTTGCGGGGGAGAATAGAAGTATCTAAACTCCAATATCACCATATGTATATATGGAGCTTGCTTGTACTGTGTGCTGTACAATTGTGCTGTGCTTTTTACTTGAATTAAATAAAGAGATAACCTCCATCTTTTCATCCCTCTTCAAAATGTCTAGTAACATGATACGACACAGCGGCTTCATCTCCTTCGAATATACCACAAACAGGACATAAAATACTTGCTGCTGCTGTCCGAGGAGCGCTAGCTGTGTCTAATAGACCACCATCCCTCTCTTCCAAATTCAGCTGTGTCTTTTTAACCTGCTTCTTTCCCTTAGGAGGGCGTATGTACATATCTAGCCCAATAGGCTCCGATGTGGGCTCTTCCCCGCGGCCAAGACGCATGTCACTTGTAGCAAAGTAACTACGTCTTCCAATTGTATTATCACATCCTTCTGTTCTTTTCGGTATACCCTCTGCCATTCTGTTGACTTCCTCATGTGTCGAATCCGATAGCTCATCAACACCTCGTAAGCTTTGTACCCTTCCGACACGTCCGTCAGTGAGACGCACCTTGACGCCTCGTGGGTGGTCACCGTGCGAAAGTAACTCGCCGACCGTGCCTGGAACTGTGCGTCCTGTGGGCTGGTCAGCCTTAAGGACGATGTTGACGGGTGTGCCGTGGTTTATAGATCTTGAAGGAGGGACACGAGGGTGGGAGGGTCGGATGCCATTGTGCCCACTATATCGGTTCTGACGATTCATTCTTGTGCTTGGATTTTGGGCCACAGGTCGTGATCGAGTTATGATATGTAAAGGAATTGTGGTAGTATTTGTGTAGAAGATTGACAGGATCTGTCTGCAGATTAGCTAATCCTGTATGCCTTAGGCCATAAATTCATAATCATCAACTTCAAGATGTGTCGAGAAATTTCTTGTCAAAACCTGTCTACTTGATCCTTGGTATACGATTGGCCTATTCAAAGAATCCATAATGATAGAATTTCTTGCAAGTCAGGCCCCAAACGTTTTGAGTGGTTTCATCTAAGCCGTCGATGCCTCCAATGATGATTGCGAGACCCGTATACTATGTATCTATTTGACAAAGTATAAGGTGTACGTACATCTTGAACTAAAGTTTACAACTGAAGCTATACTGATTTAATAATTCTGAAGTGTTATTCTACAATATCCCCTAACGCAGTACACAACCTACCACTAACCAGACCATATACAGTATAGCATTTTCTTCTTCTGTCTCTAGAGTCTATGCCACTAATCCAATCAAGGAGGGCCAACAACATCATCCTTCTATACTAGTTGTTAGGAACTCCCCATTGTTATAACGCAATCGTACCGTGTCAATGTTTTTTTTTTTTTTTTTAACATCTGAAGGCACTGTGGTGTCTGAAAATCCTTCTTCATTCAGCCAAGTCCCACTTTTATAGATTACGTTTGCTTGTCCTTGCCTTATGGAATACTTCTAAAAGCTTGAGTTTCACTTAGAAGGCTGTCATCATATAAAGTAATGATGACCCATGGCCGAATAACAGGGGCATTTTATCCCACAAGTAAAAGATATAGAACATAAACCGCATATTTTGAACCCTACAAGAAGAGGGGTATAGAGTATATGGTGGGTCCACATCACCCTTCTGTATTACAATATTCCGTACTACAATTAGTAGTTTCCACTCTGAGCGGGTCATATGAAAGTTATACATAGGTTAATTAGTTTCCCTGATGAAATGTATGTACATACATCCAACATCTATGACATACATAGCAGTCCTTGGTTTCTACAGTCCTTGGTTTCTAAAGGCCAGAAAGGAAAGACAGGCAATCTCAATGTATAAGACAAGGAGATCGTTGATGGTGCGATGTGTGGAAATTTCAGTATGTCAAATAATACCCAGGCTTTTCTCGGAGGGGGATTCTTTTCCTTTGTTGTTTTCTCAGGAGCGAAAACCACCGGTAGAGAAACCAGTAACCATTAAATCTATGCACTACACTTTCTGTTGTAAAACCCGAGGCTCCACGCCCGTGATGTATATTTGCCATACATGTCATGAACTTTTTTTGTTATCCTATTGATCGGGAGACAATAATTGCCATGGTTGACCAGTATTTGACATCACTCCGAAAATGAAAACCTCCTTAAACAGTCTGCAGGACCTGCTCCTTGAACTCACGCTCCACCTTCTGACCCTTGTCATCAGTCGCGGACTCTCCGTGGAGGGCCAGGAGGGCTCCCAGGTCGAACTTGGGGGACTTGAGCAGCTTAACCTTGCGAATGTGGACCTAGAGAAAATCAGTCAGCCAAAACCCAGAAAAAAAACCCCCCAAAAGACTACCGATCCATGATCAAGTAGAAATGAAAAGGTGAACGTACATTCTGCAGGGGGTAGATGCCCTGGGTGGACTTCTCAATCTCGCGGCCAATGACCTCGGGAATGAGCTTGTGGGTAAGCTGAGACAGAGTGCAGGTGGAAGCCTCACGCTGCATAATCTCAGTCATCTTCTTGCGGATGGCACGGATCTGAGACGAGCGGGCGTAAGTGGTCTTCTTGATCTGGTTAGGGCGTCTCTTGGTGAAGGCGATGGCGAACAAGCGGATGAGGTAGTCGTCAGTGGTCTTAACGGTGACGTTAGCCTCAATGAGAGACTGCCACTTGCGAACCAGGGAGCGCAGCTTGTCGGTGGTGAAGTCCAGACCGTGGAAGTTGGTGAGGCAGTTCTTGCCCTGGATCTCATCCACACGGAGCTTGACCTTGCGGAAAGCGTGGTCCTCATCGTTCTGCAGATCGGCGAGGGAGACCTCGAAGATACGGCCCTTCAGGGAGTCGTTGGCGTTCTTCAGACCGCTGGTGCGGTTGACCAGAGTCTTGCCGACACTTTTTTATTCCGTTAGCAAACAAAATTCCAAGTCGAGTCACCCAAGGAAGAATTGGCAGGGTGAAAAAAGAAAGGTGAGAAGTGCGGGAGAAGGGGAAGATCCTACTCGCGAGTCTGGAAGGTAGAGGGAGCCTGGTGAAGAAATCGTTAGTTACCGTCCTTGGAATTTGTCCATTTTCGAATTCCATGTAACTCACCTTCACGGAGTACTCATCCTTTCGTGTGAAAGGGTCGACGGTGCGCTTCTTGATACCCTTCTTACCCTTGGAAAGGCGCTTGTTCCTGGTGGCAAAGGTGGGTTAGTCAATGAGGTTCCGGGAATGGAGACGAGATGGTCAATGAAGCGGATAGAGAGAATAAAGAATCAAGTGTAGAGAGTATGAGGATGCTGATGATTTTGGTATAGTGACACTTACTTGCCAACAGCCATGATTGCGAGTCGGGTCTATCTGGGTGTTGTTAAAAGACAGACAAAGGTATCGCACCACGGCGCTCGGAAAGGTTTCGAGATTCTCGCTGCACCGGTCGACGGGAGGGTTGAAATCAAAAACCCACAGAAAACTCGGCTAAGCGAGCCCAACCGGGCCCTATCTACGGCTGACTCAGCCGTTCATCCACTGTCATGTGACACACAGACGAATTTCTTTGCTTCAGAATTGTGATTGGTCGGATTTTCTGCTTACACATGCGAATATCCATTGTTCAACTTGAGATTTCCACTCCGGATTTTCTGGATGATATCATACCAGTAATACACCTAGTAGTTAGTATACTATACTGATCTACAGAATTATACTCAGGTCAATATATATAACATACCAACCTTTCTTTAGTTACTGCCTTCCAGCTATGCTTAGTAACCATGTACGGCTTGAAACTCACTAGGTGCTGTAAATTATTTGATTTAGTATTCTGTATTCTGTATCCATTAATCTCAATCATCTATTATGGCTCAACCTAGGAATTCTGGGTTATTGAGTTATGAGAAATACCGAAAAAAGGACACGATTGGGAAACCACGATAGAAGAGAAGAATCAGACGCTATATATATTATATCATCTGTACAGAACATAACTGTTGAAGTATAGTAACTTGTACTATGCTGTTTAAATTCAAGGTCACATGAGCCATATGCCTTTTTTTTTTTTTTTTTTTTTTTTCCTTTTTTCCTTTTGGGCAGCCCCTAAGAAACGCGTGCCCCCACCTACTTTGATCGCGACTCTTATTCTCCGCACGAGCCTACCGTCATTAAACTCCGATTTCTTGAACATTCCTTGAACTTCACTTTGTTTCTTCTATCACCTACAAACCCAACCTTTCTCAAACTCATCTTGGAGCATGGTAATATCTCGTCATTCATCCACTTTTTATCAATAACTCTAACTGATCACACCGCCTAATAGGGCAAGCGCAAGTCTTCCTCTAAACCTCAAGGGCCCCGAAAGGTATGGGGATTGATCTTGAATTAGGACCATTATTTTCGGGTACTGACTAGTCTTTATAGCGGGAGCCCCTGTCGACTACCTTCGCCTGTCTGTTCTGCAACCATGAGAACTCAGTCATTGTAAAGTTAGATAAGAAATTGGGCCTCGGTGACCTGTCCTGCAAAGTGTGTGGCCAGAAGTTCCAGACTGGCATCAATTGTGCGTCGCTGCTTCCTTTTACGACGATGAAATACCTTCTCACTTTCTACTAGATCTTTCCGCTGCCGTCGATGTTTATTCGGATTGGGTGGACGCGTGTGATGCGGTTGCCAAGGACACGGCGAACCAGTATGACGGGACAGCCAGCTCACAAGTAGCCGGTCGCAAACCGGGCCCTGCAGCAAATGTGGCATCGGGGGATGTTTTCGAGGAAGAGGATTATTGATTGTGTTGTTACAACAGGGGTGGGGCGTACTGGCGCATGGGAAACGGCATCAATTGCGATGACCTCATTTATGTATACGTATTTTGGCGCATCCACAAATTCATTTGAATTTTCGTCGAGGAATGATGTATCGAAGCTATCTCTGTTGATATCTTCTCTACTAAGGATACATGATGATCCGTAGATTACTTCAAAAGCCTTTACTGCTGTGTCGTTACAGGTAGGAACTACAGTGTGTAGTATCGGTCACCGAAATCTCCCAATCCAGGAATGATGTACCTGTTTGAACCATTAGTACGGCCTCAAAGCCTGGAAAGAAAATCTGAGGAGTATCATACTTTTTGTCATCCAATCCTTGATCGATAAAGGCTGTGACAACCCGAAGTTTGGGAAATCTCTCAGCGAACTCCGCAACACCGGAAGGGCTTGCGATCAGATTGAGAAACAAGATACGGTGCTCAGGGACGCCCTTCTGCTTCAGGACCTCTACTGCCAATGTTGCGGATCCTCCTAAACGGAGTCAGTATTGCTGTTGAAGCGATATCAAAGGGAATATTGGCACCTACCGGTTGCAAACATGGGATCCAGGAGTAAAACCCATCGATCCGCAATATCGGCCGGTAGCTTTTCATAGAAGAGCTTCGGCATGCAGGTTTCTTCATCTCTTTGGATTAGGATCTTGCCAATGCGAACGGACCGACAGCAATCCCGCAGCCCTTGTTCCATGGCTTCTCCAGCTCTCATGATTGAAACACCACAGATCTTCCCCTCGAACTTAACTCCCAAGTAGGCCCGTCCAACCGGGGTAGTGACCGATTGTTCCACCACGGGTAGATGGTTCAGCCCTTCTTCCACCAGCAACCGGATGATGCGGTTTGAGTAGAAAATAAAATCTGCCCGAGCGGTCCGTTTGTCGCGAATCATCCTGTGGATTTGTTAGATGACTTCATATGCATCGAAGGAAGCCCATAAACAGGGATGGGTCGTCTCACGTCAGTAGAGCGATTAATTGGGGTGTTTGGGACAGCACGTGAACATTCTCATAGGAGACTTCTTTGGAGACCGTTGCCGTGGGCTTCTCACCCTCTGGTCGATAGATAGGGCCAACGCCTTGGGCGGGCGATGGAACAGGGTCCTTGCTAGCCATGACGAATAATAGACTTGTATATATTGGCGTGGAAAGCAGGAATCCCGAGAACACGGGAAAACTGGGGAAACGAAAGAGACACACGACCCTCCTCGATCGGCTTGAGGGGAGAGAAAAAAAAGCGGGGAGAGGGGATTTTCTCTTATCGTAGCTATCGGGCAAAAGCGAACCTGCCCCCCTCCGCACTTCTCTCTTATCGGATACCGCTGAATAAGCCCGGACGTGCAGGGCGCCCGGAAGCGGGAATGCCTGTTGAGCTATATGCGCGTGTCTCCTGCAACCTACATTGTCGATTTCATTTTTATTGGGAATTTCCCTGATTAAAGCTCGCCAATTTTGTCCAAGTCTTCTTTCAACCTCTTTGAAGTCTCTTGCTCTTCTTTGACACGCTTGATTTGGCCATCTGCGGCATGCCTCCTTTGCCCGAAGATACCTTCTAGCTTCATTGTACCAGCCGCCAGAGCCCGTGGAACTTATATCTCCACTATTCCATTTCCATTTCCCTCTTCCCTTTCCCTTGATGGCCTGGTTGGTCATCGGAAGCTATTCTGCCTAGCGAGAATGGAATCGCGATCCCGAAATCGACGGCTGGTGACCTATGGTTCTACCACTAATAACCAATCGCAGTCGAAGACGGCACACTCCCATGCGTCTACTACCAAACATACTCCAACTATATCTTATCATTCACGTCGACCGAGTCATCACCTATTATCTGGGCTACCTAAAGAAAAGCAGCCTCAAGGGTCGCATGAGGCCTCAGATGACAAGATATATGATCTACCATCGTCAAGTGAAGAAGATCAACAATATAAGCAGAGGCGGAAAAGAAGAAGATGTGGCTCAGAAGGGAACACTGCCATTTCACAGAAACAGGAAACTGTGGGCTCGCGAAAACCAGCGGTGGTGAAGACAGATATTGATCTTGGTGGAATTTCCACCAACAAACCGACTTCGGCAACCCTTCAGATTAAGACCGTTTCACCGCGCAATAAAAAGGACATAGCTGACGACCAGAGTCGCCTTGATCAAGTAGGAGATTCTGGCTCACAGAAACCCAACCCTCGGGTGGTTACCTCTGCCGAATGCCTGGATATGGCCCGATGGTCTGACACCTTTGCGGGCGAGACCGAGCTACCAAAAAATGCGGAGACACAGCAACGTATCCCCCAGAACGCGCAGCATAATCCTAGCCCCCTTGAATCTCTAAGCTACACTACCACAACCGCGGGGAATGGTGTTGCTGGGCGTCGGAGACTGATTGATTCTCTGGGCACTAGGGAACGTTCATCAGGGGGTTCATCGTCAGATATACCGGCTGATAGTCAGTTGTCTTCCTCCTTGCCTGCCCCGCCCACCCCAACTCGACAACAAGACCTTGCGCAATCAAGTACGCCCATCGAGATCCAGTCTGATAGTCATGGCCAAGACCCTACTGTTGCACCCTCGCCTCACCTACGTGGCTCTAAAGTCACATATGCCCGTCAGCGCTCATTCTTAGATGACCTTATCTTGGATGATGGACCTACAGGCATGAATCTTGCAGCTGGTGTGGAACAGAATGATCCACTGGGTGATATTGATCGTCCGAATCCCAGTGTTGGGCCCCGGCCTCGTCTTTTTACCATTGCAGAGCCCAGCAATGATGATGGGACTGTCCGGAGTATCCATGAACTACGTCAAGCCGGTGGGAATGCTCGTTATCGGGGCGCGATTGAGGCCATCTTCGAAGATATCGAGGACAACCACATTTCCACATCAGGTCGATGTAATGCATTCGTACAACTCTGTAGCAAGCTACTCGATACGAACCTTGCCCGTCAATTTCTGGAGTGCAATTTCGATAAGAGGCTGGTGGATCTGCTCTCCAAGGATCTTGACCTGACATCCTCTTCGCTTGCTCTCTGTGCCTATGACCTCTGTGCGATTGGCAGACCCCTTCCCTATATTCTCGCAAGTGCTGCCTGGCCTAAACTTTTGGATATATCCCTCCCCTTATTAGATGTTCAAGATGATCTGCTTGCAATGGCCCGTGCACCACCCCAGAAAATATCCAAGGCTACTCAACTCTCCATTCAACATATCCTCCCACAGCTTAAGTCGAGATTGCTTCTCGATATCGATGCAGCCAAGTTGTCTCCTTGTTTCCTAGCACTGCAGTGCCTAAGAACAACTATTGTGGCAGTCCAGGAGAAAGGCGAGAACCCGACCGGTCCTTCCGTGCCATTCCTGAGGCGACTGGTAAATCTTATGCTATCTACCAACTCTTATCTTCGGAAGAGCTCGAATAACACCAGCGCTTTGAACTCCCAGGCACTGATTTTGGGATTGTCTATCCTGGAGGCACACACAACCTCCGGTGGTCCTCTTCAGAGAGATCATCGCGATGTTTTAGTTTCCATTGCCAGTTTGTATAGTTTGCTCTCTGTGGGCAGCGAAGACCCAGTGAATACGACTAGCCAGAGCATTCGAAATCTCTATATCCGAGTGATATTGAATGTCACCAACAGTCACCCTGGTCTTTGCGATGACTTCGCAACGCCAGAGATGATAGGTGAACTGGCCGCAATCGCAATCACCAAATTTGCCGATCTGGCTCAAGAGCCTTTTGTTCAGGATAACAACAATTCCCTTGACACGGTGATACTGGCACTGGGGGCTCTGATCAATCTCACTGAACAAAGTGAAACATCGCGTGTTATTTTTCTCAATCCAGAGATTTCAGACCGGCCTCTTCTCGATCAATTGCTAGACCTATTTTCTGTGCATTTTGATTCCACTTCCGAGGTATTCATCTATCAAATCCTTTCTATCTTGTTTATTTTCTAATTTCAACATTTTTTTTTCAGGCACATTCTGTTCCGGAAGTCCATCATAACGTTGCAGTGGGATATCTGGCAGTCCTCCTTCTGGCCCTGTGTCTCAACCCCAGTGCGCGTATACAGGTCACAAACTCATTAAATTCGAAGGGGCTGTTGGTAGTTTTGTCAACCGTTGAGGAATTCTTGCAATATCACCGCAAGATCGAGCAGGAACTGCAGCCTCTTCCCGTACAAGGCGATTCAAAGGGATTCCATACACGATTACAGGACTTGATGATTCAAATTCAACACACCGCCCACGTGTAGTGGCCTCTAATGCCGGATGCTCTCTATGAATTATTTGTACGTTATGACATTGGCGCTGCTGGTTTTCTTTCTTGCACCTAGAAGGTATGATGTATGGAGAAAGATCTTGGCGAGAATTAATGATTGATACCCTTTTTCCCATTTCAGCCACCCCTTGGTACTTGTAGACATGTAGCTTGTAGAAAAAGAATATTCAGTATATCGCATGCAATAGAAATATAACACACGTACTATATAGCCATGCAGCAGGTGTTATATTTGGTATATTTGGTACTACTTCAGAAATTAGCACTGTACCAATCCACCGTGTGATATTCGGTATCACGTGAGACCCCCAGATCGGGTATCTAATCGCCTGTTTGCAGCATTTGCACCCGATCGAGCTTCCCCGATTGCTTCAACCTGTGGATTTGCCACTCCTACTTCGAGGTCTCATCGGTCGCCAACTCGTTCCGATATCTTCTCTTTTATCTTCACACCTCCTCTCATCTGTCCAATTCTTTACATTCTCCCTCCTAAATATCTGACAGGATGCCTGCTGCCCCGAAGCAAAGAAAGATTGCCATTGTTGGCAGTCGTTCCGTGGGTATGAGCCTTGATTAGCATTGCAATTCAAGGGAAACTTTTCGGATGTGCTGACCTTGATTGTCCCAAGGAAAATCCTCCCTCACGGTCCGTTTCGTTGAACATCATTTCGTGGAAAGTTATTATCCAACAATTGAGAACACCTTTAGCCGGATCATCAAATATAACGGTCAAGACTATGCCACTGAAATCGTGGACACGGCTGGACAGGTACGTATGCCGCTGGACCCTGAGATAGGGGTGGTTTTTTTTTCGGGGGTTTTTTTTCTCTTCCCCTCAAAGCTAACCTGGTTTTCTTTGCTTAGGATGAATACAGCATCTTAAATTCGAAACATTTCATCGGCATCCACGGTTACATCATTGCGTACTCGGTGACATCGAGGCAGTCTTTTGAGATGGTAAAGACTATTCGTGACAAGATTTTGAATCACCTGGTAAGAAGGCCAATGTATGCCTTTCACATCTTACAATGAAGATATCTGACCATCTGCATTTGGAACAATAGGGAGCAGATGAAGTGCCTCTGGTGGTGGTAGGCAATAAGAGTGACCTGAAGCCAGAGCTACGTCAAGTCTCGCCGGATGAGGGCCGCAAATTGGCTGAAGAGGTCAACTGTGCATTTACCGAGGCCAGCGCCTTCCTTGATTGGAACGTTGACAACGCATTTGAGCTCATGATTGGGGAGATTGAAAAATCCCAAAATCCGTCTCAACCTACTGGGGCCAACAAGTGTGCTTTGATGTAATCCGAACATGATTCATTTTACGGCATGTATTTCTCTCTGGTATGTGAAGTCCTTTTGCTTTTTGGCAAGAAAGTGCTATTGGTTGAAGCTCATGGGCCTGCTGCGCCAGTATCTCAAATCACCCTTGTTCTTTTCTTTTTCTCGTCGCCATACGTCTAATGCCTAGCTACAAACAATGTCTCTCGTCACTGTGAGGCCGATCGGAAGCTAATGTTTGGGATCGCTGTCTAGCAACTTTTTCTGGAGATGTCTAATGACCATATGATTTTGGTCTACTTCTTCTTCTCCCCCCTCTCTCTTTTTCTTCTTCTTCTCTCTCTTTATTCTTATCCTTCTGCTTCTCTCCTTGTTACTGTCATTCTGGAACGGTGGAAATTTGGGATTTGGGGTCGTATTGAATCATGGGTTTCGTTTATTGCGTCCAAGCTAGGGAAATATGTATTTTGACATCTGCATAGAATAATGAAATGTTGAGGCCCTGTCGGCCCCCTCGATATATGGATGTTTATCACCACGAGGAGAATCCCTTTTTGATTACCTGGTAGGTATAAAATATTTTCAGAAACGATTTTTTGATATATTGAGTACAAATACATATACACTAGTATTTGCCTAAAGTTTTCCATTTAATTTGATGTATGTGCTACTAGTAGTTACTACAGTTAACTACGGTGACTAGTTAGTTACTCCGCATGTTTGGATTAAGTAATCCCCCGCTGCCCGCGCGCACTTTTTTTCCCAATTTACCCCTCCACCAACGCCAGTGACTCACGTTTTGATTGTACCACTTTCCTGACCATGTTGGACCTCAATGACTTCGTCACCGAGCGCGGTGGTAACCCCAATAAGATCAAGGAGAGCCAGCGCAGACGCCATGCCCCGGAGGAGACGGTGGATGAAGTGATCGCGCTGTATGAAGAGGCCCGCCAAGGTATGTACTGGGCCAATCAGTCTATGAACTTCAGCAGCCTTTAACTTGTGCTTGTGATTAGCACGATATGCCGTCACCCAAATTGGCTCTGAGCTGAATGCTCTCATGAAGGAGATCGGCAAGAAGAAGAAGGTATCCCCCACCCCACATTTTCCCTCCCACTCCAGGACGTCGAGAACGGATTGCTCATATGATGAATCGGATAGAACAAGGAAGATGCGAGCGACCTGCTTAGCCAGAAGGCAGACGCCGATAAGAGAAAAAAACAGGCCGAGGATGCGGCTCTTGCTAAGGAAACGGAGCGGGACCGTAAAATCCGAACTATCGGAAACTACGTTCACGACTCGGTTCCTTTGAGCAACAATGAGGCAAGAACCCATTTCTTTTGAATAAAATTGACACGAGAACTTGACTAATGCCGATGCTTGGCCACAGGATGATAACCAGGTTATCAAGACCTGGACTCCCTCCGATGCCGTTATGCAGCGGCCTGATTGTCTCTCTCACCACGAGGTTTTGACTCGCCTGGATGGCTATGACCCCGAGCGTGGTGTGAAGATTGTCGGTCACCGAGGATATTGCTTGACTGGCTACGGCCTTTTCCTCAACCTGGCCCTTGTTAACTATGGTCTGGAGTTCCTCTTCAAGAAGGGGTACAAGCCTAACCAGCCTCCGCAATTCATGCTCAAGGAGCTCATGGCCAAGACCGCGCAACTGGAACAGTTTGATGAGGAACTGTATAAGGTGACCGAGGGCGACGACAAATCCACGGACAAGTACCTTATTGCTACCTCGGAGCAACCTCTATCTGCACTTCACAGCACCGAGTGGCTACAGGAGAGCGACCTGCCCATCAAGTAAGAAAGCACATGATAATGTTGTGTCTTGCAATTGCTGATATCTTCATTTTCCATTCTAGATACGCCGGCTATAGCACCTGTTACCGCAAAGAAGCTGGTGCCCACGGTAAAGATGCATGGGGAATTTTCCGTGTTCACCAGTTTGAGAAGGTGAGCTAAATTTTTATGAATAGCCCCTGGATTTGGATGCTCATTATTTTGCAGATCGAACAGTTCGTGTTGACCAAGCCGGAGGACTCATGGCAAGCATTTGAGGATATGATGGCCACCTCGGAGGAGTTCTACCAGTCTCTGGGACTCCCATACCAGGTCATGGCTATCGTTTCCGGTGCATTAAACAACGCAGCAGCCAAGAAGTACGACTTGGAGGCCTGGTTCCCCTTCCAGCAGGAGTACAAGGAACTTGTCTCATGTTCCAACTGTCTTGACTACCAGTCCCGGGACCTAGAGATCCGCCTTGGTGTCAAGAAGGCTACTGATCTGAAGAAGACTTATGTTCACGCGCTGAATGCTACCTTGTGTGCCACTGAGCGGACACTCTGCTGCGTTCTCGAGAACTACCAGCGGGAAGACGTAGGTGCTCCCTATATAGTACTTGGGTTTTGGGGTCAATGCTAACCGATTCAAATTATAGGGTATTGAGGTCCCTGAAGTTCTGCGCAAGTACATCCCTGGCAACCCAGAGTTCCTGCCATACACCAAGGAACTTCCCAAGGACACAACCTCGCAGAAATTGAAGGCCAAGCAAGCCAAGGGAGCTGAGGATGCCGCGAAGAAGATGCAGAACCTTAAGGTCTGATGATTTGAACAGACGAGAAAGATATAATTCGATTTCTTTTGAACCATTCATAAATTATACATTGTAGTACCTACGTACTAGTAAAGTGAACTAGTTAGTCACTAACTATGTAACTAACTAGTTAACCTATAGTTAGGTAAGTTGGGTTAGTTAGTTAACTACTCAAAAACAGACTTGCTTTAGTAAGCGGAAAACCGTTTTCGAAAGCGGTGAGTACAAGGATCTCCATGATCTCCACATAATCGAACGACAAATGGAGGTGATTGGATGATTATATATGCTAATATGTCATTTAAATCCAAAGAAAAGAAAAAGAGAAGAGAGAGAGAAAAAGAGAAAAGAAAAAAAAAAAGCCCCGCGATTTTGCCCCTCCCTTAACTACTTCCTAATCACGCCTTATTGAGCCTAATGACTCACGTATATCTATACAAATTTTTCTGCTTTCCATTTTCTTCATACAAGATATTAATATACATCTATTTTATGGAGAGCTAATGAGTCAATCCTATATAGCCTTCTCTTAAATTTAAATCATCTTTCTCTCTCTTGCCTTTCCACCTTTTCCTTTCCTTTTTTCTCCCATTAGACTTGAATCCGAGATCTTTTTTCTAATCCACATCCGATTCCGGAGACTCGGCGGGCTTATATAAGGAGACCTAATTGCCCGTGATTCCATCAATTTATTCATCTGCCCTGTCATAGATTTAGAACTCTCTCTCTCTCTTTCTTTTTCAACCCTTTCTTCTATTTCTTACCCCTTTTGTCCATTTTATTTACTCATTTACGTCATGACATCCGCCAGAGATATTCGTCCTCGCCAGGACGATCTGGCAGCTCAGGCTCAATACCTGGCCACCTCGCCCTCTGCCTCCTTCCATTCTCCTTCCAGCCATGGTTCAGCTCTTACCCGGACGATCCCGGTGCTCAATGCGAAGCACCTGAAGCCCTTTGCGACACAAGACATCAAGGTTTTGCTCCTGGAGAATGTGAACGTGGCCGGCCGTGAAATTTTGCAACAGCAGGGCTACCAGGTGGAATTCCTGAAGTCCTCCCTTCCAGAGGACCAACTCATTGAGAAGATTCGGTATAGTACCTCTCTTGGTGTGGTTCTCGGGAAGCTTGCTACTGGCACTGAATCTAACTAGGATCGAAATAGGGACGTACATGTCATTGGTATCCGCTCAAAGACCAAGCTCACAGAGCGCGTCCTGAAGGCGGCCAAGAACCTAATTGTCATTGGTTGCTTCTGTATCGGAACCAACCAGGTGGATCTGCAGTATGCCGCTGAACAAGGTATTGCTGTCTTCAACTCGCCATTCAGCAACTCCCGTAGTGTCGCCGAGCTGGTGATTGGTGAAATCATTGCCCTCGCGCGACAGCTGGGTGACCGTTCCAATGAGATGCACAATGGAACCTGGAACAAAGTGAGCAACAAGTGCTGGGAGATTCGTGGCAAGACATTGGGTAAGTCTTGGATCCGTGTAGTACGCGGACATCAGTGACTTATGGAATTTCTATAGGTATCATCGGTTACGGTCACATTGGTGCCCAATTGTCCGTCCTGGCCGAGGCTATGGGCATGTCGGTTATCTTCTATGATGTGCTCAACCTTATGTCCCTGGGTACGGCTCGCCAGGTTCAGACCCTGGACGAACTGATGGCTGAGGCCGATTTCATTACCTGTCATGTGCCAGAACTTGCCGAGACCAAGGGCATGATTGGCAAGCCCCAATTTGAGAAGATGAAGACCGGTAGCTACCTCATTAATGCCAGCCGCGGAACCGTTGTCGACATTCCTGCCCTCATCGATGCTATGCGCAGCGGCAGAGTTGCTGGTGCTGCTCTAGATGTGTACCCGAACGAGCCTGCTGGAAATGGCGATTATTTCACCAACGACCTGAATGAATGGGGAAATGATCTGCGTTCCCTTAAGAACTTGATCCTGACTCCTCACATTGGAGGAAGCACTGAGGAGGCTCAGAGTGCCATTGGTGTTGAAGTGGCCCAAGCCCTGAGCCGATACGTCAACGAGGGTACCACCCTCGGTGCTGTTAATCTGCCTGAAGTCACTCTTCGTTCTCTGACTATGGACGAGCCAAACCACGCTCGGGTAAGCGTTATCAATGCTGACGATACCATCAGGAAAAGTCAAACTGACATATTCTTCTCTCCAGGTCATCTATATCCACAAGAACATTCCTGGTGTACTGCGAAAAGGTAAGGAACTTCACTATCTATCAAAGCTTTAAGCCCCCCTCGCAACCGACAAATTTCTAACATATATGCTGTTTATCTAGTCAACGAAGTCATTGGCGATCACAATGTCGACAAGCAAATGACCGACAGCAGGGGCGATGTACGTTTCACATCTCGTTGCCTATCCAGTGGATTTAGAAAACTAACCTCAAGTAGGTTGCCTACCTGATGGCTGATATCAGCGATGTGAGCGCCGCTGTCATCAAGGACTTGTATGAGAGACTCGAAACTCTTGACTGTAAGCCAACCCTCCCCCCTTCTCTTCATTCTGCACATCGATGTTAACCAAGATATTGCAGCCCGAATTATGACCCGAATTCTGTACTAAAAAGGATATCTTTGATACTCCCTTCCCCATTGTAATCAACTTAAACATGTCTTGAGCGGGTTCATGCCACTCGAACGAACTCACCGGGACCCTCAACGAGGTCCTTACCCCGTGTAACGGGAGATTTTGCATCTGTTGAAGTGAAACGTATCTTCTCTATACATCGATAAGAAATCCTCGAACAACAGAACAAAGCACCTAGTGAGATAATGGCAAAACGTCAAAAAGCAAATTTACGATTTTCGCACATCATACCCATTCCCCCTGTTCGTAACACGAGGTCTTCTACATATGCAGTACGCATACAATTTTTTTTTTTTGTAATCTCCCCTAGGCACCACCCTACGATATGCGAATAGAAGACATGAATATATAAAAGAAATTACAAAGACCCCCTGGAAAAGATCTGGTATTTGGATCGCTGATTAAAGTATGTTACATCATGACATGGATGCCAATTTTAACTTAAGAGTTTTATCTTCCCAGCCAATAACGCCTCACATTAGGGCCGTCTATCGAAAATGGGACATCTGGGCGAGCACTATGCAGCCTGAATCAAGATTGAGATGTCGGGGGGTGTGAACCTAGTCTCTACCCAGGTCCTCCTCGAGAACTAGGACTCCGACTTCTTCTTCGAGCTGGTTCTCGGCGATAATCACGCCGGTTCCCTCCACGCGCATTGGTCGGTGGATTATCGGGGGCATGGCCATAGTTTGGGACATACGAGTCAATGCTGCTGGAGAACCTTCCACTTGAGCGACCCTGGGGAAAGCGATCCCGACGCGAGTCGTCCGTCCATCCAGCTTGCGCACCATCCCATTGCTGAGAAGACGCAGGAGGTCGTGGTGGAAGCCCGCTATCTCGCTGGGATGGAGGGAATGGGCCACGTCGGTTGGTGTTGTTGGTGTGATTGGGGTTCCCTGGCATACCAGGCAGTCCGTTGGGTCGACCGCCTCGAGCAGCCCCTGGGATTCTGCTTCGGGAATCTGGTCGAGGACCGGAACCAGTCCAGGCTCCGTTGGAGGAAGCGTCGCCGGCATTACCCCCAGGGGCTGGAGGGACGGGTGCCCGCTGCCCACGGAACTTCTTTCGATCCAATTCATGAGAATCCTGGAAATGAGGAATCTCCCCGGGGCGTGCAGGGAGTGGCGGGGTGGTAAAATAAGGATGTTTCAAGGCGTCAATGGCGTTCACACGCTTTCGCCAATCAAGCTTGAGAAGCTCGGTGAGCAGCGAGACAGCGGCGGGATTTTGACTAATATACTGTTAGCTGATTTCAGATATACAAATAGCACCCATACTTCAAAAGCACGAGATCTTTAGCATGATGAAGTGTTTCACTTACTCTTTAAAGACATCCGCAAGGTTTCCACGCTTGAAACCGAAATTTTTGACCCCCTCACAGCCGGGTAGAGAACTCCACCCAGGCATGTTTTCGTCATTGGGAGTGCCCACGAGATTAAAGATGAGTTGCGCTTGGTTAAGATCACTGCTGCCGGATAGAATGGGCTTTCCTTTGAACATTTCACCAAAGACACACCTTAAGGGTATATCAGCACCAAATCAACAAGAAACATGGACTCAGACTTACCCAACACCCCACAAGTCAACGGCGGTCGTGTATTTCCGCAATGATAGCAGTAACTCTGGTGGGCGATACCATCTGGTCACAACCAGGGCTGTGTATTCTCGTTTTGCTTCCCCTCCACCTTTCCCAGCTTGCGGAGGTGGTTCATCGAAGGGTCGTGCAAGCCCAAAGTCGGCAATCTGAAGAATTCCACCATTGCTGATAAGAAGATTGGCAGCTACTCTATTAGTGAGATTGGATTCAACCAAGGTCTAAGGGTTCATCAGTAAGAACATACCTTTCATATCACGGTGCAAAATACGGCTCTATTGAAGGGTCAGATTAGTAGCTCTTTTTAAAAGGTCTCGATTAGCCTTACCGCGTGCAGGTAACGAAGACCTTCAAGAAGTTGCATCAAGTAGCATTTTATTTGAGGCTCAGTAAACTGGACCGATGGGTTCTCCAGGAGCCCGGAAAGATCATGCTCCATATATGGGGTGACCATGTACATGCTGGGTTTCTTTCGTCCTTCGCCTGGGGTAGATGTCAAAATGTAATCTATGGTAAACCTTCATTACCATCATGGGCTATCTCTTACCTTTGCTTCGTTCCACGGCCATCTCCTTGAGTTGTAAGACATTTGGATGGGAGAGCACTTTCAGAATCTTGATCTCTCGAATTGCTGTGATTGGGAACTTTGCAAAGCAGGTTAGCTGTGGATTGTAGCGGGGGGAAGTGTCCCTTTGCACATACTCCCTCTTTCTCATGGTGCATGAGAATCTTCTTCAGAGCAAGGACTGAGTTGTCTTTCTTGGACCTTGCCTTGTACACCTCACTGGCTCAACAATTAGCTGCAGAATTTTTTTTTTTGACACAGTCGAATAAAACCAACCCAAATGTCCCCTCTCCAAGTTTGCCGATGAATTCAAAATCTCGAATGTTAGAGCAGCCAGGGAACCGGGGCTGCCCACTGCGATCCATTTCCAGGGACGACATGGGCGCGGGTTGGCTTCTGCGCACAATGCTTCTCTTGCTTGAGGAAGGTATAGATTGGAAGATTGTGAGTTCCGACCACTTGGGGTCAGGTTCAAATATGTTGCTGAACCCGTGGTAAGTCCGGAATCGGTATCATGGGTTCATTCAAGTAAGGGCAGTGGGGGTGACGATGTTGGTTCAGTTTGTCTCTGCTGGAGAAGTCCGATTGGAGAGGCGCCTATAGTTGATGGAGGTATGTGGAATCATAGTAGCATTTACTGATCAGATTAGAAAGTAAAAGGGACCAGTAGTGAGCTTTCCCATCGCCATTCAAGGGACTCTCAAACTCTCGAATCGAAAAAAGGTGGATGTCAAGTGAGCACAGCGGCAAGGACAGTGGGATTCAGGCTGTTATTCAAGTTGCCAGATGTTGAAGGCGGACAAGGAAATAAGACCAAGTCCTAGTTCCTCAAGTTGAGCAACTGAACCCAAGCTGAACGTTGAAGAGGAAGAAAGAGCGCCGTCACTGATCACGTGCCTTGGGACTTCCACTTCCTCCAGTTCCCGCTTCCGACGAACTCTCCGCATCCTGCAAAGCCCATCGTCCGGCGTACACAAGTAAGTGACCTATATTCTGCTCCAAACCTGTATCTCATGCGCCCGCTGACCCAATTTGTATACAGCTATGGCAGGCAACTCGCACCACCCGGTCCACGTTCACGCGGCCCGGCCGTTATACCGCTTTACTGCCACTGCCTTGGGTGCCAGCATGTGGTTTTTCGTATGAGAACCCTCTTCCCACTTCCCGGTATCCGTGTATCTGGGCCAGCTCGTGCTAACCGGTGGGTAATGCAGCTTATGTACCGTGCCAAGAAGGATGGTCCGGCTCTGCTGGGCTGGAAGCACCCTTGGGATCACTAAACGCAGGGCCTTGGCCTGCCTCGAATCATGCCCAATTGGACTAGAGGAGGCTTACGAATTGCTTTGATACCTTCACTCTTCTTTTTTATTTTGTTTCCGGGAAAAGAGAAGAAAATATTCCGGGGGCTTTGGGTGGTTGATATGTACCATACCAGTTTTATTAGGTGACAATGCGACTGTGCACCAAACGACCCTCTATCTACCGCGATCCCTTTCTATCTATAAATGCAATCATCACCATCCTCCAAATTTATTCACAGGCCCATTCCTTCCAGGAGGACCTTGTACTGACGACGCTTCTTGCGATAATTTGGCTGTAGTCGAGTCCGGGCATGTCCAATGATGCGTGCCAACCGAGGGAACACTTTCACCTCAGCTGACCAGGCCAGTATAAACATCCCGAGCGCAAGCGCTAAGATCCAACCTCGATAAATGTCCGACATCATGGTTAACTCAAGCACGTTCATGACCCATTTTGATGGTCGGAAGAGCATGTAAGCTGCAATCAGCAGATCAACAATTATTGTGCATAGATATGGAACTACCGTAGAAGTTGATATTAGTAGCAGCTCTGGAGGCAATCGATCCACTTGGAGATTGAGAATTTCTCGTAGCTCACCATTCAATATCATCGGTTGCCGGAAAGGTGGCCCGACACTCAGAACAATACTTGTCAGTATATATTGGAAGCAGGAGAACAGGAACAGCGCCGTGTTTTCCGAGTTCACAATATTACTCTTCTCCAAATCTAGCTGCGGGGGAAGGAACCTGTTCGCAACGGTCAGCAAGTTTCTCGACTTGCATTCTGACATGGAAGGGGATGCATACCAGGACTGGGACTGGACAGTTTGGAAAATCACCAGCTGCGTGAGAACCACCATAATGATCTGGCCTAAGAGTGGGGTCAAAACCTTCCGCGATACGAGATCTGCTGTCGGCCGCTTGCGAGAAAGCGTGGGATAAGGACCCGTCCAACCCACTAGTCGTTGGTCAGTCCATTTTCCATTGCCCAAAATGATGCAAAACATCACTTACTGAAGATCGCAATAGGCATAATCAAAGCCAAATCAATGAACAGAAACTAATCATTCAATCAGTTCATTCGCCTGCGTGTTTTTTGGATATACATGTTGGAAGGAGGGGGTTACTCACCTGGAAATCGCCAAGATTGGAGCCGGATGTGTAAAGAAAGCTCACCGTGGAGAACTGGATGGCTGAGTAAAGACTCATGAATTTGAAGCAGCAGAAGCTTGTCACCAAGGCAGCGCGGCCCTCACTATCAAAATATTGTAAGCTAGTTACCCCTTGGGTTGTTGACGTTGTGGACAGAAAACTCTTACCGAATCAATGTGGGCACGCATGATATCTCGAAAACCCTACTGGTGAAGGGGGCAGCGACAGATGCTTCAGCGTCAGATAGGGAAATTCCCACATCAGCGGCTTTCAAAGCGCCGCAATCATTTGCCCCGTCTCCACAAAAGCCACAACAGTAGTCAATTGATTGAAGCTTTTCCACTAGTTCGTGCTTCTCATCCGGTGACATTCGAGCAAATACTTTTCCAATGACCAGAATCTGAGCGAAGACGGTTAGAGAAAAGGATTATCCAGACAGGAGCAACAATTAAAACGGGGAAAGTAGCTCTTACTCGGTTCAACACATCCTCGTTTCCATAATCGACCATCCACCGGAACACATCACCCGTAACCGCAACACAGTAATTTTTATCATGAAGTATGTTTCCTGGAATGGAAAGATCCTCCTCGGTTGAAAATTTAAGGGGCTAGAAGATTTATCAGTAGGTATAATTATGACAAGGGTGTCCGGTTTTCCATACTTGAAGGGTTCTTGGGTCCAACCTGAAATCGGGGTTGTCCACGCTTTCCCATATAAGAGATGTTTTTGTGACAAGTCCGGGTTCTTTAATCGGTCAGCTCAATCCAAATGTCCCTGGAGAGGAGGTGGGTACAGACCTTCAATGAAATGTGGGATGAAGCAATGCTCGTCCGGGCCGATCATCTCGCATTCCTTGGCAACGCTCACTGCTGTTAAAATATTGTCACCCGTACACATGACGTTACGAATGCCAGCTTGATTCAGCTCCGTAATCACACGAGAAGTACTAGGCTTCAGCTTATTTTCAAAGATGATGAAGCCCAAAAACTCGAGGTTACTCTCAGCCTCAGCCCGGCTTAGTTTCTGGGCTTTCATCCAACTCAACTTTCGTTCGTATTTGGTTGCACAGGCGATAACTCGATACCCTTTATGGGTGTAATAGTTCAATAGTTCGTCATAGTCGGATGGAACTGCTCAAAGGATGAGTAAATAAACCAACCAGGGTTCATTTTCGAAGGGAGGCAACTAACGGGTTCCGGGCACACATATATCCTTAATGCTTTCAGGGGCACCCTTAACAAAGAAGCTGGCCCCATTGTCGCCAAATTGTCGAACAACGACACTTGCACGGCGGAGTTGAGATACGAATTCAAAGCTCCGTAGGACACCAAGTTCGACGGGAAGCTGCAGAAAAACATGATGGTAAGTGTGGTTTCAAGATCTCGAGACCATATAGTAACATACGTTGGGTCCATTTCGCTGGATTTCACCCGGATGGGTGTCTGGCGGCCTTGCAACTGATGGAGTGATTGTATCAAACTTAGGGCTTGTCTGCTCAGAGACATGGCCTCCACCTTCTTCATAAGACCAATCCGTGAACTGAAACATCTTGACATCAAGAGGATCTCCTAACAACTCTCCATCCACAACCCTTAGGGAGTGACATGTTGCCATGGTGTATATTATCTTCCGCTGCTTCTCCTGGTCGTATGGTGAGTTCGCCACTGACGATGGCAGTAATAGACCCGTAGAAGTTTCGGACAGCAAATCAGAGAACCTTTTGTAGATAAGAATCACATTAGTACCAGTAGATAGATGTGTTGTGCTTTGAAATGTTGTCGAGTAACAGACCTTTGATTATTGCTGACTACCCGTGCCCCGAGAACATCCAACCCATCTTCTGTGAGGGTACCCGTTTTATCGAAACAGACAACATCTAGCTTCCCTCCAACATTGACTCTGGAGATTTCGAGGTATAAGTGGAGAACTGGGATGTTAACTAAGAAGGAGCACTCACTTTTGTGGGCTAATACAGAAGATACTTTGCTTCTTGAGGCGGGAAAGTGCAAAGTTCGTACCAATGCTAAGGGTTGCTGGGAGGGCCGGAGGTACGACAATTGTAATCAAATCGAGGGCGCGGACGATAATAAGGTGCCAAGAAAGCTATGATATATTAGCAATTGACCAAAATCTTCCACACAGATTGACCTACACCCAGTCTCACGAAGTTTATGAACGAAGCGACGAAGCCACAGAGAGCGACAACAGCCATCACAGCAATGTAACGGAATGAATCCCGATAAAATTTGAAGCCGGAGGGTTTCGGAAATAACATTGACCGGACAAGTGCACCCTTGGTGGTGGAAAAGCCAGTTCTGACAACTATAGCCAAGGCAACAGCCTCATCATCATCGACATTCTGCGGCCGCCTAGCCCGAATGATTTTCGTCCCACTGAAAAGAAAGTGCTTGGCAACATCAGGATGTATCGATGGGGCACTAAGATCAAGGTTTTTGAGAGCATCATCAACCAACGGCGTCTTGGATACAGGTACAGATTCGCCTAGAATGCGTGAGCAGATCTATCCAATAAAGCATTAGCTGATTTGTAGAGACATACCAGTAAGCATGCTTTCATTGACGATGCAATCGCCAGATAAAAGGATAGAATCACAGGGTACCTGGTTCAGTGACGGATCAGAGAACTCAAACACATCACCAGGTGCTAAATCCTGTGAGGAGACCGAGCGCCCTTGAGATCAAGATGGTTAGCTACATTGAAGTCAAAGATAAATAGGCTATTGCATTGCGTAACTTACAAAACCCATTCCTGAGGACACGAACGTCGCATTCGAACAGGGATATTTCTCTCAGCCGACTCATTGACTGTCACGATATTAGTATATCTTCGAATCAATGATGACTATATTTTTGGGGCTTACCGATTTGGTTTCTAGTACAGTGGTTGCAATACTGAAAGCGGAGATCAGAAATATACAAACCGCATAGTAGTAATACTCATCCATGGACCAAAGGATGAGACTTGCCACTTGGAACATATAGAAAGGGTGGAAAGCCTATTTATGGTCAGAGATGGACAATATGATTGAATTTGTCAAGAATAGGAGGGGAAGAAGAAAAATCGGGGTATACCTCATCAAGCAGCAGTTGCGGAACGGTTTTTTGCTGGATGTCAATGACATTTTGTCCGAAAATCTGTTCTCTACTATCCCGCTCGTCGGCATCTAATCCCGCGCGCATGGCCTTCGCATTGGTCCATGCGGGGTCTTTCCAGCCATTGATCAAGGAGAATTTATCTTCGACGGGATGGTAGAAAAATCGCAAGTACCTGTAATCGAGGAACCGTAGAGATTGAATAGTTGGATCACGGTCTTCGTCGTAAGATTGGCCAGAGGGGTCAACAAAGACAGTTGATAGTGGGCGACCATAAGACTGGCCGCCAACTTTGTGGATGGTGAATTGATTCCATTGGTCCTAATAGCTGGTTAATGGACTTATTCGAGTTAAGGGTCCGTTCCCCCAGTTGTTGTCCCTACCTCAATAGCGATCCATTGACATTTCCCCAGCAGGGCTGGTTTTCCAATTAATTTCACATGCCATCTTGGAAGCCAGCGGAAGAAAAGATATGCGAGACCGCCAGTCAATATGCACAGAGCGACATATAGAGCAAACCCCCCTGTACTGGTAGAGAATCCCGCAAAGACCGCCGTTAAGTCTTCCGAAGCAATATACACCTTCTGATTGAGTCTGTTCCCAGACCTTCTATCACGGCCATATGAGCTCGCAGAGATATATCGTGAAAGCAGAGGTTGCTCTTCCGAGTCCCGTGATTGCGAAAGTCTCTTGGAGATGAAAGAACCTCTGCTAGACTCCACATCGGCTTCGACGAGTCCACCAGCCGACTCATCTTCGGCTCCAGAGCTTATTTCTTCGAGATCTTCTTCCACCGCGTCCTCGTTGGACCATTCTGCGAAATCTTCGCCGTCCTGAAAGTAAGTGAAACTGACCGTTGATCCTGCTCGGTTGCGACGATGTAGAAATGAGACGACACTAGATGGGATACTTTCTGAGATGGGACCATCGAATACCTAGTTGAAGGTCAGTATGGCACGAGTTTGGTTGGAGAGGGAGCAATCATTCTGATATACCTCATGCCGGGCCATCTCTACGTCTGATACCACGCTGAAACTATATATAACTTTTAGCGACATCGTCGCATGTGGGGAAGGTGTCATTACCTGCTCCGGAGAGAGTCCCGCCTAAGATTTGGCCGGCTTGTAGAGAGATCCACAGGGCCGCTCCCCGGCGGGGATGGTGGTCGGCTACTCATCTCGTTTTTATGGATGGTTTTTCTCCGAGGGATTGGCGTTGGATGGTTGAAATTCTGCACAGACAATGGGGGTGGGGGAAGGACACTCTGGTGCCACTGGCGATTAAGAGTGCGTCAGCATGCAAGCAGTGAGCACTCGAAGATTGAAAAGACGCGTGATATATAGAAGAAAGACGGCGGAGATCTTATGCCAATGACGGGCGGTGTCTCCGAAAGTCAATGTTACTCCGTTATCTCCATGTGACCTTGATAAGCCGACAAATGGCCTCGGGCTTGATATTAAGCACACCATCCCTATTTAGGCAGGAGGGGCAAGGATCTCAAAATTTCCTTGGTTTATAGTGATCATATAGACTAGTAGTCTTCGGGATAAGTGAAAGGGGAGGTATGCATATAATAGTAAGTGGTACATACTCAGGTACCATGGCTAACGCTTATCCTTTGCATTGATTGTATGGAATCATCATGACTCGATTATGTATGACTATTATGTACTGTTGTATGTTTGATATGTGAAGATAAACTGTATACTTAGTGCCTTATATATGCAGAGTATAAGGTTATCGGACTGTATATGTTCAAGTATGGATTCTAACGATAAAGACGTATGTGGATTTACATGTATGGATGTATGATTGATTAATATGGAAACTATACTAGTATATAGTTAGTAGTAGTAGGTATATGTATATATATTCTTGAAAGTGAGTAGAAAGGGTATAAAAAATTGAACAAGATATGATGAAATAAAAGGATCTAGAACAATCGATAAGATCAATTGATATCCAAATCAAGTACAACTGATTCACCAGACGGAGTCGTAATATATACTCGTACTTACATTGGGGGGTTTTCTTCCACCGTATAGCTGTTTTCACGTGTTTCTAAAATTAACATTTTGGATGGCGAAATGGGGTCGCAGCCAGTCAGACTGGGTTCCATAAGTGAAAATTGAATGGTTTTAGCCACGATCTACGCTGAAGATCTTAAACTAGGTAGTAAGATACCCCCCCTTCACATAGTATCTATGATGTAAAAGTCATTTAGTCATAATGTAAATTATATAGAGAATTAAGGATATCAATAATACAATACATATTACTACGAGTTGTAGGAGGGTAGATTGTAAAAAAAAAAAAAAAAAAAGCTATTGTACATGTACCATACATACTAAATACCACCTCCAAGTACATACATGTAATAATTCAAGTTTGACTCACAAGAGAGGACATGTAGGAATCTCTTACCCATGCATTAGCTTCAGTCTCAACTTTCAAAGAAACAAAATCAGAAAAAAAGAAATACAGAAATGATAAGAGACAGGGGGGGGTAAAAGTCCCCAAATATCTCCAAAGGGTTATAAATGGAAGGAGATGAAAAAAGTGAGAGGGGAAGTTGTTGGGAGCAGTTTTTCAACCAGAACCGCGTCCCGCCAAGCCCCTCCGGCCACCGGCGCTAAGGATCCCACCATCCAGACTCTCCTCTCCCCCAAAACTCACGACCCATATCAATTTTCTTCCCTCCTTTTCTGATCTTCACATCTCCCCTTTTTTCAGACCTCTCTCATTTCCCTCCCCCCCCCCCCCCACCACCATGTCTGAACCCATCAGGAATAAGAAGGCTGATTTCCCGGTCGCTCCGTAAGGAATTTTCCCTTTGCCAGACCGCTTATCGTCGAGCAAAAACACTAACGCTGTGAAAAATTATACAGGACCCCGCAAAACACCCCAGCCAACAATGCCCCTATTTCCTCGCACGCCCAACAGCCTGGTGTCTCCAGCATCAAGGAAGGTAAGGCAACCGATTCTTTCAGATGAATCGCTCCGCCCCGTGTCCCGTGTCTAATCGAGTTCGTGTCACTAGAAACCCTCGACAACGCAACAGCCGCTTCGCTCTTCGCTCGCAACCCCGCCCTGGTTTCGATGATTCAAGGCAAACTGGGCCAGCTCGTCGGTCGGTCATCTGGCTACATTGAATCCCTACCCCCAGTCGTCCGCCGCCGCGTCGCCGGCTTGAAGGGTGTCCAGAAGGAGCACGCCAAGCTGGAGGCCCAGTTCCAGGAAGAGGTCCTGGAACTCGAAAAGAAGTATTTCGCCAAGTTTACCCCCCTGTACGAGCGCCGGGCAACAATCATCAACGGAGGCGTGGAGCCCACCGAGGACGAGGTTGAAGCTGGCAAGGAAGACGAAGAGGAAGACGAAGACGAGGAGAACAATGATGCAGAGGAGCAGAAGGAGGAAAATGAGGCCACTGAAGCCCTGGCCGGTATCCCCGAGTTCTGGTTGTCAGCCATGAAGAACCAGATCTCGCTCGCTGAAATGATCACCGAGCGGGATGAGGAGGCCCTCAAGCACCTCACCGACATTCGCATGGAGTACCTGGAGCAACCTGGATTCCGGTTGATCTTTGAATTCTCGGAGAACGAGTTCTTCACCAACAAGACCATTTCCAAGACCTACTACTACAAGGATGAGAGTGGATACGGTGGCGACTTCATCTACGACCATGCCGACGGTTCCAAGATCGAATGGAAGGCAGAGAAGGATCTCACTCTGCGTCTTGAGAGCAAGAAGCAGCGTAACAAGAGTAAGTAAAAAGTAACCCCTTCACCAGTATTGAAAATCGCGTCTAATATATACATACAGACACCAAGCAGACCCGCGTCGTCAAGATCAGCGTGCCCACCGAGTCTTTCTTCAACTTCTTCTCCCCCCCGCAACCCCCAACCGACGACGACGCCTCTATTGCCAGCGACATCGAAGAGCGTCTGGAGCTGGATTATCAACTGGGTGAGGATATCAAGGAGAAGTTGATTCCCCGTGCGATCGACTGGTTCACTGGTGAGGCACTCCACTACGAGGAGTTGGGTGATGAGATGGATCCGGATGAGTTCGAGGATGAGGATGACGAGGATGACGAGGATGAGGACGATGAGGACGATGAGGACGAGCGGGGATCGGACCAGGATGTTGAGGATGACTCAGACGAAGAGGTACTTATTTCTACCCGCGGGTTTCCTTCACCGTTTCAAATAGCTCACCTGCTAACCCTCTTTGTTTTTTTTATCAGGATGGTACTTCTAAGCCCAAGAAGGAGGCAGCTGAGTGCAAGCAAAACTAGAAAGAGAAAACCCCCAGAGAAAACAAAAAGTGTGGTCTATTGACCAGCACACGGCTTACTCGATATGCTCCCATGGAATTCCTCGTTGATGTTCTTGCTATGTTTCCTTTTTTGTGCCCTTTGATATTTTCCTCCTTTTCTCTCTCACCTACTCCCCCTATCTCTCTGTCTCTCCCTCATCACTGATGCCTTTTGTCTCCCTCTGCACTGCGCGAACTTTTGTCTCTACCTAATATCTTCCAATCAATCGACATAATCAGTGTGTAATATGATTACTCGCCCTTCCACTGGGGAAAGTGGAGGAGAGGCGTGTATTTTCCTGGGTGCTGAGGGGGCATATGGTCTTTTATAGATACAATTCTGATCCTAGAATGGCTTTCTTTGGTTGAATTCCGCCTTCTTCCTACATAGAAATTATATATTACATACTTCCGTTATGACAAGGGAACTATTGGGGATTAACAACAAACTGTTATGGTCAAGTTAGAGGATTTTCCTGCCCTTCCATATGCTAGTATATGTACGGGAATATAAGGAAGTATAAGGGAAATAAGTAAATAAGTAAATAACATATGGGAATCCGGGAGAGGGATGGCGGTGACAGCTGTGGGGGCTGTGGCGCGGCAACCCCCAACTTAGTCCCGAAGCTCGCGCTCCTTCAGGGGTTATCTCTCGCTAAAACAAGTGTCACTAAACAAGCAACTTCTCGTTTTACCTTTCCTTCCTCCCACTCTCCACAAAATCTACCTCTTTTCTTTCTTTCTTCCTGATTTCGGACCATGAGTCGATGAGGGGTCACCGCCAGACCCCTTGTCTTTGGACTGCTTGTGATTGATCGACCCTTTCTTTTTTTCCCCCACCCCTTTGAATGCCCGGTTCCCCGTCATCTAGCCGATATCTTTAAGCGCCTCGAAACTTCTTCAATCTCCTCCGACCTTTTTCAACAACCTTCGTTACTCCGAGCCCAATTGTATCCCTGGGCCGTCAGACACACATCATGGCGCACACCTACGAAGTTGGGACAAGGGCCTGGCAACCCGACCCAACAGAGGGATGGGTTGCATCCGAGGTCAAGGACAAGCTGGTAGATGGCGAGAAAGTTCAGCTGGTATTTGAGTTGGAGAATGGCGAGGTGAGTGCAGTTTCTGCGAGAAGAAGAATATCCTGGGTAGGATGCAGCAGACGGAACACTGACTGGAGTGATAGACCAAAACGGTTGAGACCACGCAGTCCGAATTGCAGGTTGACAACAACTCAAATCTGCCACCGTTGATGAATCCGGCCATGCTGGAAGCGAGTGAAGACTTGACCAATTTGTCTCACTTGAATGAGCCCGCTGGTTCGTCATGCTGGAAAATAAAGATCTTGTTCCCTCGACTGACGGCCTTGAAGTCCTGCAGGCTATAAAACTTCGTTACGCCCAGAAAGAAATATATACCTACAGTGGAATTGTCTTGATCGCTACCAATCCTTTCGCCCGAGTGGACTCACTTTATGTCCCTCAGATGGTCCAGGTGTATGCTGGTAAACAGCGCGCCTCACAGGCACCTCACTTGTTTGCCATTGCAGAGGAGGCTTTTGCGTAAGATTTGATGCATAACTCACCAAGGATCCTCGGATAACCCACTAACATGCATGTTTGTTTATAGTGACATGCTTCGTGATGGAAAGAATCAGACAATCGTGGTCTCCGGTGAATCAGGTGCTGGTAAAACAGTTAGTGCCAAATATATCATGCGGTACTTTGCGACTCGCGAGTCTTCCGACCAGCCTGGAAAGTACACCACAAGTCGAGCCGATGCAATTAGTGAAACGGAGGAGCAAATTCTGGCGACCAACCCCGTTATGGAAGCATTTGGTAACGCCAAAACCACCCGCAATGACAACTCTTCCCGATTCGGTAAATACATCGAAATTATGTTTGATGAGCGAACAAACATTATCGGTGCAAAGATCCGTACCTATCTGCTGGAGAGATCGAGACTTGTCTTCCAACCCCTAAAGGAACGCAACTACCACATCTTCTATCAGCTTGTGGCCGGTGCCACCGACGAGGAAAGACAGGAGCTAGGTATCTTGCCAGTGGAAGAGTTCGAATACCTCAACCAGGGAGGTACACCAATTATCGACGGTGTCGATGATAAAGCTGAATTCGACGCAACAAGAAAGTCCTTGGCCACAATCGGCGTATCGACACAATTCCAGACTGAAATTTTCCGTATCCTGGCAGCTTTGTTGCACCTTGGTAATGTGAAGATCACTGCCACTCGCACCGAATCCTCTCTCTCCTCATCTGAACCATCCCTTGTGCGCGCCTGTGAGATGCTCGGGATTGATGTTAATGAATTTGCCAAATGGATTGTTAAGAAGCAGCTGATCACAAGAGGGGAAAAGATCACCTCAAATTTAACACAGCAACAAGCCCTGGTGGTTCGAGACTCGGTGGCGAAGTTCATATATTCCAGCCTTTTTGATTGGCTCGTGGATAAGATTAACAGGGGCCTAGCAACCGACGAAGTTATTGAGAGGGTGCAGACTTTCATAGGTGTGCTGGATATCTACGGATTTGAACACTTTGCAAAGAACTCCTTCGAACAGTTCTGTATCAACTACGCGAACGAGAAACTACAACAGGAGTTTAATCAACATGTGTTCAAGCTTGAGCAGGAGGAATATGTCCGAGAAGAGATCGACTGGACCTTCATTGATTTCTCCGACAACCAGCCTTGTATCGACTTGATTGAGGCAAAACTTGGAATCTTATCCCTATTGGACGAGGAGTCGCGGCTTCCCATGGGATCTGATGAACAATTCGTCACTAAACTCCACCATAACTTTGCTGCTGATAAGCAGAAATTCTACAAGAAGCCCCGCTTTGGAAAGTCCGCTTTCACCGTTTGTCATTATGCTATCGACGTTACCTACGAGTCCGATGGATTTATCGAAAAGAACCGTGATACGGTACCGGATGAGCATTTAGAGGTGCTGCGCAATTCATCGAATTTCTTCATCAAAGAGATCTTGGACACCGCAGCTACAGTTCGAGAGAAAGACTCGGCAGCTCTCACATCTAAGCCTGTCGCTGCGGCCCCGGGGCGTCGGATTGGCGTGGCGGTGAATCGTAAGCCAACGCTTGGAGGAATCTTTAAATCTTCTTTGATTGAGCTGATGCACACCATCAACTCCACCGATGTGCACTACATTCGCTGCATCAAACCCAACGAAGCTAAGGAAGCTTGGAAATTCGAGGGCCCCATGGTTCTCAGTCAGCTGAGAGCCTGTGGTGTATTGGAAACTGTCAGAATTAGCACAGCTGGTTATCCGACTCGTTGGACCTACGAAGAGTTCGCTATTCGTTATTACATGCTTTGTCACTCCTCCCAGTGGACATCCGAGATCCGGGATATGTGCCATGCCATCTTAAGGAAGGCCCTGGGTGATGCGAAACAGGACAAGTACCAGCTGGGATTGACCAAGATCTTTTTCAGGGCAGGCATGCTTGCTTTTCTCGAGAATCTGCGCACATCCCGATTAAACGAGTGTGCTATTATGATCCAGAAGAACTTACGCTGCAAGTATTATCGTCGCCGATATCTTGAGGCTCGGGAGTCTATTCTCACCACTCAGGCTTTCATCCGGGGTTTCTTGGCCCGGCAACATGCACAGGAGATTCGCCGGACTAAAGCTGCAACCACTATTCAGAGAGTCTGGCGGGGCCAGAAGGAGAGGAAGCACTACAACGAAATTCGGAGCAACTTTGTCTTATTCCAGTCTGTTACCAAGGGATTCCTCTGTCGGCGAAACATCATGGACTCGATTCACGGCAACGCTGCGAAGGTCATTCAACGTGCTTTCCGCTCTTGGCGCCAATTGCGAGGTTGGCGGCAATATCGCCATAAGGTGGTCATCATCCAAAACCTTTGGCGAGGCAAGGAGGCTAGAAAGGTCTACAAGTCTTTGCGTGAGGAATCAAGGGATCTCAAACAAATTTCGTACAAGTTGGAGAATAAGGTGGTTGAGTTGACCCAATACTTGGAGTCTCTGAAGCGTGAGAACAAGTCTCTTGTCTCCCAGCTAGAGAACTACGAGACCCAATTGAAGTCGTGGCGAAGTAGACACAACACTTTGGAGGCTCGTGCCAAGGAGCTGCAGGCCGAGGCCAACCAGGCGGGTATTACTGCGGCCCGTCTGGAGGCAGTGGAAGAAGAAATGAACAAACTCCAGCAAAACCACTCTGAAGCCCAAGCTACCATCAAGCGTCTTCAGGAAGAGGAGAGGGTATCACGCGAAGCCCTTCGTGCAACCAATGAGGAGTTGGAGCGTCTTAAGCTTCTCAATGGCGACCATGAGAAAGAAAAATCAGCTCTCCGCCAACGTGTTTCGGAGCTCGAGGAGCAGTTGGAAGTTGCCAAGCGAACCGTGCCTGTCAATGGCGTGAATGGTGAGGTGCCAAATGGCGCCGCTGCTCCCACCCCGGCCACCGGCTTGATCAACCTCGTCTCCTCCAAGAAGCCCAAGCCCCAGCGACGCAGTGCTGGGGCAGAAAAGGTCGGCACCGATCGTTTCAGCGGTGCATTCAACCCAAGACCTGTCTCAATGGCGATTTCTGGACTTGGCGCCGCTCGCTCGAACGCCGCGACCTCGCCAGGACTGGACTCAGTAGAGGCGGAGCTTGAGCAACTTCTTTCCGAAGAGGAAGATTTGAACGATGAGGTCGCCATGGGTTTGATCCGCAACCTCAAAATTCCTCTTCCGAGCTCAGCCCCACCACCAACCGAAAAGGAGGTCTTGTTCCCTGCTTACTTGATCAATCTTGTCACCTCGGAGATGTGGAACAACGGCTTTGTCAAGGAGTCTGAGCGATTTTTGGCCAATGTCATGCAATCCATTCAACAAGAAGTCATGCAGCACGACGGAGACGATGCAATCAATCCCGGTGCGTTCTGGTTGTCGAACGTCCATGAAATGTTGTCTTTTGTGTTCCTGGCCGAAGACTGGTATGAGGCACAGAAGAGTGACAACTACGAGTATGATCGTTTGTTGGAGATTGTAAAGCACGACCTGGAAAGTCTCGAGTTCAACATCTACCACACTTGGATGAAAGTGTTGAAAAAGAGACTGTATAAGATGATTGTTCCGGCTATCATTGAATCTCAGTCCCTTCCCGGCTTCGTGACCAGCGAAACCAATCGGTTCCTCGGCAAGTTGCTGCCCTCGAATAACAACCCAGCATACAGCATGGACAACCTCCTGAGTCTTCTAAATGGCGCTTACAAGGCGATGAAGGCTTTCTATCTGGAAGACACCATCATCTTACAGACTGTCACGGAGCTTCTGCGTCTCGTAGGCGTGACTGCGTTTAACGACCTGCTCATGCGACGTAACTTCCTATCATGGAAGCGTGGGCTCCAGATCAACTACAATATCACCCGCATTGAAGAATGGTGTAAGAGTCATGATATGCCGGAAGGAACACTGCAGCTTGAACACTTGATGGTATGTCCCTACAGTCGAATTTTTAGCAGATACCGGTTTTGCTAACCTGATGACCACAGCAAGCGACCAAGCTTCTTCAGCTCAAGAAGGCGACTTTGAATGACATTGAGATCATTCAAGACATCTGCTGGATGTAAGAAACATCCGTCCTGATTTTTCTCTTGGTCGGTAACATTAGACAAGTACTAACCTGACTGCCTAGGCTATCGCCGAATCAAATTCAAAAGCTTCTCAACCAGTATCTTGTTGCCGACTACGAACAGCCCATCAACGGCGAGATCATGAAAGCCGTCGCCTCCCGTGTTACGGAGAAGGGTGATGTGCTCTTGCTGACTCCTGTTGATATGGAGGACAGTGGCCCTTATGAGATTGCCGAGCCACGAGTCATCACGGCCTTGGAGACCTATACTCCGTCATGTATGTGATCCTTATTCTCCACATTTCCCTCCCTTTCTTCCCATCTTCGCATATTCTAACCAGATATTCCCATATAGGGCTCCAAACACCGCGACTGAAGCGATTGGCTGAAATTGTGTCGGCGCAGGCGGTGGCGCAACAGGAGAGGCTTGAGGGAGACAATGGGGTATTAGAGGAGTAGTTCTGTATATTAGACGTGTTTCTTAATTTCCCTGTGGATTTTCTGTGAGCTACGGATTACGACTAGTGACATCTGACCACGAACTTATACCTGGGATGGTGCCGGTTTTGATACAGTGACGCATATGAATGTGTTTGTTCAATTTTTTTTTGCAATCAATATTTTCATATTTTCTAATATGTCTCCTGTATGCATATGTCTTCACACGTTGCCCAAGTATATAATAGAGCGGAGGGAACATACGAGGGAACATACGCAGGTAAAAACTCATTAGAATCACGATGGTCCACAATGGCGGTCGAAGCGGTGTCGGGGCAAATCCAAGCCTCAGTGGGGGATCCTCATTTCTCTTCTACTTGCAAACAATCCATCCACCTCTCCAGCAATTAGGGGGAAAAAACTCCCATCATGTCTTTAACAAAGCTGAACTTCATCACCGGCAACAAGAACAAGCTTTCCGAAGTGCGTGCCATTCTTGGGAACGTCATTGAAGTTGACAGCCAAGAGGTAGACGTCCCCGAGATTCAAGGGACCATCGAGGAGATTGCCAAGGAGAAGGCTCGCCGCGCTTCTGAAGCAGTATGTGTTTAGAACTCTTGGATTCTTCTGATTATTGTCCTTGTTGCTGAAATTTTTTAAAAAAACCCCCTAGATCAATGGCCCAGCCTTGACAGAAGATACAGCCTTGGAATTCCATGCCCTCAAGGGCCTGCCAGGACCATACATGTGAGAAAACAACAGATCAAGCAAACCCGCTGGCTGGCGTATACTAATTGCTTACGTACATAGTAAATCTTTCCTGGAGTCTGTGGGCAACGAGGGCTTGAACAAGATGCTCGACGGGTTCGATGATCGAACTGCCGAGGCCGTGTGTACCTTTGCCTTCTGCCGTGCCCCCGGAACCGAGCCTATCATTTTCCAAGGACGAACTCAAGTGAGTATTTATACTATACATATGACCCAGATCTTACTACAAAGTGCATCTATCCTGATAAACAAAAACAGGGAACTATTGTGCGGCCTCGGGGCCCAACTAACTTTGGTAAAGTATAAGCACCACTAATATATTGAACTGGCCACTAATTGGGTAATTGCAGGCTGGGATCCTATCTTCGAATACGAAGGCAAGACATACGCCGAGATGGATAAAGAGGCCAAGGTAAGAGAGACTGCAAGATCGTCAGCGCTTGTACCCCCTCGTGGCGCCTTTGTTTCGATTCAATTTGCAGATGAACGAGCTGGGTACTAACAGGCCTCGACCAGAACGTGATTTCTCATCGGTACAAGGCCCTGACGAAGCTCCAGAAGTGGCTAGCGGAGGACCAACAGTGAGAAGAAAGACTCTGGGGTATATATATTATGTAGATGATCTGGCAGGGAAACGGGACAAAGCATCGAGTCGCTGCATATCAATTGTCGTCGTCATGTTGTTTCTTCCAGTTATCGACCCACTGTGCCACCCTAGCACAGTTAGTGTCAACATCACCGTCCTCCTCGCTATTCAGTTCCACCACAATTTCCTCGTCGAATGCCTCACGGGCCTCTTCAAGTAGGACCCCAAAGATTTCTGCGTCCAGGTTCTCCTGTAGCTTTTCTTCGTGATAACCCCTAGGAAAGCGCAAAGAATTAGAACTGATAGTGTTACGTGGTTCTCGGGAACCTGACGACATACCGAGAGGCAAGACGATCGTAGTGAACAGCGGTCGAGGGGCAGCGGAGGACGACGACGAGATCAATCCAAGATTTGGGGAAGAGATCACATGCATGCCAGTCAATCAAGTACCCGCCCTGCAGGACTTCTTCCTCAATTGCATCCAATAACTAGATCATAATAGAAAATCATATGAGCACTTGTTCCGATTTGAATTCCGCGAAGCAATTCCAATCTGTTCAGCCCCACATAGTAAACCCCCGCGAAGAGAGAAAAGTAACCGAGAAGGAGAAACAGAAAGAGAAGGACAGGGAAGTTTGCGAATTTGCATAGAATTTTCACCAGTATGGTATAAAATTACATACCTTATCCTCATCCACCACCCAGCTCTTCCGCTCCTCGTCGTAAGTCTCATAGCAGTCGCGGTCCTTGGCAACCTGATTCACAGACAAATGCTTCAAGCCGATCTCCTGCGCTAGCTGCTCGCAGTGCACGGTCTTGCCCACCCCAGGGGTGCCTGTGACAATCACATTCGGAGAGGCTCTCATCCTTTGCGACAAGATTGATTGACGGTGGTGAAGTAATTGAGGGGAAGGAAAGTGAAGATGATTTGCGACGGAAATAATTCGGATTAACCGTGACCCCGCTTATCTTATCGTGGGCAACTACTACAAGATAACATTTGAACTACATATAACAATATATAACAATATATGTACTTATGTAAACATTCTATATACATACATGTATATACTAGTATATATAAATCTCGTACATATGTATATGTACTCTTCAGGCGCTTTGGTCTTTTATAATATCATACAATCTTCAATGTTATGTATGTATATGTATTATAATATATATAGTAGCAGTATGTGAACCTAGTAATGCTCGATGGATTTCAGACATCTGGATGTCATGTTACTCATTCACATGTGATCTAGTGTAATCCTACCACATGCTCATACCTAAAGATTCCTTCGCTGGAGAGGTCTTCACGAATTGGCATTTGAGACCTTATTGACAGAGCCTATTCTATATCACGTGTTATTTTGTGGAAATCAAAGACAAGAGTCAAGGGAGGGACTTACTTGAGAAGTTCAAACATTTTATACTTCTGCAGATATGATGCGCCTCGTCGGTACGCTTTGAGCAGGCGGCCAGGATTGTTGGATTGGGAAGATGTCCCCGTCAGACGACGCATGGCAGGCGAGGTTTTGAACATAGGGTCAAACACAAGCAGATTGGCTTTGCCATTGTCACGGATTTCAAATCCAATGATTGTCATGGAATGCCCTATTCACGTTAGATATAGAGAGCCATAGGACAGATGAGTTTACCTACCTTGATGTTGAAAATAGATGGGTGGTAAATCTGTCCGGTATACCCTCTTCTCATCATCTAGGGAGCAGCCTGACCTGAAGTAGGTAGCTACATCCATGTAGAGAGAATCATAGGCTCGCAGATCGCCACTCTCGCTTAAGCTGCTGGCATCACATCTGCAATGGGCAAGTCAGTTTCTTTCCCAATGAGTTGGAATTTTCGCTTTCAACTTACGGGATTCCAAGGCTCATGAACAATGCTTGTGCCTAATTACATCGTTAGCATATTTACAAAGATTCCAATTTTCGATGCGATATAGCCTTACCTCTGGAGTCCCAATGAATTTCCGGGTGCCTCGAATGCCTCCAGTTTCGGTTCTTCCCGCACTGTTGAACCCCATGTCCCAGGCAAGCTCAATTTTATCTTGTAAATCTAGAATCGTTGGCACACCATTCGGAAAATGCTCATGGCCCGGGCTTTGAGATTTAGTGAGATACGAGACCAACATCTGAATGTTTCGGTACCCGCAGAACCCACCCTCACGGGGCATCTTGCAAATATGGCGAACTTTGGAAGAACACAGAAAGGCTCGCTGAACGGAACTGTCTTGTTCGCACAGTTTTGCAATGACAGGTATCAAATGATCTGTCTCGTTTTCCACTGTCGTGTGCCGAGTGAGCTTGCCATCTGCCGTGATCTGGGTCTGTTTCGAGGTACGGCCACCCTTCTCTAGCATTTTATTTAGCCATGAGGGCATCTTCTTCTCATGAGCATGAGGACCCAACTCAGAGCGCTAAATTATCAAGTTAATCAACACATTCGTTTGAGGAATCATCGGGGGTTTGTGAGACGGGGACATACCCCTAAACGCTTTGCACCGTCTGGCCCCACCGTTCTGGGAGGACTCGGCGCACGACTTGACTTGGATACATTGGTGTATGCAAAGTCCCGACCTAGGCTTCGTTTCCCACCTTTTCGCACAGCTGTGGCGTTGAAGGAGTTCTCCGGATCGGAGGAGAGATCACGGTCGCTCAGGCCCGATTCTACATCCGGAGGTGACTGAGCCGATCCAGTCTCATCCAGCGCAATAGTCTCTGCAACATGAAGATCTAGATGAGTGGATAACTCTGCAGTAGTGACTATTTCCCCACAGCCATGTGGACAGTCCACATACTTGGCCGTTGATTCCTCATTTTCCGACGGTGGTGAGTCGGGTAACGAACTCGATCCGAGAAGATGGTGCGGGACAGAATCTTGTGTACCATTCTCAGGATGGCAATATTCAATATGCTCTGCCACAAAATTGAGATCCGAATCAGAGAAAGGACAAAAGGGACACGATAAGGGAGAAGGGTCCATGGCTTCTCTCTAATCTGTCGATACAGATGCAGACGCAGAAGTTAGGCGAATGTTGAAAATGTCTGCTTTTCAAGTAGACTGAATTCTGTTTAGTTTAGCGAAGGAGACGGATCAAGGTAAGAAGTGCATCATATCAGACCCAAACGTTTGGATTCGAAAATGTTTGGCGTTATATGGAGTAGATCAATGTGGATTTCCAGATGAGATTCATGGTGCCTGACACTACCTGTGGCTGAGGAGTGGCTTAGTATACCCCCACTTTTCTCCCTCTTTTCCATCTTAAAATCTAATTTTTTTTTTAAAAAAAACCTACAGAAGTAAAATTCGGGATACAGCCCCTGAACCATGGTAGCTACTTGAGGTTATACATGTTTTAGAGGTGGCGAGTAACGGAAAATTCTATATACAGAGGTTGAGATTGAACATGACAGTATATACGCTGCGCCAAAGGGGGACGTGAAAGAGATCTTACAAATTCAAATAGTATATGCCTAGTAGTCGACTGATTTTTAGTTCAAGTGATTATTTCCAAGATTTTAAGTACTCCCTAGAGAGCCCTATTCATTATACCATTCATCTTAGTTGATGTCACATGATTCTCACGTGAATAGTCTAACGTTAACATTAAAAACCCCTACTAGTAGTACTCCTGCGGGATGAGCGTTTTACCAGATCGATGAGGTAATCCCGATGAGTAAGTAATTCGCCGATAGAAAATACAAGTCCTTCCTAAATTACCACATGATATTTACACATTTATAAAAGAAAAGGCAGTTGCAAATGTAGAAAGTAAGAGCATAATGCCCAACATTTGAAACCCTTCAAGTTTCTTTATAATATAATCAAAAGTCCAAGTAAACAGAATCAACGTCATCGGCCCTTGATGGCGTGATTTGTATACCAGAGAACTCTGATTGGTTAAAGCATCTCCGACATCGTCACAGCTCAAAGAGGAAGGCGGAAAAAAGGTCAATTCCTTAATTCCTTTGAGGAAATTGAGTCATTCAGTAGAATTTCCAGTTGCAGAAAAAAAAAAAAAAAAAAAAAAAAGATCGAAAAAAAACTTAATGCCGCATACGGCCCACTTCCCTCCGCTTTCGCTTTCCCACTTTCCCCTCCATCCTTTCTATGTTGACCACACTTCATTTGGGTTGATTTGGCTATGGCTTCTCTTAATTCAGATCTCCCGCCTGTGCAGGCTTTACATAGCAAGTGGGTGGTGCAAAAGTTCGGTGGCACCAGTGTCGGCAAATTTGCGCTCAACATTATCGAACAGGTGGTTCTGTAAGCTCGAACTCCAATCACCCTCTCTATCCATGTACACCTACTATCACCCAAGACTCACAAAACTAACAACCATTCTCAGCCCGAGTTTGAAAGAAAATCGAGTCGCCGTCGTTTGCTCAGCCAGGAGCAGCTCAACCAAAGCCGAAGGAACCACCAACCGGTGAGTCATGATCACTTTTTTGTCCATTGAATGTCTTCAATGGTCTCACAGTGACGAGGACCAAGGTCCTCTCCAAATGTCAGAGTCTGGGTGGACAACGGGCTAATCGATATGTTCCCTGAATAGTTTACTAAGAGCTGCACGAGACGCCGAGAACTCCCAGTCCCGGCAATATGAAACATTCGTCGAGGCTGTCCGCTTGGAGCACGTGCAGGTGGCCCAGGAACAGTTGAAGTCGGTAGACCTGAAGGAACAAGTGATCAAAGATCTGAATGGAGAATGCGAGCGGGTCCTCAAGGTTCTCGAGGCGGCACAAACACTAGGCGAGATCAGTGCTCGTTGCGTGGATAAGGTCATGAGCGCTGGCGAGAAACTCAGCTGTCGCTTGATGGCCGCGTTGCTGCAGGACCGTGGGGTTGACTCACAATATGTGGATCTCTCCGATGTCATCAATTTCCCAATTGGCAGCCATGGATTAGACCAGGACTTTTATAATAACCTGGCTGCAAACCTGGGCAAAAAGATTGAGGCCTGCGGACACCGAGTCCCCGTGCTGACTGGGTACTTTGGTACCATCCCCGGAGGCCTGCTGGATCAGGTCGGTCGTGGTTATACGGATTTATGTGCGGCCCTCGTGGCCGTTGGAACCCATGCCAAGGAACTCCAGGTGTGGAAGGAAGTGGACGGCATCTTCACGGCGGACCCCCGCAAGGTGCCTACGGCGCGTCTCCTGCCCGCTATCACTCCAGCCGAAGCTGCCGAGTTGACCTTCTATGGATCCGAGGTCATTCACCCCTTCACCATGGAGCAGGTCATTCGGGCCAGGATCCCCATCCGGATCAAGAATGTGATGAACCCCAAGAACCGTGGCACTATCATTTATCCAGACACCGCCGCAGAGCTCGACCGGCACACTCCAGGCCATGACCCGCGCTTGTTCCGGACGCGAAGTGCCAGCCTAATGCAGAAGCCGAAGCGACCGACCGCAGTGACCATCAAGCATAAGATCTTGGTGATCAACGTGCACTCGAACAAGCGATCTCTGTCGCATGGTTTCTTTGCCGGCATTTTCTCCGTGTTGGACAAGTGGCGCTTGTCGATCGATCTTATCTCCACCAGTGAGGTTCACGTCTCCATGGCGCTTCATTCCGAGATGCCCCTGTTGAACGGTAATGGACGGGATGATTATCAGGTGATCGATGATGATTTAAAGGGGGCCTTGAATGATCTGAGCAAGTATGGTATGGTGGACATCATCCCTGAGATGGCCATTCTCAGCTTGGTCGGCAAGCAGATGAAAAATATGATTGGGGTGGCCGGGCGTATGTTCACTACGCTGGGCGAGAACAATGTGAATATCGAAATGATTTCCCAAGGTGAGTCAATGATTTGATGCCCCTCACATTATAAAGTGACCCTTGAAACTGACAGTGTTTTTTCTTTCTCCCCCCTGCAGGTGCAAGTGAAATCAACATTTCGTGCGTCATCGAAGAACGCGATGCTGACCGCGCCCTCAACATCATCCACACCAGCATGTTCACCTTCCTGGAATAGACTCTTTTACGTCACAGAGTGCGTTGTCATTTGAGATATCCTTTTGGGCCGGTTTTTCTTTCTTTGCGTTCAATGATGATTGGGGGGCCAAAAGTTGTTGTGCATCCCCCTTTGTCTTTGGTTCTCTTTTCTTTTTAGGGGTGGAAACATTTCAGGAGAGAAATGGTGAGACTAAAAGATTCGGGGAGGCACTTGAGCATCTTTACTAGATTTCAGTTCATCTTTTTATTCTTTTTTTGTGTATTTTTTGTTTGACTGCATGGGCTTGGCGTTATCTCATATATAGAGGTGTTTCATGAACGAGGGATGCATTGATCTCAACTTGTGCATGCATTTTTTGTACATAAAATCCGTTTGATATCTGCAAGGGCAGTTTTAAGTGTTTCTGAATCTCGATAAAAAAATGTTTTTTATTCTCCAGGGCTCTCTCTTCCAAGGTTATATATAAGGTTATATCCTCTTTCATGCATCAATTATCAAGTCGCCCTCGAGCCATATTGAATCCTGGTTAATTGCGCACGGGGTTCCTCTAGGACCAATGGCTGGCGAGCAAGGGATATACGCGGACGTGGCCACAGTCTCAGATGTTACATCTGACATTCCAGACATAGCGTTTTACTTGATTTTGACGAAAAGAAAAAAAAGGGGGGGGTTAGGGTTTAGATATGGTGAGAACCTATAGGAATTGATATATACAGATTATATTAACTGAAAGAGTGTATGAGCAAATATCAAAGAAAAGAGGAGAATCCAATGCACTACAAAACTAGTCTACTATATAGATGGGAAATACGGGGACACTACTGGAAGTGGATCATTTCACATAATCGATCGTCGATCAGAATGCGAGGGCCCCAATCCCTGTATCCGTAACTCTGAAACCAGTGTACTGTCAGACTAATACATGATCTGCACTCGGTATTATTCCGCCCCAGTATGGGAAGACGCGCGACGCGTCCACAGAATTACCAAGCTAATACGGTATTATAGATAGGCGGTACCAGGTAGTTGTTACAATGGAAAGTTGAAGGTTCAAATCTAATCAACTTCTCTTTCTCCCCACCTCGAGGCTCTAAGCACTGAAACTCTTAGACAAAGGTGATAGAGGAAAGACAAAAGGGCCGTGACTGCCAGATCCTGCACTCATTCCCGATTTTACCTTTTCTCCCAATCTTCCCAATATTATCAAATCTCCTCCCCATACATCTGAACCCCCCTTCGATCAACTTGTTAGATCAACTTGGATATTTCGCTGTATCGACTCTGTAACCTGTTCCTTCTTTCCAACACCAAAAGATCAAAAGAAAGCCAAACCAAACCAAACCAAAAAAGAAAGACCAAATACTTCAAAAAAGAAAACAACTGTTCGCAGCGCTCGCGGGGGATTCCCACTTGCAAGAGTTGCCTTGATTCGCCCGGCTCAATTGGACGTGTCTGACCCGTCTTAGCGCCTGGTGGCCCAACGCTTGCCATCTCGACTAAGTCGGGCTGCATGACGGCCTGAGGCTGGCTGATCACTCTCCTCCTCGCATCTCTGATTGGCTCAACCTGAAAAAAAAGTCTCTGCAACCAGTCTCATCACCCCCCCAAGTCGGCTCCGCTGTCCCCCGGCTTCTACCCTCTCGGCCAACGAAAAACCCGTGTTTGGGGTTTGTTTTCGACGCGTCATAAGGTCCCGACTGGTGACTGGCGACGCTTTGCATCCTGCCTGGTCTATCTAGATTATGGGATCGACGCGTCCAGCGCCCATCGCGCACTATTCCCCGGCATTGGGCCCGTTTGCCCAAGCATCCGTCAAATCGCAGCCGCGTCTTCAACCTTCACCGCTACCATTACAACCCATTGAAAACTCATTCCATCCACTGTCCCGTGGCCCGCACAGGCCATCACCGACCAAAGGTCTGCCCACACAGGGCTCACATCCCGGGCGAAAACTCGGTTTCGTTCCCATCTCTGCTCCCGCCCCTCCCATGTTCACCACCGACTCCCCTACCAAGAAGCCGCCTTTCTCCATCTACTCGCAACCCTCAATGCCCCAGTCGGCACTTTTCACCACCTTCTCCAGCGTCAATCCTGCCGAGTCTAATAAGAACCTGCATCCGGAAGATCCATCCAATGGCAGCTTTGCCGACTTCCCAGAACCCTCATATGAATCTAGGCTTCCTATGAAGCGCAGCCTGATGGAATCCGCCCCATTGAAGGAGCGCGCAATCAAGAAGATGAAGCGCGAAGACGCGCAACTTCATCACTTGCCCGAGCCGCATGACATGCCACCCGTCGAGGACGACGGGACTAAGCCGCCATACAGCTATGCGACATTGATTGGAATGTCCATACTCCGTGCGCCCAACCGTCGCTTAACCTTGGCCCAGATCTACAAGTGGATTTCAGACACATTCTCCTACTACAAGAACAGCGACCCGGGCTGGCAGAACAGCATCCGTCATAATCTTAGTTTAAACAAGGCCTTCATTAAGCAAGAGCGTCCCAAGGATGACCCAGGCAAGGGCAACTATTGGGCAATCGAGCCTGGTATGGAATTGCAGTTCCTCAAGGATAAGCAAGTTCGTCGCGCCACCATGTCCAGTCTACCTCTCCCTGCAGTTCCTTCAAGGGACCTCATGCCCCAGTCGCAAGGCGCAAGCACAACAACCTGGATGGTCCCCCCACCCCCCACACAACAATCCGCACCTGCGAAGGTTTCTTCGCGGAACGTGGACCTGTCGTCCGATGCTACTTTGCCTGCATCTGATCCGGCCTTGCAAGATGACACGGATGAGGGTGTTCATACTACCGCGCATCCAACTAGACCGCTGCGCTCTTCTCCCCCGCCAGCCATTCGATCATCCCCCCCGGTGGCTCCTCCTCGTTTCTCCCGTCAGGGTACCCCACCGACCCCTACTCAGGCTGCCCCCACACCGGCACCTCGTCCACGGAAGCGCAAGTCGATAACCATCAACGACAGTGGTTATTTCTCCTCATTGGAATCGTCGGCCTTAAGGCCCAATAAAGCTGGCCACATGTTGACATCGGATTTGGATATTGAACCGCCGCGCATCAAGCGTGGACGCGCTGAAGAGGAGATCGCACGGATTCGCAGCTCTTCCCACGACATGAGCCCGGGACAACCTGCCACGCGCAAGGACCCCAGCACCATGGCTGGGTCTTCTCCGCTGCGTGGGGGATATGTGAGCATGCTGCCACCGCCGTTGACCCCTGTGATCAAGTTCAAGAAACCAGCCAGACCCCCGCCCTCGGTCTCACCTAATACCAATCTTCGAAACCACCGTCGTAAGATTCAGCAAATGGTCAATTCACCTATCAAGCATTTGGGTTTGACAGATGAGGACTTGCCATGGAGCCCGGCTTTCAATCTTCACGACGAAAGCTACACGCCGCATGACCACTTCCATACTACCTTCGATGTTTTCGCTGACTCTGGTCACGACCATGTTTCGTCGGCCACATATGGATCTCCTGAGAAGCGCTCTGTTAAGCGTCAACGTATCGACCACGGACACACTCCTCTTGCTGATGTCACCTCAGTTAGCTTGAATGCTCGAGCTGGCATTCCCTCTCTATCCCGATCAAAATCAGTCATCTTCCCTGAGTCGCCGTCCAAGTTGCCGGAAATTGGGCGCCTGGGTGAAACCAGCCAGGATGATTTCTTTTCCTTCCACCTTTTCGATGAGGGTAACGATAGCTCCGGGGAGGTTGATGGTGTGGATCTTTTGCAGGGATTCCAAAAGATTGGAGGCCCCGCGAAAGACGATGCATTGAAACCTAGGGCGTTGCACCCACGTCCCCAGATGAGCCATCGCAGCAACACCACCTTATTTTGATGAAGCATTTGCATGTTTGATGACCATTTGACTTTTCTGTTGGATTGATTTGGGTGTAAAATAACCCTTGTCTGATCCTCACCTACATTACTTGGATGTCTGCTTCTTTCCTGCCGCCTTCCTAGCCTTTATTTCCGCGTGATATGTTGTTTCCAAGGTGTTGCTTGATTTGTCCCTTTTTGATCTCTTCCACCCAACCTCTTCCTCACTAACACACACACACACACACACACACACTCTCTCTCTCTCTCTCTCTCTCACACACACACACACACACATACACACACTCTCTCTCCCTCTCTCTCTCCCTCCCTCTTTATCTCTCTGGCTGGCTGGATTTTACCCCTTTGCGTTTGTTTTCTTCTTTTCTTTCCCTTGATTTCTGCGTTCTGGATCGAGGAGTTGATGTTTTCCGGATGTTACCAGGTTTTGATTGGGCGGTGTTTTCGTTCAGGAGTTTTTGGTCTGCGCTGAGGCGCCGACTCTGACTGTTCCTTTTACCACCCAGTCCGGAATGGCCTGGTTACGACCTTAATGACGATACTAAGATGTACATGAGCAAGCGATGGTTTCATGATTCGGGATTTGGGGTTGGGATATTATTGTTTACTTATTTTATTTTACGGGATGAGGGAAAATAGGCCACGGAGGCACTATGGGTTAGTGTTTTAGCAAATTTGAAATCTTGATTACTTGTCTACCAAGCATCTTCTGCTTCTGATTATTGTGAAGGGTATCTGATTGACTGCGATCGTCATGAACAAATAACAAAACAAGTAAGAATCCAATCAATGCAAGACCCGAACGCCAACACAGTTCAAACAGCTGTGACATAGAAAAAGAAAAAGAAATAATAGTTCCTCCATAGAAAATACCAGTAAGCCCAGCGATCATCATGTTTTGTCTAGTCGCTGCTCGAGCAGCCTCGACAGCCACAGGCAACGCACTGAATGTTCTGTTCTTCCTTCAGCTGAGCTTTGGGCACACGGCAAATGCAGGTCGAATTGAAATTGGTCTCTTTGGTCTGGACGCAGCGAAGACAACACAACTGTACACCTCAATTAGTAATCGTTTGAATAATAGGCAGATTATACCTCATGTCCATGATACACAGGTCATGCAACAAGGGCTGCTTATTGCAATACTGGCACGTATCATTTCCATGATGACGGGTTCACACGCACCTTCTCATAACCTTGCTTCTTCCACTTGGCGATCAGGTTGGCATCGGCGTACTTATTCTTTAGCAACCAGTCATATAGTTGCTTGGAGATTGCTTCTTTTTCGTAATAGAGATCATAGATATATCGCGAACCTATGAAGCAGAAGGAAAGGAGGGAACATGTCAGTATGTGTTTTTCCCTCGTATGTAACAGGTGTGCTTGTTTTTAAAGTAAAAAAAAAGTTGGCGGGGACCGGAGGGGCAAAGAGGGTATCCTTCTTGTCTGCACTTACGCTGGTGACTGATCTGGAAGATGGGCCATAAGACCTCGTGCTTCTTCTTGCCCTCGTGAGGAGCATTCTCAGCATCCTTCATCTTATTGCTGAACTCTAGAAGAGTATCCTCTATGTCGTCAAAGCCGGCCGGCGGCGGTTTGCGATTGCGAGCAGTACGAATGGGAGGCATCGTGATTGTCAGACGAACAGTGCGCGCAAATGCCTTGAAAAGAATACCGGAGTCCGGGATAGGAGTTCCAGACCGTTTGGAAAGGAGAAAAAGGAAAGAAAAACGGTAGGAGGTAGAAAGTTGAGTGAGAATGAATGTGAAGTTCGTCTTCCCAACGCCGCGATGGATCGTCATTTTTGTGCCAGGCGATACCGCCTTCGATTTTGCGCCGGAGCACTTCAAGCCTGTGAAGTCAGCTCCGTACTATAACATACTCATCAAGTTCCCCAAACTTCCTTGATTACCATCTATCATATATTTCAATCTCCACCTCAAGTCAACAAAATGGATACTCAGGCCCAAGCGGACTTGTCCAAGCTCAACGAAGCAGACAAGAAGGAGCTGAGCCAGTTTCTGGCCAACGAGTCGCAGAAGGCCAACATCCAGCAGAGTAAGTTAATCCAGATGATGATAGCAAGGGCCCGGATCGAAAGGAACCGGACAGCGCCTACTTCTACATGAGATCTCTGAGCTTTGCCTAACTATCTTCAATCCGTACAGCGATCCACGTGCTTGCCGACGTGTGCTTCAAGAAGTGCATCACTACCCACAACTCCAACGCTCTCAGCAACACCGAAGAGGTGTGCGCACAGAACTGTGTTGGTCGATGGATGGACACTCAGATTAGCGTTCTGAAGCATTTGGAAAATATGCGCCAATAAATCCGCTGTCCTGTTTCCATTCCTCTCCGCTTCGTTCTCCATTCCTCCTGGTGTCGTGGTATCACTTCTACTACGACCCATACCCACCTACCTTCACCTGAATGACACCTACAATTGAAACCCACCATATTTGAGGCTTCTTTGCACGTGGTTGTCACCCTATGATTACGATTCTACTTGACCGGTGTATACCTCGAAAGGCTCTCTCGGGGTAGACAAGAGGTGCACGGTATGAGTCGCTTGTATACTAAGAGTCAAAATGAATCAAATCTTGTACATCATTTATGTACTTTCGCGTTTTCTTTGATGTAGACCAGTGTAGATTGAATAGTAGACATTGTAGACCTTTCACTGCCCTTCTTTTTGTCCACAATTATCAACATATCAATTATACATTAAACAGAAAGTCTGGGATTTCTAGGCATTATAACCTTGGGACTACATACTAAAAGCAGGCTTCTTGAATGGAGACTCGGGTTCTAGATATGAATAATTATGGGGCATCATGATCTATAAAAAATGCTTTGATTGCAGTAAATTCCTCTCCGCCTGACCCCCGAAAAACGCCATTTACTGGGATATGTAGATTCATACCGAGGCAATAGGACTACATCTAAAACCATGGCTGCAACTACCGAGCCAGATCCGAGCTCATAGGAATCCATACAAATGTCACAGATGATCGTGTCAAAAAGTTCTTTTTTTATCATTCAGTCCTCGTTGCTGCACACACACAGCCAAGGAAACTGGCTGGTATAGAGAATCACCGCGGTGGAAAACAAAGTTCGCCCAAACCCAAAGAAATCCCATTTCTTGCCCTTAGACGATAGCCAGCTTGGTGGCGGCGATGTCAAGAGCATCGACGTCAGCAGTCAAACGGGCGAAAGCCTTCTTGGAGCCGTCAGGACTGTGGAGATAAATTAGCCATGATTTCTTCTTTTTTTCCCGCTGTCACCATGCAACTGCTATTCGGAATAAGAAAACTTACCGGACCAGGGTGTTGACCTTGAGGGTGTCAACATCGTACAGCTTCTTAAGAGCAGCCTTGATCTGGCGCTTGTTGGCCTTAACGTCGACGATGAAGACAAGGGTGTTGTTCTCCTCAATCTTCTTCATGGCGCTCTCGGTGTTAAGAGGGTAGAGAACGATCTTGTGGGCATCGAGGACGGGCTGGTGGGGGATCGACACGCGGGGGTACTTGGGGGACCGCGAGAGCTGGAGGGTCTTGGGGCGGTGGAAGGTGGTCGAGGTGCGAACCTTACGGGACTTGTGAAGCTATATTCCATTAAATTAGTAAAATTGCTTTATCGAAAATTCGTCTCTGCAGATCACAGATTTCAAAAGGAAAAACGTACGGAGTTTCCCTTCACGACTGCCTTGGCGGCAGCGTTAGCCTTTCCGGTGCCTATGGAAGTAACACTGATTAGTTTATTGGACATCATGGTGGCGTGTATGTGTGTGGTGTCGAAAATTTGCGAAATGGATGCGGTCGAAGATTGTGTGTGGCTCCAAAATGCTAAGAGACGAAACAACGAGATTTTCGTTCGGTAAGGTCGAGTTGTCGATGGGTCGTAGGTGGTGATCGCAAGGATATTCCATTGATTCCCAGCTCTTATTGCGCCCGTCTCTTTTTTTTCTCGTGGAAATTCCCATGCAATAGTGAAATATTGACATTCCTCCCACACGCTCCAACACACAATCTCGTCGCAAATTCGCAAATGGGTGTATTCAAATAAGATGCCAGTGGTATCAGAACATACCTTGCTTGGTAGTAGGGGCCATGGCTGTCGTCCGCTGTCGTGTTGATTGTCGCAGTGTCAAGAGTCGAACAATTCAAAGTGGCTTCGCTAAGCGAAAACCCTACCACACTGTGGGTCAGGTGATTGCTGACTCAACCTCCAATTCGGGACGCTTAGTCATTCTCCGCATTCGATCTTTTTTGGTAATTTAATTTAATTATTTTTTATTTTGATATCGAAATTTTTGATATCGAGATATCCATAGATGCCTCCTTTCTTTTCCCTTGTCGCTTGTCTTTTGATCATGCCATTTACATCACCACTTTGAAATAATTGAATTCTCCTCTTTTTTCATCACTGTTAATCATGCCTCCCAAGCGTCGGTCTCAGCGCCCGGGTTTATTGTCAAGCGGCCGTCCACCAACCGTCAAATCCAAGCATGCGGCGTTGTCGGCCAAGGCCACGCGGACTCTCATCCGCTCCCATCATCAACTCATGAAATCGCGGGCTCAGGCAGAGGCTGCGGGGGATGAGGCTCGAGTGAGTAGCATAAATGCTCAAATCGAAGCCTCCGGTGGCTTGGAGAGCTATCAGATTGCCAGCAAGCTAGGCCAGTCTGGGGATCGAGGCGGTGATTCCAGTAAGACCTTAGTGGACTGGATCAAGCCCCAGCTCAATGAATGGAAAAATACTCTCCCCAAATTGCGGGTGCTCGAAGTTGGGGCGTTGAGTACGAAGAATGTTTGTTCCAGGACCCCGGCCTTGGACGTGACTCGCATCGACCTTAATTCCCAGGAACCGGGTATCTTAAAGCAAGATTTTATGGAACGCCCGTTACCATCTACAGAAATGGAGAAATTCCATATCATTAGTCTTTCATTGGTGCTTAACTATGTACCGGATCCCGTGGGTCGGGGCGATATGCTCAAACGCTGTGTCCAGTTCTTGACATCCGAATGTCCCATCTCCTTTGCCCCGACTCTCTTTTTCGTTCTTCCGGTGGCATGTGTGGATAACTCACGTTATCTCACCGAGAAGAGACTTCTCGCCATCTTAGAGAGTCTGGGCTTCCATCTCGTACAAACAAGACGGACCTCCAAGCTCATCTACCAATTATGGAATCATACTGGTGTTGTTTCCCCCCAGTCTTTCAAAAAGGAGATGGTCAATCCAGGCCATAAAAGGAACAATTTCGCTGTTGTCATGCGCGAAAGCTGATTCTGTTCCTAAAAATGCTCCAAAGAATCACATACTCCCAACGACTCGGCATGAAATCAAGGTCCAGAGATCATCTCGTGGGGCAAAAATACCCACACAGTTCCCACCGCAGCCATAATTGTCGACGTGATGAGCAGGAACCAGTCCAAGATCCTCTCACGGGGACTAATTTCCTTGCCGAAGATCTTCAGATAAAATGCGAGAGGGAAAATGATGCAGATGGAAAAGCACAGGAAGGAGCCTAGGAAGGCCATGATTCTGTCAAATGCCGGAAAGATGACTGAGAGGACGACAATGAGAGCCACGGTGAAGACACGAACCAAGGCTCGAATTAAGTCCTGTGTTCCCTCTCTGCGGCTGGATGTGGCTCCCACGCCAACTCCACAGATAACTTCGAATGTAGCCACCAGGGGCCGGGCGCTACATGTTCTGTCAGTAATTTGCAAGACTTTCAGACTAGGAACCCGACTCACTTCAATGGCACCTTGCTTAACGGGATGATAGAAACAAAAATGATAATACAAACAGACAAGGCTTTGGGGTATGCATCTTCACTGAGAATGTTCGCTGTGACTTCATCCCGAACGATGTCACCAAACATGAGCCAGCCGATGATTGCCATTGAACAATCCAGCGATCCCTGCAATGAAACTGGTCAGAATTTATATATATATATATATATATATATATATTTCTTTTCGAAATTTTTGTTTTGCATCAGGTGTTTCATACCGTAAATAGATATGTGGCCCAGAGACTCTTCCCGTATTTCTTAGGATGTCTCATATCTCGATAGATATTAGGGAAAACACCGTGTCCACCCCAAGGCGCTATGAATATTTTGTTAGCTGTCGCCTAGTTTTTGTAAGACTCTACTCCTTACACATGATGAGACCAAAACTGAGTGGTAGAGTGGCCCAGTTTTCGGGGAAGAGAAATGTGCTCGCTGGCTGCTGTAGAGAGCCAGGGGAATCAGGCTTGATCAAGCCATCCACGCAGATGAGGATCACAACTGTAGAGAGTGTCAGTTATTTCCAGACTCCCATGCATCTCGACTATTTTGGCGGCATCTCTTGATTACTCACTTGAGGTGCATGATATAATTCCCAGAATGCTAGTAACGCTGAGGAATCGCAAGGGCAAAAAGTTCAGAGGAACCAAGACCAGGCCACATACCATCTTCCATTGAAGAATACTGAGACCAGGGACCAAGGCGTATAAGCTATCCGCAAACAGCACCACCAGGGCCACACAAGCTCCTAGCAGCTCCAAGCAGAAGAGGAAACTGGTGATGAGTCGAGCATTCTGCCCAAAGCTAATATAGGCTAAATCGGCATAGGTGACCAGAGACCGATCCACGTCAAGGCACTTGGCCAAGATCTTGGCAGTGTAGGAAGTTGTCACGGCAGAGTAAACAAGGAACAGCAGACCAAGCAGCCATCCAGCGTATTTCATGGCCAATGGAAGACTCAGCAGTCCAATTCCAATCAGTACGTTGACCGAGTTAAAGATAGTCTGCGGCACGGTCGATTGGCCAATGACAATTTCTTCGTGTATACCATCTTCATGCTCAACGTGCTTGAGAAGTAGAGGTTCTCGACCAGGGTCTACCGGGCCATCTCCACGGGCCAGGTGTTCGCGATGAAACTGAATGGCATGCCGCCTGGTCGACTCGCTCACCCGCGATGAGATGGTACCGTATGAGGTGGCAATACTTCTATCCAGGGATGAGGCAAGCAGACCGGTGGTCGGAAGGGCTCTTCTAGGGCTTGTGTGGACATGCGCCATGGAATCATGCTCCTCCTGCTCTTCGTCATCCTCTTCATCCTCTGAGAGGAGAGGGCGATCTCCATCCGACCTGGGACCATAATTACCCCCCGTTGCAATGTCGAACTCATCGTCAGAATCGGCCGAGACGAAGGAAGCGCGTCGGGGGAGGACCTGTGGGAAACAAGCTGCTCTTTGCCATGAGCGAGCGAAATTGTCGATACTGTTCGGGCCACCTGCTTGTCGGAGACGGGAGAATGACGATGATCTGGAAGTCCATTAGTATTGACTCCTTTTCTTTTCTTTTCTTTTTCTTTTTTTGCTTTTTCTTTCCCATACCTTTGTCGGCCCCAACTCTCCTCCTCGATCGGATTTCCTCCACTCAGGTGACCATAATCGTATGAGCTCGGCGGGAATCTCAACGATCCCTGATTGGCCTCGGACTCGTGATCTGCATTCCTGGACATTTCTTCTCCCTCGAGAATATTGCGGAGTAAAGGGATTTTATGCGGGTCCCCAGTATATATAGATATATGAAGGGGACAAAGCTCAATGCAATTCCTGTTTCGCTTTGTTTTTCCTGCTTTCCTGCTTTTCCTGCTTTCCCGAAAGATAAGCAGAACGCGAAAGGGAAAACGGAGCTTTAACGCTGTGGGGTTCGATAAGATAAGGTGCTTTTTCGCGTTAAAACTCCAAGCTAAACCACGTCCAGTGTAGCGTCTCTGATCAGCTGGACAAATGAAATGAATTGTTAATATTCGACGGTAATGGAAATTAAAATTAGATATCAGTCCAAAACTACCCCAAGGTCTAGAATCGTGTGAAATCGGAACAATTGTACTTACTCAATACTAGTAGTACCTAGTAGTACAAGTAATACCCAGGTATATATACTGTACTGGGTGATACCAACCAGTTGTAATCACTGATCTCGGAAATAGCGTTCTCTAGTGCCTACTTAATTTGCGACCCGTGACGTGTCTTTTTTCCAACTGAACTGAGGATACCAGAGTATCTTTCGAGGCAGAGGAGAAGGTTTTGACTTTCGAGTCCTGTAGCGGAGTTATGTTCACAAATTGCCCAGATGGACCAATGCCTGTCGCAAAACGATGTCATTATAGGCCATAACTACGATGAAGAGCCCTTGTGTCTTGACGGAGAAGATAAGTATTGCTGTACTGTAGATATGACACTCGGTGAGGGGGTCACGTGTGTTACATGCTTATATAAGTGAGATCCTAGTGTAAATAAATCCAAAGCGGCGACTAAATAGGAAAGCTCTCTATCTGGCGTAACAGTTATATTCCCAGGTTCTATTCAATACAGAAAGTTCAGCTGGCCTCTTATGTCTTCACATCCTATATCATGGTGGGCCATTCGTCCCTCTCAGTATATCTTTGGTATCCAAGCCATTCCTCTGTTAGCCAGTGGTGTCTACAGTTTGCTCTGGCCAGGTGCGGTGGCCAATATGTCAGATTCACCTCTGTGGGGAGTTAGCCATGGAACAATCCAGGCAATGAGGTAATGCTTTCTGAACCTGAGACTGAATCCGTACTCCCGCTCATAGATGGTGTATAGCATGACATCTATCGCCTTGGGGGCATGCCAAATGATTGCTGCATATCAAAACAATATTCCTATGATGACTGTGGCGGTGCCGGGGAGACTTTTGGCCGCTTTGGTTTTCTACCGCAGTGGTGGAGGATGGCGCAAGGTGGCACCTGTGGAGGGTTGTATGGGACTAGTCATCGCGATCGGGGTGTATTGGACGAGGTATACCGATCGGAAAGAAGAGAAGAAGGATTAGAAGACCTGCGTGGGTGAGACCTTCAAATTGTTTCTACAATCTGTAGGGGAGCGATGAAAGAAAGAAGAACAGTACTCTTAGTACATAGGTAAGCTTCTCTTTGACATGTACATAATGTACCCATAATGTACTTACATGTAGTACTAAGTACTCTTTACTTGGTGTGTCCAAGTGGCTACATACATAGTGAATGCATATTTCCAAACATTGAAGGTTATGCCCACATGGGTGTACATATATGTACCCGAGTATACCGTGGTTCTACGGTTCAAATGTTGTACATAATATTGTTTCCCTTGACAATGCTAGTCGAACTGCCCATATACATACGTACAATAATAAAAATTTATCGCTTTTTTTTTTTTTTTTTGGATATATCCTAATGTATATTCTGAAGAAGTTTTGAGGTCATGTAGCCTTTGTACAACAGGATGTAAGAATACTATGTATGAAACCATCCAGATCAATTAAATGCATGTTGATCTTTGATAGATTTACGTCATAGTAGTAATGATCACACGAGTGAAATAGTTAAAAAGTTTGAATTACAGTACAATATCAATGCACAGAAGTAAAATCTCAATCTTCAGCCCCAAATCTTTGAAAAGTACCCAGTACCGGATGAGATGCCCCCGGCTCCACCTGATCTGAAGTACTCAGTACAACGTCAGTGCCCTGGGCTTGGTGGCTTACCTCAGCCCACCAGAACCCCTCGAAACCCCACGGTGCCTGAGGAAATTTGCTGCCGAATCTACGTCAAACCAGCGAGGTTCGTTCCCCCCCATTTTGCCACTTTGGCCTCTTCAGCAAATTGTTACATCGCGTTCTAATTAATCCATAGGTGTGAATAATAGGAACAGGAACTTACCCTTTGTTCCTTCGGCCCATTTCGAGCCCGGTTAGGCGTCGTCGACAAGGCTAAGGCCAATCCTCTTTTTTTTTTTAACCCCCCGGTGGTAGTCCACTTTCGCGTCGCCCAAAATGAGTTCCCAACAACAGCAAGGGAACGAGGTTGAGAAGAATATCGAGATCTGGAAAGTGAAGAAGTTGATCAAGCGCTTGGAATCCGCCCGCGGAAATGGAACTTCTATGATTTCACTCATCATTCGTACGCTCCTTGCCCCGCGATCCCCATTGCATATTTTCTTTGTCTTTGAAATCCCCCAAACTTGACGGCCTGACATGCAAAAATAGCGCCCAAGGATCAGATTTCTCGAGCGGCAAAGATGTTGGCTGAAGAATACGTAAGTCGTTCCTCTTGGCCTTCACTTCAGAAGGCTCACACAAAGCCTACAAATATCTAACGCACCATTCCAGGGTACCGCCTCCAACATCAAGTCCCGAGTCAACCGTCTCTCCGTCTTGTCCGCTATCACATCCACCCAGCAGCGTTTGAAGTTGTACAACAAGGTCCCCCCGAATGGTTTGGTAGTCTACTGTGGTGAAATTATCACCGCAGAAGGCAAGGAGCGCAAGATCAACATCGATTTCGAGCCTTTCAAGCCGATCAACACTTCCCTCTACCTTTGTGACAACAAGTTCCACACCGAGGCTCTGAGTGAGTTGCTGGAGTCGGACTCGAAGTTCGGTTTCATTATCATGGATGGTAACGGTGCGCTGTTCGGTACCTTGAGTGGTAACACCCGCGAAATTCTCCAGCGTCTATCCGTCGATCTGCCCAAGAAGCACGTAAGTCTGGCTCTAGGAATCAGTTTCGAATCTTATCTTCATCCCCGCTGACTGATCTCCAGGGACGTGGTGGTCAATCCGCGCTGCGTTTCGCGCGTCTGCGTGAGGAAAAGCGTCACAACTACGTGCGTAAGATTGCCGAGCTCGCTGTTCAGAACTACATCACCAACGACAAGGTCAACGTTGCTGGTCTCGTCCTGGCTGGTTCCGCCGATTTCAAGAACGACCTCAACCAGTCCGATCTGTTCGACGGACGTCTCCAGAGCAAGGTTATCAAGGTTGTTGACGTGTCTTACGGAGGTGAGAATGGTTTCAACCAGGCTATTGAGCTCTCCGGAGAGACATTGAGCAACGTCAAGTTTATCCAGGAGAAGAAGTTGATCGCCAAGTACTTCGAAGAGATCAGCCAGGATACTGGCAAGATCTGCTACGGTGTGGAAGATACTCTTAAGGCTATGGAGCTTGGTGCTGCTGAGACACTTATTGTCTTTGAAAATTTGGATGTCACCAGATACCAACTGAAGACTTCTGCTGGCGATGAGGTGATTGTTAACGCCACCAAGGCCCAGGAGATCAACAACCGTGAACTCTTCCAAGATAAGGAAACTGGTGCCGAGATGGAGGTCATCGAGTCCACCACTTTCATTGAGTGGCTTGCCGAGTCCTACAAGGACTTTGGTGCCACCCTGGAGTTCGTCTCGGACCGTTCGGGGGAAGGTAACCAGTTCGTCAAGGGCTTTGGTGGTATTGGAGCCCTTCTCCGTTATAAGGTGAACTTTGAACAGCTTGCCGATTTCAGTGATGATGACGAGTTCTACGATGGTATGTGCATCTGAAACTAGGATCTATTATTGATGGCTTCCCATAAACTGACATTTACTTCCCACAGATTGAGCTGGGTACTTGACGGAAAGGCGACCGGTTCTGTGCGAGATTGGTGAGCCAGATCGGTGACTTTAAATACGCATAGACTTACAAAATGCAAAGCGGATCTTCCTTGATTGGTATACCAGAACAGCATGCTATATTGGTGTGCTAGAGCGGCGTGGCACACCGATCCAGCTTGCTTAGCATGGCGGTGCCAACGTGACACGATATTTTTATAGCTTGAACTGCGCATAGCCTTGCAAAACCCGACACTGGGTGTGCTAACATACTACGTGACAGTGCTAACAGGGCACACCATTTAAATGATTTTAAATGCACACCTTACAATATCTAAATCGACGCTTGCTAGATTAGTGTGCCACATAAAACCCGCCGCTCTGGCATACCTAGCTTTAGAATTTATAAGGCTATGCGTATTGAAAGTCACATCTTACAATATTACAAACTGCAATCTTGATAGTATGCCGCTCTATAGCTTCAGGATTTATCAGGTCTGCCCCTACTCTTCCTTTATTTTCCCCTTCAATGTTCAACTTTCCACACTGTCTACTTTAGTTACAGAAAACGTCGACTTTATATACTTTGTTTTACTCTTCCTGCCTCCCCCCCCTCTCCCTCCTCTGCTCACAGTAGTACAGATACTACTACATCCCCGGCAGAGCCCGCGCGGCCCTTGGGGTTCTTTGCTGCACCTGGTGATTCGTCGTCGTCTGCACCGCGTTTGCCAAGTCCCACTTCCGACAGCAGCTTCGCTCCGCGAGTCAACGGACTTACCCAGATCATTGCGCCCTCGCAGAGAGCGAGGATGAACGGCCAGAAGCTCCCTCGGCGAGTGTTCTGACGGCTCGCCCTCATCTCAGTGACTGAGATGAACTAATGTGTAAATTGCAATGTTTGAAAAGTTGGATGCGATTCTCTGTGATTCTCTGCAATATCCAGTACCTTATTGCCGTCTGCCACTGTGTAGGCGAGGCGGGGCATTGCCTTTGGCGGCTCTGTCTTGTCGCCGTGGTCCCAGGGTAGCTTGTTCTGGTTTGCTCTATCATGTTCCTCGCACTCGTTATAGTTTGAAAATACATTGGAGAGCCTCGCAATCCTGCTTCCTTGTTGTATATTCATATATATGTTTTTTTCTTTGGTATCTAGCGCTGGTATATAAAACACCCGAAAATTTCCATGACCCCCCTCAGACTCTTTCATGTCCTCACTTGTGACACCATTAATTTCCTTCGTAAATCATCTTGAAATCCATGCAAAAGATAAATGAAAGGAAAAAAGGAAAAACATTTATGCAGTCTGTGCGCCCAGCTGATCCTTCCATGTCCCTAAATCCCTGCACGACTCCGTGACGTGTTGCAGATCTTGCAAAGCCTCTACAACAGCATCCTTGTTTTCCTCCGATGGGGTTCGTCCACATTCCACAAAAAAGATATATTGCCAAGCCCGTTTCAAACTGGGCCTGGTGTTTATTGTCGTGAGATTCAGTCCGTGATTCTTAAAAATCAAAAGCGCACTTGCCAATGCACCCGGCGAGGAATGATCAATGGAGAATGTGATCAACGTTTTATGCGTGCTTTCGTGGATAGGATCTGGCGTTGAAGTGGGCGCCTTGGGCTGCTCCAAGTCAAGCGTAGCTGTCCGTTCAACATGGATGTTCCTCAAAATCAAGAATCGAGTGGTATTATCCGCGCGATCCTCAATATTCTCCTTCAGAACGTCAACACCGTGATGCTCCGCGGCGAATCGGCTTGCAATAGCAGCGCTTTTCTCCGTCGGCGACTTGGAGATAATCTCCGCTCCCTTCGAAGTTGAAGAGACATCTTGTCTTTCTACACCCTTGAAATATTGAGAAAGGAATCCCTCGCATTGACCCCAGGCCTGGGGGTGTGTGTATAGCTTGGTGATGGCCCCGTCGTACCCGGACCAACCGGAGGGATATGAGCCCTTGTGTACCAACAAGCAGTGGTGCACGGTCAAATAGTATTCGCCGCATACTTTCACGTCTTTATACTGATCATTTCGATCGGCGAGGAGGTCGAGAGTCTGAACAACCGAACCATTGGTTGAATTTTCGCAAGGGATCACGGCATAATCAGCCTCTTGGTTTTGAACGGCAGCAAAGGCATCGGCGAAGGAGATATGGGGAAGTAACGAGGCTGAGATTTTACCGAAAGCTTCAGCTGCGGCCTTGGGACAGGGGTTAGTTCTATGGGGGTACAATGGGTACATTTGACAATGATCCCAGGTATGCGGGGTAAGCTTCGTACCTGGTGTGAGAAAGATGCTAGTGGGCCGAGAAAAGCCACCCGTAAGCGCGTCATTGAGAAGGATGTTTTTGGAATAGCCTCAGGTTTGAATCCGCTATTTCAAATAAAGAAATCTCCCCGTGTTGAGTCTTTTCGATTAAACTATTCTAGTTCCAGGTCCAATCCCGATCCCAATTAATCCAAACCTGAAGCGGTGTGGACCAACCCCAATCAAAAACAAACAAGGCAAACTTGCGACTTTGACCGTAAGATCACCGCCATCATGCTCTCACATTTTAATGTGACATCTCGTTTGTCCATGAAACTAAGCCCTATAAGCCATTTGCTCCGAGCAGTGCAACATCGAGCGTATTCCTCGCTCTCAGAACGCCTACACCATGATCTGACTACGCGAAAGCTCCCATTGACCTTCGACTATCTACATCCTCAGCCATCTCACCTCTTAACACTCTCGCTCCACGGTCTTCTCCCACAATCATCCGGTAGTCCTCATGTATCGCCGACCCTTCCTTCGATTGCAAATCCGTACCCGTTGCCAATCGGTCACCACTTGATCTACTTTCCACCCCAAGTAACCCTGTCGCAATTGGTTCCAGATGGCTGTGACGTCCTTCATACACCAGGTGATCCTTTCAATCGCCGCATGTGGGCAGGTGGCGATGTCAGATTTCCAAAATTTGAACCGCTCCTGGATGGCAGCCGGGCCGTCTGCATTGAGTCAATTCGGAACGTGACTGTGAAAGGACGCGAAGGAGATGAGAAAGTGATCGTGACGATTGAGCGACGGGTTGGTACTGTGCCCGAAGGGGAGACCCAAGAATCGACATGGAGCCGGATATGGCAAGAAAATGAAGCAGACTTGGGAGACTCGTCGCTAATTGAAAATCGAGATCTCATATTCATGCGGGCCAAGACCGCGGAGCAAATTGAATTAGACCGAGAGCAGTTTGCGAAACCGAGTCGATATGTCAAGTGTGAGTTATTCTTTTACTAAAAGCTTTTTCATTTATAACATAACATGTGTGTTATATAAAAAGAAAAGGGGGAAAACTTACAAATGCCAAACAGCTCCCCCTGATGCGGTATTCCGCCATTCATTATTGCCCACCAAGGCATTACTCTTCCGCTTCTCAGCCTTGACATTCAATGCACACTCCATCCACTTGGACAAAGACTACACACAGAACCAGGAAGGCTTCAGAAACCTTCTGGTTCATGGTCCCTTGACCTTGACCCTGCTTCTGAGCGTCCTGCAAAGCCACTTCCAAAGTCTGAACCTTCGGATTGGACAAATTGAATATAAAAATCTTGCACCTCTATATGTTGATGAAGAATTGACAATCTGTGGCAAACCCAAAAATAACGACTCTTGGGATGTCTGGATTGAGGGCCCTGGTGGTAGTCTTGCCGTTCGAGGTACTATCAGGACTTGCCCAGTATAGCCTGCTAATAAACAAGCATCTTCTTAGTTTACAACAATATGAATATTTTGAAACATACAGGCGAAATGATTTATTGAAATTAAGAAACTTTTACTCATACCTTGAGTTTCACAGCATTTGCCGCACCTCGAGTATTTTCTACTCAAGTGCTAGTAGTTCTAGTCAGTGATTCCCGGCTATATCAAACCCACTCGGTGCCAAGACTTCGGATCCCGGACAAACCTACATTCCGGACTTTTGCACACGTTGGTTTAAAAGCTTTCATTCTCATCTTTTGTCAGTTTCTTTTTTCTTCATCCTTCTTCCACTCCTGTTTCAATGGCGAAGTTGAGCTCTTTAACAGCTTAGCCTTTTATTCTCACTTTCTTTTCTCGGCTCACCATGGACCAAGTCCAGGCGGCCTTCTGGGCAGCACCTCCGGTGACTCGGTACGCTGCACTGTCATTCCACCGCGGTGGACTTGTTGACTGACTTGTCTGAAGTACAATCACAGCTCTGACTCTGGTTCAGTCTGCCCTAGTCTATGGCGGCGTGCTCAATGGATATTATGTTATCTTTTGGCCGGACCGAATTCTCAAGCTGCTTCCGGAGATCTGGCGTCTTGCCACTCCATTCCTACTAACCGGCCCAAAACTCAGCTTTGTCTTTGACCTTTATCGCAGTATGATGCCTCAGTGTTGCATTGGCCCTTGGCCCTGCTAACCTGCTGGCAGTGTATCATTATGGCAGTCAACTGGAGACCAATTCGGCCCGTTTCAGCCAACCCGGAGATTTCTTTATCTACCTGGTATTTGTAGCTTTCACCCTTATGGTAAGTGGCTCGCTTGATCTCGAGTCGTGTTTTTTTTTTTCATTTCGTTTTTTCCACCTCCCAATCTGCCCGCCCAGCCCAAACAAATGGCTGTATCGGTTCCTGAACGTGAGGAAGAGTACCCCTGCATCCCGTGTGGCACCGCAAAAGAATTCGCAAAATAACTTTGGTGCTGCATGGGGTGTGGGATTGGTGGGATTGCCTAAGTTAGCTGTCGTGATTCTATAAGTTCATGCCAGCGGTTCGGGTGCCCTACATTCTACATACATCTATTACCATTCATTCCCAAATACTATCATTATCATTTCCAACTCCAACTCCTATCTCTCGATTTCTCGTGGTAGCTCAATATGTTCTAAAGTTGCTAACTTTGCCAAAGCTCATTGCAGGCTACATCCTTGGCGGGATGATTTTCAATTCTGGTGAGATTTTTTTCTTCTACTTTGCGTGGACTTGATACAGCGCGGGCACTAAGATTTTTCTTTGCCTTTTTCCATGTAGCATTGACCCTGGCTTTCATCTACACCTACGCCCAAGAGAACCGGGGTAGGAAAGCCATGCTGTGGTTCTTTGAGATTCCCATGGAATACCTTCCATGGGCCATGCTGTTGATGAATATGGTCATGAACGGATGGCCTTCAGCATTAAGTGAGGGCATGGGCATTGTGGCTGCTCATCTATATGACTTCCTCACCCGCATCTACCCAACCTTTGGTGGTGGTCGAAATTATCTTGTCACGCCCGCTGCAGTCCAGCGGTATTTCTCCCGCCATACCCCCGGTACTGCCCAGCGTGGATATGGTACGGCATTCCAGCCCTCCGCGGCTTCACAGCCCTCTCAGCCCTCTCGGGGCTGGACCTCCTCCATCCAGAACCCATGGGGCGGCCGAGGTGCGGGTCGAAGACTTGGTGGTGATTAAACACACATCAAAATTGAAAGACCCACGATGTTCAGAACGTTTGCGGGTCCAGAGGGGGATTAGTCTTGCATTATTCCCGGCGTTTCAATAATGTCTACTTCGTGATGGCGATTCTTGACAGAAGAGACTTACGAGTCTCGTGACCTTATTGCCAATGTCATGTCAATCAATTTAGCAACCATTACCATTCGGTGTTTCATAATCGACCAATGGAACACGCATTTTCAATACAATATGATATTTCTTCAAATAAGAAAAAAAAAACAAATTCCTAAATACTAAGGAAAGAAAAATCCCAAACCCCAGCCACCTAGAACAGATTCACGTACTTGGCCAAGTCTAGTACTGAGATGAGAATTTCATGCCGATGGCCAAGTCACGTGACCCACCACGGGCACTAAACCGGAATGGGAAATGGAGCTGCCGCACTCGCAAAATTTCCTCGAGCAAAATTTTGGTCTGCAACAGCAACACCATCGACAAAATGGCCGCCGTCAACAACCAGGAGATGGACTACGCCATCAAGCCCGAGGCGGTTAAGCCTGCCATCACCGCTGAGGAATGGCCCCTTTTGCTCAAGAACTACGACAAATGTATGTTTCAGGAAGAAGAAAAAAAAAGAAGAAAAAAAAACTTCACATCTTCGATCCTTGAACCATTGACTAAACTTCTCACTTTATAGTGCTCGTTCGCACCGGACACTTCACCCCTATCCCTGCCGGTGCCTCGCCTCTCAAGCGTGATCTCAAGTCCTACATCAGCTCCGGTGTCATCAACCTCGACAAGCCGTCGAACCCTTCCAGTCACGAGGTCGTGGCTTGGATGAAGCGGATCCTCAGGTAAATAAAATCTTCACCACATTCCACTCAATGGCTTTGGCCTTTCCGGAAGACAGTCGAAATCGAGGAAAATATATACTAAACGAATTGGTTATTCTAGATCCGAGAAGACTGGTCACAGTGGTACCCTCGACCCTAAGGTCACTGGTTGCTTGATTGTCTGCATTGACCGTGCCACCCGCCTGGTCAAGTCCCAGCAGGGTGCTGGTAAGGAGTATGTCTGTGTTATCCGTCTGCACGAGAAGATTCCCGGTGGCGAGGCTCAGTTCCGCCGCGCTCTGGAGACCCTCACCGGTGCTCTGTTCCAGCGTCCTCCTCTTATCTCCGCTGTCAAGCGTCAGCTCCGTGTCCGTACCATCTACGAGAGCAAGATGTACGAGTTCGACAACGAGCGCCACCTGGGTGTCTTCTGGGTGAGCTGTGAGGCCGGTACCTACATCCGTACCCTCTGTGTTCACTTGGGTCTGCTGTTGGGTGTTGGTGCCCACATGCAAGAGCTGCGCCGTGTTCGCTCCGGAGCTATGAACGAGGAGAGCGGCATGGTCACTCTGCACGATGTCATGGATGCCCAGTGGGTGTACGACAACCAGCGTGATGAGTCTTACCTGCGCAAGGTTATCCGTCCCCTCGAGAGCCTGCTCACCGGCTACAAGCGTGTTGTCGTCAAGGACAGCGCTGTCAACGCTGTCTGCTACGGTGCTAAGCTCATGATTCCCGGTCTTCTGCGTTTCGGTAAGTTCCCACTTTGTTTTTCGTCGCATGATCTTTTATCTTCTCTCTCCTCTTCTCAAAAAATCGAAACTAATAATTTCTCGCAGAGTCCGGTATCGAGGTTGACGAGGAGGTTGTCCTGATGACCACCAAGGGTGAGGCTATTGCCATTGGTATCGCCCAGATGTCCACTGTGGAGCTTTCCACCTGCGATCACGGTGTTGTTGCCAAGGTCAAGCGTTGCATTATGGAGCGTGACCTGTACCCCCGCCGCTGGGGATTGGGCCCCATTGCCCTTGAGAAGAAGAAGCTCAAGTCTGCTGGCAAGCTCGACGTAAGTCATTACCCTGCGACATGTGAATAGCCCAGAACTAATTTGTTTCATATCAGAAATACGGCCGTACCAACGAGGCCACTCCCGCTTCCTGGAAGAAGGACTACAAGGACTACGATGCTGTTGAGGATGTCACTGAGGAGTCTTCTGCTCCCGCTGTTACCTCCACCCCTGCTGTTGAGGAGCCCGTGAAGGCCGATTCCGAGGCCGATGCCGATGATGACAAGAAGAAGCGCAAGCACGACGGTGAGACCGCCGAGGAGAAGGCCGAGCGCAAGAAGAAGAAGAAGGAGAAGAAGGAAAAGAAGGAGCGCCGGAAGTCCAAGCAGGCTGAGGACAGCGAGGACAGCGACTAGATTTCCAGGAAGACACCCTGCTAGGTCGTGGTCTGCTTCCTGTACCATATTATTAGGTCTTTTCATTGTTTGCTTCCGGAGTCTTTGGGTCAAAAGGGAATGTTGGTTTGAAGATTTATGCGTTCATAGTAGTTGTTATAGTCCAACCTGTGATGTTACTGTAAAGATTTTACTCTTTTATGAAAATCTAGTTGATACAACTTGCTCAGAATGACGAGATCATATTCCAATCTACAACCTTGGAGTAGAAGAAACATTAGAACCCGGCTTGTCTAGTGCTGCATTTTTGCTATTCTTGGCCAAATTCAAGCTGAGGGTTTTGGTGTTTTTCCAAGTGACCAAGGATAGCATCCGATGCTTCAAAGCAGAAAGTTTTAGATTCCAATATGTAGTTTTCAGGGTATGTTATACAGCATCACGAAAGTACTACATTATGCTAAAATATTCGCAGCCCTAACTCGATGCGGTATTTCGTCTCAGCACCGTTAAGAATACATCGTAGTATGTAATCCTCGTGACCACTGATGGCCGACCCGCACTCTCCGCACTTCCCCTCTTGAACCTCGTTCTAATCTAGAACAACTCCAGATATTTCCTACCTCGTCTTGGATGATAACAGACCTATTTCTCTTTCTCCTTTCACAAGGCAGCATTAATATTCAGAAATGGCCGCCGAGCTAACCTCGACGAAGCTCAACCCTGAAAGCCATCTGATCTTGGTAATGAAGCTCTCTACTGCAACGTCATCGAAAAAAAAAGCCACTGAACTAATCGCCATTCTGATGTGCAGGATCAACCACTCCTTCGATTACCTCAAGAACTCGCTCGAAGGAACTTTAAGACCGTTCAACGAGCCGTCGAACGAGAAAAGGAATATGTTCTCCCTGCTCTCAAAGAGGCAGCGAACGCTTCCCTCTCCAACGCTCACACCCCCGACCAGACACTTGCAGCCCTCGATGCTATGATCTCCAGAATGCAAGGCCTGAAAAGGAAGATGGAAAGCTTGCAGGAAGAAGAGCGACGAATTCAGACCCAATCTCGCAAGCGCATCCAGCATCTTGAAGCCTTGCATGAGATCCCGAACTTGGCAGATGTCAAGTACGACCAATGGTCTCGCGTGCGGCTGGATCGGTTATTGGTCGATCATATGCTCCGGTCGGGTTTCTCAGAAAGTGCGAAACAGCTTGCCGAAGAGCGAGGGATCGATGGCCTTGTAGATCTGGAGGTGTTCACACAGTGCCAGCAGGTAGTCCAGAGTCTTCGCCGCGGAGAAACAAAGGACGCATTACAATGGTGTGGAGAGAATAAGGCGGCATTAAAGAAGAGCAACGTTCGTTCTTTTTTCTTTTCTTATCTTTTCGTTCTGTCTTTGTTTTTGTCTCCCATACAAATTGGTGACTGACTGACCTTGTTGGTTTCTAGCATAACCTAGAATTCGAACTGAGAATGCAGCAGTACATCGAGCTGGTTCGAACACAGGACCGGGCAAAAAAACTGGAGGCTATTTCACATGCCAAAAAATACTTAACGCCTAATCACGAGTCGCAGAATAGTGAAGTCATGCAAGCAGCAGGACTGCTTGTCTTTAATCAGGACACTCGGGCAGAGCCGTACAAGGTGAGCTTTATAAATCCCAGACTCTGGGGGCGCTAAGTATAAAAAGACTACCCACTGACCACGAAATGCAGTCCTTGTTCTCCCAGGACCGATGGAAGATTCTCTCTGACCTCTTCATCAAAACTCACCATGAGCTTCTTTCACTGCCTTCACAGCCTCTCCTTCATATTGCCCTTTCTGCAGGGCTGTCGGCGCTCAAGACCCCCCTGTGCCACTCAGCTTACACGTCATCCAGCTCAAACTCACAGTCAACAAGCACCTCGGTATGCCCGATCTGCTCGACGGAACTGAATGAGTTAGCCCGTAAAATGCCATATGCTCACCATTCCAAGAGCTACGTGGAAGGCGATGCAATTGTGCTACCCAACGGTCGAGTCTATGGAAAGGAGCGACTATTGGAAATCAGTAAGAACCTTGGGGTTGTAGACGCAGGCAAAGTCAAAGATCCGACAACAGGCGAAGTGTTTGATGAAAGTGCGATGAAGAAAGTGTACATCCTGTAACATTGCCCAGTGTGGTGTTACATGTATGATGCACTGTATCGAATCTCTACATCACTTTTGAGGTGAATCGCTTTACGGAAAAAGGGGGTTTTTGGAACTCTTTATCCTTTTTGACCTGGTTATCATTTAAGAGGGTATCAACTACAAATGTACTCTTATGATTTGTATTATCTCTTCATCTGAAGACAGAGATAAACTATTTGGCATTGAAATTCAACTCTACTCGCTATCATCCGAATCATCCTCAGTCCGAGCCCTCTTTTTCTTCTTGTCCGCACTCACACCCCCCTTCTTGTTCTTCTTCTCCGTATCTGCAGCCTCCTTCTTCACCTCAAATACATACATTCTCGCCTCCCGATCCTCTCCCCGCCATCCACCCCTGGCCCCGTTCTTCCCCTCCACCTCCCCAAGCGTCCGAGCATGAGAATACCCCTCATAAGAAGTCCACGGAAACCGGAAACTAGTAACAACCTGTAATCCCGCATGACGAGCCAGATCCTTAATATTCCACAACGTATACGGCTCGCCCTCAAAGAGCGAAACCAAGATCTGTCCCGGTCCAGTCCGGACCTCCTTCCCAGACGATTGATCCCCTCCATCACCTCCTTCCTCCTCCTCATCATCATCTTCATCCTCATCCTCATCCTCCTCATCCTCCTCTTCATCCTCCCACTCATCATCATCCGGGTCAATAGCCACCGGCGCCGCCGAAAGAAGAGGCACACAAGCCTTGAAGAACCCAACAAGCAGTTCCTGATTCGCTCTGACCTGACGATTAACATCCGTAGACAAACCACCCACATGCGGGAAATTGAAACAAATCACGTCCCACGGCCCACTATGCACAGGCTTGGCTTCAGGTTCAGGCCTCAGCAACTGCCGCACATTCTGCTCCTGTTTCTGGCGCAATTGTTGGGCCTTTTCGATCATCCAGGATGGACGTTTACGCTCTTTGCGTGGATAGGCCGATTTGAGTTCCTTGCCACCGCCTCCAGCGACGCCTAGTTTGCGGGCGTCGACGGAGTAGAGGATCTTGGGTTGATTTTGGTTTTTGGGTGTGGTTTGTTGCTGGTCGATTGAGAGCTTGGAGTCTGCTTCTCCTTCTGCTTCTGCCTCTGGCTCTGCCGAAGCCTTTTCCGCGTTGGATTTGGATTTGGATTTGGATTTGGAAGCAGGTGCTTGGAGGATATCGAAGATATTTTGCTCTGCTTGTGGATACTTGCCCAGAAGGGTTTCTTGTGAGTCGTAGCATGTGGCGTATAGCTTATGGCATTTATATTGTGTAGCCAAAGAACGGGCAAATGAGAAATCGCCTAGATAGAGGTTAGTTTGAGAAAGTAGCACTCGAGACATCAGGATAAACATGGATGAATAGTCATTAACAAGGCACAAAGTCCATATCATAACACATGCACATTGAGATATTGAGAAGCAGTATTTTCCCCGAGTCTTGACCAGATTCGACATGAAACCCAGACATCCAAGATGGAACAGAAAAGACAAAAAGAAAAGAAAAGAGAGCTTATTATGTATGAAAAGAGCCAAGCATCAAGGACACAGAACAGAACACTCACCCTCTCCAACCAATAAAACACGGTCCCCTCTCAAGAAAGGCACAATAGGCCTCTGATTAGCCTGGAGCGGACCCTTCTTCTGGTTCTGGGGCGCATCGGCCGTCCCAGCGCCTTTAGTCTTCGGCTTGGACTGGGAAGGAGTCTGGCCCTGTTTAGCTGGAGGACCGGGGCGATTTGGCCGGGCAGCGGGCCCCTTTTGCTTCTTGCGGGGCATTTCTGAATATAATTACAGCTTCTGCTGAGGTATTGTGGATATGCGGAGTAAAACGAGGGTTTGTAGATTTGCCAGTATCTTAAGGAAATTTTGGAGGTTGGAGTTCGGCCAATCAAAGATCCGGGTAAAATGTCCACATTGGAATTGATATTCACGGTTACGAGTTCCTTGGAGCTGTGGTTCTCTTATTTTATATGAATGAACATGCATACAAGAGTAACATTAAATAGACCTGAGTATCCCCGTAGATGAAATGTCAGACATTTATAAGGTTGACTCTAGTTGGGCGGGCTTTCGGGGCACCGGTACTATGTGTAGATGCTTCAAATTACTGGACAAAAGGGAAACAAATGAATTTAGTCCTTCCGAAGTTTGAATGTTACAGAAACACGTTCTATTCCAACATGGCATAGCTATATACATCAAAAGACAACCGAAGGGGAAAAAAACAAGACCAGGCTATGCCCTGCTAAAGGCAGAAAAGAAATATTAAAAGTCATACTGCAGCCCAAGTGGCAACCCATTCCCCTAGATGACAAAAAGAAAAGAAAAGCCACAAAACACCAATACAGGACCACAGGAGCCCCAAGGGGGAGCTGTAATGAAACGTGAATCATAATGTCACATGCAAGAGGGTCCCAATGCCTCATGTTTTGGGGGAGGTAAAGGGGAGAGTAGATGCGCGGTCGGTCCTAGGACTTCGTATCCAGAAAAAATAAACAATATTCATTCATTGTCCATTCTTCGATTTTTTTTTCAAGAGCGTAGCGAGTCACGCATGCTCTGGCTGCTGGCGCTAACCAATGGGTTGGAGGTAGGCAGGACACCAGTCTTGGGCTTAGCGCTCTGCTTAATCTTGGCCACAGCGTAGACGATACCGGAGAAGAAACCAACGACGATAGCAGATACACTGGGGAAGGTGACGGGAGCATCGAAGAAGACCAGACCGGAGACGGCGATGGGAAGCTTGTTGAGAGCACCGACCATGGAGTAAGTGGTGGACGAGGTGACACGCACACACCAGGCGGAGGTGTAAGAGATGAAGACAGAGGACAAGCCGGACAGAATCATGGCGATCCAGATACCGTTGCGGTTGGCCTCGGGGAAGTTGCGGGCCAGGTTGGCAGAAGACCAGTCCTCAACCAGCAGGGTGAACACAATAAGGACGGGGATGGACAGCAAGTTGTTGTAGAACATGGCTAAAAGAAGAACGAATGAGTTAGAGGACAGGACGAGAAAAGGATATCGGATTTGAGCACAAACATACTGTCAAAGTCCTTGAAGTTGGTCAACTTGATGCGCTTGCGCATACCCAACACATAGGACGAGGTGCACAGGCAGTTGATCATCATCCAGACGTAACCGGCATTCAGGGTGGAGACCTTGCTAGAGGTGTCACCGCTGCTCTCAACAGCGTGCTTGATGTCGGCCCAGGCGGCAACAATGGAGCTGAGAACCATCAAACCGAAGGAAAACAGGGTCATGTTGGTAACGGAGCCACCGAACCACAGGACTTCACCGTAGGCGATAAGAATGATGGTCAAGTTCTTGAAGATGGTGTAGACCGGAATCGAAAGGAACTGAAGGGCCTTGGAGCCGGTGTAGATCATGCCAATGAGCAGCAGAGTGATCGGGAACCCTATTACAACAATTACATTAATACACTGTTCGTCGCTCTTTTGTGTGACACTATATCAAAAGTAGTGGGGCGCCTTACACTTTCGGGCCTCGTCGGTGCTGAAGTCCCGGTAGGTAATCAAACCCATAGACTTGCAAGTTTGGATAGCGGCGATACAGACAATAGACTATAGCAAATAATCAATCAACTACTGTCCATATGATCGATATATTTTATGTATGGAAGCCACGGGGTAACATACCTGAATCATCAGGAGTAGGAAATTGAGATTAAAGTCCAATCCTGACAAGACATACTTGTTCATAACGGTCATCAAGATAGACGAACCGCAGTAACACAGAACAGGCAAGATAGGACTGTTTGTCGCATTGCTGGGAGGAGACGGCCGAAGTTGTGGTGGCGGCGCGGCCTCGAATTCCTTATTGCCCTGATCCAGCTTATCCATGTCGATTTCATAGTCGTCGGTCTTCTTGCCTTCGACCATCTTGGCGGTTTTGTGAGGGATTCGGAAACCCGGAAAACAAAGAACGAAAGAAAGTTGGCGGAGAAGAAGAAGTGGACGGTGAAATACAAGACAAAAGGAGAAAATAATCAAGCGTACAATGGACGCGCGAGGGAGAAAACAAGTCAAAGGCAGAACTTTTGGTTTTGGCCGGAAGCGGCGCAGGGCTTAAGTCAGCCTTCTCAGGGGAGTCACGTGCAGGTTAATTTAAGAGATAAAGCCCAATTGGGACTAGCGTGGGTTAGTCAGATTGAGAACTTGTATTGATTAGTCAATTAGGGGAAATTGTACACATTCAGAAGTTACTATACTTGGATATTTCTGATATTTCTGATATTCACGACAATTATGATGTTCAATTTATACAGAATCATCTCAAGTCTCCTCTTGGAAGAAAGTGTCATGTCTTAAAACTCCCCCCTAAAAAAACATACTATTTACCGCCCACCTATACCCCCGGTGGAGCTCTGTGACGCGAAGATCCTCTAAGCCTCCACTTCTCTCCCTTTTCACATAATTCAAATCACCACAAATTATTTCTCAGGGGACCCAACGGTCAATTGCGCATTCAATTGACGCAGTAAAGACTCTCCACCTATTTTCGAAAAATACCCCAAGAGAAAAAAAAACAGAAGCAGGAAAAATCACACCTATCTCCCCTCCCCTCGAATCTCTCCTCCACCCTCGAACAACCAACCCCTCACAACCCCTCCGGGAAAAAAAAAGAGAGACCCTCCGACGATGCCAGACAATCACCACGGAGATTCGGATGACGAAGCTCTATTCGCATCCCTCGAAAACGAAGACCAGGATGACGCCGCCTACCGTACACAGCGCATCCAACAACTAAACGCCGAGCTCGCCGCTCAAAAAAACAATCGCTCCGCCAACTCCAACAGTGCCACATACACACAAGATGTGAGATACCCCACGCTCACCAGCGACCAAAGTGTGCTAGACTTTACAACATCGACAACGCGGTGTATTGTTCATTTTGCACATGATGATTTTGCGCGATGCGCGACAATGGATGCACGGCTGGAGGAGTTAGCGGGGAGACATTACGAGGTGAAATTCGCGCGCGTGGATGTGCGGAAGACGCCTTTCTTGGCTGAAAAACTGAGCATTCGGGTATTGCCCTGTGTGATTGGATTCAAGGATGGAGTTGGGGTTGAGCGGGTGGTTGGATTTGAGGGATTGGGTGCTGGTGGGACAAATGGCACAGAGGCGGGCTTTAGCGTTGCCGTTCTGGAGAAACGGTTACTATACAAGGGCGTTTTGGTGCAAGCGAAGTTTGCAGCCAATGATGAGGATGAGGATGAGCATCAGAGTGAGGATGAAGGGTACGATGTGAGGAAGGGGACTCGTTTGCGGAAGAAGCTGATTCAGAGTGGGAAGGTTGGACAACGAGGACGATATGACGATGATGACGACGACGAATGGGATTAAATATAGGACCTTTTTTTCTTCTTTTGCCACGACTTTTCATGTACTTAGAATGACCTACATCTACCATGAAGTACATATATCAGAATCTACACGACTCTTTATCAAAGTTCAAGATCTAACCAAATCTACAAGTCTTGAAAGGAAGTCAAACAGAAGAACATCTGAAAGTTCAAGAACTGATTCATCATAGAATTACAGACAAAAAATATCAATGACCGTGAACACAGCTAGTCGCAAGCAAAACCAAAAGAAAAGAACAGCTCCCTAAAGTTACAAAATGAAATGCCGCGAAGCCGGTAACCGGAGAGAAGAAAAGCATGGGGAATTCTATACACGGAAGCAGAGCAGTTGTCATGTAGATCCAGAAGCTCATCATCAGACGCCAGTCGCCCTTGAGAATATGAAATCTGAAAAAAAAAGAGGAACAAAGGATAAAAAAACAAGAACAAGAACAAGGGACAAAGAACAAAATGATCTAAATGGCCACGTTCTTCATCTCTCCAAGAACCTCGGAGTCTAGAACATTGGATGATGATTCTGCGGATTCATCGTTCTTCTCGGACTTGTCCTCGGAGGGCTTGATTTCGGGGAACCCTTCATTTTCCTTGTTGGAGATTTGTGGGGTAGTCACCTCCAGCAAGTCCTCTTCAGACTCTTCCTTGCTCTCTTGTGGATCTTCAGAAATTGTAGGCCCCGCGGAGCCGGAAGGACCCTCCTCAGTTACCCGAGCAAGAGGGCTGGACATACCGAAGGGGGTCTTGGGGCTCTGAGCGGGTCCTCGGTTGGGGAAGCGGTTGGGAGATCGGCCTCGCTCCTCAGCGCGAGTTGGGCTGCCGTAAGGTGAATCTCGGGTGGATCCCTTACCATTGGCATTTCCACCCAGTCCATTGGGACCACGTCGGCGCTGGGGGCGACGGCCGTACTTCTGGTCAACGCGCCACCGGAGAACCTCCATATACGGCGGCTCGACATTCTGCGACTTGAACTCCTTGAGTTTCATTTCGTTGGTCTCCTCGTCAATAATAGTTCGGCCACTGCAGAGGTCGTCGGCGAATGTAGCCAGGAAAGCAGCCCAGGAACGGGCAACCACGTATTTACAGTCATAGTCACGGCCGAAAATGATGACTTGGCCCCATTTACCGGCGGGACCGGGGGCAAGATCGATCGCAAGAAGGTTACCACCCCAATCGCGGGCCAGAGGAATCCACGCCGGGTGAGCGTAGGCCTTTTGAACGGCACCGGGTGGCTGAGAGTCCTGGCGATCGAGCAACTCGTTTCGCCATGTGGCATTGGGTTGAGGGGGAGCGGCTGATGAGCTTGCGGCGGAGCTGGACACGGGAGTCGACATCATGGCAGCACTGAGGAACTCCTCGTTCACGGTCTTCCAGTTGTGGCGTTCCTGCACAATCTCCTCACAGTCCAGCAGCATGGAACTGAAGAGAATACCGGTAGGGAGACCTCCGCGCTCCTGACCATCGTGGATCATCAAAGACTCCCGTAACTCGAGCGGCAAACTGCAATCCAACTCATGTTCCAACTCGTTAATATCGTTCTGTGTGCATCCTTCGCCGAGGTTATCCAATAATTCCTCGTAGTTACTCTCCAGCCATCTCTCAATCTTTCGCCAGGAGTGAGCGACAGGCGGAGGTGGTGGTGCCCCATCGTGGAAACTTTGCATTTGAATCTCTCCTCCTTCCTGATCATTTGATCTCCGTTTCGAAGCCGCTGATCTCATGCCGGGGGAATATGGGCGGTTTGGGGAACCAGGGTCGGTCGGGGAACCGTTGAATTCGGTGGATTGCGCGTTGGTGAAGCCCTTGGAGGATTCATCATCATATGGGTTGGAGAGATCTGGACGAGATTCGATCGCACTGGTGGCAATGGATGTGAGAGGTTCATGACGGCTTTGATTGAGAGGAACGTGTCGACCGGTACGGTAGGGAGAATCGTGGGAGGCATGACGGTCATAGGAGGTCATGGTATGCCAAAAGGAGCGCCATGTTGAGCCGAATCTGCAAAACCAAATTAGATCTGATGTATATTTTTTGATCAAAAGAGATATTGATCTGCAAGGGAAGGGGGAGTATTAGACTAACACATTCGCCATGGTGGGAGAGCGGGTTGATGGAGAAGAAGAGAGGGGGAGGTTTTTTTTGGCAGGGAAAGGGAAATCAGGGCAGGTCTAAAATCATAGACCCGCAAACCAGGGAGTTTTATAGAACTTGCAATTCTCTTCTTTTTTTTTTCTTTGTAATCTTTATTTCTTTTTCTTTTTCTCAATAAAATGAAGTTCAGGGCAAATATGGGGAAAAGGGAAAAAGGGAATGGTAATTTCCCCTAAAGTTATGAATCCCATCACTTCATCCCCTGGCCGCATCCAGGTTCCTCAGGCATGCAGATCATGATGTCGACACCTGATCGCAGAATGTCTTATATAAGAAATGTAGAAAATACTAAGACATTGGTTACCAAGTATATGTTATATGGCATACGTCAATCTACAAGACCATATTACTTGGGTATACTTCTGTTGATGTTTCTTGTTCCTATCGACTATGTATAGGCCCTTCACTAGTGTTAAACTACCTTCTTCTATGGATTTCTTCTTCGGATCCTCCTTTCTATTATTTATTCTAGTAATTCTAGCTAAATGTCAAGTTCAGCCACCGTGGCGTCTAGACTCCATCCTAATTAAGCTTCATAACAACCGAGACAAAGATCGACGAAGATTACAATGAGCTGACATTTGAGCTGAGGGTATACTTAATATTAGGGTAGAATGTGATATACAGTACAGTGATAATTAAAAACCCAAATTCCATGCATATCCTCATCAGTTCGGACAATGTTTCCCCCCCGGACCTGCAAAAACCAAATCGAGTGCACGATCGTATTTATAAAATTAGAAAATTAAACCATATGGCCTCTTCCAATGGCCAGAAAAGTGGAGCGCAGTGAGTGGCGTCGGTGACCCAGATTAAAAGGGGGAACATTGCGACGCAGACATTCAGAGACCACGTCAGCCATGTGGATTGTTGAAACTGGGGAGTTTTTTGTTTTATTTTATTGATTTTGAACAAGATTATTGGAGAAGGCAAAAGGGGAGGGAAATTCGAAAAGAGAGAAAGAGAAAGAGAAAGAATCCAGTTTAAAGAACAATGGAAAAGAAGTATAAAAGTTAACCCTTTGGACCCTTTTCCCAAGATTATCGAGAACCATCGAGAACCAGTTCTGGCCCAGTCTGATTGGGATCAGCGCAGCGGAACCAAACAGAAAAGGCTTGGAGTAGACGCCGTTGTTACTGGACTCGGATATTTGCCGGTGATTCGACGCTCCGAAACGGTGTGGCTTGTTGCTCCACTTGAATTGCATTCGGAGCTCAAGGAAAAATAAAAGTGGATGTTCAAGTATGCGATTTTGCCACTCTCACTGACGTTGTTTATATGCATCTTTATATGCATGCGTCTATGTATCTTATACATGATTAATTCAATAGCATATACTATACAGGAAAGGTAGTTATACTCAAGTATTGTACCCTACTAGTACACATGAGAGTACTCTACACTCGTTCTCTCCTTCGATATCAAGACCAACATCATACGTAAATTACAAAAAAACTCAACCAAAGGAGTGGACGGTATGGAATTCACACCAACATAGTCACGAAGACCAAAAGACAACAAAGGTAAAGACTACATAACATGGGGAAATGGTGCCTCGTCAGGACCAACAGGGTGATCAGAGCAAATGCCCTGGGAAAAGTGAAGAAAATGAAGAGACAGAAGGAAAGAAGGAAAGAAAAGAAAAGACAACAATAACGAATGATCATCTAAAGCGATAATAGTAAACCATCACCAAGAGCGAACGTGCAGAGAGCAAAGAATATCAAATCATAGCCATCCTCGGCTGACCGTCGCAAAACAAACAAAAAAACCCAACCAGCCTTGTACCCTACTTGGAAAGATCACCGACTCCGAACGATGCAAATAAAAGGTCACCCTTTCTCTCTCGTTCAATAAGGAAGAAGAAAAAAAATAACCAACCTAGCGCACTGTACCAAGAAGCAAGACCGGTGTATCTCAGAAGCACCTCCAAATAAAGTACCAATCGCAAGCGAAAGGAATCATGCCAAAACGAAGCCACCGAGGGGACCTTGAACCAGTCCAGGTTGCCCCTATTAACAGAATGCAAAGAGAGGATAAAGAAATACCGAGATACGGAATGATAAGAATGGCGAAACGACGGAAATTGTGAAACTGATAAAAGGAAGGAGGCATAATGAAAAGAAAGAAAAAAAAGAAAACATCAAAGGGGAAAAGAAAAGACGGTGATTAGAGGGTCGTCATCAAGAAAGTCAAAACGTGAGGAAAATCAAACACGAGAGCTTTGGATTTCTGGAGTCGCATCCATCTTCAGAACCCGTCGGAGATCAGCTTCCATTTGCCTGGTATCGACAGCCCGGGAGGGCGACGGAGAGTGGGTAGGCAAAGTGAAGGCTGCGGTAGCGTATTGAGGCTGTGGGGAAATGTAATTGGTCGAGTCGCTAGAAGTTGGCACTGATGCTCTTCCCATGTATGGATTGCCATATGGGCCAGCAAAAGGAGCGTGGTAGTGATTGGGTGGAACTTCACGTCGTAGTGGGGACTCAGTATTGCGAACTTGGTGACCATTCGCGTAGGGGTACTGGTAACCAGCCTGGTTGGGCACTTGCGGGACCTGAGGAGAGTATCCCCGATTGATAGGAGCTGGGGGACCAGAGTTCGTTCGACTGGGCGTGGCATAAGGAGGAAGACTGGGATTGACATGCGGGCGGGCTCCATACTGGGAAGCAGGGTGTTCTGGTGCAGGGGAGTTGGGTGACGACCGCTGAGGGCGCGGATTAAGGAGCAGTTGCTTCAACTCCGCATTCTTTGCACGCCGCTGCTCTTCGGTCTCGGGGGTCTGAGTAGGTGGCGAGCTGGAGGAGCGGAAAGCAGTCATACGATCCTGGTAAGATGGCGCAAAGGAAGGCCCAATGTTTGAGCCGCGCCCATTCTCGGAGCCCATTTCGAATGAGAACATACCGCCAGGCAGATTAGGATGTGGCAATCTCGGTTCGGTTTGAGGTAAGCGCGCGCGATTGCTCAGCTCGGGACTGCTCATGGAATTGGAATTCCGTGCCTGTACGGCAGCTTTGAAAAGGAAATCCAGAGGAGTGGACTGAGGCTCAGGCTCACCAGCCGCGAGCTGCTGCGGGGGGCGAGCTCGGGGCTTGGACGGAGTTGTCTCTACCTCACCTTCTGTATCCGCGGTATCGCTGTCAGTTTCAAGAGTTGTTGCGAGGTCAGACTCAGGTAGCGACTTGGAAAAGAAGCTGGGCATCGGCAATTGTGAGGGCGCTGGGGATGCATGAAAAGTTGGCCCGGCATATGCGCTATCCTTAGCTTGTTGCGGGGTGACATTCGCAGCGTTCGTGCGAGAAGAGGTGCGTCGATGCCCATTTGATCCATTCGCTCCATTCGCTCCACTTGCTCCATTGTGCCCATTGGGCGCAGACTCGGTTCGGTTCACGTCTTTGGGCTTCTTCCCAGAGCGGGGAGGCTTCTTCTTAGATTGGGGGTGGACATTATTGGGATTTGATGAATCTGTGGCCACGCCAGCTGGAGTCATATTGCGTGGCGGTGAGGAAGGTGGGGTAGTCAGAAGCGCCATATTCTGTGTATGGGGGGTGGTATTCTTCTTGGGCTGCGGGCGGCGATTGTTATTGTTGTTGTTGCGAGGGCCCTTGGGGGTAGGAGGATTGGAAGTTGGGGTTGACATGGCGATGGGTTGGCTTAAAAAATAGGCAGCCTGATTCAGAAAGTGTATGGGAAAAAGGAAAGTAAAGCAAAGCGCAGACGCTAGGAAAAGCAGGCAAGGATATCGAGTAGAAAGTCGTTCCTGTCACTGCTCAGCAGCTGTCGACAATATTAAGTAATTTCCAGTGTCCGGAAAGCAGAGAATATGGGCAAAAGTGAATGCAGAAAAGATTGAAAGCAGGATCTACCAGGTCGCAAGGAACGACATAAGTGAAGCGCAAAAAGGCATGTCTTTATAACATAAGTGAAGGAGAAGATGAGTCGTAGGAAAGTGACGGAAGAGTTCCAAGGCGGGGAGACCACATGACTAAGGGTTTTGCCGCCAGAAACAGTGGGGTTTTGCTGTGTTCAGACAAGCTGGAGCCTCATTCCTATTTTTTGATTAGATCCTATTCAGCGACCACTGACTTCGGTTATTCACGGAGTCTACAGTGTACTAGTAGGCAAACCTGGAAATTGTTGTGAAGGATTTCAACCCACGCCAGTCGCCTCATCCAACACGACCATACCCGGAAGGTCCTCCTAGCTTAAGCTACCGACCATCCCACTCCCGACCTCACTCCTCCCTCCTCCCTCCCACCGCTACAGCACCATACAAGCTACAACAATGGCCGACGTGGAGATGAAAGATTCTAGTGCAGCCTCCTCAAAGGGCAAGGCTGTCGCAACAACCTCTGATAGTACCAGCGATGGTAAGAAGAAGTTTGAAGTGAAGAAGGTACCTAAACAAACCAACCGCCTTGGGGGCACTGGCCATTATGACAATGAAATACTAATCTATGTTTCTAGTGGAACGCTGTTGCTCTTTGGGCTTGGGACATTGTTGTTGATAACTGTGCTATCTGCCGAAACCACATTATGGACCTGTGTATGTTGTCAAAATGAAGGTCACGTCACACTTGTTGAGCTACAGCTAATGTTGAACGGAAACAGGTATCGAGTGTCAAGCAAACCAAGGATCTTCAACAACGGAGGAGTGCACTGTCGCTTGGGGTATCTGCAATGTGAGTAGTTGCTACACCCCTAGAGAGGTGTTGAATCAGCTCTGACATTTTCTAGCACGCCTTCCACTTCCACTGCATCTCGAGATGGCTGAAGACCCGTCAAGTGTGTCCGCTGGATAACCGTGACTGGGAGTTCCAGAAGTATGGTCGGTAGACGATAGAAGATGGACATGCCCAACAGACCAGTAACAAATGCACCGGAGCCTGGCTGCTGCCACGCATACATGTTTAATGGCTATGACCAGAGGGGAGAAGTACGCTTTTTTGAAAGATAAAAAGAATTTTATGATTTCCTTTCTCAGCGTTTAGGTAGTTATTTTTTGCCTTGGTATTTATCAAAGCCCGATGAATGATCCCATGTGTTATCCCGTTCTTGTAGATTTGTATGCTTCTTCCAGATGCTTTTCATGCCACTTTGACCCCATCAACGACTACTTGTGGACCTCTTGAACTCCCATCCTTATTCAACCACTTCTCTGGATTTTGATTGTAAATAGGCCATGGAGGGATCACAGCGAGCGCTGTGAACAGCGTGCCACCTAGGCCGACCCAAAGTGTAAGGTACATATCCTTGTAGATGTATCCGATGAGAAAACTGGCGACCTGGAGAGGATTTGTATGTTAGCAGGGTATTTCTTCGATTATCGATTGAGGGATATGTTGGCACTTGCTCCAGAAATAACTAGCAAAATAGTGCTTAGTAGCTCTGCCAGGCGTTGGCCGTGGAAGTCCTGTCGCGTCAGGTTAGTTCCATCTCTCCATGATGATATACCATAAATACCAGATTTAGAGGTACATACAATCTGGCCTTCCAAAGCATCCTGAATTGGTGCAAGTAGCTCGTCCATAGTTAGAAATGTGAATGGATTACTCGTGATGAAAGGTCACGTAAACCTGGGGGAACAGCTTATCGCAAGAGTGTCATCTGCCCACCGCCTCCGCCCCAGCTCTATGGAAACCAAACAAGCATTTAACTATCTGATCAAATCTCTCTCAATGGTCAAATTTCATGTCAATTAGTATGTTGACTGAGTAAATTTTGATTACTTGAATTGAAGTGGAATTTTTGGTGTCAGAAATACTAGTGAAATGGACATGTGGAAATATTTCGTAATTCATCTACGCCTTTATCTCTGAATCTAGCTTTAGGGCCATGCATGGCCCACTCATATATGAATCATGCTAGGTGCTCACTTTGGCAGCTCAAATACGAAGAAAGTTTTCCCACCATGAAACAAAAGGCTCTTGCTGAGAAATCTTCCCGTGTCTCAAGTCACCCGCATGCTGCGGCGTTAACCGCAAAGCAGCGGTGAGATGAACCGGAGGATCTTGCAGCAACACATGGCCAATGCTTGGCAGAGAAAACAAGATTCTAGTACCAGTCCCAAAATAATCATTGAGTTTTGAAAACGTGTCTCATGATGGCTACCGATTGGGGCGCTTCTATCTCCGTGCACGCGCGTCAAGGGAAAAGCGGCAGGATAAGGGAGCGGCGAATGATCCCGATGACGCAGCGGGATTTTATTCTCATCATCATTAGAATTAGATGGAGGTAACGGTGGTACCCTCCTGTGCGGGTTCCAGCAACTTCCATTGGCAAGTAATGTTGTTGGAGGCAAATTGTGCGATGATGCGCTCTGCGATCTCATCGAAACGATCGGTCGCCAGAGCCAGGATGGTTGGTCCAGCACCCGACAGACAGATACCCAAAAGACCGGGCTGCGTCGCAGGGGTCATGAATTGGAGGATCTCAGTCAAGCCTGGGATAAGAGTCTTGCGGTATGGTTGGTGCACTCTGTCCTGCATGGCAAGGAAGATCATATCAGGATCCGGTGGGGAGGTACCCAGGGCTGCAGGCAAAAGGGCTGCACGCTGCAGATTGAACACCTAATACGAGTTGGTGAGTCTAAAAGTTCGAAGCAGTATAGGTGAGACAAGCTCAATTAACATACCACATCGGCACGGGTGTACGTTTGAGGAAGGACGTTGCGAGCATTGGCGGTGGGCACAACAAAGTCTGGGATGATGGCAATGGCCTTGATTTCGGGAGCCCAGTCAAACTTTCGGTAGTGACCAATACCCAGAGGGGGCTCTGGGGGCTTGTTACCAGTGTCAATGCCACCAGCAGGCGCCGGCAGGACTTCACTCAGTGGGATTTCTTTCCGGGCCACGTCTTCAGGTTTGAGTTCATTCAGGTAGGTTCCCACAAATCCACCAAACAGGGATGCAGCCACGTTATCCGGGTGCCGTTCTATACAGATAATTTCTATTAGCCTTATGCATGCAAGAAAGTGGGGAGGTTTGCGGATGTGGGTTTGGATTTGGATTTGGATTAGTGTTTGGTGTTTGGTGTGTTTGGGGATGGGTCCAAGTCCGGTCGAATAAAGGCAAGTTTCGCCAACAGGTGGAAGCACTCACCAATCATTAAACAGTAATCGAGTAATCGCTCCTTGCTCAAGCCTAGGTTGCCCACTGCATTGGCCAGCATAACACCAGCCACTACTGCAGTACCCGACGATCCTAGACCCCGACCAAGTGGGATGGGGTTGATGATGTGCACCTTGGTCTCCACGGGAAAGGCGCGTTGGTTGTGGCATCGCAGGACGTACAAGGCCACCCGAGTAATCAAGTTGACCTCGGGGTCCAGGCTGATTTGCTCGGTGCTCTTGCTCAGGTCTTCATAGGTGATCTGGCAGTTCAAGGGCAGTTCGGACGAGGACTTGGAGTCATCGACAGTGACACGGAGCTCCATGTGGAGGGACAGTGCCAGGCCGATGACATCAAACCCTGGGCCAATGTTGGCCGAGGAGCAAGGGGTTCTGATCAAGAAAGAGGGCATGATTGTGTATAGTTCACGGCTCACTAAGAGGTGTGACGAGCTCTATAGGAATCGAAGTCATCAAGGTATCTCAAGGTATGACTCGATGCGGGAGGGGTCTTGGCACCAAAAAAATATGGTCCGACGTCGGGGGATCAAATAGTGGAGATTCCCTCTGATCGTCTTCATCACTGCGGTTCAGATTGACTATGATTGGATGATTTAGTGGATTTGTATTCATCTCCAGATATGACAATCACTGGTTGGAGAGGGGGGAGGATCTTGGATGTTTCTTTTCCCCCCGATTGCCCCTCTTCAACGTCTAATCTTGTCTTTTGTTCTACTGTGTACGGAGCACCCGGGTCACGGGATCCTCCGATTCTCACCTAAGGCAATTCCATGCGATCCCCTCAAGATCCCACTTTTGCCTCCACTTTCACCGTTCCTTAAGTTGCGGCCTAAGCGGATTTGAAAGTGTGTAGTGCGTGAAATGAAGAACGAATCCTGTGTCAGAACTACACCGTTTTTATGAGGCTATACCCGCTTAGGTAGGTGTTTAAGCGATAGAAACCTCCAAGGTTCTTGTACGAACACACCTCACATACAGATTATGTGCATACAGTAATGACGGAATATATGACATTTATAACTTGCACGATTGGCCAGTTGGGAGATCTGATCCTCATGTGAGTCATTTTATAGAATCTTCTTTAATCCATAGGGCTTAACTTTATAACTACGTAGGATGTGGCTAGTAAAAAAGCAGTCAAGTGGACAGCGCCATGACCTTGAGAGAAAAGAAACCAGCCATACGGAGTACTTTCTTCCATCATATCAACTATGTAGAAACGGCAATAAAATCCCTCATGGACCAATAGCTGTCTTGTTATAGGCGAAAACTTAGCCTAAGCCTGACCGGGGGACACCCGTGTCAGACCCATAGATAGCACTTGGGAACATTGAAAAGTGGAAAATTTTCATGTAATTAGGGGCGTACTATACCTGAGATCATAAATATCTTCGGATCTTTTTTTTTCTTCGCAAGAATTGATTTTGAATAATTCATGCTCAATGTCTATTTTTGTTTTTTAAAATTAAAATAAACAAAAATATCCTGGATTTTAGGGGATTTTCTCAAAGAAAAAAAAAAGTGGAACAAGAAACGAGCAGCCAAAAGGCCCGCAAGCAGAGCCAAAAGGCAAAAAGTGGCTCCCGGTCTAGTTTCCACTCGCCACGACTTAGCGTTGAATTCCTCTTTCCCCCTACCTCTTCCTCATAAATTTTACCCACTGTGATTTCAAAAGTGGGAGATCCTATTTTTTCTTCCTTCTCTATCTTTCTTTTCTTATTCCAATAATTGAGGACCCTTGCACTTTCGTCATCCGTTGAAGAATCTGCATTCGAAAAAAAAACCTGCGACCAGATCGCTCGTTTCGCGTCAACTCTGCAATCCTGGAGCAGTCGCGCTCTATCTTTTGGGACTCCTTCAAGTTGGCGGGACTTCGCTACTCCAAGGCCTCTCTCCTCCACCCTCTTGCGGGCCCCAAGTTCCGGGTCTTCTGCGGGGGCGACACCAGACCTCCCTAACTTGACCTACCCCCAAACCCTTCCAACTGTGGCAGCCAGACGTGTGTCGGTAACTCCAGACCCCTGCCTAGGGTCTGGTTTCTGGATGGAGGGCGCTCGACCATAATCGAACCTTCTTACCGACTTGCGTCTGCAGCTGTTCAAGCTGCCAAGTGCAAATCTTATATATATTAACCATCACCATACGATACAAACACCAAAAAGCATAAACTCCTTTCTTTTGGAGGGAATTGCCCAAAAAAAACCAACAAACAGTCAAACTGGCAATCTAATCAACTGCAAATATGTCGGAATCACCCCGATCCGAGAAGGACCTGTGCCTCACCCGATTCAGCACTCCAGAGTTGGATAATCACCGCTACCAAATGAACCCTCCCCGCATTGAGGCCACCATGGAGCCTTCGAGAAATCAACACAGTATGGATCTGGTGGGACCGAAGGGGGAGACGTTGGAACGACCTGACCTCCTGCAGGCCCAGGATGCGCTTCGTGATCCAGGCCCATTGTTCCGAGACTTTGAGCAGGCCGTTGTGGATGACTCGGATAATGAAGGTCGGCGCTACTCGGTCGATCCCGCGGCCCAATTCCACTCGCCACGCCGCATCAGTGTCGGTCAACAAGATCATGCCTCCCGAAAGTCATCTGTGTCGGCTCGGTCTTCGTCGCCTCCCAATTCGGTAGAGGCTTTTGCTGACCCCCGTCGCCGAGAGCGAGCCAACACACTTGACAGCCATGCGCCTCCGGATCTGGAGGCCATGTTGCAACGTACAGTCTCGGGAGGTACTCATCCTAGGCGCCCGACCTTTAGCAATGCCAGCATCATCCGGCCTCAACCGGGTGATGTGACCGATGCGGCAGAGGAGGCATGCGTCCACACTTACGATGAACCTGGTCGGATCCCCGTTATCGACTATGAGGAGCTGGAGGAATTCGTCGCGCTGAACCAACAAGCGAAGGAGAGAGCACTCGCCATTCGTCGCCAGCAAAGTGTGAGCTCCCAGAACAAGGGCCCTCGCATGTTTTACGTTCAGCGTCCTGGTGAGAAGATCATCGACATTGATGAGATCAAGAAGTCGGACTCGGCCGACTCATCCGATACATACCGCGCTCCCGAGTCGGAGGCATTCCCTCAGATTGAGGACGAGAAGCAGTCGTTGGAGAAGCTCCAGAACATCAACCAGCCTACTCGATTTGGGTTCTTCTCGTCCGAATCTCAGACGACGGTGCACGCGGCGGACCTGGGAGATTTGGTGTTCCCTGGTGACAGCTTCCGCGATCTTTTCCAACTGGGCCCTGAGGGTGGTGTTTGGTGGCTCGATGTGGTCAATCCCACTGAGGAGGAGTTGGGCGCTATCTCCCGAGCATTCTCTATTCACCCTCTTACCACGGAGGATATTTTGACCCAGGAAGCTCGTGAGAAAGTTGAGCTTTTCAAGCAGTACTACTTTGTCTGTTTCCGTACTTTCTACCAGATGGATAAGACCAGTGAGGAGTTTCTCGACCCTGTCAACTTCTACATGGTTGTTTTCCGCGATGGAGTCTTGACCTTCTCTTTCGAGGAGAACCCCCATGCCTCCAACGTCCGGAAGCGTATTGGAAAACTACGTGACTACGTTTCGCTTAGTAGTGATTGGATTTGTTATGCCATGATGTAAGTCCTCACATACACCTACAAAGTTGCTAACCCCCAGCTATTTGCAAGGATGCTAACAAGAATTTAGTGACGACATCGTCGATAGCTTTGGCCCTGTGATTCGAGATGTGGAACTCGAATCTGAGGCGATTGAAGACCATGTCTTCATCGCTCGTGTCGACGACTTCGAGTCCTTCTTGCCACGAATTGGTGGTCTGCGCAAGAAGGTTATGAGCTTGATGCGTCTGTTGGGTGGCAAGGCGGATGTTATCCGCGGATTCTCCAAGCGCTGTAATGAGCAATATGCTATGACCCCTCGTGGTGACATTGGCCTTTACTTGGGTGATATTCAGGATCACGTTGTGACCATGATGTCCAACTTGGCTCACTTTGAGAAAATGCTGAGCCGGTCACACACCAACTATCTTGCTCAGCTGAACGTCACCAACTTGGTGCTGGGTAATCATGTCAACAAGGTTCTTAGCAAGGTGACCCTCATTGCCACGATCTTGGTCCCAATGAACCTCATCTGCGGTCTCTTTGGTATGAACGTCGAAGTTCCTGGAAAGAACGCCGAGGGCCTGGGATGGTTCTTCGGAATTATCGGTGTGATGGGAGGCATTGTTGTTGTTAGCATGATTCTCGCTCGGTGGCAGAAGCTGGTTTAGTGTTTCGATTTTGGTTTTTCATTTTGTCTGTGATTTTGGTTTGATTTCTCAGCTATATTTTCGATTTGTTAATACCTTCAATTCTGCAAGCATGGGGCTCTGTGAGCGTCATATTCATTTACGAACATATTTGATACAATCATACTATACACGCATTTCATTTTTCTCTCTCTTACAGTTTACTTTTGAACCAAATGATTTTTCTTGATGCATATAGTATAGTATTAAATAGCAGTATGTTGTGTATGTAGCCTCCTCGGCCCTTTTAAGATTCACCGGATATCCATACCCATACTCAATGGTCCCATCCAGCCAGTCATCAACTCCTCAATCGTCAGATCCAAATCTAGCCCGAGTAGATTAGGATCCGAAAAGTCCAACCCCTGCATCGACATCTCAACATTAGTCCTTGAAACCTCCGCGCTAGCAGCCTGATAAGTCTTCTCAAACCAAACCGAGGCAGCAACAAGCCAGTTCTGATAATGCGCAAACTCCCCGTTCTTACACGTCTTCGCCACATCCTGAAGCCTGCCAACATAGAAACCCATCACTCTGGGCAGATCAAGCGCCTCTCGCAGTTCCTGAACATGAACATTGTAACGCAGCGAGGGATCCAGGGACACAATGACCAGCTTACATGCCGCTGCCACAACGAACCCGGTTTGTAACCAGTGGACGTAACTGTAGCTCTTTTCGATAGTGGGAGGTAGGGTAAAGTAGAAGTCGACGAAGCGTTTTGCGGCTGCGAGACCATGGCAAAGCGTGTCAGTTCTTGAGACTAATAAGAAGCCATCGGATGGCGTGGAGGCTTGTTTATTATCTAACAGGCTGATTTGGCAGAGTTGGAGCTCTAGTGTTTGGTACTGCATTGCGATGAGAACTAGACGTATGGTGTGTCAGTTTTTTTTTTTTTTTCGAGATTTATCTTTGCGCTATGATTTAGACCGAGAAAGCAGTTGACAGTCATACTTACCATCACATGTTGGAGGAATGGGTAGCTGATTCTTGTACTGTTCCACCTCGGCTCGAAACGAATGCAGTTGAAGCTCTAAATCCGGGTGACCTTCTATACTTTTCGTGGTCAACAAATTCATGCGTTCCAGCATATGTTGAAGCTGGACGTAATGAATCATGTATCGATCGGTAGGATATTCACATTTGGCCGATAAAGCTTCCGCACACGATTCTATGAACGGTGACCAGGGTAATGTGCAGGTCTTTTGCATAATGATCGAATTTCTAGATGTTGCATTATGATTAACTCATTGATTTGTCGTTATCCTGCATGAAGGCCCAGTTCAGTCGATCCACTTACGTTGAATTAAGCAAAAAGCACCCAATCAAGGCTCTACGCTCATCGGCTGTAGATGCTGATCCCGGTATGGATTCCGACCCCGTTTGATCTGAAATCCCATCGACATCAACTCGGGTCGCGACTCGGTACTTGGGCGGACGGTCTATTCTTGCATCATTCATTATACTCAATGCAACGTGAATGTAGCCGTTGAAGCGACAAAGTTGGTATAAATGGCGAGTTCTGCATATCGGTCAGTATCGCGTACATAATCTATTATGGGGAAAAGAAGAGAAGCGCCATTCGTACCCAGCTAGGACAACCAGCAATCCTTGAAACGTTTCCAAGGCATTGGGGTGGTTCTCGTGGGGGGAATGGAGAATTATGTCCCCAATATAAGACTTGAGGACATCTTCCAACGACCGCTGTAAAGGCGTATCTTGAAATGATGCGACTATAAATATGCAAAGGAGTAGGAAAGGCCTTTCGGCTCTCAGATCTTCCACGGTGGTTCTCCCAGACAGGATAATAAAGGGGAAATATCGCATCGACTCGCGGTAGCTATCTAGCAAGATGGTTGCCAGCTCATAGTTGATCAACCCTTTGCCAATCACATCGCAAGCCTGATGGTTTACGTTCTGGCTAGCTTCGCTGGTAGACGGGGTCCAACGATAAACTTGTTTTTCGCGTGGGTTAATCTGGTCCATGATTTGGTCGATCTTGTCTTCGAGCGCCTCAATACGCCTGTGGCACATGCAATTCAGTACATAAGCTTTTTCTCTTAAGCTTGACAGATTATCTGTGCTTACGTCGTGCGTTTCTTGTGCTGGCCACGTGGTCGTGCTGGCCGAAAATAACAATCTTTCTTCAAACGTCGACAACTAAGTAATCCAATTAGAACGACGCCCTCGGAAGTATACATATAGATGTGCTCGAGCGTCATGAAACGGCTTACCGGTCGCATATTGACGAATCAGGCGTATGTGCACATCGAATCTTAGCACGGACACAATTCTCACACGTTTTGACCTTGTCTGATTCCGGCATAATGAAACAGCTTGGCCCCTGGAGGATAGAGCTAGAAAGCTGGGCGGATACGGACCGATGGGCTTTCTTTTAATCGGTCCGCGGACACGGATAGTGAGTTGGTCCGCGGATACGGAGTAATGTCAGATTCCGATGCATTGACCAATCATTGCGGATGGACAAGTCCCATAGTGGAACTTCCTAAAATGGAGTATGGTCTAAACATCTGAACAGTTGGGGGCCTAACATTGTGCATATATACGAATGCTGAATTTCCGTTTAAGTATACACGTCAACTCATAAGATTCTAAAGGATCGAAGCTGTATGTATGATTGGCTAGAAAGAAAAAAAGAAGCTTTTGGGCCGAAATCTTAACATTACCTACTGTGCGTCCATGTGGCTGCTACATGTATTGATAGCCCAGAAATGAGGGCCAAGATGAACGCTCTGCCTTCAATGTTGGTATATAACATTCTGAGCCTTGGATGAAATGGAATTTTTCAACAGATTTCAGCAAGAGTCAATTCCTTGGAATCTAAGGACTACTTAGTACATATCTCCATCTCAATATTTGAGCCCTCGAGAGAATATACTACATACGCATATACATTTACCATATTCCTTTCAAAATGGGTCATTTTGAAAATTGCACCCTAGCTACTTGTCCGATAAGTGAAGCCAATCTGGAATACCTGCCCAATCTCCCAGCAAATGCCTTCTTTGTCGCCCTGTTCGGTCTCATCATTGGGATCCAGGTTCTTTTCATGATCAAGTACCGAACATGGGGCTACTCGATTCCAATGTTTTTCGGCCTTGTTCTTGAGATCCTGGGATACGCTGGCCGGATCATGTTACACACCAACCCTTTCGATTTCGACAGCTTTCTCATGTAAGAGCCTGCTCTCAAGTGCTGCCATGGCTATCAAGCATTATAAGAAAGTATAAACTAATCATATACATACTTCAGGTACCTTATCTGTCTTACCATTGCCCCGGCGTTCTTCAGCGCATCAATCTACGTGTGCCTGGGCAAGATAATCAGGATATATGGCGAAGACATTGCTCGATTCCGCCCACGAACATATACAACCTTCTTTGTCTCTTGCGACATAACCTCTTTGATTCTCCAATCGGCCGGTGGTGCACTTGCGGCGATTGCTACGGAAACTGAGAATAGTCTTCGACAGACTGGCATCAACCTCATGATTGCTGGTTTGGCCTTCCAAGTCGTCTCGCTCTTCCTATTCATCATTCTGGCTTCTGAATTTGCCATTCGAGTGCGCAAGAGTCCTAAACCAGAAGAAAATGAGTTTAGTGGTCTTCGACAGAGCTCAAAGTGGAAGATGTTCATCTACTGTAAGTGCCTTGCCTATGTCTAGCTCTATGAGATCTTCCACACTGTTACTAATACTCCTCATATAGGTCTTGGTCTTGCCACGTTGACAATCTTCATCCGATCAATCTTTCGAGTTGCTGAGTTGAAGGGTGGATTCAACAGTGCTTTGGCCAATAATCAAGTCGATTTGATGGTGCTAGAAAGCTCCATGGTTTCGATTGCTTGCATTGCTCTAACCGTTGCCCACCCCGGAACCATTATTGGCCGAGTCTGGAATTCTCTGTGATGCTAAGAATTTTGTGACTGGAATGTGACGAAACTGGGTTTGTTGTGTCTTTGTGGGAGGTCCTCTTTTTGAGATGTTCTTGGGATTGTTGATGGTATATGCTATAAGGTAGAACTAGGTAGTGCGTGCGTACATATTTTCAAGGTTGCGTCGAAACTGCCGCTAATCTTGTCAATTCAATGTCATGTATGCGATTATAGCATAGGTATTCGTCTTTGCCGGATTCTTTTGTTAATCCATGGTTTTGATACCCAATTGGATGAATATTACTGCATGTGCGTTAGGTTCCCAAGTTCCAGGTACTATTGGGTTTATGTACTGTACTTTGAATTTTAAAAAAAATCAAAAGTATTTATTTTGAAATTCTTTTCATAAGTCAGACACTTGATAATGCTTGACCATATGGTTTATTTTTAGGCATAGTCCTTTCTTTTCTTTGCTTGGCACGTTTAGTATACGCGTGGCCATACCAGGCACCAAGGCAGAAAGCGATAAGACATTGATTGAATTCCCCGATAAGCTCGAGTCTTGACATCTTTAACATCTTACTCTCTCTCCAAAACAACTGATCGGCCTTATGCTGTCGACAATATTGTGCCCCTCAGGAGATCACTGTACTCATAATTCTTTAAATCGCGTACGTGCGCTTTTCTAAAACCCCCTCCATGCGCATTTTCCGCAACCCGGTCCTCCACTTTCCATGCGACTACTATCCGCCTTGCAGTGCCAACTGACTGCACCAGTCATTGTCACTTCCCTTCTAGCGCTCGCCGGCGCACCAACCGCCTATGCCGATATATGGAGTGATGTCGAACTCCAGAGTAACCCCAATATCGAGACTATTGCCAATGGGGCCGGCTTGCCGTTTGCGCTAGACTCGTTCAACGGGCTAGAGTTTCGAGATCAGGAGGGCGAGGACGAGGACGAGGCCGGGCTGGACCTGGTGCGAAGATCTGTCGCCATTACCTCTCTCGCAAACAACAATTTCCAGGACAGCACCATCAAAGTCGGGGCTTATCAGTATTGGTATATTCCGAAATCTGTGGTGACAGGGGAGCATGGAGTCGCGGGCAAAGGACTCCCTGAATATATTGATACCGATGGCAACGTCGTATCGTCTGAGGCAGCAGATGAACTCCGAAAACGAGGGCTGCTGAAACGCGCGTCAACTACGGTCTATGTGGCGTTGAATACATGCGATAGGCCTTCTACAAACATCACCGGTGCAGAAGGCTTGTTCCCCCAGCTGAAGGTTTATTATTCGACGTCCTCGGATCTGAAATATCCCGGTCCGGGCCAGGATGATTCACTTCAGAATGTCACTACGGCAAGCCAAGGCTATGTTGGCTTTGAACTTGAAGCTGATAGTGATGTCTACATCAGTGTTGTTGCGGACAACTCCACATCCTATTATGGCTCATATTCCTACGATCTTGCCATATCGATCGATGCATACTTCTACAACGTGGTTCCTGATGATCCATTCCTCTACTTTGTCGATTCGGATCAATCCGCCGCGCTGCTGGTGACCAACAACCTGACCCAGTCTAATTCCAGTTCGCAGAATTATCAAGAGTGGATGGATCTTAGCCCCCCTCCCTATACCATGTATGCCCACAATCTCAATGACACATCGTTGAGTGGCATGACGTCCTCTTTTTGTGCCGTGCAGAAGCATTCCCAGGTGGTCAGCAACCAGGGGAACACTGGCATGACCAGTCGTGGACTAGGAAACCGACCCAAGGAACAGTTCTATATTTTGGGACTCAATCGTAGCTCGACATATGTAGGAATCTTAGGCATGGAAGGCAATGGATCCACCTATGGCAACGGCGTCGTTGCTGGAGGTGGAATTGTATGGCAACCGATGAATTTCACGACCAAAACAGGTACGTCCCCCCCCCTCTTACCCGCTTTTCTGCCTCTTCTTAAAGCTCGAACTAATTGAAATACAGAGGACAACTGTGCTGTCTTGTTCAATCTGACCTTCTGCTCAGAGGTCGCATACGCAGTTCCAGCCAACCCAAACAGAACAGTCGAGGACCTGCGACAGATATACGACAACTATACATCCAAATACTACACATACTTTGACTACTCTCTCCAACAAATTCAATGCAGCGCCTCGGCCGAATCCATGTTCTCTCTCGCTGTCAATTGCACCGACTGTGCCACGGAATACAAACAGTGGCTCTGCAGCGTCAGCATCCCCCGATGCGCAGACTTCACCTCGAACGCCTCATATCTTCAAGTCCGCAACGCAGGACAAGATTTTATCAATGGCAGCTCATTACCAGAAGACGATCCTCTCCGTTGGTCCGTCATAACGAACCAGTCTCGCAATCCAATCATCGATTCAGAGATCAAGCCTGGTCCGTACAAGGAGATCCTTCCGTGTACCGATATCTGTCACGATATGGTCAAGAGTTGTCCCGCAGCATTGGGATTCGGTTGTCCGACGGGATCCTGGTTGAACGCGTCGTATGGATATCGGGATCCAAATGGAGATATCACATGTAGCTATCTGGGAGCAGCCTATTACCTAAACCTCGGGGCGAGGCTAGGGATGTGGGGAAGCGTGTATATGTTGGTTGTGATGTGGGGAATTTGGTTGATATGGTAAAAAGCCGGGTTTTGTACTATTGGATAAATACTTCGATAATGAGCATAGACGATTGACGTGATATATACATTGCCTAGTAACATTGCTAGTTTTAAGTGTCAAACTGAGTCATCTGGACTCATAAACCCGGAAGCAGCACTCGAATCTAACTGGTTAGAAGTGTAGAGGGGTGGGGATTATGGCTGTCGGTATATTGCCATTGATGATAGGCTAGAAAGCCCTTATGGCGCGATAAGCCACTAGATCGATATTACAAAACACAACATTTGAAATCCAGTCCAAGCTTGCCCAGCTTAAGAACGCACTTATTTCGCACATGTGCATGCTTCGGTCTAAAGGCAATTAACTGCCCAGACAACAATGGACGAAACCACGCCCCTGACAAAATCCCAAAACGACGTCGAAAATGAGCACGGCAATAACCCCCCAAGCGCCGCAGATACGCCAATGGCGGGGCGCAAGTCAAAGGTGGACATGATGTTCTTCGTGCCCGCTCTTTTAGGTACAACTTGAAACTCGTAGAATCTGGAACTAATCTAGTTATGTATGAGTGCTGACTGTGAAAGCCTTCCTACGCTTGCAGGGGTATTTCTCGCTCTGGCCGATGATTCCTTTGTCTTATCTACCCACACCGAGATTGCGTCGCATTTCAACCACATCTCATTGGGATCATGGCTCGTCACTGCATACAATCTTGGCTATGGCATGACGCTTCCTCTGGTAGGTAATGGCCACATTCTGTAAATGCCTATATATTGGATATGTTGGGACTGAACGACAAAAATAGTACGGCAGGCTTTGCGATATCTACGGCTATAAAGTGACGCTCCTCGCGGCTTACCTGACATTTTCCATTGGATGTGTGATGAGGTGCGCTTATACAGTTGACAGTAAACAGACTCCATTTATCTAGATTTGACTAACGTTCCAAACCCTCAAGCGGTACATCCATGTCGATATGGGTGACAATTGCCGGTAGATTTGTTGCTGGTGCTGGTGGTTCCGGCATGACAGATTTGATCAGTATAATTATCAACGGTGAGAGGAGTCAAGATACACAGATGATAGAACGGTTTCAACTAACGGCCACATTCTAGACATGGTGACCCTCAGGGAACTGACAGTGCTGCGAAGCTACGTCTCCATGGTCGGTACTGTGGCATACAGCCTTGGTGCTCCGCTGGGAGGTGCATTAACCGATGCAATCGACTGGAGATGGTCGTTCCTGATTCAAGCCCCATTGGGTCTTCTTTGTTTCTTCTTGGCTCTGTGGCGATTACCGTCCGCGACCAGTAAGCCGAAATTCGAAGAGAATGACGAAGAACCTCCACGGCCAGAGCTCAACTTGACCGGGATCTGCCTTTTGGGAATAGTGATTGCCGCAATCATGGGTCTATGTCAGTTCATTGAGGACAAATCGGCCAAGAGAAGCTTCATGTTAGCGACACTATCGACGACTATCGTCATTGGTATGATCTTATACGCGCTTAATGAACGCTACTGGACTAGGAACCCCCTCGCTCCAATGTCGTTGCTGAAGATCGAAGGAGTTTATACCATTTACATCTCGCAGTTTCTGATGTTCTTTTGCGCTTCTGGTGTACGTCAATCTTCCATTCGATCTCCTCATCTCTTCAATGTTCAGCTCGGCTAACTGTGCACATCTGAAAAAAAAACAGATCTGCAGCAACCTGGCGGAATACTGGGTTCGGACCCAGAATGCTTCAAACGGCCTTGCAGCCGCATCTATCGTACCCGTGACTCTAGGTATGGTCGCGAGTTCGGCTGTATATGGACGTATAATGAAACGGTAAGTGTACATATCCATATCCGCCTCCTAATAAAACCCCAGTCCTAGGGCGCTGATTGAAAGGCAGAACGGGAAAATACAAGGCCTTGGCAATCTCAGGATGTGGGATTGGAATTATAAGCTGCCTCTTGATAGGTTGGCGATGGCCACAGAGTCCGACCCCAACCATCTGGGAACAGCTATACCCATTTGGCCTTGGGTTTGGACTAGGTGGATCGCTCGCAGCTTCATTCGTTGGCTTATCTGCATCGATTCCCGACAACGTGACAGCCCCTGCTTTTACCATTTACTACTTGTGCCAGCAGGTAGGCATGATTCTCGGTGTGACTGTGGCTTCGATGATCAGTCGAGGATTTTTCAAAACTTATCTACTTCGCAATCTCGGTCAAAGTGCCGACTCATTGGAGGTTCGTTCATATGGCTTGATGCAATCTTTCAAGAGATAGATATTAGATTTATAAGTTTGCTAACAAAGACATCGTTATACAGATCATCCGAGGTGTTCTGAGTGATAGTCGATTCGCATTTTCTTTGCCAGAGTCAACGCAGGCCATTATACAAGCTAGTTTCTTACAGACCTTTCGCATTATTCCAGGTGAGAGTCGCTCATTATTTCTCTAGCATGTTCATTATGGTCTGCTTGCTGACTTCAGAACAAGTGATTTGCTTGGCTGCTATGGCTTTAGCGTTACCCATTCTTTGCTATCTTCCAGAGAGGTGCATCGACTAAATCCCCCGAATTCGTTCAATTTGTATTTGGATATACACCATTCCATGCGAACGGGTTATACTGTGCTGGTAATTGCGGCAAGATTTAATCCTATAACTCTAGACTAAGAATTTCATAGAAATACAAACTATGCATGTGTAGAAGAACAGACTCCTGTTCAATGCAAATACAGATGTGCATATATGGATGTCTTTCAAGCTTTGCCTCTATTCGATATTTCCAATTCACCCACGGGACTCCTGTCGATGGCAATGTTTACTGCAAACATTGAACGCAGTAATTCCCCAAGTACGCTAATAGGCATTATGTATAAACCACACGCTCATGCAACATCGCTCCAAAAAAGCCAATATTCAAAATCACCACTCCAAATCCTTCCTTCCATCCGCATATTCACCCTCAACCTTCCTATCACCCCACCTCTCCCTCCAAACATCCCTCTCCTCGCGCCACAGAGTATTAACGCAAGGATCACACGAGCTGCCACAGCAAGTGCCCAGTTCCGGCGGTGGCGGGGGATCATTGTAGGCTCGACCCGCCGCGCGGAGAAGTTGCTTCGTGCGTGTCCCTGATAGTCGCTTCTTTTGGAGCGTTTTGAAAAGCGGAACCTCATTTGGTTTGTAATATGGTTCTGGTTCTGGCTCTAGTAACTCTGGCTGTGGTTCTTTTTCTTGTTCTTGAGATTTGGACTGCTCTTGCTCTTGCTCGTTCTTGGAGATGCTATTTGGCGGGGATGCATCCTCCTTGCTGCCTTGGTAGAGCGTGGTTGCAGATAAGAGCGTGCTGAAGGGGGAGCATAGTGTTGAGATAATTGAGGTTGATAATGTGGGTTGTGTCTCTTTTTCTTGGGCTGATTTGGTGCCGGTGTCGCCACCCGATGTAGCGGCTGTGGTAGTAGGCGTGGGTTCTGTCGAACCCGGACTTGAGTCTATACTCATGGTGGGCTTTGTTGATAGATCAATAAGCCGGAGCAGATGCAATATAGATGCAGCTTTGGACAGCAAAATTGAAATATTGCAGATTGGCCGTGGAAGAGATTCTGATATAGGGTTGATAAAGTTCACAGGCCGGAAGAATGTTCAACCCTGTCTATTCTACATACATATTAGCATCTGCGACAGATAATACGGTCCAAGGTTTTGTGCTTGTTCCAGACTTACTGAGATTGTACAGGCAAGTAGATATGTACGGATTACTTTAGAAAGTCAAAGAGTTCAAGTTGATCGAGGTCAGAAGTAGATTTCGAAAAGAGGCCGAGGTCGGGCCGGATAAGATCGGGTTGATCGTTCCGATTATCCACTCCACCAAGTTTTATAGTTACCGTTGAAGGTTTAGATGGGGATGATGACAACATAGTACGCACTAGTATGTAGCTCATGCAAGTAAGTATAGTCCTAATATTTAATGGATTTCAGAAGTTTCAAATGAAGTACAGGTTGGAACCATCGCTGGTTTCTCTATTGATATTGAAAAGGAGTGAAAAAACGCATCTAGCTTCGTGGTAATCGTACATATCATTAGCCATAATTTATAATCTATTTACTTCCGTCGCGGTGTAGGAGTCCACATATTCTTCAACCCAGTCGACCCTCCAGAAGATCGCGGGGTGCTCCCCACTCGCGACAACAAGCTCTGCCCCGCAGACGTCAACATCTTTCCACCAGACCTCGGTGTGGGGGTTAATGCATCGAGACGCGGACCGCTAGTGAACCGGGGTGTGTTATTCACAGGTGTCTTGGTAACACGGGTAGCCTTTTCAGCGCGCTTATTGCGGGCGACACGATCCACCATACGGTGATGGAGAGCTTCACGCTTGCCAGTTTCACGAAGCTGGAACGGGTTTGGTGTTGCATCACTTGCGCCAAGAAGACGCCAATCAGCTTCTAGGGACCCGGGCGCAGGGGCCTCATATTCCGGTTCGTCTTCGTCGACAAAGGCATATCCGTTAACTCGTGGTGTTTCTCCTCCCGGTACAGCAGATGCCTCTGACTGGCTGAGACGCGGGCGGCCTGCAATGGCATCTTGGATAGCAGAGATGGAAGGCGAGGCGGGAATTTGATTTGCGGCATCGGCTGCAGCTGCAGCGTCGGCGTCGAGGAGTCTGGTGTTTTGATATAGAGTCCGCTTGGGACCGGCGCGGGACGCTGCTTCGGCCTTTTGCTGGATCGTTTCATGAGTATCCTCGACAGACGACGGGAGGAACATGAGTCCGTTATCCGGGCGAGACTTCCAATGATCGGGTCTTGCTGGACGAGCGTCTAGGTCTGTTTTAATAGCGGGGCGGTCGTCATCATCATCACCCTCCCCATTTATCTTGATCAGGCTGGTTTCCGGATTCCCACCCTGCGCGGTGATGCGCTTCACTTCGCGGTTGTGATGAGCAATCTGTCGCGCCGATGGGATCTTGTTATTGTTCCAAAGCCAGCCATTCTTTTCACGGCGCTTGATATTATGTTTGTCGAGGACCTTGTTGAATGACTCGTTATCATCACTGGTATATTTTGCTTGGAAGGCAATAAGGCTCATGTTCGACGCATCGATAAGGTCCTGCTCATTTTTTGTTATGGTTGTGGCAGCAGTCGAGGTAGAAACCACGGACATGGGTGTATCACCCCTCCATCCCCGAGGGGTCTCATCTGATCGACCTGGTATGTGTTGCGGGGTGCCCGCCACGGATGCGGTATCGGTCTTTCTCCGTGCGTTCAAGCCCGGTGTGGGAGTACGCATGACATCCGCAAGTTTCTTTTTGGAACTCTTGATCCATTCTTTATCTTTTGATTCGAGCGCATCGAGGTATTCTTGTTTGGATCGGGTCTCGAGCAAACCAGGGAAGAAGTCGCGGGCAATGATATGGGAGAGGGCGGTTGTGTAGACATCTTCGTCTAGGACGGTTGCGGGGCGTTTGATGCGATTTGGAGGAGGTGGGGGTGGCATAAGCTGACCATCTGGCCTCTTGGCCAAAGCCTGCGACTGCGATGGAGAGGCCATGGTGGCGTGGAGAATGAGAAGAACTTGAAGGTAAGATCAAAGATCAGCGTGAGGTTTTGGGGCGATAAGATAAGCAAGTCAGATGATCCACCGAGAATGCACTCCACAGCTTTAAGATGGGTCAAAGAGGACTAGTATTTTTTCAAATTTGAGTCTTATTCTAGACTTTTGCGACAATATCTAGAGACTGCGGATAGCTTCGTCAGGATTCATGTCTCTCAAAAAGGAATCTTGAAACGGAATTCTTAACTTTGATCATGTGATTTAACCTAGGGGGACTATGCACCTCACAGCTTCCGTTCCCAGGCTTGGTAGCTCCAAGGTTCTCCACCTGTCTATCTCATCTTCGACCTACGAGGTCTACAAAATCTATCTACACTCAAGAAACCCATCAAGTTAAAAAAAAATGGTGCCGTGGATTTTGTGCCAATGGCTCTATATAGTCACATGAGAAGATAAAAAGAGATATAGCGAATGTTTTCCAAATCCTCCATCCCTTCCGATGTCCTCTTTTCCATGGTTTTTACCCAATTCCCTCCAGACACCAAACCAATATCGCTGAGAAATGCATTCAGACCAAACCACCGAACAGATTGAACACGGCTAATACAGCCCTCCCAACGTACAAAAATTGAAACAGGTCATCACTCGTGGAGAAATTCTATCAAGGGGGTGTTGGGGGGTAGAGCGAGAGCGGGAAAAAACAAAGCAGAAACCGAGATATGCAAGACATGTGTGTGCTCTGCCCCCCAAAAAAAACAAAACAAGTAATGAAAAAAGCCCTCACTAAGCGGCAGTGGGGAAAAGAGAGTAAGAGGGGTTGCGGCTCTTCTTCCGGTTCGGGTGTTTAGGGGGAATTGCGGGGAGAGGAGGCTCGCAACCCTTGATGGTATCCATGTCGTAGGACTTGGAACGACTTTGAATGGGAGTGGGCGCAGGAAGCTCTGCGCCAATGCAAGGGCTGCTACTCGCCTGGAGCAGCAGGTGAGCTTCAGCCAGACTCTTGGTCTGGCGGTGGAGGGTAGAAGAAGAAGGACGGCTGATGCTAGACCCGGCAGCCAAGGTCTCGCCGGCGCTCATACGGTCAGTGGGCATCAGCTCACGACTGCTAGACAGGCTGTGGATCAGCTCTGGAACGCTGGTTGTGGAAACGGACGAGCGGTGCTTGCGGGCAATAGAAGCCGCGCGAGAGAGCATCAAGCTCTCTTGGGAGTTACACTTGCTAATGGGAGAGAAGCTGCTCCGGGGCGAGACGGGGTTATCCGAAATCATTCCCTGAGAGAAAGGAAAGTGGCGATCCGATTCCGCATCGGTGTTAAGGTAGTCCTCGTATAAGGTATCCTGGGGAATCTGCTTTGCCAAGGAACTAACAGGTTGGAAGTAGTCACCCGTGTTGCGAACGATGAAGTCACGCTCGTACTCAGCTGTCGACGGGGTGCCGGCCAAGTGCAACGGTGTAGACCGGGCTGGGCTGGAATCCAAATCCGGGGTGGGAAGCTCGGAGGTGCTCAGTGGGCTTGGTTGGAGCTGTCGAACTTTCGGGGCCACAAGCCAGGTGTCGTTAGGCAAGGGCACACCAATCTGAGGGCGCTGAGTCTCCTCTAGAGAAGTGCGCGACCAATCGAAGTTGCAGGTCGACTCGGCAGCATGCTCATAGCAATAGTCGATATCCGCGTCCCATGAGTCATACAATTCGTCCTCATAGGAGAACTGGTTGACACTGGACTTGATTGGCGGAGTGATCTCCATTTGACGATTCGCGGGAAGACTATCAGGCAGGTTCTGTGGCAGAGTCGGCGAGCCCAGGGCCTCGGAGAACTTTCTGGAAAGCTCCTCGGCCACAAAGATCGACAGTGGCGCCTTGGGTGCCTTGATAGTCGATGGAATATACGCTTCAGTGGGCGCCTGGCTCAAATGCGAAGTCGAACGAGAATGAGCGTAGCCAACGCTCGTCTCGGGGCTGTCCCACATGCGAGTGGCCTCTTCCTCTTCCGGCACGTCTTCCAGGTCATAGTGACTACTCATGGAGGATGTCCGAGCTGAGTGATTACCTGTCGAATCTCGTCGGAATGAAGGTGCGGTGTGGATATTTTCCGGGTAGGTCATAGAAGTGGATAAGCCCAGAATCTCATCAATGGCACGCGGAGCCGGCTCTGCGACCTCGGCAGGAACCTCTGGGGTAGCGGGAGGAGGTGGGGTTGTGGGACAAGATCGCGGAACTCTGGGGACGGGACGTGAGAAGTTCTCACAGGCACGAGACTCCCGTCGAACATGACCAGGGCTGTATGTTTCGGATGGTGGCGAGGCTGGGGGACTGTACGGGGTTGGTTCATCAACGGTGGTAGCCGTACCATATGTGGCGAGGTCGTCGGCTGAGAAGTTGCGGAAGTGGATATCAGTGGCTCGGATTCCTTTGAGACCAGTCTCGGGCCGTTGAGAAGCCCGGATGACGGAGAATTCGGTACATAGATCATTCTCCCGGGTTTGATCCAATGACTGGAATTGTGCGGGGCTGGTATGGGTGAGGTGATGAAAGTCGAATGGATCAGAGATGAGGCTCTTCAATCGACCTTCTGCACGTGTGAACATTCACGTGTCAGTCAATTTGCAAGTTTGAAGGGAAGATGGATCACTGATGCTAAGGCTTGGACGAAACCCAATCCAGCCAATGGCATATCTGGTAATGAAGAAGGAAAAAGAAAAGGACCAAGACTTACGTTGTTCAACTTGGCGAGATCGTCGACCAAACATATCGGATTTGTCGCGAGGTTTCTCCCGATCATTTTCATCCTCCTCGTCCAGCGTGGCGACGATGTTGATCTTGCTGCCTTGGCGGCGGAGAATCCGACTACCTCGAGCAAGGAAGGAGCGGGAAGACCTATCAGGCCTATCGGCACGCATGCCCAAAGCCGAGGTGGTACGCTCATCCTGAGAGGAGATGGAACCATCCATGGAGGACTCGGTCAGGGAAGAGCCCGGAGATGGGCGTGACGAAGTGGAGGTAGTGGTGTTACTTCGTGAGCGACCACCAAAGACGGAGCGACGTTTGGGACTATGTGGATTGGGATGGGCGATAGATCTGGAGCGAATATGGACAGCAGGCTCCGGGGGATCATTGGAGGAGCGGGTTGATGGGGGGTCACTGTTTCCATCGTCCTCCCAGGAAGACTGCCGCGAATAGGGCATTTGGGAATACATTTGAGATTTGGGGAAGGGGGGGGGGGAATTGGTTATAAATTTGAATGCACTTTTTCTTTTTGTTTTTTTCCCCTAAATTAGATGCGAACAGGCAAAAGCACCAACAATTGGGCTTTGTTTCATGGTAGGACCTGAAGCGCAATAAGTGTTAGAGAAGAGTTGAGTCGGTTTTTTCCCAGGAGATTGGGTCGGGGCGGAGTTTACATACTACTGATTGTACTGATACAACCGGTGGTCAATACGGGTGTGGACCCCCGGCTTTTTTCAGGGGTGGTCGCGCCATGATTCGATGACGTTCGAACCGTTGATGTTTTTTATTATTTTATTTTCTTATTTTTATTTTTATTTTTATATGGATTTTGTTCCATTTTTACTCTGAATGTAGTACTCGGTATATCTGTAGAGTAGACAAATGGAGTAGGTGATAATGTATTTTATCCACCTTGAAAACCGTTTTCTTTCTCTTTCAATTAAGATCCAACTATTGATTATTCCCCTGAAAACTCATAATTGAAGTCTGCTTCATGGAGATCCCCTATTTTTTCCCTCCCATGAACTAAACCGAAATACCAATTGAACTCAGGGGAATAAAGGTGAACGTGTGTATGTGCCCGTGGTAAAGTGGTAAATGTGGGGGGTGCCGCTTACCCAGGTCGAGTAAGTATCGGCATTTAATACACATGCGTGTTTTTTTTGAACCGAATTTCCGAGAGAACGTGCAGGTACAGATTACAAGCATAAGCATAATCCGAGGTTGACTTGCCTTTTTTTTCTTTTCTTATTTCTTATTTCTTTTTTTCTGTGTTTCTCCCTCACAGCATGTGGAATGCACACGTGCATATGATCCGAAAAGGAGACATGAGATCGGATCTAGGCAAAAACCAAACCAAGAATGTTTCTTTTCCTTCTAGCCCGAATTAAAATTAAATGTACCTTGCTATGGAAACTCTGAGAGTCTATTTCCTTTGTTTCCCCGCGTCACTAGCGCAAGCCTCGGGTCTAACGGTTTTATTTTCAAGCGATTTTCTCAGAGATAGGGCTTAAGATGGCCACAGATCCAAGTGGAGAGAGATGTTGATCGTTATGACTGGATACCCTATACGGAGTAACAGTGTTACAGTGTAACATGTGCAGCCCTCGGCTGTTTTACAGATCGATTACAGATAATACATAGATAAAAAACAAGAGATAAAACAGAGATAAAACAGATCGGAGGCGGCCGTGTTTATCTTGCTACAAGATATAGTAAAGGCAAAGATGAACATACGGAAGTTCACCGGTATAGCAAAGTTCTAGCAGTTCTCTCTCCAAGGATCCCTCAAAAGTCAATTCCTTCCAGAATACCCAGATTACCCAGAATAGCCAAAATGTCCAGAAAATCCACGGAAATTGATTGAATTCCCCTCATTCCTTCCATGGTTCACTGACCTCAATCCCGCGTAATTCAATACCCATCTATACCATCTATACAATACTAAAAACACACAAATCTCCGGTGGGGCCCTATACCTCGAGCCCCAAAAAGCCCCAAAAAGCCCCCGAAATACTCCAAAAACTCCAAGCCTTTCGTCATTAACAAAAAAAAAATTACATATATAAGTTAAAGTGGGGGGGCAAAAAGCAAGAGTCCAGTTAGCGAAAGCGAAACAAGGGAGAGTAAAAGATAAAAGCGAAAGTCAAAAGATTGAACCAAAGGACGCCAGCGTCTCAGAATTGTAGAGACGCGGGAGGGTAAGGGAAAAAGGTCCCAAAGTCAAATCTCTACTCCAATAATCATCCATGATCCAGAAAACAAAAAACAAAAATAAAATCCCTTTTCAAACATCCCACGGCGAACTCTCCTGAGTCCTGACGATCCCCTTGTCTAGAACCATCGATGGGGGCCCAAGGTGAGACTAACCGGGACCGTAGCGGACCTCCTTTCCAGACGATCGGTTCGTTTCGAGTGGAGCTCGCTAATTCGGAGCTGCACCTTTTTTAAGCTGGTTTAAGGAACCTAGCACGGTTTAGCTGCCTTAGCAGGTTTGGTCCATGTTACCATTCTCCACTTTCGCAGGCCGGACACCTTTGCCCGTATGCGTGTTGTGTACCCAGAGAAATAAATAACAGAAAAAACAAAAGTACACGGATACGCAAAGAGATTCAGATTTCATGGAGATTTAGATTTAGATTTAGATTTACTCCGTACCTACTCCATTGTTACGTGTTGAGATGTTATTTTAAGATGTATAGATTCAATTTCTATTATAACATCATGAACATGGTCCTTTTAATTTCGCTGACGAACCTCTACTACTGTACAATGCAAAATCTAGAATGCAAAATCTAGAATGCAAAATCTACACGTCAATCCCCTGGGGCCAAAACGTAGATAAGAATAAGGCGTTTCCCGTCAACTTTTGTTCCCGAAAGCCAAAAGCCAAAATGGAAAAAAAATTATAGCGAAATACTGGACATTCCAATGCAAAACATGTACATAGAACACTGTAACCTCACCTCCTTGGCCCCATTGCTTTCTTATTTCTGTATATATCCAGTTCGAATCCTCTACGTAAGCTTGAACGCCAAGAGCAACATTGAACGCGACACTGACTTGATCCAAGCACTCGGTAATCTATCGGTAATCCATCGGTAATTTACTTTACCACGTACCGGAATATCGGAATCCTTCTGCGGCTTAATGTGCGTAACCCTGGAACAAATGGAGAAAAAAAACAAACCATCGTCTTTCACGGGGGCTAAGCAGGCATGAGATCGCCAATCTGTTTCCAAGATTCTTAGTAGATGGCCCCTACCTCTCCCCCTTTTCCCAGCTTCAAGATATTCATAGCTTCAATCTTAGCTAAAGCCCAGAATTAGAATTACCCATCTATTTTTTCTTCGTACTCCGTACCCATTATTAGCTTTTAGAGGGGCCATTTCCGTCTCCATTTTTGCTCCATTTCTATTCAGCTTTCGTCATCCCTTGCCATCATCTTCCTGAGACGGCATCCATTTACGCCCCAGTGGACTCGGGCTTGCATTTGGCTTGGGGGAGAGCGTACGGAGTCCAAACGGTTAACCGAGACTGGCGCGAAAGCCTCCCTCTCTCTTATCCAGTCTTCCCGGACCACTTTTTTTTTCTCTCCCGTGTCTGCAGGAACCAGGTACATGCACAACTGCATTTACTGAAGGATTCAGGATTCAGGATTCAGGATTCTTCAGGGTTCCTACTACCTTTAATTGCTGTATTCCGTTGGTACATACCTTGTATCAGGCTATGCACATACTAAATCACGTGAATCTACTCCGTACACGTCGGAGTACTCCGATCTCACTATCATGAGCACATCCCCAAGCTCGGTTCCACTTGATCTGGATTTTTTTACACGTGGATCTTTGCAAATCGAACTATGGAGTAAAAGGACAAAGATTTCTGCCAGATCCCAGACCACTGGGCACCATCGGTGGACTAGTTGGAAAATCAAATCTATTCTGTCTATAGTTGCCCCGGTAAACTGGGTCCATAGTACATATGGAGTATCTACTATATACAGAGGCGATCGTGGACCCATAAAGGGGGAGAACTAGTGTGCCTCTAAGCATTAAGGGGTAATACAGCCACAACCAACTATGCTGTACACTCCCGAGGTCCGTACAATCGCGATGTCATTTTGGCTAGCTACGGGGTATAGTTACATAAAGGGGTATTGATCATGTGAACGTTGTGGTCATATGGGTCATCGGTATCAATTATCAATTACGTACAGAGTGTTAATTCATATTCGAAATTTTCATCCCAACACAAGCCAAAGCGTTTCTTTGTGCCGAATATAGCACATCGAATCGCACATGACCATTCACGAGTATAGATGACTGGCCGATCTGCCTCATTCAAGGGTTGGTGAGATCAACAATAGGAAGCCCCAACTCGAGGGCATCACCAATCTCGGTATCGTCAGAGCGTTTGCCGACGCTGAGGTTATCAAGAAGCCCAATGTCGACATCTTCAGTCGCTGCAGCATCGTCAGAACGCTTGAGGATTTCCAAATCATCACCAAGATCAACGCCGTCAATGACGATATCATCAGAGCGCTTAAGGACTCCATTCAGAATGCCGACACCGAGGTCGCCACCAACAGAGACATCGTCAGAACGTTTGCGGAGGTCATTCACAAGCTCTTTGACGTCTCTGATAATAGTGTCTTCTTCGCGCTTGACGTTGTCACCGCCAGTCAAGATTGGGACTGCAGCGGCAGCCACGGCGAAAAGAAAAACAAGGCTGTATTGCATGGTTGGAGGATTGGTTGTGCTGGGCTTAGATAACAGCCAGAGTACAGACTACCATCTGTAAGTTAGTTTTGCTTGAAGCTACTAGTACATTATATATGGTGAGTATAGGACCTACCAGAGGGAGAGTATTTGGATATGGAGTCGATGTCAATGTACCAAAAAACCGGAGGAAAAAAAAAAGAAAAGAACCCCAGGGACTCAGGGATTGTTAAGCGCAGACTTAAGTATTAGATACCAAAAGATCCTTTACCTATCAAAGACCAGTTTAGACTGACGTGCTTCAGTCCGTTGAATAAAGTCCGTCGAGCCCAGACGTCATTTCCGCTTTAGGAAATGCATCTCTTTGGCTTAGGGTAGAAGATTGCGACGGGTGGGTTGACTGGGTTACAGAAGACCAAAGCTAACCCTCCACTTTCATAGATCAAAGAAAAACTTTTAACGCGGTACTGAGTGTGGTGACATTTGTCCGATGATGATCCCTGACTATTTGGGGTGTAGGAGAACCAGAGAAGGATGAAAAGAATGTGGTGATATCATTTCGGGATGCCGAACGGGGTTACTTTGAAGGTACAAACAGGCACACACCTTTCGGTTGAATACATAGAAACACTTCTGTACCAGTTGACCACCTGGGCAGTAATTCCAATTTTTTATAATGAAGTTGAGAATAGACATAGCTTGTACGTTGATTTCGCTTCAATAATCAGTGTGTGTTTATGTGTACATCCGTACATATACGCCACGTCGAATGTAGCTGCCAGAACCTTAACGCGGATAAAGTTACCGCCACAACCCGAGTTTCCAACGTTGCACTCAGCTCCTCTTCGAAAGACCCATTGATTAAATTTTACATGCTTTTTTTTCTAAGAAAAATCCCCGTTGCAAACTCTTGACTCTTGAGTGATGAAAGAAATATAGGCTACGTCAATCTCTGGGCGTTCGCAATTAAATCTGACGAAGTTCAGAAGATCTTTCTCTTTGGGCGTGACCTAAAGAGAGAGAAAGGAGAGAAACAAACCTCAAGCTGTACTAATGTATGTTATCAGCCAGTTGACGGTGAATTGGGCGCCGAAAATGGCTGGGACGCCGTTTTTGGCGCCCCTTTCACCGGGATCTGAGTCATCATTAAGCCACGTGATCACCGGTTAGTTAACTATAGTTTGTCGATCAATTGATTGACCCACTTTTCCAGTATACTCATTCAGGGAGCACTTAGTAGGTAGCTCACCCCCACCCAGTATGCCCAGGGCAACCGATCCAGATCATGGGTGCCGCAAAAAGCTGCTCTATTTGTTCACCGCTTATAGCCGCTTAATGTAAAATTAGAAAAGAAGCTTCTCAAGTGTATTGCTCGTGCTACAATAGATTTTTGAATATCAAAGGCCCAGGGACTCGTCTCCCTGCCAACTCTCATCTTCATCCAGCCTCTTACTCACACGACTCTGCTTTCTCTGACTCGATCAAGAAGCCACCATTGAGTGTAGATATTTGGCGAGATACACTCTGGCAGATACAAAAACCAGTCATCCTCCTCGTAAGGGCCTAGGCAATTTGTGCAGCGAACAGATTCATAATAGTCAGGATAGAACCCACTATACTCCCAATCAATGATTCCAGAAATCATGTACTGGTCGTTATCAGCCACTTCAACCATGATATTGTCCGGCCTGATGTCTCCATGCGTAAAAACAATGCTCGGGCCCGAAGTCCGCGTGTACGACGGAGATAATTGACGAAGAAACTCGACAAACACGCTGCCGCCCGCATGCGGGCTCGAGAACAAGAATATTTCAAATTCCTCCAGGCTGGTTATGGGTGTATTGCTCACACGAACATGCCTTCTAAGATCTTTGCATCCTTCACCGGCGACTCCACCCAACGGGGCCCCTTCGGTAAAGGGCAGGGTTCTCAAATCAGCAAGTATGGCGTTGAGTTGGTTCCTAAGGGAGGCTTTTTGACAGGGTTCAAGTGTTTGCCAGACTTCGCCGAGCGGCGTAGATCGCATGTAAGTCATGAAGAGTAAAGAAATTTTCCCCATGCGCACTAAGCCAAGCGGTCTTGGTGCTGGGATATTTGGCTTGTGATGGGCGAGATATTGTAAAGTGGTGTATTCAGTGTAGTGCTCCATGTTCCGAATTGCTTTCACAGCTATGTCTGCGGAGCATTTGAAGACGCCTTTGTGGCGGGCGAAAGGAGGTTTCCAAAGAACTTCGCTGCTGTGTAGGACTTCAATGATCCTTTGGGAGAGTTCGTCAGAGAGATGTTCCGCAGTCTGGGACACCGATTGGAGTAAGTTTTTAACTGATTCCGAAAGAGGGAAGATGATTTTGGTTGGGTCTGATGGACAAAGGGATCGTCGGATGTCTCCATCGGCATCAGGATTGAACTTTGCTCGCTCTAGTACACAAATATATTAGTTAGGGTATCATAGTGGTTTCATGGTACGTACTGGGAGGGGGCTCGGATGTTTTTCGCATTTCCAGGAGTCGGTTCACATATGCGGCGGGAAATTGCTCGGCCAAGTTGATCTCTGGATCTTGAACGAGAGCTGCCTGTAGCTTTTTTAAGACATGGGCATTGAACTTCGCGGCTTTCGATTTGTTGTTGGGCGGAGAGCCCTCCAAGTCGAAACCCATTTCCCCCGCGATCTTGCAAGAAGGAAAGTTGAAGTCTCTCGAGGTTGAGGATTGAATGCACAGGTGGATGTTCGTGTGGGAAAACAATGTGGAAGAGTGAGTGATTGATGAGGAAGCATGTCCAACATCATCCGTCCAGCGTAATTGCTATTACAAGTTGATGATCTGTTTCTAGGTACCAGCCCTACCTTCTGAGTACTAGTAATTCCAAAATCACAACAAAACCTCGATTTAGTTAACTATAATTTGAATGAATAGTAATCCGGGACAAATACTTAGAAAACAATCTTTCAAGCCTACAACGAATCGAAATTCTCGGACTTTTTTTTCTTTCTTTCCTTTTTCCAGCTCAGATTAACTACAGTCCTATTTTCTTTCAAGTACAACAAAATTGGGCTCTTTCAAGTCTTGGCTCACGAGACTCATGACAGGGAGATCGAGCTCTTCTGAGCCGCTCACATCATTGCTGGCGCCCGACGCGGAAGCCCAGTATAGAGGGGACGGGGGTCGATTTGGATACCTCACATCTCTAAATCTGCTCATCAGGTAACCCACACTCCCCAAATTAACACTTCTTTCCCAACTTTGCCGTCTATCAGGGAACTCGACTTCCTCCAGGTCAATGACTACCACTTTTCCATTATTGCAAAATAAAAAGTTGCCCAGATTCAGATCACAATGCTCAGCTCCGCACATGTACAGCTCCTTGAAAACATTCTCAAGCTCAGACTCAAGGATTTTCTCTGGGACGGTTGATTCATCAAATTTAGCCAGATCACGCAGAGTAATACCTTCGACCTCTGAAAGTATCAAGGCCGGGGACTCGTTGAAAGAGCCTTGGCCAAATAGAATTGGAATCATGGTTCCTTGAAGGTGTTGCAGCCTATTGTAGGCATTTATCTCTTGGAGAAATTCATCTCCCCATTCGGGTTTCTCTTGTTTGACGATGACTATTTCTGGAAACCCCTGACGAGGCTCCTCGAGTTCTATGCGATGTACGGTCGGACGAATTTGATTCAACAGCTCATCTCTTTTCACGGTGAGACGTTTGTCGCCCATGATGAGGGTCTATAATGTGTAAGCTCTGCATTATCAACTAATTCTGATATATGAACAGAGCCTTACCGGTAATTTTACGTGTAAAGACATGGTACTCAGGAGGTGTAACTGTGTAGGGCTCAGGACGCAATGAAGGAGATTAAAGAAGCCATAGGAAGGGATGGAATCAACTGGGTGAATGGTCACGGGACTTGATTACTAATGGAAAGGTGTCCGTCAAAGTGGAGGATTGTTTCATTCATTCAAAGTATTCAGGGTTGAGCAGGGTTGAGCAGGGCATACCCAGGTCCCGGGGAGAGCTCCAGGTTGCTTAGGGCGTGCTAAGGGCGGCACCCGAACTAGCTCAAGCTGTGCTCCGGGAGCCAATCTCTACCCGAACCGGTAGCTCAGCGACTCCCAAAGTCATATTGTAGGTACCTAGTAGTAAGAGCATACATGATACGTTCTTTGCCCCTGTGGAAGCTGTAAACAGCTACCTAGTTACTAGGTAGCTAGGTAGTATTCATGGTTCAGCACCTAATGTTTTACCTATCTCACATTCTTTCGCTCTCACCTTACTTGGCTTTACCTCTACTATGCATGTCTTACCCTTCTCCACCTGATTAGCTACAATATCGCTCTCGGACACACATGTAGAATTCATACGACGCAGCTACTACAACTATGAGACCTCAATTCGCAAACATACGAGAATGAATCACGTTGGTTTGCAACAAAAGCATAATTAATATCTCTAATAAAAAAGAACTTCAAAATAAAATAGTTAGTTAACTACATACTAAGCATTAAAATTAGCTGACTACGCCCAAAGTCTTAGCCGATGTAACCAATAAGCATTTCATCTGCGTATAGCTCCCACATGCACATCTGCGGTATACAGTTACAGAGCACATGGTCTAGAACACTTGAGAGTAACAAGGGCAATGTAACAAAAGTACGAGAAGGAAGAAGAGAAAAGAAAAAGAAAGATTTTAAAAAAGGCCCCCAACATTTCCAAGACACACATAACCCGGAAGTACCTAGCAGCTGACGAATGAAATACCGATCTCAAACCAACAGTACGAAACATGCACGATCGGGACTGCCCCTGCGCAATGCATGCACGCTGCAGCCGTGCCTCGGGAATCGGAAACTGTACATTGAAACCTTCCGTTACGATACGACTTTGGTATGTGTAAGTACGTGGTAACAGACGACTTCACCTACACAACCTAGGAGTATACTTACTCCCTTCCGTACCTGCATATTCTCGTGTCATCCTGGATCCATATGCAAACACCCGTAACCTAGGCTTCGGCACTCATCTTCATCTCCTCAATACTCAGCTCCTCATTTTCAATTTCAATTCCAATTCCAATTCCAATTTCAATGTTAATATACTATGCATACCCCATCAACACCCAATAGCGCGCCTAACCCTAACCGGCCAAACCACCAGCACAGGCAAATCAAAAACCGCCCAGGGAATCGGAAATTAATATAATCCCCGCTTCAGTCCCCGTCAGCCAGGATCGGCCGAATGGAGGATCCCGGGCCTAATTTCTTTCTTGTGCCACCTCCACACCACTCCAATCACGTCGCTGTATCTGCCTCGGTTCCGTACTACCGTTCTTTGCGATTTGATTAATTAGAAAAAAAAACAATATACATCCATGTAGCTAGGTCCCCGGGATAGTGTGAGCGAAAGTATAAATTATTGCTAAGCTTTGGAACTGCTTTGCGGGGTGTGATTTATGTGTGATTGTGTATATAGATCGGAGATAAATCGGAGAACCTGTGTTTTTGAAGGGGAATTTTGATTGATTGGTGGGGAATTCCGTGTGGAAACAATATCTGAAGCGAGGACATTGCGTAAGTTTGTGGAGGTTGTATTCGAATTCGTATTCGGAGAATACTAGTACATACTGGTAGAATGGGGCTCTCCAATGTTACATGGGTTTGAATTGAATTGGTGGGCATGTTGGTTGGCTCTAGTTTGCTGTGTTAACAGCCGATAACGGGGATCCATTCAAACATTGGATGTTCAAATGTCCACAGCGTATACGGAGGGACATTGGATTGCAATTTCCAACATTGAAAGGTTGCCACGGGCAGAGACACATACTAGTAGCGAACTACTCAAGACTTAACATCTAATGAATCAAGTACAATCAAGGTATTGAAGGATAAACACAACTAAATAAGGCTAATTTACATCGAAAAACCATCTTCTCTCGCAAACTGTTTAGGGCAGAGTATTTGACTTCCTTTTTTCTTCTTCTTCTGTGACCATCTCCCCCAAAAACTCCGCAAACAGTTTCTGCGACAGGAAAGATAAGAATGCTAGAACCGGGAATAAAAAAAAAGTAGAGAACTTCAAAAAGACATCTGGAGAGAAAAAGAGATGGGAGTAGCTCAGTCCTCCATCTCTTCATCTTCGGCGGCCTTGGAGGACACATTGCCGAACAACTCCTCGTTCTCGTCGTCTTCGATCGGCTCCGGCACTGTCACTGGCGCTTCTTCATTCTCTTCCTCATCCTCATCGTCATCATCGGCAATGCGGCGAGAGGCTCGATCACGGCGACGGGGTGCTGCAACTTCCTCATCCTGCATTGGCTCATCATCTCCATCACCGAAGAGATCTTCCTTCTCTTCGTCACCAGGGGTACCCGGTGCCTCTCCATCATCCTCCTCGTCCGAGTCCTCCACCCGTTCATTGCTCTTGAACTTGCTTTGGCTCTTACTGGTCTGGGCCTTGGCACCCGAACGACGCTCCAAACGGCGACGTTTCTTAGGGGCAGCGTTTTCACCTTCGCTCTCGGGCTCAGCGCCGCTGCGATCCTGATCATTCTCATCATCGGCAGCGATGAAGTCGTCACCACCCTTCTTCTTGCGTTTCGTGGCGGCAGACTTCTTCTTATTGCGCTTGACTCTCTCGCCGGTCGCCGAATCGTCGGTGAGCTCGGCTTCTTCACGAGCACGGTCTGCTTCGGCACGCTGAATGGCCTGTCGTTCGGCCTGTTCGGCCATTCCCTGGCGTTCTTCGGCGATCTTGCGCTTGCGTTCAGCCTCAATCTCCTGGGCCTTTCGGACCTGCTCCTCGCGTTCCTTAGCTGCGGCCTCACGGGCCTCACGAGCCTGCTGAAGTTTGGCAGCATTCTTCTCTTCGTATTCCTTTTGGCTTTGCATGGCACGGTCAAGCTGCTTGCTGATAGTGCGACCCATGTTTGCACGTTGCTCCAGAGCGGCGCTGGGATAAGGCGGGTTCTTCTCCTTTGAGATGCGCTCAAATGTCTCAATAGCCTCCTTGAGACCGTCAGCTGCATCTTGAACGTCTTGCAAAGTCTTTTGGGTGGACTGAAGACTGTAAGCCAACGAGGCAATCTGATTTTGCACAAAGGCCACATTGAACTGCAAGTGGAGCTGATCAGGGGAAACACTCTGTGCTCGTTGCGCGTACTCAAGGGCGGTCTTCATAGCCACAAGGTTCATCTCCTGCTTGCCCTTTAACCACCATACACGGCCAAGGCATGCGAGAATCTGTACGTCACGAGAGCGATCCTTAGATAGAGCCGTTTCATAATGCTCAATCGATCGTGAGTACTGTCGTAGCTCAGCGTAGACATGTCCCAGGTTGAGATAAACGCTGGGGTCCTTCAAGGTTTCTCGAATCTTCGAGAGAATCTGCACGGCAGTGCTGTGGTCCTTCTTGTCGTCGACGAGAGCGATGGCGATACCTTGCGCGGCGTAAGCGTTCTTAGGATCCAGCTGCAAGGCCTTATCGAAGAATTCCACGGCTCGCTGGTAAACCTTCCGGCGTTTCTCCTTCTCCTGCTCAGTGTCTCGGCGCATGTCACGGGCCGAGAGGAGATGCACATTGCCCATACCAGTCAAAGCGTATCGGTCATGCTTGTCGTGGTACTGCAGAGTGTGCTTGTAATGGCGCTGCTCGTGATCCTCGGCAAGATTGGCAACTCGCTTCTTAGACTTGCTTAGATACCAGCCAAAGAGCGCGCGAACCTCCAGGTTCGAAGATTCGACCTCGTACAACTTGGCCATCTTCTTGGGACCTTCATCGGTGGGACTCTGGCGCAAACTGATGTAAGTCAGTCGAGCACTAGCTTCTGTGTAATCGCTGTGTCGCTCCAAAAGACCCTCGTAGACCTTTTTAGCTTCGTCCCACATGTCGGCCGCCTCGTAAGTCCGACCCAGGTTATAACTGATAGTAGTAACAAGGGCATCGTTATCAGACTTGTCCTCCCTCTCTTGTGATTGGACGCAGGCATTGAGTGCTGACTGGAACATGCCACGGGCCAATGCAATCTTCTCGTTCTGATACAAAAAGGCACCCATGTTGTTGAGTAGTTGTGGAGGAAGACTGTTGCGTAGAAGATTCTTCATTTCTTCTTCGTCTTCGATTCCTTCCGGACGAGCACTCTGAGGAATGCTGGAAAGCTGGAGTTGCTCCAACTGAATGAGGCATTGCATACTCTTGTCGGGGGCATTGCCCTCGTACAGTCGAGAAAGGTAGACCAAAACCGATTCGTCAGGTGTCAAGTTGAGCTTTTCATCCTTCCACATCGATCGCACAGCCTCCAAAAGGGTGATTGCCCGCTTGACCTCAGTCGATTTGTCATCCTTGCTACCTGCCTTCTGAGCAGCAAACACCTCTTCTGCGTGTATCGCTGCCAGGAGTGTCATGGCCTCTGCGTTCTTAGATTGCTGAACGATTTTCTCCAAGCGGAATTTGGCACCATCAAAGTCCTTGTTTGTGACTTGCATCTGCACCGCACCAAACTTGGCTGGCAAATAACCCTTTTCACCACCACCTCGGGCTTGGTCTGAGCGGTTATAGTACTCGGTGGCTCGTGTGTTATCGTTCTCATAGTGAGCTTTGCGTCCGAGAAGATACCAGCCATCGCTGGCAATTGGCATGACATCCGTCTGCTCGATGGCCTTGCGGGCAAGAGTTTCCACCGTCGGGTATTGTTTGCGCAGGAGGAAATAGCCGCCGAACAAAGCACAGGTCATAGGATATTCCTTATCAAGCTTGAAGGCTTTTTGAGTGTATTGTGTCATGGCGATCTTGTACAAGGAACCGAATTTGGGATCAGTAGTCGATCGGCGGGAGCTGTCGTAGAGGTGATACACAGCAAGCAGGATATTTGCGACCTTGGATTCGGGGTTCTATAATAAAATCAGATTAGCCGATAGGTCTAGACAGGAATCCCAAGATAAAAAGAACATTACCTGAACAAGTGCTCTTTCCCAGGCCACCTTGGCTTGGTCCTTGAATCCTAACTGCCATAAACAACATCCCAAACCGATGCGAGGATCTGGGTCTGTGAGGTTTGGCACCTTCTGGAGAACTTTCTGGTACCCCTCTAAGGCTTCAGCATATCTTCCTAGCATGTAGTGTGCTCGAGCGCGTCCCAAAATCGCCATGATGTTGCGGCCACCGAAGGCCTTGGATGACTCGTCGAAGCATTTCAATGCCTGACGTAAAGCTTCCACCCTTTCAGATGTATCAATTGCACCGGGACGAACAGCACGGGGCGGGTATAGGGAGGCACGGAGGAGACATAGGACACCGCGAGCGAGGAACAAAGGTGGATAGGCCGGGTTCAAACGTGATGCCTCGTTCAGGGTTGAAGTTGCCAGCTGTAGGTAGTGATCCTTGGTCTTGGCTTGGGAGTAAAGCTCTCCTTCCGGGGCCACGCGAGGCGCTTGTCGGCTCTTGAGCATCAGAAGCCAACAAACCCAGCCCAGGAGCCCGAGCTTTTCTTTGGTTGCTCCGTGGGCCACGGATGCCAGGCCCTTGTTGAGGATGTCGAGGGCATGGTCGAGTTGCTTTCGCTTCGCATAAGCAAGCGCGATGATGACCCAGAAGTTTTTCGCTGCTCGTTCGTTTTCTAGGAGGGTGCATAATTCGGTAGGGTCTTCAGGAAGATCAAGGAGGCTGACTTCGACTTCGCTGTCAAAGCTGGAGGCGGGGATATCAATGGCATCGGGGATGTCGGCAAAGCGCAGGTTGTTCAAAGAGCTCGGGGGCGAAATTGTCTCAGTGGAACCGTTCGCATGGCCATTTTCGAGAGGTGCCATGGCTAGGTCGTGCGAATGCGCACTGGCTCGAGAGTAAAAGAGGTGATGCGTTGAAGATGCGGCTGGAATGAAAAGGAAATGAGCAAAAACTTTAGCTCATGATCAAGCAAGATTTCCCATCAGCAAGTGACGTTAGGAGGATGCGCAATTCACTGGAAGAACCTTGGAACCGTTTGCATAAACGCGCCAGTGAACGTCGAAGTGACCTCTCAGACCGCGGCGCCTCCATTGAGAATTGGAGCGTGGCTGGAGTATTGCACCGCCACACACCACACCGCCACACATCACAGTGGCTTCTCATAACTTTCCATCTCTCGGTTTTCACCGCCATTTTATCACCGCCTATATACACTGGTAGCTACCGCCTACTCTAGTAGCTACTGTACACGAGTAGCTATCGCGTACTTTATATAGAAATGTTCTAGCGCGTACAAATAAAAACATTCATCATATTATTAATAGAATACCATTTCAAGACTTATATTTCAACCAAACTCAGTATAATATACTGCCTGCTCGCCATGATAGATATAATGGAATAATTGGATTTTGTAACGGCAGAATACTAGGTCTTGGTGCGGCAGAAATAAAGACGGTGAAAACATTGAATGGAGGGATGGAAACTTAGAAGTTACGAGAAGCCATTGTCCAATCCCTCTGCCATTTTACTTTTCAAGTATCTCAATTAAATACTCCACACTTTCGGGATTTCTGCCAAGATGATTGGAACTTTGCAAGATAATTTAAAATATATTTATGGATATATACGATCCAGGTATTGATAGTCTTCAGTCGTGCCTTGGCCCAATGCGAATAATCCAGTAAAAGGTCATCTCCAAAGTAATCCAATCAGTGCAACCAATTACCCACAAACTTGTACAAAAACACCAAGCCACCCAAGACGACAAATAGTTGACCAAGCTCAATCCAGTGATGCAGTCTAACATGAGACTCCACATAACCAGCATCGAGAGCTACTTTCTGTCCAGGAGTGGCGTTTTTAGCGTCGATCGAGCCAGCCAGCTCAGAGGGGAATCGACCCGTTTCCCAATATTGATCCAACAGTTGATCTTTTTCAGCCCACCGAGCTCGCAACCATTCTTCAAACTCAGACTGATCATCCAATGGAATTTCTGAGACAGAGAACCTCCGCCAATGCATGTTTACCGAGGTCGGGGGGCGTCCCTGTAGGAATGTAGACCGGAGAGTAAAGTACTTGTCAGGATAGACACCATTTCTGAAGAACACAAGTCAATATATTTCCCAAAAAAAAATCCCACGAGAAGAGGGAAGGGGCGTTTTCAAAGAAACAAGACAGAAAAAACACATACGGTGGACCCTCGTAGGCGATAGTGCTGTCATAAACCCAGTCTACGGTCCCTCGTAGCTGTTGAAGACAGAAAAACAGGCCCGTCGATCGTGGAAGGATTTGGTGATTGAATGAGGGTAGACCTTGCTTCTCTCCAAATGCATCACTCCGCCGCTTGGTGTTGATGGACAGATTGGTACCCTCGGGAAATATCAGCAACCACATGGGATCATACTGGGTCCCATTTGTATTGGTCCCCGTGTATTTCGTCTTTAACTTTTGGAGGCGATACTGGATTCTGGCCTTGTCTGACAGCCACTTTCGCGCCAGAAAAATGAAACCATAAAACATCATTCCCTGACCCACAACAGGGATCCACTTGAGGGAGTCTTTGAGGATAATAAAGATACGGCCATGCATCACATTGGTGTAGGCAAACCACCACAAGTATACCCAGTCTGTATAAATTTGGTGGTTCGCGATCATCACTAAGCGATCCGGGAAGTCGGCCTTCAACATGCCATCTTCAGATAAATGAAGCTGACCTCGCACACTGGCATCTCCACTAATTCGGAACAACGTGGGGGTGCCCCATTCTGTGAGTGCGGTAATGACCAGTCCAAAGTTTTGTTTTGTATATGCCATATACGAGTAGTACCAGCTTTTGTTGATCAGGTATAGCGGACAGCCAGCAAGCTGGGTTATGAAGATGACTATGATGCAGCTGTTGAACCATGTTGCCAAAGCTAAGGATCGGAGTAGTTGCATCACAATGCCATGTTTCAAACGAGGCTCTGTGGGGGGTTTGGTGGACTGTTTTTGAAGCTCGGTTGCTTCTTTGGTGGGGGGTTTGCGCTGGCGAACCTCGGTTGAATTCATGGCGCAAAAGTAAAAGGCCCTGGATGGGCTAGCAGATGGAGGTATTCTCAAGTGAGAGACGGTCGGAAGCTTAGGACACCTCAGGTAAGTTGTTGCGCAATGCGTTCACTGGTGGGGGCGGAGGGAAGTTATTTGCTTTAGTAGTCAGCCGGAGCTGGCGGGATCGGGGTGATCGACAATCAGGGCACGGGCTCGGGCTCGGGCTGTTGTGTGCTCTTTCTCTCCACTGCAACCACCAAATATACAGAGGTATATCCTCTGTACAGAAATGAATATTCAAGGGGGTACAACTTGCTCTGTATGAGTTGAATACTAAAAAAAAAAGAATAAAGAAAATAAGAATGAAAGAGAGAAACGAGTAGAATTATATGTGGTCCCGTGTACAAACAAGCAACAAGCATAACGTCAGAAGCCCGAGAGCGGTGGGGCCTAATTATTGCTCTCCGCTTTTCTCTGCCGGGGCGTTCTCAGAGCTTCAACTTTTGGTGTCACAACTCCGACCTCTGAAATACTTTTGTTTTTTTCTTTTGTTTTTGTTTTTAAGTATCCTGGACCGTTGTCCGGATATGATAGTCTCTAAGCATATTACTGCATGACTGGCCGTCATCTAACCATGCAGTGTGCCCGTTTCAAAATCCCAGGCCTGCTCCTGCGGCGTTCTTTCTCATCATCTGCGCCGCGTCACGAGATCCGCGATATTAGCGCCTTATCGCAACGTCTGATCCCTAAATACCAAGGTGTGGCTGAACATGATCGTGTCTTGAGGAGGGCAACAAGAAGTTAACTCCCTTTTAGAATCCCAAGGCGAACTGCTTTCTCTCCAGTGGCCAGCGCCTCCACGAAACATCTTGCTAGTGCGCAAGGATTGCGCCCCAACTGTGACTGAATCTCTCATTGAATTTGCCAAGTATGCTAGCCTATACATGACGCCAGTAATATAGCGCAGTTCTCTAACAACTCATGTCCTCCAGTCATATCACCTCCACGTATCCGTCCACCGCCGTTGTTCTAGAATCGAAGACCGCCGCCGAGGTCCATTCGTCCCTATCGTTTCCCGTCTACTCCGCATCATTGGAAGATGATCCAACTGCGTTTCATAACAAGGTGGATCTTACAGTAACACTGGGTGGAGATGGCACCATTCTCCATGCGTCCTCGCTCTTTGCTACCTGCTCCAATGTCCCTCCGGTCCTATCGTTCAGCATGGGGACACTAGGATTCCTCAGTGAATGGAAATTCTCCGAGTTCAAACGGGCTTTTCGAGAAGTTTACATGTCTGGGGCTGGCGCTGGTGATCGTACGCATGTTCTGGAAGAGAGAATACAACCCATGGTAGAAAACAAAGAGCAAGAGGCTGCACTAGAATCTATGGGGCCAACAGGCTGGTCCTCAGTCCGGGGCAAATCGATGGGATGTACCCGTGGAGCCCCCATCTTAATGCGCAACCGTCTTAAGGTTGGGCTATTTACGAGCGATGGTCAAGAGACAACGCCCATTCGCGGCAAAAGCGACCAAGGGGAAGGAGTATACGTCATGAACGAACTACTTATCCACCGTGGTAAGGAACCACATCTTGCCGTGGTGGATATCTCTGTGGGAGGACGTTTTCTGACCGAGGCTGTGGTTGACGGAATTATTATTTCGACTCCGACGGGTAGTACCGCATACAGCCTCAGTAGCGGTGGCAGTATCGTCCATCCGTTGGTCCCTTCAATTCTGCTGACGCCTATTTGCGCGCGCAGCCTCAGTTTCCGACCCCTCGTGTTACCACTAAGCACGCCGATCACCATGCGGCTCAGCGAAAAGAACCGTGGTCGAGAACTGGAGGTTAGTTTGGACGGGGTTAACCTTGGAGAAGGAATGGCGACTGGCATGGAGGTTCGAGTGTGGAATGAGGAGATGCGACATGGGATCAATGAATGGCAGGGCGGCGTCCCCAGTGTCATGCGGAGAAGTATGGGGGATGAAGCGCACGAAGGGTGGGTTGGTGGCTTGAATGGACTCCTCAAGTTTAACCACCCATTTGGGGAATGATGCAGATAACCTTGAAACACCTACATATTAGTATGGTGATTTTGTATTTTTATATTGTTCTTGTATACTACTGGTACATACTATAAGTACTATAAGTACTATTTTTATTTTTATTTTTATTTTTTTCATATTTTTTATACCTAGTAAGGATTTATACCTGAACTGTACTCTATATGTGTACCCTTATACTTGAGAAACATTTCCCGTTCTTATTCGATTCCCTCTTATGTATGAACATTTGAATCTTATATTGCAATTTATGTATGTATTTCTTGTTATGTTAATTACCAAACTGAAAGTACTTAAGAACAAGGCCCAGATTCCTACAGATTCACAACCGTGGATCCCAAACCACGTTGATTGTCGCACTTGAGTCTCTATGATTGGTAGAAGCTTTGTTTTCTGTAGATTACAGACTCCATAACTTCCCAGTGATTGATCGAATTAGAATTTCCCCTAAAAAAATAATATACCAAGTTCGACGTGTAAAATCTAACAACTGTGGTAACAATACAAAACCCTCTCAGGGGAGATCAACCTTTTGCCCCATTCCCGCCCCAAACCACTTCTGCCCCCTTTAATCCATTCCCTTTCCTTCCCCCACCATTAACCCCATCCCACTTTTTTTCCCTTCCAAAACAACTTTTTGTCTTTGGAAGGTCACTTTTCGCATCGAGCTATCCTCGCAGTGCGAGGACCGCTCTGTAGTTTCCCAGGTAAGTGAAAGAAAAGCCCGATTGGTACGACCCCCTGGAAACCTAGTACGAACACGATACGCTCGTTTCGTTTCTCTCACTTCGTTTCGTTTCGTTTCCCTCCAACCCTTTGAACGCCCTACAATTTAATCGTGCGACAATACGCGAGACAAATTACAATACGGATTGCTAACCTGCTTTCCTCAAAGCCGAGCTTGGAGCAGGCCTCAGGACGTCTTGACGCGCATTCCCTTCTTCTACTGCCGCGAGCACTGTTCCCCGAAGTGACATCCGCCCGCCCATTCGGGACGAATCAACAATCATGGGTTCCTATGGCAAGTAAGTAGGCTCCGTGGATACGACCCAGAAAAATTCAATATCCAAAAAAAAAAAAAAAAGGAATCTCAACTTACAATCTTCAACCATGATAGTGGTACCGCGTACTCGCCGGATCAGTTCATGAATCCGGGGCCGGCCCCCCGCCCCCCAAATGATCGTCCCAAGTTGACACTTCCTACCAACAATGCCAACCAGGTGGCCACCTCATTTGGCCAAATGTCCTTGAACTCGCCAAGCACCCCAGGCCCCTCTGGCAACCTCTCGCTGTTCCCAAACACTAGCACCCCGTCCCTGGCCCGGAGCCAAACCGGCGGAAGCGGCGTCACCATTGTGAAAGAAGGCCCCGTTCGATGCAAGGAAGACAAGTTCCTGGCAACATGGAACCAACGCCAGTTGATCCTGCGCGAATACAAAGTCGAGTTCTTGAAGACCGAGTCCGGAAAAGTTGTTCTCTCGTTCCCCCTATCCACCGTCACCGCTGTTTCTCGTTCGGAGGATTCTAAGATGGCCTTTGAGATCACAAGACTGGCCAACCCCAAGGATGCAAACTCAAAGACTGCTATGATCACTCGCGATGTGCCTACTAAGACAATCACTTGTGAGGTGAAATCCGATGACGAGATCTATGAGTGGATCGACAAGATCTATGAGCGTTGCCCTGGTATGGGTGGTGTCAGTAACCCCACTAACTTCAGTCACCGCGTTCACGTTGGCTTTGACCCGCAATCCGGTGCATTTGTAGGCTTGCCTCCGGAGTGGGAAAAGCTGCTGACAGCTTCGGCTATTACCAAGGAGGACTACAAGAAGAATCCCCAGGCAGTTATTGAGGTGTTGGAGTTTTACTCGGATATCAAGATGCGAGAGCAGAACCCACAGTACTACGGTGGAATGAATGGCTCTTCGGGTAGCTCGAATAAGATGCCTACAAGCACATCGATGGGCAGTGGGATTGCTCCTCCCCGGCCTGCACCACCAGGTCCTATGCAGCGCCTAGACAATGGTCAGTCAATGCGTTCAGTATCTTCGCCAACGTCGGATCGATCAGCAGAGCAACAGATGCAATTGCAGCAGATGAAGGAAGCGGCAGACCAAGAGCGTCGTCGAGTGGAGGAGCTTCGCCGCAAAGAAGATCAAGAATACAATGCATCCATTCCAAAGACGCGCACTCCGATGGCCAAGCAGGAGCTTGGTGGATATGGTGGTGGTGGTGGTGGTGGTGGTGGCTCAGACACCCGTTACCAGCCGAGTCGCCCTGCTCCACAAGCGCCTGGCTCTTCTACTCGCAACCCTGGATCTGATCCCCGTCAGCTAACCGCCCAACGCCCGGCTCCCGCCCCTCCATCTTCGCAGAGTCCTTACGGTGGACAAGGTCCTTCCCGCACCCCTGGCAGCACCAGCACCCAGAGTGAGAACCAGGGATCCTCTTCGGGCTATCCTTCTAGTGACCCTAGAGCTCAGGCTTCGTCTAGCCGAGCTCCACAGGCTCAAGGACCTCCTCCAACTCGTCTCCCTGCCCCTGTGCAGCAAGTGAAGCCGTTGAACATTGCCAACAAGCAGCCGACCACCAAGGCCGTTCCTGATGGTATTCGCCAGGCGGAAGCTGCCTTGACCAAGAAGCCCGACCCCCGGCAGAAGGAGGTGCGTATGTCGGCAATGTCCGAAGTGGAGGTCATGGATAGACTGCGCGCAGTGGTGTCCAAAGACAACCCCAACGAATCTTACAGCAAGCAGCGCAAGATTGGTCAGGGTGCTTCTGGTTCTGTTTACGTGGCACGGGTTAAGGAGCAAGCAACATCTGCTGTGGCCCACGAGCTATACAGACAGTACGGACCGAGGTGCCAGGTTGCCATTAAGCAAATGGATTTACGCAGCCAGCCCCGTAAGGAGTTGATCGTTAACGAGATTATTGTCATGAAGGACAGTCAACACCCCAACATTGTCAACTTCTTGGATTCGTTCTTGCAAGAGTCAAGCAACGAGCTCTGGGTTGTCATGGAGTTCATGGAGGGTGGTGCTTTGACCGATGTGATCGACAACAACCCAGTAATTCAAGAGAACCAAATTGCGACCATTTGTGCCGAGGTATGTTTCTCTCTCTCTCTCTCTCTCTCTCTCTCTCTCTCTCTCTTCCTTTCTCTCAGGACATGCCACTAATAAATTTCGTCTTTAGACATGCAAAGGACTGGCCCACCTGCATAGCCAGAACATTATTCACCGTGATATCAAGAGTGACAACGTTCTTCTTGACCGTGTCGGCCACGTCAAAATCACGGACTTTGGCTTCTGTGCCAAGCTTACCGAGTCCAAGAGTAAACGTGCCACTATGGTGGGTACTCCTTACTGGATGGCACCGGAGGTCGTCAAGCAGAAGGAGTACGGTCCCAAGGTTGATTGTTGGTCTCTGGGTATCATGGCTATTGAGATGATCGAGTCCGAGCCCCCATACCTGAACGAGGAGCCCCTCAAGGCGCTGTATCTCATTGCCACCAACGGCACTCCACGCTTGAAGAAGCCAGAGAAGCTGAGCAAGGAACTCAAAGCGTTCTTGAGTGTCTGCCTCTGTGTCGATGTCCGCAGCCGTGCTACCGCCGACGAGCTTCTCGCTCATGAGTTCTTGCAGACTGGCTGCAGCCTTGCCAGCCTGGCTGAATTGCTGCGCTGGAAGAAAGCCACTGGCCAGTAAAGACTTTCAGGCAGGATTGGACATTGTCTTTTTCTCGACCACTTAATAAAAATCTTACCCCGGCATCCTTTTACCCCAGCATCCCTACGCCATGTTCCAAGTTACGAAGAATCTTTCCAGCCCTCATATGAGTTCGATTTAACGTGTCCCCGTTTTGGACTATTCTCACCTTCCCCCCCTATCTTCTGAATTTTGCACCTTTTACGAATGACCCGAACCGAAAACTGCATGGACATCCATTACCCTACCATATTCCCCCCGTGCCTTCTTCAGCTTATCCTTCAGATCTTATTATTTTTTGCTGCACCATACAGAAAACCTGGGCGTGGGTAATCTGGCGTTGATGAATCTTTGATTGCTACATTTCGTCTCTGCCTGTCTCTTAATGTTTCCCCCACCATACACAAGAGACTTCATTCCCCATACCATTTCTGCCTTTCTTTTCAGTTCCCATTGCCTCTGCTTGCTACTACGACGTTAACGAATTTGTGCACTGTGTACTTTGTGTCATTGCACCAAAAAGCGATAACCTTACCTAGCGTCTGTCTGAATTGAAGGCTTTTTTTTTCTTTTAAATTGTTCCTTGATGCTGTTCTGGCTTTATACCGGCCAACACAAATCCAGGAGGTAATTCCATGGTCTTGACAACACTGGACTACATAGCTAGAAGGTAGTAGCTCAATTTTGTTTCTTTCCAGTGATTCGTTTCCGTTACTCCACTTCTACTATTCAGTTCTTTCAGTATTCTATTCAGTTGTTGATGTTCCGTTCGCTCACTTCCACCACAGTTCCTTCACTTCCCCTCTACCCATATCTATCTCAATTACTCATTCTTACTTCCAGCCTTTCACCCTTCCCCCCCCTGCCATAAATATATATTATTTATTATAAAGAGATATCTATAATCTCTTATATTTATATTTAATATTATTTATAACCTGTTACCTTCCTCAACTTCATGCTAAACAAGCGCATCGAGTACCTTCAGTGCGCAACTTCACCTTCCTCAACTCTTATTCCCTTCAAGCACCTTACGGTGTTCAACTTCTCTTGCGCCGTTCAACTTCTCGCACCTCCTCTTACCGAGCGGTGTCCATGACCCAATGTCGTTCTTCACTCTGGTGAACTTCTGACAATCTCACTCCGGTCACCTACAACCCAATATCTCACTTCGGTTACCTATGACCCGTTGACCAAATCAATCATGTTCAACACCTTCTCCTATGAAATCAGTCGAAGGATTCTACACTAAACAACGGCTGCAAGCGTTCAGATCGCTGTTTTCCCGTGGGGAGACTCAGACGATAACATCAAAGCTAGGTATGCGAGACTGCATATTGATGCTGAAAAGTGGCGCGATGGCGAACGACCGACAGCGATCAAATCGACCATCTACTCGTGGGCAGATCACTTCAACTACTACATCTACAACAGTTACAACTTATTACTACCACAACTCCTACTACTACAACTGCTCCTAGTACTACTACTACTATGACAGATACAACTACTACTACTGCAATTACTATTCTTACAACTACTACTCTTACAACTGCTACTCTTACAATTAATATCGCTACTCCTACGACTCCGATCACGACTACCACAACAAGGATCAGAACCACATGCGCTCGATGATGTCCTTTTCAGGCATTGCTCGCGTTGATGGCGAATTACAGTGCGAATGTCTATAAGACGTTCATCATGTCAACTGCGAACTCACCGAATGACACGACATTGACCAAGGCTATTGGTCATGTTCTCAGCTTGCGGCGTTCCCTGACGAAGCTCGCTGTCGACAGTGGGAAGCGTGGCCGTGCCTTACGTGCCTGTCTCGAGGTCGGGGCTCTCGCATACGCTTTGCACACGTACATTGATGAATACAATGCCGCGTGGAACTTGGCAAAAGTTCGTCTTGTCGGGAATCCTTGCGCTGCACTAACGGCACACGAGATTCTGTGCCAGCAGAAGATTCCAAATGTCCATTTTACACCGGTACTTCCACCCATCATCACCGAACCCAGCACCTTCTTCCCTACTAAGCAGGAAACCCGGTGGAGTTACCTTGGTCTGGAGTTTGATGACGATGTAGTCGCTGATGACAAGATCATCGACGACGACAAGAGCGAGGATCGCGAGGATCGCGAAGATGACGAATGGGTCAATCCACTTGAGTGAACGTGCGTACGGTTATTACGGTTATGCGCTATCATCGTCGGTCTGATGCATGCTCCGGCTTCTGCCGTCGCCGAGGCCTGTGGACATGTTATGGCGTTCGGAGAACCATCGATTCCGACTCCCAGCCTTCTGGATATCGGCAACCTGGAAGTGGTTGAAGCCGCGATTAGTGACGTGGCGTTCGATGTGCGCGATAACGGCAAGCTGGCCCGAGGAAAAGTGGTCGATATGCTGGTTGACTCGGTCAGGAATGGATCTGGTACTACCACAACAACAACAAGAAGGATCAGAACCAAAGGCGCTCAATGATGCCGGTATCCTGTTCGCGAGAATAACTCAGGGAAACACAATCCGCAAGAATCTACTCGGTTGGGACGGAGCCGCTACCATCAAGGCCAAGGTCTCCCGAGACAGTGCGAAGGAGGAAGAGGGTTAGGATTCCATCTTCGAAGCGATGGAGGAATAGAAACGTAGTGGTGGAAAGCGCAAGGATTTAGCCAAGTTACTCCGAGGACTCGAAGAGTGAGGAATGAAGAGACCAATGATTCAATTCCGGATCTGAGCAGTGGAACGGGTCGAAGTGAAGACGAAGTGAGAGGAGTTCGGGTTTCGACCGATTCCAATGAACGTCCATCCTCCGACGTGAACACAAATCCCGAACCTGCGAGACCCGGCGAACAATCCACCGAGACCGTCAATCCCTTCAATGTTATCGAACCGAACATGAACCCAAATCCCGAGACTACAGAAGAAAGATGAGGTATTCAATAGCTGCAGAATATCGTGAAAAGAAATGGATTTACTATGTTTTTACTAGTTTAAACTACATTTACTATTATGACCAAGGACAACTAGCCAGAACAGGTAATACTAGGAGATTTTAGGTATTGGATCTCTAAATTTGCCAGCTTAATACCAATTACTACCTGGGAAAGCCCCCAGTCGCGAAATGCCACGGAATCCTGTGGTTCTATATGACAGGAAACCACTGTCTCTGCGATGGAAGTCAAGTGCTGAAGATGACGCAATGGGCCTTTGGCAATTGCCGACCAAGCGAGCACGGCATCGGCATCGTTCGAGTTACGGTAGCAGCAGGGTTAACCGGGGAGGACTTTGATGTGATCGAAGATGTGACTACCCACAACACTGAAACCGGCGGCGACGGCTGGATCTCACGTACCAGGATGATTACTGGACGGTATTGTGCAACTTGAAAACTATCAAACCGCCTACCTGTATTCTTTTTAGTGTCTTGAGTATTTGGGATTGCTGTGGTGAAGACAGATACACTATGGCTCTCTATTGCACCGTATAGTTATTGCATGCGTGTTATGTCATCGATTTCATTTGAATCAGTTATATGAATTAACATCGTAGAAATAATACAGCTTTGAGCTGCGAAGTAACCAGGCATATACACCCAAGCAGACATCCCAGGCCCAAAAATGGTGAGAAAAGAGAGAGAAAAAAAAGAACATGGAAAAGAAGATGAAAAAGATTAGACAGCTGAAGGACCCAACCACCGATATCTCGTATACATACTGTATCAGGACCCGATATATCAATATCCTTGTCAAGGCAGCTCATTTGCTACAAACTGCCTCAGCTGACCACAAGCCTCGCTAAACAGCACTCCCTGCAACACGGTCTCGCCCTCACTAGCAGTCCAGCGTCCCGCGTCAGTGAGTCGCTGTTTCCAGGCAACCCGGTCCTCACCGCTAAGATCCTCGTAAGAACGCAGGCGCTCAGTCTCGACAAGCTGATGGTGGTGCGCAGACGAGGAAGTCTCGATAAGGACGCTCTGCTCCGCGTTCCCGTGATCAGTACACCGGACAATGACAGAGAGAGACTGCGGAGCCAGCGTCTCTAGATCAGCGGGTGCAGCGCCAGCGCTGTGGACGCGGTCAAGGATAGCCTTGAGACTTTCCAGGACATCTGCGTCAACAGTAGCGTCGGCGTGGGGGTTTGGAATGAAATGTGTTTTGTCGAGAGGGTTCTGGCCCTGGCCGCGAGATGGAGAGAGGATATAATCCAGATAAGAGCCCTGGCCCTGAGGTGGGGCAATGTATTCCGAAGCCCAGGACTCGCGGATCCCGTCGGACAGCCATTGGGTGGCGCCGAAGTAGGGAGGGGTTGCGCCGCGGATCTCGGTGTAGACGAGGATGGCGAAGATGATGGCTGTGAATGATAGGAGGCAGACGCTGATGTAGACGAGGAGTTCCCAGGTTTCGGAGGGACCGGGGAGAGACAGAGTGTAGCGGGGATGGCGCGAGGAAGGCGGGAATGGTGATAGTGGTAGGGTGTGGACGACGACTGTGTTACCCATGCTTATGGAGGCCAGCTTGACTCTCTGCGGGGGCACTTCTGGGGTGATAGGGTGGGCAGGGGCAATGAAGGTTGAGAAGCACAATTTTGTCATGGAGAAAGGATGTACATCGCGAAGGGTTGTGAAGGGCTTGATCTTTTCGTAGCCACGGTTGGGACCGTATTCAATTGTCCACAGAGTGATGGAGTTATCGCTACCGCTAGCGGCAATGATGGTTTGTTGTTGACCAACGGGGTTGGTGCCGAGTGCGCATACGTCGAGGCCGAGGCCGATCTTTACGCCTCGGGGAAGATTGCGGCGGCGGAGGATCTTAGCTTGTGCGTCCTTGGTCTTTGGCAGTTTGAGAAGAACCAGCTCACTTCCGCCGCGGTTCGGAGCATTCTGCAAGAGCAGAATGGCACTTGGAGAAAGGAAGCGCAGAGCACGGAATTTGGGACGTGCAGCACGAGCGCCACTGCTGGGTAGAGGGATAGTGTAGATGCAGCGAACGTCCGGAGCGGCATTTGAACGTGTCGAAGACGAAATCTCACCGACCATAACATCTGCCCCGTTGGTATAGGCTACACGGAACCGGCCAGTAGCATCAGTAGTCTGATCAGGGTCGAACTCCAGACTGACAAAGTCGATATCCTCTGCTTCCTCGCTGTTGCTGAGACGGATACGACCAATCACATCCGACTGCGTTGGAGAACCCGTCGGACTTAACAAGACAATCTCACCAGATGGTGCGAGTCCAGTTGTGATAGCACCGACCCTGGGTTCGCTGCTGCTCTTGTCGCCATCGGTTCTGGGTTTCCTCCAGGGCGACAACCTCAACACGCGTTGATAGGAATCACCCGCATCGGCTCCGCTTTTAAACCGAAACAACGAAGCACGAGAAAGCGATTCTGTCTTTCCAGGGATCACCTCTTCCTTGGGCTGCTCTTTCTTCTCGGTGTTGGCTTCGTCCCCCTCCTGTTCCCCCACCACTTCCGTCGGCGTAGGGCGGACTTTCCGTGGCGCGTCGAATCGAAATGCGCGCATATGTTGGTTATTGTTTTTTTTCTGCTCCGCAACTGAGCTGTTGATTCCAGCGAGAACAACGAGCGAATGTTCGTCGTCGCCAGCTTGCGGCGCTGCAGCCAACGACGTCACCGAGTCCTCGTCGCGCGACAAACTCAGCTCAAGAGCCTCTGTGATCTCATTTCGACGTGAAGTATCTAGTAGCGACTAAATCGTAACAGTTAAACCTTTGTAACAGAGTATCTATCTCCCCGGGCAGCTGTGTAACTCACAATCTTGTTCCCAACTCCGCTGCGACCCTCGCCGCCTCCGCCGCCCACGAACAAACGACCATTATCCCGTGGGTCAAATTCAGCTGCGAAGAGCGGACATGAGAGGGTGATCTTGGCAGAATGAACCGTAGGTGCCATCTTCACTTTTTTGGTGTGTTCTGTTCTCTTGACGAAGGAAGAGGACAGATCTGGAATGATCGGAGGTTTCGATTCCCCCGGATTCTTGGCGCGGGTGGCCGTATTGGGCGATGCCGGGAGCTTAAGCTATTAAGCTATTTATTTACTACGGATGAATGGGGCATTTATAGTGAAGGACAAAGGAACTTGGAGATATTTATGAACAAAAGGCAAAAGGTGTATATTTTGTTTAGAGAACGTCAACGTCACTCTTAATCTATTCCATATCCTGACCAGTGAACTCGGGCAGGCGCTTGACCACATCCTCCCAGGTCTCGTCACCATCAGTGAGCGACTTGACGGTCGCAAGAATCTCCTCCTCGCTGGCACGGACCTGCTTGGTAGAGTCACGGTCACGGAGGGTGAGAGTGTTGTCCTTGACGGACTGGAAGTCGACAGTGATACCGAAGGGAGTACCCAGCTCGTCGTTGCGAGCGTAGCGCTTACCGATACTGGCAGACGAGTCATCCACACGGTTGGAGACACCGAGACGACGCAGCTTAGCAGTAAGGCTCTGGGTGAGGGGCTTGAAGGCGGGGTTGGTGGACAAGGGAACCAACAGCACCTTAGTGGGGGCAATAGAGGGGGGGAAAGACAGCACCTAGGAACAGAAAGTCAGTATAAGATGTAATAAACAGAGTGAGAAAAATGAAAATAAGGTAAACACATACACCACGGGCTTCATCACCGGCACGCGACCAGTAGACATGCTCGATCATGCTGTACATAATACGACCGATACCAAAGGAGGGCTCAATGACGTTAGGAGTGTACTCGCGGACATTGTCGACGCGGGTACGCTTCTCAATAGTGATGATGTCCTTCTCAAGCTCAACCTTGCCAGATCCGACACCGGCAACATCAATCTCGATCTTGCCGTCCTTCTCAAGGTCCAGGGAGAGCTTCTCACGCAGGTCCTGAGACAAAGCATCAATGGCAGCCTCGACGGCCTTGGCATCCTTCTTGAAGCGAGGACCGAACTTCTTCTTCTCAAGGTCGATCTGGAACTCCTCGATGCGCAAAGGCTCGGCACGAGTCTCACGAACCACAAGCGGGGCACCGGTCTTGTTCTTGTGCACGGTCAAATCGTAGGCACTGCGGTCGGCACAGCCAACACACTCAATCCAGCCGTAGCTGGTCTGGAGCTCAGCATCCCAGCAGTCAGCGGCGTAGTGGGCCATCTCGTTGGCCATGTGCTGACGGAAACGCAGCTTGTTGAAGTCAATACCCAGCTTGAGCAGGAAAAGTTGGATACGACCGAGGAAGTAACCCAGGGTCTCGTTGTCGACCAGACCAGTCTCCACGGCGTGACCAATGGTCATCTTGGTGGTCTTGGTGCTGCCAGACAGCTGGACGTTGCGGTCAAGCAGGGACATCTCGAGGTCCTTGACCTCAACGAAGCGGGGGTGCTTCTTGCCACCCTCTGGGTCGACGTAGTGCTCAATCTCGGCCATAAGGAACTCACGCACACGCAACAAACCGGCACGTGGGGAGATCTCGTTACGGAAGGACTTGCCAATGGAGGCAGAGGCGAAAGGCATAGACTGCTGGTTGAACTCAAGCAGCTTGGCGAAGTTCAAGAACTGACCCTGGGCAGTCTCGGGGCGCAGGTAACCAGGCATGTTGCTGCTGGGACCAATGGAGGTAGCGAACATGAGGTTGAAGGCGACGGGGGGCAGAACGGCGCCACCGGTAGTAGGGTTACGGATATCGTACTTGATGATGATCTTCTCGAGCTCGGGGCCATCGAAGTTGTCAATCTGGGCCAGAGTCTCCTCGTACTCCTTGACGACAGCATCCTCCAGCTTGACAGCCTTGTTCTCGCCCTTGGACTTCTTCTTCTTCTTGGCCTCCTTCTCCTCGTCAACGACGACCTTTTGGCCGCGCGCCTCCTTGTCACCCTTGAGACGGCCCTCGAGGACCTCCTCGACGAGGTGATCGGCACGGAAGATCTCGCCAGTCTTGGGATCCTTGCACATCCAGTCGGCGAACTTGTCCACGTGCCCACTGGTCTTCAGGATATCGTGGGGGGTGAGCATGGTGGTGTCAACCTCCAGCATATCCTCCTCCAGAACGAAGTGCTTGCGCCACAAGTCGGTCATGTTGGCGACCAGGGCGGTTCCAGGTGGGCCATAGTCGTACAGACCCGACACACCACCGTAGATCTCGAAGGAGGGGGTGTAGAACATGCGACGGCGGAGCATTGAGTCCAGGATGTTGCGGTCAACATCCTGGCCGGTCTTGGTGGCGACAGTAGCCATCTTGGGGTTTCGTTTGGAGGGCTTCGGGGGCGCGGTCGAAGATGCGAAAGTCCTGAGGAGGGACGGAGGGGAAAAAGCAGAGGAGCGGGGGAAAAGTCGCGGCAGCAATTGAGTCATCCAATCACCCCAGGCACAACCTTGCCTGGCTCAAACAACAGAACAATTAAAGTGAATGGAATAAACTGCGGGTATAGAATAAAATGACAGGTTGATTTTGTTATTTCGACTTATTTTTTTCCCCCTTTTTACCCAGCTCAATACTCTTCAATTGGAAAAGGGATCAACACCTTTCGTGGTCGGAGCGCCCATTCACCCGGAGAAATGATATTCCGTGATAATCTATTTTCTTTGCAGAAAAAAAAAAGTTGTTATCGGACGGTCAAGCTCAACCACCTCCGCAAACCTCTACAGAATTCCAGCAAAATGGGTATGAAAGGCAGGGGTAGACCCCCACCCAATGCGGGCCTCGAAGAGTCGAAGCCTGCCAACAAAATGCGCCGTCAAATGATGCACATCAAGCGCAAGAGAGACAAGGACTCAACGCGCCGAGCGGAGCGATATGCATTCAAGAAGGAGGAGTCCAAGAACCCCAAATTGAAGGAAGATCGTTTGAAGCGCAACATTCCCTTGACCCTCGACCGCAAGCGAGTCTGGGATGATGCCGACAATGACGCCGAGGAGACCGGATTGGGTCTGAGTGTCGACGTTGAACGCATCAAGCGGGCCAAGAAGGAAGAAGAGGATGAATTGAACCGACCCTTGGAGGAAGGAGAGGATGACAGCGACGCAGCAGAGTCCGATGCCGAGTCGGTCGACAGTATGATCGCTAGCAGCGACAGTGAAGACGAGGACGAGGAGAAGGAAGGCGAAGACGACGACGCCAGCCGCGGTCGAAAGAAATCGGGTCTGCGTACTGCCACCGAACGTGCTACCAGCCCGACACAATCAACCAAGAGCACCAACCTAAACCTTGCACCTGAAGCTCTCGCCGCCAAATTCCCCACCCTCTTTAGCTCGGAGCCTGCCCCTTCACCCAAAGTTCTTATCACCACCTCCTTGAACTCGACACTCCACAAGGAAGCCGAAATTCTCACCGACTTATTCCCTAACAGTGTGTACATCCCTCGTAACGCACACCGCTACTCGCACAAGTTCTCCATCCGTGAGATCTCCAAGTTCGCCTCAAACCGCAACTACACCACCGTCGTCGTGCTGAACGAGGACCAGAAGAAGCCCAGCGGTATGACAATGGTGCACCTTCCCGAAGGCCCCACATTCCACTTCTCCATCAGTGGCTGGATTGAGGGCAAGCGACTGCCTGGTCACGGTAAGGCCACCGATCACTGGCCCGAGCTGATCCTGAACAACTTCCGCACTCCTCTGGGTCTTCTGACTGCCCACATTTTCCGCACTCTGTTCCCTCCCATGCCCGAGTTCCAGGGCCGACAGGTCGTGACACTGCACAATCAGCGTGATTACATCTTTGTGCGCCGTCATCGTTATGTCTTCCGTGAGAAGCGAGAGACTGAGAAGGCTGTTGTTGGAGCCGACGGCAAGGAGATTGAAGGTGTGGAGGGCATTCGCACTGGTCTGCAGGAGTTGGGACCCCGGTTCACCTTGAAGCTGCGTCGTGTGGATAAGGGTATCCAGCGGGCTAGTGGACAAGAGTGGGAATGGAAGGGTGGAATGGAGAAGGTGCGGACGAAGTTCCAGCTGTAATTCTTTTTTCCATTTTGCTTTTCTACTTTTATTATTGCATGGGGTTCGGGGAGTAATTAAAAATGGGTTTGGGCAATCTTACATACTTGAATTGAATGAACATAATGTCATCAAATACTAGATATCATTATGAATTCAGCCTCCAGACGTGATCTCTAATGTGTGTATCTATCCAAAACTTCGGATTTTGCTAGTTGAAACATAAACTTGTTGACGGTAAGGCTTCCAAATCGCTACAATAATGACCAATCTTTACTATATAACCTTCTTTAGTACGAACTCAAGTACATACGACCATAGGGTGTGGAGAACAGGGCTTCCCGTCCGCTCAGCCGTACTTAAGCCACACGCCGGTCAGTTAGTAGTATGGTGGGTGACCACATGCGAATCCTGACTGTTGTATGTTTTTTTTTCTTTGAAGATCCTGTGATTTTTATAGTGGAAGGCAAATGTGTAAATGGCAACCTTGGAACATTCAATAATCGACATTGAACAGTGCACACATTTGCATGTGGCTTGTTTCAGATTTCAGCTGTACTTCTGTTAAGCAAAAGATAACATACGGACTCTGTATGGAGTACCTAAATATACTAAGGGGTACGTATCGCGTCGTTCAATGTTGGATACTAGTCAGGCGCATTTGTGGTCTTGTTTGCGAGAAAAGAGGCGAGAAAAGAGGCTGAAAAAGGAAATCCGAATCCATACATGTAGCAATCCAGAGCCACAGTTCTGATTCGACGACAAATTCTTCGCAAGAGAGGTCTCGGCCAATAGAAGAACGTTTGCGAGGACAAATGCCCACCGGGGCGTAAATTCTATGTTATCATTTGCCGAGGCCAGAAGCTCTCATGCATGCCTCCCCATCACTCATGCATGGGCTTCTGAGGTGTCAACCCCTGAAAGCATTGATAATTTCGAATGTTTGGAGGTAACTGATGTTGTGGTAAGAACCAATCCAAGTTGAGTTAACCAAGATGCTCCCAATAATTTTCATATAAAAGCCAGCATGAACGGCTTCCAATTTTGAGAGGCACCGGAGCGCAACTCATTGCCATTAAACCACATAGCACTAAATGGCTCCCAATGTACCAGACCAGGCCGAGTTGGACAGTCACCACGATGAGCTCAGATCGCTATGGCTTGAACAAGGATGGAGCGTTAAACGGATCAGAAGCTTCATGGTGGAGAGACATGGCTTTAACAGGAGGTGAGGTGTACTGTGATAAATGGATATTGCCATTTTGGTTCCCAGGCTAATAGAAACGCAGTGAGCAACAGTATATGCGCTATTTCAACAAATGGGGCTTCAAGAAGAACTTCACCACCTCAGACTGGAATTTTATTGCATATCGTCAAGAGAAGCGGAAGCGAGATGGAAAAGACCCAGGTGAAGTGTGGCAGAACGGAAAATTGGTTCCTGAACGGAAAGTGAGGAAGGAAATTTCTCGTCATGTCACGCTATCATCGCAGTATACGGCGGCTCAGACCTCCGGTATGTCCTTCCCCCCTCATTTCATTGCTCCAATTTGACTAATCACCACTCAGAACCACAAACCCCCGAAGGCATTATGGTGTGCACTCCACAGCCAAGCATGGAAACTGAGGTCACGAATTCCCTCGACAGCAATCCGCCGAGCCTGTATCCCACGAGCGATCTAGATATGATGGGATGTGAGATTTCAAATGACCTCCTTCACATCGATTTGAATCCACCACAAGTCCAATATGACCCTTCTCAAGTGGAATTCCCAAATCTCTTCCTGCAGGACAGTGGAGCATTCATCGCAGATCCATATCTCAGAGACTTCAATCTAGATCACACGCTGCTTATACCCGACTTTGCCATCTCGGCATCTTCCCAGGAGTTGGTAGCTCGAATCCTGGAATGCTCTGATCCTATGGGTAGTGAGATCCTTCACGAGACTCGCTCGATCCTGATGGAGTCCAATGCATTCGACAAAGATAATTCCAGAAGCTTTATCTCTGCTCTTGAGCCTATCACGATAGACGACGGAAATGGCAGCTTCAAAGCGAAGGCAGAGTTTATGTTCCACTCACCAGACTCTGATAAGCTGTCTCTTTTCTTGCAACTCTGCATCTTTCTCTCTTCCAACAATTTGCTTCCGCAACAGTCGACAGAGAATCTAGTACGGCTCATAACGAGAAATCGTGCCCACTCCACACTCGAACTTGTTATCAGTTCAAAAAGCACAGAAATCGAGATATTCATGAGCAATCTGCTAGCTGGTGCAGCAGCGGTTGGGGATGTGCAGACATGCCGAATCCTTATCGAGGCAGGAGCAGACATAGACGCTTCCAGTGGGCCAACTTTGCTAACACCCCTCCAATATGCACTCCGAGAAGACAATGTCGAATGCGCAAAAATGCTCCTTGAGGCTACTGCAAACCCAAATTTCACTGCAGTCGATGGGGAGAGACCCCTTCATATTGCGTGTCTGAACTGCAAAGGGTCTGATTCCGTGAAGCTTCTGTTGCAGTACAAAGCTCATGTGAATCTACCAACCATTCGAGACACGCCTCTCCAGATTGCCACACGTCGAGGTAGGCATGACCTAGTGCGCATTCTTCTCGATGAAAATGCGGATCCAAATCTCACATCATCTAGCAATGCAACTGCTTTACAAATAGCATGTTGTATTGGGGGTGATGCTGCAATAGTAGATACTCTGGTAGCTGCTGGAGCGAACATTGATATGAGGCCTGGATATGATGCTCAGAACAAATCCAATTCAGAGCACGATGATGAAGAAATCGATTTGGAATTTGGAGAGCTTGCCCATGGCATTCCAAATCACTTGAAGCCTGCAATCCTGATAGCCGCGGATCAAGAAAATTGGGAGGCGGTTCAGCTGTTGCTGGAGGAAGGGGCTACAATAGACATTGACTGGACCAAATGCTCGCCAACACTTCTTGATAAGGAGATGAGTAGAGCCTTCGATGAAGAGGTCTTACCCGTGTTTAGCCCCCTTCATGCAGCTGTCAGGTCAGGGAACATCACTATGGCCCGCATGCTTTTGAGTGCTGGCGCGAACTTCGATGCAAGACCGGGAGGAATATATGGCTATACTGCACTCCAGATATGTGCCGCTAAGGGAAACCAACGACTCATTGAGATTCTACTGAGAAAAGGCGCGGATATCGATGCCTGTGCGGGTGACTACCTTGGAGAGACTGCAGTGCAGGCCGCTGCTTGTCATTCGGATATCAGTGTTCTCAGTTTTTTAATTGAGGAAGGCGCAGATCCTAACGGTCTGCCTGGAAAACGAGAAGGCTTCACTGCTCTACAGAAAGCTGTTATGGCTGCAAACGTTGAGGCCGTTCAATTACTCCTGGACGCAAATGCAACTGTCAACACAGATCCAGCCCTGACTGGCGGGGCCACGACGATTGATCTTGCATTCGATATCGAAGAAGATGTATCAAGGATTGAGATTTTGAGGCTCCTCCGGCAAGCTGGTGCGCATACTCGGAAACCTAAAAGCCTGGATCTCTCGTCTGGTCTTCTTCATTCCGCGGTCAGACGGCGTGACGTAGAATCAGTGGAGAACCTTCTGAAGAGGGGCGAAAATCCAAATCTAGGGTATTGCAGCATCGCAAAGCGCACTCCACTGCAACAAGCTTCCTACAATGGAGATCAGGTATTGGTGCGCCTACTTACAGATTATGGAGCTCATGTCAACGCTGCACCCTGGCAGGTTGATGGATATACGGCTTTGCAGGCAGCATCTCTTGGTGGTCATATGCCTGTGGCAAATTTTTTGTTGGAACTCGGCGCACAAATCAATTCAGCAGGATCGTACGAGGGATATTCGGCAGTTGAGTGTGCCGTCAAGAGCTGCAATTTGGACCTAGTCCAACTTTTCCTAAACTTGATGCCTGATGCTATATCATCAGATACCATTTGCAGAGATCGAATTGTTGGCCTCTTTCTATGCGCTAAAAACTCGGGCGTCGCACATAATGCGACCACTTTGAAGCTACTGATAGATGCAGGCGCAAATGTCAACGGTACCTTGAAAGTCGGTACCTTGGAAATACCGTTTCTACAACAAGCAGTCCGGTGTTCTAACCGCGACATTGTCCAGTGCCTGATTTTGGGAGGGGCCGATTTGAATGGGCGCTACAAAAGCGATCAAGGCGGCGCTGCAACCGCGCTTCAGGAAGCAGCAGTTATCAAAAACGCTGTTGTTGCTCAGTTACTACTCGAGTGGGGCGCAGACGTCAATTCGCCCGCAGACAGCGAAGGTGGCTATACAGCGCTTCAGGCAGCCGTCATCAATCAAGACTGGACAATGGTGAGGCTTTTGATTTCTTTTGATGTCGATGTCAACGGTGCCCCCAGTCCAAAAGGAGGCCGAACCGCCCTTCAATGGGCCGTGACGAAGGGCTCTCTACCACTCACGCGTTTCTTAATCAGCAATGGGGCTGATTTGAATGGGCCACCTGCACCTTTCCGAGGTTGCACAGCTATGCAAGCAGCTGCACTTCACGGCAACATTCGCATTGTGCAGATGCTTCTTTCTGCAGGAGTACCCGTCAATGAGGCTCCCGCCGCTGAGGACGGGCGAGGCGCTACTGAAGCTGCGGCAGAAAATGGCAGACTCGATACCCTTCACATGCTTTTGAACTTTTACCCTGACACGGAAGACTTCGATATTGTGAAAATGCGAGCGGCGAGATTGGCCCGCGCAAATGGTCGAGTAGCTATCGAGAGGTTCTTGTTGGCCTATCGTAAAGTGACTCGGAAGAAGTAAATGTGTTTTACTTGGATGGGATGGGGGTTAAACAGTGGAGAGGTTTCTTTAAAATCCTCTTTTTGCACATCTTTTTTGGTCTTTTAAACCAACAAAAATGGTCATCTTCAGTTCTAATTTTATAACCAGGATTATAGTGCAACAACTCATTTTATATCATAATTTCAAGATCGCAATCAGACATCTGGATGTAACGTTTGAACTTGAACCAGGTCCTTCCTACAACCTACAGTACTACTTGTAGTAGATACTTTTAGTTTTATTCATACAATATAATCAACACCAAACCAGAACCCTAACTCCATCCAAAATCGAACCCAAATTCACCTGTATATGCATGCATACCACACCCGTATCCAATCCCCCACACGCGAGGACCAATTCACTTCAATGTTGGCACACATATCCCATAAAGCCCAACCCAAACATGACCCCATCACCCCATGTCCCCACTCAATTCCCTAGCCCTAGCCAAAGCCCTAGCCAGAATCTCCTCCCTCCGCCTTGCAAACGAAGCCGGCTTCCTAGCCGTAACAAAGCGCACTCTAGCCGTAATCTTCGCAGCCCCAAGAACCTCCCCCCGAACCTTCTCACACAGCTCCCTAACCGCCTCAAGCGTGTAGCCCGCGAAGCTCGTGAGCGGGCGAAGCGCATGCGCCTCCAGCCCCTCAAGCAGTACAATAAGCGCCATCTTACCGAGGGTTTTCTCCCCGGTATCCTCAGGCCACAGGCCGACGGGAAAGGTGTGTTCAAGGACGTTGATATCGCTGAATCCGGCTGCTAGGAGAGCTTCTTTGCGGAGGTGGCGGAGGTCTCGGGGACGGCCTGAGATTTCGCCCGAGGCGCGGAGGGCCGAGGCGTAGGTCTTCAGGCTTGGTGTTTTGGCATCACCGTCTTCGTCTTCGTCTTGGTTTTTGTCTTCGGCTCCATCTCCTTCTCCTTCGTCATTATTATGCTCATTCTCGGGATCCAAAGTGAGCGTGATGGTATCGCCGGCCGGATCCGTATCTGCAATCTCGATATACCCGCCTGGTTTCAGGTGTGCGAGAGCTTGCTGGTAGACGGCGTGCCAGTCCCTGAAGGCACCGGAGAGACCACGGATATGAATCAGGTCAAAGGGCTCATGGTATGTCCATTGGGATTGAGCGTCCGCAAGTTGAAAGTCGACGTTTGGCAGGGAGACGTGAGCGACGCCGGAGTCGAAGATGCCTAGGTCGGAGGCGATGATGGTGGCGTTTGGGTATTGGGCGCTCATTTCTATGGCCCAGTCGCCTGGTCCTGTGCCGATATCAAGGATGCGCGGAGAATCGGTCATGAATGGGACTAAGGTGAGGCGGCCTTCGAGGAGGATCAGATAGATTTGGTGAACGATGTTTAGACGAGTTAATTCTGATTCGTCGTTGGGCATGAAATATTTCTCATCGCAGTATCGTCGGCCATTTTCCTCGACGTAGGCGAGGTTTTGGGGTGGATAGGAACGGGTTGATTTTCTATGGAGTATTAGAACGACATTGTTGTAGAAAAGAAAACTGGAAAGAAAACTCTTGGTTCGTTCTCTTTAAATTTGTTCCCTTCCTATCGTCTTGTTCGTCAATCACCACTTACATGGATTCCTCTCCATCTGAACTCGAATCTGAATCCGACTCTGGTTCTGAGCTTCCCACTTCGATCTCTAAGGATTTTTCTCGAGTATAAGAAGGGCCGGGGTCCTCCTCTGGCTGAATGGGCATGTCATCCATAACATGACTGGTTAATCTGGCCACCGAGACAGATAGTATTTGCAAGAATTATGCAAGCTGACTTAAAGATTCAGCCTCCTGCAGCGGGTATTTGGAAAGGCAGGGGAAGAAGGTAGAAGGGAAAGGGGATGGGGCCCGATATTGGTTCGAAGAAGGATATCCAAAATTAACCGTGAGAGGTATAGCCACAGCCCACAGTGTCTCCAACTCAATTGTCAGAAGCGAAAGAGGGGCGCAACAGCTCCGCTTTGCATGAACAGCACGAGAAACTCTTTTAGACGGAGTATAGTGGAGACGCGGAGGATACAGAGGATACGTCACTGCATCGTATACCAAAGAGAAGAGAAAGAAGAAGAAAAAAGGTAAAAGGCTTAAAAGATAAAATAAAGAGAGAAAAAGGGAAAAATAGGAAAGGACAGAGCCCAAGAGGGTGGAGATTATAGCCCAAACCCGACAGACTGGGACGGCAGTAGAGAAGAAAAAGGGCCGTTAAAAAGACAGCACCGAGGACTTGGATCCGGGCAACACAAGAAGCGTAAGTGATTTGAGTAAGACCCGAAAAAGCTGGGAAATTAGAATTGGTCCTTGCCCCATAATAAAAAGTCAAATAAAAAACCAGTATGTGGAATTGAGGATATAAGGATTTGGGCTAAAGGGGATTCGACAGCTCAAAGTGGATCGAACATTTGAAGGGATGAGTGAGATTGATGGGCATAATGTACATACAATGTTTACGGGTATACGTTGTGCGGAGTATAGAGTACTTGAAGATGGATTTTACAAATATCCGAGCCGAGAGCTTCTGGTTCGATTTACAGGATGTACATTATGCATATTCAAATCCGGTTTATATGTATACTTACCGGTGGATCCCTTTTGACCACGTATGGTACCACATCTCCGACCCGACAGAGTGGTACTATACGACCATGACACTTCCCCCCGCTTGAGTAGGGAACCTTTGACTTGGGGCCTACGGAGTATTTGGAGCATAAATAAGGGTGCAAAAGTATACTTCAGTAAAGTGCATTACAACTACACGGGGACTATGTATTTTATTATCAGGTTTTTTTTCATATTTTTTTATGGGGGTCCAGTTTGTACCCAGGGACTTCAATATTGCATGAGCACATGCATTCTCATCCCTACCGAGTAAGTGTACGCCGTTATACTTGCCCCCTTTTGTAAACCCCTGCAACTTGGTTAATTTAATCTCGCTTTAAAGCCCCTGAATGGATCAATTAGGCGTGCACAGAAGTCACTAGCTAAAAGGTAACTTAGTTAAAATAGCACAGACAATTTCCGGATCCGAGGTTCTCTGTACATACTGCCGTGTTACACTGCGGTCGAGTGCTGACAGAAATGTTTACATGAACATTAGAATGTACCAGTTTACATCCATGACTACTGAAAATGCACAGAAAATCTATAAAAACCAACAAATTGAGGACCTACACTTCTACATCTCTCTAAATTTCAAAACCACAAGTACACCCCAGTAGTATAGAAAACCAGAAACCAGATATCAAGAACCATGTCCTCGGGTATACAAAAATACGAATTAACCCCTCCAAAGCCCCGAAGTTTGAAAAATACCTAGTAAAAGCAAAACCTAATCCCCACTCCCCGTGCGCGACCCGACAGTTCGGTTCCCAGTCCCGCCAAGATTCCCCAATCCGGTAAGGACCCGCGGCACCTCCGAGGCCAGTCACGAGACGATCTCCCGTCCCTGATCCAGACGGGCGGGTTCCAAAATTCCAATTCCAATTTCCCAATATCCAAAAAGAAAAAAAAAACCAACCCCTTGCACAAAAACACAACTCCCCACCACCAACATAAAATACATGCACACACAAACCCTCACACCGATCCCGAATAACACACCCATAACCTCAGACCCCCCACAACCCGAAACTGAAACTTCCACGCCGGCCCAACGATCGAAAGCGAGCTCAGCTCCCGTCCCGCCTCCGAGCCAACCCGCCCTCAATAAAAATAAAAATAAAAAACACCGCGCAGAAGAAATCATGCGTCCTCCACCTGTTGCCGCCGCCGTCGCGGCCGCAGCCGCAGGACCACCCCGCCGCCTCCTCTTCATAGCCTCAATAGGCAACCAGGGTCCGTACCGCCGAACCAGACACAGCGCAGGCCACATCCTACTCGACGAGCTTCTCCCGCAATTGCGGGCGCGATGGAACAGCGACGCGCAGACCCAACCACAAACACAAACACAAACACCGCCCATCGGCGCATACTACACAACATGGTACAGCCCATCCTTCATGAACGAGTCCGGGCCCAAACTAGTGCGGCAGATGGTAAAGTCCTTCGGGCGACAAGATGAGGTTCTGGGACAAGGCCCGGCGCTGTCGCCTTGGCTGGCTGGGCTGGTTCCTGGCGCGACGAAGACACAGACGCAGGCACAGGGGTACCCTGCTACGCTGGTTATCTTGCACGACGAGCTCGAGGCGCCGTTGGGTAAAGTGCGTGTGAAGCGGGGTGGGCCTGAGGTTGCTAGTTTGCGCGGACATCGGGGCTTGATTAGTGTTTGTGAGAGTCTGCGTGGGAAAGGATTGTACCCTGCGCAGCTGCAGGGGCAACAGGGTCAAAGGCAGCAGGGGAGGAAGGGTGGGAAGGAGGAGTGTCTGCCGCGGGATTTGTCTATTTTGAGGGTTGGGGTTGGGATTGGGAGGCCGGATAGTCGGGCGAAGAATGCTGTTGCGGATTATGTGTTGGCGGAGATGGATGCGGTGGAGTTGGCTGCTGTTAAGAAGGCTGTTGAGCCTGTGATGGGGGTTTTGGAAGAGGAGTTGTATAGGGTGTGAGGTATAGGGAATTCTTGTTTATAACCGTTGGGGATCTCTTTTTCTCTTCTTCTTCTGTGTATATATTGGTGATTGGGGTTGGGTTTGGATTTGGCTTTGGATCGAGCGTTGATACCCATATGAGCGATGCACTTCAATTGAACTCCTTTTGTATCCAGACATAAAATAAACAGAAAAGGAGAAAGAAATATGTAAGAGTGAAAAAAACATCCCGATGGAGATCGGTTGGTCATGTAACATGGCTGAGAGAATCACAAAACGCAAAAGACCAAAAAAAAACCAAAAGAGAAGAAAGTCGCATAGTCTCAGCGAACAGCCCCCATTCAAGCCTGACGAAACCCCGATAATGCTAAGAAAAAAAGTAATAAACATATAGAATAAGGTATAGGTACGTATGGTACTGAATCCCTAGACAGTGCCAGCAATGCTGAGATCCCGAATCTCCTGTAACACCTCCTCAACCCGATTATCAAGATCACCACGGGCATATTGGTCACGAGTCTCGGCATCCAGGTACTGCTGGACCTGTGCCATGCGGGAGTAGGCTTCAGCGCAGAAGCGCAGCTGAATCTTAACGAGAGCCTCGAAGCTAGGATCCAGGTAAGGAACACGGAGATCGATGAGCTGAGGCAGCTCAGTGAAAAGCTGCTCGTTCAGCTGCTCGTAAGCCTGCTTAGCGATTTCGGTCTCACGCTCAGTACGCGGCAGCTTGGTAGCGTCCTTATCAGGCTTCTCGACCAGCTTCTTGACCTTGGCGCGCATAGAGTCATAATCGAGAAGTTTGTGGTTGCGCTTCTTGATGCATTCGTTGACGTCGGGGAAATAGGCGCAGAAGCGGGAAATAGGGTCGAGGACGGTGGCTCTGCAAATCAGAGGTCAGTCAGCCTTGGGCCTTTGGGATTGGTTGAGTATATGCAAGGCTGCAATCATACCGGTATGGACCATCCAGGGCCTTGATGGTCTCGGCATCAAGATCCTCCACAGCTTGCTTGTAGCTTCGGCTCACGCCATCCGTGGTACCAGCGTCACCGTAGAAGGCATCGATGGTCTCTGCAATGCGCATCTGCGACGCAGTCATGGCTCGCAGAGAGTCCAGGTATCCCTTTGCTTCTTTCTGCAGCCGATTGGAGGCCGCTTCCATGGTCCGGTAGCGACTGCGACTCACCGTTAGTTTTTCAATACTTCGACACCAGCCCTACTCTCTCTCTCTCTCTCTCTCTCTCTCTCTCTCTCTCATGACATACCGTTCCTCAATTTCATAATCCCGGTCATTGGTTCTCTCCACATGACCTGATGATCAAAAATATTGCGATTAGTATTGCAAATCGTTGTGGTGATCGTCGCGATCGGGCAGCGAGGTTGCGGGGTAGCATTCCGCGGACTAACCGGTCTTCATCATAACCTGCGTGGTCGCGCGGTTGACATTCTTCTTAAATCCTGCATAAAGTTGAGCAAAGTTTTTCTTTTTCATGATTGTTACGCGATAAACAAAGTATTTATCGAAAGACAGAAGCAGGAGATTGAAAAGTAATGCAGAGTAGCGTTCTTACCTGCCCAAGACATGATGGAGGAGAGTCAAGTGAATGATTTGGAATGAGAGTGTTTGAGCGCGATCGTATCGCCGAGAAATCGACGCCGACTAGTCAAGTCTGAATGGAGACAAAGGGTTTCTCGTTGCGTCCTAAAGTTGATATGACAACTGAGAGGAACAAGCAAGTCAGAAGTTCCGCTCTACCAAGTGTGGCGGTGCGGCTGTATTACATAATGGCTTCCGGATGCGGCTACGTCACAATTTGTGTCTTTCAGGCATTTACATACATAGGACTATGTAAGTACTTAGTAAGATTTGGCATAGAACCTGCACTAAAAAAACATTTCAAGTACCTTGGCAAGTAGAACAGTTATTCATGGGACATTCTTATCTAGTTAATAGAGGTATTTTATGAATAATCCATGGTACACTGCATGAATAACCAAAATTTGCTGTAAGGCTGAAGGATTACAGCGGCTTTCTGCATTGCCAATGTTCTGCTAACGAGAATGCAGATGCCTAAAGACTAAAGGACTGTTGAGATGCGCCAAGACCAATAGTCGAAACAAACATTCACCGTGAATTTTTCATTTTTATGGGCATATTTCATGATGTTATTGCCTTTTGGTTCATGGGGGGGAAAAAGGCCAGCTCAGAGGCTAAGGGCGCAGTATTGCATCAGTTCTGATAAGGCTTGCCGATCGCTGAGAATAGATTGGGGCCAAATTAAAGGGCTGAAAGGTTAACACCAGAACGGGAGTGAGATGTCCGGTAAGAGAAGGATTGTAATGTTACAAGTACAAGACAACCGGAGCTTGACCGATTCTATTGTAAGATTCGAGTTGTGGCTGTGGTGACCTTGGCCTTGGTCCGGTGCCACTTCTGTAACCTGATGTCATCAACCTAAGACACGAACGCCCACTCTAGATGGTAGGTTGAGGAACTTCAATATTACGAGGTCATATGGCGAGGCGCTGATTTCTAAGCAATTGTAGTTGAGGAAGGTTTTTTTCAATATGTCATAATTGTCACATGGGGCTGCTATGCACGCATCTGGTACTATATACGTTGTTTGACAACACAGGGCAACTTCAAAGCCTCGACCAGGGGGTTAGAACCGCGTAGAAGCTGGTCATCATATAAAATACAAGTTCAAAAAAGAGATTGAGAAATGGAGGAAGATAGGAGGGAGATAGGGAAAGAGAAAAGGGAAGTCCACAAAACGCCGTTGTCTCGGTATATCTGCTAGATGGAGCAGACACGAGAAAACTTCAAGAAAAAGAAAGTCATGACTCTTCGTTGCATTTGACGTGAAAAAAATGACGTCCGTTAAAAGAAAAACAAAAGCTTATCAAAGAACACGGGCTTAAAAGATATCAATGCGCCGGATCAAATGACCGAATGAAAAAAAAAAAAAACACACACACACAAGGGCCTCCTATCTATGAGGAGCATTCAAAAGGACAGAGACCTCCTTTTCTTTGAACGGGTCTAAAAGACAAACGAAAGAACCACCCTGAGATGCTCGTAAGAAAGGGAAGGGTTACATCATAAATCCAAAAAAAATCCCCCCCTTTTGCCTCAAAAAAGAAATGTTCGTTAAAGAGGATTGTTACACAATAATAAACAACCAACATGGCTTAGAACCCTTCCTCGCCTGCCTTACACAGTTTGATCTGGCGCACCCATTCGGATTTGAGCACCTGAGAGGCATTTATACGGCGAGAGGGATTCGGGTCCAAAATGGAGTAGATCACGTTGCGGCAACGAGCCTGCATAGAGCTTGTTAGGAGGATGATCCAGCTAAAAATCCAATGTAAGATAATGCTTACCCGATGCAACGTTTCAATAGGCGCATAGCCATCCTCGTGCTTGCGTCCCTCCAAGTAGCGCTGGTAAAATTCATCTTCATCTTTGCGAGCAACACGCCAAAGATGGCGTCCAGTACGCATAGCCATGTAGATCACTCCAGTAGCCCATAGATCGACTGCACGAGGATCAAACTCCTTCTCGATATATTCTTCAGGCGCGATATAAGGCGCAGATCCACAGAGACCGGCGGTCATGTGAGCTTCTTTTTCCCAGGCCATGCGGAAACATTCGCCATTGCCAAAGTCGGTGATCTTCAAGGCACCGTGGGTAGTTAATAGAAGATTTTCGGGTTTGAGATCACGGTGGGCAACACCCATCTCGTGCATATACTCAACTCCGCGCATGAGCTGCTTGAAGAAGCAGTCGGCTTCGGCAACCTCAAGTTTTCCAGCCGAGAGGACCAATGTGTAAAGATCACCACCGGCGCAGAATTCCATAACCTCACAGTAATCGCCCTTGGCGTCTTGTAACAGATCAAGGGTGTGGATGACATTCGGGTGACGGAGGGATGAAGAAATACAGAATTCCGAGGTAAGTCGCTTCTGGTATTTCTTGGCAGTCTCCTGGGGTCTGCGTCGGAATTCCTTCACAGCATACAGCTGCTCACACTTGGAGTCTTGTGGGTCGACCTTGTGCGAGATGCGGACAATTCCAAAAGCACCGCGGCCAACAATCTCCTGGCATTTTCCGTATTTGTCGACCAAGGATGCTGTAGCGTTGGGGCCGCCCTTCTTATCAAGGGCCAGCTTATCTCGCTCGGTTTTAAATTGGTCGATCCAAGTCGACATAAGTGAAAGTTGCTGCTCATCGACCTGGTGATCTTCTCCGCCCTTCTTCCGTCCACCACCCAGCATGTCGCGGAGAAGGTCGGTCAACTTTTCCTGTCTCCTCGCACTCCGAAGGTGATGGGAGTGGTTGCCTTGAGCTTCGGAGAGAATCTCGAAACGCTTATGCGGAGGAACACCATCCTTCTGTTCCTTTCCGCTGATCGTCTTCTTCTTCTTACCGTCCTCAACGATGGGTTCGTTTTTAAGGGATGGTTGACGAGAGGGAGTCCGTGATGAGGGTCTAGAATTGGCAGGTGTTGTCGGTTTTGAGGAAGGTTTTGAGGTCGGCTTGTCCTTGGAGTTGAGGGGAGCTTGAACGCTATCCAAACTGCTGTCGGATAGTTCACGGTGTACGTCGTGCTTCTCCTGAAGAGTGGGTGTTGTTTTTCCGGTGGTGGAAAACATGCGAGAGAGACGAGCAGCCATCTTTGGCTTTTGAGGTTTCGTGGCGGGGGATGCCGGTGGGGGAAGGGCGGCCTCCCCGTTCGCCGCGGACAGATGCATGTCCGCTAGAGGTCGTGTTATTGAAGGTTCTCCATCCCGAGGGTCATGTGAATGTTGAGAGTTTGCGGTAGACGAGACTGCAGACGGAACAGGTGAAGGGGGAACTGGAGTCATGTGCGATGAGTTTCTGGGGGTAGGAGGCGAAGAAGAGGTAGATATAATGTGTGTGTGTGTGTGTGTAGATCTCGGGAGGTGTTCGAGAATCAGGGTCGGCCCCGAAGAGGATTTGGGAGACGAGCGGAGCTCGCACGCGGCTAAGCTGCGCAAAAAAAGCAAGCTCTGAGTCTTAAAGGAGTCGATCTTTTGGAGGAGGGAAAGCACTCAAGAGGGACTCGGAGAGAGCGAGGCGACTAGTCGGCGGGCGGCGGAAAAAAAAGCGGTGGAGGGCCTGAATAAATGGCCTGAATTTGTAGCCTGAGGCAAAGAAGAAAGCAGGTGACGGGGGGAAACGCTTTAGATCATATATAGATAGTAAAGATGAGAAATGGCAACGCTAGACCCAAGACCGGCCCTATGAGGGGTAAGTAATCACATAAAAAGATAATGCCTTGAGAGATTCAAAAGGAGCATGAGATCAAAAGGAAAAGAGAAAGAGAAAGAGAAAAAAAATAAAAGTGGCAGAGACGAGGGTTAAAATTGGCGATGCTACGGAAGGGAGCACATTGAAAATACCACGGGGGGAACGGTTTCTGTGTATGGGAATTGTATGAAATGTAATGGGGATTTACGGGGTTGGAATTTCCACTTTTTTCCTTTTTTCCCTTTTTTTTTTTTTATGGAAATTGTTTTTTGGTGGATTATTAAGGATGATTTAAGCCAAAAACCAAATCCTACTTTGTAATTTATTAGACAAGAAAAATTAGAAAAAAAATTAGAAAAAAAAAGAAATTTCTGGACACACTGCAACCGTGGTAATTACCGCGTAATTATTAATACACTAAGCCTATGTCAGACTGAACTAAGTCAAACCAACTGAACTTTTGTTCCATGAGTCTTTTTTTTTTAAAACAAAATAAAATTAAGAGAAATACCCCGTTCAGCCCTAGTTGCAGGCTATTCTAATCATTCTAGGAGATTCCTTTGTCAAGGTGGTAGCATCATGCAATAAAGTACATTCCTGGTACCGAGTACACACAAGTGGCGCATGCCCTCCTGCCCTAGTGGTGTGTGGGTTCATGTTTCCTTGTACTCCGTACTCTCCGGACTCAAGTGCTCTTTTGATATAGTAATAAACCCCCCATCTTACAAGGAAAAGCCCGGCAGATCCTTGGATCCGGCGCTGGGTCTTCCCTCTTCCGTGTTCGCAGCTAAGAAAGATTAAGCAATTCGCCAGGCCCGAAAATTCTCCAAATTCTCGAAATTAACAGGCCGATCCGCTCCGATGACGTCCCCTGATCCGTTCAAAATGAAAAACCACGTAACTCGCCGGTTTCTCCATGTTTTCTCTCCTTTCTCCAAGTGACGTATAGAAACTATAGCTGGAACCGTTTCAAAATAAGAAAAATAAAAATAAAAACAAAAATCAGGGGCTCTAAACCGTGTAGGTTTCGAGCAAAAAAAAAAAGAAGGTCGGCTATCCTAGGCCCCCTCTTCACTTTTTCCCAGTGGCTTTTTATGAGTAAAGTTGAGGCGAGTGAGGCTGTGCAGGTCGTGCAGGTCGTCTGCATTAGTTACAAGTACAAGTGAGTATCCTCTCTGATTCGATCATGGCCCCGCACCAGCAACAAGAGCCGATGCGCTGGGTGCGTTGTGTGGCGCTAGCAATGGCTACCTGTTACTTTCTATTGGATTTTAAAGCTCGTTTGAGGGGTACGGAATCCGATAATTGAAGTTGATTGATTATTGTCTACTGTTTTTTTTTTGGCTTTGGCTTTCTCTTCCCGGGAAATGAAAAAAAAGCCATTGCTCCTTTTTTACCCCACGGGACAATGCAACTGTCTAAGCGCCTTCTCCCCGCTATACTCGATTCCTCTACTCCGTACAAAGGAGTAAGGTGGCACATGGATACAGTAGGTGAAAGTGGGATTTTACCCATGGATATTTGATACGCCCTATATAACCCTAGAGACTAATGTATGTACAATCCAGGATGATGCATGATGTTTGGGCCAACAGAGTAACAGTGCAGTATGCTTGGTTGCTCCAAGCAGAAATGATATCCAGTAGAGAATCAAGCCAAGAACTCTGCCCCTCAAAGAAATCGAAAGGAACCAATGTGATTTTTGTAAGATTTCCACTGATCATCTATGGATCACCGATGGCCAACTTCTTCACTCCTCCACGAATCATCCAAATGCTCTGTCGAACAAATGATAGTCCACATTGCCGGACGATCCCTTTATGGGGGGGGGAAGGTCAAAACGATGGACATCTTCCTCATTGGGTTGCTCACAGGCAATTCTGCGTGGGGTCCCTGTGCGATGGGGTCATCCTTTAAGAGTAAAGACGAAGTGCGCCCCTCTTATTCGGGTTAGATGACGGCATTTGCATTGTAACGGATATCGGACCACAAAAGCCAAAGAGGAAAGAGGGAAAAAAGTATTTTTAAAAAATTAACACATAGCATGATATTCTGTCAGGAAAAGAAAAACAGGAAACATTTGAAGCAAACTGTAGGAGAAAAGACCGTGTGAGTGATAAATTGGAGCCTATCAGGAAAGCACGAAGTGTGCGATCGAGTTCGATTCGTAGTTGTGCTTCACCGTCTATTTATCTATACAGCTTTTGATTACATGTGTAGTTGAAACATTGAATGGTTTCAATGTTAATACTTGTACAAGTATTGTTGGGTTTATACGTCCCCTAATCACTTCCAATCACTTTGATTCTTAACATATTCTCTAAAATAACCTTCACTCTGTACTCTCTTTGCTCTGATCTTTGCTCTGGATGATATTGTACTATCAATGGTTTATGAAGGTTAGTCATCAAGCCTCGGTTCTACACAGAGCCATCTCTCCACAACTCTTTATATACGAGGCATTTTCTTCACGCCAATAAAAAACATCTGAAGGGAGGGGCCATATATCCTGTATCTCCTGCCTATATTATTTATTTTATAGGATTTCAGATAAAGAGAAATCACAAATGGCATGTAGATTAAAAAGAAGTCTACAAGATTAAACGATAACTATACAAGACTGATGTCTTTCGGTGTTAACAACTCCACCCTAGTTCATGTCATACGTGCTATCTACAGTATCTATGCCTAGTAGAGGTATACCCCATGTCAATCATGCCTCAAGACTCAAGATTCACGATCCAAGATCACCTCAAACCCCATTTTCCCATTTTCCCAATTCCCATTTCCCATTTCCCTCCCAAACCCTCGCACACGACAGCCCCTCACAACCCCACCATCCACAAGCGCGGGTGACACGCCATAGCTCCGGGTACAAAGTCCTCGTCAAAGCTTTTTTTTCGCTTTCCACTGGACCAACGCCAAACAATGCTGACCGCCAGTTGAGAGGCGCAGCGGACCAAAGGGAGAAAAAAAAAACAAAAATCCAAACCGGAGTAATAAAATAGTCAAAGTAAAACTACACTAACACACAAAAGGGAAAGAAAAGAAAAAGAGGGACCTTGACATGGTGTTTGATAGAATTCAAAGTTACCTAAATCTTTGCGAATTTAGTACCTGACAACACATCGCACTAGAGGCAATGTAGCAAGGGAAACGAAGCGAGGCTAAAAAAATGCAAAGATTAGAAATCCTGTGGACTGGTTGCTTTCGCTTTCTACCGTAGGACAAAGGTAGATGCATGTCAGGGATCGTCTGCAAGCTTCGACTTGAGAAGTTGAGCTGAGCTCGACATGCATGCAGTAAAGAGTGCAGGAAGCTCCGAGCCGTGCTTGCTTTTTTTTTATTTTTATTTTTTTTCTTTGGGATTTGTTTTTGCTTTTTCTCTAGGTTCGTGTTGTATAGTCCGTACATGTAGATATCTTATATGGCGCAGCCATTGGAAGGTTTAATGGCGCAACGCCTTCAAGTATCAATTGATGCGACATGTAATATCAAAGGTAATACAACCGTGATCATAGGATGGTTTCTCATGCATAATTAGAGCCACCTATAATAACGGAGAGGGAGTAATCTTGGCCTAGACCGTTTTTTTTTGACTTACTTTTCCCCCCATCGGCTGCATCAAATTTTGAGCATTGAGATCCCAGCCTCTACTGCATAGCCCCGAATCTTGAATGCCGAGTCTTCTTTGTTTCACACCGAACATGTGCGCCTGCAAAGGACTCTGATAGCTGTGAGAGTCAGTCCGTGCATAGACCATGGCCCAGATTCCAAGGAGCCTGCTTTATCTTTCCTTGGCGACATGAGCAATCGGACTAGACCGACTTGATTGGCCACCCCGGATAGAACAAGTGCGGCTTTTTTTTTTACATTGTGCAGCTAGACCTTGGTAACTTCTCGGGAGCGCGGGAGCGATGAGTCAAAAAGAAGGGGGGCAAGAAGGTTCACCAACTGCAGTTGAAGGTAAAAAAAAATTATCCACTTCGACATTTAAAGTATTTATAGATTTGATAGGTGACTGGTGGAATCAAGATCACTTCGGGTATTCCAATGAATTGTTGTCATGAACAAGGATAAAGATGATACCAATTGAACCGACTACAAGATTCCGATTTATCCCGTCTTCTATCGGTAGCTATCTTCGGTCCTTCCCCTAGTCATAGAACGTGAGCTATAGCCATTCGAAGGCTTGTGCGAGGACAATCGCTTAATCCAGCCATCGGGCGTTGGCGCGTGCGCGCCACGTGGGAGACCAGGCGCACTGAGTGGCAGCCACCGTGGGTGGGAGAGAGAGAGAAAAGTGGTATGGGGCTCTTATCCCTGGGTATGCCGTCCGTGCAGGTACCCATGGAGCCACAACAAATCCCGCGGAGGTAGATAGGATTGCGGTGTGCGTTGTCTGCTGTCGGGTTCCGGATCCTGTTTAGGGGGGAAGGGAATCGGCGGTCATCCGTGATATAGCGAAGCTGGCCCAAACTTGTTCCTCCTGTGCAACACAAGTTCCTAGATGGTTGGGCTGGCAGCTTGGAACTGCTTGGAACTGCTTGGACTCTTGAATCGAGAGGTGGTTGATCACGCTAGAACCCGAGTCTGCTAGCAGATCAGAAAACAAGTCAACAACACAAGGGCGAGATGGAAATTATGAATCGACACAACATACCACGAATTGTTCTAATGATTCTTCAAATAGCTCATTGTTCACACCCACGCCACCAGGGTGTTCGACTGGAGACAATGGGTTTTTGACCACTAAATTCAAAAGATTCAAGTCAGAAAGCTTGTGCGACAAAGAGTTTGAGGTTCATCGGGTCTCACGAACCATATTCCACAAACAGATTGATATAGATCTGTTGCAGGGCGATACGCATGCTTGGGCTCTTGAGATCCGTCACCATAACGAATTTGATATTTGTCGGGGTTTCATAATAGTGCAGCTTGTACTGGCTGGTGGTGTATGAGATGAAACTATTGCCATTCGCCATTAGCGCTCGGGATTTGGAATTCCGCCAATGTTGGGTGGTTGGTCTTACTTGTCATCGTCACCTCCTAGCTTGCGCACCATGTTTCGCAGTGAGAACACGGTACCAAATACCAACTTCGCATCGTCATCGCTTGCTCGTACAGTCTGACCTGTTGGTCCACCTTGGGGCTTGCCCACGACGGATGTCGGGCGCGGAAGCCATCGGCGCTTGTAGATGCATTCCGCTGAAACATGATTAGCGGGTCTGCCAAACCGAAAGTGGGTATTGATCAGGGAAGGGGACATACCATGGCGGTCAAAGATATAGAAGGAATAGACAGTCATGACGGGCGTAAACGCGAAGAGGCAATTGTCCTGTGTCCTGACCGAGGTGGTTGTTGATGTTCAGGGGACTTCTCGGGCGGTGAACCGGGAGTAATGACAACAGATCACTTTATCGATAACGGGTCTAACGACGCTGCCTAGCTAGACAAGAGAGAACGCAGACTTCTTTTCTGGTCTTAGTGTCACCTAAAATTAGGGCTTGCTCACTGAGCTCCTTCTTTGATATTATTCCCTTGCTTGAAAAGAATAATAGTCTTTTTTCCCATAAAAAAAATACTTTCTCGTAAGGCTGACTTACACTGCATCACACGTTATCTGAGCCCCCGCTCTCTCTCCCCTCTTCTACCCCACACACATCTTTCCTCCCACGTCGTTTCATCTTCCTCCATTTTGTCGAGTAAAAAATTTCGGAAATGGACGATTGTCCTGAGACTCCCTGTGAGATCTCCGCGGAGCCCGAGGTGGACTCACAAGCTGTTGAGTCGGGAGACCCACCGCCACCCCCAACTCGAGTCGAGTAAGCTCCAAAAAGATCACCCAAAAAATAAGCCATTGTCCCTTAAATTGGGATGAATGACTGACCTTTGTTACTCTGTAATCAAGTTCCGCCGCATCCTACGAGAGTCTTGACCGGCATCGGCGACGAAACCCTCGAACAAGGCGCCCGGTGAAGGTTGGTGTTAAGGTGTTTCTTGATGCGTGACAGACTCTGCGAGACTGATCATGTTGCGATTAGGAAACTCTGGACGCTCGCTCCCAATACACGACAAGTCAGGATGATGGCACAGCTGAGCACCGTATCAATCAATACATTATCAAGCAGGAGATCGGGCGAGGATCCTTTGGCGCGGTCCATTTGGCGGCCGACCAATATGGAAATGAATATGTACGACTACAGAACCCACGATCCACAAGTTTCCGAAGGGACGAGATCCAAAGTATATGGATATCTGCAAAGAATGAAGCGCTGATAATCTGCGTTAAAGGCAGTCAAAGAATTCTCCAAATCGCGACTGAGGAAACGCGCGCAGTCGCATATGCTGCGGCGGCCCCGAGGACCTCGACGACATGGTACCGGTATGAATCTTCCCAATTCGCCATTGCACCGGAACCCCTCCGAAGACGACAATGAGAATGCGAAAAATCCGCTTTACCTGATCAAGGAGGAGATTGCGATCATGAAGAAATTGAACCACAACAACTTGGTATCCCTGATGGAAGTATTGGATGACCCGACCGAAGATTCCCTATACATGGTAATGGAGATGTGTAAAAAAGGTGTGGTGATGAAAGTCGGATTGGAGGAACGTTGCGATCCTTACGATGACGAGCTCTGTCGATGCTGGTTCCGTGATTTGATTCTGGGAATTGAATATTTGCACGCGCAGGGCATTGTACACCGTGATATCAAACCGGACAATTGCCTAGTGACCAGCGACGATGTACTCAAGGTGGTGGATTTTGGTGTCTCGGAAATGTTTGCAAAAGACTCGGATATGTACACGGCCAAGTCCGCTGGCTCCCCTGCGTTTCTGCCGCCGGAGTTGTGTGTTGTGAAGCACGGTGATGTCTCGGGAAAGGCAACGGATATTTGGTCTATGGGTGTCACGCTTTATTGTCTTCGATACGGGAAGCTTCCATTTGAGAAGTCAAGTATTTTTGAATTGTACGAGAGCATCAGGAGTGATCCGGTAGTATGCGAAGATGAGCAGGACGAACGTTTTACGGATTTGATGAGTCGTCTTTTGGAGAAAGACCCGGCAAAGCGCATTGATATGCGTGGTCTGAGAGTGAGTGACACTGATTTTTGGTTCTTTGTCTTGGAATTCATTCTTACGCATCTGCAGGAACACCCGTGGGTGACAATGAATGGAGCCGACCCTCTTCTATCTGAAGAGGAGAATACAGCCCATAATGTCGAACCACCAACCGAGGAAGAAATGAACGCCGCCATCACCAAAAGCATGAGCCACGTCATGACCTTGGTATGTTTGTCTTTGATCGGATCCGGTTGGGGCTTTTTTTCTAATCCAAGTCTATTAGATGAAAGCCGTCACGAACTTCAAGCGTTTGGTTGATCCAAATAGAGCAGCTCCTGCTATGCAAAGTATTCTTGGTGGAGACCATGAGGCGCACTTTGTTGAGCCACCCATGGAAATGGATGCCGATGAGGAATTTCCGACCGTCGGACTGGATGAAAGTGTCACATCTCGCCACGGGCCAGGGGGTGGTCTCCGGAAAGTTTTAGGGCGACACCCAGTGCTCGCTGGATCCAATCGTCAGGAGAACTCATCAACAAGCGACTCAGCAAGTATATCGTCTCGACCAGGGCAAAGCCCCGTTGGTAGCAAACGACCCAGTGGAGTCTTTGAGCCAGAATTGAAGGACTCTGGGTCAATACGCACTGGTAGATCTCCGGCTGATTTCGCACGTGGCGCGAGGCAATCATCACAGTCGGGATCTCCAATGCCACCGTCTCGGGCCAGCTCAGCAACTACTAAGCGTAGTGTTGAAGGAACCCGTGGCCATGCACGGGATCCATTGGAAGAAGAATTCCCGTATCTTCACATCGGGCCATCCACATACACGGGATCTTCACAAGAGCCCACCGATCTCAATATTGGAAGTGACCCGGCACCTCTTGTTGAAGAACCAACTAATATGGATCACGATCTGGAAGGGGACTCGGCCGCTCCCGTGCATTTTGTCAGCGAATCGCCAGGAGCCGCTGAATTCGACATTTACGACACGGCTTATCGACAGGAACTTGAGCGGATCCAGACCAGCTCCAATCACGTCAACCCCGGTGTCGGACCGAGGGTATACCTGACTCGTCGTATCGAGAACAAAGACGATGTGCTGAATTTTGCCAAAGAAAAGGCCATTGATTTGCAAACTGGTACAAAGAGGTTCTTCTCTTCGCCGGTGGCCAAGGGCCCGTCCTCGGCATTTAGTGCAGCCGTGAGCTTGCTTCGGAACCAGATAGAACAGAAGAAAGAAGCGGATATTAAAGAGGCACGGCAACAGCCCACTGAACAGCCGGCCGGACGACGGACATCCAACCCGCCTTCAGCGTCGATCGTATCGCAATCGATCCCAGGTCCTGAATCGTCATCTGTCGAGGCAACAGGAGTGCCTGTCCCAGAAGCTCAGACTGGCGAGGACTCCAAGGCTCAGTTGCGACGACTTCTTGGTCGGGCTCGTGACAAGCTTGGAGAGTAGTGTTGTATGTGAGAGAAATGGACATAGGCGGAATCATTCGAATAATCCCAGCGAAGGCTGACATAGCACTACTGAATTGAAAAGATATTAAAGCTCACTGTACATTATAAATTAATCATCTTACACGCATAGTAAGTCACAAAACAAGAGAAGATTTGATAAAAGAGCGCAATGAGAAAAAGCATTGAAATTTGGCAATAAAAGAAATGAACGAAGATGATCTGAAAACATGAACCATAGAAGTGCTCAGAAAATAATCAGGTATCAAAAATCTTATCATATCCGAAACCAGTAAATAATGAGAGTATGTCAACAGGGATCAGCAGAACAGTAGTGCTGATCATCATAGTATCGCTTCAAGTCAAGTCAGCGACGAGAAAGGAACATCTGGAAAAAAAAAAAAAGAATAAAATAAACCATTAAATAATACAAGACCCAGCAGACCCGTATAAAATAGAATGCAGGCCGGAACAAAAATCAGTAAAAACAGCCAGAATCAAAGGCATAAAAGTTGAAGGCTCAATAAGCCGCCGTCGCCATGCAAGACATTCGTTAGTTGGTGCATGTCACATTACGCTGGGCAGGACAGAAGAATAAAATCAAGTCATATCAAAGCCAGAAATATAAGGTGAAAGGAAGAAGGAAGAAGAGGAAGCAGAAGAGGTGACAAAAAAAACCTCAGGGCGGGGGCGCAAAAAAAAAATCCAGGAGCAAAAACTTCAGACAAGGGGCATAAATAAGCGCTTTGCAGAGAACGAGCAAAAGGCCTAGCCCAAGCCAAAGCAAGTTGCATCAGCATCAGCATAAGCATCAGCATCAACATCATAGACATAACACTTCGTTTTTCGTCTGGTCGTAGAAACTTGAAGCTGAAAAGGGGACAGGCGGAATCTTCGAGTGTGAGCGTGGATCATGACACATTGTTAGAGAGACATCGAAATCGAGATTGCAGCAGATCGGATTGGCGTGGAAATCAGATTGGGGAAAAAAAATAGGGAGTGTCGTTGGTGCAGTGGGGACTTGAACACATCTGTCCAAGTCTCGTCTCGGAGGTCGCTGAAGAGCAGAGCAAACGCTAAAGCTGGAGCTAACGCAGGCAGACACAAAACTGAAACGAACGCGAAAACGAAAACGAAAACGCAAAACAATAGCGCTCCGCGAAACGCTGTCTATTGTTCATCATTGGATTCATGGAATCGTTGCTGGAGGGGGCGGGGGCGCAGAGAAAGGCGAGCAAGGCAAGGGATTGTCTGTATGTTTCAAAGTTTGTCGTGAACGTCGCATCAATGGGAGTCAAATCGAAAGAAAATCACAAATCACAAATCACAAATCAGGTGCAAGTGCAGTCACAGTTTCCAGGATCAAGTCCGCTTAGATTATAATTATCGAGGGTTCTCGCCAGGGGTATTACTTGCGCGTCTGTCATAAGGTCCCGGTCCTTGCCCCTGTATCGGAGCCGACGACCCCGGCCCCGGCCCAGGTCCCGGTCCCTTTGGGGTTGAATCCCCCCGACTGGTAACCGAGTCCCGACGACCACCTTCAGGCGAGAAGCGGTCCTGGATGGCATCATATGCACCCCGTTCAATAGGGGCAGTGTGGAAGCGAGGAACGTTATCTCGAGCAATGTTCTCTCGCGGACCGAGTTGCAGAATACGTGGGGAGGGAAGGGGGCCCATTTCTTGGAGGCGGGGCAATTCTCGCATTGGACCCATGGTCCGCGTCGGCACGTCCCGGCGTTCTTCGGGGCCCGGTAAACTTGGTGCTGGGGCAATTGGGCGAACGCCCGTTTCATACGGAGTGCTAGTACTGGGGCCAGCGGCCGAGCTAGCTGTACTTGGATTCGGGTTCGGGGTTGAGCCTGGGCCAGGCGCACTGGGTTGAGTGTGTCCGGGATGCGCATAAGCTGCGAGTGGTACGCTGGGACTGCTAGGGGACGGAGGGATCTTGGATCTGCCGGAGCCGGATCGTCTTGGAGGCGGGTAAGTCTCCCCGCGAGCTTCGGCGGCGGCTTTGCGCCGTTCGGTTTCGAGTTTGCTAGGACGGCCTCGTTTGCGGGGAGGCTCGCCGGGGTTTCCTGTGGCGGGACCTTCTAGGCGTGGGGAGAGCTGGGCTGATGTTCCACTTTCACTGCTGTACGAGGCGACGCTGGCTGGTGGTCTTGGTTGGATGGCGCGTGGTTTATTCTCGAAGTACAGTGGTCGTTTGCGCAGGTTGGGATCTATGGGTGGTGCTGATGACCTGATTCCCTCTGGACGGGCCATTTGGACCGGGGCGGACACTGCCGCCGTAACTGGCGGATACTGGTGGAACTGAGATTGCATGTTGTCAAAGACCATTTTGCACGAGCTCATGGTGCGACCTATATGTTCCAGAGGATTAGACATTGGCGGGGGACTTGTTTCTTCTTTCTGGCATGGGGTTTCTCTTTTGGTGCCATTGAAATTGATCCCAGGGGATGAGAGGGGATTGTATACCTGGCGGAAGAGGGATATGATCCCAACTGGGTTGAATGCGATGCTCATGGATCATGCGAACCAGATAGCTGGATGGAATACCGGCCTTTTTGAGGATCTCAGTGAGTAGGAAATACTATTGATCTTGTCAGTCTCGATTCTTTGTGTGGGATTTTGGTTGTTTTTTTTGTTTTTTTTTGCAACGATGCACGATCACAATACATACCTTCTCCCCCTCGGTCCATGGCCTATCTGATGGATTCGACATATCCAGACCATGGAAGCGGACAAGTTGATTCTCCTTTGACTTGTAGCAAGATATCGTGACAGTATGAAAACCAGTACTAGCAAAGCCCCCCAACTTAATATAGAAGCAGATTTATGTATAAATGAAAAAAAAGCGGAAGATTCCCACAAACAAGCACAATCACCTCCCAGACCAAAGATTTCAATCGGAGCGAATGGCGGGTCCAGTAGAGAAAGGCCAAAAGATAGATGACCAACAACACACGCGGTTGACACTTGGGAACACCCTCAAGAGAAGGGGGAGAGAGAGAAAAAAAAAAAAAAGGGAAAAAGAAAAAAGAAAGTAGAGAAGACCAATTCTTATGTGGCCATGCTCCCACGAGGAATGTCAGTAAAAGAAGAAAAAGGAGTGACAGAAAAGAATTGAAGGCTTTTCAGCCAGTGGAAAAGAGGAACTCGAAGCAAAACAAAACGCGGTCCATTCAATTCCCGGCTCGAATTGGTCAACACGGACTTGAGCCGGGATCGCGCAGGAACAACGCGTTGGACCGGGAAAGCTGCAGGGACTAGATTGGGGAGGGGGATGAGGGGGAAAAGGGAGAGAGAAAGAACAAGAAAATCAAACGGGTGCAGGTTTACAGGTTTGCAGATTTGCAAGAAAGCAGTTTCATATCTTCCAGAAGACTTCGAAACAAAATTACCACTAAATCACGGCTCAAACATTGGTAGGTTCGGGAATAAAGAGGGGCCAGAAAAAGTAAAAAAAAAATAGTAAAAAAAATGGTGAAAGAGGTTAGAATGAAAAATGAAATCTCCAATCAAGTATAATGTCGAAATGAAATCAAAGAGGAATTAAGAGAAGGAAATAAGAAAATAAGGAAAAATAGGAAATCAGAGGGAAAACATATATAACAAAAGAAAAAAAGTAAAAAAAAAAAGTCAGTAAACCAGTTGACCTATAAGCCAAAACCAGATTACCAAAAATACCCAAATACAAACATCCCCCTATTACATGCAGGATGAACAAAAGGGAAGAAAAATTAGAAAATAATAAAAATAAAAATACAAAAATACAAATAAAAACCAAAAAAGGTCCCGTTTCATGATTCGATCTGCGTAACTCCAATACCTCAGACTATGGCAGTTCCAGAGCCAAGGTACGCATTGCGGGAAGCCCAGTGCTTTTTCCGGTTCTAAACCGTGCGCTGATACCGGGGCTTTGGGTCAATATTGTGTTTGAAGCTAATGACTGGCGTGGGTTAGACTTGATCCACTCTGGGTAATTATAATTAACGGGAAAACAGTAGAATTCCAACCCCAATGGTTCCAAGATCTGATGGTTCGCATACTTTAGAAGCTTTGGTCTTATTACTTGTATAAGAGATACCCATGATACTAGTATCTATTGAATACCTCTATTATTATACAGGTCAAAGTCCAGGAGATGAAGTGTACCTGAGTTGTATATAGTATATACATATACTATGGATATAACCTACAGTATATATTCCTAACATTTCCAACTTGGTAAACTCTCCCCCGCACAGACACCGTTTGCCTGCATTTAAATGGTCAACGGTTCCTCTGATCCAATCGATTCCCGCCCAGACTACAATTCTTTGCTGACGACTTTCATCTGCCATCCCTATCCACTCATTTTACTTACTTCCACGCAGCTGCCCGTGGACGTGGCTCTGCACCCTTTGTCGCTCCCTCTGAGCCTATCTACTTATTCCATGCATTTAGTGGCTTGATCGCTGCATGCTCTTTTCTGATCTATTCCACCTGAAACAGAAATGAGCCTCGGGCCTTTTATTTTCTTCAAATCCATTCCATTTAATCGACCCTTTTTAATTTTTATTTTATTTTTCAATATGCATTATTTATTATTATTATTTTATTTTTGAAAAAAAAAAGCTATTTACTATGTATATTCTTCACTTACTTTATTATTACTGACTCTCACAGCCCTAGTATTTACTTTAGGTATTTGTGATCTAGAGATTTGTGCTTCAAACGTTCCAACCTTGGTTGACTTCAATGTGACAATTGGCCTTATACCGAGGCCACAGTATGTACACTCTCTATAGTGCAAAACAATGGCCTCCATTAACATATCCTAGTGGCCAACCAAAAGAAAAAAAGAAAGAAAAAAAAAAAAAAAACTCCAAAAAACCACCGGGGCATATCACTGCATCTGAACCTCCACCTTCTGAACCTCCAGCCTCTTGGATTTCTCATCCTCACATCCATCCCCCAAACCTTCCACTGAGAATTGTGTTGCAAAACATTAATAAAATCATCGTGAACTCAGTTCCAAAGGTTGGCCTGACGCGTGGGCGGTGAGAGCGCGAGACGCGGGAATAGCACCTGTGGTTCCTTAGATTATCACCGGTGAAATTGAACTTGTCCCTATCCTCTCTCACACTTCTGTCGACCATCTTTCTTTTCAACATCTCCTTTTTCTTCTTTTTTTTTCGTCTATAGTCCGTGTCAGTTATGTTGCCCCAGGGCACGGACCCCCATGACTTAAACACAGCTATGGATTCAGCTACCGACTTGAAAAATGGCCGGTCATCGCGCTCCTCCGCTTCACCTTTATCGCGTCAGACCTCGACCTCAAACTCTCACTCCCTGAAAGAAGACCCTGACAGGGCCTCAGAATCCGACCCTATGGAAGAGAAAGTCGGCGGCAACATTGTCGTCAAACAGGAGCCCGGTCAGCCACCGAGGTTGTCTCGGAGTTCGTCGCAGAAAGTCCCGTCGAGGCCACCGCAGCTTTTTTCACATCTGCCTGACAGTACCAAGGATGCCTTGGCCACCTTTTCACAAATCGAGGACTGCTGGTACGCGAACAAGTATATGGGTATCACTGAGCATGATGCTATGGAGTGTGAATGTGCTGAGGAGTGGGGTAAGTGCTTTATTTTTTTTTCTGTTCTGGTGCTCGCCGAAGTTTTCGCCCTCCCATTCCTGGAATTTATCATGTTTGAGAGGAGAGAGGGAGGGGAATGGGAAGGGAATGGGAATTCCGTGGCTTTGCATTGTATCATCAATTTTTGGAGGTGTCCGTGTCACTTACCCTCGATTTTGATTAGAACCCGAAACTGGCCGAAATGTGGCCTGCGGTGATGATTCCGACTGTATCAATCGATGGACCAAGATGGAGTGTCTGGGCGACTGTGGCTGTGGCGCGGATTGTCAAAATCAGCGATTCCAGAAGAAACAGTATGCGCCGGTATCGGTCATCAAAACCGAAAAAAAGGGATTTGGACTGCGAGCTGAAGTCAATCTGGAGCCGAATCAATTAATCTACGAGTATGTGGGCGAAGTGGTGGGCGAGGCCCAATTTCGGAAACGAATGCGAGACTACGACGAGCAGGGCATCAAGCACTTTTATTTCATGTCGCTGAACAAGGGCGAGTTTGTCGATGCAACCAAGCGAGGCAATCTAGGCCGTTTCTGCAATCATTCTTGCAATCCCAATTGCTATGTCGATAAATGGGTGGTCGGAGAGAAATTGCGCATGGGTATTTTTGCGGAGCGCGCGGTAAAAGCGGGCGAAGAGCTGGTCTTCAACTACAACGTGGACCGATATGGTGCCGATCCCCAGCCCTGCTACTGCGCAGAGCCAAACTGCACTGGTTTCATCGGTGGTCGAACACAGACGGAGCGCGCGACTAAACTATCGAATGCCACAATTGAGGCTCTCGGTATTGACGATTCGGACGGCTGGGATACCGTCGTGGCCCGGCGACCAAAGAAGAAGAAGACCGGAGAGGACGACGAGGAATATGTGGACAGCGTACAACCGAAGTCCCTGGATGAGGATGGTGTGACCAAGGTCATGGCGGCCCTGATGCAGTGCCAGGAGAAGTGGATCGCCGTCAAACTTATAGGACGTATTCAGCGCTGCGAGGATGAACGAGTGCGGAATCGGGTCGTGAAGATGCACGGTTACCAAATCCTCAAGTCGCAGCTTGCCATGTGGAAGGATGATCATACCGTGATGGGTCAGATCTTGGACATCCTGGATACCTTCCCTCGTCTTACTCGAAACAAGATCGTCGACTCCAAGATCGAGGACAACATTCGACCGCTTTTACAATGTGGTGACGAGCGAGTCGCCCAAAAGGCGACAGCATTGTTGGCTAGCTGGGCCAACCTGACCGTTGGGTATCGCATTCCGCGCATGAAACGGGGCGAGCAAGCGAAGCAAACCGTGAACCAGTTTGAACGCCGTGAGTCTGGCCGAGAGCAGCAGCGCCCGCGATCTGCCAGTCGTTCTCCACCACCCGATGCGCATCAACAAAACCAACTGAAGAACCGACGCGAGTCTCACAACCCTCATAACCGGCAGCCTCGACCTAATCGACGTAATCGTCAGCAACAACAGCAGCAGCAGCAACAACAACCAGCCTTGCCCGATGGATGGTACACTGCCAATGACGACCAGGGCCGCGTTTATTACTACTCTATCTCACAAGAAGTGACATGGGACCGACCGACTGCCCCCGCAACTGGTCCTGCGGTGAACCGGACCAATTTTATCTTGCAGAACATCATCGATGGTATCATGAACACTCAAGAGAAAAGCACATCTGAGCAAAAAAGCGCAACTCCCGGTACACCCCAACCCACGTCCGATCACTCGGGAAAGAAAAAGCGGGAAGAGGACTGGTGGAAGAAGCTGGAGCTTCACAAGCAGAAAAAACTTTACGAGAACACGGTATGTGCAGTTGATTGCTAAGAAACAAGGGCTATTAAAAATGCTAATTACTACCACAGCTGTACCCTCACGTCAAAGCTGTTGTCGATAAATACAAGCACAAGATCCCGAAAGACGATTTGAAACGGTTTGCCAAAGAGGTAATGTCCATCCCTTGACAAAGGAAAAACCCGGCTCTGTCTCTAATCATTTTCAAAAACAGGCGGCCACCAAGCTCGTCGAGGGTGACTATAAGAGAAACAAGGTTTCCGATCCTACCAAGATCAGCGAGAAGCACCGGCAAAACGTTAAAATATTCTGCACCTCATACTTCGACAAGGCCGCAAAGAAGCACAAGGAGCGTGAGAAGCGCAAGTCCGGCAACGCTGCGCAAGCCAGTGGGACCCCTGCAGACGAAGACTCCAAGATGTCCGACGACGAACAAGAGCCTTCGGCAGGCACGGGCACGGGCACAGCGACATCACCCATGGATGTGGATGACGACGCCTTGGCTTCTCTCAAGCGCAAGCGCCATGACAACATAAATCAAGCCCCAGACCACCTTACCCCAGGTGAAAACGGAAGCACCTCCCCTTCGAAACGCCAAAAGTCCACCCCGCCCCGCCCGCCATCACCACCTCCAGTGAGGGATTCCATTGACTCCAATGACAATGACAATGATGATGATCCCTCCCCGCCACCACCACCTCCCCCGCCGAAAGATTCGCCAACGGAATGATCATTCCCCTCTCCCATCACTTACTTCCCTCTGTCGAAAACCATTCCAGACCACAAATGGATGTGTGAAAACCAAAAAGAATGAATGGATGTGCGTAAGATGGCCAGATATGCTCGCACAATAATCCCTGCCCCCAAAACTGCGCAAGGACAAAAAAAGGAGACAGAGTCCGTGTGTTATAATTTCTTTCATCTTATTCTTTTCCGTTCCACAAAAGCATGAACACGCGTGACTCCTCCGAGGAGACAAGGATGAGTCCGAAGAGCATGCATGGGTCGGGACCTTTGTTTTTTTTGGGGTCTGGCCGTGGCTTTTCGGATCCCCTTGCATTTTTCTTTCTCTTTCTCTTTTCTCGTCTTTTCCCTCTATTTTCTCTATTTGTTTGCGCTATCATATGCTTCGGCTTTTTCGATGCCTTTTTATCTGTATTTTCGTCAAATACCCCGATCATAGTTCAATCAAGGAGTTGCATTTTCTGCTATACTGTCTGCATACTGTCTACTTATCTTGTGTTTATAGAGCGAGAACATCCCTGCACATGTGGAAGGCTACCAATCAATGGGTATTGTATTGGCAGGGAAATGTATACACATATGTACCGAGCAGTATCTGTCTCTATTGAACGAGTTTCTTAGGAACCGAGTACATCCAAGTATCTAGTATGCACATGCAATGTCTATTACGGTACACTGAAGGGACCTAGACATGATGATAAAATCAGCCTGGAGTACCTGATTCGATTCCGCACATATCAGACCAGACCAGACCAACTCTCATAGCCATAGGTATAACTATTACCTCAACCATGCAAATCCCAAAGTAAGAATGCAAGTTAGGTGAGCATATTCGAATGTTCGAAGGCTCATTCCATTTAATCTATTCCCATTCATCAATAGATCATGTAAAGCGCTTTTCAATCCAGTCCAGTCCAGTCCGAGAACGGTGGTCTTTGATTAGAGAAAAAAAAAAAGATAAAAAAGAGACATCAACATGATATTGTAAAGATAAAAAAAAACCCTTTAATCCCAAAACTAGTAGAAACTCTCGACAATAGACTCCTTATTGGGACCCTGTCCAGTACCACCGGGAGCCATCTCGCCCAAGCGGAAGACAGACTCAATAACGCTCAGCTCAGTAGCAGTAGTATCCAAACCGGTAATAGCGAGCCAGTCATTAACGACCATACCGGCACCAACAACAGGGGAACCACGGTTGACGGAACCAGCAACAAGAGGCACCTGCAGGAGGGAGGAGAGCTCATCTTGGTCGCGGACGGAAGTCTTGGGGTGGACGATACCACCTTGGTTGGAGAGCGACATGTATGAACCGGTCAGGACATTGTCGGCGACTGTTTGACGGAAAACCTCTACGCCAAGGACGTCGGCGATGCTGGACACGAACGGCATTATTAGCTTTTCATTCTTCTGGCAAAAAGCAGAAAGGGAAGAAAGGAAACAGAAAAAACTTACATCTCCTCTGTCTCACGCTCCAGATCGGGGTGCACGATTGCGACATGGTCGTTGCAGCAGATGACGTTGCCCAGTGCGGACAATCGCTCTTCTATGCGCTGGATCTTGACCGCGTCTGGGAGGGTGTTACGCAGGTGCTGCAGCTCCTGGTCTGTGGTGGTGGTGGGGACGAGAAGACCTTTGCGGTTACCGACTGTTAAGCGACCAACGATACGGGTACCGGCGATGGTAGCGTGGCAGATGGGGATGACATCCTGGAGCTCAGACTCGAAGACACTGGACAGGAAAAGATATCAGCAACTTGACAATAACCAGAGTGAGGCAGTAGCGGCAATATATACTCAACCACAATTAAAAGTAAAGTAAAGTAAAAGTGGCAGTAGATATTCCCGCGGCCCCCAAAAAAAACTTCTGGGAGAATTCGGGGCTAGATAACGAACGTACCTGTAGAAGTTCTCAGAAGCACCGACAGCAACGATGGCGTAAGAGTTTGTCAAACGAGCGAAGACACCGATCCTGTAGCAAGTTAGCAGAAGAACAAAACACGAGATGTGCGAAAATTCCCAAAAAAAAAATCACTCGAGGTTTTTTTTTGGACCCCGACTCGGATTTAAATCTGCGCCGGGATCTGGATCGGATCTGGCTGGGAAAAGCAGACGAAAAGCAAAGCAAGACAAGGCCGAGAAAAACGTGCGGCTCTACAATTCTTTCCAACCGCCCTGCTAACGCAACCAGAGCAGAATAGAACAGGATCATAGAATCGCAGCGCAGCGCATGCCCTCCCCTCATATCACATCACAATACAACACAATCCGCGCCATCCCAGCCCGTCGTCTATGTCTCGCAGTACACAAAGAGGGGGGAAAAAAAGAAAAAAAAATCAAACACATATCCAGGTAAACTCACTCGTTCGAGTTCTCGTATTGCGCGCGAACAGCCATAGTGGAGAGATAGAGATTGTCGGAAGAGGATATATTCGAAATTGGAGCGGAAGGGACCGGGATAAACGGTAGTCGAGACCTAGGGAATGGAGTCCTAGGTAGAGAGGAGGTTGATGCGGGGAATCGGGAATTTCCAAAGCTGGACTTGTTGGAAAGCAGAGACGAGTAGAGCAGAGGGCAGATGTTAAATGTTGAAGTGGGATGAAGATGAAAAAGAGCAAAAGCTCGCACCAATCAGAGTGCGGGATGGGATTTGCCCCGCTGGTGGAGACTGGGAACCTCATGATTAGTCACCGGTACGCGGGTTTTGCTGTGATTTTGCTTGTTGGAGGAGGTACCAGGTACTTGAGGTGGGTTTTTGAGTCATCGTGTCTCATGTTGACGGGATGACTCTTGATGGGGATTTGGTGATTTGATTTGATTCATGGGGTTTACTATACTTAGTACTTAGTACTTCTAGGATGTTATTGACTAGTAGTTAGTAGACAGCTAGTGCCTGTTTTCTTATAATCATGACTAACTGTCTACAGCTCTTGATCATTAGGGAGTCTGGATGTATTCCATCCTAGGGTGCTTTTTACTCAGTACAAAAAGATAAATGGTTTTCCTATTTCCCATATTATTCTTGATCTATGACGCTAGATAAAAGACATTTGAATAAGATTCACATTGGCCTGGAAATGAATAGGGTAAATCCCCATCTGAAAGCCTAACAAACAAAAGGCTCGATCAGAGCCCAGGGTAATAAACGCCTGGATAAGATAAACACCATCGCTGAAAAGCAGGTAAAAAAACACATAGATTACATCCTGGGAAATCATAGGGGTAAAATAGAGCGCCCCTCCCCCTCAAAAAAAGAAATAAATAAAAAAAGACACAGAGAACTGAGATCTCACGAATGAGACCTGAGTGTGGTCACAACTGAGGTTTTCCTCAGTACAAGAATTGAGAAACAACTGAACGGAGAATTCTTCACAAACCGCTCAGTTATTCTTCACAAACTGCTCAGTTCGCATGCTCGCATATTGACCCATGGGCTTTTTGAGATTGAGTATGCTTGAATGACTTTTTTTTTTTTTTTTGGCGTAGCCATATGAATGCGACGACCCGACTGTGATGGAGCCGAACCTAAAGATGTTGATGATGATGATACAGGTCGTAAAAATATTGATAAAAATATTGGTAAGGATATGTTGTTGATAAAAATGGGACGCCGCCTTAATATCGGCGAGGTGGTGGCGGTGGCCCATGACCATGGGGAGGAGCCCCATGGCCATGGGGTGATGGGAAGTACAACGAAGGCGGACCAGGCGGAGGAGGTCCTTGGGGGCCTGGTGGGCCTTGTTGTTGCTGAGGCGGTCCATGGGAGTGAGGACCGCCGGGGGGAGAGAGGTAACTCGGCAACGGCAGCCGAGCAAAGTTAGAGCCCGGAGGGGGCGGGAGTTGAGGGAGCCCAGCCATCGAAAACGGGTCGGGCAGTTGGCCTCGCGCGGGGAGTAGGCGACGAGGTTGAGTTGGAGTGGGTCGTGGAAGAATAAACGACCGAGGATCAGTCGGGCCGTGGCTCATGCCCTGAGGAGCAGGCGCACCCTGTGGAGGTGGCCCTTGTGATGGCTGGGACAAGATGGGTCGATGAGAGGCTTGAATATTACTAGGCTCTGTACGCATCTGAGGCAGGTGAGTTTGCATTGAGAGAGCAATATCAGCCAATGTGAGCAGAGCTCGAGGGGCAAGCTCGGCTGTTCCTGCTTCGGTGACGGTGAATCTGCTGTCTTTCTCGCCAATGACTTTGGATGCCTCAAGGAGTGTTTTCATGAAGTGGTCAATCAGAACTTGCCCCTTAACAGCATCTTCGGTTCCAGAGTCTAAGGCTTGAATCTGTGGATTGACATCAAAACCCATGCGAACTTGGTTCATGAAATTCTCCCAACTCTCCAAACCACGGCAATAAGCAGCAGCACCGTCTGGTGTTCGTGCATGCTCGGAGTAGAAACCTCGTTGGACTTCCTTTGCTCCGGGTTTACCGATTCGGTACAGATATTGTGGCTCTTCGGCATCAGGATCAGATCCATCGGTTTCAGTGTGCTCATCGTCTTCGGCGGCACGTTGACCTATGAGCAACTCGATATATTTGCCGCGGGCGATATGATACAATTCATCCTGAATGTTCGAAATGTTTTCCTAGTTGCCATGTGAGTACTCGGGCTGCAAGATGGAAAGGCGGGGAAGATGTTATCTTTTTTACCTTTGCTCGATTTTCAACAGCCTGGACGTCACCCTGATGAATTCTCTCTGCTGCCAACACAGTATAGTCGTATTCTTTCTTGATACGATTCAGAGCCTTTCGCTCATACTCGGCAAGTTCAGCAGACACCTGGGTCCATTCGGGACAATCTTTGTGGGCGTGCTTATCTTTAGCAATCTTCTGCATAGAATGATCGGCAAGGACAGTCAAAGCCAACTGCTGCACCCCTCCCAATTTCTTGTACATGGTAGATAAGTGCTCCTGACGGTTCTTGATGGGCTGAGTGAGAGGAATAGGTGAAGGGGATCGTCGTCGACAGTCACTATCCCAAATTTCATCTTCGATTCTCTTGCCGCCTCGTCGAATTTTATTAGCGCTGGTTGAACCGGTCTTTGGTTTGCCGCCACCACGTCCGCGACCTCGACCTCCACGAGCCCGAGTTGCCGTCGAACGAATAGTTCCAAGCGCACCGCCGCGACCACCACGGCCTCGACCTCGACCACGGCCCCGTCCACGAAAGCCACCACGTCCTCGACCGCCTCTTCTGGCGGGAGCATCGGCAGCGGATTCAACATCGGCATCTGCCATGGCCGCATCTTCAGGAGTAGTTTCCAATGATGCCGCTTCAATGCCATTTTGGAAAGCAATGCTAGGGATTGGTTCGGTTTCTTCCAGCTTGGGCTTTTTAGTGATGGGATCAGGTGATTGAGTTTCATCTTTCAATTCGATTGATTTGCGTTTTCGTGATAGGCGAGGCGATGTGGATGCCTTAGGCCCATTAGTGAGGATTTCAGGTGTGGCCACCTCTGGGGAAGTTTTGTTGGAGGAAGCAGACGGCTCTGAGGGCTCATCTTCCGTCTGATGAGGATCATCCATTTCTTGATGATTAGATGCATCGATGATGTCGGGGGTTTGAGAAGCTTTGGTGATGGGCTGCATCTCAAATTCGCCATTACGGATGTCATCATGTTCGGTTAATTCCGCATCCTTACTGGGACTGTCTTGTTCGGGGGCATCCCCAGGAAGCCTCAATCGAATTGATTGACGGGCCATTTGGCCAGAGTTGCGACGAGCCGAACGAGTCTCTCTGGACGATTCCGGAACAGCCATGGCGCGCTTGGAACGCCGAGCACGCGGAGTTGTCGGACTTCTAGCATGCATACTAGACTGGGCCACTGAGGCCTCATGGTCATCTGGTAGGACATCACCAGTGATTTCAGCGAGCTTGTCACCAGGAACTTGAAGCGTGACGATGAGTGATTGGGGGGCAGGGGATTCCTCCCGTGCCGCTACAGGTGTTTGAAGACTACCCCGAGCACCGCGATTAGCCCAGCGACCTCTGCCTCGACTACCCCCGCGCCCGCGGGGGGTAGGAGTTGAGACAGTGACTGGTAGTAGAGTTAGAACCGAAAGCTTTTTTTTTTCCCTCTTCCTTTTTTTTTTTTGGATCACACATGTCCAAATGTCAATGACTTACCGGATGCACGGCGCGTAGATGTGGATCGCGTAGCTAGGCTAGGAGTATGTACCGGACCGGCACCTCTTTTTCCTCTTCTGCCCACCATGTTGAGATCTCTCTTGAATGGGGGCCGTTAGCGGTGGCTTTACAGATGGTTTGGCGGAACCAAGGGAGGATGAGAGGCAGGATAAACAGGATAGAAGCTTCACGCAGGCAGAACCAGCCTAGCCGCGATCAGCGGGATACAAAAAAAAAATTGGGGAATTGGGAAGGTTAATGAAGAACAGAGTAGCAGAACCGGGATGAGGGATGGGGGAATGGGGGAATGGATAGAGGATGGGAAGGAGAATGAAGAAAAGAGAAGAGAACAAGGATGGGAGGAGACTGGCGAAGGATTGGGTGGAAAAAGTAAAAAAAAAAAACGGCGAGGTTATAACCGCGACCAAATGGGAGGATTCACTATGGGGGGCAAGTGAATGAATAATTCAATCCGGGGAATAGAGCAATTTGGCAATTTAGGGGAAACACATCTAAACTGGGAAATAGAAAGTGAAAGAAAACTCCAGATGTCTACCCTCAAGGGTCAGGATGTTAAGGTGTTAAGACAGGGGGGGCGGAAGGGGAAAGAAAAACACGATTACGTAGAATGACTAGAATGCGCCAGATTGGGGGGAGACGAGAACAATAAAAACCAGATTAAGAGAGAACAAAGGATCATTATACACCGAAAAGGAAGAATGATCGTTTGAAACTTACCTGGATTCAAGGGAAGAAGAGTAAAGAGTAAAGAGTAAAGAGTAAAGAGTAAAGAATAAAGAATAAAGAGGATCTACTCGGAGTGCAGGATTTGACGGGGCCAGGTGGCGCGCGAATGGGGACGCAAGGGAAGCTCAAGTACGAGAGAGAGAGATTCCTCTACAATCAGTAAAGAAGAACGCTCAAGTGCTGGCTGCGAGTAGAGAAAGAAGGAAAAGAGAAGAAACCAGAGAGTTGAAAGATACAGGAAATTACGAGAGATTCGGTGGTTTTTCCCGCGCGTCTACTAAGAAAAAAGTGCACGAGACTCTTTATAATCGGGGCTCAGATGATGAGATTTCTATATATAAAGAGATCACTCCTAGAATCCTTAAATAAAAGATCACTTTTTAGTCTTCTTTCCAGCACTACAATTATCATTTGAATTGCCAAAAAAAAAAAAAAAAAAACCAAACGGCTTCTGGGTTGACCCACTTGAGGTTTTGGTGACAGACGAACGCGGCCGTGGACGCCCGAAACCAGAGCCAAAGCTTGGGTACACCGCTATACTCTGAGAATTCGGAACTCAGGAACTAGAAATACATACTAGAGATACTAATAGAAGCTTCCAAAATACTATTGAGATAAAATCAAGGCTCATATTTAAACAGACCAAGAATAACAAAAAAATAACTCCATATCATTATCATCGCTTCCTTCTGTACAAAGACCATATCAAATAACATTACCTCCACTCCAAAATTCCATGTGAAATATCAGAAAATAACCCCAAAAAGATAAACAGGAAAGCAAAAACGAAAACCAAATAAAAAATAAAAAACAGAAAAGGAAATCAGTTCTCGTCGGGCGATTCGTACAGGTCATATCTCTTCTCATATTGCGTGATACTTCGCCGGACATGTCCGGCATCAATGAATGGCAACAGTCCGGACTCGGGCTCCTTACGCGCCTGTGCAAGTTCCTCGTCACTTAAAAAAGGTGATGGGAGAGGTCGCGATTCCCGGAGTGATCGAGCAGATCGCATCCGAGTCAGGGTCTGATGGGTGATGGTCTGGCCGGCAGACGGGGACGCCTTGACCCTCGTTCCCGGCGTGGGCGTCGGAGAGGGGCAAGGACTAGTAGATCGAAAGAGGGGGTGGATATTGTGTTCTTGAACAGTGAGTGTCTCCATGGATCCCGTCGGGGAGTCCAGATGGAAAGTTGATGCAGTAGGGGAAGGTTGAACCAAAGTGACCAAGGTGTCCAGCGAGGGCTGCCGGGTAGGGTCATGGCGGAGACTGGGCATACTGCGGATGCTTCCATTGCCTCGGAGTAAAGTGCGGTTGATGTAGTCCTGTGGGGACTGTGGTTGTTGATGCTGTTGATGCTGTTGCTTGGTTGGTGATTGTTCTGCGCTCGATGTGGTCGAAGTGGTATCGAAGGAACCATTCTTCGGCTTGGAGAGTTCCAAGCATAGGCCCGAGTCCCGGTTGGAACGCCGAGGAAACTTGCGAAGAGAACCTCTTCGGGTATCAAATCGATTCATGTCCGGGTATGGATCACAGACCTGGACGGGGTTTGTGACTGATGTTGGGGTTTCGGGGAGAGTCTTGAGCTCTTCGGAAAGATTATAGGAGTGTGGCCAAGCAGACTCGGGTCTTTGTTGGAAGCAGATCATAAGAAGGTATCCACAGTAGGAGCCTTGTGTAAAGACAGAAATCCCCCAAAAGATGGATCGAGCAATCCATAGTGAGGGCTGGTTGTGATTCGTGGCCATGGTTCCCGCAGTCGACCCAGCCGCAATAATTAGGTATGCAACCGTGAGGGAAAACACCCAAACCTTCCACCGAGGCCATTGGTGGTTTTGTCGGATATCTTGATGTACCAGAAGGCTGATCATAATCAATGCCACACAGTTCACAACACTCAAACTGACTGGAGTCCGCTCAGTGGCCGGTGTGGAGGAGGAGAGGGACTGGGCTACCCCATAAGCGAGGGCATTTAGAATAGTAACGATAATCGCAAAAAACATCGAGGCTCCACCCAAGGAGTATAACAACATATTAGAGGACATGTTGTGAGAGTAATAATAGAAGAAGAAAAAAGGACAGAAAATAACGAATGGAACCCGGATGAGCACTTCAGCGAGTGTAAACTGGGGAAGCTCTGAACATCCACGGGGGGAAACAAGAACGCCTTAAAGATGGAGTCTCAAAAGCAGGATTTCCATGCAGGGGGGAAAGCACATATTTATGAACATGGCAGTGCGCGTGGACTAGGAAATTGACGGGACGGAGCGAAGCACAAGGCGTGGCCGGAAAGTGTATCGAGCATAAATTCATGCAAGCTGAGTTGAACATGTCGAATTTGAGGATATAGATCGATCTGACCCATCAACCCGGCAAAGCGATTAGAGTCTGCGGGGGGATAAGCAAGAATACTAAAAACAAATAATAATCAAAAAAGGTCCCGGACATGTTCATGATGAACTGTATAAGCCCGGCTCGGTTCATGTTGTAACCTACACAATTGATCTGTCGATTGAAGTTTAATTGCACTGGCGATTCCCGAACCAAGTACTTTAATCTCGCACTTGGGAACACGTAGATCTACCTAAATAAAGCCCTCCGGCACATCTTCTGATCTGTATATCCAAATACCATTGTCATGCTAAAAGGCATCCAAATACCTGCCTTGCTACTCGAGGTGTACGGACATGTGGCAATGCTTTCATCAACGCCCGATTCCGGGGTAGAAATTGAAGGCGAAAAGAGCCCAGCCCCGAGGAAATTTTCCATAGTGCTGTCAATCCGTACGCTAGCTGAGAAACTATCTATTCGATTCATCCAGTGGCATAACCGAAACTCAAAGTGGCGGATCGTATAGTCCGATCTCCCGAGGCAAATGTGATATATCAATCGCCCGTGGGAAAACTCTTCCGTTCTCCCCTGTTCTGTTCTCCCTTCCGGTTGGATCTTCCTATTTTTTCTTCGATGGAGCTCATTTTTCGAACAAGTAGTGATCGGTAGACCTGGCCAGGTTCCTGGGACATGTCTCCGTATTTAAAGATTTGTATATGATTCCTGCCAATCGGATCTTCCCATATTCCCTTGCAGGGGCTTGACAATAGTAGATCAGCCTCTATAATTTGTCAATCCAATCGGGATGCTTTTCTATTGTGCTTGGTGGAAGATTCCTCATAATTGTTATATTCTTTAGTCTGAACGTTAGTATATTGTACGGGTGATGGATAAGAGGTACCTGAATCATGCTCATTTCGGATGCAAGCAATTGCATGAAAATCAAAGGGTCGCCTTTTGTTTTCCGATACAGAGCGCTGCAACCGACAAATATCCATGAATTTCACTTGGACGTTGAGTTCTGGCCAGTAAGGTCCTCGCTTACTTGCACCCATGGAGGTACATTTCCATGACCTTGGGGAAATCACGCAGACCAAATGTATTTTTGACAATCCAAAAAATGACGATGAAATATTTGAATAGTGAACTCACAGTGCTGCACAATATTGCAACATGAATTGGGGACAGAATGACATCCAAACCCAAGATTCTTTGTGATTCCATTCACGACTGATGTTGTGTGGTTCTAAAAGTAATCATGGAAATCTCCGAGGGATATCCGAGTGGGGCGGTGAGGCCCTGGGGCTTCTTGCTTTGCCATCATCGTTCTAATCGTTACTCGCCTTCTTCCTAAGACAATCGTTGCGGCCATATCTTGTTTCCTTTCGATACCCGCCCTTTCTCACCTTGTGGATTCTTGTTTCCTCTCCTTCCCCCCCCTCATCTCTCCCCATATCGACCTTCCCTCCGGTGGTGTCAAAATGAAGCTTACTTTCAAGGTTCGTCAAAATACCCTCAACCTCCATCTCTACCTGGCAACCGGAACACTAACATGATTTTTTTTTACCATGCAAATAGGATCTGAAGCAGGAGAAGTTCGTCATCGAGGCTGAACCCTCTGAGACTGTATGTGACGCGCTTTCGAATACAACAAGCTACCCAACGCCACCCAGTGCGGGGCTGATACTCTACTGCAGGTTCGCCAAGTCAAGGAGAAGATCGCTGAAGTGAAGAGCGGTTATGATGCAGAGCGTACTAAGGTCATCTACTCTGGTATGTCCTCCTTGTCCGCTGTCATAGATCCGATGATCGTGGCCCGCAGCTCTAACCATCATGATCCTCTACAGGAAAGATTCTTCAGGATGACAAGACAGTCGAGTCTTACAACATCCAAGAAAAGGACTTCCTAGTCTGTTTGCCATCAAAGGTATCAAGGATAATCCCCGGCTTTCCCTCAAAAATTGAATTCATTACTGACCTTTCCTTAAAGCAGCCCAAGGCTGCGTCCTCTGCCTCTGCCCAGGCCCCCTCCACACCGGCTGCTCGAGCTCCCGCTGCCACCCCCGCTGCTCCCCCCGCTCCTGCTCCGGCTGCTGCCTCCGCCCCAGCCGTTCCTGCGACCCCATCACCTGCTGACCGTTCCACTCAACCCGGTGGCCGGGATGCCGCCTTCAATGATCCTTCCGCCTTGGCTATGGGAACTGCAGCTGAAGGTGCTGTGACCCAGATGGAGGCTATGGGATTCGCCAGAAGTGATATCGACCGTGCGATGCGCGCTGCATTCTTCAACCCAGACCGTGCTATTGAATACCTGTTGACTGTAAGTTGAAAACACCGAAGAGAGGGGAGGGACGCAACAAGAAAGAGAGAAAGAAAGAGAGAGAGAGAGAGAGAGAGAAAAGAGAGACGGAGAGGAAAGAAAACAAAGTATATTTCAAGTTCTAATCACTTTTGAAAGGGTATCCCCGAAAACGTTCAGCAGGAACAACAGCAACGACAGCAGCAACAGCAGCAGGAGGGCGCCGGTTCTCCTCCTTCCGCCCCTACTGCCCTCGGTGGCTCCGAAGGCGATGAGCACTTGAACTTGTTCGAGGCAGCTGCTCAGGCCGACAGTGGTGGTGCCCGTGGTCCCCGTAGTGGCGGTGCTGCCCCCGTTCCTGGTGGTGACGCTCTTGCCAACCTGGACTTCCTGCGTAGCAACCCCCACTTCCAGCAGCTGCGCCAGCTCGTTCAGCAGCAGCCCCACATGCTCGAGCCCATTCTGCAACAGGTTGCGGCCGGTAACCCCCAGATTGCCCAGATCATCGGACAGAACTCTGAGCAGTTCTTGCAGTTGCTGAGTGAGGACTTTGATGAGGAAGATGAGGCTAGCCTGCCCCCAGGCACACAAGCTGTTGCCGTCACACCGGAGGAGCGGGACGCCATTGAGCGCGTAAGTTTTCTTTCTCCTACTTCGAAATCTTATTTTCCAAATTTGGGTATAACTAACACAATTTCTCTCAGCTGTGCCGTCTGGGCTTCCCTCGGGATTCCGTCATCCAGGCCTACTTCGCCTGCGACAAGAACGAGGAGCTTGCCGCCAACTTCCTCTTCGACCAGCCCGATGATGATGAGGAGTAAACGACTTTTTATGTCTTTCCTTTTTCCTTGCTGCCTCTTTTTTTTTACGTTCTGATGAATACCAAGCATACTGCTTTTTGATTCCACATATGATGACAGAGCCCCTAGCTCTGTTTTTCTCCTTTCCCCTCCCCCATTCTCCTTATCCTTTGATCTTCACTCAGTCAAAAACAGGCCGGCCACTTGAGTCCTCTACTTAGCTGCCTGTGCCTAGTTAGCCTGTGTATCTTTCTTACCCTTCCCTCTTTTACCCCCTTTGATACGACATGCCATGTATTTAACCTAATGGGCAAAATGGGACGTTTCGCTAGCATGAAGTGGGCTGTAGATTGTAAACACCTAGTAGATTCCAATGTTGGTGGTCCGTGCACGTATCCTGTGTTCTGATCAGGCGAACTGCTGCAAATGACTCGACCCACCAGTCGTCATTCTGAACCTTACGAGTTAACTTTTCAGCTGGATAAGCTTGGAACATTTATCTTTTTCTCGGAAATTCCACTATACAAGGTTCTTCAAATGTCAACTGGTTGCATGTATGCATGGATCATGTTATTTAGAACATTCCAACAGTGAGTGCTTAAAAGACTCATGTACATCGGGAAATATATCCACAAGTACGTCCTCAACATTAAGTATATGCACTAGGTATAGAGGCTCCAGGCTACATCCATCCACCCAACATAGATGGCCTGGCAATATCCAAAAATTTGTCTACATAGTATATTCAATGTTCTACCTAACCAGGTACTAGGTAGCAGTAGGCACCCAGCACTTGAGGCAATCCACACTTGAGGAGTGGCATAACTTGAGTGCCTAAATACACATGTGCATATTTGAGTCTTCAATGTTTCCAAGGTTGGAAAGCGCACATGTCTAAATCGAGATCCACAGCAGGAAAGATCTACATATACACGCTAAGTACTATTAGGTAAAGAGGCGCTGGATTAATCATGCACACATTCATCCTACGCGATGAAAGTTAATTTGATGTTTGTTTGGATTGGAGAAGCTCAATGCTTCCCGCTGGTCACCATCCATGCTACTAGGTAGGTACTAGTACCCATATGTATCCGTATCTACCAAAGTAAAAAATACATGTACAGAAAAAGCATCGAAGTGAATATACACGATCCGGGGCACCAAATGTTGGACCAAATGTTAAGTAACGAAATATGCCCCAACAAGAATATTAATAGACGTTGATGTCGAGATTTAGAATTGGATTGTCATAGTAAGAAAATGAATCTCCCCTAGTCACCAAAGCCAATTTATTTACATGATCGACGGACGGACCAAACGCTTAGACCGCGGCGGCCGATAACTCTGTTCAATGTCTCGACCACGCCGTCATCGCCAAAGTCGAGGTCGTCCAAGTTCAAATGTTTGCTGTATGACCACAGACGGTAAAGTTGGAGGTGAGGGGTATGTGACGAAGCGACAGAGGAAGGGGAGGAGTATTGGTCAAGGAAGGTCGCGGAGGTGGGAGCGACCAGGTAGACGGGGGAAGAAACTGAGCAGCTAGGCACAGCTGTTTCCAGCTGCTGGATCATTTCCAGACCCGGGATACCCATGAGATCGAGGGTATCAATCTGACCTGTGTGATTTCCCTCTTGGGGGCCGAGGAGCCAGTGTGGCGGCGAGTAGGTCTTCCACCAGAAGACAGTAGCGTCCGGGTGGGATTTGATGCCCTGGGCCGCGGTGTTGGTTTCGACAATAGACCGCATGGCGAGTTGGGCTGGAACAACACCACCTTGGTGGTAGACGCCCATCAAGAAGCCCATCACTGCATTAAAGATAATCCATGTTGCCAGGAAAATCCGGGAGCGATGCATGCGGACGCAGCTAAGGAGGAGGGGTACGCAGGGGATCAGGAAGCGTGGTTCCTGGTGCGGGAAGATGGAGAGTAGGGCTGTCGCGGAGAGCGCGGAGAGCGCGCGCGTATTCAGCATCCAGTCTGGTGCCCTGATGGGCCAGCTGAATAGTGACAGCATCATGGCAATGTATGCAGGGCCCAGAAGTTGGAAGAAATTGGCTAGAAAGTGTTGGTGGTGCGGGTGGAGGCCATGTAGCGCCAGGTTCGAGGAGTCGGAGTTGTAGAGAATATTATTGAGAGGGGTGATGACCGGATGGCGTAGAATATCCAAGAAAGAAGCCGTTGGTCGATAGAAAGATGTATCAATGAAGATACCTATGCATGTGAAGAGGAGCCCGAAGCCAACAAAGACCGCCAGGGAGGTTGGCCTGCGATTCCAGATCAGCAATGAGAACCAGCTAGTAGAAACACGATGAACAAGAAAAAAGACAAAGAAAAACTCACCTGCGCCGGAAGAAGGGCAGTAATTGTAAACCTGGGAACAAAAGGAAAGCAGGGAAGGTAATGCGATTAAAAACCCCGGCCACCGCGATCAACGAGAGGACGGCATAGGAGAAGAAAGATGTATGCTACAGCCACCAAGTCAGCTCAAGCCATTTGCGCTAGGATAATGCGGAACGAACCCTATTCTCAACGATGCGGCGAATCAGCACTAAGCCCCAGGCCACCAACAGGGTCTCAAGAGAGTTGGAGAAAGTGTGCGTCTGATATGTCCAGGTGACATATGATGAGGCCACCAGGACAACTGCAGCGCGCCGGTGGCGCGGGGAGGGTACCAGCTCATAGATGGCCCAGTCTTCCAGGACAAAGCTGAGCAGGAACATTCCACCCCGTAGCGCATAGTAAACCAGATGTGGTGGTGGGCTGCCTGTCCCAATCTCCCCGTAGAACCATTTCAGCAGACTCATGGGTACATCGTAAATTGGCCATAGCGGGAAGACACTGCGAATCGGGCGATCGGTGGTAAATTCCCAAGTGAGTTTTGAGGGGTATTCAAATATGCGACCTGTAGAAGTGGGGGTGAATCAGTCAACTGTGTCTCTAATTTCAAAAGGAGGGCATCGCGGGATTGCCGGAATAGTGTGCAATTCGGGGTTTTCTTCTTTTTCGTCTCCAACACCAGCCAAGAACTGGGTGACTGGGCTGACCGAGGTAGAGCCTGAGGATCGGGACATTATCAGGGGATGAGACCTACCAGCAAAGACCTCTGGGCCTTGGAAATGTTCATCAGGATGTAGATAGCTGGGGGAGAGCGCAAAGTAAACACGGATCAGCAGTAATAGTAAGTAAGTTCGTCTCCACATGATGAGGCGCCAGGAACATGACTGGCAGAAACCAAGAATTAGAAGAAAATTAATACATGAAAAAGAGACCAAAGGAGTGGATGGAAGAAGAAGTGTGTACTAAGAAAAAGCGAGATGGAAAAAGAAAGACGCGTTGAATGACTGCTGGCGATGATATCACTTGCGACCGATAACGCGGCAGAATCTTGTGTACAGCGTACCGTGTATCCCCCATACTAATTACTACTAGTATGTAAGTACTGACTAACTAGTAGTATTCAGAAGTGAATAGTCTATGTGGAGATTACATTTAAATTCAATGATTTAAAAGAAGGATAAATGCTATCTCTTATTGCCAGAGTGAACTTGAATAATATGAATTGTAAATAAATCATAAACTTGCTGTATGGAACAGTGGTCTTTGTATTTATAGGGTCTTTCACACTTAAGAGGTTGAAGTGTAATTACTACGTCAAACAGATCCTCTTTGTGCTTTGGTGAAAGTGCTAGTAAGAATGACCTCAAAAGGCCTATTTCTAGAGTAGACGAAGTTTGGTATTCACTTATGGTTTGTACTAGTAATTCCCTGTGTTGCCATGTTTGATGCCTACAGGGCTCAATGTGGGGGCGGAGGTACTCAAGTTAAAAAAGGGCGCCGTGTGCAGAGCCTCGGGGAGACCTGACTAACCACACGACTCGACCATAAACGAACGTACTCTCTACAATCTTCCTTCACCTCCACACCCACCTGACTCACTCCAAACCATACTCTTCTTGTTCGTATCCCCCTTCTTCTTCAACCTCAACTCGAGACTTGCCGTACCGTAATTTACTCCTTCATCAATCCACCTCCCAAATCATCGCAAAACTAATACCCAACCTTCCAGACATCGCCACTTGATCATCATATCCAAAATGGCAACCATTACTCTCACCAGCTCCGATGACGTGAATGTCACTGTTGGTAAGTGAAAACGCGCAAATTAGCGCAAATCAGCGCAAATCAGCGCAAATCAGCGCACATCACCTCCCCATGCTGGAAATTCTCCAGACAGAGACTAACCCCGCTATTCCTAGAACGTGCCGTTGCTGAGCGTTCCATCCTCATCAAGAACATGCTTGAGGATCTGGGTGATTCCGGAGAAGCTATTCCCATTCCTAATGTACGTCTTTCTACCATCACCCTATCCCCCACCCCCTCATCTCCATCAATCTAATCATCATGCCTCTCCAGGTCAACGAGACCGTCCTTAAGAAAGTGATTGAATGGTGCGACCACCACAAGAATGACCCCCCCACCGCCGGTGATGATGATGACAGTCGCCGCAAGACTACCGATATCGATGAGTGGGACCAGAAGTTCATGCAGGTTGACCAGGAGATGCTCTTCGAGGTTATTTTGGTAAGCAAACCAACAAGCCGATTACAGCTACACACTGGTTGAAAGGATAAATACTGACTAATCGCCTCTAATTCAGGCTGCCAACTACCTCGATATCAAGGCACTGTTGGATGTTGGCTGCAAGACAGTTGCGAACATGATCAAGGGCAAGTCCCCCGAGGAGATCCGCAAGACTTTCAACATCCAGAATGACTTCACCCCCGAGGAGGAAGATCAGATCCGCCGCGAGAACGAGTGGGCTGAGGAGTAAGTTCTTTTCCAACCTTGACAGTACAAGTTGAACCATGTACTAATCGCTTCTATTGCAGCCGCTAAAAAATTCATTACGACATCTAATCGGGACCTACCTTTTACCACCCATACCCCCAACCCTCCTGTACGATCGGAATGTGATCAACCCGTGACCTGATGAAATCTGCTCGTATCTTTTTGTTCTAATTTTACTTGTGCGATGCCCGAGATAGTTCTCATTGCTAGGATGTGGCGCTTGGCTCGGCGGAGCATGGAATTCACCTCCGTTGAACCGGAAGTTTTCCAAAGCTAGCTTCATTCTGCTATCAAGCGACCTTGCTGTAGCCAGTTAGACTGGCTTTATGAGCGCAATACAGAGATCTTCTCCAGGCTACATGTTTTTTTCTCCTTCGTTTGCTAGCAATTGTAGATGTCGAATGTTCCAATGAAACACTGATAGACTATCTCCAAGGTTACTAAATCTGAATCTCGTGTGCCGTTCAAAAAAAGCAGCAGTAGTAGATATACTCTGTACTCGTAGAATGCAAAAAGTCACCTAGTAGCTTATCGGGGACACTTCAAATCCCTATGGTTGATCTTCAAAGATTGAACAGCCCCACATATAAGAGCTTGTGTCAGTGACGTATTTTACTCTCAATATATGAATGCCTGGTAGACGGTACTTCCTAGTAGTCAGTAAACTTGCCATTTATTCAATGGCCTATTTGAGTTTTGACGAGAAAGTCTGGCGAAGGTAGTACCTTGATAGAGGTGATCGTGCATATGCTGAACCTGACCAGTATTTGCATCGTGCTTGTTTCATACCATATTTTACCTATTGGCGGCATCACGAAACCTGATAAGCATGCATACCACTCTTCTTGGCATGAGTGTAAGCATGTTCGGCCGTCTCTCAGTGTTCCAAGCCCAATTCCAAGGCATCCGTTCAGTCCCTCAATTCATAAGCAAAGCCCGATGGCCGACTTCGCGTAAAGACCCATGTATTCCCCTGGAATAGACCTTGGAAGTCCTACAATGCTACGAAGCAGCAAAAACAGTATGCAAGACAAAAGGGACGTCAATTCGATTCCATTCAAAATTTTTGTAAAAAGGAAAAAACCGCCCCGCCTTCAAGTCCATTCCTCCATAAAGACGAGCCCTATCTCAATTCCATCCCCAGAATCGTAAAAAAAATTGATGGGAATCGTCGCGGCGTCAGGTCGGGTTCGATATTCGTCATCGGAAGCATCGGAATATCGGATATCGAGGTCGGAGAAAGATCACCGGCATCGATCATGTTGCACCTGAAATCACACATCGACGATCCCGCATCGGACTTGAGTAGTTCCCCATCAAACTAGCGCGACCAAGTAGGGTTGGAATGGAATATTCATATCGAGGTAGGCGTCCCGGGATATCGACACACATCGCACAACATATTGGAAGTGTTGGAAAAATGGATCTTGAGGCGTAGGTCGGAGAGAATCGTCTGGGCGAATCTAGATACCCAGGCGGGTCTTGCGCCAGTGACGTCTCTTGGCGTTGTAGCTGTAGGAGATATCCTGTCAGTTTTTTGATTCTTGTGTGCTTGTTTGTGGTCGGATCGATAAATTCTTCATATCTCGAATTTGCGAACCGCGATTTCAGGGGACTTGGTGTGCTTTTAATCAGGGCGAATTACCGGATGGTGTTGCCAGTGCGCAGGCGAATCCACTGGGGGATGGGACGGTTCTGGCGCTGAGCCTTAGCAAGCTTTTGCTTGGTGCGGAAGGTCTTGTGGCTCTGTGGGAAAATTTGGGTTAGCAACCTTGGGAAAAAACGGCGTAAAAGAGCGCTTGTACAGAGTACGAGCACAGCGATGGGTATTAAACGTACCGGCATCTTGATGGCTTGATCGCGACGGCAAGCTGGTTTGGATGGGAGAAAGATGTCGACCTTCGGGAAAGCGGGTGGTTTGTGTGCGGACAGGGCTTGGCGACTTCGCTTGGATGGTCATGTGACCACTTGACCCCGGTCTAAGAATCTCTGAATGCCTGAGGCATAAACAATTTTCTCAGTTTTTGCCTTTTTTGCCTTAAGGCGCCAACTTTGGTCACGTTAAAGTTCGATTAGATCAGCAATCTACAGGTTTCAGGGCTAAAGTGGATCTATCCATCTACAACGCTACAACATTTGTAGATAGTACGCGGCGATACGTCACACTTTTTGCAGAACATTAAGCTCTTTGAATACCTACTAGTACTTTGGCTTTTTTTCTCTTTTATATCTCAAAGTTCCCGATTATTTACATGCCCTCATCATGTTCTGCACTTACCGAAATTGTAGTTGCATTGCACATATAGGAGCTGTAAAACTCCGTGTCCTATGAGCTTCTAATACCCCCATCGAGGAAACATTTCGACAGGAATCTCAAGGGATACCTACACGGCAAAGGAAATTTGATATGAGATCCACCGTTCGTGCCACACATGGGTATTGGCGCAGGTCTGAAGGGTAATACCTTTGGATCTAGGGGTTGTGAAAGTGATCGAACTGGAACGTTATTGGTTCCCCTGCATACCCTTGCATTAGGAATGCACCACCTTTAGCCCGAGGCTTTGAAGCCCGCTACTCCTTCCAATAAACAATACCTACTCCAAGCCGCGAAAGCTCGTGATCCACTCTCAGCCTACACGTATGGATTTCGCCTCTTGCAGAAGCTCACTTGTCCATTAGAATCTTCGCGCCACATCTTATCCTGGAATTGAACCCCTCGAAGCTTCGGATACATCTCTTTGAATACAAAATTGTTCCTCTTGTTTTCTTGCTACAATATACCACCCTCTCGATTACATGATTTAATCCCTACGGTCCCTACGGCTCCTGCCCGCCACCTTTCTTTCGTGAATAGGTCTCATCGCGAAGTCTTTATCAAATGCTGCTCATCGCCCAGCTTCAAGTCTATTACTCCAACATACTGTCTCTATCAACGATATACGATTATAATAAGCCCAAGCCTGGCAAGCTTCAAAGCTTTGCGACCTCCTACGAGGAGCCGATTGACTCATTATAGCCAGTCTGCGCGACGTCCGTTTTCTCAAGATCGATCCAACAAGATAGACAAACTTCATCATGGCCCGTCTAGACTGGGCACAGAAGCAAGATGTATCGGAGCTGGCGGTTGAAATGGTGGAGGTTCCCGCAACAAAGGGTGTGCTCAATCTCAACAAGGAGCTTCCCAACCCTCATGCAAATCTTCCCGATGATGCCTATTACCTCCTCCCCGACGAAAAAGACTCCGGAAAAAGTCCTTTATCCGAAGAAGACGCAACCTTTGCCCACCTACCTCATGACGAAAAGCGCATACTCCAGTGCCAGCTGGACCAGCCCAACCCCACCGTTTCTCTATTCGGTCTTTATAAGTATGCTTCACGTCGCGATCTGATAATTGTGGCTATCAGCGCTTTATGTTCGATTACGGCTGGTATTGCGCACCCATTATTTGCGATTATATTTGGCTCGATGTCCATGAACTTCTCCAAAGTTCAGAGTGGAACTATGGATAAAGAAGATTTCATGCGCGAGTTGAACCACAGTGTTCTGTATTATGTGTATTTGGGAATCGGCGAGTTTATCACAGTGTATATCAGTATGGTTGGTTTCATGCACACAGGAGAACATATCACACAACAAATCCGGGAGAAGTACCTGGAGGCAATCCTGCGACAGAATATTGGTTACTTCGATAAGCAGGGCACCGGCGAGATCACCAATCGAATTACTGGCGATACCAACTTGATACAAGAGGGCATATCCGAGAAGGTAGGCCTCACTTTGACGGCCATCTCAACCTTTTTCACCGCTTTTATTGTCGCCTACTGCAGTTACGCCAAGTTGGCTGGTATCTGCACATCGACAGTTGTCGCTATAGTCCTTCTGGGCTCCATTGGATCACGCTTCATTGTTAAATACAGTGAGCTCTCCCTGCAGTGCTATAGTACTGGTGGTACTGTTGCCGAAGAAGTGATCAGCTCGATCCGCAATGCCACCGCATTCGGGACCCAGGATAAGCTTGCACGGCAATATGAGAGCCATTTGAAGATGGCCGAACGATGGGGTATGCGTATGCAGACAGCAATGGGTCTTCTGATTGCATCTATGTTCGCTATGATGTTCTTGAACTATGGACTGGGCTTTTGGATGGGATCTCAATTCCTGGTTGAAGGCAAAATCCAAATCGGACAGGTTCTGACCATTTTGATGGCCATCCTCAATGGTTCATTCAGCCTGGGAAATATTAGCCCGAATGCTCAAGCCTTTACTAATGCTGTGGCTGCTGCCGCTAAAATCTTTGGTACGATTGAGCGTTACTCCCCTATCAATCCAACATCCGATGAGGGTATTTGTCTACCTTCTATTAAAGGAGATATCCGCTTCAACAACGTGAAGCATATCTACCCCTCGCGTCCCGATGTCACTATTATGAAGGAAATGAACTTGACATGCCCTGCCGGTACTGTGACTGCCTTAGTTGGACCCTCAGGCTCTGGCAAGTCTACAGCTGTCGGGCTGATTGAGCGATTCTACCTGCCTGTGAGCGGTACTGTTTCTCTCGATAATCATGATCTCCAAACACTTAACCTACGATGGTTGCGCCAGCAGATCTCATTAGTGAGCCAAGAGCCTATTCTGTTCAAATCTACCATCAGCGAAAACATTCGATATGGGTTGATCGGAACTCGCCACGAATATAAGCCCTCATGGAGAATCCGTGAACTGGTTGAGAAGGCTGCCAAGATGGCCAATGCCCACGATTTTATCACTGCTCTGCCGGAAGGATACGAAACAAATGTTGGCCAGAGTGGCTTTCTGCTATCTGGTGGGCAGAAGCAGCGAATTGCAATTGCTCGCGCTGTTGTGTCTGATCCTAAGATTCTCCTGTTGGACGAGGCCACATCTGCACTTGATACAAAATCCGAGGGCGTGGTGCAAGCGGCCCTCGACAAGGCTGCAGAGGGACGTACCACCATTGTTATTGCCCACCGACTGTCGACTATCAAGAACGCAAACAACATCGTTGTGTTTGTCAAGGGCGAAATTCAAGAACAAGGGACTCACGAAGAGCTAATTGAAAGACGGGGTCATTACCATAGCTTGGTAGCAGCCCAACACATCGCTGAAAGCAAGCCAGATGCTGAGGGATTCGATCCCGATATGGTCTTCCAACAGCCATTTGCCAATCAGCCACGCATCAAGTCGATGTGGCGTGCATCGACGGCTGACCCGTTGTCTATGTACCGTCGTGGATCTATAGCTCGTCATACCTCTGTTCGTCAGGGCTCTATTGTTCGCCATAGCTCTGTCATTCGAAAGGGCTCCGTTGTTCGCCATAGCTCCGTTATTCGTCAGGGCTCTGTTATCCTTCATGATACTCTACCTCATCGTGGATCTGTGGCTCACCACGCCTCTATAGCCCATCCTTCCTCAGCGTTACGCCCCCACTCAGTATTTCACCCTGCTATGCGTGGCTCCTGGAATCGTGGATCGATGATACGACCGCCTACTTTTTACCCCGATAGCAATCAACGTGCCACTTTGCTGCTCCGCCCCGAAGATCGTGCTGCTCTTGGTATCTTCTCTCAAGATATGTCAAACACCATGGATTCCATACAGCCAGTCAACCCAACCGAGTACCTTCGTCATAGCTATTTTGGCATGCAGCAGACTGGCGACGACGACGACTCACATTCAAGCTTCATTCTTGCCGAAGAAGAAGCGGAACAACCCAGCCAGTACTCTCTCTTCTCCCTTATCAAGTTTACCTTTTCGTTCAATGCGGACCAAGGGAGAGTCCTAACGGCTGGATTTATCTTCGCAATTCTCGCTGGCTGTGGTCAGCCTATCCAAGCCTATTTGTACTCGCAAGCAATTGGAGCCATTTCTCTCCCCTCCAGTGAATATACTGAGCTTCGCTCCGACGTCGATTTTTGGTCTCTGATGTTTCTGATAACTGGCATTGCCCAATTCCTTACCATGGGGGCCATGGGTGTTGCCTTTGCATACTGCTCTGAGCGTTTGATTTTCAATGCCCGAAGCAAGGCCTTTCGCGCTATCCTTCGTCAGGATATGAACTTCTTTGATCGTGAGGAGAATAGCGTCGGTGCTTTGACTTCTTTCCTTTCAACTCAAACCAAGTCTCTTGCTGGTATTAGTGGTCAAACCCTAGGCACAATTCTTTCGTGCAGCACGACTCTTGTTGTCAGTATAACTATTGGTCTTATCTTCAGCTGGCAGCTGGCTCTGGTTGTTATGTGTGGAGTTCCTGTTCTCTTGGCCTGTGGTTACTACCGATTTGAGATGCTCGCCGCATTTCAGAGCCGCTCCAAGGAAGCATACGCGGAGTCTGCTGCTTATGCCTGCGAAGCTACATCCGCTATCCGCACTGTGGCTTCTCTCACCCGCGAGGATGATGTGGCGAAGCACTTCCACCAGCAGCTAGAGGCTCAAACTTATAAGAGCCTTATTGCGGTTTCCAAGTCCTCCACCCTTTACGCTGCCTCCATGGCCATGGTGTTCTTTTGTATTGCCCTTGGTTTTTGGTGGGGTGGCACTTTGGTATCTCGCGGCGACCTTGGTCTACTTGGGTTTTTCATCTGCTTTACGGAAATCTTATTTGGAGCTCAGTCGGCGGGAAGTGTGTTCTCATTCTCTCCTGACATGGGAAAAGCCAAGAACGCTGCCATTCAGACTCGTATCCTACTAGAGCGCGAGCCTCCCATTGACACCTGGTCCGAGGAAGGTGAGCGTGTCTGGAAGATGGAAGGCGAGATTGAATTCCGAGATGTGCATTTCAGCTACCCCACTCGACCGGAACAGCCTGTGCTACAAGGTCTGAATCTGACTGTCAAGCCCGGCCAGTATGTCGCTCTTGTCGGACCTTCGGGATGTGGAAAGAGTACGACAATCTCCCTTTTGGAGCGCTTTTACGATTGCTTGGATGGAGGGGTTTATGTTGATGGCCGTAATATCGCCGACCTGAACGTCAAATCCTACCGAGACCACCTTGCTCTGGTCAGTCAAGAGCCTACTCTATACCAGGGCACTATTTATGAGAATGTCATGCTTGGTGTTGGGCGACGCCACATCACCGATGCCGATGTTGAGAAGGCCTGCCGTGATGCGAATATTTACGACTTCATCATCTCTTTGCCGTGAGTACCTCCCTGTCCTTTGTCTACTGTTCTCACTTACTAAATACAAACAGCGACGGATTCAACACTGTTGTCGGGAATAAGGGTGGTATGTTGTCTGGCGGGCAGAAGCAGCGGGTTGCTATTGCCCGAGCTCTTTTGCGCCAGCCTAAGATTCTGTTGTTGGACGAGGCTACGTCGGCTCTTGACTCTGAATCCGAAAAGATCGTGCAAACTGCCCTAGACGCCGCTGCCAAGGGCCGTACTACCGTTGCCGTCGCCCATCGCCTGAGTACCATTCAGAACGCAGACGTTATCTACGTGTTCGAAGATGGCAAAGTCGTGGAAGCTGGAAACCACATTGAGTTGATGAGGAAGAGGGCCCGCTACTTTGACCTTGTCAATCTCCAGAGCCTAGAAAAATCTACTTGACCCTGGACGCATTAGCCAATTCGCCTTGGCGATATTCGACATCGCAGATACTCATGTGAGATCAAATCGCTCCGCATGGCACCCGATAGCCTCGCTTCCTAAAGCAACCTTCGCTGCACCTTCAAAAAGTCACATTTTCTTCATCTCGCTTTGCCGCGTTCGTCGTGCATTCTCCATGTGTTGATCGCATGGCTGTTCCCTATACCCTTCACACTCCTCCGCCTCGAACCAATTGCCTGCATGTACTTTACTACCATAAGCCTCTTTTAGACATTGCGATAGACTTGATTTGGGTATTCGTGCCTCGTGTCGACGTTCAATCCTAGAACTATGAATAGATGATTTCTAAGATATTTTCAACCATGATCACTCATCATAACGTAGTTATATCTAAATCTATTTCTGACCAAAAGAAATGGCAACAATAGTACTCCTGACTTACAACAAAATTTCGTTTGGGCTCTCAGTCCTTCTCATTAACTCCATACTCCTCATGAACTTCCGCCACTCTGATCCCTTTGGAATCTGCAATTAACCCCATCAAGCCCTGCGCAGCATCCTTGATGTCATTATACTCATGTAAGAGACGAACATGTCGTTTCACTGTCTTTGCAGGATCATCCCTAGACCAGATTGCATTAGTGTCATACTTCCACCGACAATGTGCGTGGCCTGGTATGTGGGCACTCCCCCCCACTACTTTCACATACCGCAGCTTAGCCTTGTCCTCTGCGATCTCCTTTTCCAGCTGGGATTGTTGAGATTGAAGCTTGACGATTGAGGCCCGAACCGCATCCTGTAGTTCCCGTTAATACATTACACCACTTTCTAGCTTGTGAATATGGACCCCAAATTCATCACTCACTAAGCGTTTTTCCCGTTCCGCCATGTGGGGACCTTGACGCAAGTCAGGATAAGGAGATGGCCAATCAGCAGACGCGCTGAATAATACTTGGATGGTTGCGGTGATGAGGATGAGTTGGATCAGGGGAAGTAAATAGAAGGAGATATGAAGATAATTTCGAACTAGCAAGAATTGAAGAGAAATTAGAATGAGAAAACCGAGATGTGCTGGACTTTGCTTGAGATGTGTTGATGGTTGTTAAAATCATAAAATGTAGATGGAAGTAATCGGATGCTCCGGATTGGCGTTAGATCGACATTACCTGATCTGGCCATTTCCCTTTTTCCCTTTCCACCTCTTCAACCCACCCATACTCACACTTCATCATGGATTTCTTGAAGCAAAGGTCCATTTGGGCCCTGTTTCTGGTCCTCGGCCTGGCCTCAGCCCACGGCGATCATGAAAATGTCCCAGCGGGCGAAACCATCTCTCAAGATCCGATTGTTTGTCGCCCCTCTCCCTTATCACGGGTTTACGTGTCGGAGTTTCTATACTAACAGATTATCAGGACTCGACCCTATGGATCCATATGATTCTTATGGGATTCACTTTCGGTATCGTCTTCCCACTGGGTATGGTCCTAGGTGTACGTTTTTTATCATCCCAACCCTCATCCACGCGTCTTGATCTAACGGAGAAAGCAGATTATTCGTTCTCGCTGGCACGTCCCCGTCCAGGTTGTCGGAACCATCATCGCAGTCGTCGCCTACTTCCTCGGCCATGCGCACAAGGGTCGCCAATTCGCCCCGAACGTTCACCACTCCTTCGCAAACTGGTTGATGCTCATGCTCGTTGCACAAGTCGGACTGGGATTCTATTTGAAACTCCACCTTGAGAAGGGTGGTCAGGGCCGTATCCGATGGATCTTCGTGCTTGCGCACGGCGTCATCGGTAAGGCCATGCCGGTTGTCAGCTGGGCGCAGATGCTGTTCGGTGGTATTGCCATGATGGGCTTCTGTCAGGCGGACCACATGGGACAGTGTCTTGCGCACTTTATCATGGGCTCAGCTTTTATCGGGTACGGTATCTGTTTGACCATTCTTCTCTTGGTGGGACAGTACTGGCTGCGTCGGACTGGCCGGAGCCAGGAGTTCTTCGACTCATTGATTATCGCGGCGTGGGGCTGTGTGAACACTTTCACTGAGCACCGGTGGGGACAGGAGTGGGGACACAATGATTTGCAGCACACCACTATGGGAATTGTATGGTGGTGTGCTGGTCTCTTGGGAATTTGGTTGAGCCGCAGCCGTGATGGCCGCCCCAAGCGCAATCTTATTCCTGCGATTGTGATTTTGATGACTGGTTATGCGATGTCGGCTCACGCGCAGAGTCTGATGATCAGTACCATGATCCATTCGGTCTTCGGATACACCTTGATGGCCGCTGGATTGACTCGCATCATCGAGATTTCCTTTGTGTTGCGTGACAAGCCTGCTATCAGTATGAGCGGTCGTGACCCGAATAGCTTCCAGTACCTGACTCCATTTGTATGTTGCGTCCAACCCTTTAACAGATCTAGCTGTTTTACTAATGATCGCAGTTGCTGTATGCCTCCGGGTTCTTGTTCATGGGTGCCACAGAAGAGCAAATGCAGCTTCTCAACGATGCTGGCATTACCCACGTCTCATACGTGCTGATCCTCTACAGTGTTGCCTTCATCATGTTCCTCTGTGAGTCAACATGCTTTTCGTATGATCGAATCCTTGCTAATTTTCCTAGTCGTAAACGTTCTGTTGCACATCTACGCTGTCCACGCTTGGCCCCAGGGCAACGAAGAAGAGGCACCCAAGTACACCAACCCCAATGGCACCTACATGAATGGCAATGGACGTGCTCGCTCCAACTCCGAGGCTCAGCGCATCCAGGATGCTGAAGGTTTCGAGTTGCAGGGCCTGATCAGTGACGACGAAGATGAGGAGGAAGGCACCTCCATGGGCCCCAAAAAGACAGCCGATGAAGAGATGGGCGCAAAAGAGACGACTCATGCTTGATCTGATTGAGATCTGTTTCACCGCTCATGGACTGTGTTAATTAGATGGTTAATTTGTACTTGCACTTTATGGCGTCTCGGGTTGGGGATACATCATACCCCAAAAATATCATGTAGCGTACCTTAATTTTGAACATACCAAATGGAGACATTTTGCTACCTGAAACACCTAGGCAGTCGTTTGTAAATAAAAGATTCGATGAGATAGATCAACCATAAATTGATGCGTTCTTTGCATTCTGACTCGCTATCGTACAACATGATTCGTAAGGTGACGAAAATTGAACCACTCGATGAACTAATGTTCTAAATATCGAAGACACCATTTCATCCAGATCTAGAGATGAAAACAAAAATTCAAAACGCCAGAACAAAGCATTTAGATTCCAGACTTATGATTGGGTGTGCTATCCATTCGTAAAGGAATCGTAGTGGATTGCTGCGACCCCAACGGAATAGGATTGGAGACCGGCGCCACGGCAGCCAAAGCCTCCACACCCATCTCGGCTGGGAAGAAGGGATGAAGTGGGTAGATAGGGCCGATGTTCTTATCTCCATCGAAGAGAAGCATATTCTGCAATGGTTGCTCTCGCGCAGAGAGAACATTAATGACATCCTGAGCCAATGCGCCACCGAGGAACGCAGCAATGGGGCTCAATTCGCAGCCCAGGTTCTGGAGGAACATGCGCAGGAAAGCAGAATTTAGAGATCCCATATCCAGTTGCAGTTCCTGGTGACTTTGCATCGCAATTTCAGTGAAGGTCGCGAGATCGTCGTGGTTGTTGATGGGGCGATGACCGTATCGTTTCTCGAATTCCCATAGCGCGCGCAGGCAGCTTAAAAGCGGTGTCACTTGTTTGCGACGACGAGCAAGACGGGTGAAATCTTCTGGGAGGGGCGAGGCGTTCGCCAAGATAAGTGGGGAGTATGATTCCCGCTTGGTGACTAGTTCGATTGTCTTGTCCGCCTTCTTGTCCTTTTGCTTGGTGGTCACATTGACGATACTGCGGGTTGGAGTTTCTTGGGTTGCAGGGGGCACGTTGGACTTTTCGCGCTCGATCACGAAGTCGTGGGAGATGAGATCCGCGAAGACGTATCCATAGAGACCGTGGAGACCAGCGGCATAGAAAGGGCGATTTGCCAGGCGGCAGGCTGCGTTGATGTCTGTGTTGGTCTTAAAGTCAAGTTCCGTAGCGATTGTGATATCAAACTGGGCGAAGAAGTCGGGTTGCTTGGTTCGGACGTCATCGGTGTCAATGGTGAGCTTGACTCGTGGGTTCATGCGCTTGATTTGAGGACCGGCAATGTCGGCGCGCTTTGGAGGGTGAGCCCTGGTCGCCAAATAATCAGGGAAGAAATATGACCTTACCTTTTTGCCTTCTTTAATGATATTCTCATCGCGGTATACCTCCTCCAAAAAGAACTGGCCCTCCAGGTCGTCCTCCGTCACGGGCTCATGGTCAATGATGGTTAAAGAGCCGATGCCTGCCAACACAAGATTCTTTGCAACTTCATTCGCAAGAGCTTTGACGGTAATCAGGAGGATATTGGCAGAGCGGATCCTAGACATAGATATTAGTACGCGACGCGACCCGCGACCCGCTCAACCGACCCGATTACTTACTTCTCTTGCGCTTGCATGCCCCATAGTCGAATTTGGCGATCATAAAGAGCGATTTCGTCTAAATTGTATGAGCATTGGATCACAGCCTACAGAACAAGTAAATTTGACATACCGGCACTGATCTGGCCATTGCCCTGTTCTTCAGACTCAGTCATGTCGGCGGTAGTAAAGGTGTGGAGTGTGGAAGGAAAAGAAGCTCTCTCAGATAAAGAAGCTCCCCACAAAATGACCTAATCCCTCCCATCACGTGCGAAGCTGCAGGGAACCGCCGGAGTGAACTTGACCTTGGATGATAAGTCAAACTTGTGTCCATAACTATCTCCTTTTCTCTATGGAGCAGTCCTACCTATTATCATTTCCGGATCTGTGAGAAGTCGGAAATCCAGTCATTTTGTTCCAGGTAATCAATCACTCTGGAACGGCACCCTCACTTGATCCCCACTAACCACACAGTATGGTATGTTTCACATCCCTGACTTTAATTCCCAGGCTAATAGGCCCGTAAAGTCAGATAATAACTACGACCACCCCCCAGCTTCCTCTCGTCGACCACCGGTTCCCAGTGATCAAAACGCCCCTACTATTGGTTCCCAAAGAAGACCGTTACAATTCCAACGACCCCCCGGGGATCTTATCATCACCGACCCGAGCCTGGAACAAGTTGCTCTGGACCACGCTGCTCGCAACATAAGTGACTTTGAGACCGTTCGCGGGTCATATGAACCTCTTCCTCATTTCGAACGACGGCCTTCAGACGATTTCGAATCTGATTTAGACACAATACTTTTTGATACTCAATTTGCAAACCCCACTTCACGTCTCTTGGAACGGTTGATTGACGAAGATTCACGAGAAAACTCACGCAACAATCAACCCTCAAACAGGCCCAGACCAAGAGAGCACTTACTGTATCTCCGAAACTTGATTCACCAAGAAAGCGACCATATAAATACGAATGACACCACTCGTGCCTTGGACACATTGAACCGAGAAATTGAGGATCACTACCTGGACCACGCCAGCAGATTGCAAATCCAAGCCAACAGGTTTCACCAATTCCGTCAATCTCACCACGCCTATCAATCAGTTTTCGGACTCCCTCACTTGAATGCGCGAAGATCGTTGATGGAACAGCTACCTCAACGCGCCTCAAGTCTGGAAGCCCGCCCACCGAGGGATAGAGACGACCGACGCCGTTCTCTCCGTTCAGCGCTATACGATCTCATCCCCACGCCATCAGACATGCCTCCATCTCAAAGTAGCCGCGACCAGGACCATGACCGTGCACGCCGACAGAAGCGGCGCAAGCTGGACGCGGACGATAATCGCGAAGACTCCCTTGGGTTCAACTATGGACACCAAGGTCAGGTTGTTCCGGGTGCCTTGAAGATGGAAATTGCGAGCTGTGATGGAGGCCTTTTCGACTCAGAAAGCGACAACTTGTTCCCAGCAAATGTTTTGCAGAATGACGAGTCGGTGTACAGCACCAAGTCTGATCGCTGCAATTTGATTCTTCGTCACCGGGATGAGGCACCGTTCTGCTTGAAGAAGATTGTCATCAAAGCCCCTCGCACCGGTTTTGACTCTCCGTATGTGCTTCTACTCTTGGGTTCTAGATGTTGGCTGACCGCAGTAGAGTTCAAGAAGGCATGGTATTTGTGTCCATGACGTCGGATGAACTACTCGCCCGAACAGCTCGATATCAAATTCAGTATTCTGAGCCACCACAACGTCGCTCCCATCGCCGCTTTATACTACCATCCGAAGAATACCTATCTGGCAATTACCGCAGCCGAACTGCTCCTGGACGTCTCGACCGCACCGTGCTCATTGACCCTGATTCCAACCAGCTTGGTTCAAGTCAATCAGGGAGCACAAATGTTGATCCCCAGACTGAATTCCGCATTACCACCGAATATAGTGACACTGTTGACGAAGATACATCTGTTGAAAGGGAAGATGAAGATTTCGATACCTCAGCCAATACCGACATTGAGAGAGCCAATGACCCAGAAGATGTGCTCTTCTCTGACACCGACGATAACAGTCCCAGTGACGACGACGAAGATGATCATCCAATGTCTCAACGCAGACTAGACATTCAACGTCTTAACGACACTCCTCAAAGCAGACGCGACAGACAACGTTTCGAGAATCAACACAGCGAGAATCAACGTCGCCTATGGGCGTCCCGCCAGAACTCCGATCAGCCTCATCGACGTCGCCACGTCCCAAGCTTGGTTGACCCGATACGCCGTCCACCCATCTCCAGCCCAGTCATGCCCGGAACGAGTGAGGAGGTCCTTAAACCATACGCTCGATTCTTTATCAGAAGAGAAAATAGCGTCGTTAGTATCAAGTTTGACCCACCTCCGTGCGTCGTTGAATCCTCCCCTTTCCCCGCTCGTCTGCTAACTAACCTAGTTCTGGCCGTTTCATTCTTATAAAACTCTGGAGTACCAGCACGGGCAGCAATATTGATATCCAAAGTATCATATCTCACGGATACGCTGGTCCTAGATTTTTTCCGTCGGGTGGGCTCCGGTGATCTTTTGTCTCTATTGCCTGACCTCCTGCTACCTTTTCCCCTAAGTAGCTATCTCGGATTTGCACGATACCACGACTATGAAATGATGGAATGACTATCTATACTCAGGTCCTATGTCGATAGATTATAAGTTATGATATGACAAGGACAAATTTCCCCGACCACTGGCCCAGTCACCATGAATTGCTTCTTTGAAAATATCATAGTTCTCCGTGGTTGGAGACAAGTTCATGTAACTTCAAGAAGCCCATGAACAATGAATTTTCTAGGCTACGTATGCCTCAAGTTGGAAAGACTTGGTCTCTGATGTTCACATGTGCACTTGACCAGTCCTGGACCTTGGGATACTCCAACATTTGAACTAGGTAGTAGTGTTCAGGTGCCCATAGGTACTCCAACCTAATACACGGAGTCTCAAGCCACTAGTGCTTTTGATGTAGACTAATGCCTGCCTACCTATAAGCTAACATTCGAACGAAAGTAAATGGCCTGGACGATGAGCTGCCACCATTTACTCTTACAGGCTTCCAGTGTTCTCTTTCGATGTTGCATCATATGGCAATGTTTTCATCAGCCCTGCTTCGATACCGGCAGGCTAGCAACGCCACCAACCGGGGTATGCCAATCGCCTGTTTCGTCTCCAGAAAATAATCATCAAATCAATCACCGAACACGAGAAGATAAATTTCTGTTGGCTGCCAGTTGACTTTTATCGGGAGAAATTGCCATTTATCACCGTCGTTAGTCTTTTTCCAATTAATATGATGATTTCCCTTCCCCGCAATAATGTCAGCTTCACGTGTGTTACGCTTGGTATAAATCCCAAGGCCAGCATTTCATTTCAGTCGCCCAATAACTGTTCTTCAACTTTTCAGGTAGCAGCAGACAGCCAAAATGGAAGAGGTATACGACGGTTCTGAAGCGGATATACACGATGTTACTCACCACGAGAAACATTCCTTTGAGCAAACAGACGCATGTCGCCTCTGCACAGAATCTCTCCTGAACATCGAGTATGGAGAGCAACCAAGTCAAGACGAAGCAAAGCGTCTCGCCGAACTTTTATTCCATGGGACCTGCTCCAACGCGAAAGATGACAATGAGGATCAACAGTTACTGTGTGAATTTTGTCGCCACTTACGTCTCAACCACTTGCTTGAATGCCTAAAAGATAGCAAGCTACGATACAGCATACGATTCTGCTCATTCAACCACATTGAAAAGCGCAAAAGCTGCTCATTTTGTCGTCTGCTTATCCAGAGCGCATTGCCCTACGCTTTTTTTGCCGGCACGATCTCACCAGCGAGTTTCAAAGACGGATGGCTGGATATGATCGTCGAGCCCAGAAGGTCAATCTTCATGAAGTTTCAATTTCCCGGTGGCTCATGGAGGGGTGGAAAGCGAGTATATTTTGATTCTAAAGGCGTGGAATCTCCCTGTGCGGGGTTTAGTGAGTTGTATGTAGGCCAAGTCCTCCGACATGTAACACAGGTCTAACATCAACTAGGATGGGTCAGGAGGTGATCCAAGAAAATGATGCACCGGAGCCTCGACGGCGTTTTGGAAGTAGGGACACCAGACCGGTGTCATTTCACACAGTCAAACGGATCGGCGGATTTGTCAATTGGGATCTTCTCTCGGGGTGGTTAAATGACTGCTCAGAAGGGGTTAAAGATCATTCTGAATGCGGGCCGAAACTTCTAGGTGTGAAACCTGCCCATTTCAGACTGATTGATGTTCATCGACGGCGCCTGGTCTCTGCGCCTCACGACTGTCGCTACGTCGCACTCAGTTATGTCTGGGGGTCAAATCCAGATATGAGCAAGATGACGACCACGGCGACGCTGGAATCATTACAGAAGGATGGTGCCCTGGTCATTTCAAACGTGGCGAAGACCATCAATGATGCGATTACTATCTGCTCCCAGCTTCAACAGGAATATCTATGGGTGGACCAGTACTGCATCATCCAAGACAGTAAAAGTGACCAAGCCGAGCAAATCGCGTCCATGGCCGCCATATACTCGTCTGCGGAATTTGTGATCATCTCCACAGATGGCGATATGAATGATGGAATCCCCGGAGTCGGCGTCGAGAGGGCTCAGAAGCAACTCGGCTGTAAGGCCTCTGGCATTGAATTCATAGCCGAGATTGCCGGTTGGCGGGATATAACTATTGGAGGAAGCATATGGTCCACGCGAGGCTGGACATATCAAGAAGGGATCCTGGGAAGAAGGAAACTATATTTCACGTCCTCTCAGTCATTTTTCGAATGCGACACGGATGTGCTGAACGAAGACGAAGGAAGACAACAGGCTTTGTATTCACCAAACAAGCTAAATCCGCAGAGATGGTCGCCGTTTGTCGACTGCTTCTATAGCCACGTCTGTTCTTATGCAATGCGTCACTTGGGAAATGAGTTTGATATCTACAACGCTATCGAGGGCATTGCCAGTGCATTGTATGCAGCGAAGCACCCTCTCTGGCTCGGACTTCCCCGCAACGACTTTGACAAGGCACTGCTATGGTGCCCCGATGCTGGTGCAAGCGAGAACGAGATCTTGAAGTCAAAGGTTATGCCAGGAGGTCTAATTCCTAGCTGGTCTTGGTCCTCGTCGAAACAGAGTGTTCTGTTGCTGGACGACTGTAATCGAAGACCTCTGCGATACTGTGGGCCACTAGTGACATGGAATTCGTTTCGAAAAACAGACGAAGGTTATAAGATCGAGAGCCTTGTCCCCAACTCCGCCGTGGATTTCCAATGTCCCCGCTGCAAGTCTGGAGACGAACCGACAGGAAACGCCTATGATGGAAAATACAAGGACGAGCAACTTTTGCAGATAGTTGTTGCATGGAGCCAGGGCTGCATAGACAGCGCCTATCCATTCAAGCCTCTCACAAAGACATCTATTCGGGATCTGGAGAAGTCTATAGATGTTTCGTGGCAATGCAAGCACCATTCCTGGCAGTTCCAAGCCCTCAGGAACCGACCATCCAATGACTTCCTGTCTCGCATGGATGCCATCGATAAATCCCTGAAAGACAAACTCGGGCCAGACTTGATCTTCACACGTGCACAGTCTGGATTCTTCAAACTCAATCTCCCCACAGACCAGTCTCAATATCTTCGCGATTACCCCATCGTCGAAAATGGCAAGACAGTGGGTGTTCTAATCGGCCAAGATGCAGATCTCCAAGCAGAGCTCCTTCCCCGCGTCGAAGCAGGCCAGAATTTCGAATTCATCGCGCTGTCCGTCAGCAGCATGGACGGGATCATTTGTTCAGATGGAACGACGCAGTCCGGGAACCTCACGTTTCGAGATCCAAAGAAAATACTGGCTGAGAATGAATCTTTGAGAGATTTGACTTATCTGGACGCGAGAGGAGTACCCATTCTCCCAATCCCAGTCGTGAATGTCATGCTTATTCGACGCGCTCGCTTTGGATTAACCGCTCAACGTATGAGTATCGGTTGGATTTATCTGAAAGTATGGGCAAAGGCGCGGGCAGAGTTCCGTGATGTTTTCTTGGAGTAACTTCCACCATTTGGTACATGTAAGCTCCTTGCGGTTTCTCCCAAATTGAATGACCGCCCACGCAGTGAAAGATCTCAGGAGTGATTGACAATTTCAGTTTCAAAAAAAATGCTCTAATATTATATCCATTCTATGTCTTGGTCACATGAAAACTTGAAGGCGGTCCGAGGTAGCTTTCCTTGACCCCTCCGAGATCTAGAACTATCTTCTCGAGGAGAATGTTCGGGTGATTTAATCTGACTCGAACTGTATGAGCCCCAGCACCCAAAGACTCAAGGCAGTGACTCTTCTTCCAGACACAATCCATAACAGCATCCAACCAGCCCTCTGCAGGAAGTTTGGTTTCGCCGGTAGATTCAACAACTAGAATATGAGATGTAGAAGGCTGATCATCGATTTCAATGTCGTACGACATTTTGTGGTCTGGGTCCAAGTCCAGTGTCATGTTGAAGTAGAGTGTAACAGTCGGCATCTCACAGAGCGCGAACACATAAATAGGATACTCCAAGAATGGCACTCTAGACCCCGTGCTTAACGCGGAGCTGTCAATGGTAACTGATCCTTCGTCTCCTCGACCCAGATCAGGATGGTGGCTATATGGCACTTTGATACCGCCAACAGCAGGAATAGACACACACCCGTCTGCCTCCACGAAGCCATTGAAAGATCCCGGGACCCTATATCCGCAAACAGGCAGATGAACATTTTCAAAATCGCCTTGCATCGATTTGACGGAAATCAGAACCTCTTCTTCAAACCCCGGCTCGACTTCATCCCAATCAATAGAGATCCAGATTCGCGCATCATCGCCATCAGGATCCAATACCCCCTCCGCAGACGAAAGAGAAATCCACGAATAAGGCACAGACACCGTCCAACGAATGCTCTGCGTTCCACGAGTAAAGATATCAAACCATCGGCGCGCAGGTCCATACCGACTCATAGATCCCAACGTCAAGCCAGGCACCAGATCCCTCCGACTAGGATGCGTGCGCTCGCTTTCCTCATTGATGCGACCGGCCCGAACCCCCTCATGACCCTCAACCGCCACACCCATCTGCCCCACGATCAAATTGCTATCCTGGTGCCGCTGCACATATGCCAAGCCGAAGATGGCATCCCGCGACGGCGCATGCCACGTATCGCCATACCCGAGATGAGCCTGACACATGATGTGATTCCATTTGCCGTCCAAAAGCGAGTGGAACTCCTGCGAGAGCTTGAAGTCCGCGTCGAAGAGATCTAGGACTTGTCGGAGGAGCTTGTTTGCCGTGTTGCGTCTTTGGCGGGCGTGGAGCTGGTTTCGGGCTTGGGTTACGCGCAGCTGTGTGAAGATGGAACTGGCTTTTACGGGGTGGACGACGAGTTCCCAGATTGCGGCTTTTTGGTCTGAGCTGGCTTGGGCGTAGATGGTTTCGGAGGCAGAGGAGAGATTCTTCCATCGGGCTACGATGGAATCGGCTTCGTTGTAGTTTAGGAGGGAGAAGGTATCTGGGTCTATGTGTTCGTGCTTGCGAAGACGCACGAGACGATCGTATTCGTGCCAGATGGTAACGATTTCTGGACTCAGGTTTGTGCCGAAGTATTCAGTCGAGATATCGGCTAGAAACTGTGGAATTGTGGTCTCTTGGATGGAGTCGATGTCCCATGCCATTTCCATGGCAAAAGTAAGGGGAATCTCGATGGGCTTGATGTCGCCCACATTGAATACCCATATTTTGCGAGCGTTTCGACGATGTGCTTCTCGGAGCTGGTGGTATGTTTTCCCCTGAGCTTGTCAGCTAAGTCGTATCTCGGTAAGGCTTGATAAATCTTGACGAACCAACGAGTTTGAATTGATCCATTTGTAGCTTCGAGGATGCCCCACATATTCAAAGTGGTAGTATATTCCCGCTCCGCCTGGACGAGCCATTTCAGATGCAGATGGTAATCGTCGAAGAGAGCCAAAGTTATCGTCAGCGAACAAAAGCGTCACATCATCTGAGACAGTGAATTCGCCCGCTTGGTATAGATCCTGGATCTCTTTATAAAGCGCAAGGACCTGAGGAACGGCGTCCTCTCGCCCATATACCTCTTTGAAAAGAGCGCGCTGCTGCAAGAGAACATCCCGGATTACAGCGCCAGGGTCATCAGTCGTCATCCCCTTGTCGTATTCACCTCGTATGCCCATCGTGAAATATGATTCCAGCCCCTTGGCCCGTTGCACGCCCTTACGGAAGAATTCAATAATTTCTTCTCGGCTCTTGGTCCAATCCCAGGTTCCATCTGCGCGGGGATTCTCTTCAAACCACTCAGTTGTAGCGCGCTGCATTGGTTCATGATGGGAGGTTGACACACATATACCGTATTCATCGGCAATGCGTTGATTCTCCGGGTCAGTCATGAAGAAGATGGCCCCGGGATTGGGATATCCAGGCCACATTGCCGGCCACATGAAATTGGCTTTTAAGCGAAGAAGCAATTCGTAGACTTTCTTGTAGAAGTCGCTGTTGTAAGACCCGAATTTCTCAAGTACCCAGCCTGTCAATGCTGGTGCCTCGTCATTAATGAAGATACCCCGGTATTGAACGCTGGGCTCGCCATGAGTTGTCTGGGTAGGGAGCGCGTAAATCTCTGGGTGGTGTTGAGCTGGAACATCGGCCCACCAGTACCACCTTGTAAGATTAGCAATGTTCAGAAAACGGACGCGTTTGTATCTTGATTTAAGCTCACGGAGATACGCCAATTTGACGCGATAAAGTATACGCGCCAAAGATCGCAGCTCGCTTGTCACTTCCCGCGATGATCAAGGCTTTGGAGCATCCTGCGATCGGATTTTCCACGACGGTAGTCAAGAAAGACTCCCATTTCCCTTTTATCGCACTTGTGTCGATTCTTCCTTCATTCGCGAGTTTTTTCAAGATCCAACAAGACTCAATACAACCAATAATGATTGCAGTCTCTACAATGTCTAGCGGGTTCGCCCCGGCCTCGTCCAGCAGATGAAATGGACTCGCATTGGCCCGCGTTACTCGACTAAAGTCATCGGCCAAGTCCCGACCTGCATGCTGGATGCCAACAAAGTCAACTGGGTCGACGAGAATGGAAGCGCCAACAAGGTTGAGGAGGCCCGGGGACCTGGTAAAAGTGACGAGCTGTTTCTGCTCTTCAGACATGGTGCTTGTTCCATGTAGGTTGGTAGCTTACACGGGGTAGAAGCTCCAGTGATTTAGTGAGTGATTTTTTATACCGGCTAGATGGCCGAGTCACACGGTACACACTTGTTCCAGTAGTACCCCGCATGGTGGACCGACGGCAAATGCTACCACTGGTCAAAAATTAGACTTGGGAGGAATCATATTGACGATCGGCATTTCAAAGCTCGAGACTTTGGTCAGCCCGCAGGACCACAGCAAGTCGAAAGTGTATGCCCCTGGCTAAAGAAGGATGTAAACTAGCTGACTTGTCATGACTCGTAGTTCGTCATTGCGCACACGTGCATGACTAAGAACGGAATAAAAGAAAAAAAAAAGCACTTGTATCGGTCCGCAGCATGACACAACTCGTAAATCTCCCGACTTCCCAGTTCAATCCCACTCCTTGGCTCTCCTGGCGGACAATTCCGTCAAGAATCCCGCTCGATCTCGGGTTGATGTCTCCCGAATTTCTCCCGGTGGATCCAGACTAGGGTTGAAACGGCGACCTCCGTTGCCGACCAAGCAATCAGGTTCTTGGCTCGGTGGCTCTCTTTCCGAAGCCGTGGCTTGAGGCGTCACTAGCTTGGTCGGGTAGAAGTTAGTCTGGTGCTGTCAAAAACCATGGGATACACGGGGAATGTACAGGGGGTGGACGCGTGGGGGCACAGGGATTTTCCCCACGGGGCAGCTCCCCCGCTTCCCCGGATCAGATGTCAAGTGTCTGCCCCGATGGTCTATTTCTTTCCTTTTACCTGAGTGTTCCTTACGCTGTACAGCTACGGTTGACGCAGGGGAAAAAAACACTTGGCTTCAAAATAAGCCGTCTTGGCCCAGATTAATCAAACTATACCTCGTTCCCTTTGTCGCGGCATCGACTTGTCGGACGTCTCCTCGAAAATGGCTCCAAAGACGGAAAATCACGAGATCGAGAATGTGGCAGGAGTTAACGATGTCTTCGAGCCGCAAAAGAATCATACCGATTATACTCAGGTTGACAAGGAGATTGCCAAGTACGCCACCGATGGCGCTATCGAGATCGATGAAGCCACCAATAAACGGCTGAAGAAGATGATTGATAAACGAGTCTTGGTGGTGATGATGTTCACATACTTGCTGCAGACGCTGGATAAAGGCGCGCTGTCATTTGCTTCGATTATGGGGATCAAGACCGATGCCCATCTGGTGGGTCAGCAGGTAAGTAAAAGTGTCTCGTTCATTGTATGCTGTGGTGGTTCAAGGTCACTGACTGTTGTAGTATTCATGGTTGACTACCATCGTCTATATTGCTATCCTGGTTGTTGAATATCCCGTGCGTCAACATAAATCCCGCTCGGACTGAAAATATGTTAACATGCTGGCAGGAAAATTGGATCATTCAGCGAGTTCCCATTGGAAAGTGGCTTTCCATCAATATTCTGTTGTGGGGAATCTGCATCTCACTCATCGCTGCTATGGACACCTTTGAAGGGCTGGCTACTCTGCGCGCTTTCATGGGTGTCTTCGAGGCCGCTTGCCAGCCGACTTTTGTTGTGCTATCGGCGACATGGTACCGGAGAGAAGAGCAGGCCAGCACTATCAACTTTTGGTAAGGATATCCCAGCGGCACTTCACCACCGGAAAAATAAATTTTAACTCTGTTATTATCCAGGTTCATGATGAACGGTCTCCAAAATATCGTCGGTGGTCTTCTAGCCTTCGGGTTCTCATTCGTGCCATCCACATCACCAATCAAGTCATGGCAGGCTCTCTTCATGAGCTATGGAATCATCACCGTGCTCTGGTCCATTTTCGTCTTCTTCTGGCTCCCCGACTCAATAATGCGCGCCAAGTGCTGGTCTGAAGAGGACAAGCGATTGATGGTTGAGCGAGTGCGACAAAACCAGACTGGTTTACAGAACCGGAATTTCAAATGGGATCAAGTTAAGGAAGCATTTGCCGATCCACAACGTAAGTTCCAGATTCGAAGTCACTGCATCAGTTCCCCCACTAATACCACTTAACTAGTCTACGCATTCGCTCTCATCCAATTGTTAACCACTATTCCATCCGGTGGAATCGGCGCATTTGCCAACATCATCGTCTCCTCCTTCGGATTCAGCACATGGGCAAGTCAGCTCCTGTTAATGGTTGTCGGAGCGGTAACAGCCATCACAATGATTACCTCCGCATACCTAGACCGGTACTTCAAACAGACCATCATAATCATGATGTTAGCGCTCGTCCCCTCAATCCTCGGCACATCAATTCTTGTCGGAATCCCATTCTCCTCGAGCAAGAAAATCGGCATGCTAATCGCGTACTTCATCTTCTACTCTTTCTTCGCTGTGCAATCGCTCTCCTTGAGTCTGATGTCTCGCAATGTGGCTGGTCAAACTAAGAAATCTATCGTCATCGCTTGCAACTTTGTTTTCTGGGCTGGTGGAAATGCTATTGGGCCTCAGATCTTCCGCGATAAAGATGCTCCGCGGTATTTCCTTGCTTTTGCGATTATGCTCGGATGCTTTGGGCTGTGTCTTATTGTTCTTATTTCATTGCGCATGTGGTATAGTATTCAGAACCGCAGGAGGGATGCGAGGATTGCTTCTGGGGAGGTTATGCCTGACGTCCACTTCACGCATGCTTTTGAGGATATTACCGATCGGAAGAACCCTCACTTTAGATATACCTATTGATTGATCTTCAGTGAGTATAATGAGGATGATAAATAGAACGGTTGAATTGATGGCTTCAGAACTATGTTTACGGCTTTCCATGGATTCTATTCTTGTAATATTCGAAGAAAATCCCACTCGACCACCGGCAAGAATGCCCAGCACTTGAGGTGTAGGAACCTCACTTGAGAAGAGAAACAAATTATATGTCCAAAAGTTTCATATAAACATTGCAACAAATATCGGATAACATCAAACCTGACTCTTCCGATCGATAGTAATCTCAACATCATGCCTAACCCGAATATAATTCACCCCAAGATATTCCTCAAGTGGGTTCAAATCCCTATCCACCGGCTCAGGACTAGCAAACACCGTCGTCGCATGAGGAAACAACCTTACAACATCATCCTCCTTCTTCCCACCAAACGAATCCACCGCCGTAATACTGTGTCCGACGCTATCCATCTCCGCATTCCCACCCCCGAAGATCCCGCGCATAGAATTCCTCGCTCGAGCCGGTAACTTCTTCCGAATATAGTAATTGTGCTCTAACTGAAGCACCCACTGCACGATGGGCTGCATGGCCGGGAGGCACGAGCCTATTACCGACATGCAGGGCTCAAGCGTGGACCAGAGGCAGACTGGTGCGATGGTCCAGGTGATGTCGATTAGGCCTTCGCCCTGTAGCTTCGTTAGGTATTGGATTCGAACGACGCTCGCTGCAAAGACGCTGAAAGAAGAAATGTTAGCACCCCAGGCGGGAGACGGACGGCATTGTGAGTTGGGGGGGGGGGGGGGGGGGGGATGGGCAGAACATACAAGCATCCCAGGAGCAGGACGAGAGAGACCATGATCTTCTGCGCGATGCGCATCTTCAGGCGCCAGATGATCGGGATCGGGACTGCCATGACGAGGAAATCGCAGACGACGTTTGTTGCCGCGTTGCCGATGTAGTAGTTGTAGAAGCTGTAGCGGTAGTGTCCGCCCGTTTCGTCGATGATTTGTGTCCAGAAGTAGGAGACTGGGGCGGGTGCGAGACAGAGTGCGACGGTGCAGCCGATGAACCAGGCGATAGAGAAGGAACCTGCCAGCCAGTTGAGGGGGTTCATGCCGAAGACGCGACGGTAGAAGACTAGGATGGACATTTTGATCATGCAGAGTTCAAAGTTGTAGATCATTAGGGATACGAAGAGCAGCTTTGGTTTCAAAGCAGTGTTAGTTGATGTTTGAAACGTTTTGTTTCGGGCTTTGTACCTTTTTCATGGTGACCATGTGCCCAACTGTACAGAGCCAAACATGTTTTCCCAGTCCATAGTGATCGGCTGGACGATGCAGGTTAGATGATGGGGTAATTTGGTATTGGTGGATGGTATCTGACATGGGAACATACCGATAAAGTTGATGGTGAACATTGCACCGAGAGGGACCTATCGTATGGTAATCAGCAAGGAATGAAGTACATAGCTTAACAGCCCAAAGAACCCACCATGGCAATCATCATCATCCAATCATCCAGTCTTAACCTCTTATTAGTACGGATGCGCACAAAGAGCCGGATCGGAAGGACAATCGCTGCCAAAGAGCACACAATGATGATGATAATATTATTGCGAAGATTTTCGTCCTGAGAGAGATCAACCCCCGCCGGCGGGGGTGAGAGCTCTGCGATAGTTGTTGATAGATTCATCTTTCTGCCTGCAGAAGATGGTAATGATGATGGGTATTTCTGTTCCAATAGCTTCTTTTTCTCTCCTTCCAAGGTTCAACGTTTTCTCTTTTGAGTCTCGATTATCGCTTCAACTGTTATCGCTTTTCACTCCACTGTCGGAATTTATCCCGACCCCTCATATATATCGATAGAACATAAGTATCCTTGATAAATGCCAATCGATGCATGTAGGGACCAGCACAGGTCACAGATTAGTCGAGAACTTGCATTGCTGACGGATGCCATCAACTTATGGCAAACGGGGCTTGAAATAGGTACATAGACATGTGGCAATACCCCTGCTAGGATCCGTGCCCGTAGCGAATCAGACGAGCAGGAAAAATAGTGAGCATTGGGGCCGTTGCTATTTTGGGGGCGGATGAACCTCGTTAAAAACAAGTAAGGTTGGGCTTTTGACCCCCAAAGATTGGAATCATGCAGATGGAAGTGATGGGTTGTTTTTTCTTGCAGTTTGCTTACACCTGTGGGGGCGGAAGTATAGTTTCCTTGTCTTCTGATTGGCCGACACCACGATCCTGAAGGATTCGCGTGAAGAGAATATGTAAGTTATAACTCCGGAAATAGAGTGTCATGCAGTGAAGAATAGTCTTTTCCAGGTGGTTCTCGCTTTGACAAAAAGGAATGAGGGGAAATAACACCTCGGATACTTACATATTGAACATGGGTTTGAATTTAAGATTTGTGGGAGGATTTGAGTCTGGCCTTGGGGCCATATGTACTACAGGGATGGAAGAAAGTGAACAGGGCTTGAGAGGGATGAACAGACCAAAATGTAGGGCATCTATTCAAAGATTTCATTTGGCACGGAAGCTTTCAAAATCCTGATGCGTGAGAATGAGAAGTTGATCTCGTATTTACAGGATTTGGCTGCGTCACTCACCGTGAGTTTTGTGGGGGCCATTCAACCCAATCACTCCCCATAGCTGTATGTCAGATGGTCGGTTATCTACTAGTTGCATGAAACTTGAAAGAACGTGCCATTTCCCCCATGCAGAATGCTTTTTCTCTGTCAGAGTTGTCATTGACTCATAGTAGTTCAACTTGCGATCGAGAAAGGTCGTCTTGGTCAGATATCTTGGTAAAATAGACAGTAAAAGGTCCAACTTGCCACAGATCTATTTCAAATACTATGGTAGTTGATTCCTTCTAGAAGCCATTTCTAGGTTTATCTGAAACACCGCTATTTTTCTTGGTTTTGTTTCAGGTTCCAAGCTTCGCTGCAAAAGATCTGCAGATCTAGCCACCGATTTGAACCTAACTGTTAAGTAGATGACCCCACTAAGAGGAGGATCAGACGTTAGACAAACAGGGTAAATGGATGATTAATATCATCTGTTTACGTCAATATGAGACTTCGCCATTTTCCTATTTGGGTAATGGGCTATCTTCTTGAATCCTGACATAAGACCATTTCTCGTCCAATACAAAGGCAATGTACAGCAAATCCACCACGTACCTTGCATGTGGATGCTGGTATGATAGACTTCTTATTAAGAGAACTCTACTGGAGTTTGACTGCCGAGAGTAATACCAGCGAGAGTATACGTACGGCAGTTCTCTAGGTTCACAAGGCCATCACGTCAGATTTTCTCGGGATGTCCACCTACATGTATGTAAGCCCGATCGAGAAGATATGTCTTGTATACACAATAAACCTAGTCATGCAACCCGTCGTCTGGTATCCACACATGAGTAGATCTATAATTACAACTTCCACTCATCCTTCTTGTACTGCTTCGGCCAGACACCCGACTTTCCAGGCGCCATGATTCCATTCGGATCAATGGCATTCTTGAGCAGCTCGTTAAACTTCAAAAAAGCCCCATCATTCCAATTATACGTACCCATGATCTGATCCATAACGGCCAAGTGAGTCCGGTACTCTCCCCAGCCTTTGGCCGCACAGTCATCAATAAGCGTCTTGATAAGCCAGTGTGCTTTCTTCTTCTGCTCGGCATCTTTCTTGTTAAAGACGATGCAGACAATGTGGTCTGATACCAAAATTCGGATTAGCAAAGTGGCTGGGCAATAAGTAGATGAAGAGGAACTTACGCATCTCTCGCATGCCGATCGTGAATGTTCCGATAAAATCAAGACCGGCTTCGTGACATCTTTTCTTCGTCACGGCATATTGCTCCATCGCATCTTTTCCTTGGACGGGCGCAATGGGCGAGAAGAACAGATGGGCTCCGTTGGGGAGCCAGTCAATCCACTTCAGTTCGTCGTAAGTGGGGATACCCTGCATGGTCTTGTGTCGGATGCGCAGAACGGAGTTCTCGGCTGTATCCTCTGGGAAGTAGAACTGTGCGCCGGGGATCACAGAGAATGCTTCCTTGATGCCCATCCAAAGGGCGTTTCGGATTGGTTCAGGGCCCTGAAAGAGCAGACGGTTAGGTTAGTAGGTGTATCCTCCCTTCTCGGATTCAGAGACTCTCTCTATAGGGTGGGTAGTAGGGTGAACTCACATAAAGCGCACCGTAGAAATTCCATCTACCAAGCTTGAGTTTCTTTGCAATCTCATTCAAATCATCTTCTCCGAGTGGTCCCGTCTTAGAGGTATACTCTTTCTTAGAACCCATGACAGCAGCATCCAGCAAGATATGACGAATAGTCGGAACATTTTGAAGCGCCATGTTCAGACGCAGGGGTCGGATAATATCAACCGCTAGCTTGAGATCCTCTTCGCGGGGGATAGTCACGAGGTAGGACTGATAACCGCCTGGGTTGGGCATAAGCCACATACCCAGCTTGGTCACGATACCAAAGTTTGACTGGGTGAATATTCCATCGACGTACGGACCGAATCCGTAGTTGAACAGCTGAGCGGTCTTGTTCCATGGCTGGTCTTGCGGCTTGAGGCCTGCTGTTTCGGGCTGAGCCGGGGCGGGAAGTGCACCCATGCCGGTTCGCAGGAGCTCGCCGTTGGGGAGAACAACCTCCATACCGCTGTGCATCATCCAATGGTCTCCGTAGGGTGTGTATCCCACGCCGCGCTCCATTGTGTTTCCAAGAACGGAACCACCGCCGAGATCGGGGGTGTCGATCCACAGTTTGTCTTGGAGGTTGTTGGCGACAAGGTAGTCATACAGCGCTTGGAATGTGACACCTGGATAGTTGGGTCAGCAAGTGCTACTAATCTGCAATCTACGCTTGTGGCTGTATGTCATTGCTCACCTGGCTCCAGCAGACAGTATGCGCCCTCAACATTGACCTCGAGAATCTTATTCATGTTCTTGCCCATGTTCAGGACCAAACTACCTGAGACACGGGGCGCGGCACCACCATACCCGGAGTTTCGTCCAATGGAGATGGGCCACAGGGGGAATGACAGAGTGTTTGCTAGTCGAACGATGGCTCTGTCCAAGAAGATCAGTACAGGATCTCTGCAAATAATAGCTGTTCAATCCCACGTACTGGACCTCGGAGACATCTCGAGGCGCGACCACGGCAGATGCAAGGAAGTAATCCTGCTCCATTACATGGTGAGGGTCATGCGTATAGGTTGGATCCATGTACGACTTGTCATCGATTTGATCCTTGGATGTTATGATGTCGACATTTTCAGCACCAACGAGATCGGTTATCTCTTGAATGAATCTGTTGAAGTCGGTAAGTGTTACCTTGGGCGGCAAAGCCAAAGGAGTGAACCTGTGGGAATCAGACATGATTCTGCGTTTTCAATGAGTTTGGGATGAATTTGAGGAAGCAAAGGTAAAAGAAAAGAAGTCAGAGAAACGGCTCTCCCATTGATGAAACTGACTAGTCAAGCTAGACTCCGCTGTCATGCATGCCAATGGATTATTCATGGATGTCCACCCTATCTACGCTCGCTGTCATAGCCGAGCTCCACTTAGTTCTATTAGTGTCATAGCCTTACTACACTCAGGTGCCGAGGAGGCGCTTGGTTACCAGCGAGGGGAATGGCAGTAGAGTGGATACGAAGGATGGAGTTTTGACAGCGGTGTGTGGTTCTTTTGTTGGCAGTGGGTCTTTCTCAGCACTGACATCATGTTTTGAGTCTTTTGACCCTACAGTGGTTTGTTTAATGATGAGGCAGGGGAGAAAATGAAGAATCCAATCAAAACAATCAATCTGCTAACACTTCTCAGCAGTCTCTAGATCACCAGCATTTCGAGCAAGATGCTCCTGCTTACCCATCTCAAACCTATTCATCAAACACTCACTCATCAGCTCCAGTGCGAACAACAAGCTTCCCCTCCATCTCATCCATCCGCTTCACATAGTCCCCCAGCTCATCAAAACCAATAACCGTCACCTTCGGCACCACCAAGCCCCGACGAACAAACTCCACCGCCTCAGCCACATCAATCCGATCCCCGGTAATACTCCCCACAAACCGGATCCCAAAATCAATAAACTTCAACGGGTTGATCCCCAACTTAGCCGTCCGCGGCATAATCCCCACAGCAACAAGCGTGCCAAAGTAATCCAAACACTCAATCGCCTGCTCATAAGCCACCGCAACCCCCGCGCAGACAATAGCCGCCGCACAAAGCCTCCCCTGCGTAGCCCGAGCCACCTCCTCCCTAACATCCTTCACATCCCCACAATCAACGTACGCCTCCGCCCCACCGGCAAGACAAGCACCCGCCTTCCGAGACCCCATATCCACGGCAACAACCCGGTACCCCATCGCCTTGGCATAAGCAATAGCCAACATTCCCACCCCGCCCCCAGCACCGGAAATAAGAACCCACGATCCCGGCGTCACCTTCGCAACCTTGAGCGCCTTGTAAGCCGTTACTCCGGCACACATGATCGGCGCCAGTAGTTCGGGCGCGACATCATCGGGTACTGGCGTGATATACCGATCCGGCACAACCGCGTACGAGGCCAATGTGCCATCGACGTTGACGCCGCTGTAGACTTTGATTTCGCAGCGCGTCGTGTCGCGCGTACACGGTGTGCATGAGCCACAGGCATCGCGGAGCCAGCCTACGCCGACGTATTGGGATAGCTTGGCATAGGGGCTTTTGACTTTTTGGCCACATCCGATAATGTAGCCGATTCCTTCGTGGCCGAGGATCTCTTTGGATTCGCCCAGGTAGCCTTTGGCTATGGCGAGGTCTGTGCCGCAGACGCCGCTTACTAGGATCTTGACGAGGACTTCGTCGTCCTTGAAAGAGGGGACATCGCGGGTTTTGACTTCAAATATGAAATTTGGCCCTGGCTGTTTGTAGGAGGGTTGAGTATGCTTGGTATTGGAGACTTTGTTGGAAGGTTAATCAGGGGGTGGACAGTTCGCACTTACGTTACGCAGGATTGCAACCTTTTGACTTGAGGGCCCTGCACCGCGAGGATGTTCGTCGTGAGGAATTCCGTCACTGTTGATCGCTTTGTAATTTTCCATTGTGAGTGGGGTTGAGAATCTTGAGATACTTCAAATGTTTAGAAACATCAATGGGGAATGACCAATGAACACAGTAAACACAGTAAACACAGTAAACACAGTAAACACAATAAACACAAACAATAAAGATCCAAGTCCCACCCCCACTCTAGTCTCTGCGGGCAAACAAGTCCGACTTCCCACAATTCAGTTAGAACATTGAATAAAAAGTACGAAAAAGCCCCAAAAAAATCATAAATTCATATATTACCAAATAAATAAAATACCATATACAATTATATCCCAAATCCGACCTGTCCAATATCCAAAAGTACCAAAAATAAGCTTAAACGCCACATTCCAAGTGTAACTTATCCACGACATTCCCAACCACCGGGTCCCGCACACTCCGCACCTTCCGCACAATCTTCGAAAACACAGGCCGAATAAACTCCTGCAACCAAAGCGGACAAGCGCGAATGGATCCCGCCAACGAAAAATGCCTCGGCAAAATAACCTGACCACTCCGCCTCGACACAATCTGATCAATGATCGCCTCCGACACAATCTCAGGCGTCATAATCGGCTGTCCAAAGCTCTGCTGGTAATCCGTGAACCCCTTGATCATGGGCGTTCCAACCCACAGCGGGTGAATGATACTATGGCAAAAAAAAACATGGCATCAGCAAAAGCAAAACAAATCTACTTCCTTGCCAATTCAATTCGAGAAAGCGTATCCAAGGATCCAAGGAATTCCCAGAATGGAAAAGCCATGGTCCGCCCATTTAGCTTACTTAGCACTCACCTCGTCCGCACATTCGGCGCATTATACCAAAACTTCAACTCCTGCCGCAAGCCCTCATGAAACACGAGCGCCCCAGCCTTCGAACAACAATAGTCCACCATCTCGCCCACGGCCACGAAACTCGCCACGCTCGCAACCGTAACCACATGCCCGCGATTCTCCCTAACCATGTACGGCAGGAACTCCTTCGCCATCAGGAAATGCGCCAGGTTATTGACCTCGAACGTGCGCCGGATCTTGTCCTCTGATTTCTCCAGGATAGTGCCGTGCCCGAAGACGCCGGCATTGTTGATCAGGATGGTGGGTTGGCCGTGCTCGGCGCGAATGAGCGCGGCTACCTGTGCGATGGCGGCTGAGGACGTGATGTCCGCTTGGTAGAATGAGACGTTGGGCGGGAGGGGGTAGGTTGGGGCTGAGATGTCGAGGACTATGACGCGGAGGTGGTGGGCGGAGAGGTCTGCGGCGAGTTGTTTGCCGATTCCGCTGGTGCCGCCTGTTAGGAGGACGAGTTCGTTGTCTGGGTTCCATTTTTCGGGGCGCTGGAAGTTGTTTAGGACGCGCTCGGTGAATTTGGTGTGCAGGTAGTATGTTAGTAGGGTGCTGCTGAGGGTGCCGAGGATGATGGTTGATGGGAGGCCGATGTTGTCTATTGTGCGCTCGGAGAGCCACTGGACCCAGGTGTTGTTGGCCATTTCTTGGGGTATATGAGGGATGAATTGGGTAAGAAATGAATATGGATGAGAAGAAGTCGAATGCGAATATTCATGGAATTGGAGTGTTATTTAAACTTTCCCCCCCCCCTCGTTTCTAGACTCGACAATTGCATTGTCTGGTTTTATCTCTATGCTTTACTCAGCTTAGCTCAGCTGCTAGTTCACTCCGCCACAGCACTTGTCAACCTTCTTTTCCCTCGTTTTCCCTCTTTTTCTCGCTTTTTCTCGCTTTTGGGTCTCTTTCTGTAGTTTCTGCACTCTCGACTTCTTATCACTTACCCACATCAGGCTAGTCGTGAACTGTCAACCTGCACGTGGTCCAAAACAGCCGATATTCGAGAAGCTACTATTCGTCTATCGGATCCCGTTACCATTCGGTGTGCCTGCACTAAACCACAATCAGAACACAATCAGCTAACACAAGCAAACCACGAACCCGCATACCGATATTTAAATGAGCATTTAATCTTTGACTCATGCACATGCGGCCTGAACACCTCGTGGTCGTGGCACGAACATGGAACATGTTGACGCATGAACTCCCGACGCACGGTCGGGTGGGTTGTACATGTTACATTTGCAGCTCGCTGGACCAATCATGACCCCTGTCCATCCAAAATGATCTACAAATGTAACACTTCAATGGTAGCATGATGCCCAATTCGAGATCTTGGTGTGGGTATCCAACCGGCCCTGTAAATGCAAATCTGAAGATGAAGATAGTTAATTCGTCCCACGGGACCCGATCGCGGGAAATCGGTCGAAATTGCCGATTCGGTGAACTGCGGGTTTTTTTGGCATGTGGCTCTGCTGATGAGGTCAAGACTCAGAATGTTGCGCTTGGATGTCAGTCAGCCTATCAGAATAAAAATAATCGCATTAATGTGGGCTATGAAATATGCACTCACGTCTTGCAACTTGCTGCCTCGCTTCGGGCCGCGCGACCCACTGCCAACTGGTACCGTAAAGAAAATCAACTCCAGGGTTGCTTTTTCGTACCTGATTCGATGGAAATAGATTCCTATCATGTATGCGATTCCTGTTGCGGCCCGAGCACGGTTTTATGACGCGTTGGAAATGCTGTGCTACACCTCACGCATTGGCAATGGTACATAAATGGAGCATCTGACTCTGTGGAAGGTGTCCAAAAAGAAAAACTACATAGATGCACTTGTAGCCCTTGCGGCCTTGCCCAGGTGGCATGAAGCCAAACAGGAGATAAAACGAGGAATCAGAACTCGATCTAGACATCTGCAGATTCGGACAGTGCAAATGTTGTTCAAGAAGACGATTTTCCAAATGGAATTTCGTCATCCGTCCCGATCTATCTCTGAATGTACTGGTGTAGGAGTAGTACCTCACAGTACATTCACAAGTGCTGGCGATCTTCAATCTTGGGCGGGGTCCATGCACGTGTGGATACTACTAGGTCAACATCCATACTGGATTCATCCGACCTCGGGAGCTATGTATTTGAGCATGCCCAACTTGAGGGACATCAACTTCCCTTGAGGGCTTGGAACCATTGATCCTGAAAATTTGTAGTAAAGGAATATCAAATATGTAATAAGAAAAATATCATCATTAAACGCATTAATCATATCCAGGATAAATATATATAAAAAAGTCCTTTCAATCATGGGGAATACATAATCATATAGTCAACCCAACCTTGGAACTCCCCTTAGGGTCTCTAACCCCGTTAACCTCTTTAAAGTGAATTCAAGATGCCCTCAACCAACGGCAACAAGCTCGAGACATCATCGATAATAGTGGCTGTCTCATTCACGAACTTGGAGGTGAGCAGGTCACCAGCGTTGGTCAGAAGGGTATGCAATTCCTTGATGGTAGCAGGCTGGAGCAGGGATTCGATCTCGGGCATAGAGCTCTCGAGACTGCTGACAAGGCCAGTGAGGGACTTGACGGTCGTAGGCGTAAGAAGATCGCCCGCTTCGTCGATGAGACTCTTGGTGTCGGAGACGAAGGCGGTATCCAGCAGTACGGTACCGTTGCCCAGGAGGTAAGTCAGGTTCTTGAGGGTCGTGGCGTTGAGGAAGTCCGTGGTGATGTTGGGCACGACGGGGACGAGACCGTTGAGCAGTTCGCTGAGACCACCGACCACGTAGGGGGTCAGGAGGTCGTGGGCGCCAGAGATCAAAGACTCGGTCTCGTTGACAAAGGTTGCGGAGAGGAGGTCGTTGGCGTTCGTCAGGAGTGAGGCGATCATTTCGATGGTGTCCTTGGTCAGGAGCTTCTCGACCTCGGGGAGGAGTGGCGTTACCTCGCTGAGGATGCTCTTGAGACCGGATACCAGGGATGGGGTGAGAAGATCGTCGGCGTTGGTGATCAGGCTCTGTGTTTGGTTGACGAAAGAGCTGGTGAGGAGGGCGTTGCCGTTGGTCAGTAGATCCTCGAGCTCGGTGAGAGTCTCCTTGGTCAGGAAGCTCTTGAGCTCGGGGAGCAAGGGGACGACGTAGGACAGGATCTCCTTCAGAGCATTCGAGACCGATGTGGTCAAGAGGCCAGAAGCGGAAGCAACCAGGCTCTTGGTTTCGGTGACGAAAGAATCGGACAGAAGATCGTTGCCGTTGGTCAGTAGAGTCTGGATATCCGAGATAGTCTCGTTGGTGAGGAGGTTCTTGATCTCCGGCAACAACGGCACCACTGCGGTAAGAATTTCCTTGAGGGAGTTGCTGACAGATGTAGTCAAGAGCTCCGAAGCACCAGCCACAAGGCTCTTGGTCTCGGTAACAAAGCCGGTAGTAAGCAAGGAGTTTCCGTTGGTGAGCAGAGTCTGGATATCCGTAATAGTGTCCTTTGTAAGAAGGTCCTTGATCTCGGGCAATAGAGGCACAACAGCAGCAAGGATCTCCTTGAGAGAGTTGCTGACAGCAGTTGTGAGGAGGCTGGAGGCAGAGGCAACCAAGCTCTTGGTCTCGGTGACAAACGAGTCGGATAGAAGATCGTTTCCGTTGGTGAGCAAAGTCTGAATATCCGAGATAGTGTCGTTGGTGAGCAGGTTCTTGATCTCCGGCAGCAAAGGCACAACGGCAGTGAGAATCTCCTTGAGAGAGTTGCTGACAGAGGTGGTGAGCAGGGCGGAGGCAGAGGCAACCAGGCTCTTGGTCTCGGTGACGAACGAGTCGGAGAGCAAGGAGTTGCCGTTCTTGAGGAGGCTTTCCAATGCGGTGAAAGTGGAGGCAGTGAGGAAACTCTTGAGTTGGGGCAGTAAAGGCACAACAGCAGCGAGAATCTCCTGGAGAGCGTTGGTCACGGAAGTGGTCAAGAGAGCAGTGGCGCTCTTGATCAAGTTCTGGGTCTCGGTGACGAAGGTGGTGGTCAGAAGAGAGTTTCCGTTCTTGAGCAGGCTTCCCAGCTCGGTGAAAGTATCGTTGGTGAGGAAGCTCTCCAGGCTGGGCAACAGATCCACAACATCGGTCAGGATGGTCTTCAGGGCGGAGGTTACATCGGTAGTCAACAGATCATTGGCGTTGGTAACCAAGTTCTCAATCGACTTGACGTTGGTGGCAGTAAGCAAGTCGTCAGCATTGTCAATGAGGTCGTTGACCTTGTCAATGTTGTTAAGCAGCTTCTCAATACCAGCCAAGTTGTCATCAGACAGCAATGTATCAGCCTTGGACAGAATGTTGCTCAGAACCGCGGTATTCTTGGTTGACAGCAAGGTGTTGGCATTGGTAATAAGGCTGACAATACCATTAACATTGTCGGTAGAGAGCAGAGTCTGGATGTTGGTGTCCACGGGGGGAGCCAAGCCAGTGGACAAGTACTTGAAGGTCAAAACAACCTCATTCAAGAAATCAGGCTGCAACAGACCCTCAACGCCAGACAATAAATCACTCAGGTCAGTGCCAATGGAGCTAATACCCGAGCCAGAAAGCAGACTGGTAAGGGCGGTCAGAAGGCTGCTGCTGCTTGAGCTTGTTGAGGACGAGGCACTAGAGGTAGTGGTGCTCTCAGTGCTGTCAGAGTCGGCAGTGGAGGCACTGGTGGTGGCAGCAGCAGCAGCAGAACTGGTGGAAGCAGCTGCGGTGTTGGAATCAACGACACTGGCAGCAGCGCTTGTTGCAGCAGAAACAGCCGCTGCGGCACTTGTATCAGCAGTCTCCTCGGTAGACTCCTCCTTCGACGCGGCAGCACTAGTAGCAGCGGCCGCTGCAGTTGTTGCAGCCGCCTCTGCCGTTGTTACAGCAGCTGTAGTAGCCGCATTGACCAAAGACTCGGCGGCATTTTGGACCGCGTCGGCGGCAGCAACACTGGTGGTCTCGGCGGCAGCAGCAGTGGACGCCGCGGCGGTAGGCGACGCGCCTGTGACCGATGTAATGGCCAGGAAGGCAGTCGCAAGGACTGGAATAAAACGCATGTTGTCGGGTTTGGCTCCAATAGATTGTGTATGCGTTTTAATTCGCAGTCACGGTGGGCGTCGGGCTAATTGGAAAACCACGAAGAGAGCCTGATCGAGAACAGAGAGAGAAAAAAAAAGACTTTCTCTCCACCTGGGTCGCGCCAGGTCTTTATTTTGACGGGTTGTGGGATCGTCCATCTGGGGTATCATTTCGGGGGGGAGACCTCCTCCACCCGAGTCTTGCGCTAAGAGACCTGCTGGTGGAGGAAACCGAGATGTGGATCGACGTCCGAGGCAGCAAGCTCACCATGTGATAAGAATGTATCCGTAAAAAGAAGGAAAAAAGAAATTGTCCAAAAAAAATAATGCAAAATCTCGTCACATCAGTAGCGTAGAGGATCGCATCTTTGACATCACTCTGGTTCCTGAGGCTTGAGCGGCGCCATCAGACCGGGGTGCCTGGAGAGAGGGGGGGGCAAGCTAAGGTGCGTTCCGAGGCAAAGGAAGAGCCACAGTTGAATGAAGCCAATGAGCGTAGCTCAGGGGGGCATAGAACCACCAGTTCACATGTTTATTGACCCATTAAGTGTTTAATTTTGTGGCTTTTGGTGGAGTTGGAAAGCAGCAAGAACAGGGTTGGAGTTGTTGGACAGAGTTATGCGGCGGAGGACGCTAAACTCAGAAGGGGACGATAGGCTCCACGTCGACGGTCATTGTTGGATTAAAAAGAAGAAAAACAAATAAGGAAAAATAAGAAAAATGAGGGGGTTCGGAGCTAGAGCTGGATATGGAAATCAACACCTCTTTTACCCCAGACTAAGTAGCTTTTAGCAAGTGGGGGCATTTATTGGCTACAGAGACTTGGAATTGGTTCAACTTGCGTCTTGACCTGCATCTTGTGGAACCTCAACGCCGATCTTTACTCCACATGAACATAATGCGCCGGAGAGAAAATCCAAAGAAATGGCGATTATTGGTTCCTGGGACCAGGGACCAAAGACCCTGCGCAGTTCCTGAATTTTTCTTTTGGTATCTCTCAAAAATGATTCAAAGTCATCAGCATTCAAATATTTGAAGATTTCAGCGGTTTCAATGTGAATGAGAGTCAACTTGAGGTTTACTTAAGGGGAATTTATCTTTAATTCCGGTTTCTCTCATTCAAAATCCTCTGATCGACATATCTATCCCGTTCGTCTCTGGAAAACAATTGACTAGCGCAAATCCTCACAATGGGAGATGGTCACGTTCCTCCGGATTGACATTGAACTGATTGGCTGAGTTTCTACTCTTTCCTCCACTTCCCCGGCCTCACCGTGTCCCCCGTCTCTCTCCCCGTCCATCCTCATTTCCTGCTTTCCAAGGTTCCAATCTCTTTCCCCATGTTTATTGCGTCATGTGGAATATTCAATGTTCAGAATGAGTCGTTTTGTCTACGCATGATTTTTCAAATGGGCATTAACCCAGAGAAAAAAAAAATCACACTCACTATTCAGCTATTCAGGGGAAACACGCAAAAGGGGGAAAGAGTGGCGCCAAGCATTACCCGAACTTGTGGACCAAAAGGACCAACAGGACCAACACCCTCGAAACGAGCACACGGGACTCATACTGTAGTATTCTGATCAGGCTAGAATTCTCTTTTGTGCACGTCATACAGCTTTTGCATTATCAACGTATGTGCTATGGTGCCACCTTGGGCTAAAAATCTCGCACGACATACATTTGAGCCAACCCAATGGCTTACTTTGCCAGGACCCGCACGCTAAATCCTGCATGCATGACTACTGAGCTCCAGAGCCCGCTAGTTCAACCTCGGGCTCCACGAGGTCATAGCTGCACGGGCTGCTGTATATCACCAAGGTTTAAGCGACAGAGAAGAGAGAAAAAAAATGTCTAAAGCGCAAAATCATCATTCCAATTTCCGATCATCCCGAAGGCTATGCATAAATCATGACAACATTAAATATACGAAGAAATGATAATTGAACAATTATGAAGCTGTGTACTCCGTCCATATTGTAAAGTAGGTCATACTCCGAAAGCTATGCAAGATCTTCTCCCCCTTTTCTTCAGCTGCAGCCACTTCTAATAAACGGGATCCACATGCCTGGTTATCTTGATTCTTGTGGGACTTCCGACTGAGATATGTACATCCAGAACTTCAGAGGTCGGACCTTCTTCTAATTCTAGACACTACAGCAAGCTACAGCCTTCTCATCGAATTCGATTATTCAAAAATTCAAAAATTCAAAATTCAGAGTTTAGGAAAATAAAATAAATATGGCATGGGCCCAAACTTAAACATTCGACATCGTAAACATCCTAAACTTGGCCTCAATCCCAGTCTTCCGTCGCAACAGATCTGCAATGTCTCAACGGCTGCGGCTCCAACTTTTCCAGTTATTCGGTCATTCCAAGATTCTCAGATGGCTTTCTTTATGATTTTATCTAGACAATACTCAATCCACCGCGTCTCAGTTTCTCCCCATATATCTCCACTTGGCATCAAACCCGACCGGCCCGGGCCTGAAAAACCAGACCCTGCACGAGCTGAGTTGATACGAAATTGAGATTTCCAACAACCTCAGTCTCAGCCTTGCGATTAAATACGACATTTGCGGCCTAACAACTTTCTTCCGCTCAAGGTTAAAGGCAAATCTGCTTTCCGTTCTCCAAATCAGGCTCGCCGATCTGGTATCAGGCATGTTCTGATCATCGTGAATAGATTAAAGTGCATTTGAGCCGAGCAAGATTGCGGGGTTCCCATCCATTCACGCTCTTTGGTCCTTTTTTTAATTTATTTTTAAATCTCCATTTCATTAATATCGACGATTCCGAGGCTCCAAGCTTCCGCGATAGATTAATCATGTGTTATTGCCTCTTATTGCATCATGCTGTCTTTCATGTCCACTATAAGCGATCAGTTCAATCTTCTGCCTTGTGTACTACATGGGCTGTCAGGTCTGCTGGGCTCAAATATTGTATAGTCCAACCTTGAAAGCTATGGTTCGATTTCTGTGTATTTGAACAGTCTCCATGACCAGCCGGCGAAGCCTCGCGACTGTATTAATTACCTTATTCGTATGAGGTTCAATGTTGCAAATGCTCAGTAATGTAGTAGCTCTGCCGGCCGGCTAGAATGCCCTGTTCCGGTTCCCGAGGTCAGCGGCATTAATCTCACCTCATCACACTTTCAAAGGAAACCCCGCACATTAAGACCATGTACTTCATACTTCTTAAGTCTGTGTAGTATACTCCTAAGCTGGCCAGCTGAAGCTCTAGCTCCCGCGCCGTTTGGCGAGGCCCATGTGGGGCCATAGTTGCAATTTGAAAACACGATCAAACTGCATTGACATTTGTTAGGTACTATGAACTACCCACATACGATAAAAGTAACCTGACTGACTTGAATGTTCAATTCTGACGGCCGTCAATCTTTTGCGCATATCCTAACAAAAAATATTATATTAAGGCTATGCGTAATAATTAACTCTAGACAAACGGACTAGATAGACAAACGGACTAGACAAACGGACTAGACAAACGGACTAGACAAACGGACTAGACAAACGGACTAGACAAACGGACTAGACAAACGGACTAGACAAACGGACTAGACAAACGGACATACAGCAGAATCTAGAATTTAGAGAGGAACCATGCATGTGATAAACCCACTATCTTACAGCGATAGTTCTTTTTGTTTATGGTAGTTCCCTAACATTGAAGGCTAGTTGAACCCACTATCTTACAAGCCTTTATTGCCGAAGCAAGGATGAAGGAGAGAAACCCGGCAACAAGAATCCAGACTTATGATTATCAATAGTGGTCATCTCCGAGGAGAAGCATCTATACAAATATAACGAGGTCCACCAAGCTCCCTTCCACAGCGAAAATCCCACCTAAAGCTTCGCTTCCCTCCCCTCGCCCAACTTAGCAGGCAAAAGCCTCCTCAAAATCTTACCAGTAGGAGTCTTCGGCAAACTCTGCAAATGAAAGACACCTCCCCTGAGCTTTTTATAGCCCGCCAGCTGCGCATCAATCCATTCTTTGATCGCATCAAGGACCTTTTGTTTCTCAGACCCCGACAACTCTGCCGTTCCTTGCGAAAGACTGACATAGGCGAGCGGGACCTCGGTCGCTTGGGCATCATCGTAGACTGCACAAACCGCAGCGTCGATCACATCGGGATGGCGCAAGAGAATGTCTTCTAGCTCTGAAGGAGCGACCTGGAATCTGGAGTGATGGTAAAACGATTAGCTGGTGAGCATGGATTGAGCTAGGTGGTTGATTATCGACAAACCCCTTGTACTTGATCATCTGCGATCGAAATGGTTAGCGAAGATGCGATGGAGGAGGCTATGGATGGTGGAAGTCAGGTCAACATTACCTCTTTGAGACGGTCGGTGACCCAGAAATTTTGGTTTTCGTCCATTTTCAGGATATCGCCTGATTTGACCCATCCGTCGGTGAAGGTTTTCTCGGTTGCCTCGCTGTCATTGATGTAACCCCTGTGATTATGGTTAGCATGTTTGCTGCTGCCAGTTCGTCTGACAGTTGAGCGCTCCATACATCATGCTTAGCGGGCCACGCAGCCACAGTTCACCTTCCTCGCCGATAGGGACATCCTTGTTTGACTTGGGGTCAACTAAACGAGCCTCCCTGCTCTACCATTAGAGAGATGATTGACATCTGAAAGCTTTTGATGCAACTTACACTCCGGCGAAGAGCTTGCCGACGCATCCGAAGGCTTTTTCATCTTCGTCGATCTCATGGATAACGCCTCCCGAGCATTCGGTGAGACCATATCCTTTATCTTGGCATTAGTAAAACAGCTCTGAGAAGCAGCTCTGGAGGCCTGGTGACTGTACGAACCTTGACAGACGCTGACATGCGGCAGACGCTTCTTCAGTAGAACCTGGACAGACCGCTACAACGAACAATCAGTCAGAGTCACAGCTTCACATGACCATTCTGTCGAATGAGGGGCTGTCAGGATCGACACGTACCTTCAATGGTGCGGCGGAAATGACAATCCGTTTCAATGACGCCAAGTCATATTTCTGAGCGACAGGCGAGGCTGCAAGGAGAAGCGCGACTGGCGGCACGAGGTGCAGATCGGTAACCTTCAGCTCACTCGACTTGCGGCAAAATGTCTCCAAGTCAAATGCAGGAAGACTGCAGTACTGGGCTCCAACCCACATGCCGGAAAGTACCACCAGAGTAAGGCCATAGCAATGGCAATCTAAAATGGATGTCGTGTTAATAGAATGATCCAACTGATAAGCCAGTAAATTACCAACTTACACGGCGCAAAGAAAACCTCGCGGACATCAGAGTTGACTCTCACGGGCATGGAGGCACGCATGATTATGCTGTTCATTACAAGGTTGTAGTGGGAGAGCTGCACTCCCTTCATCTTCCCTGTTGTTCCGGAAGAAAAGCATATTGTGCTGGGCACGTCCTTGGAGCTTCTCCCTTGCAGATCATATGGCGGTATGCTTTCTGCGGCAGTCTTGCCAATAATATCATCTGGGAACTGGAAGATCATCAGCATTGAACACTGAAAGAACAGACAACCATGCTAGGGAAATACGAACCTGCTGTAGATTATCCACTTTGCAACGAATGGTGAGAATTTTCATGTTCGTGAGTGAAAGACTAGCTACAGCCGCCTGGACAGTGCTGAGCTTCTCCTCAATGGTGACAACGTGTGTCGGCTTAACGATTTTAAGAACATGCAGGATGTCATCACGGGTTGCCGATGTATTGAGGGGCCTAGGTATCTTGTTAGTGGGTTTCTAATTGGAAGTTTTCCACCGTAGTATTCAATGTTGTACACTCACGCGAAGACAGCACCGGTCCACCAGGTGGCATGAGCGAGAAGAACAAACGCATTCTATACCTCCAATTAGAGCCAGCTAGGGACAGAGAAGAGAGATGTCCAGTGAGTTTCTTACAGAGTTGTTAACCAAGGCTAGTAGTGTATCGCCGGGCTGCAGTCCCAATTTGGTTTGCAAACCCCAGGCAGCACGTCCCGCCTGTTCGCGGAGAGAACCATACGTGATAGCATCATCGGAGAAAGTTTCGACATGAACAACCTTTGATGCTGAGACATCATCGGGGTTGTATTGTGTCATAAACTGCGAGATAGACAAGTCTGTCGCATCATGAACTGGAACTACGGGTGATTTGTAAAGGGCCATCGTGGGCGTGGTACGTGTCAGTGTTCAAAAGGATAGGTAGTAGAGTTACGGATAGAAAAAAGAAAACTTTGAACACGATATCTAATAATCAATTAGCTTCTTTGTACAGTGTACATTACGGATAAATGACTAAAGAGCCCCTGAAATGTGTCTGGATATGCCTCAAATACCTCGGATTCCCGCTTGGTCGGAAGTCATTTATTTCGGAGCTCATTCGGAGCACATTTTGTAGTCAAGAGCTAGTTCTAAGCTAGTATCCGAGCCGTCCCTTGTGGTCCACGCCACCTCAATGGCCCAGGGGGCTTGTCAATAATCATCAGGTAATGTCCAGGCTGATGATCAGCATGGAAAAGTTTCAACGAACTATCACATATTAAAGGAGAACCGCAAATACCCATGCTACTCCGTACACTGGAAAGATTCAATGTTTTAGTCCATGCTTCTGTTCCCGCGGATGTCTTCCGGATAATGGAGCGATTCATTTCACTCGAACTTTACGGAGGAGTATTTTACCACTAGTATTGTAAATCGAGTGGATCTGATCCTGATCTTCATCGATGTGTCGGATTCCGGAATTGGCGCTATTTTAAAACTGTGCGCACCTATCACAGCGATTTGAAATAACGCCAAACCAGCCAAACCAGCCAAACCAGCCAAACCGTTACCGTGGCGTTTTTTTAAAAGATACTGAGATACTCCAAAGCCCAGTTGTCTCACACAAGCCTTTTTTATGGTGTTTGCCGACAGGTGACAGGTCATTGGCAGCAGCACGTGATATTGGATACGCATCAGTTATACCCAGCGAATGCGATGCAAAAGAAAAGAAAAGAAAAAAGAGAAAAGAGAAGAAAAAAACCCAGCTCCATACCGACTCCATAGTGGCGCACGGGAAACGAAGAACCTTTTATTGAGGCGTGGGGGCCAAGAAGATGGCTTTGACATTCACTTAAAGGTCTGACAATGGGCTTTGTTTACCAAAATTACAGTATATAGCACGAATCAATTGACTTTGGTAAAAAGTATTCTCGAAGATGTCAACGTCAACCTCTGATCCTCATTAAACTTGACATCTTGGCGGAAAAGACGTAGACCCACACGGCAGGATCCTTCATCCTTTCCAAAAAAAAAAAAAAAAATATGAAATATGAAATAAAAAACGGCCAAGTCACTTAATTAATTTATTCCTTATCACGGACAAATTGTCTTATTTATCATTGATGTTCAAGAGATTAGGAAATGTATTGAAAAGAAAGAAAAAAACAGACATTTGGGTGGATAGAGCCATGAGAATACACATCAAAAAATTGGGTTAATTCAAAGGGGGAATTTAGCTTACGAGATTCATTTCTTAGCGGTAATGGCACAGTTCGTACGGAGTACATAGCAGCTACTCCTCCATACAGTTATGCTAAAGCGATCCCCCTTTTGCCATGATTTGACACGTCCGAAACCGAGAACCCCATTCGTATGCACTAGCGTAACTACATCGAATGGCGTGTGCAAATTCTTACCGTAATTGGCGCCCCCTTACCTTGCACGTTTCTTTGCCCATCCATTAACGATGTAGTCCCAATACAGGCCAGTTTCGATCGTCATGAAAATAATGTCAGATCTTAGCTTGGTGCATCGTCTCTCGTACATAGAGTTCAGGGCCCTTCACAAGAACAGCGCTGTTGGCTCCTTTAACTTAGAATTTTAGTCTCCTTTACCTAGTCTAGTGGGTCGTGTTTTCATTTTTCTTTTTAGAAGCCTGTTAAATAAAATCGACTCCGTGTCTCTTCAAGTTCCTTCAAATCGCAGACCGAAATTGGGTTCCTTCACCGTCACGGCAAAATGCGATGTTCTCGACTTTGGGCTACGCTCGTGCCCTACGCTGTAATTCTTCTGGGTGGCCTAGCGTGTGCCGAAACACAGTCTCTGCCCACATGCGCTGTGAGATTTGGAAGATCCACTCATCCTCACCCTGAGACGCTGACATCATTCGCAGCTGGACTGCCTTGACGACCTCGTTCCGCTGTCAACGTGCGCTGCCAATAATCAGACATGCATCTGTACAAATGTCAGTCTTAACGACGAGCTGACCACCTGTGTCACGGCAAATTGCACCATAAAGCAGGCCCTCAGTACGTGAAGTCTATAATTATGCAGGAGTCTCGCGTTCTAATTGATCGCATAGCTGCCGTCAATGTCACCGATACAACATGCGGCGCCCCGGTTCGAGACCAGACCTCTTTGAGTATCGTGGTCCCCGCAGTCGGTATGAGTGTGACAATGGTCCTCGTCGCTTTGAGGTTATACACACGACTTGTGGTCACAAAGTTGGACATGGAATGGGATGACTGGGCAACCATTCTACTTGCTGTAGGATTATACACATGTGCCTTTCGAAGGATTTTAACTAATTTTCATAGTGTTGCGCGGTACCTGTCAACGTCGGTTCGATCGTACGTGAGTAGCACCGGTTGACTCGATCCATTCCATCTCTTTCACCAGCACGAAAAAAGTATTAACTCTCACTTCAGTTGGAAAGGCTGGCCTGGGCAAGGATATGTGGACCCTCGAGTTTACAATGATCACTCGAATATTCTATGTAAGATTTCCCAGGTCACATGGAAACTTGCTTGAGCTAACTCGTCATAACAGCTTTTCTACATTCAAGAGCTCCTTTACATCACCTGCGTCGCCATGGTCAAGGTCTGCTTCCTCCTTTTCTACCTACGCATCTTCCCCTCCGACCGAATGAGACTCGTAATCAAAGTCTCCATCCTCGCGACAGTGTGTTTCGGCCTCACCTTTCTCTTCGGCTTTGCGTTCCAATGCTCGCCCGTGAGCTATAACTGGAACGGCTGGGATGGGGTACACAAAGGGACCTGCGTGGAGACAAATCCTCTCGTTGTCGCCGCGGCTGCCTTCAATATCGTCCTAGACATCTGGGTCATTGCCCTGCCTATTCCCAGGGTCCTTACGCTCCAGGCATCGATAAACACGAAATTACAGGTGATCCTCATGTTCTCCGTTGGATTCTTGTGAGTTCCTCCTTTTACTTTCGACTCCGGACACTTGTGGAAAATGCATGGATACAAGAAGCTAATGCTCTCATCTCTTCATTAGAATTACCGGCGTCGGCATCTACCGCGCCATCATGCTCAAGCTCTTTGCCACAAGCACCAATCCTACATGTAAGGCCCTTCCCTTCATTTCCCTCAACCACCGGAAAATAAACTAACGGTCTTCACTATAGGGGACAATGCGCCCGGTGGCTATTGGTCCGTGATCGAAATTGATGTTGGAATTTTCTGCCTATGCATGCCGGCCATGCGGTCCTTGCTTGCTCGCCTGTTCCCGTCTGTTTTTGGATCTACCCAGGAAGCAAGCAGTATGCGACATACTGGCAGCCAAAAGAAAATCAGGACCGTTGACAGCGGGCCAAACACGAGCGTTGTTCAATTGATTGAAATGGACAATGCGGAAAATTTGAAAAACTATTCAGATACCTAGCTGGATGGATTGATGCTGGGATTGCAGTACTCGCGAGCGGAACAAGCCCGAAATATATATACCCTTGAATTTGAACGCAACATTGATATGAAATATCCCGACTATACACATGCATGTTCAAATTTTGAATCTGGAATAACTTTGGGACGCTCCAGCGCTACATGACACTTCCACTTCTACCAAGCCAACCTTGGAAGCGCCCTTGGTAATCCTCCGGAGCTGATATTAGCGCCAATGTTATCTTCACATGCCCACACACAACATGAATCCCGGGAAGAGCCCTATTTCCACGCACTGGGCTTGTGGTTTAGTGGTATAATACTCCCTTAGCATGGGAGTGGTCCGGGGTTCGATTCCCCGCGAGTCCATTTTTTTTTTCTTCCTTCATTTCTCTCCACTAGGAATGAAAACAAGGCGTTTACTCTATGTTATAGGGGGATCTGATGGGTTTTCATTTTTTTTTGGTGAGATAGTACTTATCTTTATTTCTGTCCTCTCTACCGTACTATAACAAGATGCACGGAGTTTAGCCTACGTGAAGAAATGTGGATAAACAAAGTTGGACCTATTCCAATCGGGAACTAGACTTGATAAGCTTTCAACGATCCAACGCTTCTTAGAGGCCAATCGAGAAGCTCTTGCAGAAACCCCGGCAATTCTGGCTACGATTCATAGCCGATGTTCTGACCTTTAGCGCAACATGGCATATTCCGAGATTACTGCGCATAAATGACTCTCTACTACTAGTATATTATGTCCCGCCCATATGAGGTCATAACGATCGCCCACAATTAAACTTTTGAATTGCCGAAAATGTGATTTGAGCCTAAATTTAGAGAAAATCCAATCACGCAGTTTCGATGTTTACTTACTAGTAGCTACCAGTACATGTCTCTCTTCACATGTGCAAGCTTCCATAAGCTTCTCACAGAAAAAATCTGGACTTCAGGCTTGAGAGCAGGCCTGCAGGGTCTGCTCCACTTTGCAAGCGCCCGAAACAATATATCAGCACATCACATCATCACGAAATGCAAGTTCCGGTGGAGAACAAGAATAGTTTTGCATAACGATCGAGATTTGAGCTGTATAAAGAATTATGCTTAATTGTTTTTCAGGTTTACTGTGGGGCCGGGCATAGTGTACCATTATCTCCGATACACCCGTGTGAATTTTGAACAGTCAAGGGCATAACATGTGAAGGATAAGAATGTTCAACAGTCCTCAAATACTCCTTTTATTTCTCTTTTGCTGTTTAAATAGAACATTCACCAGTTGACAGTAATCAAACCCGTATTGACTCACATTTATTTCACCATGGCTTCCACCGACCAAACAATCACTCTTGTCACAGGCGCCAACCAAGGCATTGGATATGCCATCGCCAAAAAGCTAGCCTCAGAGCACGGCCACTACGTCATAATGGCAGGCAGACGATCCGACGCCATCGAGGCCGCCGCCGCATCCTTGCGAAAAGAAGATCTGCCCGTCTCGGCAGTCGTCATTGACCTGGCCTCGGACGAGACCATTGATGCGGCCGTCGCGCATGTGCAGAGGTACGAGTTCCCCACATGCATTGAAAATACGATCAAACCCAGTACTGAACCAGCCTCAAAGCAAGTTCGGCCGTCTTGATGTCCTAGTCAACAATGCAGGAATCGCACACGCTGTTCTGGGCGCGGGTGAAGGACCCCGGTCTGCTTACGAGCAGATCGTCGGCACCAATGTGATTGGCACCGCGGCCGTCACCGAGAAGTTCCTGCCTCTCCTGGAGAAGTCCACGCTTATTAAGAGGATTGTGTTCGTTTCTTCCGGTATCGCTAGTTTGGGAGTTTGGGCTACACCGGGCTCGATGGTGAGGAAATTCAAGGCTCCGGCTTATGCGGTTAGCAAATCTGGTGTCAATGCGCTGTGTCTACAGTATGCTGCTGCTTTTGACGAGGATAAGAACTGGAAGATTAATGCTGGTTGTCCTGGGTACTGTGCTACGAACCTGAACAAGTACGCTGGTACTTCTTCTCCTGAGACTGGGGCTGAGATCCTTTGCCATCTTGCTACTCTGGATCAAGATGGACCAACTGGAACTTTCCAAAATGCCCAGGGAGTGCTTCCCTGGTAGATGGTTTCTCTCTTTATGATGTTTTTTTGAACCAAAGGATTTATAACCCTTGTTAATTGATGAAAGTCTGCGCGTGTTACTTGAAATCGAAGATAGATGGTACACTTGGCTGTTGTTTTCAAGAAAATATTTAAACAAAGGGAAGCTCAAGGTGGCTATCATATTCTCCTCCCATATGCACCCAGTGTAAACCCCTGTTCAATGTATGATCCTGACCAAAGTTCGAGATACCTTGATAACGACCACCAATCCTCAACTGTATAGACTCCCCAGCTTCATATTCCACTCCCATTACCCAAATCCCGATTTCCAAACGTACCACTGTCCCAGGAGCCACTTTCTCCTCTTTCTCATGCGTATAGAAAGGCCAGTTTGGATGAATGGACCGAGAAGAATCAATGTCCCGGTTCGATGCACGCAGAATACCAGTAGGACCCTGATAAAGAACGACCTCGGTGCGTTCCTTCTCTGATATCTCCGCAATTGAAGAGACTGGTACGTTCTTCCAAGGAATGTTGAGATTCAAGAGGCGCTCGCCAGAGCTTGAGATCTTCTCCAGAACGAGAAACACATCCATGTCGTCGAGATCGTCGCATCGCATGTACAACACAGCTTTGGGAACTCCCATGATCTGCGTTCGCTCAGGAAAAGTGTACTTGAAAGTAACTCCTGCCTCTGCATCCTGCGAGTTGTACGAGACGGCGCTATCAGGACCAGCTGGCTTATCGAAGTTCAAGCCATCCGGTGTCAAATAAGCCTTTCGATATTCTGTGCGCGGGGGCGGAAAGTCCGACTCAATGATATTTTCGATCGGCGCTTTCTCTCCGAATTTCAGAAGAGACATCCGAACTCGAGGAGTCGACTCCCAGCCATTATCAATGTCTTTCAAGTAACGATCGAAGAATGACAGAAGCTCCTTTCGTCCTTCCAGGTTACCCCATATATCGTACCATTCCTGATAAGGGTGCCATCGCAGCCACTTATCCGGCGAGTTGACTTCGAGCCAACCCCTGATCGCTCCCATTCCATGCATGGTATTCGTATAAGTACCAGTGATATAAGTCGGGATGTCGATCTTGGTCATATCAGCTCGCTTATCGTTCCACCAATCATTCGCCCCAGGGTGATGTTCGAACATCTTCCGGAAACTCTCAATTCCATGGCGTCCTCGCAGCATGTACTTGATGATTAGATGGTCGAAAAGATCACCACCATAGATACCTCCCCTGGCAAACTGCTCCCGGTAAAGATCCCCGCATCCTTCCCAGGGTGCAATCGCTTTCAGAGAAGGCGGCTGCAAGGCAGCAACAAACCACTGGACGATCGCCAAATGCGAGTTCCCAGCCATGCCGACTTTGCCATTGCACCAATCTTGCTTGGCAAGCCACTCGACTACATCGTAGCCATCCTCTGCTTCTTGAGTACCCATGATGGCCATTCGTCCTTCGGAGTCGAATGCACCACGAGAATCAATATTCACGATTGCGTACCCGTTGTCAACGAACTCGGCGGGATCGGGGGCTTCGAACTTTTCCAGTCCGCTCAGTGCGCCGTCGGGAATTCCAAGGTTCCATGGTGTCATGAGTTTGAGGGATTGGACACCGTTGAACTTTTTCCCGAATGGACTCCAGCATAGAATTGCTGGTGTTGTTCTATCCGCGGCGCCGGGGGGCCGGTAAATATCTGCGTACAACTTGCAACCATCTCTCACTGTGATGGCGACATCGTGTTCAACAAGGATATCACACGGTAAGGCAAGTCGTCCTGGTTCTGTGCAGCTCCCCTTGACTAGAACTTCGGAGCGAGGTTGGAGAGCCGAGTAGCCCTCGGATTGCTCAGGTGCAGAGAGCTCCTCCCACGGGATGTCCACGTTGAATTGAACCATTTTGTGATAAAAGATAATGACTGATAAAGCTGTGAATGATCATTGGAGAGACCTGAGACGTATAATATAGTGCAAATTCTAGCCGTAAAATCATCCGGCTCGGTTCGGTTCGGTTGGCGGTTCGACCCCAGAAATTCCAAGGTTCCCGGGTGGGGGTGTCCCCCACAATCCGGGGTAAACGAGGTGATTACTTTCACCAAGGCCTCGATAGGCGAAAGAGACCAGCTATTAAAATGGCCCTGCCCATCCAGATTCGCAGACCCCACTGGAACGATCCAGGCCGTTGTTTCAAGGATTTTCTATCATGGACAAAACAGACATCTCTCACATTGAACTTGCCGAAGAGGGCCTTGTACAGCCTTCTGCTGGAATGAATGTCGACCTATTCAAGGGAAATGAAACGGTACTTGTCCCCACCCCATCTGCGGATCCCAGAGGTATGTTTCCTTCCATCATTCAGCAGGAACAATATGTCCTGACACGATGAAGATCCATTGAACCTGCCCGCATGGCGCAAATGGATTCTTCTCATCATAGTATCGGCATACAGCTGTACGGCTGTCGTACTCGCATCAGGAATGGGTTCAATCTTCTCCGTCGTCGAAGCATCCTATCCAGGACAAGAAACGAAGGCCAATGACCTTTTGACATATCCGACCTTGTTCATGGGTATTGGAAACCTCATCTCCATGCCCTGGGCTTTCACCGTTGGTCGCCGACCAGTGTTCCTTGCGTCAATGGTGCTCCTCATCGCAGCCGGTATCTGGTGCCAATGCTCGACGAGTCTGGGAAGCCACATCGCCGGTCGCAATATCATGAGTCTAGCAGCGGGACAGAGTGAAGCGTTGTCGCCGCTCATCGTTCAGGAAATCCATTTCCTGCATGAGCGTGGTCGCAAAATCGGGTGGTTTATCTTCATTCAGAATATTGCTTGTGGGTTATTCTTCGTGATCTCCACATACATGGTCGCAGCCTGGGGGTGGAGATGGTGGTATGGTTTCTTCACCATTATGAATGCGGTGATCTTCATACTTGCTGTGGTATTTTTGACGGAGTCTCGTTTTGAAAGAACGGAGGCAGAAATGCGCGGTGAGATTCCTGAGTCAAAAATCACCGACGCGTCTCCCGTGACAGAGCAGTACCAACCTCGGCGCTGGCGCGATGACCTCAAAATCATTATCTCCAAACCACGACTTTCCGATATTCCAATCTTCTACAAGCATGTCTTACAGGGCTTGTGTATCCCAACGACTGTCTGGTTGCTTCTTTTGAATGGCGCCAACCTAGGCACATACGTCTTCCAGGCCTCAACATTTTCAAGCATCCTGATGCCACCCCCTTACAACTTCAGCTTCAATGCCCTCGGATACGTCCAAGCCGGTCAGCTCGTCGACTGTCTTATTTTCCTGCCCCTTCTGGGGTATGGCAGTGACCTCGTCATTCGGGCATTCAGTCGCCGAAATGGTGGAATTTATAAACCCGAGTACCGACTACCCGTCATTGCAATCCCGGCAATTGTCGGCGTTGTCTGCGGTATCATATACGGACAGGCCGCTGCCAACCCTGAGAAGTGGAGCGTCGCGTCGATTGTCATCGGGTACAACGCGAGCTACTTTGCATTTCTGGGAGCAAATATTGTTGGCATTACATATGCGGTGGATAGTTTCCCGTTCCGCGCTGCACCGTTCCTGGTGGTTATCTGTGCTGGGCGTGGGTTTATATCGTTTGGATTGAGCTATGCGACCTTGCCTGCTATTGCTACTCTTGGGTATGACGGGACCATGATTGTGGAAGAGGCTATCTGTGCCGCGTTAGCGCTGTTCGCTATCCCTATGTTCTTCTTTGGCCCTCGTATCCGCGAGTATGTTCAGCGATGGTGCTGTGGCGAGAAGCCCAATTGATCTATATGTACTAGAGTCTACACTCGTACTTGAGTTTGATCAACATAAACTAAATCCAGTGATTTAATCTTTGCAAACATCTGGGAAAAGAGAATCTTGCATTGGTCTACAACTTTATCTGCGACACTTGATGGAGTAGCCATCAGATGCCCAGCAGGGATCGATCCAAAGTATCTGGATACTTCGGGTTCTCACAAATATACGTAAAAGTAATCAATAAGTTCCAGAACATTCCGCTCTCCATTATCCTGATGTGTATTAGTGTGTTGATGGTGATTTCCCAAGGATCCTCTGGCCCACTGAAGATTTCTTTCCCCGGTGTGCTTCAAACCCATTCTAACGCAAATCAGTCAATGGCTATAGTCATTTCAGTCCAACGGGCGCCAAAATCGTCCTGACTTATCCGATCTTAAGTATACTGTTACATGGCACTACGACTACTACTGTACTACCCCGGACCCCGGTGAAGCTGCAGGTACTATTTTGTAGAAAGAAGTGGGGCGTTTTCGAGAATATGTGGGACCGCGGGTTTACGGAAGAACAAAGCTACGGGTCTATGCCTCTAGCAAGAGAACTCACTGGTCACTCACTGCTGGCAACATCATATCCACTGGATGTCAAAGTTCTCAGATGGGAGATCTCGGCGTTTTATATCCGAACGGCCGCGCGCCGAAAAAAAAAGCGTAGATCATTTTCAGTCCCGCTCGGTTGACACGGCATCTCCGCAGTTCGTTGTTCAACTTTAGTTCGGATATTTCCAAGCTTGTTCGGGCATTTGTTCGGACACTCGGGATCCCGCTTGCCGAAACATCAATTACTGCACATCAATCGATCAGTATATAAACAGCGTTGGCGGTCTACTGACAAAATAACTTTCATCTGTTTCGACTTCTGTTGTCTCTGCATCTCATATTTTGCTCGATCTCAATCACTTTTCGCCCACACACACCGTCTCACATACCGATTCACTATTCATATATATCGACAGACCCACAAAAATGGCCCCTCTCACCAGAATCGATGTGCATCACCACTACTTTCCTTCTAGCTTGATGAAGGAGTGGAAGGGCACTTCTGATTGGCCTATGCCCAACAACAACGAAAAATGGACCCCTGCGGTTAGCATTGCGGCAATGGACAAACTAGGAATTCAGAAGGCCATCTTGTCAGCGCCTAACTCAACGGACAGTGCGCACGACGTCAACCTAGATGCCAGCAAGATCGTTGCCCAGCACCCAGACCGATTTGGATTCTTCGCCACCTTACCGCTCGGCAATGCGTCAATGGATGTCATCTTGGAAGAGCTCCGATTTGCTCTGGACGATCTGAAGGCAGACGGCATCGCGATGGTCAGCTCGTACGGCGTAGGTCCGGACGCCAAATACGTTGGCCACGACGACTTTGAGCCGCTTTGGCAAGCGCTGCACGAGCGAAAAGCCATCGTCTTTTTGCACGGCGACCAGACAAAGCACGCCAATGCCCCTCCCGGCAATGTGCTCCCTATTCCCATCGTCGAGGTGCCCAACGAGACTTACAAGGCAGCGGCCAGCTTGGTGACCAGCGGGAAGAAGAGAAAGTATTCTGGTGCTAAGATCATCTTGTCTCACTCGGGTGGAAGTACACCCTTCCTCGCTTGCCGAGCTGCGGTCTTGGCCAACTACGTCGGCAATACCCTGTTTGGAACAAGTCTGACGATCGACGAGCTCCTTGAGGACTTCAAATCATTCTACTATGAGACTGCGCTTAGCGGCTACGATGTGAACTTGGCCGCTTTGCAAAAGTTTGTTGCTCAAGACCACATCCTGTTTGGAACCGACTTCCCCGCCGTCACCGTCGACATGGCACGTTGGTTTACCGAAAACTTAGATGGCTATTTCGCCAACGATCAATCTTCCCACACGGCAGTCATGACTGAGAATTGGAAGAGGCTGCAGAATTAGAAAAGAGAAAAAAAGGTTGGGGCTACAGTACCTCTTGTATCAATTTCATTTACCATTCTCTCGTTATTTTTCCACCAAAAAGTGTGAAGTAGATGAACAGGCCTTTTCAAAGTCATTGGGATGAGCTTAAGTTTGTATCTAGTTCCATAATTTACATGTAAAACCAAAAAGAGCTATTAAGAATGAAGAACTGCTAAGAATGCGGGCTCGATATTTCGGTAAACTAAATGCACTATGAGCCTAAGCCCAACCGAACCGGGCCGAACCGAGCCATGTAGACCGAACCGGTATACAGCACTTCATGATCAAAACGCAACAACAAGTCAAAAAAATCAAATATAAAGACTTAATCGGCTCATATCTTCATTAAAAGCATCGCTCAAGAATATCTGGTTTGGATTTCCTACGAAACCAACATCTCAACAGTGATCCAAATGTCAACCACCACCACAACTTCTACGTCTACCCGCCTCACGGTACCATCGGGACGTCTATTCTCCCAAGGAACCGAAGTCAAATACGGTGACTTTCGCGACGACCTTCTCCAAAATGGCTATGCCGTCATCAAAGGCGCCGTTCCACGCGAGCGCGCACTGAAGTACGCAGATGAGATCTACGACTGGCTTGAAGGCTTGTAAGTCCTCTCAACACAATCCCAATAAACACCTCGGACTCTACGAACCTAGTACTGACAAACCAATTTCTTTCGAAAGCAATCTCGGCTTCAAAAGAGACGACCCGTCAACAATCCACAAAGACCATCTCCCCGATATCAACGAGAAGGGAATGTGTCTCGGTTACGCGATCTCCCACGAATCATTCACGTGGGCCGTGAGACAGGAGGAGGAGGTCATCAAGGCGTTTGAGAAAGTATACGACACAGAGGATCTTATCGTGTCATTTGACTCGGTGAATGTAGGGTTTCCGTCCCGCACAGACATCAAGCCCAATACGCCCTGGCCGCACCAGGATCAGAATCCCGAGAAGCCGGGTTTCCGGTGCTTGCAGGGTCTTGTGAACCTGTTGCCGAATGGGCCAAAAGATGGGGGCTTGATTGTTTGCAAGGGAGCCCACTTGTTGAGCGAGGAGCTGCATGAGGCTTTCATGGGAGAGGAGAGGATTTGGTCTTGGTGAGATACTGCTGTCCTGCTGGGTGGTGATTATGGTGACTTCCGCCCTTGCTAACGATGTTTACGTCCAGGACAACGGAGTGGTACGGATTGACCGATGCGAATAAGGAGTGGCTGAAGGAGAGAGGCTGCGAGTGGGTTAAGGTCGACGCCGAGCCGGGTGACTTGCTACTCTGTAAGGATCAACTTGTTCTTCCAATTCATCCAATGCAAGAGGCTAATGAAGTACAGGGGACTCCCGCACTCCCCACTACAACCTGTCGTCTGAGACATCTCAGCCCCGTTTCTGCGTTTATACTTGCTACATGCCCGTGGAGGATGCTACCAAGGAACAACTTGTGGTCAAGAAGAAGGCTTTTGAGGAGACCCGTATGACGACTCACTGGCCGAATGCCATGCATGTGGTTGATTTGCCGGTATTCCGGAATGGAGAGCCCGATCCCTACCAGCGCTCTGAGCCACGATCGGCGGTCCAGCTTTCCGACCGAGGCTTTAAACTGACAGGTATTCCATATCTAGAGGCTATGACTTGAGAGAACTGTTGTTTTTATGGAGATTATACATATTTATTAGTGTTTTGTTGAGATACAATGCTACAATTATTCACTATGTGCGAACAAGTGACTCAAATCATTCCAATCCCATCCTGCCCAATCTAACGCGGCGGGACCCCAGTTTGACCCTGCTTCAAATGTAGGTATTGTTTCCTCCAGCGGCAGATCGATTAGAGAGATATTGTCTTGTATATCAGAGAGATCGACTTGACTTGTTGGCATCTCTAGACAGCGAGATGCGTATTCCTTCAAGTCAAGAAGTATGTCGTAAACGTTTTCCACAGTCCCGTGTCTGTGGTAATGTTCGTTCGTAATTTGTATGCCGACTTTTATCAACTGCAAAGAAATTAGCCTAGAACAGGAAGATCAAGACACACTAATCACCTCAAAGTCAGACCGAATCAGGAGGGACTTGCGGTCCTGGAATATATGGACAGCCAAGGCATAAACTGCGGCTAAAGGCGAAGTAATTGTCGTGAGGTAGTTTGGTGTTCCGGAGTCAATCAGCGCAACAAATAGCTTGATGGTTTGTCGAGCAGCCTCGATAACCAATGTCGGCCCAGAGAGGAGACGCCGGCGCCATGCTTGTCCAGCGGCGTGTTTGTTGACCATTGAGTGGAGCTCATCTTTGGGTACAAGAAGAGTAGATCGATTAACGAGAATAACCCTGTGAAAAGTCTGAGAAGGCTAGTAACGATGATGAAGATGGAGATTTCACTAACCCAAGATTGTAATAGTATGAGAGAAATGCAGACTGTGGTCCACTGCTGGGGTCCAACGCGGATGAGGATCCTGGCCTACAGCTTGTTCAGCCCTGAAACCAATTTCCTCGGATGTATTGACATACCTATATGCAGAGGGCACACTGTCTTGCCACTCCGAAAGCAGAATTTGCAACTCTCCTCCTGTGCGAAGTTTGTCTTCGATCGCCTGTTCTACTGACTGCGGTATCCATTCCTCCCTTCTCCAAGCCCTTGCAGAGAGCTCCTGCATTTCGTGGAGCATATTTGCTAAGCTGATCAGTGCATTGCGGAATTGCAGCTCCTTGTCATTATCCTGATCGACTTGAGTTGCTGACGCGAGGGTTTCAGATAGTTGGCGATCCCAGATAACGGAGGGCCGTCCGCATTCCAAGGAGATTAGTCGTTCAAAGACATACATGCACCACCAAATTCGAAACTCTGGTGTATCTGGAGTTGATGAGTCTTTCTGTGCCGAGCTGATTTGATTTATGCCAATGGATTGCGCCATCGAAACTCCCATTGAAAGTATGTCCCATGCCCATGTTGTCTTGTCACAGCTGCGTAACACCATTGCAAAAAGCAAGATAGCTTGCACCGATTGTAAACAGCGGGTCGAGACGATATAGCCAAGCAGCGAGTTGCAGTAGCTGATGTATGAGGAGATGAGCGATCTGGAGGACTCGTCGGCTGGCATTGTAAGCAGACCTGCAGTCGCAATGAGGTATTTTAGAGCCTGTGTTGGTGTGTTGGCAGCACTATGTGGGACGGGATTTTGAACAGTGTGGCTGGTATTCTCCTCGTAAAGCGAGTCCACAACAGTGCGATCCAGGAAGGGGAAGATTCGGTGAAGGGTATTCCAGTAGCTCTCGATGTACAGTTGCAGCTCAGCTGGGGGAGGAAGATGTGGTGGTTGGGCGAGAATAGCGGATGCAAAGTCTGGATTAATAACTGGAGAGACTGCGTGTGCCTTGGGGCCTTTCAGCCGATAGAAAGCCATATCGAGCCACTCGGTCATCAACTCCAACATACTGGATCCAACAAAGCGCGGCATCATGGGGAGTCGTCCCGTTTTCCAGCCTTCTGGTCCCCAACATTGAGACCAGAGCCGCGGCCTCTCTTGTGCCGCTGTAGGAATAGCAGATGGAGAATGGGATTGTGGTGTCCGCGGCGTGCAGGCTTGTTGTGCTGGGTACATTATCGCACCGGGTCTGGGTGTCTGGGCATTGGGAGCAGCGGGGACAGAGATATTCTCGTAGGTATCTCGTCTACGATGCTCAACCAGTGCACCATCCCGTCGCTTGTCTGTTGTCACACACTCCACGCCAGCGACGCGGCAATTGCGACACGGTTGTTCCTCGTCGCAGCGGGTCTTCTTCTCTCGGCAGTAGTTGCAAGCATAGCTCAGTCGTTTGCGCTTTGCTGGAGGTTGGTCAGTCTGGCCGTTCATTTCTCAGGTCGAGGTACAACTTTCCGTCAAGCTTCCCCGCAAATTCGGAAATTGGGGTTGTTATGCTCCGTCAGATGGGGCTCTTGCCGAGCACCTGTAGTGTCCACTTGCCGAGGTTTATGCCCAGCGGCAAACAATTACGCTCAATACGTCAAAGTTTAATTAAATACAGACTAATCGCACCTGAATAAACGGAGCTGTAAATTACGGTGGAAATATTACATCAATCTTTTTTATATTGGACAAGCATAGTACTGTATAACTAATGACCTTGGGGAAAGACCAACTTTTGCGGAGACAAATTGTATTTGTAGTTTCGTGAAAAGCTGGATTTCAACTGGACAATTCAAAGGCTCTGGGCTATTGAAATGTAGACATTGAAGGTACAACAAGTACGAGAAGGAAGCAATTGTCAATCATAGATGCACTCTGTAGATCTCCATATAAAACACTTCATACTATATACTCTACAGTACCAGGGGGGATTGAGGCTGCACTCTGCACTTGTCTCAGTGAGGAGCATAGAGTCCATCGAATATCATTGATTCTATGTAGCAGATTCTGTGAAAATGTTTGGTAAAATTAGCTGCAATTCCGATGGCACTTGACCCAGGAGTGCATTCACTCAAGGTTGCGCAGGTTAAATGCTTTTTTTTGGTATTATGGGTTGCCTCAGATTTAGTAGATTATGGTGTGCTCTGGTGTTGTTCTATCAATGGCTCTAGTTTGCTCAAACGCTGAGTCGCGTCACTTTCTCAATGCGTGATTGTTTCGCGTGAAGGTCAACCATCCAACACGTCTCCATTCATCACGTCGCAACTCTCCCCTTCGCGTCTCTCTGCACCTCCCTGTTTTGTTCTTTCCATCTCTCACTTCTTTCCATCCTTCCCTCTTTCCCTCTTTCCATCCTTCCCTCTTTCCCTCTTTCCATCCTTCCCTCTTCCCCTCTTTCCATCCTTCCTTCTTTTCCTTTCTTCCCCTCCCCCAGCCCACTGTTCCCATTTTCTGTGTCCTCATACTGCTACCCAACGCAATCTCGTCTGTTCTTCTCTGATTTGTGTCTTCGCATTGATCTTTTTTCCTGTCTGTCTCTTCAAGAATCGCTAGTATGGCGGAGGCGAGTCAAGAAACGGACCTCGACGCCCAATTCTCTCGTCCAAGCGCGTCCGGCTTGCAATCTGATCTTGATATGTCTTTTGTACCCCTCCCCTCTGGCTCTGCCATTGATTCCACAGCTGGCCCCAATCTTCAAAACACTGATTACGCCGATACTCAGCATATCGCTGATCTTTTTTTGGCTGGTACCGACGAATTCCCTTGGGACTTCAATGACATTTTTCTCGGTAGCCCCCAACAGACCAGTCTTCTCAACTCAGTTTCCAGCTCGGAAAATTTCTCAAACACTGAGAGCTTCTTGTGTGCTGTAAGCCACTCCACTCCCACCGCTTCTCGTGTCACTGCTTCTCGCGTCACTGACCCTCGCGTCACTGCCCCTCATGTCACTGCCCCTCATGTCACTGCTTCTCATGTCACCGCCCCTTATGTCACTGCTCCTCAAGTCACCACTTCTCATGTCACTTCTCCTCATGTTACCGTTTCTTGTGTCGATGCTCCTCATGTCGCCGCTTCTCAAGTGACTGCTTCTCAACTGACTGCTTCTCAAGTGACTGCTCCTCATGTTACCGCTCCTCATGTTACTTCTCCTCATGTTACTACTTCTTATATCGGTGCTCCTCATGTCACCGCTCCTCATGCCGCCGCTTCTCATGCCGCCGCTCCTCATGCTGCTCCTTATGCCGCCGCTGCTTATGCTGCTGCCCCTCATACTACTGCTCCTCATGTCGCCGCTCCTCATGCCGCCGCTTCTCATGCCGCCGCTCCTCATGCTGCTGCTCCTTATGCCGCCGCTCCTCATGCTGCTGTTCCTTCTGCCGCCGCTCCTCATGCCGCCGCTTCTTATGCCGCCGCTTCTTATGCCGCCGCTTCTTATGCCGCCGCTTCTCAAGTTGCTGCTCCTCGTGTTACTTCTGCGAGTTCCATTTCTGGCTCTCAGAATGAAAGAATGACTGGCAAATCTTCCCGTCTACTTGCTTCACCTGTGAAATTCCTCGCCAATCCTGGACGCATCTCAAGTCATTCGAATTTCCCAGTCCATCAACAACAGGCTAGTCAATCCACAAACCTGAGTCCTGATGCCGTGGGTCTCTTTCAAAGCCCCAGAAGCAATAAAAATCCTCGAAGCTTCCAGCAACCTGGTCAATCTTTCAATTCTTCTTCGGAGTCTGCAAGCTTCCAACATGCTCCAAGCTTCCAGAACGCCGGTCAGGCCGTCAACATGCCTGCTAACGCTGTGGATCTTGTTTCGAATCCTCGTATGGTCCAGTGGGCGGCTCCAAACTTTCAGCAATCTTCTCAGGCTGCTAGGCTGAACACTGGCGCGGTAAACCACGACACTGCCTTCAACATGGCTGCCAACGCCGCCAATTCTGTTTCGAATCCACGTATGGTCCAGTGGGCGGCTTCAAACTTTCAGCAACCTGCACAGGCTGCTAGGCTGCACACTGGCGCGGTAAACCACGACACTGCCTTCAACATGGCTGCCAACGCCGCCAATTCTGTTTCGAATCCACGTATGGTCCAGTGGGCGGCTTCAAACTTTCAGCAACCTGCACAGGCTGCTAGGCTGCACACTGGCGCGGTAAACCACGACACTGCCGTCAACATGGCTGCCAACGCCGTCAATTCTGTTTCGAATCCACGTATGGTCCAGTGGGCGGCTTCGAACTTTCAGCAACCTGCAAAGGCTGCTAGGCTGCCCACTGGCGCGGTAAATCAAGATACTAACCCTGAAATCGCCCGATTGGCTCCAAGCATCCAAACCACTCAACAGGCTTCGAATGTTGACCAATTGCCAACGCAGACTGCCTCCGCAATCAATGGCAAATTCTCACCTGGCTCGGGCTTCAGTAATCAACAAGTTGTCAATCTGGCCCAATCGACTGCCCAGGCTGTCTCAGCAAATCTTGCGACCGCCCCACGTGGTTCGGGCTTCATCAACGCCCAGCGAGCTGGTCACTCTGTCAACTTGGATGCTAATCTCGGGAATCTTCCACCGAGTCCTGGGAACCTTTCATCTGCTTCGAATTATTCAGCTCCTCCCGTTTCTCAAAACCCTACTGTGAATCCCATTTCTGGGTCCGAGGATATCAACTGGGCTGACATTCCTGCCGATTTACTTGGTGCATCTGAAAACTTTTTCCTCGATATTGAGGACACGCAATGGCATTCAATCCGTCATCTCGACAACCAAAATTCTGGTCATTCCGCCGACTCTGTTACTGCGTTCAATGATGTCAGCCAGCAACTTTATCCTCCAGTCAAACCGTCTGATTGTGGTTTTGAGGAGACCTATGGAAATCTCGAAAACTTCATTCATGCCAATTTCCAACCACTTGGTGGCTCTTTTTGCTCGCTTTCTGGGCATGGATTGAATCTAGAGAGCTCCCGATATCCTCCAAGCCTCGATGCTCCTCCTTTCGCTCATTACCCTGTGTCTCAAATGCAGTCGAACCACGGTTTGAACGTCCAGCATTCGGATTATTTGAATAATCTTGGGAATAACCCGTTATTCCCCCACACCCAGTTAGCTCACGGGAACCAGAAAGTACAGCGGGGACACGCAGGACCATACATGACGCCTGTTTTATTTGACAAAGACACAGGACTCATTCTTGCCCGGCCTAACTTACAGCCTGTACCTGCGCCCGTCTCAGGAAATGGCAACCCCGAAAATGGTTTCCAACAAATTCTCCGTCAGGAGATGTACCAAGATCGGTCTCCTCTTCCGATGCGAGAGCCCCTGGCCTCGCTCCCTCTGTTCGAAGATCGTGGCTCTAAGGCACCCCCTTTGCATCAGACGGCCATCAATCATTTGTCCCACCAAGAGGACTGTTTTCGAGCCCAGCAGAAAGCAAATGTCCGAAGAAACCTGGAGGCCCCTTCTATGTCAGCTGAAGAAAGCTGGGAGAGCAGTCGGCAGCCGATTTTCACCATCACTCCTCCTTCAAAGCGTGACCGCAATCCGGCGCCATACAGGGAGATAAGATTTGCGGTAGACGACCCTCAGACGCCTCAGCGTCAATTGGATCCTCTAAGTGCTGAGGTGAGTGATACAATCACAAGTCTGTTGAAAACTCTTGCTAAAACATCCATCACAGCAATTCATTCCAGGCAGCCCGAATGATGCCAGTTACGACACCCCCTGTCCCATAAGATTCGCTCCTCCTAGGCGCATCAAGACTCTTCCTCGAGACGAAAATCGCAGAAATTCAGATGGCACGATAGCTGGAAACCCCAATAGCTACATCAAAGATTCCGTGCGCAATTTCAAACAGAAACTTCAAGAGGCTGCAGGACAAGCCAAGCCAAGTTCTTTGATGGGGCCATCTTCTTTTGATCAGCAACATTCCACATTCAAAAAGCACCTAGATAACAACACAGTGATCATTGATGATTTTTCGGAAATTGATTTTGATGATTCACCTCCAATCTCGAGTCCCCAGACCAGCAAGAAGCGGAAGGTGGCTCCGGCTACAGATACCACACCCGGGAAGAAGACCAAGGCCAAAAAAACCGGCGGCAAAGGAAAAGACAAAGCCTCCAAACCTGCCAACGATCAGCCAATGACTCCACCATCTAAACCCAAAACACCATGCAAGATGACTCCGATTCCAAAGTGTTGGGCCGACGCCGGTCCGGCGGACGTTCTGATGTTTCAGCTCCGGAACGAAGAAGTGAGCTTCCAAAAGATCGCAGAAGTCTTGCGGACAAGCTGTGGCATGGACTACTCGTTCAGAACCATTCGCAATCGGTTCTGGAAAATCCGTCATATGATTGGAGAAATGCCGGATGAGCTAGACCATGAGGCCATGAGTGAGTTTACTCTTACCCCTCCCCTCATTCTTGCCTCGCAAAGTGGGTCGCGTTTTAAGCTACCTTGGACTAACTTTTCTTCTTTCAATACAGGTCGAGTTCTAGACGCAACTTCCGAGACCCCGGTGTTCGAGTCAACCCCAGCTGGAGTCAATTCTTACCCCATTTTCAATTCAAAAATCAATTTCGCAAAATATCAATGAGAAATTGAAAAGAACAAAAAAGGGGACACGAAGTTCGGGACCGTTTACGCCTTATGAATGATATGTGAATGATGAATGGAGTTCGGTGGATGACAAAAGTGGATGGAAACTGAGGCCCCGGGGATATTCCTGGCAAGACATGACCACAAATTGTCCTGCGATTCCTGTCGTGGTGCGTCCTTGTGGGTTTCGGTATTTTTATTGAGGGAGTGTGATGGCGATTTACCGTTTCTTTCTTCTCCTGTTTTTCGCTGCCGTGAAGGTCTAGAAGGGATTCGGATCTATGTGGGTTCAAGGTGTGTCTTCAATGTTCATTAAGGGAGATCTAGTGGGATCTGAGGTTGCAGATTTGATCATTTTCGAGCGGAGACCATCTTGTTATCGAAAAGACAACAATAAATAAAAACATATTCGAAACAATTCCCACCTTCGCCGTTGAAATACACCCACGGGTCACAATCAATTCAAGGTAACAACCATCTAACATCAATGATGTACATGAACAAGGTCCACCACATCCAGGGCCGTCAACAATACATACCCGACCGTAAGTATTGTCCCGATCCACTTTTAATTATCACCCCAACAACTAACCCTCTGTTTTTTTCCCCCCTTACATCCCCCCCATGTGCGTTATGGAGGCTGGATTCCTTGGAGAAAGGAAGCCAAAAGCTGAGTTTACCCCTGATCAACGCTCTGCTATCTTATATGCATACTCCCTTGGTGCAACACAAACTAAATTAGCGGCAGATTTTTAGTGTAAGCCCTATCAAACCCTGGATCTCTAAGCATTCCACCGAACCAAAATCGACAGTGGATCACCGTGGAGCGATCAAAAACAAACCCGCAGATCGACCAGTGACCGTGAACCACGCAAGTGGATCATAGTGGATCAACAAATACTACATAACAGATTCTGCTTTGTCTTATCTGCACCAACAACAATGCAGATCTCGTCAGCTTCGCGGAAGAAACCACGCTAAAGCAAGGAAGCGGGTCATGATTAAAGTAGTTTGAACTTATAATAACCAATAGTATCTTCGGGTTCGAGCAGAACAGATTCTGTTCGGGCCATTGTTTTTTAACTGCAGGAAATCGGTCGGGGCCACAAGGACATGCTCGGGGATCCACCGAATCGTGCTGTAAATCCTGCGATGATGGTGGATTCGGAATTTCCATTGGATTCGCCTTAGTCTCTCCTGGCTTGAGTCTTCTTGCCTTGCCTCGTTCCCTAGAATTCCATTCTTGCACTTCTGATCCCGACCCTGTCGCAATTGTCAGCGCCATGAGCAAGATCCAAAGCGAGATACCCGAACCAACAGGGATCCCGTACTGGCGCCTTATCTTCGATGCAAGCGTCGTGCCCCGCGAAGTCGCATCCCACGTGCACGATGGCGCGGGCACAGAGGAAGATCCCTTCCAGGTGACATGGCTGGAGAAGGATGTTCGGAACCCCATGAATTTCGGCATTGTGCGCAAGTGGATGATCATGCTATTAGTCGGGATCAACACATTATCCGTCGCATTGGTCTCATCGGCCTACTCGGGCAGTCTGGTCGAGGTGATTGAGGACTTCCGAATCAGCGAGGAGCTCGCTATTGTCGGGATCTCGTTGTTCGTCGTTGGATTCGCTGTTGGGCCTCTGATCTGGGCGCCGATGAGTGAGTTGTACGGGAGAAGGCCCGTTCTGATCGCGAGTTCGGCGGGCTTAGCTGCTTTCACGGCTGGGTGCGCCGGTGCGAAGAATATATGGACTTTGCTTGTTCTTCGGTTTATTGCTGGGTCGTTGGGTTCGGCTCCTTTTGCTGTTTCTGGTGGGGTTATTGCGGACTGTTTCCCTCCTATTAGTCGGGGACTGGCGAGTGGATTGTATTGTGCTGCGCCGTTTTTGGGACCTACGCTGGGTCCTATTATTGGTGGGTTTTTGTCTGAGTCGGCGGGTTGGCGCTGGGTGGAAGGGTTGGTGGCTGCGTTTGCGGGACTCTTGGGTCTTGTTACTCTTTTTTCTTTGCCGGAGACTTTTGCGCCGACTCTGTTGAACAGACGCGCTGCTCGTTTGTCTGCTACTACTGGTCATGTGTACCGGAGTAAACTGGAGATTGATCAGGGCAAGAAGAGTGCTGGGGCTATTTTCAAAGTGGCTCTCTCAAGACCTTGGGTACTTCTTTTCCGGGAACCTATTGTTCTGTTACTCTCCATCTACCTTGCCATCATCTATGGCATGTATGTTTCCCCTCCCTTTCCTTTGGCTCGTTGGAATTCCTCACGCTAATATTGCCTCAGCTTATATCTCCTCTTCGCAGCCATGCCAATCGTCTACCAAACCGAACGCGGCTGGAGCGAAGGACTTGGTGGACTCTCTTTCCTAGGCATCACAGTCGGCATCCTCTTCTCTGTGGTTGCAACTTTCCCAATATACTTCCAATACAAGAACAAGACTCTTGCCGCTGGTGGCCGCCTACCACCAGAGCAGCGACTACCAGGTGCCATGATCGGTTCTATCGCATTGCCAGCAGGTCTATTTTGGTTTGCCTGGACAAATTCACCCTCCATCCACTGGATGGCCTCTATCGCAGCTGGTGTCCCGCTTGGATTTGGCATGGTGATGGTCTTCCTTCCCGTCTTGAACTACCTGATTGATGCCTACACCATCTACGCCGCGTCTGTCCTGGCTGCCAATGCCTCCCTGCGCTCCATATTCGGCGCCGTCTTCCCACTTTTCACCACATATATGTATAAAAACCTCGGGATCCACTGGGCCTCGTCTATTCCGGCTTTCTTGGCTCTCGCGTGTGTGCCCATGCCTTTTATGTTCTATCGTTATGGCCCTGAAATTCGCAAACGCTGTCATTATGCTGCTACGTCACATGCATTCATGGAGAAACTTTACGGAAAGGCTACGCTCCCTCCAAAGATTGAAAGGGACGACCTTGGCGATACTGATACAGCGTCTGATTAATACGCTGTCTCGGTCTGAAGATGAAAATATCTCTCTGTCGACTTCTCCTAGTCATTGACAATTACATTAGTCATTATTTCTTGACAAAATACCAGATTCACCCGGAACCTGATGGACGAACGGGGAACATAGTAAATAATTTACGAGATTAGAAACTTTCACTATCAAGGATTGGGAGAACGATTGGAGTATTGTAACGCTCGTGGTCTTCAAGTCATTCGCAGTCTTCATGGCGGTTCCGAGCGTTAGAAGTGCTTCACAAGGCTTGCCATGCTTTTCAGCATCTACTCTAAGCGACACCTGGGCATACACTTGTGGAAACCTGAATGTGGGCATGGATTTGTCCTAGAATAAGAATAGATAAGACCACGAGGTATCATATCTAACAAACCACCGAGCCACTGCAAATAACCACCTGGGCAAAACAATAATAATAAGAAAACTCAGAAACCTGAGATGAAAATGCCACTAAAAACGCCATCCAGTCCAGCCATCCATGGATCCGAATCACAACCACGGCCCCCCGCATCGTAAATCATGAATAAATAATAAAATCAAAGGACGCTCAGTTCTCGCCGTCCACTGTTCCCACTCCGCATGCTCATGCCAGTACCAGTACCCTGTCCACTCCACTCCGAAGACGAGGAATCTCCACGAGCACGGGAACCACCGGTACTGGTGCTAGCACCAATACTTATTCCCGCCGTCGTAAGGGAGTCCCCGTCATCCATGAGCGATGGCATGGCGCCACCGACCATTATGGGACGAATCTTGGCGCCAACGAAGCCACGGCGGTCACGGCCTGTACGGCCCCGGCCGAGCCAGTTGTGTTTGAGAGCTTTGCTGAGAATCTCAATTCTATCCTGCGATGCATCGCCTGTTTGGACGCTTGAGATGACACTGACGCATTGGAGCATGCGGCCTACGGTTTCGGTGATCACGTGTGATGAATCTGCAGAGCCGGCGCGGTGCATGATCGTTGGGCGCTGGTTCGAGGTTGGCGGGGATGAAAGGGATGAGAAAATCATTGGGTCCGGATTGGAAGAAGTATTGGATGTTGCGCGGCTGCGGGAGTTGCTGCTTCCAGGTCGGTAATTTGTGTTTGTGTGGGCCAAGATACTCATGGAGTCAGAGGAATAACTGTTTGCGGCAGTGCTGAGCATTGTTGAGGACTGGGAGTTGTAGCTGCCGAGGCCTGCATCGAGGGAGGCGGCGGTGCCAGGTCGGCCACCAGTGCCGGTGCTCTTGGCTGTCACGCTTAGTGTTGGGAATCCGGTGTTGATACTGTCAAGGCTGAGGCGGGAGAACGTCTGCTTAAGGGTTTCGTAGCGATTTAGGATCATGCGGTCTCGGAAGGCGATCAGGACTATGTTGCGCACGTCCAGAAATCCGCCGACCGGTAGTGACCCCCAGAATTCATGAGATTCACGAGGGGTCATCAAGGAGCCGACTCCCTTGAACTCGAGGTCCAAGGGTAGGAAGACAGCCTGGATGAAGGGGAGAATTGTACCAAATACCAGCATCCATACTTGAACTAGATGAGGGACGAGCTTTTCATCGGGGATTCCAACCAGGGAACTATGATTGAGTGTCGCAAAGCCCGTTTCAAGGAGTTCCTGAAGATCTGCAATAATGGATGTAGGGGTGCGTTTTTGTACGCAGCGTTGTAGATGTACCAGCACAAGCTTATTGAGGTCTTCGATAGCAATTCGCACATCCTCGCCATCAAAGATGACCAGCAACTTCGCTTTGAGAAAGTCCCATGCATCTTCAGGAGACATATTGTTAAGTCCGAACCCTTGCAAAGTTTCTCGTAGCACCGCCTCCCCCATCACACCAGACGAGCTGTTCAAAGATGAAGGCCCAGTAAAGACGGCGGCAGCGGCATTACCACCCGCCACTGTGTTGTTGAGCCATTCGGTATGCTCGGATTCCGCAAGCGCCTTCTCCTTTCCTTTTTCTTCCTTTTTCTTTTCGCGCAGAGCTCTTCCGCCATGTAGCAGATCCAGCCCACTGACGGATTTACCAAACGTGGCACCAGGAGCCGGGGATGAAGGACCCGTGAAAGAATAGAGTGATTGCGGTGCATTCGGGTCTGCAGGACGAGAATTACTCGACGCAGAGGATAGAGGCAGCTTCAGGTGCTCGTCGCGATCCTTCAACTTGAGCTTCTGCCGCGACAAGAAGTGATGCTTGTGTTTATCCTTATCCTTGCTGTCTTTCTCCGGTGCCGTGGGAGCTTTGTCTCCAGCCGGCACCACGGTACTGACCGAGGCATTGGACAGGTTATACATGGAGGAGTTATTCGAGGGCAAATCAGCCAAGCTAGCCGCAGACGCGCTGACCATGCGCGAAAGACCATTGCCAATCTTGCTCGGTGAAGGCAGCCCACGGTCCCGAGTGAAAGGATCCGACTTCTCTCGGCTGAGCACGAGGTTTTTTGGTTTCGAAAATATTCCTTTCTTCTTCTTGTTTTCTGGCTGGTCCACCGGCTGGGCTGCTGCTGCCCCGGCCCGCGGGAACACGACATTGGCGGCCGTACTTGCCACATTCGGAGAGGGTTGGTTTAGTCGGAGGGGAGCGGGTACCAACTGGGGTAAGGGTGGAGGGGAGGAACTGCCACTTCGTCGTATGTCGTCCGTGCGTTTTAATTGCTGCATGGCAGCCTGGGCGGCGATACGAGAAGCCGAAACCGGCGGCAGCTGATCGGACGATGCGGTAGGTAATGAGGGCTCAAAGAAGCCTTGTGAATGATGTCGAGATCTGTGGCGTGACAGTTCGGTCGAGGGGCCTCGCCCCGACGGCCGACGTTCTTGCGGCATTCGTGCGGCGTGCTGGGGCGACGTGGTTGATGAGGAGGATCGGTGAGGAGAGAAATAACCACCACCGGTGGGTGGATTGATCGGGGTGATCGGGGCAGCGGATACAGTTGTCACATTGGAGGAGGCATCACTACCGGAGGATCCAGGACGAGTCAATTCATCATCTTCTGAATCGTCGTCTTCGTCGTCGGAGACTGGAGGCTGGGGGTGATGACGATAGACTGGGGCGGGGGCTCGTTGGGACCGGCCCGGAGAGTTTGGAGAACGATAAGTTGGGTTCATGACGAGCGATCCATGTTATATAGACGAGTTTTTATTCTCTCTATCTATAGGAGTGTGAGAAAGGTGTCAAGGTCGGAAGCCTATTTTATCATTTAATCGGCGATCAACAAACTCACCCCTTTGGGTTTAGTCAATCGACCGCCGATCTTTTCTTTTTCTTTCCCCGCCAACTCCCACATTCCAACCCTCTTTTTCCCACATTCTACACAACTTCACTACATTTATAACAATTTCAATCATGGCCAACACTCCTCTTCAAGCTATCTACACCGCTCCAGATGCCACAAAGTCTTTCCAGCATGCAATCCCTGTGACTACCTCCAATACTCTCGCCGCCAAGCACACCCACCTGACTGCCCTCCAATCGATGATCCCCAAGCTTCAGGACGAGATCAACGTCTTCTTAACCGCGCGTATGGAAGAGGATAAAAAGGCAGAAGGACAAACCTCAGAGAAGGAATCTAAGGAGGAGGAGAACTACGGCGAGGAGATTGTCGAAGACGATGCCTGATCAACATCCAACATCCATGACATGATATAATATGCTACAACTGGGTATCAAACGAAAAAAGACCAAAACCTGCACTATGCAGAAGAGAAAAGAAAAAAAAAAAAAAACGAAACCTGAAGCTGTACAACTCTATCCGGAATGAACGCCCGCAACTCGACTTGCGCAGCCCAAATGAACAACGGTGTTGCTGGACAAGTTAGCAAAAAGAGCAAGACTTGTTAGGCGGAATAAACCTGGAAACTTACTCGGGGAATACATTGATCACACTTCCTCCCAAGCGCTTGTGACACACACCACAAATCCGCTCTTCTGTGATCGTAACGTGTCGTGCCCGGGTCCCACCTCGAACATTCTCACCGAGTGTGAGTTGGGCCTCGGTCTGCATGTCGCGTGCCTTGCGCAGACTCGCCACAATGCGGGCTTCGTTGAAGACAGAATTGGCCGCGCGCATCCGGCCCTTGAAATAAAATTCAAGGTCTTGAACGGCCAGTGTCGCAGGGATCAGACCTAGAGCTGCATCGGCTGGCAATCGAGATCCGTGCTTGGCGAGCATGGCTAGTGCCGGTCCTTTCTGGGTCGGGTGGCCATGTGGTGGGGCCAAGTAGAGGGACAACAATGTTAGGTAGATGGATTGTTCGGGTTCTTTCTTTTCGGCATGTTCGGCCAAATGAACATGGTTGCAGTACCTATTTTGAATGAAATTAGCAAGAGTCCAATAAAACAAGTAAAGAGGACTTACTCTTCCGCTTTGTCGTGAGCTTCAAGCTTGAATACGTATATCTCAAGCACTTGGCGGTGCTGTCCCATCTTGCTAAAAACAATAGCTCGTGCCTCATAGAATTCGGGATCTGCATCATTCAAGTTAGTACATATCTCAAATTCGCGGATTAGATTCGAGCCTACCTTCGCGGTCCAGCCGGTTCAGAATCTTAGCTGGTGAGTACTGCTCGCTTTCCTTGAGCATCTCCAAGAACTTTTCTTTTGTCTGGGCATCATTCTTGTCCGCTGTAAGGTGATCAAGATACAAGACCAAAAGCTGCTGATGCAGGTCCGGGCTCATATCATTCCACTCGTGGATAACATGTTCAAGATATCGAACAGCAAGTTTGGAGTCAAGGCTCTCCAAGAACCGTATGACTTTGTGGCGCGGCAGAGTTTCGGCATTCTCGGTGTCTGTCAAGAATACCTCCATACCGATCTCTTGGTCAGTTTGAAGGGGCCATTCACCGAATTCAAGGATCAAATCAATTTCATCCGGTGGAAGATTCTGCAGATAGGCAACAGTGCGTGTTGGCCCACTAAGAACACCTTCTTCTCCCTGTCCGAACCGGCGAAGCAATTCCAAAGCTTGGCGGTGCAGCTTCTTGCCGTAAAGGAAATCAATAAGATCATTATATCGTCCAGTTTCTTCTAGTCGTTCCATTACTACCTCTGGGTCACAGAAGTTTGCAATGCGGAACAAAGACCCTGCAAGTGAGGGTGTTGCATACATGTGGGCGCGGAACAAGGTTGTGTCGACTAGGCGCGCCTTCTCACGGATTGTGGACAGGAAATCCTCCGAGGATGGGAAATCCAACAGTTTCAGCACAGAGGCGCTAGCTTCGTCTGTAATATCAGTTGGCGCGGGAGCTTTGAGGCCCCCATCTTGACCCAGAAATCTTTGGAAGCGCCGACGAACGTCTGCCAAGTAGCCTTGGAGTTCACGGACTGAATTCTTCAAGTCTTTTTCCTCATCCCGGATGCTTCCTGAATCGCTGCTCCCGTCAGCTCGCCTTAAGAAAGACTGGACGGATGCGGCATAGAGAGAAGAGGTTTGGCCTCCGCTGGCTCCATGAGTTCCATTGACCCCATTCGCTGGGGGGTCGGAGGGGCCATCAGCTTGCAAGCCATTGATCTTTGGGTCTGAACTTCGCGGGTCTGAGCCATTATCGGTCGGTTCTTGAACAGCAGAAAGATCGCCAGCGATAAGCCGAGGATAAAGTCGAATGACCGTCTCAGGAGAAGCTGAGACCTCAGTGAATAGATCCAAAGAATCTCGGTACTTGTGCAAGGCGAACAAGCTCTGTGCCTTTTCAAGCTGAGCAGTGCGCAGTCGACCGGCCTTATCTCGGAGCAGAGCATCTTCTAACATCCCCAAAAGACTAATAGCTTCATCAAGATAGCCCTTCTCAACCAACGTATCAATCTGGGTGTCATAGCTCAAAGCATCCATCCGCCAAATCGTGCGATCACTACCAACTAAGAACCCCTTTCCGGCATGAGCGAGGCTGATATTCGGCTGGGGAATGTGCAATATGCTTGCCGATGGAAGCGGGATCGACTGTAACAGTGACAATGTCTCCGGGTTTCGAACTTCGAGTACGCCCTTGGCTGTGTCGTGTAGTGCTAAAAGGAACGGGTACGAGTAACCAATCTCCACGGGAGCATGGCTCCAGGGGATCTGTCGTCGTCCAAGTGGCTGACCATCAACATCAATGAAATTGGTATTCACATCCTTGGCCAATAATATCTGGCCTTCACGTAGCCTCGAGGCAAGTGGTTTCGGTACCATCCCTCCTATGCCAATGTAGCTCATGCTCGCTGCCCCGACACCTGTAAATCGTCCCGGCTCCTCCATGCTTCCAGGGCTGGGAAGCTCAGTGATCTTGCCACCTTCAACATCCACCATAACAAAGCTCGAGCCTAATCCAACAACCAGTCGTGTCGCGGACACCCAGGTCAAGGTCTTGACCCCGCTCACCAAGCTCAACTCCGTTGTATTTGGTTCCAGCTCCATGTCCCGCCACACCCACATCAAGATTTTCCGTTTGACGGCAACAGCCAGCCGAGACACGATAGCAGGCACATTTGTGTCGGGGTCATTTACCACGTTCGAGGTGATCGCAAACGCCGAGGCTCCTTTCGTCTGCGCAAGCTGTTCCTGAAATTCGTAGGTCTGGGAGTCGTGGAAGCTCACATAGCCACCAGACAATGAAACAATGACATGCGCCTCCTTCACCAGGGCCAGTTGCTCGATTTTGTACCGCGCAAACTTGTCCACCTCGCGGAGAAGCTCGGTCTTGCCATCGTCTGTTACGCGGTAGATGCGGAGTGTGCCATTGTTGAGGCCGGCTAGTAGTCGGTCGCCATAGGCTAGCACCGAGTCGATTCTGGATTTGTCGCGTGGTTTTAGCTCCACTAGCGGTTGCGCGGTGAATGCGGATAACATCGCGCGCCGGCAAGGGTCAATTTGTCCCTCCTGTCCCTCACTGGGCTCCTTGTGGTGCTTGTGGTATCGAGAAGCTCCGCCTTGTGACGTCTTGATGAGTCAGCGGTTTTGGTGCCTGAGGCGATGAACTACCCAAAATAACCTTCATTCACGGGCCGGCTTAGAAGTTAGGGCTACCTGCAAAATAGATTTACTACGACTTCTACCTACATAGGTTCTTATTATATATCCATGCACTTAGTGGAGTTGAAAATTCCTGCATGTGTCTCTTTAGTTTAAAATTCATGCCGGAGGTTTGTCGTTCCGCTACTGTGCTGAAGATTCGAGACCACAATGCTGGCATAACCACCGCATTAGCTAGGTCAACTGGTACTGTACCTAGTAAGCAGTCTTGGTATCACATTGATATTGCTTTTCTTCTCTAATTTCATCTCATCCTTACGGATGTTTATCTTATTCTTTTGGTAGATGCCTGCTCAAGTGCTACATCCAGATGCCCATACTATATTTACAAGATGCACATGTGCACGCACGTATCAATTGATACAGACAAATAACCTTGGAAAGCACTAGCTAAGCAAAGTGACGTATCGATCCCAATGCCCAATCTTCTAAGCTTTCTATGTGGAGCTTCCAACTCTGGAGCCTTTCAAGGTTGGTTACAAACATTTACAGTCGAAATATAACCTTGGAAGTATTCAATGTGCTCATACATTCGCAACATTGAATGAGTTAAATGAAATTAGAAAGAGGGTTATTTCTAGTTTCAGATGTTTCCACCTTGAATGTTCTTTTGAGGCAGGAGAACCTCCTACTACCTAGAACATACTATACATGTATTTGCTAGCACGTATATCAAGTGCTAGTAGATACACTTTAATGTTAAATCCACTGGTCCATTCCAACATTGATTGAACCTTGAAAGGTTAGTACATGTGTCTTTGTTTTTTTGAGGTACTGCCCTGCTCCCAAGATCTAAGACATGGAATTCGAGACTGGAAAAGGGAAACTTCGACTTTAAGAACTGTTCAAATCAATTGATATTAGTTTTCAAACATAATCAGTCTGCAAATGACCTCTATACACAGATATTGTTGGAGGGTTAGCTCTATTCAAACATTTGAACGGTCTTGATATGTATGCAGAACTGCGTAAACAGTTAAGATACTATGAAGATGCTAGCCATGGTAAAGGAAGCAGATGGAAGTCACAGTGCTGCCTCCAAGCTTCTAAGCATACCTCTGAATAGCCTCGCAAACACTGGAGGCCACAAAGACCCCGCAGTGCACGTGTCAGAGCCTTTGCAGCCCAAACAGGCAGTCGTTTAACACCTCAATACATATCGTTCACTCACTGTGTGGAATCCTCAAACTCGTTTCATTGTTCACCTTCTCTTCTGTGCATCTGTCATCCTGTTCGCACTGTTCTCCCCGTCACAGCTCCGAACTGCCATTCTCTTCTCATCGTCGTCGTCACCGTCTTGTCGCCGCTATCTTGTTGCCGCTGTTTTGTTATCGTCGTCTTCATTCACACTGCTTTCCCTGCCACAGCTCCTAACTGTGCTTCTCTTCCCGTCTTGTGGTCGTTAGTTTGTTGTCATCGTTTTCATTCGCACTCTTTTTCCTGCCACAGCTCCTAATTGCTATTCTCCGCCCATCTTTGTGGTCGGTATTTTGTGGTCGGTATTTTGTTGTCGTCGTTTCTTGTCGTTGACCTTGTCGTTGAACTTGTCGTTGACCTTGCCGTTGACCTTGCCGTTGACCTTGCCGTTGACCTTGCCGTTGACCTTGCCGTTGACCCTAAAAGTCTTGTCGTCGTTGACTTTGACGTTTACGTTGTTTTCGTCTTTATCGTCGTCAATTCGTTTTCCTCGTTTTCTTCGTCGTTTTGCCATTGTGGTTTTGCGTTCTTTTGCGTCGATTTATTGTCGTCGTTGACATTGACAGTGTCATATTCGCTCTCTTCATCATCGCCATCGTCATTCTCCTTTCACTCTTTTTTCTTCCATTATCGTTGCTTTCGTCGTCACCATCACCGCCGCCATGGTAGACCGAATCTTTCTCCCTCCCATCTTCGACGTCATGATCGACAATGCTCTCCGAGATGGATCCCATGAAGCACTTCATTCGATCGTCAGTATCGAGAAGCTTGGAGCCATGGGGCCTGCGGGAATGGAGCTTATGTCCTGGACATGGACGAAAGCCAAGTCTGCAGCCGCAAAGAAAGCGTATGCTCCGAATCACCACTCAGACTATGTTGGAATGCTGCATACACCTGCTGGAACCAGCAACATGGGAGCTCGGGGGATTATGGACAACCTCTGCAGTGGTTGTATCCATTGTTTCCGCTTTCTTGTAGGGAAGGATATCATCTCAACAACCGGATTTGACGACCTGGGACAAGGGTACATGTATGTTGCATCTTTCCTGGATTATCGTGACATCGTCAACTTTCTTGCAACCAAGATTCCATTGGAATGGGTTTTTTATCCCCAAGACCGCCTCCGCACTACCCAGACGCCTTTTAGCATTTCCTTGAAGTCTGAGGAATCGATGTGGATTATGCTGGACCGAATTGCTGAGTTACCCTCGCAGCAGCATCCTGGATATCGGCTTCGTAGATGGATTGAAGACGTACAGCTTGTTCAAATGGCGAGTTGGATGAATCCTGAAGCCGCTTACAAGCTGCTCAGTTGGGGTATCAACTTCGGGTCTGGGACGGATGCCCTTCTAGGGACCGTATGGACCAGCCTTATCACGACGAAGAACCCACACCGGGTAGCGATGCTGGAATGGCTGGATGATAACTCTTCCCCGTTCCTCATAGGGGCCCCGATCGTACCGCTGATAAATCAGACCGTATACAACAACCCGTCCGAGCGGCGCTTCCATGAGCTCCCTCCTGGGCATTGGCCACCGTGGGGCGTTGCGATGGCCATGGGAGACAAAGAATCTGCTTTTACTCTTGCAGCTTTGCCCAGGACCAACCGCCTTATGCGGTGTGGTTTGGGTAGTGATTCCATGTACCGTCATCAAGAACTCGGATATGCCGCAATTTATAACGTCAAAGAGGAACATATTGAGCTCCTGGATGATTGGCTAGAGAAAGCTTCCACCGACCTTGAGCTCCTGGATCGATTTCATGGAGTCACCCACATGATCGAAGATCTTTTGTACAGGGTCTTGTACTTCCGAAGTCAAATCTGGAGGAAATGGCCACGCTGGGTCTGCTCTGGCGAACGGCCAACTTTGCCCTTGCCCACTTCATTGCTACAGAAGAAGAGAAAGGAAACGTCACATAAGATCGATGTGGCTTTTCGCATGATTCACTTGATTCTTCGAAAGGCTTTTCCGGGGTCCGCAAACCAAGGTCAAAGGGTACCGTACTTTGACGGAATAATGAGCGATCCTCGGTATGAGATGTTCGTCGGTCGTATCAAGAGATTGGAATATTTCGGCGAATTCCCGGACCTAGAAGACCTTCTGGATCTGATAGAATTCGGACCAAGGGCGACTCGATCCGGAAGGATATTGGGTGGACCATAGTGTTCGATCACTTTGTCATGTGATCGGTACTCTTACTCCACCCTCTTGTAGATAGCTTGTTCTCTTCCTTCTCTTCTTCTTTCTTTTCTTCCTTGCAGCACACAATACCATTACATTGCGTTCTCGCCCTCCTTCCTTTGTAGACTCGATTCCTCGTGTCTCTTCACATAGCTTCGTCGCCCTTCAAGTTCATCCAAGCAACACGGACTTTGCATTAAAGGAAAGACCGACATCACTCTGCAAGTCAACGAGAAAAGAAGAGAAGGATCGTGAAGGACTCGGAGCGTGTTGCGTTATGGAACGTGTTGCGTGATGGAACATGCGTGATGAAGCGTGTTGCGTGATGAAGCGTGTTGCGTGATGAAGCCCACGTTACGTGATGTTTGAGTTGACAGTTGACTCAAGGATTTGTCATCGTTACTATTAATAACTAGTTCTTATCAACTCAAACAAAATGTCTATGAGGGAATTTGGCATTTTTGGTATCTGAGCATGACTGAAAAAAAAAAAAAAAAGAAAACTACCTCGTTATTTCTTTTCCTGTCCCTCGATATCAGCTGGGAAGTCCTGGTGCTTCGCCGAACTTCCCTTCCCACGCCACGTAGACACAGCAGATATGCCTGCTTTAAAGCGTTGTTCTTCTGTACCATACGCACGAGGCGTAAGCTTAATCAACGTGTGCAGAGGAACCTCCATCCACGGACTCTTCTCCTGCGGCACATTCATAAAGTATGAATAAATACAACGCAATACAGCCTGGTGCGTAACGATAATCACATTCTCACTGCGCTCCAACTCCATGATGATGGGTTCCAAACGGATCACGACGTCGCGATAGGACTCGCCACCACGGTAACGGTAGTTGTACTTGTCTTCGTCACGAGCAGCAAAGTCCTCTGGGTACTCCTCGGCGATTTCTTCATAGGTGAGGCCATCACAGACGCCCGAGTCCAGCTCGTCTAGCGCTTTCCATTCTAGTTTCTCGAAGCCAGTTTCGGCTTTGAGGTGCCGGGCAGATTGGATGGTACGGCGGAGGGTTGAGGTCCAGATGACAATCTTGGTGTTCTCGGGAATTCCGGATTTGCGCATTAGCTCGGGTAGAGCGCGAGCGTAGGCTTCACCACGCTCTGAGATGTTGGAGTCACCGCCAATACGGCCTGTAAGATTATATTCCGATTCACCGTGCTATTTAGGTTAGAACAAAAACGCATTCACAATGTCATTCTCTGTTGGAAGAAAAAAAAAAAAAACTCACTCGAGATAGCCAGATTGATCGGGGCTTGATGTGCAGGTTTTGAATGTAGTACACCAGACGACTTGACAAATAGTCCTTGATCTGGTTGATGATAACAGTTGATCCAACATTGATGAGCTTGACATAAGTGTAGGACTTTTCGCCATCGCCAATCGTCTCGTAAGCTTTTTCATAGTTGACAATACGCTTCCGGAAATCCTGGGCGGCCAACTCAGGGTCCTGACCCTTGTAATCCGGCGAAGTGGTCTTGACTTCTAGAATATTGTTCATGATGAGATCTTCGTCATCACAAATTGACTCAACGAAGAGTGTCTCGATATCGGCAGCAGCACACTGCTCATGAATCCACTTTCGGCGTTCCTTTGTGGAATTGGTTGCATCTAAAATGGCAACCACGCCCTTGCCGGCTTGGAACCAAGCCAGCATGTCAGACATGGCGGCCTCAGCGGCCGCCCGGCGCATGCGCTCACCCTCAGCATTGTGGGGATCGAAGAAAGTGGCCTCTGGCTGGGGAGTGTTATGGCGCCGATAGCTGCCAACGTTGAATACACGAGCTGGAATGCCCACCCAGGCCAGATATCGCATAGCTATGGCTAAATTAGACTTCGGGATCATGATCTAATGGTGGGGTTGCTTACCCTTTCCAGCTATGAGACTCTTGCCCCGCGCTGGGAGGCCAACCATGACCACGCAAATTTTGGAATCATCTGACTTGATAGGAGGTAAGTTTGGAGCCATGTTGAAACAAGATGATCAAGGATGGACGAAAAGGGGAATGGAGCACATGGGTAAGAAACAATAAATGAGACAACAGGAGAAGCGGGGGCAAAAAGGCCGGAATTAAAGGGATGAAGAACAAAATAAAGATCAAATGATCACAAAGGTCCCTTGATATAAGAGGGTCTCTATGGGCTTAGCGTCTAATGATCTCATGGTCTGCATAGTCATCGCCAAGTCTTTTTCCATGTACTTCTTTAGATGCGATTTGAGAGAATGAATTACCCCCACATCTTCAGAGGACAAACAATAGAAAGGTCGATAGCCCAGGCTTATATGACCCCGATCTTAGATCTGATATCATTGGAGGGATCAAAGCTGGACCGAGGCAAAGAGATAGGAGGGGCAGGGATCCCCGCGGACAGAAGGCGATCCGCAGCTAAGGGATAGAAAAAAGAGGGGCAATTGCTTCCACAATATATGACTTACGCTAGCAATAAAGACCTTATGCTGCTGCTGACTCCGGATAACACTTTTTGAAGACATTGCGAAATTTGAGATATCGGGAGGAATAGGGACAAGTTTCCGACCCGAGGCCGAGAGAGAGGATTCGGTATATCTCAGCTAAGCATGCAGGGATTCGCAGGGGGGGTATTGAATTGGTTTTGACTAGTTAGATCCCAGGTTTGTTTTTTTTTCGCAAAAGTAAAAGAAGAATATAATTTAAACTTGGAGAAAAGAAAAGAAAAAAAAAAGGATTGAAGGGAAATGTGATCATGCGGTGAGTCTGGAATTTGCTCCACTATCGATAACTAACGTCATCCAATTTTCCCGTTTTCTGTTTCCCCGCTTGGAATCCAAAGTAATATATAATTTTTAAAAACCCCCTAATGAATGCCCTTTCTATAAAACTCCTATATCTATAGTGCTGCTTTTCGTTGGTTTTGGTCGTTTTGATCATCATCATCAAGTCTTAAAGCTGAGCCTCGGGGCTAATGCGCTCTTCCGGCTTGGTGATGGTCGTGCCCCGCGCCCGCTGCACGCGGATCGGGCCACCCCACGGTCCTTGTTGTCCGTTCAAAGTGTTGAGGGCCCGTTGAGCCTCTTCCACACTTCCGAGATCGACAAACAGATAATAGTGCTCGCCGGGCTCGAATCGCTTCGCGGGGTGAGGGGAGAACAGCTTGCTCACTTTCTCACTAGGACACCAACAACACCACGTCAGTAACGATCTCCCAGAAAACAGAGAGTAAAAGCAAAAGAAGCTTCAAAAAAAAAAGAGGAGGACATCTTGGAAGAAACTTACACGGTGTATCCTTGGAAAAAGACCTTCATCTGGGCCTCTAACACCTCAGGCTCGGCCACACGGGGCAATCCACCCACGTATACGCGTTGACTCGATTCGGAGCTGAAGTTGGAGTTGGAGTTGGAGCTGAAGCTGGGCGAGCTGATCTTGGGCAAACCCTCAGCATCCGAACGACGCCATCGGTCCACGTTAATCGGCGATCGCTGCTGCTGCTGTTCACTGGCACGCTCGGCCGATGACTTGGCCACGCCGGGCTTGATCTTAACGGGACGACCCAGCATATCCTTTCCATCCAAGTCGATCATGGCCCGCTCAGCCTGTTCTTTTGTGTGCAGGTCGACGAAACAGTACGAAGGGTTCCGGCCGGTGAAGGGATCAATGGCAATGTCGATGCGCTCGCTATCAAGGGTTCAGACTCAGCAAGGCCGGTAAGCCAGCGAAAATGTTAGAAAAGCCATACATGGAGAACTCGGAAGCTGTGAAGAGTGCTTCAACATCCTCGGACTTGGCCGTATAGGGCATGTTGCCCACATACAGGCGGCGGCCATCGGAAATAGCTTGGGGCACATGGGATCCTGGACGACTAAAGGCGGTGCGGGAGGTATTGGTTCGCGGGGAGGGGGGGGGGGGTTGAGGGCTTTCTTCGCCCTTCATGCGCCAGTTCGCGGAGTTGAAGGCGCGACCGTTGGTCCGAACATTTTGGTGAGGAGTTCTGGGAGCTGGGATGGATTGTTAGATCTGCAGAGCTCTAGAATAAATGATCGGCCGTTTTTTTCTTCTTTTGCTGGCTGACATACCTTGTTGCTCGTCAGGTCTGGGGATCTCGGTATCGGCCATGATCTGGAAGTTCAATAAGAAATTGTTCAAAGCCACTCCAGGACAAATCTCTTACTGAAATTTCCACTCGGATTAATCAACAATCGATTTTCTGTGCAGAACCAGAAAACCCCAAAGTGATGCTTCATCACTTTTTTTTTGTTTGTGAGTGCAAACACTGCAAACACGTGATTCCACTATTTATTTTTTCGCGCGGCGGCTCGCTTCTTCCCTTTTTCTTCGTTACAGAAAATTTATCCGATCTTTCTTCGGATTCCAACCAAACCCATGATTCGGTTGTGGCTTGGTTCCGTTGATATGCTGCAATGAAGTCTTTCATGTTCATGCAATGCTTCCATAATGCGGGCAAGCATTGCATGACCAGAAAGCTAAATTTGACAGCTTGAAAACTCTTCAAGCCCGCCTTTCACATAGCACTCGAGCTATTCACCACTAATCGGTAAGCTTTATCTTGTCTTTTCAGCCCCTTCTGCTTCAGTGATGAGTATGATTATACACAGACCTGTTCCAAAATACCTTGAGGATACCAGATCGATTAAAATCTGATCGAAGCTTTTCAATTATGTTTCATTCAACGCCATGTCTGATCATTGCTAATGGACATTCAATTCAAGTACACAGGACCATACAGAATCAGATCTCAACACTAGCACCTACAAATTCTGTAGACACTAATGTGTAAGTCTCTTTGTCTTTACTTTATCGCCCCCTGCTTCTATGACGAGTATGATTATACACAGACCTGTTCCAAAATACCTTGAGGATACCAGATCGATTAAAATCTGATTGAAGCCTTGCTTTTCATTTTACTTGAAAGCATCTTATGACCATTGCTAATGATCATTTCAGTACCCAGGAATTTACTTCATCTCGACATTGATCATTGAACACGACTACCTCATTCATCCTTCTATCAAGCTTATATGGTTAGTATTCCTTGTTTTTTCTCTACCACCCTTGCTTCTATGATGAGTATGATTATACACAGACCTGTTCCAAAATACCTTGAGGATACCAGATCGATTAAAATCTGATTGAAGCTTTGCCTTTATCTTACTTGCAAACCTTTGATGATCATTGCTAATGATTATTATCAGACTACAGATTCATCTTAGTGAAAATCATTAAACAAAATGCAAATATGCTTGATATAATTTCTGAATATTCCTGCCAAATCAGTAGATTCCTTTCAGTAGATGACAGTCCCTCGATCTGGGCAGCTGGTAATTCGTATAAACATACCTAGCTAGGCCCAAGGCAAGACCCACAGAGCTAGTACCCTCCAGGTGTCCTTCAAGGCCCAAGCATTAAGCATTATACCCCAAGTCTGCCTGCACTGGCCCCATTTCCTCCATCTCATAAAGAAGCTCAGGCTTAACATCCTTCCCCAACCCATACCTCTTGAAAAAGTACGGAATCTGCCTCAACCCATACTGCGCATGAAACTTGGTCGGCACCGAAAATACCTGATCCAGCTCCTCCAACGTCTTATTCTTGGTCTCAGGCATGAAAAGCAACACAAGCCACCACCCGACAATGTTCCACGCAGCATAAAACGCAAAAGCCCCCTGCGCCGTAAACGCACTCTGCATAGACGGCCACGTAATGCCCAGAACGAAGTTGAAAAACCACGTCGTTGCCGTCGCCAATGCCATTCCGTGCGGTCGGACGTAGAGAGGATATGCCTCGGCCGAGTATGTGAATGGCACTGGGCCCGCGCCGGGGGAGTAGACCATGCCGAAGAGGTAAGTTCCTATTACTATGCATACTATTCTGGCGCTGTGTTCTTCGGGGATCCAGAAGCTGAAGCCTGTGAAAAACATGGCCAGTGACATGAGAGGGAACGTGACGAGCAGGAGATTGCGGCGGCCGAATGTATCGATTGTGTAGATTGCTGGGATTGAGAAGAGCCAGTTTATTACGCCCCAGCCGAAAGAGGTGAGCATCGATGACACGGCGCCAATGTTTGCGTCCTGTGTTTCCTTGTTAGATCTGGGCGATGGTGAAGAAGAGTATTAAACGTACCATGAAGATTGCAGATGAGTAGTACGCGATGACATTGACTCCACAAAGCTATTTCTGCTTAGCGTATGCATGATGCAGGTCCGTTTCTTTGTATGCAAGTCTTACTCACCTGCTGCATGATCATGACAATCTGCGAAGCGATCATCGCTCGCCGGTTCCGAGGAACCTTGATCAGCTCCATAATCTTATTCCGACCCAGCTCCATGCTCTTCTCCGCCTCCAACAGCGTATGCATATAAAACATGTCCCTCGCCGCCTGGATCCTATGATGCCGCAACGAACACATCGACTCATAAGCACGATAATACTGATTCTGACTCATATACCAACGCGGCGACTCAGGACACGCAAAAACAAAGGTCAAAACGATAACGGCCGGGATCACCGCAGACCCCATCATAAACCTCCAGTTCAAACCAACAATCGTGCTCTGGTCAGGGATCTGATAGAATGCCAAGTCCGCCACATATCCCAGCATGATACCGAATGCAGTCCACATCTGCCACTGCATCACCAGGGCACCGCGAATAGAGGAGGGGACTGTCTCGGCTGCGTAGATGGGGACGGTCGCGGATTTGGGACCGATGCCAAATCCCAAGGCGAAGCGGGAGAGAAACAGGTTCCACCATTCCGATGCGCAGCCGGACCAAAATACGGCGAGGGCACTAAAGACACATGTGATGAAGATTGTTCCTCTTCGACCGAACCATTGGTTGAATGGGACTGTGAGCCAGGAGCCGATGAAGGCGCAGCACAGATAGGGGGCGGATGTGATCAGGCCTAGGATCCAAGTACTTCGGGCACTGTCGTCTGCGATTCCAAATTGATGTTTATACCAAAGCTGGGCGCCGTTGATTGTCGTTTCGTCTTAGATTCGGTTGATGTTAGCAATGTGTTATTTGGTGTCGTTGTGGGGGTAAAATTATCTCACCCATCCCCTGGACAGCAGCTGAAAGCGAACATAGGACAATCACTAAATACATCTTCTTCGGTTGTGACCATCGGTGCTCGATCTCGTGGAGTAGAATTGCTTTTTCTTGAGGCGTCAAGGCCTCAATACTGGCGAACCGCTCCGGCGCCTGAGCCAACACCGCGCCCAGCTCAAAAGCCCGAATGTCCTCCTCGTCGCCTATATCGTGCGTTATTGCAAAAACGCGACCCTGCTTCCGCAGCTCAGCATGGCTATACCCGGCCAACGGATTCGAGAGCTTAGCATTGAGATTACGACGGGCGTGCTCTGCAGTGTTCTCGTAGTCGTGCTGCGGAGCGAACTGCTCGGCAAAGGGCTCGTTTTTCTCCGCCATTTGGATCTTGTCTGGCATGAATGTTGGCCACGAGAAAGAAAAAAATATCAGAAAAAAATGCATTGGAATTAAGTGGGGGATGTACTATGTACTGTGGGCGAACTCGGACCACAACAAAGAAATCTCGGAGCAAACATGTTGCTTGCTTTTTGAGCCTGCTGGGATACTTGTCAAAGAAGAGATGTTCATACATACAGAACTATAAGCGAGCTAGTGTAGATGGCCGCCTTGTGGGGACTTGGTTCCTGTGTTCTTTCAGGTCATTGGCCAATCTGAGAGTAAGCAGCCAGTCCAATGTTAAACAAAGGAGTCTCGCTCGGTTCTTCGAGTTGAAAAGCAAGGATCAACACAATCCATTAGGCTGGGACGTGCGTGCTGCAATATGCAGATCTAATTACGAGAGCGCATGAAGCGTGTCGAAAGATCAAGTCTGGGTGGAATCTGTCAGAACAGGTCAGTGTTACTCTTTAAATGATAGCGGGGCCATACTTGACTTTGATGCTGCACAGAAGATTTGAAATGCTCGTGACTCGACATGTGCAGAATTCGTGTCTTTTTGCAGTACTTCAAGGGATATGGTATACACAGTACATGCACTTGCACATGAACAGTATCATAGTACATTAACCTGGTCTATAAACTGAAGCGATTTTCTGTTCTGATCATATATCCATATTACTTCTCTACATTGAAGCGCCCGTCGGATAAAGGTCGGCTCGGCAAACGTGGGGAAAGTGGGCGATCCGCCCCGCAAATACAAATACGTATAGTCAACCTTGGAAGACAGCGGACCGCCGCGTCGGATAATGAGCCGACGCGTCTTCACTTCCGATAGTAGCTGTACGGAGCAATATTAATGCTTAACTGACAATGGAGTAAATCCACCTTTCCGAAGAGTGCGGGGCAACTAAAGTAAGAGCCAAATATAAAGCGAGCTGAAGAAACCACCGAGAGCTGAACTACAAGCCCCTCACTTTCTTTCCTCTCATCATTTAAGCTTCTCCAACCTTCTCCAACTACCAAAATACATACCCAGCAGCTCACACCTCCTCAAAAATGCTGGGAAAGATCGCTCTTGAAGAAGCCTTTGCGCTTCCCCGCTTCCAAGAAAAGACAAGATGGTGGGCTGGCATGTTCGCTACCGATGTTGACAAGCACACTGCCGAGATCACCGACGTGGATTCCATCAGATTGAACTTCGCCGAGAAGCACGGCGTCGGTCTCCAGATCCTCTCATACACCGCGCCCGGCGTACAGGATATCTGGGACGCAAAGGACGCCCAGGCCCTCGCCGTCGAAATCAACGACTACATCGCCGAGAAGGTGCAGGCGCACCCGGATCGATTCGCTGCCTTCGCGTAAGTATCAAGTCCACCCCTGCAAAGCACATCACAGTTCTAACAAGAGCCCTCAGAACCCTCTCCATGCACGACCCCCAAGAAGCAGCCGCAGAGCTCCGCCGCTGCGTAACAAAATACGGGTTCCTCGGCGCCCTCGTTAATGATACACAGCGCGCAGGACCAGACGGCGATGACATGATCTTCTACGATAATGAAAAATGGGACGTCTTCTGGCAAACATGTACCGAGCTCGACGTGCCTCTTTATCTCCACCCCCGCAACCCCACCGGAACAATCTACGAGAAGCTCTGGGCTGATCGCAAGTGGCTTGTTGGTCCCCCTCTTTCGTTCGCACAGGGTGTGAGTCTTCATGCGCTGGGTATGGTTACTAATGGAGTCTTCGACCGCCACCCTAAGCTGCAGATTATCTTGGGCCATCTTGGCGAGCATATCCCATTCGATATGTGGAGGATTAATCACTGGTTCGAGGACCGGAAGAAGTTGCTTGGGTTGCAGGAGACGTGCAAGAAGACTATTCGGGAGTACTTTGCGCAGAACTTGTGGATTACTACCTCTGGTCATTTCTCGACTCCTACTTTGCATTTCTGTATGGCTGAGGTTGGGGCTGATCGGATTTTGTTCTCCATTGATTATCCGTTTGAGACTTTCGAGGATGCTTGTGACTGGTTTGATAAGGCTGAGTTGTCGGAGCCTGATCGTCTGAAGATCGGGAGGGAGAACGCTAAGAAGCTGTTTAAGCTGGGTGCTTACAAGGATAGTACTGCTTGATTTGCGCCAGTTTGATTAATCTTCACAATTTACGTTGTATCATGTACGAGACTCGATCGGAAATAGTATCATGGTTTAGCTATTCCTCAGTTCGCGAAATGAAAATGGATATCTCAGTCATCATGTCATGGCCACGCATAGTAGGACAAGATTGGCCTCTGGTGTAATTCTTGCTTCTGTCTTTTCCCCTGTCTGACCTTTTCCAACCTAATCTTCTTCAAAGCAGCGTGCTACTGAAGAACCACCAGCCCCTTCCGTGACGGATGCAAAGAACTGGCTCTTGATGATGTGCAAGGCATCCCGGTAGTTAGCGTAACTCTCGATGGCACGAGACAAAACCTCCCAGATAGCATGAAGAGTCCTAGTCAGCTGCAGACGACCAATATCCAGAGTCACTTCCTGGGCGATTTGAGTGTTACGGAGACGAAGGAACGTGTTATGAACCCATTCATCGTAAAGATCCAGCAACTTGGAAAGCAGCGTCTGTTCAATCCGGCGTGGCTTTTTCAGATAACTGGTTACCACTGTTAGTCCAATACCACAAAGTATACCTCAAGTATAAGGTAATAGTCACTCACGCAGAGACTACTTTAGCCATGCGTCGGTATCGGGTCAAAAGTGGAACGTCCTCGTAGAACAAGAGTAACAACGCAGAAGTAACATTCTCAGCGGTCTGAACAAGATCCCTCATCAAAGCATCGGCCCAGGAAACATAGTTTAGAAACACAGTTGCGATGGATTGAGCATCGGCCACAGCCTTGAAGTTGAGGAAGTTCTCCTCGCCTTCGGAGAAAAGGGTGTTTTCCAGAAGGATGATCATGTTGGTCAGGGCAATGAATCGAACGCGGGTCGATTCAACAAGCTGCGGGTGAGAGAGGGACTCCTTCATACTGTCCAGAGACTGGGCCTTCTTTTCAACTACTGCTTTGAACAATACAATGTTGGGGTCCACGGCTTCGATGCGAATTTCTTCCTGCATAGCCGCGGTGAAAGTGATTTTGTATGCTCTCTCGGATTCCTCATCAGCAGAAGACGACTGCTCCTCTTCATAGTCCGGGAATGGCTCGTGCTCAGAGTCAGGCTTGACCTCGGGCTTGATTTCAATCTTTGAGTCCTTTTGTTCCCGTTCTTCGGGTTCCTCCAGCGTGTCTGTTTGGGAACTCTCGGAGTCCCAGTCGGCGGCGAGATGCGAGCGGACCGCAGCCAACAATGACATGGCGGGTGGACTAGCCGGGGCAGCCATGCCGGGTGGATTGATAGTGAAAATGGGGAACGAGGAATGGGGGAGGGAAGTCACGAAAGGTTATGGGTTGAGAAGAAAAGAAATGAGGGGTGGGATAGGTAGAGTGAGCACCGCTTGAGAGAGAGATAAAAAACGGCATAGTATGTAGAACATTGAATGTGGGAGATAGTGGAAACAACTGAAAGATGTGAATTGTGATATTGTAACCTAGTGAATTATTACTGCATATATTTACCACGCTTCAATCGCAAAATGCATACTGATGGAAAAAAATCCATGGAAATTTTTACTGGGACGTCCAAGCGACCATGCAAGCATGACCACCCGGCCAGCCCAACAAATCCGTGCGTTCTGATCGAATTGAGGTGTGGTCTTGCCTTCCCCTAGATGAAAGCCTGAATAATGAGACAGAACAGTGACAGCGGAACAAGACGTTCCAGTAGTCACCGATACTGTCTCTCAGGTGATTCCATCAAGAGTTAACGAAGGCAAACTGGTTCTTCGCACATTGACTAATCAGCGTCTCATTGGAAAGGAGGACGGCAACTTAAGTAGTGCGATTTGAAGGTTTTTACTCAGATTTAGGATGTGTACAAGGCTCCTCAGCAACAATGTCTTCCTCGTCTTCATCCTCTGGCAAAGGGACGTCCATGACCTTGTCACCCGCCCACTGTAGAGTTCGTTTGCTCCAAGTTCGGACACCTTTGTAGACAGCCTGGAGGAATGGTTGTTAGTAATGAAGTGGCATCTCAACAATTCTCGGCATACCCAGAGGAAAGTGACGACCCCAGTCATGATCACTAGCCAATTCAGATTGGCAGCTCGGTTCCGTCCATTGGACCGACGATTTCTCAGAAGGCCCGAACCTCGGATCCAGTATGATGGCGACATCAACAAGGCCCTGAGGCATGAGGTCAATCCCAAGGCAGCAAGTCCTTTCACAAAGTGATCAAGCCAAGAGGCATCTTCGGTCGGTTCCAGGAAGTCCTCTTCGGCGCCGACGTAAAGATCAATGACGGGGTCAGCAACAAATCCAAGTAAGAAAATAGTCAATATTAGAATGGCCAGCGTAAGAATAAGTTGAGTAGCGGTACTACTGATCCAGCGAGCCCATGTTAAACGCTCAAGACGATATTGAAAACGACAAGTAGGACACTCCCAGTAGTTCCGGGTACCCAGGCTTGGGTTTGCAGTTCGCCAGGACTGCAGGCATCCTTCGTGTACATATCGCGAGGATCCTTTGCATTTGCAAGGGCGAAGCAGCCGACCTGATTCGGGATCGCTGGACTCATAAACCAGTCGAGATCTTTGGAGAAATTCCGAGGGCTGAAAGGTTGGCCATACTGTTTCCAAGCAGATGCGACAGACTCGCGGGGGATAGCTCTGCTCGAAAGACTCTTGCCCCGGCGAGTCCGGCTCATTGCTTGGGGAGTCCATTGAGGATATTGTATATCATAGTATCTCTTGAACTAAAATATTCGCTTTTAGATTTTAAGACGAAGAGAAAAGTGGGAAAGTAAAAAGTGATCAAAGGGAAAAAGAGGAGAAGACAGAAGAAGAAACTGTGTGAAAGTCGGGATTGGAGACTAAACCCGATTAATCTCACCGCCTTGAAGCAGCTCATTCACAGCTACCTAAGCAACCGCGTCAAACGTCACCCTCCGTCTGCCTACTTATCCAACCTCCTTCTTCTCATCCTTTTTGAATCTCTGTGGTTTGGTGTTTTGTAATTCTACACATAATCATGGCTGACCGTTATTCCTTCTCCCTGACCACTTTCTCTCCCAGGTAATTTGATCATCCCAAACCTCTCCCAGCCTTGGTCCATAAGCTAACCCATCGTCAACAGCGGAAAGCTGGTGCAGATTGGTAAGGACCGAATCTAGAGGATTGTAGAGAGAAGCTTGGAACTAACCCTCGCGGAATAGAATATGCTTTAAATGCTGTTAACCAGGGTGTTACAGCCCTCGGCATCAAAGGTGAGAGAGAGGCTTGATCATTAGCCACCGCCCATCAAAACTACAGAAGCTAACAATTATCCAGCCACCAATGGCATCGTTCTTGCTACTGAGAAGAAGTCTTCATCCCCACTTATCGATCCCCCCTCCCTCTCGAAGATCTCCTTGGTCACCCCCGACATTGGCATGGTTTACGCCGGCATGGGCCCCGATTACCGTGTGCTTGTAGACAAGGCCCGCAAAGTGTCACACACTGGCTACAAGCGCATCTATAACGAGTACCCACCCACCCGGATTCTGGTGCAGGACGTCGCCCGGGTGGTGCAAGAGGCTACTCAGTCTGGAGGTGTCCGACCATACGGTGTCAGTCTTTTGATTGCTGGTTGGGATGAGGGTGTTGAGCCCCAGTCTGAAGAGGCTGCATCTGAGGAGAAGGCTACCACCAAGACCGGCGGAATCCTTAAGGGAGGTCCTAGTCTTTACCAGGTGGACCCCAGTGGTAGTTACTACCCTTGGAAGGCCACGGCCATTGGCAAGCATGCGACAAGTGCCAAGACTTTCCTGGAGAAGCGGTACACTGAGGGTTTGGAGCTTGAGGATGCCATCCACATTGCGCTGTTGACACTCAAGGAGACCATCGAGGGTGAAATGAACGGAGACACAATAGAAATTGGTGAGTTTGAGTTCCCATTCTCGACTGTTTCATGCTTCATACTTCGGAGACTAACATCAAATTAGGAATTGTTGGCCCGCCAGCAGACCACCTGCTCGGTTACGAGGGCGTGGAGGGCTCCCAAGGCCCGCGCTTCAGGACTTTGACCAAGGAGCAGATCGAGGACTACCTCACCAACCTATGAGAGACATGATAGAACTCGAATGACACTTCCATTTGTTTGACGGCAACGGCAACGCAAACCATAAATAGAATCACAAGGACAACTACCGTTGCAGGCGCACGTACCGGGTAGATGCCGCTTGACAGATAGTCGACAAAAGTAGACTTCCACCCACATCCACGGCCATACTCGACACACATCACATTTATTGCAAACCCTCCCAATCGACTCAAGTCATATTCTCGTTTGTCAAGGTGCCGAGCCTCGGCGTAGCCCAACCAGCGTCGCGTGAAGTGTTACGTATACCGCATGAACCACAAAGCCAGGTACAGTGGTCCGTGACATCCCTGTCATTTGCTAAAAGTAGACTTGCGATCAAGTCCCAGACAGCCAAGTTCCAATCTTGCCTGCCAGTTCTTGGGGTTTAAAACCGGCACCGTGAACAATGTCCTTAGGGCCCTCTCATTACCCCGGGTTTGGGCTAGACTGTGGATTCTGCACTTTTAATTCGCCAATGACTCTTTCCCCTAGCTACGCACTGACTTTTTGAAAGAAAAATACAAATGAAAGGCCGATTGTATTTGCTTAAAGGGCCTACTACTACGTTACAGTTCTGCATTTGTTGCATTTCTATCGGCTACTTTTGTACGACCAGCCCTTCCTTCTTCTTTATTACTCCCATCTTCTTTCTTTCTTCTCCCCTCTGCTCTCCCTCCATTTCCCTCCCATATCCCTCCATACTATTCCCAGCTTGGAGAATGTGGACATATCAAACTAGGCACAGGGCTCCACGGAGCCTATTCACTCTGACTACTAGTATATGTGCTCCAAGAACCGAATGAACCGCAGCTAGACTACAAATACTGATACCAAAAAAAAAAAAGTTACCAACACAGTACAATAATGCCCTCGCTCCCTCAAGACCTACTAGACGGCATCTCCGGGGCCCTCGCAGCAGAAGGCAACATCCTCCAAATGGTCCTAGTAACCTTCATCGGACTATCCTGCTACAACGTCGCCGAGCTAGTCGTCCTAGTAACAGCCACCTTCCGGCGCTGGCGCGGCCTATACTTCTGGTCCCTATTGACATCAGGCTGTCTCGGCGTGGTACCATACTCGATCGGATTCATGATGAAATTCTTCACGCGCACCGACTCCGCTCTCTCCGTCACCGTCCTAACAATCGGCTGGTGGACGATGGTAACCGGGCAATCGGTGGTCCTATATTCACGCCTCCACCTCGTCCTCCGGGACGAGAAGACGTTAAGCCGCGTTCTGCGCATGATAGTTGTCAACTTCTTCTTGCTGCAGGTGCCCACTACCATCCTGACGTACGGCGCTAATATCATCCACACGGGCGATCTGGCCTGGGTGTGGGGGTACAATGTCATGGAGAAGGTGCAGTTGACGGGGTTCACGATCCAGGAGACGCTGATATCTACGCTGTACGTTATTCATACGGTGAGATTGCTTCGTCTGGGTGCGGATGCGACTAGTCGGCCTGATGCGCGGATCATCATGTACCATGTTATTGGGATTAATTGTGCGATTATGGCTATGGATTTGCTGTTGTTGAGCTTGGAATATGCGAATCAGTATGCGGTCCAGATCGTGCTGAAGGGCTTTATTTACTCTGTTAAGCTGAAGCTGGAGTTCGCTGTGCTGGGGCGTTTGGTCGATATCATTCAGGGGTCTAGGCATCCGATCTCCGTGGCTATAGCTGATACGCTGCCTCTCTGTTCGTTTCCTCTTCCGCCGGAGACGGCTGTCTGTGCTGATTTGCGGGGTCCGGAGCTGGAATCTGGACCCGACGGGAAGGGTTCGATCGCCCCGGATTCGATTGCTCCGGCGGATGGGGAGGAGGTGGTTGAGACGAGGGATTTTGTCGAATTGGGGAGGGAGATACGGAGACCAGCTTCACGGTAGTAATGATATGATGAATGTAATATGAATGCGGACTTTCATCGCAGTCTTAATTATCTTGTCGTATCTTGTATTCGACGCTTCGTATTACATGAAGACTGCCATTTCTTCAGTCATATTCATCCGACTCCTCGTCTTGACTATCCGCAATTTCGTCGAGTGCTTTGCGTTTCCGAGTAGGCGTCGGCTGAATGGGCGTATTCTGAATGGGCGTCGTCTGAATAGGCGTAGTCTGAGCGGGCGTAGTCTGAGCAGGCGTAGGCTGAGTAGACGTGGGCTGAATAGGCATAAACCGAGGAGGCGTGGGCTGAACAGCCCTAGTCTGAGTACCAGTAGGCACAGGCCGAGTCGACGTAGCCTGAGTCTGCCTTAACGGCACAGCATTTTTTAAACGATCGAGTCTCTCCTGCAAATCGACCACCTCACTAGGCTGTCGAAGACCCTCCTAAAACCGCAACATTAACACAAAAACCCAATCCTATTCCGACCAAAAAGAACCAACGAACCTTCCCAATCTCAAACGAGATAACCGTCTCGCTCATCCTGACAGGAAACCACTTCCCGCCCCTCTTGGTAATTTCCATATATCGCCGATCAGGAAAATCGCGGTACATAACTATCCTTGACAAGACGATCTTATCCCACCCCCCACTCGAAAGCAAAGGCTGCAACGTCGCACGCGGCTGGCCCTTGATCTTCGTGTGTGTCTGGTTAATAGCTAGCACGGCCATGCCGCGGTTTGAGAGCGCAGCGAGATGGGAGGCTAGTTCGGATGTGACGTTCCACCTCCGGTTTAGAAGAAATTGTAGCTGTAGTTTATCGGTGATTTTGCCTTTGGCGTGTCGGTCTTTTAACTCTGATGCGTTGATGAAGTAGGGGGGGAACACTGAGGAGACGGAGTCGACTATTAGGACGTCAGTGCCTTGGGGTGGGAAGCCGTTTGGCGGGTGGGCTAGGACGGCCATTAGATGGGGGAGAGTTGGGGTGCGCATGTGGATGAGGTTTGGAAGAAATTCTGATGGGGTCATTGCTTTGAGTCGGCCCATTGGAATTGGGGAGCTTGTGTCTGGTGTATTGTTAGATTGAGTAGTTTTTTTAATATCTTTTTTGTTTGTTTTTTCTTGCATGTCGTATTGTGATAAGATGAAAAGCGTGTGGATATACACATACCGATCCAGACGACTTTTCCGCCTCGGCGGAGCGTAGTTGATGCAACAGTCAACCTGTATAGAGTTAATATCCCCACGTTTAATCAAATCCCCCCAAAAAAAAGAAAACATGAAATTATTTGGCTCTCTCACGCTAACGAAGTCTTTCCCACACCCGGTGGCCCATATACCTCCGTTATCTGACCACGCAGGAGCCCTCCATGCCGGCCCTGAGCAGCAGCGGTGTTATCCAGCGCCCGATCAAGGCGCACCATTCCCGTCGGGACAGACCCCTTGGCAAACCCCGATCCATCGATAGACTGCGACGCCGAGAACGCAGCTACAGGTGCTATCAATGGATCAGTATAGTTCTCTGTACCTGTATGTTGCGAGACCTCTTACGCTGGTTTTGGACGTTGGGGCGGAAGGGCCGCCGGAGGTTGTTTTGGCTCATGGTGACAGGACTGAGGCACTTGAGATCTGAGGACGTGCCTTATGAAGATTGTCCGTCAGTCCGAGTCCTAGTTCCTTTCGTTCCTGACAAATACAGGTATAACGTGAGGCGTCAATGCGTGTATGTAGTCGAGTCGTGTGGATCAAGTGGGTCCGACAAAAGGACAAAAGTCGCGCGGCGCGCCGGGAAGCGTGATGCTTGCAATTATGCGTGCGCTTTTATACTTGGGCTTGCGCCACGATTGACTTAATCTTGATTCTTGATGCATTTTCTTTTTTTTTACTGTACATATTTCTTTTCGTCTTCGCCAACTGATAGCGGTATGTTTCAAAATTTTATTGAGCGAAACAAGCGTGTTCTCCCCGCGTCAGGGCATCGAAACTCGGCCCTCGAGTCGAGTAGGTGTGGAAGCTTCCAATGTTGTTCATTACATTTTACTGAAGCATGGCCATGACAATGTGAATAGAAAAATTGAGAATAATTAATTCCGGTTGATTCAGGATCTGAAGAAAATGCTAAATACTACCCACTGTCGCAGGCAAGGTCATGAGAAGGCTATATACAAATACAAAACGCTAGACAAAATAAATGAAATCCCCCAAATTATGCCGCAGTAGACTCCGACTTGCCAGAAGTCGTGGGCTCAGCCTGCTCGATGACCTCCGGCTCATCCTCAGACTCGATAACCTCATCCGCCTCATGGGGAAGAAGCATGTTCAAAATCACACCCACCAAGGCAGTGACTGCGAAGCCGTTGGTCATCACCAAGTCAACGGCATTCAGCAGACCCTCCAAGGCACGGTTATCACCGTCATACGAGAAGACGTAGCTCCACCAAGACGGGACGAGCGTAATACCCATTCCCAGCGCAAAGCTAGCGGTCAGGACGAAACGGTTCCGACGGTTAAAGTCGATGGTGGAGATAATGCGGATACCCGAGATGGCAACACTGCTGAACAAGAAGGTCGTCATGCCACCAAGGACCGCGCTAGGGATCGACACGAGCGCAGCAGCGAACTTCGCAAACAGACCCATGACAATCAGGAAGAAGCAGCAGCAGTAACCGGCATTTCGGTTCGCGCACTTGGTCAGGGCGATGACACCGTTGTTCTGTGCGAACACGGACATCGGTGAGATGGTCATCAATCCTGCGAGCACACAGGTGATTCCGTTACCGAGAACACCACCCTGGATGCGGGAATCGAACATCGCACCCTCGACGCGGAGCCGGGATACATCACAGGTGGCTGTGATATCGCCAATGGACTCCATCATGATCACAACGTACAGTGCCAGCAGCGGGAGGATCAGTGGAGGGTAGACCGAGAGCGGGAAGGTGTGGACCCAAGCGAAAGAGATAACGGGAGCCTCGGCGATTCCGGAGCTCTCAAAGTAGTTGCAAGCAGCCGCGACGATCGAACCGACCACGAGACCGACGATAACGGCGCAGGACTTCAGGATTGGGGGACCGAATCGTTCACAGAGGATGATGGTTACGAAGACGAGGAAGCCCAGTCCGATGAACTGCGGGCTACCCCACATTAAGGCGTGTGGGGCGCTGGCATCGGGACACATGGCGCGGGGAGAGTAACAGCCGGAACCACCGCCCCAGTCTTCCATGGCGGATTCGATGAGGGAGGCGCCGATCAGGAGCACGGTGGGACCGGTGACGAGTGGTGGGAAGATACGGGCGAGGAGATTGCTGCTCATGAAGGAGAGACCAATTTCGAGAAGAGCGCATAGACATGATGTTCCGAGGAGGGCGCCGTAGCCCTTTGGACAGGGGAGTTTGTTTCCGTCGGCGTCAGTCGGACAGTAGCCTGTTTCGTACATTTGGGTGAAGGCGCCGGTAGCGACGGTGATTGTGGCGAATGATGTGCCTGAGGGAGGCCTTGGAGTTAGCATATAGAACTTCTTGAGTTTCCATCGACATAGTAGATTCAAGGACCACATACCGACCACTGATAATAATCCAGTTCCAATATAGTATTTCGTGCCGTAGATGTGGAAGCGGGTCATTTGAATAGCGCTGAGAAAGCCCGATACGATCAAAGATGTTGAAACAAGGTACTGGTAGTCTTCTGTCGCGAAGTTGACACCGGAGCTACCGCCGAGCATAATTGGTGGTGAAATAACTGTTTTTCTTCCGCATTAGAACTGCGTACTCGTTTTTTTTTTCGTTGGTGAAAATGATCCGCGATGGTACTCACCACCAGCCAACATGGCAAGAGCATGCTGCAATCCTAGGATCAAAGCGAGAAGAACAGGAACACGATCATCAAGACCGAAGAAAGGAGCGGATCTCCGTTCTTGCTTGGTGAAGGGCAACTTTGGTGTGAATAGGTGAGCATAGTCGTAGTCGCCGATGAGACCATCGCTATAATGATAGAAACCACGGTCAATTATGACTCCATCTTGTTTTGTTGGCGATGAACAGCATACCGAGTAGTAAAGGTTCTTACGACGCCTCGTAATTTATCACTGAAGGTGCGCTTAGGCGAAAGATCGGGGCCAATCTGATCGGGGCCGTCCATGATGGGAAGTGGATGTAATTGTTTATTTAGACTAGAAAAGAGCCCACTTCAACCTGGGGAATGTTCCACACTATATAGCCATTCCACGTCGCGATTACAGACGAGATGGGAAAAAAAAGTCATAATCCAATCGCCCCCGGGTCCTAATCTGGGTTAGGGCGAGTGTGGAGAAAAGATAAGATTTCGAATACTTAGTACAATCATTAGCAAGAGCATCGAGTAAATTCCAATTGCGCTAAGTCAAGGTGTTAGTGGACTAGACTGACTTCGGTTAACTTCCCCAGTAATCCTTCTCTTTATTCTCTTTATTCTCTTATCTGGGTGGGGCCCCCCTCGCCTCTCTCATCCACCAATCATCACTCACTTGCCCAGAAAAAGGATCCCGAACGAGATAAGGAATCATTGAGTCTTTAGCCGCAGAAATTAGATTTCCAATGTTCATTTCGCCTCCCCAAGCCTGTCATCTTCCATCTCGTGGATAGTGGAGCCCCCTACAGCTCTCCGGCATTTACCTACCCTCTGATAGGTCCGGGAGGCATCGGGCACGCTGTGAACACGGGGCCCCCGAGAATTACTCGAGAACTCGGTTATCGTGGTATCTGGGGTTTATCTTTTCTGCTCCAAACCATCTGACGGAGTCCTCCGTGCAGCATGGAAGGCGCCGATGCCTTATCAAGGTCATCTGAGGTCAAGAGAACTACAATGTATGAATTGACCTGGGTTTGGAACTCAAACTCCTATAGTTTAGGAGGAATCCATGAATCCAATCTCGTATGCGAATCAATAGTGTGTTCTTAGCATTTACGTGTAAAATCAACCCCTAGACTAAAGCAACACTGTGAGATAAAGGACCTCAGGTTGAGTTGAAGAAGGGGGAGATGTACTAGACATCAGTAGTAGGCATGTCATGTTACGCTACAGAATCCACGGGGCAAGATTTCTTGTTTGCTAAAACTTGATTGCTATTGACAGCAGAACACTAACCAATCTACCATAGCGAACGATTTCAATGGCTCATTTATTGCTGTGGTAAGGGTAGAATGGTAGTGACTAATTTCCCCATGCGACCAAAAGCGAGGCTATTCACAAGTCTGTCATCTTATATGTGGACAATTTACCCGATGTTTTGCCACCGAGGCAGCTTTCACCACATGCACCTTCAATGTTCGAGATTTGAATTCCAATGTTTGTCAAGATTACGGAGTAGACCCATTGATGGAAAAGCCCAAAGCTTTAATAGCAGATATCAAAAAAGAGTTGACCACTCAATATTTTAAATGTTGTGTCGCAAATCTGGAATTTTGAAATCATTAGTCAGGGAATTATGTAGCCTGGTCTTCACGCTGATAACTTGTGGCGTTTTCACGTGTTTAAGATTTCCGCTATACCTAAATATGACTAGCAGAGCGTTGGAGATACACAGAGATTGACAAAGGAAAATCACGTCAAGTTTTCGAATTTACTTGTATTCTCAGGTTACTGAGGACTAAACATCAACTTGGTAACCGTGCTGTTCCAAGTAACATTTTGAACAGTGCAAAACATTTACTGTGCTTATTAGCAACCCATGGTAATCGTGGCCTTCCAAGATTGGAATATTAGAGCTAGACCTTGGGAGAAGACAAAATATATATAGGATGTAGTACAAGTTTCCTCATGCATCTCTTGTCAAGCACAACACTCCATGAAGGTGACAAATTCGATGTAGTAACATTTGAAAGCTTATTCAAAATAAGCGCCATGAATGGTTTTCAATGTTCTGGAAGAATTCTTCTTATGTAACCGTTCCCGTGAACAAAAAAGACAGCACACTAGACTGACGCCACGATCACTTGAGACGCTCACATCAAGCCCACCTCAAGGCACCTGGGGCTTTAACCAGTCCCGTTAAGTGGCTGCGCTTCTCGGCTGAGCTGTCCATGCTACATAAGTGGGTCATCTAGGATAGTCAGATATTTTCGATGAGCTACCGTTATTATGTCAACTACATCTTTCCAAGATCATGGCGTGTGCACGAAGCCACAGGGCTGTCACACGTGCTAGAATTAGTAGTCCCTTTGTATTGAGCTTAGCGTGAAAATCGCCCCATAGCGGCAGGACTGTGAAGAAAAAAACGGCAGGAGATCTTTAGATTCTTTCCTTCATCTTCTTTTAGTGGGAATGTGGGAGAGCTGTTTCTGGAGGCAGTAGCTGGAGTCTACATAGTAGGTACCAGTTGACAATGCAGTCAGATGTAGATATCGAGAGAGAAACCTTATCCTTGAAGAACTTTAAAACGCCCTCGGAAGATCCGAGGTCACCAGTTGATGCACATCACCTTGTCGAAATGTTTTGACCGGCTCTAGATTCATACACGCCGAGGTGAATCCCCTACAATCTACAATGTACGGTTTCCTTCCAAAATTTCCAGCTTAAAATCACGAAAGACCGATCTCGGGAAGTGGACAGCATCGAACATATTGAACGGGCCGTTTAAAGCTTATCTGTAAGGTCAATCCAAGGTTGGCACGCACAACAGTAGAAATTCCTGGGTGTTTGTAGTTATTTTTGAAAATTTTCATCAGTCTCTTAGGCTGTAGAAATGCCTGAAGTGGGACTTGATCGGACTTGAAGCTAACTAGAGTCGGTCTGGCCACAGTAGATCAAAAGCTTAAAAGGAAATGCCACGTGACGGCACGTGATAGACCTCTTCTCTGTGCGGAGAAAGTTTTCATCGGATTTGCCACCATAGGGCGTTGGTGGCGCAGGGGCTGAATAACCATGGATTTCGGAAGAGCGGATAAAAATGTTGGTGAGAAACCGGTAAAAGTAAAGGAAATAGAAAAAAAAGGAAAATTAATTAGGTCTTATGACAAGTTGATTGGATCAAAATTTTGGTCTTGTATGTAGTGTCTTACTACAGACAACAGGGATTTCTGTCCCCTTACTCCAGCATAGAATATTCTGGACAGGAGAATGGAGATCCCCCTGGTACTCGTGTTGGGGATCACGTGCCCCCTGCCCCTGGTCCAGGCCTTACACCTTATTTTCCTCCAATGCAGTTCATCCATCTACACAACCTCAGTATTACGGGGTTAGATATGGGTGACAACGTATGATTTAAACGGGACTTTATTCGTTGAGAGTATATTATAATTAGATAACACTTCCCATACACCATGCCATCCCCCTCCTGGATCAGCAAATCACACGGTTGCTAAACAAGGAAATTCCTAATCCTTCCGGACCTTCCGCATGGGGTAATAGTTCTCTGCCTCAGGCAACAAAGTGTTGGGGCGGAACCCAACATTGTTCGGGAAAGCATTGATCTCGCCACTCATGATTAGGATAAACCTGCAAATAAGAGAATTGATCTTCCTCCCTTTCTCTTGATTTCTCTACCTCGGGATCTTGTGATTCGGTGGCCTTCTCTTCTCATTCGCTTTGGGTGCTGAGCTCTTCCCCTCCCCATATTCGTTGGCGATCGAACCCTTTGAGCCCCCCCCAACGTTGGTCCTAAGTGGGCCCTCCCCATATAAAAAAAAGCTCTTGCCCACGCCCTCATCCCACTCTTTTTCCTTTCACATCTTTTGGTTGTCACCTTCACACACATCTTTTCAATCATGTCGACCAAGGCTGAGGCTAGCCGCCCCCGGCCGGCAGACACCAAGAAGGTGCACATTACCGACACCCAGATGACTCGCTCCAACTGGTACAAGCATGTCAACTGGCTCAATGTTTTCTTCATTCTCGGAATCCCCATGTATGGCTGTGTTCAGTCCATTTGGGTGCCCTTGCAACTGAAGACCGCCATCTGGGCTGTGGTTTACTATTTCTTCACTGGTCTGGGTATCACTGCAGGTAGGTTTCTAAAAAAGCGTTAATACGTTTTCTTTCTTGGGGATACAGTCTCTAACTCAGCTTTTGCAGGATATCACCGTCTCTGGGCTCACTGCTCTTACTCTGCTACTCTTCCCCTCCGTATCTGGCTTGCTCTGGTTGGCGGAGGTGCCGTTGAGGGCTCCATTCGCTGGTGGGCTCGTGGCCACCGTGCTCACCACCGTTACACCGATACCGACAAGGACCCCTACTCCGTTCGCAAGGGTTTCTGGTACTCCCACCTCGGATGGATGGTTATGAAGCAGAACCCCAAGCGTATCGGCCGTACCGATATCACTGATCTCAATGAGGATCCCGTCGTTGTCTGGCAGCACCGTTACTACCTCCACGTCGTCCTCGCCATGGGTCTCCTTGTTCCCATGACCGTTGCTGGCCTTGGCTGGGGTGACTGGTTCGGTGGCTTCGTCTACGCTGGTATTCTGCGTATCTTCTTCGTCCAGCAGGCCACTTTCTGTGTCAACTCTCTCGCTCACTGGCTCGGTGACCAGCCTTTCGATGACCGCAACTCACCCCGTGATCACGTCATCACCGCTCTCGTTACTCTTGGTGAGGGATACCACAACTTCCACCACGAGTTCCCCTCCGACTACCGCAACGCTATCGAGTGGCACCAGTACGACCCCACCAAGTGGACCATCTGGTCCTGGAAGCAGCTGGGTCTGGCCTACGACCTCAAGCAGTTCCGTGCCAACGAGATCGAGAAGGGTCGCGTGCAGCAGCTGCAGAAGAAGATTGATCAGAAGCGCGCCAAGCTGGACTGGGGTATTCCCCTCGAGCAGCTTCCCGTCATGGAGTGGGATGACTACGTTGAGCAGGCCAAGGGCGGTCGTGGTTTGATTGCCATCGCTGGTGTCGTCCACGACGTTACCGACTTCATCAAGGACCACCCCGGTGGTAAGGCCATGATCAACTCCGGTATCGGCAAGGATGCCACTGCCATGTTCAACGGTGGTATCTACTACCACTCCAACGGTGCCCACAACTTGCTCTCCACTATGCGTGTCGGTGTGATCCGTGGTGGCTGTGAGGTGGAGATCTGGAAGCGCTCACACAAGGAGAACTCTGAGTACGTTCGTGATGAATCTGGACAGCGCGTCATTCGGGCTGGCATGCAGGTGACTAAGATCCCTGAGCCAGTTCCCACTGCTGATGCTGCTTAAATGTGCTTTGATTGTGATGACGTGCCTTGCATTGTGTGGGTGGGTTTTGGTGTTTTCTTTCCGGCGTTATTCCATCTTTTATTGTGTATCGGAAAAGCGACTTTCACATAGATAATTTGTCATGAACTAGAAACGACCATCTTTTATACCAAACTGGTTCTTGCCACAAATATTCTCTGGGCTTACCTTGTAGTTTTCTGTCGTAAATTTTTCTGTAGTAGGCTTATGTGACAATATAAACAAAATCGTATATTTTAAAGCTTTGAGTCAAAAAGTCAACAAGCGGGGAAAAACCTTGTATGTAATCACCTGACGAGCCCCATATTTATCTGCTGTACTATTAATACCATTGTCAATACGTAGCACTTAAGGTCTCGATCCCGCTTGAACTTGGTTGCATCATATCTGCAGCTTAAATCTGAAACACACACACCGCATCTTGCTACTTCCTATCTCTCACCATTCCTTTCACCCGCCACCTCCTCATTCTCCTCGCCGCCATCATCGTGGCGCCCTTCCTCCGTCTCCCCGCAGCCCGCCTCTCTTCAGTGCTGGGACATTTCCGTACAACTACACCTATCCGATATTTGACAACCTCCAACATGGCCCCCGCCCACCTTCGGCGCCCACCACAGGCCCCGCCAACCTTCACGGCTACCCCGCAATCAGTTGTCGTCGATGCTGAGCGTTTACTGAAGACATCCCGGGACATCCAAGACAAGCTCGTTGCTGAGATCAAGCCAGATGCTGCCACGTTTGCCAACGTGCTGACTAAACTTGCTCAAGACGAGAATACCGTCGCGCTGGAAGCACACATCTTGGGCTTCTACCAAGCCGTATCGACTGATCAGAAGCTCCGAGATGCTTCCTCCAAGGCGGAAGAGCTTATGGATGAGTTCTTCATTGAGGCCGTGATGCGCGAAGATGTGTTCAAGCTGGTGGATGCTGTTTTGAACAAGAATGAAGATCTCGATCCCGAGTCTCGTCGTCTGCTAGAGAAGGCACACAAGGATTTCGTTCGCAACGGATTGGGTCTGCCCGCGGGGCCACAGCGAGCTCGGTTCAAGGAGATCAAGAAGCGTTTGAGTCAGCTGAGCATCGAGTTCCAGAAGAACTTGAACGAGGAGAACGGTGGTATTTGGTTCACACCTGAGCAGCTGGATGGTGTGCCGGAGGATGTGACCTCCGGCCTGAAGCGTGGCGAGGGTGAGAACGCCGGCAAGCTCTTTTTGACCTTCAAGTACCCGGATCTGTTCCCGACTATGAAGTACGCCACCAATTCGGACATCCGTAAGCAGGTCATGATTGCCAATGAGAACAAGTGCAACCAGAATGTCCCGCTCTTCCGCGAAGCCATTATTCTACGTGACGAGGCCGCCCGTCTGCTGGGCTACCCCAACCACGCTGCTTTCCGCATTGAAGATAAGATGGCCAAGACCCCAGAGACTGTTGACACATTCCTCGGTGATCTGCGCTCCCGGTTGACTGCTGGTGGTAAGCAGGAAATCCAAACTTTGCTTAACCTTAAGAAAGAGTTAGACCCTAACTCTGATGGCCGCTACTACTTGTGGGACCACCGATTCTACGATCGATTGATGCTGGAGCGGGACTTCTCATTGGATCACCAGCTCATTGCCGAGTACTTCCCCTTGCAGACCACCATTCAGGGCATGCTTAAGATCTTTGAGGAGCTTTTCGGATTAGAATTTGTCGAGATTGTTGGCGAGGACCGTGCGGCCTTGGCCCCCACTGGTCAAGGTAGTGACATTGTTTGGCACGAGGATGTGCAGGTGTTTAGCGTGTGGAACGATGAGGGCGAAGGCTCTGGCTTTGTCGGCTACTTGTACCTGGACTTGTTCCCGCGTGAGGGCAAGTATGGCCATGCCGCCAACTTCAACCTCCAGCCGGTATGTACAGCAAAAGTCTCCTTGAACAGCGACCCAAAAAACAAAAACTAACATTATTTTCTCTTCCAAGGGCTTCACTGATGCAGATGGTAACCGACGCTTCCCCGCCACCGCCCTGGTGTGCAACTTCACCAAGCCCGGCCCTAAGAAGCCTAGCCTGCTCAAGCACGAGGAGGTAGTTACCCTCTTCCACGAATTGGGCCATGGTATCCACGACTTGGTCTCCCGAACCACCTACTCTCGCTTCCATGGTACCAGCACCGTGCGGGATTTCGTCGAGGCGCCTAGCCAGATGCTCGAGAACTGGTGCTGGACTCCCTCGCAGCTGCGCTCCCTGAGCCGACACTACTCTACCCTATCCCCCGAGTACCTCGCCGGATGGCACGAAGCTCACCAAGCGCGTAGCGGCGGTAAGACTGCTACCGCCCCGCCTTCGGAGCGTATTCCTGACGATGTCATCGACAACCTCATCCGCACCAAGCACGTCAACGACGCCTTGTTCAACCTCCGCCAGCTGCACTTTGGTATTTTCGATATGACCGTGCATGAGCCTAAGAGCCACGCCGATATCGAGGCCCTGCCTCTCTCGGCAACCTACAACCGTCTCCGCCAGGAGATTACCCAGATGGATGGCCTGGAGGCACTGAGTGGTGGTCACGAATGGGGTCACGGTGAGGCGACTTTCGGTCACTTGATTGGTGGTTATGATGCCGGTTACTACGGTTACTTGAGGTTAGCAAGGCCCTTTCATTTATTTTCATTTACATTGCAATATCATCTTACTGACATTCCATTGCAGCTCGCAAGTGTACTCCACCGACATGTTCTACACCGTGTTCAAGGACGACCCCATGAACAAGGCTTCTGGTCGCCGCTACCGGTACCAGGTGCTCGAGAAGGGTGGCAGCCAGGATGAGATGAAGACTCTGACCGAGTTCCTGGGCCGTGAGCCGCAGACCACTGCATTCTACAAGGAGCTGGGTCTTGCGTAAAGATCTAAACTAAGCGCATAACAATCTATACTTAAATGCAATCCATAGTGACACTACACCTGTTCGCCAGATTATGTTCAAGATTTTTACCAAAAGAAGATCCATACTAGTAGTATATACATGGATTATAGACATCAAATTTTGCTTAAGCAGAACAAATTAACGGATACACATGCTCCGTATAGCTCAACCAACACTAGTAGATTGGCCGATACCGATAAGCCCACCGCCTTCAAATCCCCATCTCCAACTTTCAGCTCCCCAAGCTCGACTTGAACCCGCCTCAATCAAACATTCAATTCGACCTGATTTCCGTACCGGTGAGTCCAGAAGACAGCGCCTATACCCGGAACCCTCACATATAAAACAAAATCTAACAACACCCTCTAGAACCCCGCCAACGCTCTCAGTCGCATTCCACCAGACCCGAAAACACCAAGCTTGAAGCTTGCATACCACCCAGGACAACGTATACGAATTGAATCTAGTTATACCAAAACCACTCCTCCACTCAAAAAGAAACATGGCATCCCCGCAACCCCGCCTCCAAATTCGAACCCAACACTGCACATTCTGCAACCACCTCCTCCTCGCAACAACACGCGACATATCGACCCTCCCCCGCCGCACAGGCGAAGCAAAGGACAAAGCCATAATTGTCCCGTTGGAGGACCGCACAAATGATGACGAGGCATCTCTGACCGAGGCGCAAGGTGCCCCGCGAACGAAACATGCGACTTTGCTGCTTTCTACTACGATACCTGATCGGCGGGCTACGCTTATCAGACGGGAAGACGGGATCGAGAAGAGGATTCTCTTGCGCTGTGGTCGGTGTAAGGTTGTGATGGGGTATTACCTTGATGCGGTGCATTATGGGGAGAGCGGGAATGCGAAGACTAGGGCTGTTGAGGAGGAGGGGGAGGGGGAGGGAGCATTGGAGAAGAGGACGGCTGTTTATATTCTTCCTGGGGCTGTTGTTGAGACGGAGAAGATGGGGACGAATGGGGCGGAAGGCGAGGCGGAGTGGAGGGGGTGGAATAATGAGGCTTGAAGAATGCGCGCATGGTGGATTTAGATTCGGGTGTATGTGTGTTTGCGTTTGATACCATGGCTGATTAAGTGATATGCATTTGAATATATTGAGTAATATGGACATGGGCATCCATTGGATTGGATTGTAATACAAGTATCCCCCTTCACGCCGAGAACCGTGGACAGATAGTGTAGGGACTTAACCAAATAAAAGCGACGAAAAAATAAAGAATAGACAGCAAGTTAATGTAAGAAAAAGAAGAAGAAATGTAGAGCCCGATCCCGCCAAGACAAGACATGTTCCATAACCGTAAGCGTGTGCGCATCATAAACACAGAAATTCAAAAGTTGCATCGATTGCAGGGGGGTATCGAGTAGACCTAGTTGGCCAGGATGGTGCGCACAAGATCGGTATAGTTGATCTCGCCAGAGCTAGTATCGACAGCCTTGAGCAGCTCGTCGACCTCGTCATCGGACATCTTCTCGCCAAGGTTGGTAAGGACTGTTTGATAATGATGCGTTAGTAAATCGGCCTGGGTAAACACGTAACACGCAGCGCGGAATCATTCGACGTACTGTAGCGCAACTGTCCAACTCCAATGAAACCCGTCATATCTTTATCGAATACCTGGAATCCGCGGCAGTATTCCTCGGGCTCGCCTGGCTCCCGGAAACCGCCAGGACGGTTGAGGACCTTGAGGAAGGAATCGAAATCGACTGTTGTCATGATCGAGCTTGTTAGTCCGGGTTCTTTATCCACGCATCTCCATCTTCATCGGTCTCGTATGGTCGGGTTTGGATTGAAACGTACAATCAGGTCCAACGGACTTTTCCAGATCGGCGATCTCGGCGAGCGTGGGGTTCTGTCCACACGCGCGGAGGAGGTCACCGAGCAGGTCGCCGGCGACACGGCCGGTACCGCGGCGGTCGAAGAGTGAGAAAGCTTCCTTGTAGTTTGTAGAGGCCTGGTCGTTTTTGTTAGCCATGGTGAATGGGTATTATGTGGCAGTGTATGGATTGTAGGTGTATGAGTAGATGTGGATGTGGATGTTTGTGGAGTGTTGTGATGACGGGGGGTGAATGAGTTTGGGGGGAAGGAAGTTGTGATCCAAGGATTGAGGGGGCGGAAAGTCAATCGGGGGACTCGGATCACTGGGACGGAAGAGGCAATTCGTCAACATCCCTTTCATACGCACCATTTTGAGATTGTGTTGCTTTGAAGGAGGTCAATGTATTGAGGGGGAATACAGAGAGAGGAACAGAGGAATGAGCAAGTGGGAATTTGGGCGAGTGGATCGGCGGTCGTTGTTGCGGCAACGGGGCAACAACTCCAGATTAAGTGAGATCATGCTAACTCTACTTATGGCTAAACTGTCTTAGTATAAAATTAAATCTGAAGCACTGGAAAGAATATACATCTCAATTAAATAAGTGCCCCCTACTTTATTTATGATTGTAGCTTCACGATACAGCTGTCCAGCAGCCGCGCCGCTTCACCTAACAATTCCCAACGCGAACTAGCGAAGGAGTCGCGAAGCACCATCAACAGACCCAAACACGCATTTCGACCTTTCATCCCCTCCAGGTCATTGGGTTCGCGCACACCACCAACGCGTTCCAGGAATATTTGCATGTCGCGTCTTCGTTCAATCGGAGTTGCCAGTGTAGGGGGTGGTCGTAAGGGTCCATCTAGAGCAAATCCATAACACCACACCACCAACACGGCAAAGTACATAACCCAGGGCCGATTGAGAAGATAGTCGTCCCGCGCCACGTATTCCCCCGAGACCTGGTCCACAAAGCAAGCGGTCAAAAATTTAAGTGCGTAGAAGGTTGCATCGCGAGCAGAGGCTTTAGTCGCCCAGCGCCCAGTCTTCTCTCGAGCCGTACTATAGTCTCGCGCCGTGATGGATCGACCCATCAACCGATCGGCTCCAGCAAAGATTTGAAGATCAACGATATCCACATGAGAGGCCATATGAGCAAGACCATGGAGCACGTCGCGAGACTCGGATTCAGTAGTTGGGGAAGGGCCTAGTGCCTCGTCGAAGTCGCGACGCCAATTGTCGAAAGCGCGCAGGAGGGAAGTACGCCATTTATCACGGCCACCTAGAGTCTGCCCAACTCCAAGTGAACTGACCTGCAGGTCTCGCTGGTTCAGATGCCAACTCACGCTCAGTAATCCAGAGATCAATATACTCCGACCGAAGGCATTTGTGCGAACGGGCTGGCCATTCAGAGTACGTTTCAGTCCGTCGAGGAACATGACAGGCCGAACGCCGTGTGATTGTAGACTCGACTGCACGCGCGCTACCTCCGCAGCACTAGTTGCAGCCCACAGGGCCTCGTCACACGGTAACGGCAGCCGTAGCTCATGTGCAACCATCTTGGCTGAGTGTCCAAACATGGTAGCGTGAGTAGAATCTAGCACAAATGCAGCAAAAGCGACTCGCCGAGTCGCTTCAGCTTTAATCCAATGAGTCCACGACTCGTCCTCTTCCCTGGACTCGGGTGTGTCAAATGATGACCGCCCGATTAGCGAGCTCCCGCGTCGCATCAATGTCAAGGTGGTGTCGTGGTGTATATGGGCGCGCTCGTGCAGCGCCCGGGTTGAGAATCCCTTCTCATATACCTCCAGTAAGAGTAACGCTTGGAACACCCACAATCGGGCTGGCGGTCGGAAATCCGCATCCATAAATATCTCCCAGCGTAGATGCCATGCGATAAAGCTAGCTAATTCAGCGGCTATCTCAGTGGCCGCCTGTCCGTGAATCTTATCCAGAGTCGCCGCTCCGATGGCCATAATGGCTAATAATAGCAAATTGGGTGTGCGATCTGCTGCAAAGGTCGGCTGGTGCAGTATAGGCAGTTGCGCATGGAAATGATACCAATAGGAGCCAATATAAGTCTGCATCATGCGCAGGCTCAGAGAATGTCGGTCACTATCCAGATCTCCATCCATCAATGCATCTTTGCGCTTGTTGTCCGCCGAGTACGCTGCCTCGTTGAATCGTGTCGCCATCAAATGCAGCAGTTCCTGCCGCTTTTCTTCGGATATAATAGCTGGCAATGATCCCGAATCAAGGATACTAGTTACACTCATGGGATGCTGGGGGGTAACAGTGCAAAAATTATGATAGGATGGCTCGTTCACATAAAACTGATTCTGCACCAAGGGCATCATGCCGTACCCCAGCGGCGGGAGCGGTTCACTGAACAGCCAAGCCGCAAAGTCATCAGCCATGGCGAATGGTGACCGGTTGTATGTCTCCCCACCAAAGATGGGATACGCGTTTGACATGGCATCGAGATCCAGCATGCTGCTCTCGGGTTGGACAAATCCCACCGAAAGGTCCTGGTATCCAGACACCGGGATTCCCGCGTTTTCAATGCCAGTTGATAAGGGGTAATTTGTATTCGGAGGAGACTTGGAGCTGGGCGCAGGGTCGGTGATAAATGCGTAGTCTGCGGCAGTCATGGATGGCGATGAGGGGGACGAGGCAGGGATCAGCGATTTGGGCAAATCATCGTGACTGTCCGCTGTGAACGAGTCGCGTTTCTGGAGCTGGGATCCACGGGTGGTATGGCGTTCACGGTGGCGAATACAGAGATCCTGTCGCACAAACGATCGATAGCAGTTGGGAAAGTCGCAGCGAAATATCTGTTTTGGGGCATCTTTTCGCACAGTCAGTCGCGGGCGCGAAGCGGGGCAAGGGGGAGAGGGAACAGGATGGGACCATACGGTTCAACTGGTGTCTATATAGATGCTCAGCGCGGGAATAGCTTTTCCCACAGTCCTCGTGGGTACATTCGAATTTGCGATCTGACGGGGCACGGCGACTGCGCCGGCGCCGCTTGGAGGGTTGCTCGTCGTCCATGTCTGTGTTAACGGCGGGCCACACCATTGGGTGCCATAGCACGATGATCACGGAGGAATGTCGATCTACCCGTAGGCTCAGATAAGCACTGGAGGGAATGTGGGAAATTGCGCAAGTGTAACGACCAAGGACAAGGTCTTCCGGGGAGTGCGGAGAACTGGAGTGGGGTTGGTTAAAGTTAGCGGAGGTAATATTCGCCGACCTGGGGAAATTACCCTTCAACAGGTAACATTGAACATGTCACTTTTCGAAGACTGGCATAGCTTGCTTGTTTCATGGATATGATCACTCCCGAGTCTTTTGATTAAGACAGCAAGAAAAAAAAAAAAAAGAGTATGCACATGTGTAGTATGTATCGTTTCCTTGAGCTGACGGGTAATATATTGACCAATTTTGACATGACAATGTGAAGGAAATATTCGTCAACTGGCGTAAAGTCTGGCAATAACTTTGGAAATGTATGGTAACTTGACCTGGAATATCCGCATTTTCTTTCAATATATTGTAAATGTGTACATGATATTCTCGCATGTGCAGGATACTGGTACAGTTCGCAGTTGGACCTGCATTAGTAAGTGGATTCTTTTGCCGACGGCAACGCACATATACACCTTTCGGAAGTATATGTAGCGAACATCGCATTCAAATATTGCCGAGTTTGGATATTTTTATGGTCAAATTTTGCAAACACTGATTAAGCAAAGATTAAGCCTGCCCTTATGTATGAATTACTAGTACTATACTGACCTTGGAACATTTGCATATTGACATTGAAAGTCAATGAGCAACCTTGGAAGATGTACCAGTTGACATCTGGACTATTCACATGCACTATGTATGCGTCAGCCCAGTCAAAATCTAACGAATCGTTTTGTTCCTCACCTGGAACTTTGACTGGTCAAGTCTACTAGTAGGCTTCAAGGATTGAACACTCTAAAAATAGGAACATTTGAATATGAGTCTTCACTTACCTACATACACCTTGATGTCAAATTCTATACGATTACGAGTCCCGTGACTACGAGTGCACCTGATCAATCAAACCCCTTTCAAGTTGTACATCGCACCAACCATATCCATATTTGATTTGTACAAGAACTTATCGGTAATTGCATACTGTATACTCCACACATTCCTGTCTTATTGAGATGTCAACTCTAACATTTCAAGACAAGTTGGCCCACTTATCTTCAATCTGAAGCACTCGCGTGCCGCCTTGACCGTTCGGCGGAGATGCTTGGCGTCAATTTCGTCACAGTTTACTAGTGTCCCCACCACCATGAATGGCGGCGCCCCTCAAATGCTCCAGTTTAAAAGGGTTGACCCTTCCCAGAGAGGAGATCTAAGTGATTGTTCAAACTGAAATGGCATTTTCAGGACAAGGCCCTGCCTCCAAGTACCGATGACTTTTTTTTGATCTTGGCATAGATTTGAAGTCGTTGACCTACTACGCAACTTTGAAGCGTACCCCCCCACAGTAGTTGCCGGAAGCGCCCCACATCCTTGGAAGACGCGTATTTATTCCGCCACAGACTGGCGTGGACAGATGTCGATCGTACTCGTTCTGTCAAATCCCACGCCTGCAGTCTGATTCTTAAGGGGGTTTTGAAATGGTGGACACGCGATCCCGTCCAATCGGGAGCCATCGATGCCGAAAAGGCTTGACTATCTCCGACTCTGTGTTTTGCTCCTTTAAAGTCGGCGCTCGGCACTAATTACTGATTTTCTGACCCTGAGTACCCGCTCCACCATTCAAAGTTACCCTTCAAAGCCTCTTCGATCATTTTTTCTCCTTGGATTTGTCTTTTCTTCCTTTTCTTCTTCTGCTTCAAGTCTGTCCTTTCATTTTGAAGGCCTCCACTCTATCATGAGTGGTGTCTCCTTCTAGTCACTCATTCAAAGTCAATCATGCTTTCATGTTTTCTCGCTCTGGGGCTCATGTTTTTACATGGGTCCGTCGCGCAACATGATAAGGACTTGTACTCCTTTGTCACAGTAAGCTGCACCGATTAAAAGCCTGCCGCTTACCCTACTAACCACATCTTGTCTAGCTTCCTGAAGTCCGAGCCTTAAAATTCGAGATGGTACATATTGATCGAGAGCGACAACAACCAGGTTATTGGTTCGTCGCCCCGTACGGCCAAATAAATCCTGAAGCGGCAACCCAGCGGTACACCCAGTACCAAATTGGACCGTATATCTACGATAACGATGGGGTATGTTGAAAAGAGCTTCTACTACACACACACACGATTTGCCCATGCTAATATGTGCATAGATGCTCATCTGGGCAGGATCGCCAATGTACGACAATCGAAATGTTTTCGACTTCAAAGCGAACTGGAATATTGACGACCATCCCCACCTGTCCTTTATTGTGCAGCATGATGATCACACCAAAGGAAGCGGAATGATTTTGAACACTCACTATGAGGTCGAACATGAAGTTGAAGTGTTAAACGACCTTGACGCCTTCAATATGCACGAGTTCAATATCCTGGATGGTGGCAAGACCGCTCTCGCTTGCACATATCGGACCCAACCAATCAGCCTTACTGATTTCGGCCGGCCGAATGAGGAAACCTGGGCCATGACTGGTGGGTTTGTCGAGCTGGACGTGAACAACGCCCATGTCCTCTATGAATGGGATTCCAGGGACCAAATTTCGGTTCAAGAGTCTGCCGTTATGAGCGCCACGGACGCCCCATCGGATAAACCTGGCACAGACTATGTACACATCAACGCCGTCGACAAGAACGATGCCGGCGATTATATTATCTCTATGCGTTTCACCAACACTCTTTATATGATATCGGGTGTCGATGGCCATATCATGTGGCGCCTGGGTGGAGAACAAAGCGATTTCGACATGGATTTCACCTTCCATAAGCAGCATGATGTGAAATTTATCGAATCGCACGACACACACCACATCATCTCATTGATGAACAATGGTGCAGACGAGGGCAAAGCCGATGAGTGGGTCTCCGCAGCTCTCTTTATCGATATCGACATGGTCACTATGAAAGCCCGAGTTATCAAGCGCATCGAAAGACCCGATGGTGGACTGACCCGTCTACGTGGTAACGTCCAAAAACTTCCAAATCAGAATACGTTCGTCGGATGGAGTCAATGGGGTTACCACTCGGAACACGCTCCCAACGGCGACCTGCTCATGTGGGCCAAGTTCTCCTCAGAGCGATATTCTAGCTACCGCTCCTACAAGTTCGATTGGATTGGCCGCCCTAACACCCCGCCTGATGTTGTATCCTCCGTTTACGGCATAACTTCCAAGGAGATTTTGACCATTATCCACGTCAGCTGGAATGGTGCTACTGATATCGCCCGCTGGAACTTTTACGCTCGCGCCTTTGACAAGGGCGAAAACGTCTTCATCGGACATACCGAAAAGTCCGATTTCGAGACTATGTACCTCGCAAATGGATACATGGACTTTATCACCGCAGAGGCGGTTGACAGCGAAGGAAATGTCCTTGGGGTCTCAAATCTCCAGCGAACCAACAGACCGGACAACTGGCAAGCCGTCGGTTTCGAGGGGGCTTCACCGAGCCCCGACGACCCCTCCCTTCTATATCTCAATGGCGAGCCTATTGAGCCCACGGTCGACAACTCCAAAACCTTAACTGACTCTTCAACCGAGCCCTCGATCGACTCCTCGACCGACGCCTCGACCAATCCCTCAACAGAACCCCTCGTCGACTCCTCCACTGGGTCCTCTAGTGGCATCGTCGTTAAACCACATGAGGCAGTATATGCCGATACGAAGGAAGTCGCCAAATCTGTTTACAGGGCATATGAGGTTCTACGTGGTGTCGAGGCCTTCATCGTTTTCTTCCTGGTCCTCGGAATTATTGGTGGAGCTGTGGTCGGTACACGGAAGTTCCTCCGTCGTCGACAAGTGCGCTCTTATAAAAATATCCCCTCCGAGGAGGGTGGGGAAGCGGGCGAGGCTGTCCCTGTAGAAGAGATTCCTTTGCATCGGAACTCGGACGGGTGATCTGTCGATGTGCCCAATGTGCCAGTGATTACCATTCTTTTCTTGTACAGCATATATACACATTTGTTTATGAAACTAGCGTTGCATTCAATTCACATATTATTTATTATCATATCTGCATAATTTTTTTGAATATCGTGCTTTTGTATATACCAAGGTAATTATTACAGGGTAAATCAACCTTTGATTATGACATACACTGTCCCTCACACTCAAGTGCTGAGTCTGTCAATTTTCAAAGATCCATTCGACACTATCTCCACGCTGAGAAACATTCGCCAACTCAGCCTCCCGGTACAGCTCCGCACGTGTCCGACCCTTTACTCAAGTGCTTGAAGAAGCCCCCATAAAGTATGGGTCATTGATCAGTATTCAAACTGGATGATAGCAGTGGTATATTACGGGTTTCACGAATTCACTCTTGGATGGAAATCGATCGAATTTGAATGACAAGTCTTTTATGCCGGCAGACAGTGCTTGTGGTGCGTGACAGAGGGGACTTGGACAAGAAGGCTTGTATCGCGAACCTCCATGAATGCTTGCAGCTTCGCTTGAGACATTGATTGATTGGATGATACTGATTGATGACTAGTACTACTACGTCTTGAAGCTTGAGGATTGGAAGATATTTGAGAAAAAAAAAATTGAATTGAATTGAGGGGAAAAGAAAGAAAGACGAAACAGCGGCGGTATCTACCGATCATTGGGAGACCGTGATTCCATCACAACATGTAAAGTCAATCAATCAGAAAAACCCCTAGGTTGTTCTATCTAAACAATTGATCCAACTTGCCATGGAAGACAATGAACACTGTGGTCTCTGGCTCTTTGGGTTCAATTTCGGCACGGGACTCTGTGGTCACTGGCTCTCTAGGTACATTTTTCACTGACCTCTGGGCACGGGACTTGTATTTTTGATGGTCACTGGCTTTTTGGGTGCATTTTTGATTGCGACCTCTGGGCACGGGACGTTGGTCACTGGCTTTTGGGTACATTTTTCACTAACCACTAGGCACGGGACTCGTAGTATGTGGTCGCTGACTCTCTGGGTTCATTTTCGCAGCGACAGGGTTCATAAGACGCTGGGACCACAAGGGTTCATTTTCCACAGTGACAGGGTTCATAAGACACTGGGGCCACTAGGCACGGGACTCGTAAATGTTTGGTGGTCACTGGCTCTCCATGTGGGTTTATTGGTATTGCTGTCAATCGCAGGCTACTGCAACAAAACAATCCGCACTCCGGAGTTATGTTTCACGAAGTATCCGCAGAAGGGTGTTGACACTGGGCTCTCGACACTGGATTCACAGTTGTGAGACTGTGACCACTGGCCGCTGGACTTGACATTGAGGACTCCAAATGCAGGAGTCCTGACCAAGAAGAGTTTCAGGGGGTGCGGAAAGAATACTGTGCATCGGCCATCTGTGATAGTTCTTATAGCAGGTGTAATTGAGGGTAAAGCAGAGAGACCCACTAAGTTGAGGCCCTGAAGCCCTCCAAGGCTGTGACTGCTATGAGGTGGAGAGAAGACCCACAAAAATACTCAAAATTACCAGGGTCTTATAATGCCCTATAATACTAGTTCCTGTGCTCAGTCCGCATGTTTCACCTCCGGGGCTTGCATATGGATTCAGTTTGGATTTTCTCATAACTCATCTACTCCTCTATTTTCTCGCTTTTCATTTCGATTTCTCACATATACAAATTAAATATCAAAAATGTCGCACTCAACATCACAAGGCTGGCCGGCCATTCCCGAGATCCACTTACATCCGACGGATTTACCCCGAGATGAACTGCCGGAAGAAACAAAGGGATGGCTTCTTTTCGTACAGGTAGGGCAGTCCGCGGAAATGTGCTCGCATAATCAATTGATCATTTGTGGTATTGACGGTTAGAAACTTGCAGGAAGAATCCGAATCCCAGCCAGTCTCGACCCCGGAAGACGGGCTGCGACAACGGCGTGCCCTTATTGAGAAATGGGCTACTGCCAGTCAAGAATTCCGCGAGGTCCGTACAGCCAAGCCAATTTTTAAAATTTCCACTCCTCTTCACCTTTTTCTTTTGTCTCTTGTGCTTCTATAACTCAAAATTGAATATTGAAAATTTTAATCCGCGCAGTCTTACCATGGCCGTGCCCCAGCATACACCTCAGCCCGCGACTACCCGGCCTCATTACTCTCACAGCAAGCCCCGCAGCCCAGCAAGCGGTTCCTGTGTCTGGCACCTGTAGACCGCGAGACTCATCCCCGGGACTACATCCACCTTGTGAAGTTTCTGATTCTGCTATACGTTCATCAAGGGGAATGGAATGGGCTGCATCCCTTTGACCTGTCAGGCGTGGGCAACGCGCCGCAATGCCATATTCCAGAGTTTGTTAGCCGCGCCACACCCATCGCGCTCGACGAGATCCTCTCCGAGCTGTACCTCTTCTCGGCGGATCTCCACGCTCTCTCGATGACCCGGGCCGGCACGGTTGTGTTCGCCGATGGGCCGTACTACACGTGGTACGTGATCGATGAGCCAGGGCTTCTCACGGGGCGGTTGACGCTGGCTGAGTTTGGTTCCAATGGCAGCGTCCGCGCCTCGACTCTCCGTCGACCCTGGAATATGGGCCAGACGATGTCCTTTAGTCAGATTATGGGCCGACGAGTCTTGGAATTATCAATGTCCGGTATCGGGGGCCCGCCGCAGTATAATGAACCGTACGTTTGTTTCTTGCCTACAACCTCTGTCCCCGTTTTCAGTCTTCTAACGTGAATCGCTTGTTTGTGGGAATAGCTTGGATATGGACCTTCCTATAATTGAGCTTTTGGAAGTAACACGACAGACCAACAAGTTCCTCTTCGAGGGCTACGGCAGTCGGGATCTGTGGGTGAGCACTATCGAGCAGAGTGCGCCCGGGTATCTGAGCTTAGAGGCCCAAGGACGGGAGCTTGAATTCAACCTTGATCAGTTGCTTGACATTAGTTAGTCATTGATGCTCACTTTGAACATTTGAATCCGCAAAAAAAACTCGCTTCTGGTTGGTGTGGTTCTCTATGACAGTTGGTTCTGACGGCTCTCTATCCGGCTATGCTATTGATATTCCAAGATGCGACCCATACTACCAGAGTCACAACATGAAATCTTAAGTTCGTAATGGGATTATCAATGCGAGACATGTATATAATGTTTGAGAGAAACAGGGAAGCCCGCGTCCAAATATTCAAATGGCCAACTGGCAATCAAATTGATCTTGTGGGTTACCCGGGTAGCAACCCCTCAAGTGGAACGTCCCGCTTCAAAACAAGTGTTTGAATGCTCTTTCTTAGTGGTACGTTTCAAAGCCCATGGATGTTAGGTATTCGAATCTTCGTAACGCGTAATGGCAAGACAATCTTACCAGGATACCAATTGGCCAAGCAAAGCCAAGGAAAATCAAGCAAAATCAAGCTACAGTAAGCTCTTGGCAGATGTGGATGGTCGATCATCAGATGTCTCAGAGCAGACTGTATAGATGGAGAATTTCACGAGAAAGAGCGGGTAGCTTTTCCAGCCTGGAACATTGAAAACAAAGGAAAACAAAGCCAAGCTGCCAATTCAGTGATTTGCTGAGTATCATAGCATAAACAAGCTGTCAAATTCATCGCGATGGCGGGGGACATTGACTACTAGTAGTATGTAACATGCAGGGACTAGACGCGTCGGGGCACCTGATATTTTACAGATTTGGATCTTTGGGCAACTGTTCTAGTTTATATAAGATAAGATTTAGAAGGGTATAATCTCTATTATAATTGATGATTATAAGTACTAAGAATCTAGCTAATAGTCTTATAAAAGTACTAGATTTGGTTAAGTTTAACTAGTTTAAGGCCCTTATAGGGCTTAAAAAGTGATTATTATAATAAATTTGAGAGGTTTTTAGAGGAAGTTTTCAGGTTTTTTTTAACTATATTCTAAGCATTCAGAGCTAGATTTATACACTAAGGGGGAATGTTAGGATATGGATTCCCAAGGTGCGAGGTATATTACCCCGCCATTGGTCACAGGACATGCCTTAGTAGCACTGCCCAGGTGCACATGTGGATGTGGATGTAGGTGGCATCTACCTAGTTGACATGTATGTAAACTCTTGCCTCCAGACTGTAGTTGTCACAGATATATACATAAGCCGGTAAAATTAGTAGCCTGCCACATGGACAGTACATTATCACGCCGTATACAGCAACATTTGAATTTCAGTTTTGTTTTTAGATTGTTTTGGGCCCTGTAAAGTGGCATTTCCTTGTATGAGAGTTTGTAGTTGGTCAGCCTGAGTCGAATATCCACTGAAATCGCTGCTTGGACTCCAGCAAGAGGGCAAACAGGAGGATGTGTCCTAAGAAGAGGAATTCAAGGTCACAGGAAATTCCAGTTCAGCGTACGTGGTACCTAATGGGGCCAAGAGTTGGGGGCCCAGGCTCAATTGAGTGGAATTTCACAGAGCCTCGTGACTAGTAAATAATTGTTTTTGGCGTCCACGTGTGGATTGTCTAGAGCCGCATTTTTGGACGCCAAAAAAAAAAAAAAAAAACCAGACATGTCAACGTACGTACGCTGCTAACAGTTAAAAGTGTGTTCATGGTGTAGAGAGAATCTGTACTGCTTAATCAGCTTGATAATGACTAGAGATCTACACACATGTAATTGCATAAGTTGACATATTGTCTAATTCATATCTTCTACCTGTCATAACGCGCATAACTGGTGAAATGCCGATTAGTCTAATCCCAAAGAGCCAGTCGCTGTCGAAAGACCGGGTACAAGAAGATCTGGCGGCCAGCGTGAGCCAGCGGATCATAAATCATCACGAGCACGGCCGGATTCGTGTGCCTTCATACCATACCACATATGCCACATATCGCGTTAAGAGGAATGGAATAACACCTGATGTGCAAATGCTCCGGGGGGGTTCTTTTTTGTGTTCCAGCGTTGATCATAAGGACACGTGAAGGGTAAAAGAGAATAAAAATGTACACGGGAATAACCACTTCATCCGCTGAACCGGAAACGGGTCGCCTCCAGGCGGCCGAGGCCATCGCGGGGGGCAACATTGCGACGGCGGTAGGAATTGGTGAAATCTGGATTAAAAAATTAGTAACTTGAAAAGATACAGAGAAAACGGTGGAGACTGACCTTGAAGCAAAACGCGGATCTTCCGTGTTTCACCAGATTGGACCTTCTCACCAATGCCCTTGAGAAGTCGCTCAGCCTCAGCCGGCTTCATGGACCCAGGGGGAAGCATCTGCAGTGTAGCCTGTAACCAGGCGCCAGTCTCGTGGGGTAGCACTTCAAACAGGGTCATCAAAACTCCTGATGCATCAGGGAAACAATCTCCAGGGAAACTGAACATCATGCCTGTGAGAACACGCTGGGTGAGAACCTGGCCCTGTGACAAAAGAAGAGCCTTGACAGCCTCCCGGATCTCCGGCGGGTTGGAGAAAGGAGCACCTTCGGGACTGGTGAATTCGGAGACGAGAGGCTTGTCGAAGGCAAAGCTGAAAAGGTCGCGGTAATAGTGCAGGGTGGCGATAAGGGGATCGACTTGTTGAAGAGTAAGGGCACTAAGTGCCGCGGAGAAGATAGGGACGGCCAGTGACGAGCTAATGCACTTTTTAGGGTAATAGCGGACAGCGTCAGATGACAAGCGGAAGAAATCCTCGATGACTGTTCAAAAGTTAGAAAAAAGGGGGAAAAATCAAAGTTTGAGAAAACCATGTCGGGTCTTACCATCGGGAAGATTCTCTGGGGGCAAATCATTCAAAATGCGCAGGAAGGAAAGAGCTTGCTGCTCATAGAACTGATAGACAGCATCGCTGGTGGCCTGGTCCACATACTCAGCACCATCAGAGTATTCGCGGACAACGGCGTCGGTGGCCCACAAGAAGCAGCCCTCCCGGGACGCCTCAAAGCCATTCGCAATGCTTTGGGCGAGAGTGGGAAGGAGGGGAATCATAGCAGTTCGATAAGAAATAATCATGTAACGCCAGCATCGGCACACGCGCTCCAGAATGGGGGTGGAAGACGTGAAATTCATAACGATTGTGGCCATGATAGGTAGGATTTCGCCGCAGTACTTAACGGCAGGATTCTCTTCGCCCGGCGCAACGATGGGAGTAACCACTTGAATAAAGATTGTGATCAACTGCAAATGGTCGGCAACTGCTCGCTGTCCTTCTTCATCTTGTGCATGATTGGCTAGATTCATAATTCGCTGCATGATCGGATCACAGAACATCTTCAAGGAGGCATAGATCTTGTCCAAGGGTTGCACAGATACCACAGCCGCAACACCCTCAGTCACTTCCTCTTGGCTAGCGGGCTTCAGCTTGTCGAGCACGGACAAGAAGAAAGTGTGCAGGTGGTTGATGTGGCCACCGAGCAGCTTTTGGCAATCGGTTCCAAGAAATTTGAACGCAAGAGCAGCCGCCTGAATGACCTCCGGAGATGGGTGCTCGAAAGCGGAAATAACGTAGTTGAGTTGTGCCTCAAGGCTCTCCGGGTGGAGAGCAGTCCATTCTGTGTACCGAGCAAGAGCCATAATTGCTTGGAATCGGACCTTCTCCTGGTCAGGGATTTGGACAATCAAACTAACCAATTGACCCAATACAGTACTTTCCTCGGGGTCAACCATGCGGCCCATGGCACGGAGGCCAAACAAAGGAGCCTCCAATTCCTGCCAATGTGGAACATGCTCGTGACTCGCCTGTGCCGCGTACTTGCCCACCCATTGCTGGATCAACTGATAGATCTTACCCAGGCAGTCGGTCACGCCCACGACAGAACAACAGTCCTTCAAGACATCGCCCATGGAGTGTCTGAATTGGCGGAACTTTTCTTCCTGCTCTCGGTCGCCACCAAAGAGATCGGTCTCGCCTTCCTCGGGGCTAGGGAATTCCAAGTGCTTGACCATGATGTCCACCAGCTGGGAGAAAATATCGAGGAAATTGACGCGAGAATCAGTGTAGCGATCGATAGTGATGTACTGCTTGAGCTCGTACCAGAAGATGAAAGTAAGAGAAACAGCATCTCTCTCCCAGTCGCGTGCGCAGCACTCCAGGACAGCTTCGACGAGGCCGCGGAATTCGACTGGTAGACGAGCAATGAGAACGGCCCAGGCCTCACCAGCCTCCGAGAATATTCTGGTAATGCCTTTAAACGCCTCCAAGTCTTCGGCTTCGGCGGTTTCAAGAATCTTTGGTCGAAGAGCCATCAACCGGGGGTAAAGGGCTTGGATTACGGAAAGGGACTCGTCAACATCTTTGGTATCACGGAAGAGGGTACACATGCAGTCAACGCCGGCATCAAAAGATCCGTCATTGTCCAATGCCTTGACAATAATATCCATCAGAGGCGACTCGACGACTCGACCGGCGGGGATTTCGCGAAGCCACGAGGTGATACAGTCCAAAAGACGAGGATTGGTTGCCGCGGTAGGTGACGATTGAGCATACTGGATCATCAACTGCATGACTTGCTCCGCATTGTCCTCCAATAGCTCCTTTGTTCGGGACAGAAGCTCATCCTCACTGAGGTTGATCTTGCGGCCTTCTGTAACTTCCTCGGGGAGAATCTTCAAAAACTCCAGCACACAATCCCCCGCAATACTGCCCAATGCGGATCCCACGGTGGCGAGGACATCTTTCCATGCGACCATTTGGATCGCCAAGCTTGCCAAGCACACACATAGCTGAGTTTGAATGGGTCGAGGACCGGGGGCAAAAGCGACGAGGAGGTTGAGGACGGAATCCCGGAGGGCTAAAACGGACTCTGGGTTGAGTTGATCGAGATCAAATACGATCTACTTGTGTTAGCTCTGCAAATAATTCGTAATTATCCCATTCTGCGAATCGCAGTACTTACCTTTCCCTTCAATGTAGTTGCGGCGAACAATTTGGCTTCGATTGGTACGTCGTGCGACTGTAATAGCGAATGTGTCGTTTCCCATGCTTCAACCTGCAAACGCGTCAGTCTTTTTCTCAAAAAGGATTTATAGTTTGAAAGGGGAATTCATACTGATTTTTGGAATTTTTCAAGGAATTCATGGGCTTGGGTTTTCTCGGCCCTGGATACGTTCCCTTGCATTGTCGCGACGGCCGCTAGGACCGGGGCGAATGCCTGCCCACCATCCTTGCTGGCCATATCGTCGGGATTTGTATTGTCCAAGTGATCAAGGCCCAGTAATTTAGACCCTGAGCAGCAGATAAAAAAGGGGGGATAAAATGACAGTGTAGAAGAGTTGGCTTAAAGGAGGAGGGGTCAAGTCGCGATTCGTTATGAGTGCGAGATTGTGAGAAGGTGGGATGTTGGTGCCCGTGACTTCGTAATGGTATTACCGCAAATCACGGGACGCAGAGCTTGACTTTCGTCTCTGCTCCAACAACTTATCAACTCCAACCAAACCACCTCTACCTTCATCATGGCTGGCCGCAAGACATTGTTGGCACCAATCCACTTTATTTTCAGCCTGCTGCAGAAACGTAGCACTGTTTCAATCTGGCTTTACGAGCAGTTGGCTATCCGAATTGAGGGAAAGATCCGCGTAAGTCATGAACACGCAGCCAGGGCCAGCTCAATTCTCAACTAACTTCTTCCAGGGATTTGATGAGTTCATGAACCTGGTCATCGATGATGCGATCGAGGTGCGCCAAGCTACAAAGACTGAAGAGGAGAAGCGGAGGCCACTTGGTATGGACCAACCCCGAATGAAGATCTGAAGCTAGCTAACGCCACGGTACAGGCCAGATTCTCCTCAAGGGCGACAACGTCTCTCTCATCCAAGCGGTTTAAATAAATTTCTGTTTCTGTTTCATTTCGGCGGTCCGGACACCGCTCACCAACCATGCGCGCACCAATCCAGTCATGCCAGTCATGCGCCAATACCGGATCTCCTCGACATCTGCTCTTGGAGCGACAAAGCCACTAGTAACGGAGTTAAGTTATTTTGGATAGGAAAATACAAAGGGATTGGGTTTTTATCAGGGAAAGTCATCTTGCTCAGCTATGGACATCGAGTTAGAAATGGTTGTAATATCCTTGACCATATCCAGGCAATCCCTGAAACGCTATACCTGGAATCACAAATCACAGATCACATTCAGATTCATCGGATTCGCCCCATCAATCAACCTTTCATAAGATTCAGCAATTTATAGGCTGTAGCCGAGAACGATTGCTTCTAGCACTCGAGGGCTGGATTCCCCGCATTGAGTTGACTTCGATAAACGTTTGGGAGTGATCAATATCCACACTATGACCGTAAAATAAGGATCAACACATCTTCAGGTTCATTTGCATACTTGATTGATGCCATCTATATGTAGCCCACAGAGAGGAGATTGCCTCTGAATATTATAATACACCTGTTGATAATAATACATTTTGTCCACGCACACGATCATTCCGATTCTACAGCCTTCTTCACCAAGGCTGGCACTTCGGATTTGTTAACTGGCTTGCCATCCAATGGCCCTCCTTTAGCAAAAAGAGCTCCAATGAAAGGACCGGACCGCACTTTCTCTCCCTTTGCCTGGATTTTGGCAACTTGTTCCGCGATGATAGCTTCCAATTCCTCGATAGGCATTGTCTTGATCTGAGCCGCGTACTCCTCCAAGATAGTGACCTGTTGATCTTCCTGAGCTTGTAGATCCGCGCGATCTTCTTTGGCAAACAGGTCAGCAGCATCTTGGGAGGCCTTTGAACGTCTTCGGATAAGGGAGAGAAGTTGAATATCTGTCGCGTATGGGGTGGAGGTTTTGGCAGCATTGTTGGTCTCGGAAATCAAAGCGCGAAGGACATTGAGCCTGGGATTGTTAACAAAAGGTTGCTTTGTATTGCATGAGGATGTGACGATACCGGGCAGTATCTTTGGCGCGCATGGCTGTCTTCAGATCAGCTCGCAATGTTGCCATCATAGGCGGTGTGGTAGCAGTGGAGTTCCATCGTACCTGACGCAATGGAGCGCAGGTGAATCTACTAGTACCGACACGGAACATGGTAAGAACTGTGGAATTGGAAGGGTGAATGGCTTAGTTATTATCAAGTTCAAATGTGCAGATGTTCAAAAGGCGGAAGATCATTGAATGGTGGTCCGTGCGCAGGAATTGTTGACCTCGCAAAAGAAACCTTGAAACTAAATCACCTTCAAAAAGCTGCCCGCAACCTCCTCCTCCACCTACCGTCTATCTCCTGTCTTATTGCAGCTTTGCAATTTATCTTCTTTGAATTGCAGTTTTTCATTTCTTTGTTTCGTGAGCGGGGAGTTCGTCTCGCTCTTCTCCCCAGCTGAAGCGCAATGTCGTACCCGATTCTTCAAGCCAACCTACCTCCGGCGACGCCGCAGAAACCCCTACCGGGAGCTTACCTGCAAACGCCAGCTGTGCCTCGAAATGGTCCCAGGTCCCCTCCACAGCAGCAGCTGCAATCACAGACTCTTCAAAGTCCACCTCAGATGCTCCCTAAGCTTCCCCCAATCGCCGCGACACAAAACCGGAATCTGAGCACACAAGAGCGAGGAGCGCGTACAATCAACGAGTCTCTCTTTCAAGAATCGCGATACCCAGATCTGGACAGCTATCTATCACGTAGGTTTATTTCGAAGTCTGCGGGTCTGACGTGATGTGATGCTAACTTTTGAATAGAGGGATTCTCATCTGAGTATGACCTCCCCACGTCGCCGTCATGGGCACCATTTCAAAAAGTGAAAATGTACAACATTCCCGACCAGATTTTCGATCAGTACAATCGCGCTCAAGTGTCGACAAGCATGGGACTTTTTGCTGAGCTGCAACACGCGTGGGTGGCCATCGACAACGCGCTCTACTTGTGGGACTTTACACACCCGAACCCTCAATTGGTTGGATTCGAGGACCAGCCAAATAGCATTAACACAGTTAAGCTTGTTAAGCCTCGTGCAGGAGTGTTTTTGCCGGCAATTACTCATTTGCTCGTGGTGTCAACAACAGCCGAATTGATTTTGTTAGGTATGGGCGTGGAAACCACTTCGACGGGCGGGCGGCAGGTCACTCTGTATTCGACCGGGATGGCAGTTCCGATTCGGGGTCTGGATATCCATGTCTTTGCGTCCTTTGACTCGACTGGTCGGATCTTTTTCGGTGGTTCGTCCGATAACGATGTTTACGAATTGACATACCAACAAGAGGAACGGTGGTTCCAGGGTCGATGCGGAAAGGTCAATCACACCAGCTCCCGCCTAGCAGCATTTACACCATCGTTGAGCTTGACGAACTTGGCGAAAGTGGCCATGGAAAATGTGGAACAGATGGTCATTGATGACAGCCGAAACCTTCTCTATACTTTGTCTTCGACCTCCACAATTCGAGTCTTCCACCTGAAGCCTGACGGTTCTCTCTCCCTGGCTATCACCAAGCATGCTCTGGACATTTACTCGAATATCGGACATATCATCGCATCCAACCAAACTCTCAATCCTAAGATCCCAATCGTTTCTATCAGTCCCGTCCCTGCCGCTGAAGCCTCTCGCTATCACCTTGTTGCGACAACGGCCACCGGTTATCGCATCTATCTTAGTGCGACTGGTTCATACAGCTGGTCCCCCATGCCGAACGGTACAACTGCACCTACCAGCATGCAAGCCCAGCACATCAAGACCCCACCCGTGGATCTTCCTAGTGATTTCGGGCTGCCTCGCTTCCAGCAGCCTGGTGGCAAGCTTGCGATTCACACTTTGGAGCCCACGCGCATGGCAGCCCGGTTCCCGCCTGGATATTTCTTCTGCTTCGCAACCAAGGATGCTGCGCAGAAGTCCGATACCCTGTTCATCTCATCCCCGGATTCTGGCAAAGTTGCCAGGGCCCAGGATAATGTTTTGACAGGGAAAACAGGCGAGTCTGCCATTTGGATGAACCTGGGCGGCCGAGCGGAGGCCATCGGTCTCTGCACCCCACCTCCGCCAAGCTCTTCAGGCTTTGGCAATGAGCTGGCCATCCAATTTGATCACCCCGCTGCTGAGGTTGCTATTCTGACAAGTACGGGTATTCACGTCATTCGACGGCGACGCCTGGTAGACATCTTTGCGTCATTGGTTCGTGGTGGTACCGGAGAAGAAGGTTTAGACGGCGAGGCTAAAAACTTCATTCGCACATACGGTCGACCGGAGGCTCTGGCCACCGCTCTTGCCGTGGCTTGCGGACAAGGCGTGGAGATTTCCTCAGACCAGCGACTCACCCAGATTAATGACCCAGATGTCCTGGAGTTTGCTCGCAAAGTCTTCATTGACTTTGGTGGTCGTCCCGCGATCAATGAGAACATTGTGGCTGATAGCACCACTCCTACAATTGACCTCGTCGAGCCGTCCCCTCGACATGCCGGTATCTCCCTATACCTCTCCCGCTTGTTGCGATCTATCTGGAAGAAGGAAATCGCCCAGGTTGGCAAGGGACCAAATGGCGCCATGACTGTCTCTGCCTCTGTGGCTGCTTGCAAGCTGCAAAGCATCCAGCATGATCTCTCGGCCCTTCAGCGGTTTTTCAAGACCAATAAGAGCTTTATTGAAGGTCTCAGTGGACCCGAGGCTCTTGCACGAGCGGCCACCAAGCAAGAAGAGACCGCGCTCCAGGGTGAGCACCGTGCTCTGCACTCACTTGTTGAACTAGTCTCGCACACCATTGAAGGAATCTCATTTGTGCTTGTCCTTTTTGATGAGCGGGTGGATGAGATAGTGGCTACCCTTCCCGAGGAGTCCAAAGAAAAGTTCTTGAAGCTCACTTACGAGGAGCTCTTTAGTACCAGCAAGGGCAATGAAGTTGCCAAGGAGCTAGTCAAGAGTATTGTGAACCGCAACATTGCCAAGGGGTCGAATGTTGAAACCGTAGCCGATGCTTTGCGGCGCCGATGCGGCAGCTTCTGCAGTGCGGAAGATGTGGTTATTTTCAAGGCCCAGGAACTTCTCAAGCGGGCCACCGAGGCCGGAGCCAACTCCGAGTTAGGGCGCAATCTCCTGAATGAGAGTTTGAACCTGTTCCGACAGGTGGCTGATAACCTTCCCATGGACTATCTGGTTTCTGCCGTGGAGAACTACATCGGAAATCAATTCTTCGCTGGTATGTGTTGTCGACCATTTTGATCCTTCCTATTTGTTCCTGACTAATATCTATCCGTTTTTTCAGGTGCAATTACACTGGCGCTTAATGTTGCTGGTCGCTGCGACAAGGCGAACCTCGCACTTTCCTGGATTATGGATGGACGTCCCGAAGAAGTACAGCCTCCTCCTGGATATTACACCGTTCACCAACTTACCCCTATACAGGACCCTCGGAAATCCATCTATTTGTTCCGCAAGCAGTGTTATGACCTTGTCTTCAATGTCATAGTTGCAGTTGATACATTGGCCGCAGCCGACCCCGGATACATTGATGGACAAATCACCCAGATCGCTAAGCGCAAAAACGAGGCACATGCCGTTATTTCTGACACTCACGACGAGGTCTTCCTGACTAGCCTTTATGACTGGTACCTGGAGCAAGGGTGGAATGATCGTCTATTGCAGACCTCGTCTCAATTTGTGGTCACTTACCTGGAAAGAAAGTCCACTGACGACATTGCTCATGCCGATCTGCTGTGGCGTTACTATGCCCAGTCCGAGCGATATTTCGAGGCTGCCAAGGTACAGTTCCAACTCGCTCAGAGTGCATTCAATCTTCCTCTTAGCCGCCGCATTGAGTACTTGGGCCGAGCCCGTGCCAACGCATCCGCTTTCACACATGATGTGGGCCGTCAGTCACGGCAACGCCTGGTGCAAGAGATTTCCTCTCTGATCGATGTCGCCAACATCCAAGACGATCTTCTGCAGCGCCTGAAGGATGATGAACGGATTTCACTGGATCGTAGGAATGAAGTCCTGACTGATGTGGATGGTCCCGTCATGGACATTAGTACAGTAAGTTCTTGACTTTAGTCAAAGCCCGCCGGAGCTTCTTCCTCTCTCTCCCTTTTTTTTTTTTACTTTTTTTTTTTTTCTTCCCTTTTTTGGCTGTCCATCCACTAACGAATGTCCCCTCTATAGCTCTTCAACAAATATGCCGACTCCGCTAGTTACTATGACATCTGTCTGCAGATCTTCTTCCTGGCGGATTACCGCAATGCGGCCGACATCAAGGCGACTTGGCAGCACCTCATTCAAGATACACACACCCAAACAGTGGAACGGGGCTCCCCACAACCCTATGAAGCTGTTGTCGAGAAAGTTCGGAGCCTTGGCAGTCGGCTCCGCATGTCGGAGACGGTATTCCCGGTGCGCGAACTGGTCCCCTTGCTCGAACGCTATTCGCTAGAGCACCAGCGCCACGTTGGACCTGAGCACTGGATTGTCGATCTCTTCCTGGATCTGGGAGTCCCACACGAGTCCATTTATGCGGTCCTGGAGACCATGTACTACACCGACGAGGCTCCATTCCAGGGCACTTACCGCCGTTTCATCGCCACTGATCTAATTTATCTACTGCAAGGGTGGTTCCATGAGACCATGCGACTAGGCGGCATGGTGTTTGGATCGGATGTGGTTGCCGAGCGCGTCTCCGAGACTCTGGTATTGCTGCAGCAGGGAGCGGGTAATGGTCCTGATATTGTGGAAAACAGTCGGAACCTGCAGCGAAGGATCGCGGAACTACTGAACTAAATTTTCTCATTTTGATTTTTGGTTTCGATCATTTATCCCTCCCCCCACATCCCATCATCACACCCCTTGTCTCTCTTCAAATCCTGGAATGATCCGTGCCTTTCTTATTCCATTGCTATGTATCCTAGGTGGCGTTCTTTTTCTTCGGAGGTCATGAATCTGAAAATCCATTTATAATGAGAAAACTGTTTCAATGATTCAAACGTTTTATTTTTTATTTTTTTTATTTTATTTTTTACTTGTAAGAACATGAAGAATAGGCGATTATCAATTAAGCAAATGCAAATTTTAATAAGAACCCGAGAACAGAAACACTGTTTAGTTCTAACCCAATGAAGCAAAAAAGAAACTCCCGCCAAAAAAAAAGAAAAAAAAGCAAATAAAGGGGGGAATTGGGGAAAAAAAGCAAAGAAAACCCAAAACTCTATCTACACCTACTCAGAAAACTCATCATAAACGGGGATCGGCTTCTCGCCCAACGCAATCAGGCGGAAGATATGACGAGCTTTAGCACCATAATCTTCATCAAGGTAATCCACAATCGCAGAGTCTAAGAAATCCAATCAGCATGTGCTCAAGTCACCAGGTAACAAAAAAAGAAAAAAAACCACCAAAGGCAAGAAAATACTCACGAGTCGTCGCCCTGTTATCAAACATAACAATAGTCCTCGGCTGCCACCGCACTCTAGCCTGGAAATCATGTCCCGTAACAATATGATTCATCAAGAAATCCAACATCCACTTCGTCTCAGGCTCCTTCATCCCCTGAACCTTGGTAATAAACTCCGCATTAACAAACAAGCACTTCTCCCCAGTAACGGGATGAACCCGCACAAGCGGATGCACCGTATCAACCGCCTCCTTCCGCACCAACCCACCCACCAACCGCGTATGCGCAATCATCTTCGCAGACGAATGCACCGTATTAAGCGTATCCAGGAACGCGCGCAGCGTCGGCGAAAGCCGCTTATACGCCATATCCGTCGCCGCAAAGACCGTGTCCCCGCCCACCTCCGGGCCCTGCAGCAGGCCCAGCATGACGTAGCCCGGCGGCTGGATCTCGTAGCTGACGTCCTGGTGCCACAGCGTGGTGGTGGTGCGTGCTTCCAGGAAGCGCGCGATCTCCTCGCGGTTGCCGTCGCGGTGGATGACGTGGAAGGCGGGGTGGTTGCGGACTGTGCCGGAGACGGGCTGGTAGTTTGGTTTGCCGAAGTAGCGCATGAAGGCTTCTTGTTCTGCGGGGCCGGCGTCGATGAGGTCTTGGTCTGGGAAGGCGAGGACCTTGCGCTCGGAGATGAGGAGGGCGAGCTCGTCTTTTTGCGTGGGTGTTAGGGTGGAGAGTTGGAGGCCTTCGATCACGGAGCCGATGGCGGGTTGGATGTCTTTGATTGTTACGTTGGCTGTGAGGAGGTGAGGCTTGCTTTTGTCTTTTACGCGCAGTGCTGGGTCGCTGTAGGTGTGTTCTGGGAGTGGGTCGAACCAGATTGGATCCCAGGTTGGGAGGTATTCTGGGTACGGGGTTTTGATCTTGGATTGCTTTTCGACGTCCACGTAGGGAATGTTGATGTCGTAGCTGACGGGGATTTCGGGTTTGTGGCCGTTAGGTCCGTTGGCTTTGGAGCGGATGAGGGGGGCGGAGGACGGCATTGTTCAAGGCTCAATTGGATGGGGACGAGGACTGGGGACTGGGGACTGGGAATGCAATGTTGAGGATACAGGTATACTGGTATAGGAACCTCAGCTTCTTATATGTATTACTGATTGATAAGGACTAGGGGAGGAAGAAGGAGACGGAGGTTAGTCGGGCATTCGAATCGGTTTATATAACCCACTTTTTTTTTTCCTCCGTTCATATTTCTACTTCGTAGATTACGTCGATAATCCGTTGAAGATAGAGCCAAAAAGAGGGCCTAACTTTTTTTCTGAACGCTAGTGGAAATCATGCAAGTTGGTCTGTGTCCTTCGCCAGATGAGCGGTCAGGGTTGATAGCTACAAGGAATTCCGAAATCCATCATGTCCACATAGAACCACCTTGATCCCGGTGAGTTCCGACCTTGGGGATCCCGGTCTATTCTGTACGATGTGCTCATCTCTTTTTTAGGGAGATGTTTTAAGTGGATGTGGTGGGGGAAAGAAAGAAGGGGAAATATGATATTACGGGACTTAGTTTCAACTTTCAAGAGAATCCTATACAACCAGGATCCACACCTCGGTTCGGGGGAATTTTCCATGCAGGAATTGGCATTGGCATTGAGAAACTTCAGTCCTTTGGTGCTTTTGGTGCCGTTGGTGCTTTTGTATTGGTATCAAGCCTTAATTTACCGTATAGAAATGCAGTTCTATCTACACTGATAAGGCAGCAGTATGACAAGTGCATTATCTGCCGTGATCGGTGCAGTTGATGGGATTGGTCAATTCACAAGCCTAAAGGCCAAAGTACCCTCGGTTCCCAGATATTTCCATGCACAGAATAGCGCTAATGTCTCTCAGCCGGATGGGGCAGTTCCCAGGAGAAAAAAAGAAGATGATTTTTTATAAAACAGGGGGAAAATAGTAGGAACGGAAGGACCAGTTGATCATTTCTCTTTGTTTCAATTTTTGATTATTTTCTCTTTGATTTCCTTCTTTTTTTCCCTCTTTTTTTTCCTTTAGGGGTGGGGGGAAAAAGATGCGGTCTGCAAATCCCGCATATGCTACTATATCGAATAAACGGACACGTCGCACATCGGTGCCACAGGATCCCGAGATGTGCATGAGAAAAAGACACCACGTATGGGTACCTGGACTCTGATTGCTGCAATCTTGTAAGGGATAGAAAGAGTTCCAAGTGAGGCCATCCGGCTCATCCTGATACTATGTGGCGTTAGTCTTTTTCTTTTTCTTTCTTTCTTTTTTTCCTTTTTCCTTTTCTTTATTCTTTTTTATGATTCTGTTTTTGAAGGCTTCTTAAGCTTTGATAGCTGATATATCTGATACATCGGCATTGATTAGCAGGGGTTCGATTCCAACAATCTGTCCTAATCTCCCAAGGTACTTATGCCGTCTCAATTTCCAAATTACAAAGAGAATTCCCAAATTTGTTTTCCCCCAAAGTGGATCTCACCCCCCAAAACCCCCCAAAGAGCCGAGAACTAAGGACCGGGCCGAGAAGACAGTAGAACCGTAGAACCATATCAGAGTTGAACTATAACCTCGAACCCTGGAAACTTCACCTTTTCTGATTGATAACTATGGTGGACCGAGATCCCCACAAGCTTATTTTTTTGAAAAAGCAATTATGCTGTTAGGCTGTTTATACCGCCGATCTGGTCGCCCCGCTCTAGCGGTGCAGAGAGACCAGAGATGCATCTTTCGGGCTTGGTAATTTTACAGCGGAACAGGTGGTGGTACATGTATTTTACCCTGTAATCTATCACTCTTTTCTTGTTTACCAAAGCTTCTCTCCTAATCTACAATCACAAGCTAAAATCACAAGCTAAAGCTAACGCAGTACACTCCTTACACTCCTTACACAGTGTACACCTGGATCTTTTGGGATTTCTAGTATTTTCTTAATACTTCGCCCATCATGCTACGCAGAGACTATGCATACCTCACCTTCTTCCTCATCCATATCCCCATCATCTTCCTAATCGACACGGTCCCCCTCCAACCAACCTTCCTCCGCACCGACCTCTCCCAATCCCTGCGCAACTTCTACATCACCACCTATCGCGATAAGTTCTTCGAGGAGCCCGCCCCGGTCTGGTTCACCACCTTTATCTGGATGGAACTGCTGTACCATGTTCCCCTGAGTGCGTGGGCTGTCTGGGCACTACTCCGAGGTAACACCAACTCTTATCATTGGGATATTTATACCCTTCTACTTGGAATCGTTGATGGATAATTGGACTGACCTTTTTCTTTTTCTCTTTTCTTCTGCGTGTGATAGATCATCCTCTCGTGCCTGTCAATCTGCTTATCTTTGGCGTCCAGGCTTGTGTGACGTCTTTGACTTGTTTGGTCGATGTGTGGAGTTGGGAGGATCGCTCAACCGACGAGAAGGTGCAGATTACGTATCTGTACGGGCCTTATGTGGCTTTGGGTATGCATACATTTCCTTTTTTCTTTTCCCTTTTTCCTTCTTTGCATCTTCTTATCTGCACCTATGGCGATTGATGTCGATTGCTAATCCGTCTCTCTTTTTTTTTATCTTGCAGGTGCCTTGATGGCCTTGGATATGGTCTTCCGCTTACGAGACAAATTGACCAAGCCCAAACGCGACTAAATGAAACAAAAATACAAAAAAAAAATCACACACAAGACTCGTGATCGTACATTGATTTCGTTACGTGCTGTGCTAGAACCCGCTAATTAATAAAATAAAAAGAAATATGAAAAAGAAAAGAAGAATTACATCCTCAACGCCTATATCCCGGTGATGACCCGACCCTTACTTTAGATTTCCCATCTAGATCAAGAATCCAATCGCCCCGTCCAAGTCACCGTTTGCAAATTCCAACGCCCGCTCCGCCTCCATTCGCGTGAATCCTAGCTCCGTGATCTTGGCAATCGAATCCTGAGGCCACCGCGATCTCGGAGGTCGGACCGGTGCCACAGGTGCAGATGCACTGGAGCCACTAGTAGCGCCGGGGCCGGAGCCGGAGCCAACACCAGAGCCAGGTCCAGAGGTGGCATCACCCGGTCGGCTCGCCTGGTGCGTCACCGCTCCCGTGCGAGCACCCACCTCTGCCCCATCCGATCCCTTCACGGTAGGCTCATCCTCAAACTCCTCGGTCAAATGCTTCGGAATATCCGCTTCACCGAGGAAAGGGACCGCTTGGTCTTGAATGACCAGGGCCCCGCGCTGAAGATCAATGCACGCCTGGTGTCGGCGAAGCATGTCCAGACCCAGGAGTAGGTCGATCTGTTTGCCTTCCATCACGGTGAAGGAGCAGGGGAGGAACATGTCTCCGATCTTGATCTGAGCTGAGTGCACGCGTCCGAGGATCGGGGCAGTACCCACACCCTTGGCGATACCTCCGTAACGTCGATCGACTAATCGCATGATGTTGCAGGCTGTTGCGCATTCGGGCGACATGATGGTTACCTGGGCACCGGAGTCGACAAAGGCGTTGAGACGATGACCGTTGACTTCGACGGGGATGTAAAGCATTGTGACGCGACCGAAAGCTGTATATTAGAATTAGTTTTAGTTTTTTTCTTTCTTTTCTGTTTTCCATTTTTTTTTCCATTTTGTTTTTCTTTTCAATATATGTAGCTCCACTCGCTGACGTAGCCAACATCGCATATGAACGGATACAAAGCTGGGTAGATGAGGGCCACTCACACTCTGGATGATGCTCCATAGCATTGTGTAGGTTCTCCGTCACAGCATTCTGTCGAATAATCTCCTCGATCTCACGTTGATTATCCGGGTTAAACGGATCAGAGTTCAACATGGCGATTCTGGCATCTTTCTCCGCTTCCTGGCGCGCCTCCCGCTGCTGCTGTGAGACCAAGACCTCCCGGAACCGCTGCGCATTATCTGCTGCCTCAGCCAACTCAGGATTCTGTCGACGAACAGCCTCACGCACACGCGGATCCCCCAAAATATGTAGTCGGATTGTCTCGGGATCGGGCATGCCGGGTCGGGGTGCCGCCTGATTCTGGCGCGGTGCGGTGCTGGAGCCGGGGCCGGGGCCGGGACTAGGACGTGGGGGCAGCTGTGGTGGGCCGCGGAGGGTGACGTGGACACCTAGCATGTCACCTTCACCGATGCCAACTTGTTCTAGGGTTTGTGCTGGGTTCTGGAGGAGTTGGTTGTTGTAGACGAGTTGTTGGGCTTCGGGAGGGATATTCGTTTCGCTTTCGATGATGGCTTTGAGGAGCTCGATGGCCATGTCTCCACCGACTTCTAGGTTGATAATATCAGAGTCCGCATCCGGGCGGATGACACTGACGGTGATACGCCTGAATGTTTTAACGCGGACATGATTAGCTTTGTTTTGTTGAGGGTTATGGATTTGGGGGGGGGGGATCGGTCAGCTTTCGGAGGTCGGCCTTGGAGGGGTTAAATACATGGCTTGATTCGGCTGCGTCAGGTGCGGGGAGGGGAAGTGGTTATGGGTGAAGAAGCAAAGAGGGATGAAGGGATTATATGCAGGACAGTCACAAAGTCCAGGCAGAAATAAAATCCCGAATCCTGAAATAGATTTGAAGGAGAAGGTGGAAGAAGTGGAGAGAGAGAGCGGGCTGTGTTTTGCCTTGTCCTCCTTACATGATCCGCAAACACTAACACTAGCTACCACCATAACCGTTCTAGACCAGCTGCAGGTCCATCCTCCTCCTACGTACGTGGATCTGCCCCCGCATTGCTTTTCTCTTGCTATAACTATTCCCTTAGAGGCTTACAGCGACCTATATTGCCCTATATTTCCCCTATATGCACTTCTCTGTGGTACTTTACTCGTGTTTTCCTAATAGAAATTGCCCGCAATGAATGCCGTCTTTCTACCATTCGGAAGAGTCCGCCATGATCTCCATGGCTCAAAATGAACGTCCGCAGGAGACTAACAGTCGCTAAAAACTTCCTGGGTTCATCCTGCCCTATGCTCCCGGATACAACGGGCCCGCAAAGATCATCCTGCTTACTGACTCCCCTGGACTATGATTAGCTCATGCAACTTTGACTTCCGTCTACCTCAACCCTACGTCCACTACCGCCACGCTACACTCGCACCATAAGCTGACTCGCGTCAAGTCCAGCCTCAACTCTCAACGGGTCTGATCGCTCCTTTTGCCAACGCATAAGGTCGATCCGGGATTTAACGAGTACCGGAGACTAAAACTTTAAAAAAAAATATATCTATACTATATATCAAATCATCAAAAAAACATGTTGTGCTGCATTGGTCCTAATGGAGTATCTGACTATATGTACTTATTTATCCGGGTCGGCCACTTACGGTGACTTACTCAATCCGTTGAGCACTTGAAACATCGGGAACCCCTCTTCCCTCCGTGATTTTCGCATCAATAATCTCATCAATCGGGATCTCCGCCAGACGCGACACCACATGATGCAGTGTGGGGAGCGCGTCCCAGCCTAGCCCGTCAATATCCACCTTGACGTTCTTAGTACGCCGCACACGCGTCACTACCGATGGCACAACCTTTGATTCCTGCGCGTGGGGCACAACCACGGGGTATTGTGCCTCCGCCTCGCCCTTGGTGCTTTTTCCGACCTTGGGCATGTAGCGGTAGACAAGGATACCGTCGTCGTCCTCACCACCGATCGTCCCCTTGTCCGCTGAGGGGTCCACGTCTACGAGATCCTCAAGCTCGAAGTGACCCCACACGGCTCCTTGCCAGCTGGTCTGAATACGGAAGGAGTTGTTGCGCTCGTGTAAGTCAACTGCTGTGTATAGCTTGGGCATGCCGAGTTCCTCACGTCCTGACACGATCGGGTCCGCCAGACTTTCGAAAAGAATTGGCATGTAAGTTCCTCGAAGTACCTCGCCGTTCTCCTTGGTATATTGCACTCCGTGGATGTACAGTCCAATGTGGCGGTACCCGCCACCGCCAAGCCAGTCCATTCCGCTAAGAGTGGTCTGAGAGAAAGAGGCTCGTGCGACTGTGGATGGGGAGATGAAACTGTATCGGTCATTGGGGAACAGATTCTGAAGGAGCGTGCGGCTAGTCTTGAACTTGATGGAGGCAGTCTTGAAGGTGGATTCTAGGGATGCAAGAGCGCGGTCTCGTCCCATGTGATCCTGTCGGGGACCAGGCATCGGGCCAAAGACGATGGGCTGACGCCAGTACATATGTGGGTTCTGAGACCAAATGTGGTTCCGAAGGACCTGGGTGGAGTGGTCGAACTCATCGTGGCCATAAATGTAGCTGATCATTTTTTGTGCTGGAAGAGAATTAGTCTTGGACCCTGACTTGATGAGGCAAAGCTTTTTACTTACTTGTTTCCTGAGAGATGAGTGTGACCGAATCACGAGTCATTTGCTGGATGGTTGTTGCACGTTCATGACGCGCCTTCTCATACACCTTCAATCGCTCGGGGACGTCACTGACAGTAATGTCACCAGACAGCATCACAGCCAGAGAGACGGCATCTTCAATCGCCATTGCACCACCGGATGCACGGTATGGAAGGAACGGATGAACAGCATCACCAAGACAAGCAAGACGATCCTCTGTCCACGAAGGCAAGGTGTCCATGTCCAGCAGAGGCCACAGCTTCAGAGTCTGTGGGTCCGCCTTCTCCAACAACTTTCGGACTTGTGGGTTGAAGTCCTTGTACACATCGAGCAAAGTGTCCCTGCTAATCTGCTGGTTGTACGAGTCACCGCCAGTCTCGATGGTAGTCAACTCTTCAGGGTGAATGCAGACAAAGTTCAACAAGTCATTGTTTGAGCATGGGTAGATCACCACACGGCGATCAGAAGAGTCCCACATATCAACGGCACCAAAATCGCGCGCGATACTGTTGGTTTCCGGATCATCAAGCGCCTGCTGGCGACTAATCAGGAAACGGAAGGCATTCTTGCCTGAGCTGTATGGCTTCTTGTCTGACAGCTTGGTGCGAGTAAGAGAGTGCACTCCGTCTGCTCCAATCAGAACATCTCCCTCAACCACCTCGCCATTCTCCAGAGTCACTGTTGCCTTGTGGGGGTCGACATCGACGATCTTGCTTGCGGTGTGTAGTGTAGCGGGCTTTCCCTTGCCTGCGCCAGTGGCTGCAGCTTTGAGTCCCTCGTGGAAATGGGCACGGTGTACAAGCAGCCAGCGCTGGTAATAGCATCAACCATTAGCTGAGAAAGGTAAAGAAAAAAAAACTTTGCGGGGAAATAAACTTACGTGTCTCCATAGGCCCGCATGCGCCTTCAGATCTGCCACGTGAACTGGCTCTCCGCATGGCTTGTATTCGCGCAACTAACACCTTGTCAGCCTGGGATTCAGGATCAAATCAACGAGATAAAGTCTTTACCAGCTCAGTCTCCACGGCGCCAAATTCGGTAGCATCAATTCCAAGACGGCGCAAGACGCCATTGGCATTGGGGGACAAGTGAATAGCAGCACCGATTTCATTGGCGAAGCGCGAACGTTCAAAGATCTATTCAAGTCAGCCGGAGTTCTTTACACTTCTTTCTAGCGACCGACCATACCTCTACATGATGTCCCTGCTGTCTGAGAGCGATCGCTGCAACAAGACCACCGATCCCCGCACCAACAATCAAGATGCGTAGACCCTGAGTAGAGCTTCCGTTTAATTCTTTCAGCGTCATTTTGAAGAAAGAAATATATATGAATTTGACAGAACTATTTTACCAGAGACCAACTTATTTTATATTATAGCTACCCTCGGCTTCGAATACAACCCCTCCCCCTCATTACATTTCATATATGGTCATATGGTCCTCTCGGTTCAAATGACGGGACTCCGCGCTTCGGGAACGTCTTCGGCTCCACATTCCACGCGTTTTCAACCTTCCGAGTGGGGGTGGGGGAGCGGGTGAGGGGAGAGGATGAGTAGTATATATGAAAATGTACTTAGCACGAGGGAAATTATTGCTCGATTCTTCGTTTTGAAATTTCTCTTGTTTCATTGCACGTTGACCTTTTTCTCTTATTATTATTTTTGGGGGTCAAAATGCCGAACGAAATTAAAGACATCACCACCCGCGATGAGGATTCATTCCCCTACGTCTTTGAGCAAAATGTCTCAATTAACCTGAAGGATGCTTCAGGCATTGTCCGCGCAAACGTCTACCGTCCGAAATCCTCCGCCAAAGTTCCCGTGATTGTCACCTACGGCCCATACGGAAAGGATATCCCATACAAAGACTTCCACGCCGATAGCTTCAGCGAAGTTAACCCCGAACAAAAGTCCGAGCACTCCTCTTGGGAAACCCCCGACCCAAAGTACTGGACTAGCCAGGGTTATGCCGTGGTCCGTGCCGACGAGCGTGGAACTGGCCAGTCGGTCGGTAAGCTCGATACCATGTCCCGGGGAACCAGCGAGGCCTTCTTCGATGTGGTGGAGTGGGCGGCTGAGCAGGAGTGGTCCAACGGAAAGGTCGGCTTGCTCGGTATCTCCTACTACGCTGGAAGTCAATGGCGTGTTGCGGCCCGTCAGCCAAAGGGTCTCGCCTGTATTATTCCCTGGGAGGGCATGTCCGATTACTACCGGGATCGCTGCCGCCACGGTGGAATCCTGTCCAGCAAGTTTATCAAGTTCTGGTGGGATCGCCAGGTCGTGAGCAACCAGTACGGCCTTGGTGGTCGGGCCGCGAGAAACTGGGGCCCTGATACCATCGAGGGAGATCTGAGCGAGGAGGAGCTCGTGCAGAATCGCCAGGATCAGAATATCGATAATGTCGAGAACCAGTTCCGCGACGATATCTACTATGCTTCCAAGGAGTACAGCATGTCTGATATCCAGGTTCCCCTGCTCTCCGTCGCGAACTGGGGCGGTATCTTGCTTCACCTGCGTGGAAATGTCGAGGGATACACACAGGCTGGCTCGGAGCTCAAGTACCTCCGTTTCGTGACCGGTCGTCACGATCTCCCCTTCTACTACAGCGAAGAAGTCGAGCTGCAGCGCAGCTTCCTCGATGCCTTCCTCAAGGGCGATGACCGTGTCGGCTGGTCAACTGGCAAGGCACCCAAGGTTGATATCGTGCTCCGCAAGGGCGACGTCGGCTTCAACAATGCCGAGGCCGAGAAGGCCTACACCCGTCGCACGGAGCACGAGTGGCCCATCGCCAGAACCCAGTACACAAAGTACTTCCTTACCTCCCAGCGGGAGCTGCTCACACACGCGCCCGTCGAGCGTCCCGTTAAGATCTCTTACGAAGCCCTCGGAACGCTGGATACCCCCCAGCTCGTCCAGTTCACCACACCCGCTTTCGAGAAGGAGACCGAGATCACAGGCCACATCGTCGCACACCTCAATGTCTCAATGAGCCCCAATGCTGGCGCTCCCACCCCGCAAGACCTCGATCTCTTCGTCACACTACGCCACATCTCCGCTGCCGGTAAGGAAGTCTCTTACACCGGCACAGCTGGTGATGCTGTTCCTCTGTGCAAGGGTTGGCTGCGTGTGAGTATGCGCAAGGTGAACAAGGAGCACGTGCGGAACCGCCCTTACCTTCCTCACCGTGATTACTACTCCACTGACAAGCTTCCTGTTGTCCCCGGTGAGATCTACCCCGTTGATGTGGAGATCTGGCCTACCAATGTCGTGGTGGAGAAGGGTGCCAAGATTGTGTTGGAGATTGCTAGTGGAGACACCCAAGGCTCTGGCATGTTCCAGCACAACTCGCCTATTGACCGGTATGTTTCTATCTCGTCGTTGTTTAAAAGTCTACCGATCGACCGTACCAATGCTAATGCTGTTTTAGATCTGTGGAACGATTCCAGGGTCAGAACCATATTCACTTCGGACACGGCGACAACTATGTTACTTTGCCCATTATCCCTTGATTCTGCTGTACCAGCTGTGGAGTTTTATAGAGTAAATATTTTCAATGAAGTTTATGTGTATATAGTGATTAACATTCAACCCATGGATATCCAAGAACATTGAACCAGTAACTTAAACCTTGGAAAGATTTAAGCCATAGGCATCTCGCCAGTCTTATACTACTACGTAGTAGATGCCCTTCTTATAACCCAGCCCTCAGCCCATCCCCCCCTCTAACAATCTTCTCACCCCTCGCCAAATAAGGATTCACGCCAACACCCTGATCCAAATTCCCAAGCGCATGATTAACCTCACAATGCTTCACCTCATCAGCCCTCACATACAGCAACAACGACCGCATACACCGTCGATCAACAGGCATATCCCAATACCTCACCGCCATATCAGGCGCCCGCAAAGACTCCCACCCCGGAAGCCTTCCCTCGTCAACTACTAATCATGCATGAGAAGCTCCTATTTATTACTGCAGGGTTCTGCTTCCTACAAGGAAGAATGTAGAACGTATGAATCTATAGAAATCGGTGTTTTGTTGGGAACATTTGGGGTGTTCTGCTGTGTACAGCGCAGTTCATTGATTGTATAGATGTTGACTTGATTCCCCTAAATATCCCGAACTTGAAGTTAAAACAATTCATGACTCACTCGACTGTTTCCCGGGCCGAGTCAGCCAAACCACCAATTGATGTCAGGAGCCCTGATGATGGCAGATATCCAGACAATATTCGGCCTTGATGAGATGAGATCTGCCAAACAGGACAAAATGATAGCGTGGTGGAAAGATGCGGGGGGCATCTTGGCAAGGCCTCGCCTCGTGGGCTTTACCCCGACACGGTGCTCTCCACAGTCCCTCGCTGACATCTCCGCAGTTATTACTGACAGCTCAAATTAGAATTTCGCCATGCTGCTGCCATTAAACAGGAATCACACTCCTGATTGAATCTCTTGAGATCTGTTGAAATACAAATATTCGACATTCTTTCTAGACCCTCGTGGCAATCACTATATCCCAAGATCCTCACTCACCGGGCTTATCACCTAAAAATCCAAAGCCAAGCTTCACAATGAATTCGGTTGCAGCATTTCGCATGCTATTACTTAAGAAACCCCTCACCTCGGCTTTCTGCCAGTCAAAGTCAATTTCTCGCACCATCACGACCCGAGCAACCTCATACACACTGAACACGGGACACAAAATCCCCGCACTGGGCATCGGCACATTCGGAGACGCAGATTCCCAAGAAGCCATAGTCACGCAAGCCTTGGAAAAGGGTGTCCGTTTCATTGATACGGCCCGCGTATACGATGTCGAAGTACAAGTAGGGAAGGGCATGAAACGCAGCGGCGTTCCACGCGAAGACGTGTTTCTCGCTACAAAGCTCTGGTGCTCGGACTATCACCCCGAGGACGTGGAGCGTGCTTTGGATGACTCGCTGCGTGATCTCGATACCCCTTATGTCGATTTGCTTCTCATGCACTACCCATGCACTTTCAAGCGCGGACGTGATCGGTTCCCTCGCGATGCGAACGGGAGGATGATCAAAGGGGAGACCAGCTATGTGGATACTTGGAGGGCTATGGAGAGTTCGGTTCGGTCTGGTAAGGCCAAGTCTATTGGAGTCTCCAATTTCAGTAAATGCGAAATCGAGACCTTGATGAGGGATACAACGACGGTAGGTTCTCTGCTCTTTTTCACTATTGTCATGCATGTAAGACTTGGCCATGGGCTAATGCTGGCTGATTGAGTATTTAGGTCCCGGCTGTTCATCAAATGGAGGTTCATCCCTATCTCCAGCAGAAGGAGTTCAACGATTGGTTACAAGAAAAGGAAATCCACGTCGTCCAGTTTAGTCCCCTGGGCAACATGAACGATTTCTACCGACAAACAGGCTGGAGCAAAGAGATTGCACACATGATGCGCGTAATCGATCAGCCCATTCTCAAAGAGATCGCGCAAAAATACAACAAGAGCCCGGTTCAAGTGGTTCTTGCGTGGGGGATCAATAGTGGGCGAAGTGTTATTCCGAAGAGTGTGATCGATTGGCAGGTGGATGAGAATCTGGCTGCTGATTTCCAGTTGCAGGAGGAGGACATGCTTCGGATTGCGACGCTGGACGCGAAGGCGAGGTTCAATGATCCTAGTCTGGATTATGAGTGGAGATTATACTCTGATTTGGAAGGAATTGACGGGACGGTTCGAGGAAAGACCCATTAGCATCACTAAGATCATAGCATTTCCTTGACCTGGAACTTGCCAATCAACAACATTCTCAATTGCCAAGTATCATCGGGAGATGCCAGCTGTCACCTTTGCCGACTTCTGCAGGATCTCGGAGTCAGTGTGCTGTCGTTGCGGGGTCAGTGGATCCTGACTGGGGGCCGGAAATGGAGGATGTAAAGAGGATCTGCAACGGCCTCCAATTGACAGCGAGGGATTAAGAAGCTGTTGAAATAAAAGTACCAAATTAAGGGGCTCTCAATACCCATTGTCAATTGGTTCTTTACAAAGTACAGCTGTTAGGTAGTATTCCATTAGTCTTTTTTCCCGGTCTTCCCACGCCTGCCAGGATTGTTAAAATTAGTTTTCATTTTTCAACATTCTAGTAACCAGTGTCATAATTTAATTTCATTCACACACTGTCTATACTGCAATTGAAAACCAAAAATGGAATCCGCATCGCAAAGCTCAGAACTCCCTTCAAAATGGCCAACCGCCCTCGACCTCGCCGGCTCCGCGGCCCCATGCCGAATGGAAGGAGAAGTCGGGGACTTGATCGTCCAGGGCGAAATCCCAGACGGCATTGAAGGGACATTCTACCGTGTAATGTGCGATCCATACATGCCCCCGGACCCCAACAACATCCCTCTAGATGGGGACGGCAACATATCAGCATTTCGAATCAAAAACGGCCGCGTCGACATGAAAATCAAGTATATCGAGACAGAGCGCTACAAGCTTGAGCGACACGCCAACAAAGCGCTATTTGGCCTCTACCGCAATCCCTTCACCCATCATCCCTGCGTCAGATCTGCAGTTGACTCGACCGCGAACACGAACGTGCTTTATTGGGCAAATCGCATGATCGCTTTGAAGGAAGTCGCTCTCCCTTACGAAATAGATCCGCACACCCTCGAGACGCTCTGCTATGATCCGTTCGGTGACCAGGTCAAGTCCAAGACTTTCACGGCCCATCCGAAGATTGACCCATACACCAACGAATTGGTCGTCTTCGGCTATGAAGCGAAGGGTCTTGCGACGAAGGATATAGTCATCTACTCCCTTGACGCCGACGGCAAGAAGCATGACGAGCAGTGGATCGAGGCACCCTGGTGTGCCTTTGTGCATGACTGTGCTATCACGCCCAACTGGCTTATTCTCGTCCTGTGGCCATTCGAATCCACACTCGAGCGGCTAAAGGCCGGGAAGCACCACTGGGCTTGGAACTACGACTTGCCCGCTACGTTTATTGCCGTGCCTAGGAGAAATAGCACACCACTACCACCTGGCTGGAAAGAAGGCGAGCATAGAGTCTATTCGTGGAAAAACTGTATGGCTATCCATACCGGCGGGGCATGGGAGGGTCAAGACGGGAAGTTATACCTGGAATCGTCACGCGTGCATGACAACGCGTTCCCCTTTTTCCCAGCAGACGACGGCAGAATGCCATTGCCAGCCGCCAAGGCGGACTTTGTGCGCTGGGAGTTCGATCTGAACACGGCCAGTGGAAGTACGATTCCAGATCCGCAGATCATCCTCGACACGCCCTCTGAGTTCCCCCGCATGGATGAGCGGTTCATGACAATGGAGCACGAATTCATCTTCCTGAATGTGTTTATGCCCGACCAGTCTAGTGGAGAGAAAAATGTATTCCATGGGCTTAATGGGCTTGCAATGCATAGTCACAGGTCGAACGAGACACGCTGGTATTACGCTGGAGATAATTGCTTGGTACAGGAGCCCGTGTTCATTCCTCGCTCTGCGGACGCTCCCGAGGGTGATGGGTGGGTTCTTGCTATGGTGGAGCAGCGGGCTGCAAATAGCTGTCGTCTTGTTATACTCGATACGAAGGAATTTGAGAAGCCGATTGCTTTTGTCCAGCTTCCTCTTCATGTTAAGGCGCAGGTGCATGGGAACTGGGTTGATGGTTCTCTTCTTTCTACAGAGAAAAGCATTGTTCGGACGTTCCCTCCGCCTGTCATCAGTGGCCAGGGAGCTTTGGCCTCGCTGGAATAGGGGGGTTTGAGGCCCTGAATATTTTTACAACATGCTTGCCTAGATCCTGGGGTACGTGGATTTGGATTGCGGGGTTTCTCCTGGCTCCGTGTCGTGGTCAGCCTAAGAGTAGAAGGCTTCGTGACGATCGCGATCACTTGAACATAATGGTAGATTGTTTCTTTCAAAACAAAAAATTTCAATCTTACATTTAATGTATCTTTCTCTTAATTGTATAGCTTCCTCCGAGTAACTCGTCTCGTGGAACACTTGGTCACCTCAATCTCTAGGTCTCTGGTACTGCCGTTGAAGCTCATTGGGTATTAAAGCCCCTGCTCATGGTCAAGGATCTCCCTCATCAAATTCCCCTCTTAAAAAGCACACGAATCAATTGATCATGGCCTCATTCGATATTCCCCGTTCTATGCGGGCTCTGGGTGAGACAAGATGTGTAAACTTCATTCAGAAAATCAATCACTAAGTTAACAGTCAAGAATATTCTGCGGCCCGCCAATTCAGCATTGTGCAAAAACCTTTGCCAAAGATAAGAGATCACGACGTTCTAGTATGTCTGCCTTGTTCTTTGCGCAGCACAGCCTGACACATTGTCTACCTAGATCAAAGTAAAAGCATGCGGAGTATGTGGCACCGACCTACACATCCACGACGGCGAGTTTGGAGCACAAGTACTATCCCCCTCCCCCCAGACTATTTTCTTAAATTCTTGCCAACTTTCCCAGTTCCCTCTTGTCCCGGGCCATGAAACAGTGGGAACAGTCGCGGCCTTAGGCGCCTCCGTCCACGGCTTCACGCCCGGCGACCGGGTCGTCGCCGACAACTCCGAGCTCTGCGGGACATGCCACTACTGCCGCCTGGGCAACGGCAAAGAACTATTCTGCGAGAACTTCATCGCGCACGGCGTGATGGTTGATGGCGGATTCGCCGAGTACGCCGTGTACCCCGCTGCGCGGGTATTCAAATTCGCAAATCTGTCAGACGCCGACGCGACGCTGATAGAGCCCGCGGCGTGTGCGGCGCACGGGATTGATAGAATCGCGCCGGCCATGAACTCGCGTGTTCTCATTTTTGGCGCGGGGCCGACGGGCTTGATGCTAGCGCAGCTGTTGAGGCTGAATGGAGCAAGTCATCTTGTTATTGCTGCGCCGGCGGGGTTGAAGATGGATCTTGCGAGGGAGCTGGATGCTGCTGATGAGTACTTGGTTCTTTCGAGGGATGGAGAGGCTGCGGATGGGACGTTGGAGAAGCTGCGGGGTGAGAATCCGTATGGGTTTGATGTTGTTGTTGAGGCGACGGGGAACGCGCGGGTCCTGGAGAAGGCGATGGATTTTGTGAGCAGGGGCGGCAAATTGGTGGTTTATGGTGTCTACGATGATGATGCGCTTATTGCGTTGTCGCCGAATAAGATCTTCAAGGAGGAGATTCAGGTAATTGGGTCGTTTTCGCAGATGTATAAATTCCCCGCGGCGATTGACTATCTGGGTAAGCGTTCAACCGTGGGAAAGAGTAACATTTGAATGAAGTTCATTGGCTGAGAATTTTGCAGAGAAAAAGATCAACGTCCGTGGGATCGTCAATCGCACTTTTAAACTGGAGGAATGGGAGCAATGTCTTGAAGCGATGAGGAACAAGTCGGTCATCAAAGCTGCGATTGTGTTTTAATTGGAAGATAAGACTTGATTCTACATGTGTGAAAGGCTGCAATGCAATTGGGCCACTTGTCAGCGGTTAACACTACTTCTTTGGTGATGCTCCACTCCATGTGCAGACGTGGGGGGCATTGGGGCAATGATCAGGTCGAAAGACTGATTTTTTACCGAATTGAAAGTTCCACAGTCTTTTTTTTCTTTTCAATCTACTCGGGCTTGATATGTTCGATATTTCTTATAGTTGGAATCTTTTCGAGTCTCTAAACTGTGCAGTGTGAGCAGTAAATTTGATTTTTTTTTCTCTTCGTCTTGGCAACTCTCTATCATGGCGAGATATTTTCAAAAACCACCCAATTATGTCTTAGCATGCATATTATGCTCTGCAAATGGTCTTCTCTTTGGCATGGACACGGGAATTATAGGTGAGCTTCAAAAGAAAAAAATCAAAGATAAAAATCCATACTTTCGAAACTTCACATAGTAACAATAATCCCCCAGGCCCCGTAACCGACATGACAGACTTCAAAGCTGTTTTCGGTGGAAGTCAAAGTGCCACTATCCATGGACTGATTGTGTCCAGTATATTGATTCCCGCAGCCTTGTCCTCGCTCTTTGCTGGACATCTTGCCGATCGCCTCGGTCGTGCGATGGGGATCAGTATCGGCTGCTTCATATTTGGCGTGGGAGCAGCTATAGAAGCATCGGCTGTTAAACTTGGAATGTTCATTGCGGGTCGTGTTATAGAAGGGCTAGGAGAGGGCTTGTTCCTGGGAAATTTGGTCGTTTATATTTGTGAAATCTCGCCTACTAAACATCGGGGTCCTCTAACGACTGGCCCCCAACTGGTTATCACGGCTGGTATCTTCTTGGGATACTTTACTTGCTATGGGTCTTCGAGGCATATTGAGTCGTCATTCTCGTGGCGCACGCCTTTTATTCTGCTTGCTTCTCTTGCTATGATTCTCTCCGTGGCCTCGTTGCTTCTTCTGCCCCCGTCGCCTCGTTGGTTGGCAATGAAGGGTCGTCATGCGGAAGCGAGCGCCGTGTGGGAAAAGTTGGGCGTGGATTATAAAGAACATGAAAAGATTGATTTGCAAGAATCATCTCCAGACGATGTGGCTTCCAAGCAAGGCACGATGGATAAAATGCTGGATATCTTCTCTAAGGATGTCCGGTCCCGCACAATTCTTGCCGTCTTCATGATGGCCGCACAGCAGCTGAGTGGAATTGACGGCGTGCTATACGTATGTCTCATCAATGTTCTCCTTCTGCTTATCCCTAATCCTCAATTTGCTGACCTATTTAGTACGCTCCATTGTTATTCCAGCAGGCCGGACTTACGTCTTCAAGCGCAAGCTTCTTCGCCTCAGGAATCTCTGCCCTAGTTATTTTCGTCGCGACTATTCCCGGAACACTTTACGCCGACAAGTGGGGAAGAAAGAGCAGTATCATCTATGGCGGAATCGGACTCGCAGTTACGATGTTCGTCATTGGATCGCTCTACGCAGGAAATGCAGTTCACACCACCACTGGCGCCGGTCGCTGGGTCGTTATAGTCTTCATCTACCTATTCGCCGTCATATATTCCATGACGTGGGCTGTAAGCGTCAAGATCTTTGCGGCAGAGGTGAATCCACAACGCTGTCGCGCTGCGACAGCTACCCTTGCTCACAGTTCAAACTGGCTTGCGAACTTTGTTGTCGCACTTGTCACGCCGATCCTGCTGGCGAAGAGTAGTTATGGGGCTTACTTTTTGTTTGGGGGTTGTTCAATTGCCACTGCGGGTGTCGCGGCGGTGTTTATGCATGAGACCAAGGGTAAATCCCTGGAGGAGATTGAGGAGACCTTTAAGCCCAAATCTGCCAAGAAATCATCTGGGAATGATGATGCTTCCACAACTATTTTTCATCAGCCAAAATCCTCGGTTTGACCTTGGAATATTTGAAGGCTCGGTTTATGTGAAAATGGATCAATTGAACACAGACAATAATATGTAGAGGAATGACATAGACTATGATTTGTTATCATCCAGTACCTACGCCAGCGGAACATGCAGTAAACTGTATCCATAGATTAATACTTGATCGAACCTATGTTGTCATTCACCAAGAACATTTGAACTTGGCGAAATGCTATGTGCGATGCAATTGTCACAGTAAGTTTTGGATAAGAAAAAAAAGTGTGTAACGCCCGAAATGCCGTGGACCCTGCCGATAATTATGCATATTTCTGCGGCTTTTTCATTGACTTCCACTGAACGAGCCCAGCTCCAATAAACGAAAGAAGCGCAGCAGCAAGAGACACATAAAACGTCTGCGTCACTGCAATATTATAAGCATACAACACAGATGGAAGGGCCTTCCTGGGGACCTTGTTAGAGAGATGGGTCGCCCCAGCTTCAATAATAGCCGCCGGATTAACCGTTGGGGCGTACTTGGCGATACTGGCCACCAGTCGGTTTTGGAAAACGGTCTGAGCGATAGAAATGAACAATGCTCCACTTAGGCTTTGCGCAAATGTAATGATCGCGATTCCTATGGGGATATCCTCCAACGGTAGAACGGTTTGCAGGCAGTTGATGCACTGCTGGAACCCTACCCCTGCGCCGATGCCTATGATGACCTGGTAACCGACCCACAACCCGCTTCCTGTGTGAACTTGAAATGTCGTACAGAGACCGGATCCGATCGTGAGTAGTGCACTGCCAAGGTACATGAGGGGGGTGTAATAGCCAATCAAATTCACGAGGAGACCTCCAAGTGCTGAACAGACGATCATCGATACAACCATTGGGAGATTGTTGATTCCGGACTCGGATGCGGAGGCCTGCTCAATTGCCTGGAACCAAATGGGGAGCTGATTATTTTTTTCGTAAGTGACCGTTCGCTCTTAGCTGGTAGATTTCAAGATTTCAAACACAGAACTTACGTAGTACCCGAACACGAAGAATGAACCCCCGATGAACATCGCATGGATGACTGCGCCAAGAACGTTGCGGTTCTTCAGTAGACGAGGGGGAACGGTAGCTTCCTCTTGTCTTCGGTATTGGACGTAGCACCAGCAAATGGTAAGCACCAGAAATAAAACGAAGAGAATAACGATGCGCACATTCGCCCATTCATACTTTGTGCCACCCCATTGCAGGGCCAGGAGAAGGGATATAATTCCGGGGATGAACAAAAGGATTCCGAAAGGATCCATGCGCTTCACCTTGTTCAATTTGCCGGTCTCGATCGTTTTGCTGGGTTTCACATCCTTGAAAAACATGAAAATAAAGACGCCCGTGATCGCGCCAAGAGGAAGGTTAATATAGAAACACCATCGCCAACTTAGATGATCGGTCAATAATCCACCCAGTCTGCTGATGTTAGCCAGTGCGCACACCAATTCATATTCAATTTCCGATGTGGAAGGAAAATCCCTACAGTGGCCCAGTGACAGTTGCAATCCCACTCGTACTCCCAATAATCCCAAAATAAAGAGCCCGCCGATGGAGGGGTACACTATTGGCAAGGACCAACAATGCACCTGGGGACAAGCCCCCCGATCCAATCCCTGCAAGCGCTCTGCCGAATATCAGTCCCTTGGATGTTGGTGTTGCGGCGCACACTAAAGATCCGATCTCGAATAGTGCGAGGGCGATGATGTACGCCCATTTCGTGGAATAGTAGGTGTATATTTTGCCGAAGGGAAGAGTGACGGCGCACGACGTCAAAAGGTATGCGCTTGCGTACCAAGATAGGTCCTCCAAGGAGTTGAATTGCTCGGTTATCTTGGGTACAGCTGTTGCGAGGATCGTATTATCCTGATGAGAAGAATGAATTAATTTAAGAGATGTTCTCTCGGAATGATTGCAAACTTACCAGCGCGGTGCAAAATGATTGAAGGCAAAGTCCTATAAGTAGAGGAATGAATTGGATTGTGGATGGGTATTCCGTCGCCTCATCATCTTCACTCATGACACTGCATCCTGACTCTTTCAAGGGGATGTCATCTCGACATTCGTCATTGTGACAATCCTTCAGTGAGCTTGAGCTGTCTGCCATCAAACACAGTATATTCCACAGTCAAGACCAAATGACTGTGCAAGGGTATATTGTCAAATTGCCGGGGACATTCGGACAAATCGAATGTTTTTGGCAAGATAAGTTGGAGATGAAGAAGGTCCAAGCAGAGGGATCAACCATGACACAAAGATGCGGGTCAAGTCAAGTACATGTAGAGCTGCTTGCTACCTTAAGCTTGATTGTAACCCTCTATTTATGTAAGGGGGATACAGGAGCTCCCCGATCGCGGAAGCTCGGCTTTATCAAGCATTCCATGGACATGAGGTATGTCCGCCAGCTCCGTCACGACGCGAAATAACACCGCAAAACTCGCGCTTGTTTCCCCGTGACCGACTAACATTGCCTTTTTGAACATGAGGTTCGATTCTAGAGTTTCTTAGGTCAGATGTACTTTGAGAACATCTCGCGGATTATGTTCCGGTATGCCTGGGGACTTTTGGGGCCACGTACCTTGCTACATTCCTGAGATGAATTGCCGAGCAGGATTTATGCACTCGACTAACTCTAAAATGGGTGTGGTCGGCGAATTATCTAACAAGGTGGTGAACTTAGCATGTGAGCTCATTGCATCATTAAAAGAGAAAAGGGGATGGTGGTCAATACGTGGAGGAATCTTATTTATAGACTCTTTTTTTCAATGATCTAATAATCTATGCAATTTCAATTTTCAATAGTACCGCATTTATGCCACTCTTGAGTCTTGAAGGATCAATTCTCTTGAAGGAGTAGTGGCCTGCTCCAAAGGACAAGTTCTGAGCAGTAATTTTTTTTTCATCCTATTGAATAAGTCAACCTGATGATTTCTCATGATTTGTATGTTCAATAGTATGAAAACTATGATCTCGTTAGAAATCGGGAACATGCTTGGAACTGGGGCGATAACGATAACGATAGCGATAGCGATAACGATAACGATAACGATCAAATGAAAGTACGATTTGAGTCTTGACAGATCATCCATCACATACTAGTCGTCTCTAAACGCGAAGTTCTCGTCAATTTGTAGACGGCCAAAGTACATCTCTTTTAAAATTCCAATCGGCACATTGAAAGCGATACTCAATGTCTGTAAAAGACGCGTTAAGTCGCGTCGCGGCTACTAACCACGCGAAAGTAACCAGGTGATTCTCATCGCGGAATTCAAGCAAGAGCTATTGGCCAAAATCTTTCATAATATCTATCAAATTTTGTGAGAAGATATGGACACAAATTCTGACTACTAAATACTAGTAGGAGTCTTTGAGGTCACATCGTCTCCCACCCATCGACTTTCCATCATTACATTGACATCGACCATTGAACTCAGAAATTCTACATGCGGGTAGTATGTAGAATTGCCATTTGCTATGTGATATCCAACACCTGCCGATCGGAGCCCACATGGTTACTTGGGTTTCGTCTCGCCTACAGTGAAAGATTGTCTTGGCGCCCAAGTTCCTGCAGATTGATAACTATAAGGCTTACGCGGTAGATCCACAATGATGCAGGTCTGAAGCACATCACTTCCCGAAGTTGACTGTGCAGCCGGGTTTAAACCAGAGCTGCACTAGTGGGCGGGAGAAGTCAGTCCCGCCAGTTGAGCTTGCCAACTGCAGTGAATTAAGGACGAAGCAAAGTTTGGGATGAGCTTGTTGAAACAGGGGCGCCCGCGCTGAAGAAACTTGGATGGCTTGATTAATATTAGAGAAATGGCCTACGGACGGAGCTCCGTTTTTTTAACTGATAGTTCGGAGATTACTTAGATTCCGACACCGGTGGGAAGGGAACAGTGGAACAACTGAGAAGTATTTCACTTGGGAGTCTGCCGCCTGTAGATCACTTTTTTTTTTTGGATCAAGCAGCCTTTCTCCCTCCGCAGCTGTCTATCGCAATGCGTAGCAACACTCTCTCTCTTGCCATGGGACTGGCGCCCGTCGCCTCTGCCGCTCTCTATGATACTGTCATCGAAACCAAGTATGGTTCCGTTCAGGGTTATCCTGCTTTCAACAGCACCAACACTGGCAACTTGACAAACTGGAAGGACATTACGGTCTGGAAGGGAATCCCCTTTGCTGCCACCACCGGTGGTGAGAATCGCTGGAAGGCCCCTCAAACCGCTAGTGCCTGGAACTCGACTTTGAAAGCCCAGACCTGGGGACCTGTCTGTCCTTCCGCTACCAGTGGCAACAATGACTATACCATCGATGAGGACTGCTTGAACCTCAACATCTGGTCTCCGGCCAAGAAAACCGATGCTAAGCTCCCGGTCGTCATGTGGAGCTACCCGGCCGAGTCGACTGCTGCCGACGCTCTCTTTGACGGTGGTGGTATGGCCGACAAGGGCATCGTCTTCGTCAACTACAACTACCGTACCGGACCCTTTGGCTGGCTGGCTCACTCCGAGCTCTCGGAAGAGTTTGAGAAGGTGACTGGATCCAACAGCTCTGGCAATTGGGGTATGCTGGATCAATTCGCTGCTCTGAAGTGGATCCATGCCAACATTGCCGACTTTGGCGGTGATCCCGACCACATCACGGTGCAGGGCCAGTCTGCCGGCTCTGCTGCAACTCAGCACATCCTGTACAGCGAGCTCACCAAGGACCTGATTGTCGGGGCTATCATTGAAAGTGGTGTTCGCGATCCTCACGATCCTCTCTGCACCAGCCTCGCCGAGGGATACACAACCCTGGATACCGCTCTCGAAGCAGGCGCCACTTTCCTCTCCAGCTTAAACGTCTCTAGCATTGCCGCAGCCCGTGAGCTGTCAATGGAGGAACTGATTGACGGCGCTGGCCGATCCACGTTTGAAGCTGTCCTTGACTACTACGCCATGCCAGATACCTACCTCAACATCTTGAAGAAAGGACTGGCCCACGACGTGCCCGTGATTACCGGAAACAACAAAGACGAGAACGGCGCCACATACGGTCTCGAGCTGACTCTCGAAGAGTACTACGAGGACGTAAACGAGACTTACAGCGGCGTCTGGGTTGAGCGATTCCTCGAGCTGTACCCGGCCAACAGCTCCGTCAACGCCCCGGGTGCTTACAACTCCATGTTCACCGATCGCTCCAAGGTCGGCACTTGGTTCTGGTCCCAGCTCTGGTACGAGGCCAAGAGCTCCAAGGTCTGGAACTATATCTGGGACCATGCGCCCCCGGGTCAGGACCAGGGTGCTTACCACGAATCTGAGATCAACTACGTCTTGAACAATCTCTACGGCACTGATAAGCCCTGGACTGCGGAGGATTACAAGATTGCGCATCGGATGAATGACTACTGGGCTAATTTCATCAAGACCGGCAACCCCAATGGCGAAGATACAGTCGTTCAGTGGCCGGCCGTTGATACTAAGAGACTTGTCCAGCACGTCGGTGACGGCTGGGGTCAGATTCCTATTGCTTGGAGCAAGAAGGTCGCTCTCTATAAGGAGTGGTTCGCAAGTTTGGTTGCCTACTAGATGAGGGGGTGAGTCGTGACTATATACTAGCGACTAAATATTGATTGATTACCTCGTGGTCGTTTATCATGTTCCCGTAGAGCACATATGGCCTGATATTTTCTTGCCTTCTGGAAATAAATAGACGTGAACATACTTGGACCTGACCTCAATGAGATACATTCTGCCCTTTGCCTTTTGGAGTGTCTCTTTGCTTGTCTAACGGGCAGTGAACGTTGTTTCATTCCAACGTTCAACATTGGTTTCTTCCAAGGTTGTTTTTATGAATCCACTCTACTATTGGACGGATCAGCACGAAATCCAATGATAGCCATTTTTCTATCCTACATTTCAGCAGCTTACCTAAATGCAAAGTCGATTGTTGTCCACACAAAAAAAACCACGAGAGATGAAAAGACAAAAAAAGAATTGACCGACGCAGGGATCGAACCTGCAATCTCTTGATTCGTAGTCAAGCGCCTTGCCATTGGGCCAGCCGGCCGGGGTTGTTGAAAGGTTTGTCAGAGTTGGCATCATAAGTGGAGGCATAAGTGGGACCTCGAGGCCTGGCAGAGTTACGTCATCACGGAGCCGTACCCAAAAGGGCGGGCGGTGATAGAAATGTAATCGATGGACAGGGTAGCGTATCTAGTCATGGATCCATGAATAACGAGAAAAGTTTTTTGAAATTTGAGGTCAAATCAATCCAAATATTAGTTGGCCCTGGAAGTACTTTGGGTAGTTGTTTGTTTTGTCCAAGTCTACTTGCCCCAATTTTTCTCTGAAGGTAAATATTAGGTGTCAAGGTTTGCAGGTGTGGGTGTAGTATATACCTCCACCTCCAGATGTCTCGATGGTGTCCGTGTAACCCCCCCCGCCAAGCAAAAGATCTACTAGGCAACGACTTTGGATGAACACGAAAGTTGGCGGGGCAAATATCGTGCATACACGGTATGCGACTGTCAACTGGTAGCTTCTAGAAACATCGGACACCCCGGAACCATAGTGGAACCAACGCAAGGGAGGCCTCGCAGGAACAAGTGAACCTTGTTGCGACAAGGCTGCTAATGGATCATCTGCACTTTTCAAACGCTGAGTATTACTTAGCTAGTGCGCTATCGCCACAAGATCATCGAAGGAGTGTGAGGTTATACAGGCTGCGCCCTGTCGATCAGGGTGACGGGAGCCGCAGCGGCATTTACATATATCATGGGGTCTTCCAAACATAGAACATCCCGAGTGCATAACGTATGAGAGGACAGATGCAAGAACCGAAGTGCAGGGCACCGGCTCCACCGGACAGCGGGGACATGGATTCAATGTTCGTTTGACTTCGAGAACATTGAAAGAAAACACATGGAATATGCCCGGAGGTTGAGATCGGCAATGCGATGCGATTGACGAGCACCCTACTGCCACCTATTGGCAACTGTGCTTTACTACACATGTGCATGGTAGTTATAGACTGCATTGTAGAAAATATTTCCTATTAAGTATAGGTAGTCAAGCCAATTCCATTGGAATTTTGTTTTTTCAAGGACATATGTACCGCGAAAATGTTTGGTCCAGCATTTGAATATTAAAAATGGTCATACTATAGAAATCATCATGTCCAACAAAACGTTTTACGCCCCGACAGGATTCAGCAATCAGCACAGACCAGGTACAAACTGCGCCCGGACAAAATTCGATCAGCAATTCCCTCGGGCCCTCGATCCGCGACAACTTTACTAAATCCCCCAAAACTCAGAATCACTCTGGATATGACTTCAGTGGCGGCGGGAAGCGCCCCGTGGCGCCGACCAAGACCATAGAGGCGATCGGAGTGTATCAAGAGGGCTGGGCATAGACCATGGCTTTGCATTATAAATTATAAAATTGTAAAATTTATAATGATCATGCTTTTTTTTTTTTTCTTGTCTAAGAAAGGTCAATCATTGTATCCCGTAGGCTGAAAAAGAACAAAGTGCAAGCCATGTGCAGGGTTAGTGCACATGCAAGGCCCGGAACTGCCTGTTTAGGCAAGTCGGAGGGCCATCCCCCAGGATCTCGGATGTCACCGTGGAGAAATGACATCGTTGTGGTTTTGCGGCTTTTTTTTTTCTCTGTTTGTTTTTTTTTTTCTGGTTTTCTTTCATTGATCATTCTTGTGGGGAGTGGTGATTAGCGTGTCTGTTTTGGGGCGGGAGGCTACAGAGTCCACACTACGGGCAACTACCGTGAAGAAAGACCAAGATGGAGAAGTAGGTGATTTAACAATATTCGAATGCAATTGTCCTTCAGTGTCGGCGATTGGACCTTGCACATATTTAAGATGATGTATATACATAGAAACATAGAGACCTCTGGATTCCAATATGAAAGCTACTAGTAACTGTAAGCTTGTAGATGACGGGATCTTTGTTTCCACAAAAGCCCACAGAATTAGGTTAGTCAAGGTTTAGATCAAGCCCCCCAAATCAGTGGCTTGGCCCTGGCCTCGTCTAAGGCGCCAAGCCTGACTTTGAAATGTTGCGATTTGACCCGTTCAAGAGAACTTGCTGTATGACCTGTCCGATTAAGCTGGGAACTGACAATGTTTTGCACAGTAACCGCGACTCCAGGCGTCCTGCACACACGGTTCGCTCAAAATTTCCTGTTTTCGTCATTTTTTTCTGTTCGATTGAGGGTCCACTCCATCTCTGTATCTCCACTTCCAAGTCCACTGCTCTGCCGGGGGTTTTTTTTTCTTATCCGCTTTATTGGATCTTTTGATCTTTTATTTAGCTGTAAGTCATGGCGGATTAGCTGAGATAATCCACAAGAAAATCAAATTCTTATATGGCACAGAGGTCAGAAAGAAACAAAAGTAACAAGAAAGCGGCTCCACTGGTTGAGGCCGAGAGCCGATCGGCGGGCTGAAACAACCTGGGGGAAAAGAAAGAGAAAAGAGCATCTAACCCAACCTGGTGAAGCCGAACCCCCCGATTTTATGCTGTGCGGCTTACTGGATTCTGATTGGCAGTCAATCCGGCATCACTCGCGTGGCCCGATCCCGTCTTGGGGAAAAAGTGCATTTCTGTTTATGGGGCCACTGTACTCTGTGGCCCTGAATCCGATGACTCTCCCCGCATCCAACCATGGCACTGGTCTGGGGGTGGATACTTCCATGTTTTGGTAGAGGGAGAGAAAAAAGGTACGGAGGGGGAAAAACCCCCGGTCCCTTTGTGTCTTTTTAAATGCAGGCAGATCCCCAGACATTGTTGATCGCATTTTTTTTTCTCTCCGAATTGCATTTTCTTCTTTACATTCGTGTCTTGTCTGGCATTCTACCATTCACTTGGATCCTTTCACCCTTAGCTTGGGTTGGGGTATACAGCCTTGGGTATAATCTATATTTGAATCTTATTACAGCTATGCAGACCAAGCGCTTCTTGGGCCTTAATGGCACCAAGCTTCAAATTGCCATCGGCCTGTTGGCCGGCATGGACTTTTTGCTTTTCGGTTACGATCAAGGTGTCACCGGTGGTCTTTTGACGCTCGAATCTTTCATTAAATATTTCCCTTCCATCGATACCTCCAATGCGAGCGCTACCAGTTCTGCTTCCACCCGTCAGGGTATCACAGTCGCCGCCTACAATCTCGGTTGCTTCGCCGGATCTATCCCCACCATTTGGGTCGGTAATATGCTCGGTCGTCGGAAGGCCATTTTCGTCGGCTCTTTCATCATGGTTATCGGTGCCATTCTGCAATGTACTTCTTACGAACTCGCTCAGCTGGTGGTGGGCCGTCTCGTGACCGGTTTCGGAAACGGTATCAACACTTCCACAGTGCCTACCTGGCAATCCGAGTGCTGTAAGTCGCATCGTCGTGGCCAGATGGTCATGATTGAGGGCGCCATGATCACCTGTGGTATTACAATCAGTTACTGGGTGGACTTTGGCCTCATGTTCACCGATCCGAATGAAGTCGCATGGCGATTCCCCCTGGCCTTCCAGATCTTCTTCGCTGCAGTCATCCTCGCCTTTGTCATGTTCCTGCCCGAGTCACCTCGTTGGCTCATCTTGAAGGGTCGGGAAGACGAGGCCCGTGAAGTCCTGGCTTGCTTGATGGGCGAGGAGACTGACGAGCAATATATTGACACCGAATTCACCGCTATCAAGGCTACCGTCTTGGAAATGGCTCAGGGTTCCTTCCGCGACATGTTCACCATGGGTCCTGATCGTCACTTCCACCGCACCATGCTGGGCTACGTCAACCAGATGTTCCAGCAGATCTCGGGTATCAATCTGATCACCTACTACATCCCGACCATTTTGGAAGATCAAATCGGTCTATCGGGTACCCTCTCCCGTCTGATCTCCGCCTGCAACGGTACCGAGTACTTCGCCGCTTCATGGGTCGCCGTATTCACCATCGAGAAATTCGGTCGTCGCACCCTGATGATCTTCGGTGCCGTCGGAATGTCCATCTCAATGGCTGTTCTCGCCATCGCCGAAGCCATCGCCGTCGAAAGCACCGGTGCTAGAAAAACATCTGCCAGTATCGCCCAGGTCGTCTTCCTCTTCGTGTTCAACACTTTCTTCGCCATTGGTTGGCTCGGAATGACTTGGCTCTACCCAGCTGAGATCGTGCCCTTGAAGATTCGTGCCCCCGCCAACGCCCTGTCTACGTCGTCGAACTGGATCTGGAACTTCATGGTCGTCATGATCACCCCTGTTGCATTTGCCAACATTGGATACAAGACTTACGTTATCTTTGCTGTCATGTAAGTTGCCTACTAATAACCCCCCCCCTGGCTCCCCACAGTAGAAAAATCTTTTCTAATGACCTTTTTTTCTCCACAGCAACGCCTTTATCGTACCGGTCGTCTACTTCTTCTTCCCAGAGACCACAAACCGATCTCTAGAGGAGATGGACATGCTGTTCCGCAAATCGAACAACGTCTTCAACATCGTCTCTCTTGCACGCACAGAGCCACACATGTACGGTCCAAACGGTGAACTCCTCCGTACACTGGACGACATCGAAGACGATGCCGTCCGTCGTGCCAGCGCATTGAGTGGCCGCAACAAGAGCGTTGATCATCAGCACCATCACCATGAACACTTGTCTGAGATCAAGGATAGTGACGGTGGAAGCAGCGAGGAGAGATAGAGTCATGCGATTCTTGATTCTAAATTATATACCCGGATTTTTCTCGGCTTGCCGAGTGTACTTTCTTTTTTTTGTATTTATGCTTTTTTGTTGCGGCTAATACCCTGGTTAGAATGATTGCTTTGGATAATGCATTTTATAATATTTTGGCTTCAAGTAAACGAGAAATAGATGCGATTGATGGTATTATGTAAAGCCCAAAGCGGGTAGAAAACACGAAGAGAGAGACAAAACCCGGAGCCCTCGTGGGGATTGCATGAACGTCGTAATTTTCTTCGGGTCCCGAAATATGGGACTGTGGTATTTGGAGGGAGCAAATGAAATGACTAACATACTGGGATGGTGGCGGCACCTGCCGTTTCGTGCAAAGTTCACAGGGTATCGACATAGACGAGTTTATTTTGAGGAGGGCGGGATCACAAAGTTCCCACCCGCCTTTACCCGACCGGAACTCAACAAGCCTATTTCTAGGCAAGTTTTGAACCGCATCTGTAACAGCATCTGGAAAGGCCTTCATGCGGTACTGGTTCGTGATGCCAGTCACTTCAAAGACAGCACGGAACTGGCCAAATTCTTTATGAATCCTCATGTTAAGCATTAATACGTCCTTCTCGGAATTGATTTGTTCCGACGTAAAAGACGTCTGGCTGCTGGCGGAAAATAGGAAAATAGCATGTAAGGTTAACCCAAATCGTCAAGGTAGGTGGTGGGTGCTTGATGGGCATGACTACTGCTGTATCTGCCACTTGACGGAGTCGACTACGTGGGACACGTGAAGTGAAGTAGAATGGCTCATTGCGCTAACCAGGAAGGACACCATCTAGGTCAGGTGACCTACTACAACATGGGCCCCACTCTGAAAACCGTCCGCTGCCCTCAGCGGCGTAGAAAAAGTTAAAAACAGAATCCGATATCAAAGTAAACAGGAATCCGACATCATCGTAAAAAACAATTTGATCGTCACACGTAAGACATGAACTCGTTGCTGTATTCATATAAAAGAAACATGATAAAGACGACTCATCAGTTGCAATTTGGTGATGGGCGTCGCAAAATATGGAAAAATGTTGTCCTAACGGAGGGCTTTGATGGAGCCAATGAGCGAGAGGCGGATCTTTTCTAGACGAGTCTTGTTGTCGTCTTCCGTTCGTTCCGATATGAAAACGCAAAGCTCATCGTAGGTATCCAGCAATTCATCCTGATTCCTGGATGTGATGTCGCTAGGTGTTTTACCCCCTTATGCCTTTAAGGGAATAATAAGACCAGTTTTAATACTGCGAGCAAGTTGTCGAAGTTTTTCGTTATCGCCTGCAGACTTGGAGATATCATCTGCTAGGTTGTTTTGTCCATAGCGTGAAATAACCACGAAGAAGCCGCGGGCTCTTGTGCCCAATTTTGTTGATAGCCCCATACGCAAGCGCGCTTCCCAGAACAACGCCGGCAGGAGGTGGCCAGGCAGGTGATTGTCCCGCGCGTGTGGCCGTCATAAAGTGGCCAATTGGAGGTGTCTGGGGTCCCGGTGCTATGCTTCATCGGATCGAAAGCCACATGGCAACTTGAGTAATCCGGTGTGTAAGTTGATACCCACGGTTGGTGAAACGCCCAGAATGTGTAGGCATTCCTTATCGATTGCCTTGCTAATTCGCCATGTCCCGCGCGAACATTGAGTTCGAGGGGTTTGCAATGATATCTCGTTGTTGCTCCTTTCCCTATGATGTAAGGAGGTATGGAAGACGTTCGTGAACCTCGAATGCTGTATTATTTCGTCTCAATGACTTGTTGAGTTCCGGATCAATCTCGACTGAGTCCAAAATGTGATAGTATTTGGCCATTAAGGCCCCGTCTGTGGTTGTGGTTTTGCCGGATTGTTTCCTCACGGATGGGACTTGCTCAAACAATGAGATAAAGTCACGAACCTGGGCTTGAATTTTGATCTCAATCTCCAACTGGGAACTTTCCTAGTTCACTATCTTCTGACTGGACTCAGATCATAATAAGTTGTAAGATAATGCATGTAGACGAAGAAAACACAAGACTTGAATCGAAAACGAATATGTACTACATCAGTCACCACTGACTAGTAGGAAGAAGTTCACAACTCAGACTTGTCCACCTGCGTCCACATCCGCTCTTGTGCAACGCCAATGCTCCTTTCTGCTTCCACCCAAGTCGTCTGCATGTCTTCCGCAAATCGTCTTGCTGCTTCGGCATCGTGTTTTGGAGTGCCATGCAGCTCGCTGCGTCGCCAGTCTACTGATGTTCTGGGCAAGTATTCTCGTTCAATCAACACGGTTAACATCTCTGTGGCTTCTTGAATTGGAATATCTTGGGTGAAATCCATAAATGGGAGCTTCTCCGACCAGTCGTTTTGGCGGATATTGGATTTGGTCGATATTTGTGTTTTGTGTACTTTGCCTTTCGGAAGTACAATCCCTCTTCTGGACCAGCCTGTCGTCGAAACAGGACCACAAAGACGTCTAGCAGAGCGTCACCATTATGAACGGCCGACGCATTCAAGGTCTGTATGCGATCTCTTTTTGTTCGGATAGAGCAGTAACGTCATCACGTAGAAACGTCAGATAATCTCGCTCTCTGACTTGAATCAAAGATTCATTAACTTCACTGAGAATTTGTCCGACGACCTTGAGATCCTCCGAGTCTCCACTGAGAGAACTACAGGGCCCTTAGTATTTGAAGGTTTCGACCATGCAGTGTTGCATGTAATAAACTGCTGTAAGAAAAGCAAAGGCAGCCTCCTTTCTCGTTTCGTTCATAACATGCCTGCAGAGAAATCCAATAAATCATTAGCCCATATGGATATCTTGGTGTAGAGATCTGTCACTTACTGAAGTTAATGCTTGGATGCAGACCCGCATGAGAGAAAAAGTGAGATATTGCCCATTCGCTTGAGCAGCGTCAGTCAGCCAGTGAAATTTGTAGAGACGAGCAAGAGAGTCTCGTTTCTCGGCTTATTCATCGTGGCCTGAAGAAAAATCTGATAAACCATCAGCCTATATGAATAACTTGGTGTAGAGATCTGCCACTTACTGAACTTGGTCATTGGAGACAGATCCGGATGAAAGCGAAGATAATATAGATAGAGCTGGGAGGTTGGAAGGTTTGGAAGTTGGGGTAGATTGTTGGAAGGTGAAATAAAAATATTAGAAGGAGAGTAAGTGAGGGAAAGGGGAGAGAGAAGAGAAAGAAGAGAGGGAAGACAACTATTTAAGATAAGCCTTAGGCATCATTGGTAATACGTTTGATTCTATTGATTCTATAACTATCCGGCCGTCACCTGACTGTACATGAAATAAGGCATGCCAGAGGACCCTGAACAGCAGAATTGATATGAATTGTTAAATGGAGATTTCTCTGGTCAAAATTTGATTTCTAACTTACCGGGCATGAGTTTAATCTCTTTCGCTGGCGGCTTTTCTGTGCCAATCATGCATGTGCTACCCATTGGTTGTTGGTTCCCAAGGTTAACGCACATTAGCTTACAACGCCTCTCAAGGCCCAAGGGTTGCTTTCAAAGTTCAAAGTTTGCTTGCAAAGAAGAAAATGGAGGAGTTAGCTAAGAACTCAGTATGTGAGATTTATTGCAACTCATAAAAATGCTCGAGCGTGTAAATATCATGCATAATCAATTTCATTGCAACGTCCTGGACCCAATTCACGGTATACGTCAAACAACCTCCTTATGATCGACTTCTTCAACACCGTCACCCTTCTTGCCAATCTCCTCATCAAACCTGCTTGAAATAACACTTGTCTGCCACGGCTTGACATTTGTATCGAATACCATATCAATCTCCTCTAGAGTCCGCCCGGCTGTCTCTGGATAGAGGAAGAACACATGGAACGACATGACGAAGCAGAAAACGGCGAAGATGACATATGTGCGCCATTGGATATTGTGGAATGCTGGAGAGACAAAGTAGGCTAGGGCGAAGTTGAAGATCCAGTTTCCGGAGGCTGAGAGGCCAACGCCCTTGGCACGGTACTTTAGGGGGAACACTTCCGAGGCATAGATCCAGGCTGTAGGTGCCTATGAATTCATATGGTGTTAGTATGAGTTGGAGGAATTGAGGAGGGATGAGTTATAAATACCCAAGTAAAGCCATATATAGCTGTGAAAATGTATGAGAACGCGATGACAGCTTTACCAGCGTCACCCTTGATCTCCCATGTCAAGTTTGCGTTGCCGTTTACACTTTCCACGGCGTGTCCCTTTGTGGCCATCACGGCGGCAATGACAGCATGGACAGCCATGCAGGTTACTGATCCGATGAGTAGTAATTGTCTCCGTCCAACCCGGTCGATGAAGGGGAGCATGACACCGGTCGTAAATACGAAAATGACATATTGAATGACAGCCGAGTATAGTGACGAGTTTCCGCTCTGAATAGGGCGAGAGAATTGTGTTAGCAAACTTGTTCTGGGTAGTAGGTAATCCGCTCACCGCATGACACTCACCATTCCAGCCATCTCAAAAATGTACACAACATAGTACATCGCCACATTTCCACCAAGTAACTGTTGCCAAACCTGGACACTCACACCGCAAAGTGACCGCTTCCAAATTCTAGGTCCAAACAGTGCAAGGAAGGAGACATCCTTTGCCTGGTGCGCAATTCGAGCGGCCTCCTGCACTTCCTCAAACTCAACCTGCACAACAGGATCGGTCCGATCACCATTCCCATGCAACAATGCCAATGTGTCGAGCGTCTCCTCCCACCGCTCCTTCCCTGCTAACCAACGCGGCGACTCGGGGAAGAAGAACAACGCAACAAACAAAACAAGGCCAGGAACAGCCTGAATGCCCCAACAGATCCGGAATGCAGCCGGCCCTGACACCCCGACCGCACAACCATAGGCGATAAGATACATGATCAACATCCCCCATTCAATAGACCACTGTTGAACACCGACGATCCGGCCTCGGATTCTCGCAGGCGCAAGCTCGGACATGTAAACTGGGGTTTGGGAAGAGGTGATGCCGACCGCGAGTCCACTGACCACCCTTCCCGCGACGAGATGCGTGACGTTCTGCGCGCTGCATTGTACCATTGCGCCCACGATCCAGATCCAGGATGCAACCATTAGGGAGCGGCGCCGGCCGAGGTAATCGCTCAACCAGCCTGCGAATATTGAGCCGGCAAAGGAGCCGGCGGACATGGAGGCTGTTATTCCGCCTTGCAGATTTGAGTCAGGGTTTCCGAAGTATTCTTTGTAGGCGTCTACGCCTATCCAGGCGCTCATTGAGCTGTGATTTATTAGTTATGGGTCTGGTGTTTGTTTCGCGTGATTTATCTTTCTCGTACCTGACATCAAAGCCAAAGAGACCACCGCCAATGGTACCAAATGCGGCGAGCACTAGATTCTTTTGTTAGTAGGGAGATCAATCGAAGCTGGAGCCAGATTGACTCGAAAGTGCTTATGAGAACTCTTGCAACATACCATAAATATTAGAGACGCGATACATGTTGATGTCCCACTTTGCTCTGCAAAGGTAGTGGAATCAGGAAATACTACCAACGTGGAATTCCAGCTTTATAACTTCCCAGGTCCAGTCCAGGGTCCATGCGCGATGCGCCATTCCCGGGGTGGCTTTCGGGTGGCTTTTGGCCCGGCACGCTACTCACACTCAAAGCCTAAAAGCTGGTAGTAGCGTAACATGGGCCAAATTCATCACCTGAGTTGAATTGAACCGAGATGTTCCCTAAAGAAGGAGGGATCATCCGGGGTTAATGTGGAGGTGGATCCCTGGGGCACAAAAGTTGGGGAAGGAAGGTGCGTCATTGGTGGGGGGATTTATGGTGTGAGCCAGTCGGGATATTTGTAGCAGGAGGAGTTGTTTCGGGTCGGTTATGCGTGAGGGGTGTTTTTTAACCGATCCAACTTGATTTTAACCGCTCTTTTATCCAGTACTAGCTGGCTTTTCGGTTTTTTCTACCTTTGGCAAATGTATGTACGGAAGTCGGCCTGGTTTTGGGATCGGCATGCCGACGTCATGTTGCGGACAAGACAAGGAAGAGGTACTGTTTCTACTAAATGTTGACCGCTGTGTGTCTCAAGTACTGGGTACTAGAAATCTACACCATTTTTAATTTCTACATTGTTAAGATATGCGCATAAATTATCAGATGAAGGATTTTGGAGACCGTGGAGCTACAATGACTCAGCAGCCTTTTGTTAGGATAGTTATGCGCATAAATGCCCGGATAAATTTATTCAAAAAACCAGCTGGATATTCTCGCCTACGACCTACTGCTTGTCAACATCCTTTTAATATTTCGTGGTCCTACTGACTTAGTATGGATCGCTCCAGGTTGGTTGAATTCTAATTCCATGACTTTTAACAGTCACGCTGATATAATATGATGTAAATAACAGGTTTGCAAGTGCGTCAAAAGTCCATGTCGGCCCAGGGCAGGTCCTCATGTGGGATAATATCCAGTTGTCCAATAATGGAAACTAGTAATTGTTTTGTTTTTTTAACTTAGCCACTTTGGTAGACTGCAGCTCTTCCTTGTCATCGGCTTCATTCAATATACACATTCTCATCCGTTGTTGGTAATGTGCCCAACTTCCGCTGGGCTTGCTCCCGAAGAACATGGTAGATAATCTGCATTTGCGCATCGTTGTAGACCATCATCATGCGCTGTTCGCGCATCCGGTTGACTGTTTCAAAAATCGGGTCCGTTTCTGGATCAAAAGCATGCAGCAGATGTCCCGATTCAAGTTCACCCAACAGATGGTCGAGTGCAATGAAGGTCCCTGTCCGGCCAACGCCAGCACTGCAGTGCACCACAAGTGGGTTGTCCGGGGCGCACTTAGACGCAGAGAGTCGAATCAATTCGACAAGTGCCTCGTAATCTAACCCAATTGGATCATTCTCAGCCCAACCCGCGAAAAGGAAGTGCCACACAATTTTAGACTCTGAACCGATGGTCAGTTCAAAACGCCGGACCTCGGATTGCGATTCGTAGTCAAAGCTTGATTCCAACAGTGTGACCTTGCCGATATTGAGACAACCTCCTTCTTGGATGTTGGCATGGTTTGCGGAAAAGTTGTTGTCATCGGATGTTTTGCCGGCATAGATATGATCCTTTTCATTCGTTGGAATACCTGAGCGGTGATGGATATTATTCTCTTCATCATCATGATCATTACGATGGATGTTGGATCTTTCCACCCCAACTGGGACATCTTCGATATCCGGCTCTTCCTCAGTCAGGATCATCGAAGCCTCTAGGTGCACTGGGAAATACTGGGCGCATTTATCGCGGCCGGCTTCAAAGATCTGAGTTAGCATGACGATGACCCCAACCTTTTGGCTCTCATGGAAAACCATTTGCCAAAAAAGCGACAGGTGAGAGTCCTTCGGTCCCTAAGTATATTGTTTAGTGACGCCCTAGTATGAAATAACCGAACAGGGTTGCACTCGCCTGAGTCGCGATATACTTCCGCTCACCCTTAGTGACGGAGTTCTTTAGGGTGATCAAAGAGGCGTTGATATAATCGCACTTTCCTTCAGGAACCGGCAGATGGATACGATTGTTGGCATATGGTTTCACATTGAAGTACCGGTCCCTGAAATTAGCTTTCGAGTCGCTCTCAACGGCGTATGGATGAGTGGGGGCTTTGGAATTCAAAGCCTCGGATAAGCGCACCCGCTGCATCCATTCCAGATTGTCAAAATCTTCCTTTATATCTGTAGTTAATACAAAATAGTAAGCCAAATGTAGTAAGTGAATCAATCTCGGGTGGACTCCTGGCACTATCTGATAGGCGGGCCTTTGGCTTTGCAAATCCTCACTTACCTGAAACCGATTTGCACAGGAAGGGAGGGAGGCCGTTCATCTGTGCAGCCTTAAGCTGCCAATTATTACTTGGCGCGCCATTAGGCCTGACAAGCTCTACATAATTGTCTACACCCTCGTCGCTGGGTGGGTTGCCCATGTTGATCTCTGCCTCACTATCCACCATTCTCAACCAATCCTTCGTACCTATCGGGCCTGGTAATTCATCCGGCACTTGATCGAGAATATCTTCCGTTAGTTGTTGCTGCTTGTGAATAGAATCGAAGGATTCTCTAGAGTCTGAACCCGCAATACTTCCCAAGTCTGTAACCAGGGCTAAAGCTCCAGCCAAACTTGTTGAGTGTTCTGACTGGCAGCTGTCAACCTCAAAATATGGATGTTGCTTGAAATAGACCCCGTATTCTTCTTCATCTTCTTCCTCCTCCCCCTCCGGAGATTCTATCGGAGCCCATGGCAGTGATTTGAGTGAAAATGAGTGAATATGCTCAGCAGTGTGATCGAGAAGAGCGCTTTGATCTTCACTCTCAAAACAGCAGAGTGGACAGGTGGGAATTTTGAGAGGGACGTTGCGCTTCCATGCTGAGAGTAGCATAGGTATTTGTTGTGGTCTAATTCCTTTGCCATGTTGTTGTTCAATATGTGCTGTGAACTCAGCCGATTCTGTAAAGGAGACATATGTGCCTTTCTGTGAGCATGCAAGGCATACCCATTGCTCTGTGGCCCCATGTTCCTGCTTCATATGGCTTAACCAGGCTTCTCTAGTCATATGAAAGATCTCAGGCTTAGGACAGTCCTCTAAAATGCACGTGTACGGTAAAATGTCTCCCATCAAGTGTTTCCTGTCCAGAAAGTCAGAACAAACAGCCAGGTGTAGGCATTGTTGTTAATATGGACTTACTTCCATTGGCTATCTCGCTTCGCTGCGATGGGAAGTGACTGACAGCAACAAGGACACGAAAAAAGCAGTTGATGATCATGAGTAGAAGGAGCTTTGGGGTAGGCGATCCGAGTGCTTGTCACTGACACGACTGTTGTTGCTGGCCTGGTTTTCCGCTGGGGGAGCATCTCAATCTGCTCGTCCACAGCCGTCGCAGTTGTCTTGCTTGGGGTTTGTCTTTCATTTTTTCCAAATCTCTTATTTTGTGAAGGAGACGATGTCATTACAGCATCCAAATTTATTTGCTTGTCCAATACTGGTATTTCACTCGGTGTTTTTTCGGGGTCTCCATAATTGCTTCCTAGCTTCTGAGCATGCTTCTGGGCGTAAAGGAACCGATTTCGTCGTCTGAGATTAGCATCAATCAGGCGTAGTTGAATTGTGGTTAGCAGTGCTGGGTCAAGTTCTTGTGCGCTTGAATTTGAGCTTCCAAACTCGTCAGGATGTGCCAGAAGAAGCAGTTCAAGGTGTTGACGCAGGGAACGAATATTGGCACTGTTTGGATCAAATGTGCTATCTGCTTTTTGAAGTCGCGACCGGTTCCCAGCTTTTCGTATTGCAGCTGTAAGCCTTGCAAGTTGGTTCAGATTGGTTTCAACATCCTTCATTGTGGCCACTTCGTGGCCAGGTAGGCCCACAGAAGTTTCCTCCATTTCGCGGCCTAGGATGCGGCGTCAGATATCACATGTGCAAGAGATCTCTATCTGGGGGTATATGTATTCTCACATCCGTCTATACAGTTTTGTATCAGAATCCTCAACATCAACAAGAGATTGACCACGATAGTTCGTGCTTCCGGGTTGGCGCTCAGTCGACTATCTAGAGAGGCCTTCCCTGTGATAGAGGCGCCGACACCAGCAGACCAGAGATTGAAATCTGCCAATCTATCTTCAGCCCATTCGTGTAGCCTTACCCATGGGGCTGCCGTAGCCGTCCTGAAAACTAGACGACATGCTGTGGCAGCATCAAAGATCGTAGACTGTTCCGACATGGTCTCGCTCCTGAGTCCCCAGCAAAGTATATGGCTGTGGGAGGTCCGGCACTTTATGACCATGTTCTCAAGGAAGAAAATTCCCTGAAGTAATCTGCCACTATCTCCAAATCTGCTAAGCCCACCTGAGTGACTTGGTCTAAGCTATGTTTTACCCCGCAGTGCTCCAACATTATTCTGCACGTGATCGTGAGCTTGACTGTTGACAACTCTCAGCTTTCGCCTTCGCTCTCTGCTTTGTTCACATCGAGGAGAAGGGTACCAACATCGAGAGGTGGAATGTTGGATCACTCACCATGAATACTATTGTCGATCTTTGTGGGAGTGTCTTTCCCTGGATCAGCAATCAAGCAACATGCCTCGGCTTGGAAATGAGGGATAACAGATTCGCTCAGCTAGGCGGCGAACTTTTCATCTTGACTCAACATATTGCCTTTTCGGGAGAAACAGGAATGAATAGCAAGTTGACCGAAGTTGCCAAGCTCGTCAACAAAGCTTGTTCTGTAAGTGAATAATGGCTCGATATGCACATTCTGTCGGGGAATATGCGGAAGCTTACAGCTGAAACAACTTATTAATTAGATCCCGAAAACCAAACATGTCGGAGAAAACGGGTCCTTTGATGCACTTCAGAGGATCTTGCAGTACAAAGGCTCAAACAGCTCTGCCGAGCGGAGGCTTATTAGCGATATACGACGCAGCCTGCCGCATTTCGTCCAAGAGAACCCCGAGTACGCTTCCCTGTTGCGTTTCATCGCGGATTGCCTTCATGCAGCCGAATTTTCAAATACTGCTCCCGATAAGCCCATTCATCTATATAATATGGATCCTCCTTATCCCGCCCAGATCAATAATATTCTTTATACTCAACTCCGAATACACTCGAGCTGCTCGTGTAGCACTCAGCACTTGGAATCCATGCGTCTCAGATTGGAGCTTGAGCACGATAGACAGGATGATACGAATATTCCATTTGACATGTTGTTCACGGCAAGCCCTGCATCGTGTCTTAGAACGGACTGTCAGGTACGATGGAAAGAGGTAAAAATATCAGTCGCTAAGTATGGAGACAGTCTGTAAATGAAAGCCTGTGAAAGGGGCAAAGCAAGCTAACATTCTGCATGCTATTCATGCGTAGGCCAAACGAAAAATCAAAACCGAAAAAACACGTCTCATTTTCAGTACAAGCTCTGAATCCATCACCTAATGCGCTGATTCCACTGGGTCTCCGAAAAATCGAACTCGGAGAATTCTGCAGGCTTATCGGAGGCGAAAGGGGCAACCCCATTCACTTCCACATTCAAAACAACGTGACAAGGCTCAGTGACACCAGCCAAGAGACCGCATGGCGAAATTTTCTCCCCCAGGCGAGTATCCCTCTTGCAGAATGGCTTGAACAGACAGCACATCTCTCCAACAGAGTGAAGGTAACGCTTGCATATACCATTGCCAGATCTGTGTGGCAATACTATAATTCGTACTGGATGATGAAGCCTTGGACACACGAAAATATCCAAATGGTGAAAGAGAAGATGAATGATATGAACCATATTCGACCACATCCATATTTTACCACGAAAATTCACAAATGCAAGGGCCAGGTACTGGATTATTGCACTGCGGACGACTTGTTTCATATATATCCCAGTATTCTTGCTTTGGGGGTTGTCCTCATCGAAATTGCAGCCCACCAGCCTTTCAGGCCTGAGAACCCTCACTACAACTGGGACGAAACCACCATAAACGATTATTATGAATGGGCATGGACCACAGCAAGCCGCAGTAACTTTGGGAATGCAATTGGAGCTGCTTATGAAGCAGTAGTGAGCAACTGTCTTGACGGCGAACTATTCAGAGGGGGTTTCATTGACTCGTCCAAACTTGACGAGGATCTCGAAAGCAGACGATCGGTTCTTTACGAGAAAGTTGTGCTGCCTCTTCGGCAGTTATATCATGCATACAAAGATGACTGGGAAATCCAGGATATTCCTAAGTCCGAAATTAACGTTTCTTCAAAGATCCACCAAATTGAACACAGCTCCAGTGCCATGCCAGAGAATCGCTCCCGATTCGCCATCGCTATTTTTTGCGCATTACCCTTAGAATCAGACGCAGCCAGTGAGCTTTTTGACGAGATCTGGGATGAAAGAAAAGGCGAGAGCTGTGATAAAGCAGCCGGAGACGACAACACGTACACCCTGGGCAAAATTTTGCACCACAACGTCGTTCTCGTCCACATGGCCGGTATGGGGAAAGGTGCTGCATCTCAGGCGGCATCGAGTATGCGATGCAGCTATCCGGAAATTAAACTCGCTCTTGTGGTTGGGATCTGCGGGGGAGTTCCGTCATATTCGGAAAGCAAGGACGATCTCATACTTGGCGATATTGTGATCAGTGATGGAATCGTACAATATGACTTCGGGAGGCGATTTCCCGATACCTTCTTGAGCAAAGCAGGACCCGAAGTCGTTGCCCGACCTGGCCCCAAAATTCGCGGAATCTTGGCTAAGTTGAAGGGGGTCCGAGGGCGAGAGCGGATCGAAAGCAAAATTTCTCAATATCTCAAGATTTTGCAGGATAAGCTTGGACCCATTAAGGCTGGCTATCCAGGAACCGACAAAGATGAGCTGTTTCAGTCCACATACCGACACAAGCATCAAGATCCAGCAGTATGCATGCTATGTAGTATCTGTGAAGGGGGCACGGATCCAGTATGTGAGGAGGCACGAGGACTGAGCTGTCAGCAGCTTGGATGCCACAAGGACTTGCTGGTCCAACGCGAACGACTACATGAGCCATCCAGAAAAGATTGCGCCCCAAGCCCCAAAATTCACTTCGGTTTCGTTGGCTCGGGAGATACGGTCATGAAATCTGGACAGCATCGCGATCAAACTGCGGCCCAACATAATCTTATCGCCTTTGAGATGGAAGCTTCGGGGATTTGGGATAATTTGCCTTGCCTTGTTATCAAAGGCGTGTGTGATTATGCCGACAGCCATAAAAATAAGAATTTCCAACACTATGCAGCTGCCACGGCTGCGGCTGGTATGAAAGCTGTATTGGAGGAATTTACGGCCGGATGATATTTCGTTTTCGGATCAGTTTTTTCCAAATCATCAACCTCATTCCCATCGGTCGGCACCTTGCACCACGAGAGCCACCGGTAGAGCCAAATTCTATACATCCTAGAATGCAGCGATATTGATATCACGAGGCCCGGGCTGTTCATGCACTGGCGTCGGCTCAATTTTCTGCTACTACAGTGTTCTGTGCATTTTCTCAAGATGATTGGATGCGAAATGGTAGCATGGTGGGGTGTTCGAAAGAATAGAGTCGCGTCACGCGTGGATGACGCGCTTTTTTCCTATAGGGTGCACAGCTCGCAGAGAACTAGTATGTTCGAAAAGTTGATCAATACAAAAATAGCGACATGAAAAGCAACATCGCTAGAAAATTGGGTCTTGCAAGATCGAAATCCTAAATCCTTTAGCGACAATCCGGAATGCGGATCCACCATTCGCGACTACCCCACGCTAACGACGGCAGCCTGACGGGAGCCTGGTGAAAAATGCCCCTGAAGTTTGAACCATGAGGACCCTTCTTTAAATCCAGCATTCGTTCCTGGTTCCTGGATGTATTTTCATCGACTATTTTATTTCTTGGGTTGTGCGTCACGTTCGCAATAAATCCAGTCCAGACCGGTCGATTCATCTCTCTCCTTCTCTGCACTGCGAATGGCCGTGAATTGCTAGCTGCAACCTCTCAACCAGCATGGTTGTTCTTTATGATGACATTCTTTTTCTCATACTCGACCATTTGTACGACACAAAAGAACGACTTAGGCTTTTATTAGTCTGCCGTCACTGGTATACGGCACTTCTCCCCAAGGCTTACGAGCGCATTAAGGTGGAACGCGAACACGCCTATCGTCTTGCTTGTTCAATTCAACGCAACCCCAAAATAGCTCTCTCTATCCAAAATCTGGATCTCGAATGGGGCTATGATGAAAAGGGTATCACATACGACGTCGAACCGTTCAAGGACATTTTGGACCAAGCAAGCCTGTCAGCAGATCAGAGGACAAAATGGGAAAACGCCCTGATTAGAGGAGAATATGACGCCTGGCTCGCAGTACTCGTGCCATCACTGGATTCAGTCAGAACGATTTGGATTAACTATCCGGGCTACTCAGACTATTTCTTCCCTATGCTTGCTCAAGCAGCCACCCGGGAACCGCCATTTGACACGAAACCCGTATTACAGCGGTTGGAAGGTTTCCGAGCCGAATGTGAATACATGAAAACTGCTTACTTTGCCAAAGAATTTTGGCCTCTGCTGTATTTTCCAGCTATGCGATGGTTTTCTGCAGATTCCTTTTGTGAAGTATGTGATGAATATGATGTACAGTATTCGAAGCCTGCGCCTGGAACCTCTTCGATCAAGGAACTGGATTTTGACAAAAGTAATGGGAGTAACGGGATGATCGATTATATTACATCATGCGCGAATTTGGAGTCATTGGATTATCAACATGACAACAAGGCTATATGGGGCGAGACATATATCAACTTCCGTCCTCGGGCATTTTATAAGGCTCTGTGTACCCAGAGACATAGCCTTCGAGTACTTCGGTTGAACAACAATGGAGAGATCGATGGAGACGAAAGCTGGGCTGAGGATGATGAAGTCGACTACACTGTTTTTGGATCTCTGGTCGAATTTCAGCAGCTGCGTGACCTTCGAATCCCATTGCGCACGCTTTTGCAATTTGGCCAGAATGATTACCCGGCTGTTTCTCTGTTAGAGGTTCTCCCGCCCAGTCTAGAGCACCTTCAGCTTGCTGGGTATCTTGTCGAGGACTTTGACCTCGTGATGAGAAATCTTCAATCTATGCTAGGAAATCGACAGGAACGATTCCCAAATCTCAAAAGACTCGAAATTCAGCCAGTCTTTGTGGAGCAAGACCACTCTGCCCAAACTCACTACCCTACAATCAAAATCCCAGAATCTGTCAAGCAGGCATTTGCGCCGTTAAATATGCAATGCGAAGACTTGGGGATCGAGTTTGGCTTCTCACGAAGGGGACACCACCGGATTCTCAGGCAAACTTCTTTACTGAATCCCTAGAGAAGAGTCCATCGTTTTACTCCTTGGGGGAAAAAGTGCACTGCACTATTCCAAACCCGAATATTCTATATATCACGGAAGCGCTGACATGGCCTTCCCCTTTGTTGACTATTCTCATAGTTGTATTATTTCAGTCATAACACTGTGGTATGGAGTTGGATCTATCTTTTACCAGCCTGCCGTAGTGAAAGTTTTGACCTGATAATCAAGCAACTTGATAGCATGAAAAACAAAGGACCCCAATATCGCTTCCCTAGAGCAGAACTTGGGTTCAAGTGGCCTAAAAGAATCGAGAAAATGACTCGCTGGTCACTTACAAGTTACCGGCCTCATTCAAAAATCAAAGATAACCCCCAGGTACGCAATAGTTTGTGCATGATGTGACGCGTCTAAGTAGTATGTAAGAGCCTGTGCTCAAGCCTCAATGTAACGTAACTACAGTCAGAGGGGTTTAGCGCGTAAGTAGTCACTTTGTTGGCCAATAACAGCAAAGCACCGCAAAACAAAGCGCCCAAGGCAAATCCATCACATAGCTTGTTTACTGTAGCTCAAGTCTATTTGGTGGGATTCACCTTTTAGCTATCCAATTGATCAAAGCAAAGAACTGAGGGCAGGTCTTCTTTCATTCTGTATTTGTGGAATCTGACTAGGCACTATATAGTCCGTGCAATCACCTCTTTCGATGGCTGCATTTCAAGTCCCAAAAACTTCTGACGCATTTCCTCGGATAGTAAGCTGACAGGCGTAAGACACCTGTCCAATCTCTTCGTCTGCTAATATGACATTCCAAATACTTGCAATAATTATTCAATGCATCTCTCTGTCCGTGTACGCACAAACAACCGCAGGGTATATTCGAATTTTCCATTTTCTATTAAAACAAGTATACACAGACTAATTATCACCAGAGCGGCATGTGGTGCACGAGGCACTGTATCTCCAACATTGGATGATGACATCAACGAAGCGCTTCAATCGGCATTTCCAGGCTTCGAAAAGAACCCAGTCTACTCTAGCGCAAATGCTTAGTTTGCGTTGGCGACGGATTCCTTTCCGGCGTCCGTTACTTCTTCGCTAGCATGTTCGGGATATAGCGGAATCAATATCAACTCACTTCCCACCTGGCTGGTCTCTGTTCCGACTGCTGTCGTTAGTATCGTTTTGAAGGAGCAAAAAGCTTATGAATCAATCATTAGCTCCTTCGAAGCTGAAGCAAGTGCGACATTATCGTCGGCCACATCGGCTTCTATTTCCATGACATCAAACAGCGCGACACATACTGCTACATCTGCAGTATCAAGTTCTGTCTCTTCTGCAAGCCCAGCTGCGACTTCTTCATCACTGGCAGCGAGTTTGGGTACCTCTAGAAGCTTGATTGGTAGCTTCCTGGTCGCCGTTATTCTGTTACTTACCGGGATGGTGTGATTAAAAACTTTCCCTAGTAGAAACGCGGGAGATATGGCTGCCCGAATCCATGATCGATCAGATCCACGACCGGCATCGAAGTTCAAGCTTGCGATGCGAGAGAGACTTATGAGAACGAGGTGGTGAGCAATAGGCGTATGAAGGGCTGAGGTTTCCTCTCGATGGGGGCATTGAATGGGCATTGATTATGACACACTAGTTCAGATTGATGGCACTTGATTGGGTGCAGAATAACCGCATACTTCAGGATTTTATTCAAAGTCGTGTCATTCTTTGCATTGCATCAGAGTCTCGAACTGCCAGCGCTGATCTGCAATAATTGCATTCAAGTCAGAGTATTCTCCTGTCCGGCATCTTTGTATCACAACTCCAGCTTCCAACCCGTCGACTGGCGGGTACCTTTTGGAGGCAAAGAGGTCGTCTACCAGCTCTTGGTATTTCTCTATCTCCTTCAGAGACTTGAACGGACCTGGAGACCGGTAGGGCCAATGGCCAGTCATTATCGTATAGTAAATGGAACCAAGACTGAAAATGTCCGTGCTTGCCGTCGATTCTGGCGGATCGCATGGATTAAAAAATCCAGCATCGGGCAAATGGCCACCATCTATTTCTCCATTTGTCGACCCCCCGAAGTCACAGAGCAGAAGATCGAGCTTGTTCCCGGTGGCTTTGTGTAGCAAGAAGTTCTCGGGTCGAAGATCAGAGTGTATCACACCTTTTTGGTGAATGAATTGGATCGCCTCCGCGGCTTGTGTGCGCCACTTAAATCGTAGCGACATATCGATGCCAGAATAATGCTGGTCAATGTAGTTCTGTAAATTCCCATCGCTTGCTTCGGTAAATAACAATCTGAATGGGTCTTCTGAGACGCCCTTGAACCTGAAGAAGTCAATTACTGGTCTCAAGAAGTGAGGGGGGTACGGACTCTATTATTCTTGGATGTAGTCCTAGGATTTGCAGAAGTCGTTCTTCCACCTCAAAACTCCGCTTCATGTCTTGAACGAACCACTTATCAGCCGTTTTCTTGGAATGCCACCAAGAAAATCGTGGATATTTGATGATGACGCCTGGCGCCACCCGTGCGATACGGGAAGTTGAGCCTTCACCCAATATTTCGCCAAGAAGAGGCTCGTACGGGACCGGGTCCTCTTTTTCGATGATTATGGCACCTGGACATTCCGTGATTGACGTGGCGTTCGTATCGCCCGCCATACCTGACAGAGTCTCCACAGCACTCATCATCGTCTGGCTTCTCCCAATTTGGGAGAGGAACTTCAAAGACCGAAGGTACTTTGGAGAAAATGAAATGATACAGACAATATCGCAGATATGAAAAAAAAAGTTGAAACCGTGATTACAAATGCTCGTCAAGGTTATAGAGATGTGCTCGAAGAGTGTTTTATGAGAACGAAATAGAGACAAAGGAAGGTGTTGTCTTCAAGCCAGGGTCGAGGTGTCTTGCAAACTGCTCAAACAACAGCAGCATAATCATTGAGTCCCGACTCCCGTATGCAGTAGTACATACGGCACGTGCCTGTAATGCAAAACCCTCTGATACGCGAAATTCGCGATACTGTGAACCAAGCTAGTAATTGGAGTTTTGAGGTAATAATTGGCATGGTCAATATCATGGTTTGTAGTCAAGATCCCGATATTATAGGGATCCAACAGTCTCGTGGGCTAACGTTGGATATGCCATCCAATATCTCTCCAGATCACTCAAATAAGCATTGTGTGGCTAAATAGCATATAGATGCTTAAAGAAACATACGAAGACATTTGGACGGTTGAAAGGAAAGGATGGTTGCAAGGACGTTTGCAAGGACGGTTGGAAAGAAGGATGGGAACACACGAGAATAACTGATTAAAAATACTACATACGACTGGTGAAACCACGAGAAAGAATAAAACATGTAAGAATAAAGCATCAAACTTGCTGTCGTAAAGTAGGCTATGGCGGCCGATAGAGGCCAGTCACCCCTAGGTCACATCCCAATTTCAATTTCCAACTTCACCGCCCTGTTTCCCGCCTGTATTGTATTTATCATATATAGCAATATCTTAACGGATTTGATCTAAATACGGGTCACTTTTAGAATAGACTTGAGAATAGACTTGAGAATAGTGTTACGGACCCACATGGGGCGCACCGACTTGAGAGTCAGCGAGACCCAATCGACCAGTCTGACATACAGGTCACGTGAAAGGCATGGTTTCAGGAACCATGGCCATTCCGCTGTACCCAGACAATACAGAATAACAGGTGGGAACCATAGGTCATTACCCCAGGACAAGGCTCATCGCAGGATAAGGAGTATCCTACGATAAGCCATGGTTTACAAGGAAGAAGGGGGATCCTAGGAACGACAGGCTCTCACGAAGACAAGGGTCACGTGACTATATACCCCCGTGTCGACTCCAGGAGTATATGCGGGGTATACGCGGCGACTCCCAGATCTACCCCCGGAGTCACTAGAGGAGTAGGAAGGACTTAGTATATAAGGACAGTCATTACCCACATGTATTTAGTTCTTCACGATCAATCCATACATTGTTACTTGGAACCCAACAGTTCATTCACCTATCAGTTTCGTACAAGACAAACCCCTACTAGGAGAGGTATCCTTGGTCTCTAGTCCCTTGACTCAGACCCCAAGTATAGCTTGACTAGGCGACACCCTCTTGAACGCAGAACCCCTTTGAGTCTATTCTATAGACCCGAGTCCGTATAAGGCCTAACGTCAACTGGCAACGGTACGGTTGCGAATCGACGACTCAAGGATTGAGTGTCTACTTGGTAAGTAGAAGCCCTAACGAACGATACTCACTGTGACCACAGAGCGTTGCGTAACAAATAGACTTGAGAATAGACTTGAGAATAGACTTAAGAATGGATTACATGACTAGGATCTCAGCCTCTCTTTCTTGCCTGTTGTTGTGATAATCTACCTAGAGAAAGATTTGGAGAGTATTAATTTAATATAGCATTATATATGATAGAGTTCAAGGATTTAATGTACAATGCAGCGCTGAACATAATGGAGTTCAAAAACCAACATGAATTTGGAATTACTCGTAATTTACTTTCTGCCGGTCGGAAAGTTGAAATTGGGATGTGACCTAGGGGTGGCCTCTATCGGCCGCCGTAGTAGGCTCTTCACGTCAGTTTTGCTCTTTAACAAATTTCCAATTTGAAAGAACCACAGACCACAAAGAAACAACTCGGAACAATTGGTTCACACCAAGAAATCGATGACGAACACAGAACACAGACAAAACGGATAAGATTGGGGTGCGGGACAAGGTACGGGAGCATTTCAATGCCAAAGCCTCGACGAATCAGCCGGATGAACGGATGTACATGGAGGGAGACCTGGTCCTGTTGCGGAAGGTGGTCCTCGATCAAATTCATGGGAGAAAGCTAGAGACAAGGTGGGCTGGTCCGTATCGGGTACAACGAGTGTTACCTCGAGGGAAGTCAGTGTTCCTTGAAGATCTGGTAACCGGATTAAGGGTGGGCAAGTACCATCTGGATCATCTCAAGCCGTTTGTATCGAGGAATCAACAACAAGCCTACCAGGACGCGGCGGAGACGGCGAACAAGAACAAGGCGCAGCGACGGTTCATCAAAGAGGCAATAAAACAAGCAAAGGAGGATGGATTGGCAGAGAAGCAAATTGAAAAGGAGGAGATGACAGGGAGTGAAGGCGGGATAGCTTTGTTGTTTCTTTTTTTCTTTTTTTTCAGAACTATTTTTACTTCATAGCCAGAATCATAATTGCCGATCAAAACCCGGAAACGGTGACAGACAGTTTTCCACATGCGCAAGATAATGCACATCACCGCTCATCAACGACGCCTCCAGGAATCATCCAGATATTATCGTCATCACCATCGTCAAGGCCATCGTCATCATTGTGGTATTCATCAGCACTAGCGAAATCCAATTCTCTCAGCCCAGCTGCGTTCGTAGAGATGTGTACATTTTGGAAGTCCAAGTGGGAAGGACGGTCCTCACTTCGCAGAGCATCAGAAAGGAGTATTGAAAATCCGATCAGATTCTGGGGCAATCCGTGTAGCGTTGAGCCCGATCTGCGCTCAGGCCATGGGGAAGCCAAAATGAGAAGATATTGGGATGACGATTATCTGGAAAGCCTTCTTTATCCCGCTCTGTTCGAGAGATTCCAGAGTGTTGGGCATGTCTTCCTTTTTGAACGCGTTGTACAGGCCTATGTCGATTTCGCCAAAGATACTGCTTGATTCTACCGCGGCGAGGAGGTCAGGCAGGTGAGCTCCATGGCGAGAAATTGCGGTTGCGAGCCTTTGAAAGGAAGTAATTAGTGTGTTGTCACAAAACACAAAGCACTGGTTGGGCGTATGCGACTTACCACGTAATTTCCATGAGCCATGATCCACCCTGGCAAGGGATGTTGGTCACAAGTCCCTCGACAGCGAGCTGACTAATGTAGGGAAAGCAGTGAAAGAAGCGCATCACAAGATTTGTATGCTCCGATTGCTTAAACAGATTAATCGGGACTGTCAGGCAGTCGAGGTCAATCAGCTTTTTGCAAAGAAGGCGACAGAAAAGCTCCCAAACTGCAGCCTGTCGGAATATCCTCCAGTACATGTTGATCAAAAGAGAGCGCCAGCATGGCGACTTGTTGGATAGTTCTGTGTAAATGCCGATTTCTGTCGGAAATCCAAGGTCGGTGTTGCAGAGCCCGGCCTCGCTCTTGATGACAGCGATCGTTGCGGCAGGTAAAGCGACTGCCTGAGACTGGGCGGTGCGCTGTGCGACGACTTGCCGCTTCAATTGAGCCTGAAATAAGGTATTCAACTTGGACCACTGGATCTCCGTCTCTTCGGTGCCTTCTGGGGATTGAACTTATAGCCGCATCAGGTGTCTCTGTTTGGTGCGATAGAGAAGGTCATCGAGGGGGGTTTGTGGGTCGAGATCGCTGTAAACGTGAGGTACCGATATCTGGTCTTGGGCGATATCTGCACTCACTCTCCGCATATCCTCGGTAATTGAGCGGAGGGCTGGAAATGCCCGGAAGGGGAAAGAACGTACGAGAGTTGGAGAAGAAACTACTACACCATGACGAGCGGGAGCGGGACTTCCCAAATTGGTTCCGATTATTATAGGAGTTTAATACAGAAACAGGTCATCTGAATTCTCAGACGAGTTGGGGTTTCTTGGCCATTAATCAACTTTCTCAATTTCCACTGAACATACTATTACTTACGCATAATATTCCTTCCCATCACAGAGAATTCTTATATACCCTTTTATTTTACTGCTCAATGGCTCTTATATTATAGCTCTCCTCTTCACTAAGAACCATAGCCAGGAAGATGGTTAGAAAGACAGTTAGGAGGATAGGTAAGAGAATAGGTAGGAGGATAGGTAGGAGGATAGGTAGGAGGATAGGTAGGAGGATAGGTAGGAGGATAGGTAGGAGGATAGGTAGGAGGATAGGTAGGAAGACAATTCGGAATATTGAAATAGTGCGGAGGACAGAAAACTAGACTTCGTAGTAAAAGGGTTGTTTTTTACCCTCTAGGGCTGTGGCTTTAAGTTTTTAATAAACCCTTCAAAAAAGCCCGACCTCTCTTAGGATCTAGATGACCTGTTTCTGTATTGAGTTCCTTACTATAAAAGGCATCGAAGCTTCCTATAGTGCTATATACTTCACTAAAGGGGTTATTTGTTTGCTATTAAGCTCGCTGCTTCCATATATCTTGCCCAATCTATTTCTCGCCATCTGACTAGATCTTTCTAGCCATCTTTCTAATCCTTTTTCTATCAAGATATACAGACCATTCAGTAATCCAATAGGTCAACAAGTCAATCCAACATTGATTCAAGTTGCTATATTCGTGTCGTGGGCCAAGTCATAAGGTTTAGTTTCCAAACGAGTGCATTCTTAACGAGAAAAACCAAGCTAAGGAGGGAATAAGGAAGAGAGTTCGAAAGGTGAGTACTAGTAAACTCCTATAACAATTCGCGGCGCTGATTCGCAGCAACATCTGGTCAGATTCATTCAAACCCTCGCATATTAGCTTTCTATGTAGTTTTAGCCGGGAAAGTGACGCCGAATGATGAATTAACAATCAATTGATATTTGCGGTTGTTGAGAGAGGTTTTAATTCTGACTATTTAGTGTGAATCATATGCATTGATGGGTGAGCCTCCCATAGTACAGGTCAAAGGCATTCAATGCCACTAGCATACCTATTCATCCCATCTACGGCAGCTCTGCAAGCCTTCTTGGTCTCTTTTGTAGCATCTGAATGACATTCCACCTCTCCAAACCTCTTCCTCCAGAAGTTCCACCGAGCAATTGAGTACCCCTGCTGCGGCTCGCCCTTCCAAAGTTCGCCAGAAAACTTGCGATCCGCACATTCCTGTCTCTGACAAGCCAGGTAGATCACCGATGGACAAAGAACAAACCAGATCGCAGCAGCGGGCACACGATGGTTTATCGGGGTCTTGGGTTTCTTTCTCCCAAACTCCTCAAGGGCATTGGTTATGCAAGCAAGGGCACGGAAGTCATTGGTGCATAGGTTGTGGTTAGTGAAGTGAGCTAGGAGGCCGTTCATGTTTCGCCAGCGGAAGGCGTAGAGATCCTCCCGGGGGCTGTTTTCAGGGATTCCTGTTTTACTATGAGCATTGCAAGAACACCACGGTTGGATATGCAGAGAATGACATACGGTTCCACCGCTCATGCAGCGTCGGTCCGAAATAAAGCCCATCTCGCCATACAGGTTGGCCATCGTAAATGCCCACATCCTGAATAACAACCGTTTCAGGCAAGTTTTTCAACGCTTCAACGAGAGAAATGAAGCGCTGCATTGGCTCATGTTGGTAATCCAACTGTGGAGCGATGCAGAACATTAACTCCCAGAATTCAAATAGAAAACTGGCTGTTGACTGTTTTTCTTCTTTTGGCCCCGAGCGGTGAGAAAGGAGTAGAGCATTGACCTGTTCTGCTGCTTGGTTTGGAGTGATGGAGGAGGTTTCGGGGAGATATGTTGCCAGTAGAGAGAAGACTGCGTACTCTATGTTGGATGGCTCGTGTAGGGACTCGAGGTCCAGATTGAGGGGGTTAGAGGCGATCATGATAATGCAGGTGGTGATTATGGAGAAGAAATTGTGCTTGAAGAAGAGAAAATGCTAGAAGTCCGCCTGGGGCCGTGTAGGGCTCCTTTATACTTAGCCCCAAATCTCCTAATTTAGCTTTGCATAGCGTCATGGCCCACTACGGTAAGGCTGATTCAAGGCAGATGATGCTTCGTGAAGGCGTTTCGGTCCTACGGCAGGCTCTTCTGGGCCAAGAAAAAATGCTCTTTGTCGGTTCCAAGTTGCATAAGAAGAGACAGGGCATCAACAATTAAACAATTTGTCAGGAGAAGTGATTCAAGTGAACCATGCGACTCCCAGAATGTGGATCACATGGTCTGCTCCTGGACCTACGTCTGAGTGCAGCGGGTGTTGTATAACGAGTCTGGGGAAGTGAGAGCTTGTCTCTCTTTTCCTCCTTCCTTCCTACCTTCTTTCCATCCCCACCCCCCTTATTTGAGAAGAATACCACAGAGTTGTTTCCTTCTCCACCTCATTACCATTCGTTTTCCCCAGATCTACAGTGTAATAATTCTGCCACAAATCTCATCACTGATCTTCAGTATTTCGAACAGCAAAATCAAGTCAATCATCTCATCATCTCATAAGGATTCTCATCAAGGCCAATGTGCTCTTTGTCCTCCTTGCTGGATCTACCCTGGCTATCCCAGACCAAGAACCAACAAGCTCACACAATACAGGCAGGGTAGGTTGTCTGCTTACCTGAAGCACATTTCACCAAAGATTTTAGTCGCACAGCAATGCTAATACCAATGAAAGACCCTCAAACGCACCGTCGATGGCAAGACGGCCAGAATCCACGAATATGCCGCCAAGCAAATCGCCACCGCTGGCAAGGACATCAATAAAAAGTCTTCATGCCCGCATATCCTCGAAAACTATGACAATATCCAATGGAACAACAATGCGTGCAACCCAGACAAGGTCAGGACGATTGGTTCCCCCATCGATGAGATTGGAAGACTGTACCCGTGGATTGGGGTGTGGATTGGGGATAAAGCCCTGGAAACACAGCGCCGAGTGATGCACCTGTCAATCGTACGTCTTATTTTGCACCTCAGATTCAAACCACTTTGCGAACAGGTGCCGATGTTATGGCAATAGCTGTGTTATCTGTTTTGACTTATGAAAAAAACGAGCAAGGTCAAGAATCCTATAGGCGACACACGAACATATAGAGCATAACAAACATTTATTCTTAAAACAAAATTGCAATCTACTCCATTCGGTTGATGCGTAATAAAACTAGATAATCAACTAGGTAGCCCTGGAGTTCTTGATGTCAGATAACATCCAGATGTCAATTAAAACTTACATATTGAAGAAAGGAACAGTCTGCGAACCTGGAGCCTCATCACGGCCTATCGTGGCCCATTGCCTCTTTCATTGTTAGGCTGCCCTCATGGCGCACGGCTCCGAAACTGCTGAGAACCCTCGGCGAAGTCCAGCTGTCGCATTTTTTGAAGGCGCAATTTGCGACGCGACAGTGGAGATGAAGAGCTGGCGAGCTACCGAAGGAAATATCTCACGCAGTCGCGAAAGCAAGAAGGACTCTCATGAAGAACCGCAGCCTTTCCGATGTGTGACTTGAACCGCAACCCCTGGTCGAGTATCACGCCGAGAATCTTAACTTCAGGCGCTGCGGCGACAGTCGCTCCTTTCACGTGTAACGGGAGAACGGGAATTTGGCGTCACCGATTGATCCTCGTGAAGTGGATGAACGATGTCTTCTCTGCCTCGAAAGTCGCGCTAGACTGCGCCGCCCGTTCCAACGTTTGTGGAATGACCTTCCGCTGCAGTATTGCTGTATTGGCTTCAGCAGACGAGCCCACCACGCAGCTTATGTAATCGTCGACAAGAAAATTGTTTCATTTCTTCTAGTGCTGGGGGGGGGGGGGGGGGGGACATCCACCTGGTTTGCATTGAAGTACAGAAAGAGGTTAGGAAAGAGCGGCGAGCCTTGCGAGAGACCCGCTTGCGAATTGCGTTAATCTAACTTACCTTCGACTAGGTTAGTCAGCACTCGCTATGAAATTCATAACTACTAGTAATCCCCTTTTTCTCCTCTTTCCACTTCCCCTGGTCACTACTTTACTAATAGATACCTCCTAATCTATGTCACCGCATAATGTGTCTCGCGTAAAAGCCTCTAGAGGTTGTGGCATTTGCCGGACTTTCAAGCGACGAGTCGGTGTTCTCTTTTTTTTTTTTTTTTTTTTTTTTTATGGTTTCGAGCGTTCACGAGGTTGGCTAATTGCCCTGTCCCTGTATAGTGCGACCAGCAGATTCCCTATTGCGGACAGTGCACTCGCCGGCACGACAAATGCCCCGGGTACCGAGATGATTGGGAACTCATTTTCCGCGATCAGACAGACCATACTATAATTCGATCCATCGAGAAAAGGGCGAAGAAGTCGAAGAAGTCGAAGGAGGCGGCCTTGGCCCAAACTAAACACTCGCGCCCTCCCGCTGGCGACCTGAGCCATAGCGTTAATGAGAAAGGCGACAACTATTCTCTCGAGCTCCAAATTTCCAGTCGACCACAAATGTCAGAATCAACCGAAAGTATATGCGATGGCTATGATCGCTTGCCCGTGAGGAAGCGAGCTCTCTCATTTACCCGATGTATTTACCCTCAAAAAAGGTGGGTAACTACCATAGACGAGCGACGATGCTTTTCATACTTTTTACATTGCTCCATTCCTGGCCTTGGAGCTTTCTTCAACTCTCCTGTCTGGCAGAAAATTATCTTGCAGATGAGTCATGTCGACCCTGCTGTGTATCATGCCTCCAATATGCTTGGTGCCGTTCACGAAGACTCGGACGCGAACGAAATGCGCTTATCTGGGGAAAATCTTGAGCGGGCTCGTCATCGCTTCGCACTTCAGCAGGCCTCGCGAGCCTATACCCATCTCTCCCAACGTCAGTCGAACGACCCTCAGGGCCGGGAAGTTATATTGATATGCTGCCTGCTTTTTGTCTTGTCCGAGTTGTTACTAGGACAGTATGATAAGGCCTTCCAACATCTACATAGTGGGCTTCGCATCCTCAAAGAGACAAAGGACTATCATTCAATAATTGGTATGCATCTGGTCCATATCTTCGAACGACTCGATATCGAATCCGCCCATTTCGGGCCTGGCACTCCATTTTTATTCATTAATGATGGCATGCATACTATAGACCATTTTTCTAGAATGGAAAGTATATCAGATGTGCACCAAAGCGTGACTCTTCTCTTGAACATGGGTATCCCATTTCTCGCCCGATGCTGGCCATCCTCCGCTATTGAAATTGCAGCAGGATACAACGAGTTATTCCAGAAGCAGCAACATATTCTGTCCCTGAATTATGAATTCCAACAACATCTGAGGATATTCTATCGCGACTTCTATCACACCCTTCGTGGCCGTGACAAACTCGGTGTTGATCTACTTCAACTCCAGAGTCTTGGACAGATCCTCAGTTTAAAGACCTGTCTCATCAAAGGTCCCGTACCTGCAAGCTTAACACCAGAATATATGAGCCTATTATCGGCACATCAGGCATTTTTAGCCAAGTGTTTCGATCGCCCAACCTTTACTTTAGACTACGGCGTTATCCCAGGTTTATGGGTGGTAGCCTCGCAGTGTCCAGACTATTCAATTCGATTGCAGGCAATCTACACCTTACACACCTGGCCTCATTGCGAGGGGATCATTAATTCTAATTTGATTGTCTCGATGGCTTTAAGTTATCTGAAAGCAGAATTGCGGACTCATGGTCAATTATACAGCTCGATTATAGATGCTGATATGGAAGAGGAATTATCCAGGTTTCTATTTGACATATTGGAGTCAAAGCAGCGGGTGACGAAATGGTCGTTCATTCGCGGAACTGAACTGATTTCCAAATGTTCTTAAGATTGCATGCCTATATCTGAAAGCTTATTCTGTTATCCCCATGCCGATATGAATAAACCAGGTGAACGAAGTAAACGGGGTGAAGATAATGTACGAATTGATTTTACCGTCCTCTTTTCAACAATAATAGCCTCAAAAAGAGCAGTAGGCTATCTGACTGATTCCTCATTCCAGACGTTTACCTCATTGACTCCTGCCTGTCCTGAAAGAGCTACCTATCCCTTCTCGCTTGTTTCTAGGAAGAATCTTTCCATCATACCATAAGGCATACCATAAGGCAAAGTACGGCCTCGACTAAAAGAGTCGTATCTACTTTTTTGAATGAAAGAAAATCTAAAGCAGTATCTTGCTTAGTCTGAAGTGACAAAGCACTTTGCGGGAAAGTTTCCCAGGAGGAGTAAAGGATCTATGTACGTACGCTAGCACACACGGGTAATAAAAGACGGGCACCATTGTCAAATGACCCCGAAGACTCAATTGTTGGACTAACGAGTATAACAGGCTTGATACAGTTTGAAGCTGCAACAACTGAATGAAAGCGGAGCACGGCACGCCTCACAATCTTCAAGAGAATATGCTAAATCTACCCAGTTTCGATGAGATCTGCACCAACTTACCTAAAAGAGTATTGAAGTAGCACTATTTGGCCCTCAGCCACAGAAGACCTGAAGATTAGGCGCGGTGATTGGTCGAGCACTGACCCGTTACTCGGCTAGTCAACGGAGGCATTTTGATGTGTCAACAGAATTCGCTAACCAATAACGAGGGGAACGCTATGCTGTGCCATCAAAGTGCACGGGTCGATCCAACAGTGGACAATGCCGAGGCTAATGCCTAAAACAACAATCTAGGGGTCAAATGAGAGATGTGTAGGAGTGTGTATTCCAATCTAGTCACTACAGCCGCTAACTATACAGTAATGACAGTGCTGACTGTACCGTAACGGCATGTCAGGAAACCGTAACGATATGTAAGGACGTACTTCCCCACTACACTAACTAAACAGATCTCACATAGTTATTAGTCATTCTATGGAGTAAGGCTGAGTCACGTCATTGGTTTGGTCGCATAGTTATTAGAGTTTCGTCCTTCATACCATACCAAAACAGCCCCACGCGCTAAGTAGAGTGCGATCGAATTACTACATTAGGATTAGCGTCTAGATTTCCGACAACCGCGTTGAAGTATAACTGTAAGATAGTTGTATTACAAGACGTCGTTTGACAGTTCCTGGAGTTAATATCCGTTTATAGATACAGGTCTAACCCAGATGAGTTAGTAGCCCGTATTAGGATGACAGGAGCTCCAACAAGCCGAATCAAAGAAGCCCACGGACCTCCTCTCCCCTCTCCCATACCCCACCCGGCTATGCCAGCTGCGACAGCGGACGAGAAGAGAAAGAAGATTTATGAAGCGTTATACAGACCGACATGAGGTGATGGGCCAATATAAATATCTTACAGGTTGGCTATCATTCCGCACCAACAATTCTTTGGCTCGAACAGTTTTTTCCTGAACAACTCCCTGTTCCTTCTCCTCCTATTATTCTTCCTCTTTATAAACAATGGCTGAGAGTCTTGCCGATCTGACAGCTGCTATCAATGGAGCCCTGTTAAAGATATCTCCAACTGACGATATTCCGGACCCGACGCGGTTCCAGCTCCTCGACGCATTGGAAAAACTGCGTGGGGCCGTCGAATCACCTATCCAGTGGCTTCTGAACATGTGCTGGGCGGTAAGACATTTCCCTGAGCCAGTCTGGGGGGGGACTTTATCAGGGATTCTTTTGCTGACCTAGAGCCCATTCCGAGCTTGCCCCAGGCCCATCCCCTAGTTACGATCCGAATTGCGATTGGGATGGGAGTTTTTGATGCGTTTGCTGCTGCCGGCGGTGCTGAGTTGACTGTTGACGAGTTGAACGAAAAGACCAAGGGCGATAAAGACCTGCTGGGTAAGTGGCTCTTCTCCTTCTAACAATTGGTAACCTGGGACCTATGGACTCACCAATCGGCCCCTCCACTTTACAGTGCGGATCATGCGGCTCCTGAGCGCCAATCGCCTCTTCAGCGAAACTGGAGTTGACAAATACCAACCTCAGGCCTTAGCGCTAGGGTTTGCGACTGGCACTCCGCCTTGTGAGGTGATCAAAAACTTGTAGATGGCCCTGGTCCTTATCTTTTTCAAGAAGCTGGAATGAATAGCGGGTGTGGCTGATTTGTTTTGATTTATTTCGACTAGCCATATGATCTTACGGGCCACGGCGCATAGCCACGAATTCTTAGAAGCAAGAGGGTACCAGAACCCGGATAACGCCTACGATACCCCGTTCCAGAGGGCGTACGATACCAAATTGCACCACTTTGAGTGGCTGGCGCAGCACCCGGACGAGCAGCATGCCTTTAATATGGTGATGGAGACCGGCAACCGGGCGGTGGAGGGCGAGCAGTGGTACGACATCTACCCCTGGGAGGAGCGACTGGCTAGTGACACAGACCGTGTGCTGCTGGTTGATATTGGTGGTGGTAAGGGTCATGATCTTATGCGCTTTAAGGAGAAGAAGAATCCCACCGGCCGCCTAGTTGTACAGGATCTGCCTGAGGTTATCCGTGATATCCAGGCCCCGCTTGCCCAGGGTATTGAGACCCAGAGTTACAGCATGTTCGACCCACAGCCCATCCGCGGCGCCAAGGCCTACTATATGCGCACTGTGCTGCATGATTGGCCTGACAGGCAGGCCCTGCAGGCCCTGCAGCGCATCCGGGAGGCGATGGCTGAAGATTCCGTGCTGTTGATCAACGAGAATACTATTCCCGAGATCAGCGTTCCCCGATTCAATGCCAGCGTCGATCTCATCATGATGACCATGTTCTCGTCCCTGGAGCGTACAGAAAAGCAGTGGCTGAGTCTTCTGGAGCGCGCCCATTTCAAGGTCGTCAAGGTATGGCGGGCGGATAACCAGGGGGTTGGATCTAATGCCTTGTTTGAGGCTGTTCCGTCTAAATAGAAAGTTGGGACAGTTTGTGAAAGAGAAAACCCCTCTCATCTTCTTCCAATGTTATCGTGCAACTACAGTCTATTTGTTAAACTTGTACAGTATTAGACCACGTAATTAAAAGACGAGCGGGGTTAGAAATCAGTAGCTGACGCGAGACCAGTCGTCTTTAGCTTGCAGTCGTGACGCTCCTGGTGGTGGCCAGCTTCTGCAATTTATTGGCCAGAATGTTCGCTGTTGACTGTCAGAGTTCCGGAAAAAGTTGTTCGAGGGCATGCGCATCGAATTATCTAGCCCAAGTCACTTGCACCTTGGCAACTGGGTTTAATCTAATTGGATTGAGGCCTAGCATAGTGGCTTGAAAAGAAAGGTTGAGTGACAATGAAAATTCGGCAAATTCGAATATTGTGGCAGAGGTTGCTGAGCCGTCTTCTGTAAGGAGCCACCTGGCATGGTATTCAAGGGCGGCCCGTCGCTAGAAGATCTTAGAAAATTGGCAGTATGGAGAGAGGCAAAAAATCTTTCCCTACTAGGCTTAGCTTTCTATAGCTTAAGCACAGCCTTCCAAATTATGACTGGTAGGCGACGAGCGCGCTGCATGTAGGAAAAATGAGGTGGGAGGCAAAACCTTTGTGGTGAAATCGCCAACCTACAAAGCGTTTCTGGATGGTTGTGCAAGTGGTGAAACACTTGCACATCAGCTTTCCTTTGTTATTTTGTTGTTTTGTTTCTACATTCGATGGGACCAGCGGGAAGCTCGCATTATGAGCTTCGTGAGGTCACCAATGGGCTGGTCACCACCTTTCCGCTGTCGGCGGGCTTGACAGCACTCCAGCATAGCAGCAAATGTTTATATAGAGCGAGCTACATTAGGCAAATGAATTCATCATCATCACCATTTCTATTGCGAATGCATTGACCACACTGGACCTGGTTGTCACACTGCGTCGGATTAATGCTAATCCTTAATATGAAAAATGAAGACCTACTCTTCGTTTTACGTGCTACAGCTTATGGATGGCCTTGTAGAGGAAGTATCTAATGTTTACATTTCAAGGCTTGTTCTAATAAATTGATCGAGGAGAAGAATGAGAAACTAGAGATCAAAGGGTGTGCTATTAGAAGACCACTAAGGATCAACCAGGCTAAAGCGAGCTTACGACAGCTGAAATATTTTGGAAAAAGCTACCGCATCGTGCTCCGCCATACATAAGTATTGTCGATAACAGCAGCTCCTTCTGCTCTCAAAGGGTTTGGGACTGATTTGGGCCGAAGGGGAGAGGCTGAGGAAATAATCAGGCCCCCCACCCAGGCCCCCCACCCGCGGGGCTGCTACGCTATGCACGCCGCTAACAAAGTAGAATCTGCGGCCCACTTCCCTAAAAAGGTAACCCAGAAGCTGCTTGATCACAGCCCCTTCAGCTTGAGATTACGTGCGATGATTGGCCGTCAACTGTATTCAAATGTCCCCCTACTTGTTTATACTACGCTCTTGTGAATGATAATTTACGTCGGGCCGATTACCATCCAGTAAAGAAAGAATGTTTGAACACAAGCTGGCCTCCACATTTACCAGTTGACGACATGTGGGTCTCCCATCCAAGAATCTGCGGTCGATGACCCTCGGGATGCATTAGGAGACGCGCAAACATATACCTTGCACGAAGACTGTCTTATGATCTAGCCAATCAATGATTGCAATATGAAAGTCGTCTCCACCAAAGTTCTTCCCTTTTACCGTCAATAATACACTAGACTACATGTATGGTAGTAGTCAAGAAAAATGTCACTGGATTAGTATAGTACAAATTAGAAGCACTAGTACTGTTGAGGATTTTGAGGGCGCCGTTACAATTGATTGCCAATTGTCAGAACATTGAATGATATTCGCGACTCTGTTGCTTCTTGCTTTGTGTAAAGAAATATGAACATAGCTTGCAACCGACCTGTTCCCCTCCCCTTAGCCTCCAATCAGAACATATCAGAAGCGAAGGGATATTATTCTGGTAGACGATGCTAGTGCTTGAGACGCGTAACCCTCTCGCCATTTAGATCAATTTTTCGATCATTCGACTCGGCGGCGTAACTCGTCAGCATATCAGCTCCACTTCGTCGGCTCCAATCTTACATCTTTAACTAGGGGCTGGTTGGCATACATGAGTTCTTGCTGAAAAAATTCCAAGTTTTGGAGATGAACTAACTAATTCTAGTAATTTAGGAGAAACTAACTGATCCTAGCAAATGAAAAGCGCCAGAGAGTGCGAGCAAGGATTTCGATTTCGGGGTGCGGCCAAAACTAGCGAACGTCTAGCACGGCGTTCAGAAGCTGAGATATAAAAGGGGAGTGATCGCGCTGCTCAGGGAAATACTTCAACACACTTCAAATACTCTGAATCTCAAATTCATCTACTTCCATCTTCCTTTCATTTGACGGATACCACCAGAGCAATGGTCAACTCCCACAAAATCATCTCTTGCCTGCTCGCGCTTGGCTTTGTGAGCCCGGGCTCTGCAGGCTACAACCGCACAAGTCAGACAGTGACCTACACTCCATTGCACGAAGAATGGATTGACGAAGAGTCTAACTCAAATGTGACTTTGAGCGCAAAGTTTGATTTGATCAATTCTGCCTACGCGTCCCTTTATGACAAGGAGGAGACGACTGACTTGTCCAAACGAACCTCCATCACTGTGATCGCCGAAGCTGCGACTGTCATCGGCGGCACTGCTACGGTGATCATTGCGGCTAATTCCGGTGTCTCGATTTACAAATACATCGCCGGGATTATGAAGAGCAAGTCAGACGACAACTCTTGTACCCTGACGTGGGGTACTGACACAGGCGATGGCTATGTGGAGGGTTATGCCTATGAAGCCACAACCACCGGATCTAACTGTGAAACCACGGCCGAAAAGAAGACTATGGTGAAGGCTGTCGAGAAGTGTGCCAACTATCTGCACGATTCTGGTGCTACTCGTGGTTGCTGCAAGATGAACCATGGCGGCGGAACTTGGAGGGGTCATTTGCGACTGTCGGCTGAGCCCACGAAGTACCCTGCGCACTCTGTCACCTGCTAGAAGGCATGTTGGTCTTTTCGTCTTGGTCTAGGGAGAAGTTTAGGGGGAGGCTATGTGGATGTTATCAGGGTGAAATGGAATCGACTGTTTGCATGTGCCTAGGTCACATTTCCAATGAGGCTTCAGTCCTGGAACGACTAGAGTTAGAACTTAATTGTGAAGCTTGCGCGTTCAATGTTAGATAGAACACTTGTTTACGGCTTCGAGATATGATGTTCTATACTAGAATCTATACTTAGGTCAGAAAATACATTAGGACCTTAATATCTTACTTTCGAATTGGTCAACTGGTGTAAAGCCTTAGTGAGACGAGTTTTAGATATGGTATTTATAAGCCTAAACCCCTCGCTACGCTCGGGGGCTTACACTTCAAATGTTACCAGTTGACCACTAGATATCGCTAGAAAAATAAATAATGACTATCTCTTAGTAGATAGTATTTCTTCCGAGCCGACCTGAGTGTTAAAGACGCAAATGGTTGTACAGCTATGGAATGTGTACAAATTCGCGGTGAAAGTGAAGTCATGAAGGTGTTTGTCAATTGATTATGGCTAATCACGGATTTATGCAAGTTTCACCTTTTTGAGATTTATATTTTCACATGCCCAGGTATTGGCTGTAAATCTATCACAGCCAGTGACCATGCTGAACCATAATCCAATACCTGTCGCGCCTTTCCTCAAACAGCGATTTCCGACAAGCCCATGGCATGGAAATAGGTGATGAGGTCCTGGGCAATATAGTCCTCCCGAATTAAGCCGGTGCATTCATCCAAGACGAGGAAGTCTGTACCATTGTACGTGACTGATGAGCCAGCGGCCAGCGGTCTTGCAACTCGGATTAGAACATTGCATTTGAATTGCATAAAGAGTCATTCAAGACTACTCACGTAGGGAAGAGAGTAAAGTTACTCCCAAGAACACCTTCCATCTTCCACCGAACAACAATTTGGTGACCGCTGCTGACCCATCGGATAGGATCAAAGGTATACTTGCTCCATCCATCCCGGGACTTTTCAACAAAGGCAGCGAACTGCTCGCGGTTGGTGATTTCCGTGAGAGTGCTACCATTTCCGGTGGATGAAGGGAACCGGTCCGAGTACAGTTTGACATCCGGATGGAATGTAGACTTTACAAGAGACAAGTCACCATCCCAGACGGACAGGTACTGGTCCAGCATTTTCTGATGGTAGCTGCTGGTGGTAACATCGCCTCTGCAGCAAACATCTCCAACCGAGGAGGCAGAAGAGGTGAGAAGCAGGGATGAGAGGGCGACAGGTAGGAGTCCGACGTTGAACTTCATGATGAGCGATGGAAAGCAACTCAGAAACTTGGAGATAGAATGATGAGTGAAGAGAAAATGAATGTTGGAAGGAATCTGGCAACAAGGATCCTTTTATATTCATTATTTGATTAGCCTCTCCTATTCAGGTACCATTTTGAGAGATAGTGATAAATTTGCTGTCTAGTCTGTACAGCAAACAGTACGAGTGAGATGAACTTCTACTTCCGATTTACGAGCCGCCTACTAACTATACGTGGAAGCTGGCTTGCCAAATTGCCGACGCGTTGTTATGATTGGCCAGAGAGAGAATCCGCGGCCCCCAACGGTTAAAGGCCATGCCCAGGAGCCCCACTTACCCCCACTTGCCCCCACCGATCTAATGCATCCCGCGCAAAATCATCCAAATCAGGCTTAAGCTTGTTCATGATTAACGTCGAGGAGGCCCCTGAACAGAAATTCCGTTGAGGGAACGGACGACCTTCGCATGAACACAGACGAAATTTTTGCGTCCCCTTCCTCCACGTTGTGATCGCCACACCTTTACACGTGTTGTACGGTGTACCAACTTCACGCAGCAGTGAGCGCTATGAAACCGTGCTCAGCTAGGTTGGCATGGGAACAAACAATAACATTCGATCGAGACGCGCTTCGTCATGGTAGGCATGCCAGGGAGATCTAAGGGCTGCCGTACCTGCAGGAGGCGTAAGAAAGGTGTAAGTGGGGCTCAAATCTTGCATGGGTATTCTTAGCAAGCTGCTGTCTTCCACTTAGCAAGTTGAAAATCACTGACTCAAGGCCAGTGTGATCGCCAAGAGCCGATATGCGGACAATGCAGGAAAGCTTGTATCACTTGCGACGGTTACGATCCCCCATTTACAATTCACTACTACAACGGGTTCAAGGAAAAGGCTCGATCGTCACCTGAAATTCCCGATGAACCTCCAAATGCAAGCTATGGGGCGGCCTCGCAAGCTCTCTCCCGCACGGCATATGAATCGGGATTCGAAGACCTATTTTGGGCCCGGTACTTACCAAATGGTCAAAGCGCAACTTTGTTCGATCTGACCTGGAGGTCTCTCGGTGGGTCCATTAACGTTCTTCGTGATTTGTTGCCGGGTAGCAGGCTACTGCGGACTGCCTTTGGTGCACTTGCTCTTCGTGCTGCAGCTCGCGAAACGAATGCAGGTCAAGCTATGAAAGAGCATGGAAGTAGGCTACATTCTACTGCCTTGCGTCAAATGAATAAAATGCTGGGTCCCCGAAGCCGTAATGGCGTGGAAGCTCTTGGAGCGGCGCGAATATTCAGCTTCTACGAGGTACGATATTCTTTTCTGGAAAATGGGCACAGCATTCCGTGGAATTGGCGTAAAAACAAGCTGATATATGTCAAAGGCATTATTTGGAGATGACTGGGAGTGTCATGCAATACAATATCGTACCTGGAAAGCTCATCAAACAGGCGATCTGGCTATTGTTCTTTCAAGAGATCCCTTGGTCTTCTCCACTGGATCGGCGCACAGGCTGTTCGCTGATGGCAGACTACACTATGTAAGAAAACCTAATTTTCAGGAACAAGAAGAACTAGTCGAATGGCGAAAATACTAATATTATGTACGATCCAGGCTTTGAATTCGATGAGAGCACGACAAGAAACAGTCCTTTCTCAGCCCCGATGGATGACTGAGCCTTGGATTCACTACTCGAAGACCCCGAAAGACTTATTGATCGATATCCTGTTGGAAATCCCCTCTATATATGTGGCGATTGACAAAATGAATGCCGAGATGGACCCTGACACCAATAAACTTTACCTCGCGGACGTGCGATCCAAAGTGCTTGAAATTTCACAGAATCTCGTCGACTGGGAAATGAAGTTTGGTGCAAGCAACTTTATCACTGATTCCGATTGGCATTTCCCTCAGAGAACAGGTACCGATGAAATCGCTGTCGCTCATGTGAAGTCAATTTATTGGGCTATATGCATCCTCGTCTCCGATGCTTTGCCAACCTCGCTCGCAGCTGATGGCTGTGCACATCAACTTGAACCCAAGAAATGTTGCCAGAATATTATACATTGTATGCCATTATTTCTGCATCCCGCATCTGGGATATTTCGTCAGCATCTTATTCCCTTTCCGCTCGTCACAGCAATGTCATATTTGGTCTCGAGTGACACATCAGGTCTGGAGGATGAGATCGAGTTCCTTGTGGGGTTATATAAAAGCCCGGACTTCTCATCGATGCGTCATTTCATATCCAGCTTGAAGGATGGTGCACTCTTGGCAAAATCCGACAGGGTCTAAGAGAAAGTTATGAAGAATAGGAACGAGGTTGTACTACTGAAATGATGTCTGTGAATGTTTTTCTTTTTGTAGCTGGCGTATTCGAAACTCATTTGGTTTATATGAGAGCACAATAGGATGGTAGTTCACCATACCCGGACCACAAACATTTGAAAGAAGATTAAACAAAAACAAGAGATTTCGACACACGGATTGAACCTGGGATTCCAGCGATCAAATGTTTTCAAGGCCTCTGATTTGTCATCTCCTAGAAGTGGGGCACTGTTTGCCCTGTTTACATTCGAATTTGGATGTTGAAGGATGCTATGCGATGTCATTGCGATGTGTACTGGTATAAGACTTCATATTCCTTATTACAACAGGGATAAAGAGTCTTGTTCTGAAGTGCCATCGACTGGAAAGATCGTCATCGGAAATCTATGTTCGGAAATCAATTTGGTATAGTCACATAACACATATCGGAATTTCAACGTTGGAACTCGAAGCGGCGAAACCCCGGTGAAATATCTTCTGGTTTGACCGAATAGAACATTCGGAAATTAACGGATCATTTTTTCGTGGATATGATCTCGAGAGAAACTCCACTGCGATTTACTTAGATGACTCTACAGAGGTTCTTTTGCTGGAGCAATCCATTGACCGACTAATTATCCAGAGAAGATGTATCATGCATGTGGTAAAATCATGGCCGCATCAAAATGGGCTGAAACTTTAGGAAGACTGACACTATCACGGCCTGCACGGTGCACGTCAACTGGTACATAGTAGTTTCGAATAAGCCCCTGCATGTTGCAGCATCTGACACCCAAGACCACCTGGGCACACATGAACTACTATGGATATCAACTGATGTAAGCCTCCGGGTTTGAAATACCAAGGCGTACCCCACATCCTTCTAGATGGTCGACTGCATTGAATTATATTGATTGGATGAAAAATAAGCAAAATAGAGTACAAAACACAGACTCCCATTTCTGAGTACGTATGCAGCTCCTTCTCATCAATCGATGGTTTCAACACCTTGAGTACACACGTTTCCTCGGGGCGTGTCCGAAATTAAACTAGCCATACCCTATCCGGTTTGACCACCTTCTACTGCATAAAACACGAGGGCAATTAAGTAAGCAGTCGATTAAGTGAAACCCATCCTATATAATAATTTCTACTATGTAATATTCAACGAAGATGCCACGGAAATAGTCTGGAGGAGTTGTAGAAGTGGGGCGATATCCGAATTAAAACTTGAACAGCAACCTTTGAATTAAACAATCGATGCGTATGAACTGAAAGGGGAAGCCAAGAAAAAACCAAGTCCACTGTCTACTAGGAGTTGAAACAGAGAGAAGTGAGACAATTCATAGCTCCTTGGTCTCTTCACAGAGCCTTGATTGGTCGAAGCGGGTGGGTTCGTTTCGGAGGTGGATTTTACCTTCCTCTGCTACCTCTGGGCACGAAGATCCTCTTCCCAAAATATCGATTAGCGCGGGTTGATCGGCAGTGGTATAACCACACTCATAATGGGGCCGGAGGCTTTCGACCACTGGATATTTGTTTTAATTTGATAGTTGGTTCATGCTATCATCCGACCATCCGAGAGAGAATACTTACCATAGTACCTTAAATTACTATGGAGAACACTAAGCTAGTGTTACCCCCTGCCGGTCTTCCTACTCCTTTAGAAATGCGGACTGAGTAGAATCGTTCTTAGCAGGTTACACTGTATATAAGAGGACCACCTGCTGTTGTCTTTATCCTTCTTACTCCAGCTTCTATCTTCCATTCGTTTCATTCTTTTCTTAATTTTGTTTTTTTTTCACCCTTTAAAATTTCTCAACCCGTCTTCCAGGATGAAGTACGCTTATGTTTTGACGGCTGTTGCCGCTCTTGTGTCCAAGGTTGCCGCCACCAGCGTCCAGGGGACTGCTGAGGGTTTTGCTTCTTCTGCCACTGGTGGTGGAGATGCTACCCCTGTCTACCCTACCACAACCGATGAGCTTATCTCCTACCTTGGTGATGACGAGGCCCGTGTCATTGTGCTGAGCACGACGTAAGTGGGACTTATGATCACCTCTATTTCCACGGGGAGATTGCTTATTCTTAGGATTCAGATTTGACTTCACTGACACCGAGGGGACCACCACTGCTACTGGCTGTGCCCCTTGGGGTACTGGATCTGCTTGCCAGGTTGCCATCAACCAAGATGACTGGTGCACCAACTATGAGCCAGACGCGCCCTCGACCTCTGTTACATAGTAAGAACTCCGCGGTCTATTCTTCGACATAAATTCATGCTAACCACAACTCATAGCGACAATGCCGGTCTCCTTGGTATCACCGTGAACTCCAACAAATCCTTGATTGGCGAGGGTACCAGTGGTGTCATCAAGGGCCGTGGTATCCGCATGGTCAGCGGTGCCAGTAACATCATCGTCCAGTGAGTTAATCATGGAAATACTCAAATTTTGAATTCTGAATAGCAGCTGACTGACATGCCACAGGAACATCGCTATCACCGATATCAACGCCAAGTACGTCTGGGGTGGCGATGCCATTACCCTTGACGACGCCGATCTCGTCTGGATCGATCACGTTACTGTATGCGACACCGAAGAAATTGCCCTCTCTGATAAGTTTGCTTGTACTAACATTTAACCTAGACTGCTCGCATTGGTCGCCAGCACTACGTTCTGGGCACTGACGCCGACAACCGTGTCTCCCTGACCAACAACTACATTGACGGTGAAAGCGACTACTCCGCCACCTGCGACGGCCACCACTACTGGAACGTTTACCTCGACGGCTCCAGTGACAAGGTTACCTTCATGGGCAACTACCTGTACATGACCAGTGGTCGCGCCCCTAAGGTTCAGGGTAACACCTACCTGCACGCCGTGAACAACTACTGGGATGACAACTCTGGCCACGCTTTCGAGATTGGCTCTGGCGGCTACGTCCTTGCCGAGGGCAACTACTTCAGCGATGTCGATACCGTCCTTGAGACCGACTCATTCGATGGCGAGCTCTTCTCCTCTGATAGCTCCTCGAGTACCTGCGAGTCCTACATCGGCCGCTCCTGCGTTGCTAACGTCAACGGTGGCGACCTCACTGGTTCCTCCACCACCGTTCTATCGAACCTTTCGGAGGACACTTTGCCCACTGCCTCATCTGCTAGCACTGATCCTGCTTCTAGCGCTGGCCAGGGTAACCTGTAAACTTGCTTCGTTTTTGGCCTTTGATCACACTATATGAGACTTACGGAGGGGCTTTATGTGAATTAGGCCTCGGTATATCTTTTATTGCAACATATGCAATCTGTACAATCCGTGTTCCAACTTCCTAGGCGAGATATGCTATATTCAAATGCATTCAGAGATAACGGAAATAATCTGAAACATTTGGAATGTTATTTTCATAAGGCAGCTGATCCACTAGCACTGCTTTTAGTTCTAGGAGTATTTAGTAATTAGTTTATTTAGATAAGAATAAGATCTTTAATTATTATATTTCCTTCCTTGTTCCGTCACTGATCGCCATTCCTAGCCGGAAATTTCTTTCTTTCTTCCGTCACATAAAATCTCCACCAATATTTGAAAATTTCTTAATAATAATAAAAGTTTGATTGCCCTATGCCATGCTATCTCTATGTTTCTGTATCATTGCCATCGCCGAGTACGATTGTTATCGGACGTTCAACCCCAAGGATCTTCCGCGCTACGTAGACGTGGTATTCCGCCTTACAGCCGACCACCGTCATCCGTGTAGAAAAGAGAGCAAAATCCTACTACCCAAATCGTAGAACTGTGATATAAATTCGTTTCAGATTGTCTTCTCCCCTATCCTCAGCACTTGAGGGTAATTGAATCATATCAAGAGCTTTCTACCGATTTTTTTTTTGGATATTCACAGCACCACTCCCTTTCTGTCCCAAAACAAAGATAGTTTCGTGATACAATCCTCAGCTATAGGCAAATAGTTAAAGCTGCGGTTGCAGAGCTCTATAGCTATACCCGAGGAGGCATGCTATCGTCCTCTTTATCCTTATACGGCCAATTACGCCAAGAGATCTCCTGTTGGTCCTCCTCTGCCTGCCTGACCATTTCCATTCGAAACTGACGATTGCCCTCCACTGCCCTCTCAAAGTCGTCCGGGTCGGTTCCACCTTCTAGGTCGATATTGAGGTGTTCTCGAACCCGCGACAAGAGCTGCTCAGACTCGTTCCATTCCTGCGAGTCCGCCATAGCAGCCTCTCGTTCTTCATCGCTGAACACAACTGGACAAGCTGCCGAGGAAATTTTGCTCCATACCGATGGTGTCGTGATGCCTACCAACGCAGCACGTAGGTTAATTACGTCTGCATCCCAGGGATACCCTGTCTGGCGAAGAAGATACTGCAGCATTCCGAGATAAGGAAGTTTCAAAACAGTCATGTGCTGGTCATTATGTATACCTGTCGCAGCTGTATAAAAGAGGTTGGCCTCTTCTAAGCGAAAAATAGTTTTGGATTGTCTTTGTTCATCGATACTCATTTCGTCGAAATTATCAGGGAGAGATGGAATCTGCAGGCTTTGAGGCTGGGAGGAGTCGTGCTCACAAAACGCGGGATAACCTGCTTGAATGAAGCGCGGTAATATCATGGCATCCTGCCAATCAATGATACTGATGATTTTGTTGGACCCAGGCGCCAATAAAATTTTACTCAGGCTCAAATCGGGGTGTCTTAGTGTCGGAGCGCTGGAGGAACCTGGTCGGATAAAATGAGGCGCTAACTGTAAAAATCGCGAAAGTAACGAGCTGTGCTCGGAGGGATGAACGTCATAGTTAGTTGGTAGAAGGAATGTCTGGCGAGGCTGGGCTTTAGCGTGTTGCTGAATGACAGCCATCTCCCGGCGAGCCGCGGAGGTAACACAGTCCACGGATGAAAGCCCTATGGCAATGATCAGCTCAGTTCATATCCGCTCGAAGGGGTAAGCCTACAGGGTCCACGGTCGATTTTTGTTCTACTTCGTTCGCCATGCCAAATCTGCCGCGCAGACACAGGGCCGATAACAAAATTTCCACGATTGGTATCTGGGTTTCCCCGTCGAGGTCCTTCTTGTAATATAAACTTCCATACGCAGGAAAGTGGAAGTCAAAGATTTTCCTCCCTATATCTGCGATTTCTGTCATGACGTCTTTCACCTCCTCCGTTGTGAGAGATAGCCACCGCGAGGCAAGACTCTCCCCCTCCACCCGCTCCATCAGAATATACTCTGCTCCGACAGGATTGTCCGATGTTGTTGAATAGGCCCAAACCTCCGGTACCGGCAGTTTGAGAACAGTTCGCAAAAAGTCCATCGTCGCCACCTCACTGGCGGTTGTGTAACGGGGAGGCCCGGCAATGGGAGTTGGAATTCGTGCAATCACCTCACGAGCATTCCTTGCTCGCAGAAGAAACACTTTGTTGAAGCCTCCCTCTGCTAGCTTAGAAATATCAGGGCAATAGTCTTGTTGTACTGCTTCGCCGGCGATCCGTTGAAGTTCTGTTGGTCGAAACTTTACGTATCGTTCGCTTAAACGGTCGGTCTCGTTGAATCTAGCTGACAATTAGTAACTGAGGCTGGAGTCGTAGTAGACTTTACTTACACCCATCTTCTTGATGTGTTTCGAAAGAATTCCTCGTGAAGCGGATTAGTCGATAAGTGATTGCGGGATGAGATACACGTGGTATGCTGCTTGGAACAGGCCCACGGTTTGCGGAAAGAGGGAATGTGTGTTACGCTTCTAGCAATGGTGAGTCTCTGAGAAAACATCACCATTGTTCAAATATCATGAGAGAGGCAAAACATTGAGCAGTTAGCTGATGGTGCTTGAAAAGTGCCGAGGAAAATTGCTAAGATCTAAGCAAGATTAAGCGAGTTTCAGCGAGTCTAAATTTTACACATGTGCATACATTGTTGTTAAATTGACAAGTTATTACATGCTTCATTTTACCAAAAGGGGTTTGTAGTTGGAGTTGGTTTTTGTCTTGGAATCACATGGTCATGCCGGTCCCGGCATTTGTTTCTTGTTCTAGACAGCTGCGTCTCTCTTGTTCCTTCTCTCTCTCTCCACAATCAATAATCCATATTGATTCTTTTTGCTTGTTTCCTTCTCTGCGAGCTGTTATCGATTTTCTAGGAAAATGAAAAGGATCTAAGGAGTCCGTTTCTAAAAATTTGAGGAGCGTAATTCTTGTCTCCACATGGTCAGAGATCATCTTTTAAGATCTATAAGAAATATATTACTAGTAATTCCAACGTTCCGCTCTACCACTTCTTTTCCCCTTGTTTCTTTGCCTGACCAAAAATAACATTCCTTGCAATCGAAGGAGTTGCTAGGAAGTCCCCTTTCATGAATGGATTAATTATTTCCTTCTGCATTATCCTTGTGGACACTGAACAGATTGGACATACACACGACTGCCGTATCTGGTACTTCCGATTCTGTGCTGGATGGCCATATTGCACTGTCGGACTGTCGCATGAAACAAACCTTCGAATCAATCAAGAATGACTTTGCCAGTTTTTGCGACCATTTTTATCTGGAATGTGGGAACCGTGCTAGACCAAAACAGTCCCTTCCCGATGAAGAATGTACGATGTCATTTGTGCATTACTTTCGACTTCGAATTAACTTCATCGATGACTATTTGGCACTGCCTACCCGTACCTCAAGATGAGATTTCAATGGTGTGTCTTGGGACTCTTGTTGTCTATCGGTTTGAGATCCCATGCGGAAGGTATCACAAGTGACGCATACTTCTACGGCCAATCTCCACCCGTCTATCCTTCGCGTATGAGTTTCCCCACCTCTATGACCGCCATGGTATTTAATAATCATTGTTTTCCTCGCAGCACTGGGAACAGGATCCGGAGATTGGGCAATTGCCTATGAAAAAGCCAAGGATTTTGTCAGCAAACTTTCTCAAGAAGAGAAAGTGAATCTGACCGCTGGGGTACCGGCTGAAAATGGCTGCTCGGGAAACATTCCAGCTATACAGCGCTTAGAATTCCCTGGACTTTGCGCCTCAGACGCAGGAAATGGCCTTGTAAGCCCCATGCTCCATGCTCCATGTTTACCCAATTTACACCTTCTTACTTCGCCACAGAGAGGCACAGACTTTGTTAACAGCTGGCCTAGTGGTATCCACGTTGGAGCCAGCTGGAACAAAGAGCTCGCGCGGCAAAGAGCAATGCATATGGGCGCCGAATTCCAAAGAAAAGGTGTGAACCTTTTCCTTGGCCCTGTTGTGGGACCACTTGGTCGTATTACCGAGGGAGGGCGCAACTGGGAAGGATTCTCAGATGATCCGTATCTCGCAGGGGCTCTTGTCTATGAAACAGTTACTGGCGTACAGTCATCTGGGGTAGGAGCTTCGACAAAGGTACTTGCTGGAAGCCATCATAACGAGCAGTTTGCTTAGCTGACGGAAACAGCATTTTATTGCAAATGAGCAAGAGACCAATCGGAATCCGGGAATAAATACCCAGGGTGAGTATATGGAGGCGGTTTCGTCCAACATTGATGACAAGACTATGCACGAGCTTTATCTTTGGCCTTTTCAAGATGCCATCCGGGCAGGTAGTGCTTCTGTCATGTGCTCATACCAGCGTGTGAACAATAGCTATGGCTGCCAGAACAGTAAGACTTTGAATGGAATACTGAAAACAGAGCTCGGTTTCCAAGGTACGCCTCGACGAGTTGATATTGCTATATTTGATTCAACATTTGACACACGCAGGCTATGTTATCTCGGATTGGGGTGCACAGCATGCTGGAATTGCAGCTGCTAATGCCGGGCTGGACATGGGTATGCCCACCAGTCCCATGTGGGGTGACCATATAACAGCTGCGATCAACAATGGATCGATGGATGCCTCCCGGTTAGATGACATGGTCACTAGGTAAATTGGAATGACTACCAGAGGAACATACAGGGGCTAAGAATTGATCTAGGATCATCGCAACGTGGTATCAGCTGAATCAGGATACAGGAATTACCAACCCAGGCGTGGGAATGCCAGCGGATGTCACTCACCCTCATGAGAAAGTAATTGGCAAGTCCCCCGATGAAAAAGCTGTGCTACTCCAGAGTGCAATTGAAGGACATGTTCTCGTCAAGAACGCAAAGAGTGCCCTTCCCCTCAAGTCTCCAAGTCTCATCTCCGTATTCGGATATGACGCACAGGGACCAGATTACATGGAAGTGAACCTCAGGTCTCCACTGGGTAGTCCACCGTTCATCAACAGCACGTTGTATGTTGGTGGAGGGTCGGGGGCTAACTCAGCCGCTTATATAGATGCGCCGATCGACGCCATCCAGCGCCAGGCGTATGAAGATAATACCTCTGTTATGCGTGACTTTACCTCGCAGGACCCTGAAGTCGACCCTACATCCGATGCCTGTCTAGTGCTTACCAACGCGTACTCTACTGAAGGTTCTGATCGACAGGGCCTAGGCGATGACTACAGTGATACTTTAATCACCAATGTAGCGAGGAAGTGCCCCAACACGATAGTCATCATCCACAATGCCGGCATTAGAATAGTAGACGACTGGATCGAGAATGAGAATGTCACGGCTGTCATATTTGCCCACCTACCGGGCCAAGATACCGGACGCGCTTTGGTCGATATTCTTTATGGCCGTGCCAATCCTTCCGGCCGACTTCCATATACAGTTGCAAAGAAAGCCGCCGATTACGACGGGCTTCTGTCACCCACACAGCCCAGCGGAGATTTTTTACTTTTTCCACAATCTGATTTTGCCGAGGGTCAGTTTATTGGATACCGAGCATTCGACCAGAAGAATATTGCCCCACGCTTCGAATTCGGATATGGGCTATCATATACGACGTTCCAGTACTCGGATTTACGGCTTCAGCTTGCGACTGGGGACTCTATATCCGAGTATCCACCCTCTGCTCCAGTTGTTCAGGGAGGAAACCCACATTTGTGGGACGAGCTAGTTACCGTTACTGCCGAGGTCCAGAACACGGGTGCTGTAGACGGGCTTGAGGTTGTTCAGATTTATATAGGCATTCCAAATGGACCTGTGCGCCAGCTACGTGGATTTGAAAAGGTTGACCTGGGTAGCGGCAAAAGCCAAACAGTCACCTTTTCACTGACAAGAAGGGATCTGAGTAGCTGGGATGTTGATGCTCAGCAGTGGGCTTTGCAGAATGGAACTTTTAAGGTGTATGTCGGTAGTTCGAGTCGGGAGTTGCCATTGGAGAGCGAGTTTACTTTGTCATTTGAAGGGCTTCCAAATTGATCTTCGCCAGCTGGCCTCCGCGTTCATTCAAAGTCATTGGTGCATCGATTATTTCCAGGACTGCCGAGGTTGGAATTTTCCAGTATTCCAAACGTGGGTTTATACCTACTGTAGTGGGGCATTCGCCCCTCTATCATAACTGAGGGAGGGCTCAATGAATCGAACGAAGTATGACAGATCCATTGTTTAGTCGTGTTGTATATCCAATTCATGCTGGCTTTAACGATTAATCACACACGCCACAGTGTATATCGACGTATGTACTAGTTGTTGCCCGTAGGCTGTCAAAGCGTGTAGCTGCAATATCAATATTTACCCTGGCCAGACCGCAGCGGAAAGCGCGTCCAGGTCGGTCGTGCGCGTCATGTCCTGTTATTGCTCATACCTTTCTTCATAGCACCCTTGTCGCTCAATTCTGCATGAAGTGTCTAACTATCATGTCAGACTTTATTCCTCCACCACCCGCAGCGACTATTTCGCGATCCGACCCCGAGGCAGCGGAATGCAACAGAAACCAAGGGCCTTCTGGCAAAATTTGAAAGCTAACTTGAAAGAAGTATAGTGATCGATTTGGCTCTGTGTCAAGCCAACTCGAAGGATCTATTGTGGAACGGTGGGCTATTCGATCATTCCTTGAAGGCTATCCAGGAAACACTTCCTACATTTTTGAGAGTTGCTCAGCCGTCTCCGGAGCATTAAGCCATCACAACAGTGCCGAATTTCGGGGGGTGGGAGCGGAGTGCCACCCACATTCAGATTCTTATATCATATGCAGGGCATAGCAAAGGAGACACCTGAAGTCAGTGGGCATTGAGTGGTTCATAAATCGGTTCTATGAGATCTAGCTATCTCTAGTCTATTCGAGCCATTTAGATAACAAAAAGAAAATAAGTACAGCTTAAAATAACATAAGTGGGAATAGAAATGGGCATCTAGAGCTTGCTCTTAGCTGGCTCGTTCTTAAGGACGTTGTTGTTCCACGGGTAGGGATCGAACACGAGGTCATTGACCGGGTTCTCCTGACTGGCCCGGCGGAACAGATCTTCATAGACCTTGCCATCAGAGCGACCGAGACTGCTGTCCAACTGCCAGTCAGGAATGGCCCAAGCATCCACCAAGCGAACGGCGTGTGGCCGAACCTCATCGAGGAGCTTCATCACAGCTGTGGTGCGGGTCAGAGTGATCTGTCGCACGGTGACAGCACCCGAGGAGAAGAATTCGGCGGCCTCACGCTCAAGAGTGTGCAGGGCAAAGAGACGGAAGAGAGAGTGCATCAAAGACTTGGTGTCCTGGTCCAAGGCCGAGGATAGCTCGGGGGATGTGACGGCGTCGTGGAAGTTCTTGACCACGAGGTATTGCGAGTGAGCAGTCGACAGACGCCAGAAGTCAACCAACAGGCTGTTCCATGATCGCTTCTCGGCATCACGGTGCTTCAGGGCCTCGAAGGTCAAGTGAGCTGTGCGCCAAGCAAAGGCAGCCACGATATCTGCATCCTCCTCGAGAATATCGAAGGAGGCACCCTTGTCACGGCGGTCAAGGTAGTTGCGCAGAATACGGGCAGTATCGTTATCAGCAGCCTTGCCAGAAAGGACAGCACGGGCAGATTTAAGCAACTTAAAAAGTGAGGTCAGCATATATAATCGCTTTTGGGTATTCCAATATTGATAAACTTACGTAGCGAGCGACCTGCTGGGTCAACATGTAGTTGTCACCCTCCCAGGTAAGAGTAGGCAGGTAGTCAGAGTAGTAAGGTCCAATGCCACTGTAACTGCTGTAACCGTGGCCACCGCATGCGCGACGGCAAACTTCGAGACCCTCACCAGCAGTGGTACTAGCAAGAGCCTTCAGACCGCAAGATGTGGCGTGTAGATCTGCCAGCAAGTCGGCACCTGCACGAAGCTCTTCGGGACCGGCACCACGGGAGTCCTGACCAGGGGAAGCGGCCGCCTTCATACGGCTCTGGTTTTCTTGGTAAAGACGCATCATACCACGGCCAGTAAAGTGCAGAGCATACATGGATGCCAATAGTGGCAACAAACGAATTTGCACCATCTTATAGTTAAGGACCTGGTTCTCACCAGCGTTGGGCTCAGCATCACGATCCTGGAACTGTCTTCGGACGGCGGCGTAGCGGGTCGCAATAGTAACACCACGGGCCAAAACACCACCAGCCTGAAGGACAATGTTGGACCGCACCCAGGTCAGGGTGCCGTAGACCAAAGTTGGCAAAGCGGGGCGGGCATACTTGTTGGTCTCCTTGTCGATGCTAGAGAAGCGGGCAAGCATGTTGATGTGAGGAATCTTAACATTGTTGAATAACAGGAAACCGTTGTCCATGGTGTTGTAACCGAACTTGGGACCGATGTCGCCCACGTAGACGTTCTCCATGGGCTGGTGAGTCTTGAGGTCACGGACTTGAACCACGAAGGGGTGAGGACCGTAGTTCTTTCCGGCGACGAAAAGCTGAGCCATCACCACCGCATGGTTGGCAGTGCGACCCAGTGAACCAATCCACCACTTGGAGGCAGTCAGGGTCGGGGAGCTAATGGTGAAGGTCTTATCGTCGGGGTTCCAGGTGGCAGTGGTTTCCAGACCACGGACGTTGGATCCATGGCCCAACTCGGTCTGAGCGTAACAACCAATAATTTCGTATTTCTCAGCACGCTCGAGGAAGATCTTGTGTTGCTCGGGGGTTCCTTGTTCGCGGAGGGTCACCTAGACGAATCTTGCGTTAGCCACTTATTTTTTTTTGGGAGGAAGAGGGGGGGGTGCAACATACCAGGAACATGGTCGCATGGAGGCCATATGGTGTGGGCTCACCAATGAGGTCATTGGCAGCATGGTATTCTTCTGTGGTCCATTTCTCCTGCTCGGCCAGCTGTTGCAGGCGCTTGCCCTTGGCCAACGACCGCTGCAGGCGCTCAACGCGACCAAGAGTGTGGTTCTGGGACTTGTCAAAGACCTTCTCCGGTTCAAGCAAAGACAGGATCTTCTGCTGTCTTTGCAGTGCTTCCTTGGTGTGAAGTAACTCGGACAACTTTTCGACGTTGATGTTGGATTGGGCGCGCTCCTGGGCAAGCAGCTCGGAGCCCTGCGGGCCAGACGGCTTCAAAGCCTTGACCCAGTCAGGTGGTGGGGACGGCATGGTGATGTATATGGGGAGTAATTGGAAAAGGGGGGTGTAAAAAGGACAGAGAGAAAAAATCTGGGGGAAGAGGTTATAACTACGGGGCCCCGGGAAAAGAGGTCATTAAGAGCGACGAAGGCCGAGGGACCAGGGTGTCCCAATCAGGAAACTGCCTCGGCTCAAATCTGGCCAATCAGAGACAACCGAGGATCACCGAACTTGCTGCCCCTCTAAGAAAATTGGACTGCGTCCTATGACTTTACTGAGCATTTATGCCTAGGTCTTACAGTATCCACTAATTGTAGAAAGTCCCAATGCCTATTCCCCATATTTGTCGCATTATTTAGTTGTTTTGTGGGGGAAGCCGAGTGGGTGTCGGCTGGGTCTTTCCCGGGGTCAGCTTACCTTGGCGTCACCGAAGCCGGTTGTTAGCATAGAGGGGGATCGTCACCCGATTTAGCTACGGCGATAGCCGGTGTGATGCGATGATGAGAAAAAAAAAATAAAGGACCCTTCTGGAAGCCAGACTGCATCTTAACCTCGGTTTGACGTAGCCCTCAGTTACCGGTTCTAATAAATACTTCTTTGTCCAGTTCAATTGGTTAGCCATGCAGACATTCCCCATGACCTATTGCTGTAGCATGCGCTTACTGCCGACCGGGCCGGCTCCATTCTCGGTGGACACCGCGGCAGGCACCGTCTTCTCAAATAATGATAGAAACTTGAAGGTATAGAATTGGATGCTCTGTCATTTTCTATTCACTTCTTTTGTTCCTCATGACATATGGCATCAGAAATTCAGACTAAAACACCCTTGTAACTACTGTTATTATTGTCATGTAATCTATCATCTTACCACTTGACCGACCTGCTTCAGGAGTCAGGAGTCAGGACCCCTATTGTCCTTCCAATCTTCGCCAATATTTTCTTGCAACCAAAAAGCAACTAGGCAGCTGTACAGTTGTTTCCAATGACCCATTCTATTCATTCCTTCCAAAATGACCCCAATTAATCCCTATGACGATGTTGCCTGGATAATAAGCACGGATATCTGGAAGCGTTGGCCAATTCTGCTCTTTGATTCGAACTTCTACAATGACATTGGAATCTTTCTTCGTGACGAATTTACCGATCTTACATGTGGCATGTTTGCTTTTCTCAACACAGGCGGTTTCAATATCTCCTTCAAGATGGATTTCACCAACAATTACAGCGCTATTATACGGTTCCCAATACCCGGCTCTATCATGTTTCCCGAAGAAAACTTCCGCAATGAGGTGTCTATCATTCAATTTCTCTTGGACAAAACATCACATGAAATCTCAATCCCAGTGCCTTCCATTGTGAGCTGGGGAACGACAAATGGAGGCCCTTCAAAACTTGGTCGTTTGACTCCTTTCATCATCATGGACTATATTCCTCACAAGCAAAGTATGGGTGATCTCCTTAGCGCGCCAATATGCGAAGCAGGAGAAATTCCAGTACTGAATTCAGATCTCAAGACGGGCAGGCTAGAAGCTCTCTACGAAAAACTCGCCAAGGTCGTCCTTTCGCTGTCTACACTTTCTTGGAATCGTATAGGATCTCTTGCCAAGAATGAAAACTCTACGTGGGAAGTGTTAAATCGGCCTCTGACCTATTCTATGAACGAAATTGTGCAACTGGGGACACTACCCCGATCGGAGCTACCGACCACTACATATAATAAAGCGTCGTCGTACTTTGAAGCCCTGGCGGAGCTACATGTTTCACACCTCAAAAACCAAAGGAACGAGGCAAATATGCGGAGGTATATACGGGAGGATGTCTTAGCGGATACCTTCCGGCGCAGATTCGTCGCTAGATTTCTCTTCCGGAAAATTCTGCGAGACCAAGAACACAGGAAACAAGTGATATTCGCTGAAAATGGCCCGTTCCCAGTTTGGTGTGATGACTTTCGACCAGAAAATGTTTTAGTTGATGAAGCTGAAAACATTGCTGGAGTGGTGGATTGGAAGTTCACGTACGCCGCACCTGCCGAATTTTCTTATGCACCGCCCTGGTGGCTTCTCCTCCGTAAGCCGGAAGATTGGCCTAAAGGCCTTGATGATTGGTGTGCGGAGTATGAAAAACCGCTTCAGGCCTTTCTTGAGGCAATGCGGAAATGCGAAGAGAAGGAAATCCGGATGGGAAAGCTAAAAGAAAGCCAGCGCCTATCTGATCGCATGCGGGAGAGTTGGGAGAGCGGAAACTTTTGGTTTGTGTACGCTGCAAGGAACAATTTTGCCTTCGACGCGATTTATTGGGAAAAGATCGATCAGAGATTCTTCCGAAACTGCCCAGGTCAGTCTGACGAAGACAACATTCAAGATGTATGGCGGAAGAGACTCCATCTTTTGGAAGCAGAAGAGATTGAGCTTATGGAGCAATATGTGGATGTGAGGGTCAAAGATTGGATTCAATGGAAAGAAGATCTTGCTTGGCAGCCGGGTGAATACACTGTTGAATGGATCAAGCGGATGGATATAATAGATAAGATCAAGACGATGAAGAAGGAGATGGAGGAGACGGTGGTGGAGTGGGAGGAGGAGATCAAGAGGATGAAGGAGATGAAGGAGTGCAGCACGGAGATGATAAAGGACACAATGCAGATGCAAAGAAAAGGGGAGATGAAGACGATGGAGGAACTAGAGAGGATTGAGGTGGAGTGGACGGAGATGATAAAGGATATGAAGGAGTTGGAGGAGAAGGATGAGATACTGTACATGATCGCGATGAAGAAGAAGGTGGGGCAAATGGAGATGGAGTGGACGGAGATGGTAAAGGACATGATGGAGATGGAGGAAATCAAATTGCATTCTTAGATCCTGTCTACTAGAAACCATATCATTCTGCATGCAACTTCATTTGTCTGGGTTCCAACTTCAGTCGCATTTTCCCCGAGCAATGTATATTCTTCCCCCGGAGTCAGAACGCGACTCGGAATCGGAACCCGACGCGGATTCGGGATTCGGAACACGAATGTCACATGTGAATTATTGCCAGCTATGTTAGATCTCCTGGGGTGGAACCGATCGGATCAGATAAGAGATCCCGATTTTCACATGTTCACATGTCAAATAACCATTTCCTTGTGAAATGACACGAGCTTGTCGCTGCCTGGATCTCGTGATTCATTGCATGCTTTGCTTGGAGACCCGTGGTAGTCCGAGCCAGGCCACAAAAATTGCCCCTGACAGAGCGATAATGAAAGGCTGGAGGACACTGACGCCCTTGGCTTGCGCCAATGCTCCAACCGCAAAGGGGAGAACGGCAGCCCCCGATCCTCCGAAAGCTGCCGCAAATCCGATCGAACTGACATGCAAGTGTTGAGGAAGAAGCTTGGTCATCATGATAATTGCACCTGGGAACAGTGGACCGAGAAAGAAGCCCTGCAGTGAAACCGCCACTGCCGATGCATAGAACTGAGGCACGAGCCACAGAACCAGACCAAATGCGATCGAACACAGAATATAGCCCTGTTTCGGTGTCAGATGTATGTCAGTTAATAGGGAAGATCGACCTTACCGCAATAGCCAGCTTCTCGCCCAGCCTTGGAGTCACGAATCCTAAGGTAAGCCGACCGACGGTGATTCCCAGCCAAAATCCCGTTGCAGTCATACCACTGGCGAAAGCACTGCCATGTCGAACCCGGATCATGAAAGTGACAATCCAGCCGCCCAGTGCAACTTCCAAGCCCACATAGCCCAGCAAGAACAATGAACAAAGCCAAGTGACTCTTGCAGATGGCTTGCGGAAAAGTGCACTCCTTAGTCCATCCCTGTTGCTGTCTCCAAGTGTATGTTCATTGGAAGCGCGAAATTCCGCCCCGGTGGAGTTCCAGAAGCATATGCCGCATGCCACTACCTCGATGACTGCACAAGCAACCTAGCGGATATCAACACATGGTTCATCATTAGTGAAGATGAACTTACCATGATATAGTAAAAGTAATGCCAGGACAAATGGGCCTCGGTAATCATCGAGGTTGCTGCTAGCGGACTAAGCACGGCACCAGCTCCATAAAGACCGTGGAGAATCCCGAGAAGTTCATTCGCATTGGCCATATTTCCGATCCATGCGTTCCATGCCGCATCTTGAACGCCGTTTCCAAACCCGGCAAATACAAATGAGATTACTAGGACAGGGTATGGTGGATGGAGGCAATTGATGATATAGGCGAGAAGGTGGCATCCTGGCCCAATTAATGCCGGGCCACGACGGCCAAAGGTGGTATGTATGCGCTGATTCAGAAACGCGGCCAGAGTATACCCGACCAAAGGTGACAGGAAAACCAGCGACACAACTGTGTAGCTAAGATTGTAATATGACTCGAGCTGCGAAAGATCAGAAGGGCCCAGCATATTACAAATGTGATGCGAGCGATCTTACATAAGGAATCAAGGCCTGTTGCGGTCAGATTTGTCGCCCAAATTTTGATTTATCTTAAACTGAGAGAGACTCACACCGTATGCAGCATCATTAGCTCCCATCACCAAAAAAGTCCAAAATGTCGAAAATGATCTATAAATATTAATGCGTGGAGAGTTCCATTTCTCCAACACTGGAAAACCGCCCGGCGGATCACTCGAAGAATCTGTATTACGCTGCTCGCTTGGTGGCAGGGCCTCGAGGGTTATGTGGTCTGCCTCGCGTGTCTGTTCCTGCACTATGCAGGTGGTCATAGTGGGTATGGAATTTCACCTGGTCTTCAATGTGAGCTGCACAACCTTGGAATGTTGTAGGATGTTTGAATCTCTGGAAAGAAAATCGATTTATATGGAAAATGCAACTTCGCTAAGAGGCCAAAGCTGACTCAAAGTCAACACGAGGTCATGCCGTCACTTGCAGTCTAGTGCGGAGGTGCTTGGCATCGGAGGGGTTTCCCGCTTGCAGAAGAACGTACGGGGTCCGGTAAAACTTCGGAACCAATTCAAGGTTTGAAGATTAAATCCTCGTATCAATTGAGGCTAATGAAATTTCTTTAATGACAGGATTGTCTAAAAAGGTGTTACACATGACTTTCAGAGCGTTGTATTGCCATTATAGATCACTAGTTTGACTGTTCAAATTCTCATAGGCCGTATTCACCGTGGACTAAAGTGTAGAGCCTCGATGAACACTTGAATAATGTTTCAGGGTATAGTTAACTAAAAGTTTATGATGACTAAAAAAACTCTGACCTGTCTTAGAATATACCAAGTAGTAGTAGCCTGTTCCAGTGGTAAAGTCCAAGATGGTCATAGATGGGTCAGGTGACCCCCCTTTAGATATCCGGTGCTTGCTTCCTCCCCTTTCCCTTCTTCCTCTTCTCTCTACCCCCAAAAAGAGTTGATAGTCATTACACAGACTTCTCTCTCCATTTTCTCTCGAGCAGCGGCAAGATATGTAGCCGACAAGGATCTATATATTACCATATTTCACCGCTCGATTATTCATCGACAATGACTACAGGTTCTCACACGTGCAGATTCCATCACCTCAAGTGCTCAGACCAAGGAATGCAGTTTATCGCGAATTTCTTTTTCAAGCACTCCCTCTGTATCACCTTGAAGATTCAGCAGAATGTATTCACTGCGTATCATCCCGAAATAGACGGACAGTCAGAGATCCAAGTGCAATATGTCAAGCAGAAGCTTAGAACGCAGATCGACTTCCATCAGAATGACTGGTGTGAAAAATTGAAAGTTCCTGTTGATCAACTTTGCCCGGGCGATCATAGTACAAGATCCTATAGGAAAGTCTCTCTTCGAAGTGGAATGGGGCCACTTACTAGGGATCTCAGTTCACTAGCGGCCTAGTGAACTGCAAGCACTAGGCTCGCGAACGACTTTAACAACTCGAGGACGCAGCTCAGCGGTCGGGACACAACGAGAGTCCTAACTCCACTTCTGTCCCCCAGAACTCCACGATTGATGTGGCCAATACGATGACAGCCCACAGCACCCAGCGCTCTCCAAAACCGGTTGACCAGCCAGTCTTTTCACATGGGAAGGATCCCACCTATGAAAATTGGGTACTCGCCATATCTCAGAAACTCAAAGCTAGCAAGGACCAATTTTCTGATGAGGAGACAGAGATGTCTTAGCATCCCGAACCACAACACAGAGGCGGCCAGACAGTTGACTGCAGAAATTCAAGAAACCTAGACAGAGGCAGCGCACACCATGAGCGCCCTGTAAGAGCGAATGCGAACACAGGCTGACAAACGACGAAGGGAACCGGACTCTGGAGTTGGCAATGAGGTATTCTTAACGACAAGGCACCTCAGCACAGACCAAAGGACAATAACACTGGGCGATCAAGCCACTGGGCCCTTTATAATTATAGACCAGATCGGGTGATCTTTAAACTGGATTCACCTAAGGTGTTCAACATGGACCCAGTATTTCACCCAGAGAAGTTATGGCTCGCGTTTAAGAAAGGAACCAAGCCAATGACTGGTCAGGTCCAGGACCCGCCACCACCGCTGGAAGTGAGAGGGCAGTCCGAATGTAAACAGGCACTGTTTGTTGGAGTGGCTCGCCGCCCAACCCGAAAGGCTACAGATTAATAAATAAACGATTTTGCTTCCCAGACTTCAAGATCCTAGATGCTGGAGACCAACCCACACAGCACTCTCCAATATCACTTGCTCAGATTCGTTTTAGCAATTGCTCCATGAGGTTTCTTCTTTGAAAGAGGCAAATATATTATAGATGAACGCAAGGTTGAAAAGGCCTGCAGGATGTAATGTGACCGTGCGCGTCATCGCCGATCGGTGCCTTTATCAGGCTCCACTACCCAGGCTCCAACCCCGCTTCCAACCCCACTTGATGGTGATCTTGACCAGAAGAATAATTTACTAAGTTTTTGGCACTTGAGATCTTTGCACTCAACATTCCAGAGAAAGGATCGGAAAATGTTGTCCACAAGGGGTTCGACTTGGGGGAAGATGGACTTTTCCCATGGTCCACAGGAGACTTACCACCCTGCCACCAACCCCAATGGAGTTGTGAGCTTTGCAAATGCAGAAAATGTAATCTGTCACCAAATTCTACCCTCTTTCTCCAAGACAAAAAAGAAAGAACTTAGACTGCTGACAAATAATAGTGGCTGCTTCATGACGACCTGGCCAATTATTTCAACAAACAGGTACAATTACATCCAAGAGAGAACCATGCAGGAATATTGGATATCTGGAACTGACGTTGAAAAGAGCTTTGACAGACAATGTTGTGCATATGGTGAAGGCTATACGGGAAGTCTCAGACTACGATCAGCCACGGCAAAGCATCTAAATACTCATTTCAGCCCCTTCGCACCAATTGATCCCGAAGAAGTGAGCTTTGCTGCGGGAGTGACCAGCTTGAATCAGATATGTGCCCTCCTTTTATGCAATCCAGAAGATTCCATCATGCTGGTTGGTCCAGTGTATGGGGCATTCTATCGAGATCTTACCACCACGACTAGGTGAGCAGGATCCCGGCTGTCACTGATAATTGTCAACCTGATTAATATGACATCAAGCGTACATCTGGAGTACGTTTACGTTCAAGACGAGGATCAATTCTCACCCGGCGGCGCCTATGCCATTCAGGCTGGATTTGAAGCTGCGAAAGCACGAGGAAGAAACATTAAAGCATTAATGATATGCAATCCGCACAATCCACTTGGACGTTGCTACCCTCTAGACACGTTGGTCAGGATCCTTCGTCTATGTGCATCGAAGAATTTTCATCTTGTCAGCGATGAGATATACGGCTTATCTATTTACAAACGTCATGATAGGCCATCGGAAACCTTCACCTCTGTCCGCTCCATTGATTTTGCCGGTCTTATCAGCCCAAATCTGGTTCATGTTCTTTATGGAATGTCAAAGGTATGTCTAGATCGTTTCAAATATAGAGAAAAGAAAAGCAAACTGACAATCACAACTAGGACTTTGGCGCAGCTGGCATGCGATTGGGCTGTGTGATATCGCAGAATGACGAGTTCAACAAAGCGGCCCGAGCTATTTGGTCAGACTCAATATTTGGACAAGATCAACTAAACAATTGGGACAAGCTAACTGAATATCATTCTTCAGCCGCTTTAATTCTCCTTCTCAATTATCGATGAGCCTGGCAGCGACATTGCTTGAGGATCAGAAGTTTGTTACTGAGCTATTGAGTAAATCTCATACTCTCTTATTGCGGCATCGCTTATTAGCAGAAGAGCTTCTGAAACAGTCAAATATCAAATTTTATGACGAGGGGTTTGAGAAGACTCCCAGTTGTGCACGGTGTATATTGTGATAAATTATCTGATATCTCGAACCCAACAGGAATGCTGGGCTGTTCTTATGGATTGATTTGAGCGCACACCTCCCGAATGAAGATCCCGAAGAAGATGATGGATGGGTAGCCGAGAGACTTCTTTCCCGCCGCCTGGAGACAGCAGGTATCATTATGTCCACCGCTGAGCAGTATCACGCACCGAAGCCCGGGATGTTTCGAATTATATTCACTGTGGATGAGAAAACCCTTTGAGAAGGTATTCGAAGGTTGGTGACATTTTTTGGCGTTCTTCTGCCTCCCAAACAGCTCTTTACGTGCTAATAATCATTGCATAGAATATCGGCCTTGTTAAGAGAATAGAAATATACGCTAGATAATAGCGCGTGTTTTTCAGGGTTCTTCGGCAAAGCGCGACATTGGAAACGGGCAGCATTTTCTAGATTTGACCGTTAGGCTTCCTATATTTAGTCTTGGTTAGGGAAGAGCATCTTTCTCATCGCACCATCATTTATTTTGCTTTTGGACATAGGTGCTTCGGCACAGCAACAGATAGCTGTCAATATCAAATGGCGGTGAGTGATACAAGGCTGTCTGTATCAGTCCACTCACGCGATCTTTGTTTCATGCTCCCCCCTTCCAGGCTTCACCACAATGACGACTCATAACCTTTACACCACCGACGGCGCAATTGAGGATTTCTTCAACTCCAACCCTGCTGTCACAAGACAGCAATGCGATGAGTTCGCCATTTCTCATGCTGGTGGCGTGTCCACTGCTTTACAGATGCAAGGAGTGTGTAGCTATACCGTGACAGCGGGGCCCAACGCGTCTAAGCTCTTCCAGTTTCGCGATGAGAACTCTACCATTGATATGAGGAACATCGGCCTCGCTAAAGCAATCCATTCCGAGTTCGTAGCTAGTTGCGAATATCTCGGAATCATTGGCAATTCACAGCCGCTCCATATATACGAGATGGACAAACTCCCTGGGACTCCTCATATTATGGCGCATATCTCACCAGACGACATGTCTCAGAATAGTAACGCTATCAGAGATCTTGCAAGGTGCATCTAGCAAATCCTTTGCTTTATTTGCAACAGCTAATCTTTCAGAGCAGATTCTTTGCACAGTCATGGAACAACGACCAACGGCCAAGCTCAGATGAAACCGCTGTCTTGCTCGCAGAGTTTGAAACAAATTTTGGTCTACTTGCTCGAGACCTGCCCTCTCGCTTTGCACCAAACCTAGAAAGGGTTCGCCTGGTTCTCCCGTCGCTCTTCTCCAAAGCCCTGCCTTTTGTCCTCAGTCACCGGGACCTTAATACCATGAATATCCTCACCAATACCGAAACTGGAAATATCACAGGCATTGTCGACTGGGCCGAATCCAGAATTCTACCGTTCGGCTTTGCTTTATACGGACTTGAGAATGTTTTTGGCCAGATGGATTCAGAAGGGTGGCACTACTACGATCGCTACCACGAAATGGAGAGACTCTTCTGGCAAAGATTTCGGGAGGAGGCTAGGAATTTCTCTGATGCTGATTTGTCTTTGATCCGCGCTGCGAGAATGGCTGGACTCTTCTACCAGTATGGATTTCATTTTGACATTAAGGGTGTAGTTCGGCGGGTTCGAGTAGAGGAGTCGGATGGCTCCCTTGCATATCTTGATGCTTTCTGTACTGCTGATGAGTGGAGTCCTTTTGAGTAAGACGGCTTTTGACGTGTGGCAAGGCAACTGTTATGAGGAGATGTAATCTTCGGTTAACTCGCGAGCCTCAGGCATAAAGATAGCCGCAACTCGGGGCAATTAGCACCAACATCGGCGTCCTTACATCAATTGGCGGATGAAGATTTTCCTGAACGGGAAGAGAAAAGCTAATCGAAAGATATCAGAGGTTTAGAAAAAATATCACTGACGGGAAGTGGAATCCATAGTTTATAAAAGTCTTTCAATTGTAAAAATCCACCATGTCATCATATCCACCTCTGCAGGCGACGCTGGAGCTGCTGACGAGGCTGGGAAGATACCGAATAGTCGAAAAGGAAGAAGCGTGAGTATAATGTAATAGGCAGTAATAAAGCTGGCGTCGGAGACAATCAGTGAAAAGGATTCATTTTCACTCGGCAGGACTGCGGATGAAAGATTCGAGGCACAGGATATTGAAGGAAACTCATGCTGATGAGCTCAGTCATTAATTCGGTAGATGACTTAGCAACTCTGCCACCTTTTCCTCCAAGGCCTTATGTTGCTGAACTGCCTCAGCATGTATCCGTGCAAGAGTAGGCCCATCACCGATAGTCGTAATGGCCTCAGCCAGCTTTCTCACCCTCTCAGAGCTAGCATCTGCCCTGACGCAAGCCTTCTGATACTCTTCATGCCACAGGTCGAAATTCGCATCTTTCGCTTCCTCGGGTGCTGCGGACATGTTGGTAGCCTCGTGTGCGTTTGGTACCTAATAAATGTATGTGATGAGCTTTGTGTCTTTGTAGAGAGATGTATTACTTGCAGGGATGTGTGATTTCGACCGGTGCTTAGCCGAGAATTCTTCTTTGCACGGTTGGAAAGTCGTTTCCTTTCGCTGGGAGAGAGGTACGAAGAGGGAAAAGCGAGGAGGATCCACCTCGATGTGAGATCAGCGTCTTGATTTCAAGGTTTGAGCGGTGACCTTGACTTGAACACAAACAACTTCACCAGAGCTGCAGATTTGATGTGAAGAAGTGACGAGCGCGATGGTGTTGAAGAATTTGATATCTGCGATGGCAAAGATGGTAGATTTTGGTAAAGGGAGGGAAGGGAGAGGGGGGGGGGGACGTGAGCTGTTGTTCCAAGGTTGGAATGAGGAAGTAAAAGAACGGCGAGGGTGATAGGTTGTAAATAAGAGCAGTAATCAAAACACGTTAATGCGGCGGACGTAAGGTTATCAAATATTAGCTCAGGTAGCTGTTATGCTTTTGAATACAGCACGGTGAACTGAGAACCATCCACTGTTTCTACATACATCTCAAGCGCAGACCTTTGGCACATCATGAACATTGCGGATGCACGTTGCTGGATTTCAAAATGTTTATTCCAAGGTTCTGGATGTTGTCACACTTTTGATATCTAACCAGAGCAACTTGAGAATATAAACAACATACCAATTCCTACTAGCCATGCAGAACCCAACGGGAGCTCCAAACATTCGCAAATATTCACGTCCCTACTAAATCTTGCTCAATTCATGCCATGAACCGCTTGATATCGTCTCCGTCAGAATACTCTGCAATATGCATGCTAAAAATCACTCGTAGAGAGGGGGCGATGGTGATCGAGTCAACCAGTGGTCTAGTACTAGCGAATGATATACGGATCGAAGAGGATCCCTCTCGCACGTGCAAGCAGCGGGATGCATGCAATCCGCTCAAGTGCTAAGTGGACAAGGAAAATAAAATATTGTCGTGCAACTGCTTTTAATGCGGCGTTATCAAAAAGACGGTGCAGATTTCAAAGCGAAGGATTGTGAGGATGTGGGCCCCACTCAGCATCGATAGATGCCAGGTCTTCTCGAGGCTTCCTCACAATATCGCAGCCCTACCTCGTGTGTCTTCGAGGTTTGCCCTGGTGATCTTTACCGCAGTAAGATAGGGACAGTCGTTTCAGTACATGATAACAATGTCCCTTGTATGATCCGGGTGTGTCTTTTATCTTTACTGGTCTATATCCAGGTCATGAAAAGACATCTCTCTCGGCAGCCTATCTCGATTCTTTCCAAAACAAAAAAGACAGGCTCGAAAGAACTTGGTATTGAGAGGGTGCATGATCTAAAGGTTCTGGCTAATTCCCTTGATTAAGTCTCAGAATCAACTGGTCTATAAGTGAGGCATGTGCTGTCTTCAAAGTCTTCTTCACAAATCCGGTCATCAACATGTTGCATTGCATATCAATATCTTCTCTCAAACACCACCCCCGACTCGGCTCACCCGCTAGCCCAGAAGCGATCGCTTCTGTAGGGTCCTCGCTCACATTGCTCTCAACGCTCCAAGTCTCCTTCATGTCCAAGCCCATGGGGGCGTAAACATGGGTCTGCAGGCCCGTTCGGAGGTCAAAAAAGCATGCTTTGAACGTCACTTCCCCGGAAAGCAGATTCCATGGCAGGTATGCAACCTTGTCCGTGATCTCGTACCAAATGAACTCCTGCTCATCCGCCGGGGTATCCTCGGGAGGGTCGCATCGCTGGAAATTGCAGACCAATGGATTCAATTTGATCATGTCCGCATGAGAATGTAGCAACTTAAGCACTGTCTCCGGGGTGATACACGCGGGAAGTGGTGTGACTATGGTGAATACACTTCGCATGGTAATCGGCGAAGAAGAGAAGCTGGCTAAGTAATATGCAGCTGGGGGTGGAAGGGGTCTGAACAGTGGTAGGTGAGGGTGAGCACTGAGAGGGGTAAAGTAAGCAGAGCAGAACGGGACCTGCCCCTGATCTGACCGATTTGCAAGGGTATCATGTGACTCCCATGGCAACAACTGTCAACAATAAAATATCAAACTAGGCAAAAAAACGAACTTTGGAGCGCAAAATTATTCAGTAAAACTATCTCCAAGTGATACTCGATTCGGAAATATTATGACTGAAAACGAGTAGCTCATGCTGAGTCATGCAGCATGCTCATCTCCCCGCCTCGAAAATCACTCACTAAGCCCGAAAGGGTAGGGAATGACGCTAACCTTGCTGGGGCGCACTGTCGATCAGACTCTTCGTGGAAGAATTCCAGGTCGTTAGAAATTTTATTTCTTCCACACTGTCTTGGTCCAACGATGAGACGCCACCATCTTCAACCTTTGCTTGCATTGCGAGAATGAACCCGATACATGCCCAAAAAAAGCGCTACCTAGATTTGGATAGTGTTTATGCGATGGCCAAGAAGCCCAAGAATACTACATATACCAAACATATGAAGGTTTATCGTTGACTTAGCCACATAAAGCCCACTGCAACTATCCAACATTTCGAACATACTAACATTGATCTATGTACAATAGTTGATGCTTCGGATGTTTGAAGATCCGGGCCTCACGTGTATTGATTAAAATGAACAGACAAGCACCTGCAAAAGCAGCAAGATTGCAGCCAATGAACAAGATCCTACCAGTTGATTACCCCCTGACGAAGTTGTATATCCGACATTCAACGAGTTATTCTGATAGCCAACAGTAGGGAGCCAGGTGGGAGTGTCGGTATCATTCCGCAAAACATCAGAATGATAGCTATCGATGACGCCTGAAAAGCTCATAGCGAATTTACCCACAAAGGTATATACGGCCTCTGCATCAAGCGGAAAATCCGGCCCTGTTTTCGAGATAGCGTCCGCCGCAAAGTAACCCTGCATGGAAAAGTTTGCAGTTGTGTTATCAAACTGAAGATTCACAACTGGGTTTGTGAACTCGGTCCCGTTGAAAGTTGTATTGAACGAAATTGGAGCGAATGACCAGCTGAGAACTTTGGTATCACCGCAGTCTGTTGTGCTGTTGACCTCCCAGTAATTGAAACCATTATAGTCATCTAACGTACTTGAGAGATTATAAGGCGGGGCCTTGGCTTTCTCAAGGGACCAGATGAAATTATTGTCACCGTCTGAGAAGGAGGAGTTGTCATAGACAGGGCTAGGTATTCTTAGTCAAATATTCAATCCTTTTCTCAATTTTTGGCAAAGACACTCACTTGGACGAAAATAGGGCGTATTTCAGGGAGGGTACCATCTCTTGAATCGATTCCCAGGAAGCAATCGAACTGAAGTTGAACCCAGGGGGCCAGAGAGTCAAAAAGGCATTCACTGGGTCATTCTCGAGGTCGTTGTATGAGGCTGGCTCTGTGAGAGCTAGCAACGACGTGTAATTTGTCGTGATCGTTTGATTGCGAAGAACAGGACAATATTCCGTTTCGGAAGCTGCCAGTCCAGCATAAGCAGAGAAATCAAGATATGTGGTTCCATTGTAGTACCTAAAGGTGATTGATGAGAAAATATTTTCGCTTTTACGGTCGGGAAATCAACTTACGATCCAACCCAACGGTAAAGGTCGCTCAAAGTCACATTGTCAGGCCGAAAGTTGAGTTCAGCGGAACTGCTCGTATCCGCTGTAGCGAGAACTACAGCGAAGGCCGTACTGAAAAGCACGGCTGGCACCTTTTGAAAAGCACGCATTCTGCTTCGGGGAGAGACAGATCTGAACGTCAACACGGAATGAGGGACTTGCTTTTGTAAAGAATGGCAGTGTTTGGTTAACCCGAGCAGGGGAAATGCAGGGGAAATGCTTCATTGCCCAGGCTCGGGTATTTTAGTGGCGCTACAAAACCAGCGGTCCCTTTCCTTAATTGAACTTGGCTTTGCGGGGTTCTTGGCTGCTAATCCACCAATCCTCAGTCGGAGACCTGGCGAGAGGCTCGGTTGCGCTCGCGGGGCGATTTTTTCGGGGTTCCCGTGGCCCCTTTTTACCCTTAGCCCCGACTATTCGGAATCAACTAAGCTGTAATGAGGTCGGCTTTCCGAAGCTACTAGTTGATTGCCAAGTCCTTTTTTGTATGTCGAAAGGAGATTGGAGATTGGAGTTTCCTGCGAGCCAATCAACTGTTTGCATCAGCGAATATTATGTATAGAAGTTCGGATAAAACTTGAACCCCCTAAAATTGAATTTTGAAATCCCCTGTATGCCTCCACTAGTGAGAATTCTTCAACTCTAGAGTCTAGACAAGCTAGACCTAAGAAAAAAAAAAAAAAAAAAAAAGCCAATTCACTAACGGATGGCAGACTGGAGAGGAAGAGAAAGAAAGCGCAAATGCAAAAATAGAGAAGATCAACCAAGCACAGCGTGCGAAACGGGACCACTCTGCCTTAGCCCTCAAGCCCGGATCAGTACCTCAGTGTCACAGTAACATTGAACTAGTACAGGTATCCGCAATATATGGGTGGTTGATGGGAGCGATTTTCATCAAAGATCGTTTAGTGGACACAAAATTAAGCTACTAAAGATATGTGCTAAGGGAATTGCCGAGTCCCTGCCCTGATTCGTGAATCTTATGCAGTACATGTGGTAGGCGGACACTGACTCCCCGGTCGCATTTGAAGTTTTGTGTTTGTGCGGGTACAGGATATTAGCATACAGAGTACATCGTCCAGGCCTACTCTACAGATCGATGATCTGGAGTTTCCGATAAATTTCTCGGGAGGATCGGAGATCCCCTGCCCATGCAGTGTACTCAAGTGCTCGCGGGATTTGCGTACGTAGGCCTCCCCACTACGGCCCGGGAGTTCCACTCCGATATCCACTCGTATTATATACGAAATACGAATCCCGCTGGAACCTCGAAACCCTGAAACCCTGAAACCCTCCGGAGTCCGGATGGAACGGCGCTAATTTCTCTTTCTGAGCCGAGATTTTTCTACGAACTTCTAAGTCACGTAAAATTCTGCCACACACGTGCTCCTCCCCATCCATACGTTATAATAAGTGACTCCATTCTTTGGGTCTAATTCGTGGGCCTAGTCCGTAGCAAGTATGGCTTCTCCAAGATGAGACAACATCGCAAGTCCTAGCCCCGAGGTCGGAGATGACAGAAGATGTACCACTTGATTCAATTGGAGGATTCTCAACTGTCCTTCGCAGATTACCTCCAGTCCTACTGAGTGCTCAATTCCAGGATCAAAAAAAGGCCCTTTGGCGACCGAGGCACGGTACCGATCGCCTCTCTTGAAAACGCAAGTCCGTGCTAATTCATGGGGCGCCCGAGGCCTCACCTATGGCACTTGTATACAATCTGGTATTTTTCGAATCGCTACTGAATTTCGCTTTACTAGTACAACCCATTAGCCTTTGCGATAATAATACTCCGTGCAGATACAGCGACTAAGCCTTTGAACTAAATCGCGCATATTTGTACCTGCATCCAAGCTGATACCGAGAAAATCTGGTGCCATCAATCATAACCTACTTAGTTTGCCGATTAGATGATTATCAATGTTTTTAGACAGTCCGAGTTTTTGGCTGTTATAATTTCATGCAAACATTCGAAGCAACCGCAGCAACAAATTTTGGCCCATATTTCAACTTATTGGAACACCGCCACGCTCTGGACGAGAATGGACCTGCATCACCATGCTAACCAGTAGCCGTATCTAAAACAGAGCTTATAGTTAATCCTGCATGAAATACGCGCTAGTATCTTGACTGTAAATATTAGCGTATTGAAGAGAGAAAGCCATACAACACGCCTAGCCGAAGGCTCCTACTAGCGTATAATATACTACCCGAAATTGTCATTCTTCGCATGATTTACTGTCTGAAGATGAACCGGGCCCTCAGCTAAGCATTGATAGTCTTGGCAAGAGGCGCGTCCATCTGCATAGCGGCATTGTGTGGCGCCCTAGATGCTAGTAAACCAATCTAGGAGCGACTTCATTTCTCTGTCAAGGCCTTCGAAGTCAACAGGGAATTTGCCCGCACCCCCCGGAGATGGTATAAAAAGATGTCCTAGAGACCACGAAATTGATATCGACCAACAACTTCATTCTTTTGACCAAACTACATTCCTTTATTCTCTATATTTTACCGCCTCTATGACTTAGAGGTATCTCAAACACTCTTTGAACATACAATCTTCTTCTCCCAGGGTCAGAGCATTCTCCATCTGCTTTTACAAACCTGGAACCTTGCCCACAATGTGGTCTCAAGGCCCTACACTTGGGGTTCTGTTCTTGTTATTCATCTGTCAAGTTTGTGCCACGAGCCTTTCTCAACTTCAATCCGAGTTCAACTCCCCTGCCAACATCTCTGCTCGTGCCAGAGTGCAGAAGCCTACTCGATGCCCCAAAGAACTCGCCAGCTATGATTCCATGCAGTGGACCGTTTATCCCAGCACTTCAAGGGTTACCCGATGCAACCAGACAATGCTTTTGGATTTCATGCTATACAATCCGTTGAACAACAGTGACAGCCGACACACAATATATAGTACGGTTGCGAATTCGACAACCACCTTTTCGGATGCTAGCTCTGGTACATCCTGCCTCGATATATCTACGCAGTCTGATGCTACCTACCAAGTTGGCTTTTGGGGTGCCGCAGATTCGGATGCCTCCGATTTGGACTTGACTCCGTTGCAAGCTGTCAACTCATACATGACTGGCAATTGTCAAAAGTCGACGATATTTTCTTTCTCTGAATCTGAAAACATGGCTGTGGGTATTTATGTTGGGGGTAGTGTTCAACATACCCTTAACGTTGATTTTGCCGTCGAAGAAATGACCAAAATTCTTGAGGCTGGAGACTCTAGCTCAAGCATGATCTTGCAGTACTGTGGCACCAACTCAAACTATACCCTAGGTATTGCGGTTGATTTGACTGGCAATATCGCGGCTGTCCAGCAGTATGTCAAAACTTGGAGCGACGGTGGGTGTGTCTCTGGTTTCACCAAGAGTGAAACTGTGGCCACTACTCTGTATTCTACCAACTTCAACTCGCGTGTCAGCACCTCAAATTCCTCCTCTCAGAGCAATAGCACCTTATCGATCAGATCCCACGGTCCTCACGGTCATACCATTACACACACCCATTCTCAAGACCTACATCGCCGCTCAACCTGCTCCTACGTACAGGTCATTTCTGGAGATTCTTGTCCCTCCTTAGTCACAGAGTGTGATATCACAGATGCTGAGCTCTACGAGTACAACACAGCTTCAGACCTATGTTCTACCCTTGCTGTTGGACAATATATCTGTTGCTCATCAGGTAGTCTTCCAGACTTCGCACCAACTGTTTCTTCAAACGGAACCTGTTACACATATAACGTGGCCTCGGGCGACACTTGCTCGGCAATTGCTGCTACTTACAGCTTGACTGTTGATGACATCGATAGCTTCAATGATGACACTTGGGGCTGGTATGGCTGTGATGATTTGCAGGCCGGCCAAGCCATTTGCCTTTCCAATGGTACTGCTCCTTACCCAGAATCTATCTCCAGCGCTGTTTGCGGTCCCCAGGTTCCAGGAACCAATTTCACCGGAACCGATGGTGCTGCGGACTGGGCTGCCTTGAATCCTTGCCCTCTTAACGCCTGCTGCGATATCTGGGGCGAGTGCGGAGCTACTCCTGATTACTGCAACGATACACTAGCGGCTAGTGGTGCACCTGGAACAGCCCCGGCTGGCTCTAACGGTTGTATCTTTAATTGCGGAACAACGATTGTCAATACCGCTACAGCGCCTGCTTCTTATTCTGCTGTTGGGTACTTCGAAGCTTATAACGTTGAACGTTCTTGTCTGAATATGAATGCTATTAGCATTGATGTCGAAAAGTACACCCACGTTCACTTTGCTTTTGGAAATATCACTTCAAACTTTTCAATTAGCATTGCAGGCCAAGAGCAACAATTTGAATACTTTCGGGAGCTGGCTGGTGTCAAGCAAATCATGAGTTTCGGTGGTTGGGATTTCTCCACAAACATTGACACTTACATGATCTTCCGCGAAGGTGTTGCTGCAGATAACCGTGATACTTTGGTCAGCAATATTGTGGACTTTGTTACAACCTATGCTCTCGATGGAGTGGACTTCGACTGGGAGTATCCAGGTGAACCTGATATTGCTGGAATTCCTGCCGGTAGTGACGAAGATGGCTCAAACTACTTAGCCTTCCTCGAAGCTCTTCGCACTGCTATGCCAGATAAGTCTATCTCTATCTCAGCTCCCGCCTCTTACTGGTATTTGAAAGCCTTTCCTATTGCAGAGATTGCAGATGTTGTGGATTATATCATCTACATGACATACGATCTTCACGGCACCTGGGACCTTGGGGATGAGTGGGCTCAAGACGGTTGTACCGCAGGTGATTGTTTATTCAGTCATGTGAACTTGACTGAGACGTTGTGGGCATTATCTATGATCACCAAAGCCCCTGTAGCTACCAGCTCTATCATGGTAGGTGTTACTAGCTATGGCCGCTCATTTGAGATGACTACAGCTGGTTGCTACACCTCAGATTGTACCTGGGATGCGGCTGGAGCTGCTGGACCTTGTACTGACACCGCTGGGTATATCTCAAATGCAGAAATCAACCAAATTCTCGCGGAAAATTCCAATTCAGAGCAGCTCTTTAGCAGCGGTGATGACTCTGACATCGTGGTTTACAATGACACACAATGGGTGGCATATATGACCAACACGACAAAGAGCACTCGCACTGCCTACTATGAGACTTTCAATTTCGCGGGAACTAGCGAGTGGGCCATTGACTTGGAGGAGTATGAGCTTTATTTCGACGCCTCAGGAGATGATCTTGTTGAGCTAGAAGCGTATGGGGATAGTTTGAGCCTGGATGTTACGGTGGACTACGATCTAGCGTGCATCAATCTGGTTTCAGGTGTTAACACCACTGCTGAGCTTGAGAAATACATTGTCCTGGCAGCGACTGAGATCGATGCAGTGCTTACTGAGTATAGCGGTAAGTTGAGGATTTTCAAAATCAGTGACCGTCTGGTGATCTGATATCTAACATATTTCCATCACAGGTGATCCCAAAGATTGGTTTGCCGAAATGACGAGTGGTCATTCCAACGGCGGTGACTCGTGCGTCGATTTCCCTGCGGCAGGATGCACTGCTCTGTCTGAACAATACTGCGCCGACGGTGACATCTCAGATGCTCTGTTTTGGGCTTCGTACATTGCACAGCAACTCTACCAAATTTTGCTGCAGTGGTACTCTGCTTTTAACGAGGCCAGCTTCATAAGCGGGATGGACATAGCAACCATCGCTGATACCTTTGCACCCACAACAGACGGTGACACTTCGAGCTTTGCCAGTCTCCTGAGTACCTTTTCCAGTTCACTCGGCATTGCCGCTACGGTGGTCCCTGAAGTTGATGGGGTCAACACAGCTGTCAGTACGGTTTCGAGTTTTGTTAGTCTTCTGCCAAGCGCAAGTGATTTCAGTCTTCCCACTAGTTCGGACCTTGCGACTGCTCTGGAGTCTATGATGGAGACGGTTATCAATGCTACTCTCACAGCCCTCGCCGATCTCAGCACCGATATTTTCGAATACCCAAATCGTGCCAGCAACTTGCCGAGTGACTTGATCACTGGTCCTTTCACCCATGATGTGGCCAACTATATCTACAATACGAAGCCCCTGTTCGAGATAGACGCTGATTCTTGGCTGAGCTTGGTGGATACTTTCAATGTCACCATGAAAAAGGCTATGGTTGGGACGGCTCTCGGTGCCGGCGACTATTACATCTTGAGAGATGCATCTACCTCCGAGGATGATTGCACTGGAACTGCCAAATACTACATTGATGGGAGCTGCTACACGTTAGCCTACCCTGGTCTTTCAACCTGCACAGTTGGAAACGGTCTCTCAACCCACGCTGAAGCAGATACAATCGCCAGCATCATCAGCTACGGAATCGATGTGGAAAACTTGATCACGATTTCATACGACTGTCAGAATGCAACCGGGGAGTACTTCGGTACTGTGGATGCTGATATTTCGAGTTTGACTGATGGGGGCAGTCTCCCGACTTGCTTCTACAATCTGCCTGTCCTGGATCTCCTGGTTGTTGATGGTAAAGCTCCCGATACAAACAGCCCCTGCTGGCTAGTTCTTGAGCAAAGCGCAACTACCAATATTACTGGAGAGACGTATCTGCCCGATAACTTGTATTCCATCTTCGAGGATGATTGCGAATGTCATGAAACGAGTCTTTGCGCGCGCAGTGATCTGACAGCGCTAGAGAAAAGACTTTACTGTTAGTCGAAGCTCAGGGTACATGCGTCGTTCAAGTGATCGACATTACCTTCCGATGCGACTGCCGTTGCTCTGTCAGCACTTCAATGTTGACCTAGATGATATATTCGACGTCAATTGGCGCCGGCTAGTCATATGTTCTTTGAGCCCAGCTATGAGCCAAAGTGCTAAAGCCCTCTTCTATATGTCCGCCAAGCTAAAAATTTGTACTGGTATCTTTCTTTTTCAGACTGTTCCTCTTGTATCGATAACATTTTTCAACTCGTTAGTTGAAAGAGGGTGCTTTTGTTTGCATGAAGTGGTATGCAATCTGTAGCATCTGAAAAGTACACAATATCACAATTCGAAAAATAAAGCAGAGTGAGAAATGTTTCTGCTCAGTATATTTCTGAATCGCCTGTAAATTAAACTCACGCTTCCAACTCCAGCTCTTCAAATGTTGTCTTTTACCACGCACTATGCCCGCATTTTGCAGTAGACATCAATTAAGCAGGGTTCTACTCATCCAGAGGGTAGAAATCTGCTTCATGTGCAATTGAAGCCTTTCAAAATAAATATATCTGGTCATTTATAGCCGCTGCGCGTATATAGAACATTGATCTTGAATATACCACGTCCCACCTAATGTTACGCGACCGCGCCAATGGGCTTGCTTTTCGAAAAAAAAAAAAAAACTATGCGTACCAAAAGCTTCATGGGACCATAAAATGGAACCAGCTCAATCAATGACATTTGAAGGTAATGCTTAGTACGCAAATGTGAATTTGGAAAATGCGAGCACGAATTTATTTGTCTTGCAGTCAGAGCCTACTCTGGAGAAGACAGAATATTCGCAACCCACGCCGTTCTAGTGCGAATGGCCCTTTGAGATATCTCAGCAGTCGGCATCAACAGATCAAACCCATGGACCCCACCCGGCCAAACATGCAGTTCCACCTGCACACCCGCTTCGAAAAGACGACTGGAGTATGCAATATTTTCATCCCGGAACGCTTCCGCCGAACCAACATCGATAAAAGTAGTAGGCAGACCCGAGAGGTCATCCGCAATAGCAAGACCCGGCGAAGCCAAGATATCGACTGCTTCTCCTTCTCCCTTTCCATGATCCCCCAAATAGCAAGACCAGGCCACCTTGTTTTTCTGACGAGACCATGTTCCTTCAGTTTCAAACTGCCGACAGGAGACCGAATCATTCCGATGATCGAGCATCGGGCACATGAGCAGCTGCGCACAGAGTCGGGGTCCTCCTTCGTCACGCGCGCGAAGGGCCAGTGCCGCTGCAAGGCCTCCGCCGGCTGACTGTCCGGCGAGCATGAGTCGAGACTCGTCAATGCCTAGCTCGGAAAGATGACTGCTGACCCATTTCAGCCCTGCGTAGCAATCGTTCAGCGGAATCGGGTAGGGGTGTTCTGGCGCGAGTCGGTACTCCACGGAGATGCATGTCGCGTTTAGTTTTTCTACCCATTCGGTGACAACGGACATTCCCATGAAGCGATTGCCGACGAGAAAACCGCCACCGTGGACGTAGTAGATGCCTGGACCCGGCTCTTGGTTGTCTGGGCGGTTTGCTGGTTCAAAGATGGATAGTGTGATTTCGCCTCCTGGTACTGGGATCTGAATCTCTTTATGCTTTATCGCCTTGCCAGAGATTACGATCTCCGCTGTGTGAGCCTGCCATAATGTTGTCCTTATCATGGGGATGATTTCCAGGTTTATCTCCTTGGCAATGGAAAGTTGCGCCATGAAAGCCTCAAGCGCGGGGTCAAAAGGAGGTTTCGAGCTGTGGGGTGCCATTTCTGTTTTCTTGTGAGTATCTGGTTGTGCTATAGTTTGCGTGTTGTGTGGTTCGGTGGGTGTTGACAAGATCAGCGTTGACAAATGCAAGGTACCGCGATATTCTGTTTCGCTACTCGTTAATCTGTAATCTGTAATATCATATGTTATCTGTGGATATGCAAAGGCTTTTATTCCCTGTTGCAGCTTTGTATGGGTTTTATCCTTCATTATGCCATCAACTGTCGGGCATTACTTGCCCGGGGACCGGGGTTGCCCCGCACACTTCTGGTTTCCACAGTCCACTGCCCACATCCCGAAATTAATTGGCTGTTTGGTATATCATTTCTCTTGTGCCATTGACATCCGATTCTCCTCGCTACAACCAATACCATCTATGAGGTCTATTTTGGATTTTGGATTTTCAATTGTATGTCACGCTTCATGAAAGACTAGATTATGGAAGTCAATATACTCATTCTCACTCCCTCAAATGTTAGTAGATCCGTAACATTGAATTATACAACGATCTCAACATTCATATCCTCAGGCCAAACAGCCTCGTCGACTCCATTTCCCCGCGTACCGATCCCAAAGCCTAATGTGACCTCGCCATTGGGAAATTGCGCAACCGGTTTGATTGTGCGAATAAATTGCCCCAGAGCTCCAGATTTTCTAATCTCGAAGAACGAAGGCTGAAGAAGTGTCGCAGCGTTGTACTCGTACATTGCCTTGCCTACCTGGCGGATCATATTTATCATGACGTGATAATGTTGGAAGGTCAAGGAGCCAGTGGATTTCCAGAGCTCAGACCAGACTTCGGCAGGGTATTTGCCACATGACCTGACAAGCCACTGTGAGTAGTAGTTGAGAGAGACCTGCGCAGCAATTAGAGTAAGACAAATCATTGAGTTCATGGCGTCTAAGGCTCACATCAATTCCGTAAGAGCCTCCTTTCTCGCCCCGTTTGCATAATGCTTGAAGAACTGCAGCACTGCCAGAAACGCCGCAACTGGAGACTTCTTAGTATTTTTTCCCCGTGAAGTAGAACATTAAAGAGTTCAAATTTACCAGTAGTCGGAATTGGGGAAAACTGGCGTCACAGCTCCGGCAACACCCATCGCCTTTCCATATTCATAAGAGACACCGCAGCACTGGCCAAATGATTAGCATCAAATGTCAATAATTAACCCAACAAAAAGAGTGAAGAACGTACAGCATCGCTGATTTGCTGCCAGCCACTTCGGCCTTGCCAGGGGCCATTCCAGCCATAGCAGTTTTCTCTAACGTGAATAACACCTCTTTCACGATCCTTGCACAATGCATAGATATCTTCCCGGCCGAAACCCCATTTGCCCATGACGCCAGGTCGGTACCCATCAACCACGACATCAGCCTCGGATATCAATTTCCTCAGCTTCTCCCTGTCACCAGCGGAACGAAGATCAAGGTAACAATTCCATTTCCCCCAGTTCAAGTCATGGTGCAGAGCTGACATATCATCGATGTGTTCTGCGGTCACACGCATCACACGGGCGCCCATTTCAGCCAAGCTGCGGGTTATACAAGGACCGGCGATGATTCTTGTCAGATCAATGACTTTAAGGCCGGCCAAAGGTCGTTGGGTGGATGTCTCAGGGACTTCTGGCCACCAGGAAGGGCCTTGATTCTGGGTTTCCTCCTTATCAATTGTGTAAAGATCGATGTGGGCGTTTGCCTTTCCATGCTCGCTGGCAAAATATTCTTCGGGGGTCCAGGCCACTGTGCCTGCTTTGCGGTATTGGTCGTTCATCAGAGTATCGAGCTCTGTGGCTGTGAACCTTTCCACTGCGGCCTGGTACCGACTCACGATATCGTCATATGTTTCGCCATCGACTCCTTCGGGCTGGATACCCAGGGCAGTCATTGTGGGCTCGGGGTTCAAGCTGCCTGTGAGTACAGTCACCATTAGTAAAGGGTCATGAAACACAACATCAGATCGTATTTTGCTGTCACCCTCTTGCTCTGCGTCTCCTCTGCTCGCAGTCAACTGGTAGCACGAACCGTGGGTGTGGTAGTAGCGATCATCTTTTGTCTTGTAGATATTCGTGACCAGCTGGCGATGTAAGGAGAATTGCGATCGATGGTGGTCAGTGTTAGGGAACAGTTTCACCACGGCTTCAGGGCCACCGATTCTTGTGCCGTCTTCCTCCACCAGACTAGCATTCAAGGGGGACATGACGAACAAGCTAGCATGGTCTCTATATTCAAGATATTTGTTAGCTTTTGAGTCAAATTCCGGCACAGTAGGTTCGCGTTCGGATATCTTTATGGAGAGTCTGGGTTTTTTGCTGTGCAAAGGAAGGAATCGTACGTATTGATCTTGATCTGAGGAGGCGGAATCTTGTATTTCCTCACCAGCAACACATTCAACATCAATGCTTCAAATGCTTTCAAGGAGGAGATGCTTTCAGCAAATCTCCACACAACAGGGATGCTTGGTGTTTGCTTGCCCTCGAAAGAAACAAGGTCCTTGAAACTATGAATCTCGGCAGGGAGACCCTTGATCAGAGGGTTTTTGAGAATTCCATTTTCGAGTAGTTTGAGTGATTCTTCTTGGACAGAATATTGGATAGTAGTAGCCATGTTTTTCAGTAATTCAATTTTGTGTTCCAGTGTTGGGAAGATGCACATGTGTAGCGGACCGAAAGTGGGGTATTTCAACTTGAGGTAGATGTACAACTAGAAGATATATTATTTACGCGTGGGTTATTGATTCTCTTGAAGGTGCACACACCATGGAAGTTGTGCAACCAGAACAATTTTGAGTTTGGACAAGATAAATGGATTGACTAGGATTCAGGAACCGTGTGGACTGGAGAGTTAAGTTTAAAGCAATCCCCGACTCTCGAGAGAATGACCAACATTTGAATGCACTGACCAGACTCGGAGCAATGAAAAGCGGGGATCGGATGACCCCGCATTTCCCAGCCGGCGCTAGTCCTGGATCGGTTAGTGTAGTGGACAGTGCATATATTTAATACTGACAAAGATCTCTAAGTGATGGCAAGACAAACTAGTACGATGGAAAGTGAAAAAGTGGAGTTGAACGTTCAACAGTAGTATTATTACCATGCTTAAACGTATGAAACATCTGGCAACACACAACTAATACAGAAAATCCATGCCAAACACATCAGAAACATGAGACCGCAAAGAATGCTGACCAAGGACAAGACATGAATTGAAAGGCCATTTCAAGATGACCATGAAGACTTTTTTTGTTTGTTGTTCTTTTGTTTTGTTTTTTCGAAATTCCATTGTCCAGTTAATTGTTTGTTTGTCCTGGCGTAGAGGTATATAGCTGCGGGGCCTTTTTTGAGAGGCATGTTGTAAGCCGATCCACCAGCAATGATAGAGTCGAGGCGACAATACAGTCGCGTTATGTATCGTGGAAGCATGGAAGCGTGAAGGCACGGAGGCACGGAGACACGGAGGCGTGGCATTGATTCATCATGCAAGTTCCAAGGAGTCGACGGCTGTGGTGAGGAGATGTTTCTTGTAGCTGTACTGTGTTGCCAGAGATCCCTGTTGGGGCAATGCGGATTGCAGTGATTGATTCTTGGTTATCATGATCCTCATCTTCACTAAATTTGTCCTGACACCCAGACTGGAGCTCCCAGCTGAATGACGCCTGTTCAGAAAAGACTTGAACTAAACTGAAGAATCTTTTGTCGGGAATTGAACCGAGGAGAGTGAGATCGATTTCGATGAGGTCGTTGAAGTGTTGAATCTTCTTGGTTATCATGATCTGCATCTTAACTGAATTTGTCCTGACACACAAACTGATGATTCCAGTCCAGTGACGCCTGTTCAGAGAAGACTTCGACTAAACCAAAGAATTGTTTTGTCGGCAGCGGGGTGAAGACGGAGGGCAATGTAGCGATGTGGATGAACGATTTCAATTTGTTGGTTCTTGGTTATCATGATCCGCGTCTTAACTGAATTTGTCCTGACACAGAACTGGTGATTCCAGTTGAGTGATGCCTGTTCAGAGAAGACTTAGACTAAACCGAAGAGTTGTTTTTTGGGAGTGGGACGAAGACGGAGGCGAAGACGGAGGAAGATTGCGATGTGGACGAGGTTTTCAAACTTTTGAATTGGTCCTTGGTTATCATGATCCGCGTCTCAACTGAATTTGTCCTGACACCCAAACTGGAGATCCCAGCTGAGTGACGCCTGTTCAAAGGAGACTTGGACTAAACCGCAGGATAAGACGAACAACATGGGCATGTTGTGTTGGTGACGAATGTCATCAAGGATGAGTAAGATGAAGAAGGTTGTGACCACATGTTGAGTGAGTGGCGAAAGACTTTTTCGTTGAATGAACTCATGAATCTCGAATCAGACAGCAAGGTGTTGTTGTATTGCTGAAACAAGGTGTCACCGAGGAATCAAGGTGTTGAGGTTGAGTGGAACAACCAGGTATGCATGTGTGGCTGCATACATAAAGTCATCGAAGATAGACAATATGCAGATGGATGGACCTATTAAGGGTAAGTGAAAGATCATGTTGTCAATAGATGAAACCTCAAACACAAACAAAGAAGATGTCATAACACATTGGTCAAGTGATGGAGGATGAAACATGAAACATGTTGAAGAGTGGATGTCATAATAAAGTTGGTAAAGGAATGTGGAGTCTGCAGATCAGAGTTTGGAAGTAAGGTAAGAAAGTGGAGACCTGGGGAAAAAAGAAAGAAAGAAGGTTCGGGAGGGGGAAAGCGACTCGGAGGTATTTATACCCCGGTTTTCCCCCCTCCTCTCCGTCTTTTCTTTCTCCCCCTTCATCACATCTCTCATCTTCTTCAAGTCTTTTCTCTATACTTTCATCAAACTTTCATCTTTCCTCTTCTTCTCTTATCTCTTCTTCACTTCAATCCTCCAACATGTCATTCATCAAGTACTTGCTGTCTTTTTTTATATCCTTTTTTTCCATTCCCTTATTCCAGCTGACTTTCTGATAGACCTTTGAATTTCCATCATTGCACTTATGATCACTCTGTCCAACATTTCCCTTGACATACATCATGTCTACCTGTTCTCACTTCAGGTCTCTCGACATATTCCTCAACATGGCTGCGTTCTTCTGAATGCCTTAATGCCTGTCTGTCCTTCTGTCCCTGTTGATACATTTTCTGGCTTCTAAATGTTCCATCACAGCATGATTTGCTCGCCTCCACTATCTCTCGGGACATTCATGGTCCACAGTTCATTCTGATCAATTCGGCATCACAAGGTTGGAAAGTATGTGGACCTTGCAGTTCTTTCTTCGCCTCCGACTTACATGGCTTACTCCACAGATCCTTGCACACATCTCCTCGGCAACAGCTGCACCTGTCGAAGAAAAACAAATCAAGAATCGCAACAACAATCAAAAAGAAAGAAAGAAAAAAAACAAGAAGCCGCCCTTCAAGCCTTCTCCACCAATACAATCTTCTAAGATACTCTTCCTGCCAGTCTTCAAATCGACAAAGTCAGCTCTTCGGATCTTTCGCCTTTCCGCTTTTCACTTGGTTCCCATATCACGTCCTTCTGGACAGGTTTCTCTGGTTTCTCTGTGTCCTCTGTGTCCTCCGTCTTCTCGTGGGTTCTTTTTTGACTCATGCTTCTTGTTGAATCATGTTTTGTTTTTGTGCTCACTTGTGACACCACCATTCTTTGTACTGGCTTACACCTGACAGCTTTTTCTTTCTTTGGATACGCGATTTGATCTCTTCTGGACTACCCTCCCCAGTTCTCTGGAGATAGGGGGTTCTACCCTCCCCAGTTCGCTGGAGATAGGGGGTTTTCTGGATCTGCTCGTCATGGCTGCAATCCTTCCCAGACCTGATGTTCCGGACTTCCCTCCCCATTACTGTGGAGATAGGGGGAAGGATGATGGTTCTGCCTGTCTCGGTTTGGAAAGCACTCTCCATTTATGAACACATGCTGATCCCTTGACTCGATGTTCCATGTGGCGCCCAGAATGGGAGTAGCGATAGACGGTCCTGCTTGTCTCGTGGCTCTCAGCATGTGTACCTTTTTGGAGGGAGCCATAGTATTCATGGTTCGAGATTCGTTTGACGGTCTAGCCTTTTCTCTTTCTGTATTTAACTGCATGACGGAGTTGCGATTCATTGGTAATAACCAGCAACTTCCATTTTCAACCGACTTGTCAAAACAAAACAACAGTCGCGATCTCAGACAGTTCTCACTGCAATCAATCTGTTTCATGAATCACCATACTACTTTTCTTCCTCTTAATTCCATTTTGACAATTCAAATGTAGACCTGATTCGCTTTCTTGCAAATCTGGACTAGCGCTACCGAGCCTTTCCCGTCCCGTGGGCCGTAAGTTATAATCCATCGGCGGTACCCGTCATGTCGATCCATTTCTCCACTCTTACTGATCCTTACGCAACAACACACATATTGGCTACCGAGAACACTAATCATCATTCCTGCCATACCTTTGAAGGGACGCATTTTGGGTCATTTTCTCCTGCCTTCCATTCCACGGAGTGGATTAAATCCATTCAACTAGAGCTCCTGTTCCTGTTTCTTCAAGTTCCTCTCGCCCCCTTTCTGATATAGGACCCGGACTACAGTATTGTTGGTGATACTTGTCAAACGGAAGGCTTCCAGACGTGAATTCTTTTCCCCTGCCACTATTTTAAGCCCCAAAGAGTCCATCGTTAACCCGGTATTCTCTAGTGAAACAACATCAATTTCTTCAACCATCTGCAGGAGAATCTTTGGACATGGACGGAGATACCAGGCACGGAAGGAGGAAGAATATTGGCGCTTCGGCTCTACTAGGGACTTGCAGCGAGAGCAAAATTTTGACTTGTGTTTAGGAGTCCTGCCGATGAGCAGCAGTGTGAGAGCTACGAAGCTGGGTATTCACCAAAAACGATGTGTGTTTGTCGGACTATGCTAACCTTGACTTTGATAGCCATCTAATCTACTATGTGCTTCTAGACTTGGAGAGCCAGAATCCGCTTTTGCAATCTCCACTCTTGGATCCCAAGGTGTGTCCTCCTCACTCGGACCTTTTATGCACTGTTGCTGCTGCGAGTGGGGCTAAAAATTGATCGCATTGTGTGTAGCGTGTCTTGGGCCTGTGAACTGGATGTGGCAGTTGGGTTACGAGGTAGGATATCTCTATCATGATTCTTTCTTGGCTAACAATCTGACAGTGACGTTGCCGACATATTTCCAAATGCCAGATTGCTTCCTCGAACATCACCCAGTCATCTCTAATCTCCTACTTCTAGCAACCGTTTGGGAAGTGGGCCTGTTTCACCTACCTCTTAAGTGGATGCCTCTCAATTGTGTCATGCAAGTAGATGACGTGCTCCAGAGCTGGACCTGGCGGAAAAATCTCGACTGAATCCACTTCCGCCAACTGATGGGCTCGTTTACTCCCTCGGAATGGGACCCGGTATACAAAAACTGCTGCGAGTGAGATAATTCACCCCTAAGATCCCCATATCGGCCACTCGTTACTGACGGGTGGGACAGGGGTTTACAACCAGGTGGCTGGATTAAACAGCTAGAAGAAAACCCACGTGTCCACTACGACGACGGCAGTGTCCCAGATAACAAATGTGCATGGGTGCTGGAGGACGAGGCATGCAAGGCGGCCGATAACTGGGGTCGTCCAATCACAGTCGCCGACACAATGAAATCGTCGCTGGAGAAGGCGGGATTCGTGGATGTGCATGCGAAGACATACAAGTGGCCCATTGGGGCATGGATCAAAGATCCCGTTCTCAAGGAGGCTGGAAATTTGCACTACCATCAGTGGGCATCGGGTATGAAGGGTTGGTCCATGTTATTTTTGACCAAGTATGGTCTTCTGGAGCCGTGGAGGAATGAAGAAGTTCCGATATTGTTGCCCAAGATGCGTGCAGAGATTCAAAATGCCCGTCATCATGTTCGTGGCTGGAACTATATTTAGTCGACGTGTGTGGGCGCGGAAGCCCTTACCGGATGAAGAGGAATCGAAAAACGCGTCATTTCTTTTTAAAAGAATCGCATCCCAATTTGCCTCTTACTAGTAAGTGGTATGTAGACCGGCCAAACATTGTATTTAGCCCCATGGGGAAGTTCATCGTATATCGACCCACTCCAAGCGTTGTGAGATGTTGGATTTATCCACCAATCAATTCTAACCGGTCAATGTCCCGCATTTCCTTTAAGACTGTCTTCAGCCCGCCAACTCTTGAGACAATATCTTTTTCTTCTTTTGAAAATGAGCTTCACAAACCCGATAATCACGGGATTCAACCCCGATCCGTCAATAATTCGAGTCAACGATGATTTCTTCCTGATAACCTCAACCTTTGAATATTTCCCAGGCATTCCAATCTATCACAGCCGTGACTTGATTCAATGGAAATTGATCGGTCATGTATTGACAAGACCCAGTCAACTACAAATCAACACTCCAGAGCCCGGGGGTGGTGTGTGGGCTCCGACGTTGCGATATCACAAGGGCGTGTTCTACGTGGCGGCTGCCAGCTTCTCCCGTTATCGACCGCAGGAAGATGATCGCGTCTGGCCACAGGGGTTTTACGTGAAAACAACCAATATCTGGGACGACGCTACATGGTCCAATCCGGTCTATTTTGACCAGGTTGGATTCGATCAGGATGTTAGTCGCTTTGGAACGAGCCTTTGGCGGATTTTGCTGACTTTCTCACAGCTTTTCTGGGATGATGACGGGACGGTGTATCTTTCGTCTACTTATCGGAAGTTGGAGCGGACTCCAAATGCGAATATCAAGGATTTTGCCGTGCACGTTTGCACTGTGGATCTGGACACGGGCCATTCTACCTCTGAGCCAAGGCTGATTCGTGAGTCGGTCTCTGGAGTTGCAGAGGGCTCACATATTTTCAAACGCGGTCGTTATTATTATTTGTTTACTGCAGAGGGAGGCACCGAAAGTGGACATTGTGAATGGGTCAGTCGAAGTGCGGACGGGCCGTTTGGACCTTGGGAGCTGGGGCCTAATAATCCGCTTTGGCTCAATGGGGTGGAAGATGAGGTGCAGAATACAGGTCATGCAGATCTGGTTGAAGATGCTGGGGGTCAATGGTGGGCGGTGCTTCTTGGTGTTCGACCTGTTCAGCGTGGAGATAAGTGGGAGGAATCTGTCCTAGGTATTTGCAAAGACAACCTTCAACTCCTTCGACTTTTTTTCTAATTTTCTGGTAGGTCGCGAGACATTCCTCGTCCCCGTCAACTGGGAAAATGACTGGCCAGTGATCGACGGAGGAAAGATCTCTCTTCAAATGACCGGGCCAGGACTCTACCACCAAACAAAGGCAGTATCCTGGAAAGACGATTTCTCGCAGCCTGAACTGAAGATTGGCTGGTACAGAAAGAGTATGATCACTGACTGAGTTGCGAAGTTTTAGTCTTTTTCATGTTGACTAACCTTTTTGAAGACACGCCGCTGACAACGGACTATTCCCTTACTGAGCGCCCTAATCACCTCCGGCTTCATGGCGGCCCGTATAACCTTTCCGTGCCTGCTTGTCCAACTCTTTTTTTGCGCAAACAGATCCATCGCTTTTGCACCTGGGAAACAAAATTGAGCTTCCAGCCAGACTCCGAGCACATCGAAGCGGGAACTGTGCTGTGGTGGAACTACTTCACGTATACCAGCCTTGGTATTCGAAGAATAAACGGTACAAACCGAATTCTGCGGCTTCGTCAATCAGATGGAAATACTTCGGATTATGAATTATCTTTAGCGACTGATGTGATACTTGTGATTGAGTGTGGTGACCAATACCGATTCGGATACTGCGAATCAACCGATTCTGAGATCAATTGGATTGGCACAGTAGACAATCTAACCGCAGCTCAAGCACCGCCTGTGGGGGCACCATTTACAGGTATGGATTGTCACTTTCTACTCAGGAATTTCTGACTAATGACCAACAATAGGAATGATGCTTGGGCTGTATGCATTTGGTGAGAGGCAACGGAGTATGACTCCTGCAGACTTTTCATATGCAGAGTTCAAGTAAGGACGAAGAAGCCATTTTATGCTATAGAGAATAAATTCTAATAAACGAATGTCTTCTTTTTTGGGGTGAATTCAGCTGCATCTCATACTTCGATTTCTTGGAATGATCCGCGTGTATTGTAATCAACATACCATGACAGTACCCGTAACTTGCCGTATCTCCGATCCTTGACTCCGCGTGGGTCTCAATTCGAGACTTTGATTGGTAAATCAACTCCAATCCAGATCATCGTCTGGTCGCATAAAGCTAGAGAGACTCGCCTCCCGCACTACCCTTCCTCTTCAACTTACGCTGACACGCGGCTACGCTGACTGTATCACGACCCAACGCTACTGGTTACGCTACAATGGCTGCATCTCCACAATCCAAGATCGGCCCGGCCGCTGCTGCCCCTGCAGAACCCAAACAAGAAACAGACGATTGGTCAGGCCTGGCAGATCCAGCAGAGCGACGAAGGCTCCAAAATCGTATTAATCAGCGGGCCCACCGTACGTTCATTGTCACGGTCACCACACACCACTACCAAAATAACTCGGAGCTAATTCAGCACAGGGAGACGTCAGCGTATACAGCTTAAGAATGTTCACCCTAAAAGCGTGGTGGCTTCGTATCCATCTCCGCCATCATCTGCGACTACGATAGCCCCAATAACCACAACAAAAACAACGACAACCCAGTCCAACAGCCCATCCTCATCCTGTCATGCAATCACAGCACAAGAAGCTACAAATCCTCGATCGCGTTATCTCCTCCTTGAGCAATTCGCCCGAGAGGCATACCAAAGTTACATGCGCGGTTCTCCGACTGCAGACCACCTTCTAACGCTGACAAAAGTCAACGTCTTCCGCGCATTCGGTCATAACATGCAACTAATCGGGGCAGACATGGACGATATGCACGATGACTCCATGTCAATATTCACCCCCATGCTCCCCTCCCCACCCGTATCCTCACCGCACGGATCAGGATCAGGATCTACACTAGCCCAGATCCAAAATGGGAATTCGCCAGCGATCGAAATGCCCGCTAGTCTTCGCCCCACCAAAATCCAGCTAACCGTTCCTCATCACCCGTGGCTGGATTTCTTCCCCATACCCAAGATGCGGGACAATCTCATTCAAGCGGGCGATGATTGGGATGACGGGGAGCTGTGCATGGATATAATGGGGTTTTGGACTAAAGATCCCTCGACTGATGCGGGGCTCTTGGTCTGGGGGGGATCCGTGGGATGTACGCAATTGGGAGTTGACGGAGGCGTTCTTGAAAAAATGGCAGTGGGTTGTGAGGGGGTGTCCGGATTTGATGAATTCTACGAATGCGTGGCGGGCGAAACGGGGAGAGAAATTGATTTTTCGATATATTTAGATTTGTAGATTTGTATGGACGTGGGAATGCACAACCTGCAATTTTTGGAAGTACACATTTCTTCCGGTTCGTGACCTCATTTGTGGCTGGAATCTTGGTGGACCCTGCGATAGGCGCTAATGCACGTTGCTGACATTTTAGCGCGGGCTTTAACGGAGATATCTGGTTGTTAACTTGAACCAATCAGATCACTTTAAATCCACTTTGATTTGCCAAGGTTTCTGGATACGTGTATGGTACCAGGCAGCACTGTAATTACCTGAACGCGTTGCATTTATACTGGTGTATGTGAATGGACGCACTACAATAGACCACTTGGGGGAGCTCATATCAATTCATATACTTTCGCAATCTCGTTATAGCATTATTCATGACCTACTAGTAGTAGGTACCAAATCATCTAATCTAAAAAAAGTCCCCATCTATCACATCTAAGCCAATCATGCCATCTATCTGAATCTATCCCATTACCACCATCTTGGAAACATTAAAAAAAGACCCGATACCGGCCTCAAATAACATGCTCTTTCTCCTCCTCCTTGGGAATCCTCACCCAAATCAAAGTAATCAGAGCAGCAACAATCTCGGCCGCCAAAGCAAAATACCAAATAGCGCGAAGTCCATCTAGCCCAATGTTACCATCAGCATCCATATCCACTTTACTGCCAATCGCATCTCCCACGGCCGTCATCACAGCCGAACTCAAATTCTGCATCGTGACGAGCAAGCTACCCGCACTGCCTTGATACGACCGACGAACATTACTGGTAATGTAGATCGACGCCGCGGCAAATGACAGATCGGGTCCGAACGTGACGAGCGCAATACCCGGGAAGGATAGAGGCCAGTACGATGTACCAGCGCTCTGTGGTAGGAAGAAGGCCGGCCCCAGCGCAAAGGCGAGCATGGCTGTGAAATAGATATAATGACCCGGGACAACATGCAGTGTTTTGCTCACTACCCATGTGGCGAGCACGCCGACGATAGCGTTCGGTAGTAGATAAAGGGCACAGGTCAGTGGACTGTGTTGCTGGACTCGAAGCCAGAATTGCACGGCATAGAACTGCCAGCAGCCTGAGAAGGCGCCGTAGCCGAGGAAATAGGCGATCATCAGCGGCGTGAATCCCTTTGTTTTCCATAGTCTGTTGGGGATCAATGGACGTTCAACCCATCGCTCGATAAAGAAGAAGCTGATCAAAAGGAGAATGCCGATAATCACCAGCGCATATGTGTATGGTGACCACTCAACAACAGCGCCCTGCGTCAGTCCGAAAAGAAGACAGATGCAGCCCGTGACTGCGACGCCCGCGCCGAGGAAATCAAAATGACGGATCGAAGGTACTTCTGCGCCTACGATATCCGCCATCGGACGTAAAGGCGGGATCACCATATAAGCTGCTACCAAACACAGGCCGGCAATGATAGCATTGGAGCCGAAAATCCAGTATAAACACGACTTAAACGCTCCGCCTTGGATTCCGCCGAGCCAGAATCCAAAGGGCGACGTGGCCGACATGGCAGAGAAGACTTGGTTCTTGCGTAGACCGGGTTTATAGATTCGTCCAAGGATACTCATTGAGCCTGAGACGAGGACTCCGATCGCGAGTCCCTGCATTGCGCGCACGATATAGAAGAGAATCACTCGTTCGGGACTAATCGACCACACGCCGACGATGTTCCAGATCGTCAGCCAGGCGAATGCTCCGACCATTATCATTCGTGGCGGGGTAAGATCGCTCAGCGAGCCGGATATAATCACTGACAAACTCAGCGGCAGTGTGTAAGCGCCCAGTAGCCATGGAAGTTGGGTATTGGTGATCCCCAGTGCACGCCTCAGCTCGATCTGGTTCACGGTGATATCGCCGAGCAGGAAAGCGAAGAACATCAGTCCCGCCGAGCAAACGCCCACGAAGATCAGCTCGGAGGTCAGACTGCCGAGTTCGGGAGGAACGCCCTGGTATTTGGCCAGAGCGGGAGAGCCGGCTTCTTCTTCGTCCAGGTCGGGCATGTGCTTCATTGAGCGACGGGCTGTGCTCCGCTCGCTTCGACGGGATTGCACTGCGCCGAGATCAAGATGGCCTTCTTCGTTCTCTGGCATATTGGACATGGTACGGGAGAGATTCTCTAGTGCCTCGCCCATGTGCGAGTTCCCGCGGGGTCTGGTGCGGATTGACTGCAACTCGACATCTTGAGATTGTCTGTTTGGATCTTCTTTGTCTTCCGAGTTTCTTCTCGTCGAGTCCTCTGTTGTAGACAGTGATAATGTGGAATTGGCTCGGGAGTTTGCAGCGGTTGATCCCAAGTCATCATATTGAGTGTAGACGCCTGTTTTGGTGTCTCCACCAGCATCCACAGGAGTTGGTGTCATAGTTGCGATTTAACCAAGTTTAACTTTGGGTTTTCATGCGTATTTATGACCAGTTCATGGAATCTTGTTCAGATCGCTCTCGCACACTTTAATGAAAGAAAGGGAAGATGAAAGAAAATAAAAATCGAAAAGATCTAGCGACAGCTAAGTACGTGGGGTTCGAAAAAATTAGAGAATTAAGTTGAAGTGGGACCCAAGTGGAGTCAAACCCGAAGATTTTTCCTCCAAATCGGAAAACGGTCTCCGTAGCAGCTTTAGGGTTAAATGATAACGTTGATAAGGCATCACCGCGCAAAGTTGGAATGAACTGAACTTCTTATTTTCTTGACTCATACATGCATGAAGCTATTAAACAAATTGACCAAAACCATTATCTAGATCCAATCAAACTTATCCCCCAAGTACTGATGAGCACGAGCATCGCCAGACCGGGCATGACCTTCGAAATTCTCCGCACGCGCAGATCGTCCACAGAGACGACCGAGCTCGCCACTCTCCCGCTCAGAGGTAACTTCTTGGTATGTAACGGTCTTCAGGTACTTGCCAACCCAAAGACCACCAGTATACCGGGCTGCACCACGAGTCGGGAGAACGTGATTGGTTCCAATACACTTATCGCCGTATGAGACACAGGTCTTCTCACCCAAGAACAAAGCACCGTAGTTAGACATTTTGACCAGAGCATCACGAGGGCTCTGAGTAAGAATCTGCACATGCTCATACGCATACTCGTCCGCAAGCTTGTACGCCGCATCCATGTCCTCGACAACGATAACCTCGCCAAGCCGATCCCAGGAAACGGCCGCAATGTCGGCGGTGGGGAGAATCTTGAGCAGACGGTCGACTTCGGCGATGGTCTTTTCACCGACAGTCTGGGAGTTTGTGATGAGGACGGCGGGGGAGTCCGGGCCGTGCTCGGCTTGCGAGAGGAGATCGGTGGCGAGAACGAATGGATCGGCGTGCTCGTCGGCAACGATCAGGATCTCGGTTGGTCCGGCGGGAAGATCAATGCCGATCTCTTCGCCGAAGAGCTGGCGCTTGGCCTCGGCCACGAAGGCGTTGCCTGGTCCGGCGATGAAATCCACTTTCTTCATTGTCTCGGTTCCGATGGCCATCGATGCGACGGCCTGCACGCCGCCCAGGACGTAGATATCATCTGCGCCGGCAAAGTACATCGCAGCGATTGTGTTCGCGGGGATCTTTCCTGCGATCGGGGGCGTGCAGGCTGTGACGTGCGGGACTCCGGCGCATTTGGCTGTGAGGATGGTCATATGGGCTGAGGCGAGGAGAGGGTAACGACCGCCGGGAATATAACTATTACAGCATCATAATTAGTATTGATTCAATTCCCCTGATTCTTTCCTGCATCGGACAATTATCTTGAGTTGGGAAATACTCACGCTCCAACAGAGTTAATCGGGACATTCTTGTGTCCCAGATGAACACCAGGTCGAATCTCAATCTCCAAGTCCTTAATGCAGGCCCTTTGAGCCACGGCGAATGTCCGCACGTTCTCCTGAACCTGCTTGATATCATCGATAACCTGCTGAGGCACAGTCGCAATGATCGACTGGATATCCTCCTCTGAAAGCTTGAAGCTGGCGGGACTCCATTTATCGAACTTCTCGGAATACTTTCTCACAGCCTCGTCACCACTTGCGCGAATATCATCAATGACTCCTCGCACGATGGCGGTCGTGTCCACCTTTGGTGCGGAGGCAGTCTCGGAGATATTGCGTTGTTTAAGCTTGAGGGCCATGGTAGCGAATTGGAGTCGATTGCGATTTTCTTTTCCTTTTTCGAGATAACTTTTCTTTTCTGCTCTCTTTCCCTTCCATTCGTCTTCTCTTTTATACTCTGATCATCATGAACGCGACGCGGGACGCGGGACGCGCCCGAAGCTTGAGGTCATCGGGTTCGGCGCCGATTCCGATCAATTCCAACCCCGCATCGTTGACATACTTCGGATGGACGTCAAGTCTGGTGACCTCGCCTCGGTATGTGGGGGGAGGCGATTCGTCTGCAACCCGAATTGCTTCACGAACACGTAGAATGGCTGTGGTTCAATGGCATCGGTGTTCTATCCGAACTGTTTGTCGGGAAATGTCTTATCAGACATATAAGCGAAAGGTCTCTAACAAGTATTGTCCTTGCGCGTTCCCCATAATAGTCATCCTCAACCCCCGCGCGTTCCCCATACAAATTGAACATTTACTTGACCTCTTATCACCATCGCCACTTATTCAACTTAAATCAAATCTGAATTGAATCAATGGGATTCTCAATTTGAATTCTAATATTTTACTCCATTGAATATCAATTTTCTTCATCTCTCCGCTGCTTTTATTTCTTATTTTACGCAGTTTTTGTGCATGAGGACCAATTAAGGAATGAATACATGTAAATTATTCTCATATCATCAGACAATATCTTTTCATGCAATTGGATGGGTATCAACGTTGACATATTCGTATTATACATTCAAGTCATATATGCTAAGACGACCCGGGCACACAGTGCCCCAAGTCACCCATCAGCTGAGCCAAGCTCTGCACCAGCGGTGGTGTACTCTCTGAGATATCTGCTCGAAGTGCCCTCTGCCCTACTCGCATGATAGAACCCGAGTCCGACAGAAAGACAGTCGATCCACCTGGACCTTGTAAAGCCGGAACACCGCCGTTCATCGTGACAAATTTGGATACATCCGCCACTTCCTCCCCATCTAGAAAGACTGTTGGCCCTTGAGTGGGAAGCTGAGACATCGGGCTCCCCAGCATTCGAGTATTTTTGGCTCTGGAGACCACGCCATAAGACCAGAATGCCAAGCTGGCGTAGAACACTCCAATGGCAAAGAACCCTGTCAACGAGCCCGGTGGCATTCGACGAGAAGCACGGATGGTTTGTCCAGCGTGCCATATGGCTCGTCGGGAATCGGCACTGTTGATCCATTCAAGGGCTGACTGATATACGCGACGTGCCTCCTGCTTGTCTTCTTTACCGGCGAATAGTTGGAGCTCTTCCAGTGACATGTGAAGCAGCATCGAGACGACCTCGCAAACCAAGACGATCTCAGGCCTAATTTGCACACGTAGCTCAGAGCATACCATCCGGAAATGTTGGAGGGCTTGGTCGAGTTCTTGTTGGCGGGAATTGGTTACGAGGGCATGCCAATGCTTGGAGTTGCTGGTTGATATGAATTTTAGACGGTGATACTCGTTGATCAGGGCGGAGAGGCCGTGAAGGAGAACCAAAGCGGAAAATTGGGTGTCGATGCGATCCTGAAACGTCGATAGGAGTGACATGTCACGTAAAAGTTCTGCCAATGATGGTATGCGTTCCGGACCATGGGTAGGATACAGCTGTCTCCAATCGCTGGCCGTCGGTGCTTCCCATAATGAGCGTGCTGCTGGCAAGGGAAGTTCCAAATCGGCATAAGATATCAGAGGATTGACATTAAGGGTGACAGCAGTGTGCGCATCGTGGAGGAAAATATGGTAGACAAGTCTATATAGACATAAGTACTGGAGCCATCCACAGATTGAGTAGATTAGTAATTACCTCTTGAAAGATTCTTGCTCAATCCATTCGCGCCATTTTCGCTCCAACACATCATCCGAATCCTCTGCCAGAGGGATAATGGTTGTGTATAACGATCGACGAAACCTTAAACCTCGACGTAGCATGGTGATCAATGGTTGAGAGAAACTTTCCGCAATTTCAGTCTTGCGCCGATTCCCACTCCAAAGTCCGATATCTATATTCAAGGCATAGGTTTGCGATGTTCGTAGGTCTCGTGTGGCGAGGTTGTCTTTCTCATACTACTCATTGTAAGCAACGATTCATTCTCGCGGGGTAAGATAGGGGAGGTAAGGGGGGTGGCATACCTTCGTAGGCATATACATTCGCACAATCTCCAACAAAGCATATCCAAGTTTTCGGATCGTAGGTATTGGCGAGCGCACTGCCCCCGCAGCAGCCAGCGCCGCAAGAATACTCGCATCCTCACTGCTTGGGCGAAAGGTGGGTGTGTGGATAAAAGAGACCACGCTGTGGCCTTGGTGTTCAAAGAACTGCTGAATCAAGCCATCCAATAATTCGGTGCTGGGAAAGGACTTCATAATTCGATTCAAGTTGGCCTCGCGGCTAATTTCGAGCACAAGGCCGAAAATTTGGTCACGACTGCTCGAGGAAAGTCGCTCGCATAGCATTTGCCGGTCGGCAGAATTGACTTCGGGGCTATCGATAGCTTGGGGGACAGATAGATTTTCGTGATCGATGAACGCGCGATCTTCTTGGAGCGGTTTCCATGCTGATAATGAAGATCGGTGATATGCTGCTGAGCCAATGCCAATTCCACTGTCGACATCGAAGCGGTCCTGTTGCTCGGTTTCGTACCTGGGCATCACACTTCCGGCATTGTACATGTCGATCAGGCCAAAGTCACCATCGGTCAAACTGAAATCCATGGCCGGATTTTCTATTGCCCCATAGGGAGTGAACTCTGGGATCAAGCTGGATGGATCAAATGGGTCGTTATACCGACCGAGCGAAGAGATGAATGAGTCGGGGAAGAAATTGGGGAAGAATGTGCCGTCCACGCTGAAGATGCCGCTTTCTTGGTCCGTGGGTGAGACTAGTAGCTACCGTCAGCTGGGCTGTTCGTAGCAAATCTGGGAAGCTATTACTACTACTATTACTACGTACCACCATATTCAATTTGGGTCGGTATATTTACCGGGACACCCGGTGAAAGGACAGGATCGAGTGCTGGGTCGAGGACCCCGTTATCAATAATTGAGTCGGGCGCCGGTCCCTGGGGTGTCATGAGAATGTTATTGGTGGCGGGGAAATCTTCCAGCGGGGTTGGCATAGGTGAGAAAGCCACGGTAGCGGTTAAATCTGTAGGCATGGTTGACATTCTCGTATCCTGATCATCATTTTGCTGGGCCGGTTCAGGAGACGAATCCTGAGCGACATCTTGCCAGTCACAACTCAGATTCCGTTCGCGACACCGTTTGCACGGTTTGGCTTCGTCGCATTTTAGCTTCGACGAGGCACAGGCTTTGCAAGCCTGTGACACTCGACTCTGTTTTGCGACTGACGAGCTTCTTTTGCGTTTGCGGTCCCTATCGTGAGCGTGGCCCGTCGCGTGGCGTTTCAGCAGATCTCTGGTATGGTTGTTAGCGACCTTGTTATTCCGCCAGTCTCAACAACCCCATTAATAATTATTAAGCTAGATATGACTTACGGGCGTGCAAATCCCTTGTCGCAGACATCGCAGATATATGGCTTTTCCCTCGTATGTGATCGCACATGGCGAATTAAATGATCGGCTCGATTGTAGTGGCGTTTACAAAAACCGCATTGAAAATAACCTCCCTCCTTGGATTTGGTAGGGGATTGGGAGGTCGTATTCAGTTGGTCCGTAGTCGAGGGGGACTCATTGAACATGGTCATCCCCACGCATCTGTTTCAATGTTGGGGTTTTCAAGGAGAAGCAAATAATAGGTAAAGGTATTATTTTTTTTAGGGGAAAGTTGGGGAAAGAATGAGAATCTGGGGAACTTTACAAGGTTATCGGCAGTTGGGAATCGGGATCATGGGACCGTCGTTGCCACCAAATTCCGGCTCACCCAAACCTCGAGCTAAGAAAGCCCTTGAATCATTCGGTAAAGGAAAAGGTTTAGCTTCAGCATATTCGGAGTCAAAAAAATATAAAAAAATATAAAAAAATTAATGGCAAGGCAAATTGGTCCAGTCACATTGCCGATCGTTTCGCATTACCGTGCATTGCCCCGCTTAAGTCAAAAGTGAGTTAAGGACTTCAAGCTTGAGAGGCAACAGTTCTACCAAATCCTCCGGTTGTTTTTCCCCAAAGTACATGCATATCCCCACCTCATTATGCCATGTTCCCCAGATTGTGGTAAAGGGACCAATGATTCATCTTACGAGCTTCGTAAGCCAAAAAAAGACTCCCCTCATTTTCTCCAGAAAAAGTTAGAAAAAGAGGGGAATACGGAGTAAATAGGGTCTAACTTGATTATTGAGGGATTACGCAAGCCCTTAACACTCCAGTTCATAACAGTAAACCCCATACGGGTCCAGGCACATGAGCACGGGGTCGGGTCCCCGCAAAAATCTCGGGATGTGGAGGACAAGTTCCGATAGCTAATGGCAAATGCGCAACTCGGCACTCCGTAAAATCAACTTTACTGGAATTCGTATATTCCAGGTGGAGGAGAATATAGTCCCTAGCATATGTTCGATCTTGTTAGCTCTTTCCTTTTTTTCTTAGTCTTGTTTTCCCTCTTTTTCAAGTCTAACCCTACAAGTTGGACATACTAGAACAACATTAAAACCTTCAATATGGGTAAGTTCATACGAACGTTTGAACACATTCAATGCATGCATATGTGTGCACAAATGCATGAATCTCCAAATTGGCTAACTTAACTCATAATAGGCCTCACACCAGTACATTTCTTCTCCCATGGCTCGACCATGATGCTGGGTGAAGAATCCACGAGCGCCGACTATTGGAAGAAATGTGGAGATGAAGCATTGGCGCAGGGAATCAAGGGAGTCGTGATTATGGTCGGTATTCCGCTTATACCTATTCAATCCATTTAGTATTAACAATCTCCAACAGGGCGCACATTGGGATTGTCTCGGTGACAGGATCGAGCTGGCAACCAATCCTAACCCCGACAAAAGCCCCGTGGCCTACGTGAAGCCGGAAAAATACGTCAACTATGAGCTCAATCCCGACCTGGAAACCACCGATCGATGCATCAAGATGCTAGCCAAGGAAGGCTACAATGTGGGTGGAAACAGCACCTTCGACTGGATCCACGACGTCTACCTCATCCTCATCCGCATGTTCCCCGCAGCCTGCCCACCCACAACACTTATCTCCATGAACGCCCGTTACGATCCGCACTTCCACATGAAGATGGGCGCAACACTACGACCGCTGCGTCGGGAGAACTACCTGTTCATCGGGACCGGCGGCGCCGTACACAACTTGTACCGTAATCGCTGGGCTCCTATGCTTCGCTTCCGGGATAACTTCGCCATGGAGACGCCACCGGAGGACTGGGCAATGGAGTTCCGTCAGGCCGTGGAGGATGTCATTACCAAGACTTCCGGCCCGCAACTTCGGGCTGCCATGACTCGTCTCATGAAGCATCCTCGCTTCCGGGATGCTCACGCGACCGATGACCATTTCATGGCTGCCATGTTTGTTGCCGGTGCGGCTGGGGATCCAGAAGATGAGAACTCGCCCGCCGTGCTAGCTGCCGAGAGCTGGGAATTGACCAACATGTGTAACTCGCAGTTCACAATTGGTCGCTGGTCCAAGGAGATTGCTGTGTAAATTCTTTTCAAATGTTATTCGCCAAGTGTATGTAAATATCAAGCCTTGTTTTGAGCAAATGGATTTCAAATTATGAACAATTACTACATATGAGAAAGCGTATTATGTATATCACTCATCGCCTGCCCATGTGGTCCATTGAAGGTAACCGACCAGATCGTTGAACTTGGCCACGGATGTTTCCAGGTCTTGTTCATCGTCCATCAGTGCCGATACAAGAGTAGAACAGACTGAGCGGGCGACCGAGAACACCGCATTGCCACCCAGGGAACCGACAGGGGCTGAGCTAGGAATCCATTCACGTGCACAGCGGTCGATAATCACTTCACCATCATTAAAGTCTCGGTAGTCAATGAATGGCTCTAAAAGGCCCTCGAGGTGATCCCGCAGCTCCTTTGTTGACGAAAATGTTCCAGCGGCTAGACTCTTCAGTTCATCGGAATATTGGAATACAATCATGTCCGCAATAGCCTGCCAGTCAAAGGTATCGATTGGTGTATCCCATGTGTCGATCATCTTGTAGACGTCCTGTCGAATGGGCTGTAGCTCCTCAACTGGGATGTGGCCCACTTGGGGAACAGAGGCGTTGTCGGGGAACAGGTCGAGGCCGTAGGTGTAAGCTGAGACGAAGTTGTTCAAGTCAACTTGCACTTTTTCTCCCAGGCGTTCATCGAAGCGCGTGGCCAGGGACCAGTATTTAAGTCCTGAACGTGGACCTTTGAATGGGCCTCCAGGACCGCCAGGACCGCCAGGACCATGACCTCCCTTTCTTCCCTTTCTACCACCAGGGCCACCAGGGCCACCTGGCCCACCAGGACGGCCCGAGTTTTCCTGGGGCTTTGTTTGAGTGATATGGACGACCTCAAGATCCCGCTCAAAGTTACACAGAATGATCTCAAAATCACCCTCGGTGCGAACTATACCATCGATTTTATCATTCCAATCCTCCTTTGCCATGCGGCACGCCTCGATCGCCCGCTGCTGCTCCTGGGGAGGTCCTCCGATCTTAGGACCTCCAACCGGTCGGTCTCCATTGATGGTATTATTGTAAAGGATACGGTCCTGCGATTCGGCTCCACCGCCAGGTCCAGCGGACATGCCATCGATGTAAAGCAAGCGCAAGTCCTTAGCAGCCGCATAGGTGTGCAGGTATCCATGTCCATCCCATTCTGACTCCGTATACTCGTTAATAGGCTGTTGTAGGTCCTTCTTGGCGAAGAACTTATTGCCGCTGCGGTGGGCGAAGCCTAGCGAGTGTTCGGGCTTAAAGGCGAGCCACTCTAGTCCCTGAATCGGGTCTTTGAGACCGGTTCCATGGTAGAATTTGGTGCCTTTTGGCACGCTGGCTCGGTAGAATGACATGCCGTTGTAGTTGACCTCTGAGCCATGATGTCTCAGAGTGGACTGAATGGCGTTGAAGATGTGGTTGGCATTTTCAAGAGTGTCGGGATCCTGATTTGCGAGCGTTGGGGTGGAGAGGGATGTCAGGAGAGACAGGGTCCCCAGCCAAGTTTGATGAAACCGCATCTCAAGGGCTTCTGCAGCAAAGTGAACTTGAGTTTCGCAAAATGTGATCAGTAGAGAATGATGCTGATCGTTAAAATGGGACTGTTGATTATCTTAACTTCGGAGATTGATTACGCGTTCCCAATATCTCCGAGCTCCACAGCGGTCTTGATGGCCCGATCGGGTCATTGTGGGACTCTTTCTCCCCGGCAGTCTGCCTAAAGCTTGCTTGTCTTATCTTCTATAGTAAAGGAACGAGAAACCAGCATAACTGCGATGATAAAAACGTGTATCGTCACCTCAGGTTTTCAATTATCTCCATTCAACACGATCCAAAGCGTGGAGGAGCGTATGTGCAGCCTTATTAGGAACAGAGCGGGCCCCAAAAAAATTTAGACAAAAGGGAAAAGAAAGAGGAAAAAAAAGAAAATGCAAAAGCAAAAACGAAGCTCGGGATTTCCCCGACGCCGATTAAATGCTTGTTTAGACTTTGGGCATCAGTCTCGCGACCAAGGCTTTGAGAGCCCATCTCGTGTCTCATATCTTCATGCAGAACAGTCAAAACGCCGTTCCGCCATGACAAAAGGAAAGTATTCGTAAGATAACAAAAGAAAAAGAAAAAGGGAAAACAAAGGAAATATTTACACCGGGATATCTCAACTCCAAACCACAAAAGACAAACCGCACAATGCATGCACAGGAAGAAAAGCTTAGATGACAACCACATCACCCTCGGCATCCGCTGGGTCGGAGGCCATCATGTCACCATATTTGCCCACAGCAATCAATAGAGGATCGTCCTCTAGATCAATCGCGCTGTCGTCATTGTTCGGAGCTTGGAAGCCCGACTCTGCTTGTGCTAGCTCTTTTTCACTCGCAACTTGCTTGTTGTCAACATGAGCATCACGGGGTCGACCCTGCACGCCCACGGGGGTTCCCGAGTGGGAACCACGTGAGTGAGTTCCATCAAAAGAGTTGCGATTAGATCCAAGGCCGTGCTTTAATTGAAAATTTCCCATCCCAATCGGCTCGGGAGCAACAGTAACGCTTTGCAATGAAGCTGGATTGCTCTGCATAAATCCTCCTTTCTCGGCTTGCCAGAGCATCATCTCGTGGAAGAAGACTTTTGTCATCCACCACGCACTGAAACTGGCTGCACCACCCAGAGTCAAACGGTGCAAAATGTTTTCCCACATAGCGTCCACCTTTTCAATGACACACTGGGAGCGGTGGTTCGCAAACACAGCCGGTACGTTCAGGATGAACTGGATCCACTTATCAGGGAAGTTGTATTCATCGCCAGGTGCACTATCTGCGGGTAATGGGTGAGCTGCGATATCTTCAGCGGAATCTGGTTTGCGGTAGAAAGGCAATTGATCCGCAGGTTCAACATCCGACAGAGGGGTAAGAAGAGCTCGAACGTCATGCTTAAGGATTTGTTCAGTGGCACGTGCAGCGCAGGGAGGAATGTTCGCCTTGGTAATCATTTCCTGTGGGTCCACCAGGCATTGGAAATCAGCCCACATTTGGTTGCGGTTTTCAGGGTGACAGAGCCAGGCGGCAGCAGCGTTCGCAGCCTGGTTAACGTCAAGCATGTGCTTGAGGAGATTGCAGAAAATATGAGCAGGGATGAGACGGGCGATGGAAACGTGAGTTGGTTGCGATTTAAAGGTCTCTGCGATGTGGCCACAAAGGCGCTGCGAGATAGAACGGAATGCATCCAGAACAGGTTTGGGCACAACTTGTGTAGTGAGGGGTGCGACAAATGGAATCATCTTCTGGTACATTAACCAATCGCATTCCTTGATCCATGGCGCAAGGTTGGGGTGGGTTAAAAGCTTTTGAACAGGAACGGTCAAGGTTCCGTGAAAAGCAGAGAAGTATTTCAGAAGGTTACGTTCTTTACAAAATCGGAAGCTGTCGATGACTGAGATGCAGTGGGTTCGGTAAAGAGCCGCAAGGGCATCTGCCACCTTAAGATCGGTGTTGGGAGGCAAATGACCTCGGATGTCGGGGAGGACCAGGGTATCATTGTCGACTGGGGCTTCATCAGTTGGGAACTGCAGCATCTGATGAATCATCCGGCCAGCATGTTGGGCAACATTTTCATGAGTAACAGTAGCATCGGAGCCAGTATTAGTGGGTCGGGTATTAGACGGGCAGCCACAGCTTGCAAGGGGAGCGTTGACAGGGAATCGGGGAGCAAAAGAAGCAGTTGGGGATGGGAAGACGGCGGTATCGGCGGTGGGTTGGGAGATGCTGATACTATAGACGTGTTAGTCAGTGTTTATACAAGTAAGATTGGACGTGTCGTGTGGCGGCGTGTCGGGACGTGTTCTGTCGAGACGTGTCGACGTACCTTCGCGAACGCATCGCGCTTTCTGGCCTCTCTGGGGCTACGGATCCTCGTTGACTCGGCGCAACGTACGCACCCGATGGTGCAGGCTTTTGCTGCTTCTCCTCAATGACCGACAAATCGACGTAATGATACTTTGACTCGCCTCGAACTCCAAGTCGTCGAGTCTGAACGTTCGGGAAGATGATGCGCACTAATTTTCCAAACGATGCTGGATTCAACACTGACACACGCTCTGTCCCACAATTCTCTGCATAACAACAATAGACACGGTCTCGTCTCACGGAACCGGTGCTCTTTCGGCAGTTTTCTCGCAACCTGGTATTAATGACGCAGTTAGTCAAGATCTTTACAAAAAAAAATCAATCACGAAGAAACAGTGTTTCTTACCAGATCATGGCGAAGACCTGCTTCACCTTCTCTGCTTTACCGCCAGCTCCTTCGTGCTTCATGACCTCGGCAGCCATTTGTTTTAATGACCACGATTCATACTGACGAAGCAGTTTACGAAGCTCATTGTCGTTTGCCAACGTGGAACTAGATCCCCTTTTCTTTTTCCCCCCTTGTTCCGAAATATCTGGATCCTCCAAGGCTTGCTCTGGAAGGTGGTTTTCAATTCCACTATCATAGATGGCCTGGTATTGAGGCACCTGGGCACCAGGCATACCATTGTGAGCCATGTCTGGGGGTATCGAATGGTGGGCGAGAGGGAGACCATGCATAGCATGAGTGGGAAAGTCCTCGGATCGAGATAGAACAGCGTGAGCCTCCCGCATATCCTGGCCCAGCGATGCAGCATGGGCTGGATGACCGAACTGATGGCCAAAACGCATAATCATATCTTCCGGGTTGTTGGCGAACATGCTCTGGGCATTGGCGACTTGGGGCGGCATGAATTGCTGAGGGAATGCATCGATATGTTGATCTTGAGTTTGCTGTGTCGTGCTTGAATGGATGCTAGCAGTTGAGCCTCGAGATCGAGCACGGCGGCCACCTCGTGAAAGGGTCTCGGAGCGTGATCGTAGGGGGTCGGCAGTCCCTGGTCGGCTATGAGGGCCCATGTGTTGTGTTGTCTGCGAGACCGCGCTGCCTTGCGACGGGGCGCGTGCTATCATGATTTTATGAGCATGGACGACCATGAGCGATCAAGTGGAGTGTGCTCAGGCTTTCTCACCTAGTTCAAAAGGCATTCTGGATCCGGTTTGGTGAACCAAAAAAAAAGTGGAGGAGATCCGTCACCTGGGCGATGGGCCGTTCCTTGCACACACACACAAGACACAAGGTGTGGTGTTTTTCTTCTTACCAGGCACACACACAGCAACGATGACGACTCAGAAACCAGAGACCAAGCTCGAGGAAATACCTAGCAGTGCTTTCACTAAGATCTCACACAAGAGCGGACCCAAATTCGCAGGGCTATCGCTGGCCGCGTGGTGTAGTCGAGACGTGGGAGGATAAACAGAGCAAGCCCGTTCCTCAGACAACGTTGTTTGGGTAGTCACGTGTGGTCATCAGGTAAGCATTCCGGCGCTAAACAAAAACAAACCTGAACTATGCAGGGCGAGGTCACAACAGCACAACATTTCAAGGCTTTGAGGGGATTGGTCTATCTGGTACTGTTCTAGGCCTACTCCTTTACATAGAATCTCGAAATGTCAAAGTCACATCTGGGCAGCTTGGAAGATTTTGTGGGTTTGGGCAAGCTCCAACTGGTTGCCATGAATCCCGATCGGTAACATTCAATGTTCAAATTGAATGTCTGCTAGAGACCCTTTTGGGTTTGATTCATGCGGTTGTAATCTTTTGTTTCTCACACTCTATTCGATATTGTCTTCTAAGGTTATCCTTTTTTTTGTTCGATTGATGATGGCGTTACTTGGCAGTACTGTAGATCTTGGTTATAGGTGTATTACGTCATAGACTTGGAGTCAACCAAAACAAAAACATCACAAACACGAACTGTTATTCCAAGGTTATTCTTACACTGGTATTTGAAGGCCACTTTTTGGATTTTCGAGATTTCTGAAGGACTCATCTCAATAGCTATACATCAGCCCAAGATTAACTCTTTGTGTATAGCTTCGGTGATTATATATATGGGTGTGTACTTGAGTATACAAGTAGATGCGTACAAATATATAACATTGAATGCCCTATGCGTGGCACTAACATCGATCCAGATCATGTGTCTGGTATATGTATGAATGGATCTCAAGTGCTAGCAACAGACCTGATGCTAGGTGTTCAGAACCATGTGCACCATATGCCACATAAAATCTAGATAATCTTTTGACCTACTACTCCCAGCACTTGAGCACTTGGGGGCCATGATGGGCCAACATTGAATTAATGCATTTTTTTTTCAAATAAAATTGAACGTTGATGCCATCATACTCAATCTAAAGATACCAGGTGCAGACTTTCAAGGTTAAAGAAACCAAAAGGCTGAGATACATATGCTCCACCTGGGCAAACTTGCAAATTCATACTGGAGAACCTTAGAACACAGGCTTCAAATGTTTCATCCAATGCTCTTATTCAAATCAAAGTTGACAGGTTCAAGCAGTCCAAAGTCGACTCATACAGGAGAATTAATCCAGGCTTGCAATTTGCTCCACATGCAATGACATGTTGATCATGCATCAGTGTTTGCTTTTTGAAATCTTGACCCACTTCAGATCGACTTGCTCTATATCTGTATGAGATGGATGCTTCGAAATTTTATATCTGTATAACACAATAATCATGGAAAGCGGCCTTGAGAAATTATCAGTATATACCCCTCCTGCCAAGGACCAAGTCGTCATCCCATTCGGCACTCACGGAGCAAAACATCAAAGTGGATCCCAATCAAATGGAACGGAACAGGAACAACGTGTCTACCATGGTTAATCGAGGCGCCTTCCCATCACTGGTCAAATGATGATCGACCGCCAAGTGTATACGCGACGCCGAGATCTATCAGATAGGCGGTGATGTCACTGGAGGGAAAAAAGTGAAGCGGAGTCGTTATTTTCATTTCTAAGCTTGGAAGGTCCCATGATTTTCAATTTCCTCCCCTCTTTTTCCCCACACCGCAACCTTTTCCCCAACCACGCCAAATCATGCAGCGATTCAAAGATAAGTTCGAGCATGGGCTTGAGAACTTGGAAGAGAAGTTCAAAGGTGAGATATAGATGCTCTATTTACTCCACCCTCATTGGATACTCATCCCCGGTCATCTTATCCCGCCGCTAACCTAATTCATTCAATTCAAAATCCATTCAGACCACAACCTCCATGACGTGAAAGCCCAGGCTGCCCATTTAAAACACAAAGTCGGCAAATTTTACAACATCGTCAACCCCAATCACCGTCACGATGAGGCCCATGAGCAAGCCACCGATAAGAAACGCTCCGAGACCGCCGAATCCCATCGTTTCCAATCCTTTGCGCCCATCCACGAAAATAATCGCGTGAAGTGGTATGTGGATGGAAAAGACTATCTTTGGGCCGTCTCCGAGGCCCTGGAGAAAGCAACCGAGACTATCTACATTGCCGATTGGTGGTTGTCGCCGGAATTGTTTCTCCGTCGTCCCCCAGCCCAGCACCAGGAATGGCGACTAGATCACATTCTCAAGCGACGCGCCGAGGCAGGTGTGAAGATCTATGTGATTGTGTATAAAGAGGTATGATGCAACAAGTCCCTCTCATAGCGGAGAAGCAAAGGGAAATGTGATGCGATGCTAAAAGCCACAATTATAGGTCAATCAAGCTTTGACATGTAATTCGGCACACACAAAACACGCTTTGCATAATCTATGCCCCGAGGGTACACCGGGACACGGCAACATTAGAGTCTTGCGCCATCCGGACCACAATGTCTTTGAGAATGGAGCCGATATGACCCTTTACTGGGTACGTGCCCAATAAGACCCCTACTCTTCTTTGCAGCATACCCTAACATATTCTACAGGCTCACCACGAAAAGTTCATCGTGATCGACTATGCAATGGCATTTATCGGAGGTATCGATCTCTGCTTCGGTCGCTGGGACGCTCACCAGCACCCACTCGCTGATGTCCACCCCGCCGGTCTCAGAGACGACATTTTCCCAGGCCAGGAGTTCAATAATAACCGCATCATGGACTTCCAAAGCGTACAAGATTGGCAGAGTAACGAGCTGAGCAAAACCGAGTATGGCCGTATGCCATGGCATGATGTCGCTATGGGCTTGATTGGTGATTGTGTCTACGATATTGCAGAACATTTCGTTCTCCGCTGGAACTTTATCAAGCGCGACAAATACAAGCGCAGTGATACTGTGGATTGGTTGTTGATGGAGGGACGAGAGGGCGAGCAGGAAGACATTATTGCTGTTCAGCGACCTAAGTATCCTTGTGGCGAGTATATTCATCACCCTTTGACGCCGCTTTCAAGTAAACCGAGGGGCAATCAGGGTACCGTGCGAGCGCAGATTGTACGCAGTAGCGATGACTGGAGCAGTGGTATTCTGAACGAACATAGTATTCAGAATGCGTACTGTGAGATTATTCGCAATGCGGAGCATTTCGTCTACATTGAGAACCAGTTCTTCAGTATGTCTACCCCCCGGCTCATTGCATCGTTTATTTGATCAGAGCTGATTGTTTTAGTCACGGCTACGGGTGACAACCAGCATCCCATTTACAACAAGATTGGCGCCGCCATTGTTGAGGCGGCTGTCCGAGCCGGCAAGGAAGGTCGCAAATTCCGTGTCATTATAGTGATTCCTGCCATTCCCGGATTTGCCGGCGATCTGCGTGATAATGCTGCGTCGGGTACCAGGGCTATCATGGATTACCAGTACAAGTCAATCTGCCGAGGCGAGGACTCGATTATGGGACAAATCGCGAAGGCCGGCGTGGATCCGAAAGGTAAGTCTTTCCCCCTGCTTCGTCTTCATCTAATTTTGCGTGTATTGATAGATATACTTACCGGTGTACTCCATACAGAACATATTTTCGTCTTTGCCCTGCGGGCATATGACCGAATCAACAAGACCCCCGCACTTGAGGCGCTTGAGACCAAGGCTGGCGTGACGTACCAGGAAATCCAGCGTGGTATTGCCGAGTCTATCATGAGTGAAAGTGTGCATCCCTCCGTCGGCGATGAGGGTGATCGAAATGAGCGAAGCTACAGTGTCGACGCCTCTCAAAGGGCAGAAAACGTGCGCAAGCTGGAGAAGTTCGAGCAGGAAGTTGAACAAAATAAAGTCAAGGAAGGAGATGCAAGCCGAGACTCTGTGGCCCATGTCACCATGCTGAATGGTGGCAAGATGTCCGAAGAGCCCTGGGAAGGTGACCCGGAAGCTGAAAAGCCCAACTTTGTGCAAGAGGAGCTATACGTTCACGGCAAGGTGTGCATTGTTGACGATCGCATCGTCATCTGTGGTAGTGCCAACATCAACGACCGGGTGAGTACCTGGGGATTCCAACAATTCTTCTCTTTTCTTTTCTTTTTTTTTTTTTTTTTTCACCCCCTCAATGCCAAAAGCGCCGAGCTAACCCCGCTTGCTTGACCGTATATAGTCCCAACTCGGCTCCCACGACAGTGAACTCGCAATCGTCATGGAAGACCAAGATTTCATCGATAGTGAGATGAATGGTCAACCCTACCGTGCCGGCCGTCACGCAGCCACCCTCCGGCGCCAACTCTGGCGCGAGCATCTGGGTCTTCTCCCCGCGCAAGATTACTACGCAGCAAATGAGCCGAATGCCCAGCCTCCGGATGTTTGCCTGAACGAGATCCTCGAAGGTGCCGAGAACGACTTCGTCGCGGACCCACTCGGAGATGCGGTCTGGGATACCTGGACGAGTCAGGCTAGCGTGAACACGGACACGTATCGGGTGCTGTTCCGTGCGGATCCAGATAACAACATCAAGACCTTTGAGGATTATGACAATTTCTACCCGCGTGGGTCGCACAAACAGGGTCACCTGTTTGACCCGTACATGCCCATTGCAGAGGTGCGAGAGAAACTTGATCGGATCAAGGGCCACTTGGTCTGGTTGCCTTTGGAGTTTCTGTGTGATGCCGAGATGGCGGAGCCTGGATTGGCAGTGAATCAAATTACGGAGGTGAGTGATTTGGGTTATTTTGAGTTTTTGATATTTTTCTCTTTTCTTTTTCTTTTTCTTTTTCTTTTGTTTTTTCTTTTTTTTTTCTCTCCAAGTTGTTTCGCGGATCTGTTCGGTGTTTGGTTTGTATCATCTACTATGTGTGGTGTCACCGTGTGGGGGTGGTTTCGTACTTTTTTTTTTTTTTTTTTCTTTTTTCCCCTTTTTTGGAGGGGCTGCGGACTTGTTTTTTTTCTCTCTTTTTCTTTTGCTAACATCTTTTCTTCTCTCTTTCGCTAGAGTATCTACACTTAGTGATGACCTGACTTTTTCGCTTGATGAAATTTCCCCCCCCCCCTTTATTTTCTCGACAACCATCGATCTCCCGCATATGCTCACCGCGAGGGTTGGGTTCAACAATTGACATTTTCAGATGCTTCAAGTTTGTACATATGGGATGATTCCCCTATTCCCGGTACATTTTTTTTTTATCTCACATATCTAACCGATGGTGAATATTTGTCATGATCAACTTATCAAGCTTTTTTATATATATTTTTTATTTCCTTGTACTTCTTTATTCCCTTGTTGTCCCGCGATCGTCATCCTTTCTCCCCGATCCACACTAGTTCCCTCCCCGAGCATTTGAACCAAGCATGAAGTCTACAGTAGCGTCAGAGGTGAACCAGCCGTCCGGAAACCCAAGGCCAAGTTACCCAAGTGCAGTACTTTCTTCAGACCCACAGACCCTCTCCACCCATTCCCACCAAGTGAGCCACCAACTGGCCCTTGCGTTGGGTTCTTTTGTTGTGGGGAATCAAACCTGAGTTAGAGTTAAGCGGAACCCAGTCCCTTGGAAATCCTTAAATCCAAATATGTGATTTGTTCCCAGCTGGATTTTCCTGTACTGGAAGCACGGAGTATATAGGGGGTGTCCAGTACCTAGTAACATTGAATATCCACCCTTAAGCGAGCATTGACTTTCCCCTAGTCCAAACCATGTAATTTAATAATTCAAATACGACCTTCCTTAGTGCCCGCCAAAAAATCCCCCTTCTATTTTGCGATCTATCTATTAACCCTGACTCATTCGCTGTGCTAAATCGGACAAGCGCCACGAGATTGCCCTTGTGTGTCCGGATTTGATTTCCTTGAATATGTCAATTCGTCCAAGTCCGCGCTAATGTAGCCTGACAATTTTGATCCGAGGCTCCGGAGCCAATGGGATTTAACGATGGCGCGAGAGAGAAAGAAAAAAAAAAAAGTGGGATAGGGGCCTAAAAAAAAACAAGAATGACAAGTTGGACCGAGTGGCTGTGGTGAATCGGATGCATATCGCTTCTCGCGTATCGCATCTCGCATCGCGCAATTGACTTTTTTTTCTTTTCTTTTTTTTTGTAGGTATCTTTTTTTTGCACTTTTTTTATTCCTTTGGCTTTTTTTGACTTTTGTCCAGTCGTTCATGCCGGGACTTGAAAGGTGCATTAGGGGGTCATTGGAGGTCGGATAGCCAGATCCGGTTATAAACACAAGGGGTAAGCAGCCCTGGGGTTGATTCCGCGTCCTTGCCGTGGGCAAAAGTACCTGATCGAATGAGAGCGGATTTAGACTCTCGGAGTCGATGCGCCTGTAACAGGCTGTATGCGGCATGATGACATGGCCAATCCGTGGGGTTTGTGATCGTCAATTATTGCTTGCGACGTTCACTTAACATAGCCCCAAATGTAAAAATGGATTGTTGGCCTGGGATAACGCTGGTGTGGTGCATCGGTGTACTCCGTAGCTATCTCGCAGTGATATGGATCTCAAGTGCTGGATCGAGGAGATTGCTCTGTGGGCGCTGACGGGGAAAGTCCATATCAAGATTCCAAGGTTTCTTTGAATCTCGATCTACATCGAGATCGATGACAAATTGGCTCATCACAAGTGGTTTTTTACGGAGGACTTGGAAACTCAGCCACAACTAGGACTCAAGTGCTAGAAGTAGAACTACAAGAAAAAGCACAAGTAGAAGTAGAAAACCATATGAGAATATGTGAATTTTTATATGCTAGGGCGCAACCTTGGAAACACCAGCAAGAAGAGATAATCTATTTAAACCAAACCAGACAAAATCGGGAATAAAACACAGGAAGCAGAAAATAGAAATAGAGATTCAAAAATAAAACTCCATCCAATATGCACCCAAACCTTTTTCGTTAAAAGACTTTTTCGAGAGAAAGAAAAAAAACCCTTGAACTGCTCAAATGCACGTCGCCAAACGCAGCCATGGAGGAAAGCACGAGAACAGGAAAACCAAAAACAGTTGGGAAAGAAAGCTTGGAAAGGGAGAGAAAACAAGAAAAAAAAAAGAAAAGAAAGTATGGAATCCCTAACATCCAACATTTGGAATTCAACAATGAACAATGGGATACCCCGGTCTGAGGTCAAAGCAAGTTGACCCTGGGTATATGCAAGAGGCTGAAAGTTTCCATGCAGAGGACCTAGAGAGTTCCGCGGGAAGGGTTAGCCGGCGAATCAAATGGATCAAATGCGAGGGGCCCGAGTCCCGAGGAACCGGTGTGTATACTACCAACATGCTAGTTGTTGGGTAAGGGAATAGAAGAAAAAAATGGCGAAAGGAAGGGCCTTTCGACGACAATTTCAAGGGGAGATTTCAACACGTACCTAGTAGTGGAAAGGGCCGGTTGAAGCTTGAGGACGGTTCCAAGGTTCAAGCTCCAGCTCCAGGAAGCCCCTCGGAGGGGCAGAAGGGATGGGCTGTATTTAGCCCTTGGTGTTGTGGCAGGCGTTGCATCGACAGTGACCACAGATCTTGCACCGCCAGATAGCCACAAAGGGACCGGAGTTGCAATCCGAGCAGCGCCATGTCAGGATGTTACCATTGGTAGCCTGGACGATGGCAAAGACGTGACCGGAGCATTGGTTGGCCATTTTGAATAGGGTGGAGTATAGAGAAGTAAAAAAAGGGTCTGATGTTGATAGTATGGGAAGTTTCCAAGGTTGGATCTGGAGGACTGTTAGATAAGCTATACGCTCCGGACCCGAGAGACCGTTTACCTACGCACTAAAGCGATCAAGGGACCCGAGGGAGTGGAAGAGGTCGACGATCTCCGGGTAATAAGTCCAAGGCTTGGGATTGGGAAGAGGGTTCGGAGAGAAAAACGTGAAAAGAAGGAAGGTCTGGAGGTTGCAAGGGCGAGTGATATCAGATTTTCAAGGTTGGAAAAGCTTAGGTTTGAAGCTTGGAAGAATGAGTCTGGTAGTCGAGTAGTTCTCAGATACAATGGAATGGATGGGATTCCCAAGTTCCTGGACTGGCCATTATATATAGCTTTTTTTTTTCTCCTCTCTCTTGAACAGGATCTCTATCAACTCTGTACTTTTGATCTTAGTCCAATGATCCTGGGAAATCCAGTCCAGTCCACGTCCAAAGCCGCGAAAGGTCTGCAGAATGCCGATGACGCACGTATCCGGTGTGTGTCGATTCGGAGTTCGATTGACTGGTTTTATTTTATTTGTTTCTGTTTTTTTCTTTTTTCTTTTTTTTCTTTTTCTCGGTTTCTTCCCAGGGATCTTTTGAATGCAGGGAAATACAGAGAGAAAAAAAGAAGGCAGAGAATCGAAAAAGGGAAAACAGAAAAAAAAAAAAAAAAAAAAAAAAAAGCGAGGATAGATGTACTAAAGAAAATGCCTAGGGGAAGCGAACTAGATCTACCGAATCTCATCTTGCAGGATGCATTACGGCAGATGTCAGTTTCCAGCCCGGATCGCGATCTTCAGGGATCGCAGGGTGGCAATTGGTAGGGAGCGATCCGAGAGAGAGATCGAAGGGAATCGTTTATTTTTGATTTATTTTTTTTCTCTTTTCTCTTTTTAATTTTCATTCATTTCTGTACGCAGATCGACTCGTGTTGCCAAAAGAACCTGTGGGTCTGGAAAAGCACAAATGGGGATGTATACATGCTGTGTACTGTGTATATAATGACGAGAGTTACCAAAAGTGCCGGGAAACACTGAAATGTAATAGGTCACGTTGAATGATGTCAGGTATTGACTTGTACTGGTATCAATACCACTTTACCCCTCGCTGTGTCCCAATTGGGTAAACAGCACAGCTGAGTCTCTCTTAGTCTCTTCTCTTAGTCTCTTCTCTCTCTTCTCCCTTCTCTCTCCCCGGTCAAGATCGTCCATGAGCTTCATTGCCTTTGGTAAAACTTTGTGACTTATTTTCTTGTTTGGCCGAACGGGTTGATGCATTCCAATTGTTTGGTTCTGAACTTGAAACCCTCCTTATCCCTTTCTTGACCTGAACAATTCCTGCTTTTCTGTAATTCTTGGGGGGTTTTTTGGGAATTTTGATTTTATTGGTACTTTTAAGAATTGATACATCATTTATGTAATTTCCAAAAGGCTACTAAGACAGTCCTTATGGGTCCGGGTGAGGAACACTTGGGATGCGCGGCTCCACATGGCACATCTCAGGGACCTTGGGACTTTTGACCGTCCTTTTTATTTTACTTTTTACTTTTTCACTTTTCTTTTCAAATCTTCCTATAGGTTGTCACGGAGCCTCGAGGCGAGATGAGACGCTAAGCGGCTGATCTCTGGGAATGACGAGTCCCAGCATCCTTGTGGTACATTGTTGTACGGAAATGCGTCCCCGGCTATACTAGTCTAAATCTGACTCCTGGCTATGGTTCGCTTGCAGGAATTGTTCACGGAGCTTTTTACTGGATACTCCGTACCTTTTTCATTTTTCATTTTTGATTTCTATTTTATGTTTATTTTTATCATGCAATTGTTCTTTTTTTTTATTTCCCTCACAGCCCCATCTGTACGGGCAAGTCCGGGACTGGTCAACAAGCCCATTACATTACCCAATTCGGGAGTCTACAGCAATACGTGCTCCAGGTGGATATCGAGACTCGGGACTCCACAGTGTAGCTTTCTCCCAAAGGACGTCACACAGGTCCCACAAGAAATAGAAAAAGAAAAAAAACAGATCAATTATCATTGATCATTTATCAAATCTAACAAAAGTACGATCGGTCCCGGCTAGAAGCATCTGTCAGGGAAGACTACACTTCCTCAACCGGGTCCAGATGAGCCGATCTAGCTGATCTTGAAACGGGAAATTGCCCTCATGACCTATGTGCCTTTCTCTGTAACCTGTCAAGTTGACAATGTTTCCCACATCCTGGAAATGCTTGATGGTGTAAGCATCCAATCGACTTCAATGTTCTAGGCTCGACTGCAATCCGTCCGCAATCAAAGTCCCACCGCTTCTTTGACAAACTCCTTCGAGTCTTTCTTCTCGGACTGTTGGGGATCCAACACGGTGAGCTGCATGACCGTTTGGAGGCTTGAGATCATGTCAAACTTAGTCTGAAAGCAAGATTGACGAGAACTAGATGGTTGTGCCGAAAATCCGGGAAGAAAATTTCGATATGAACTCGATTCTTATATTGACTGATTGCTCTTTACGATGAGATTATTCCTAGATATGTGCGAGATGTTCTCCGGCGCCGGTCCCACTGCCAAGCAAAAGGCATGAAGTTGAACTGATTCCCCGAAAACGGAGAATAACAGAAAAATAACTTCAAGAAATCGGCGCCATCGTACCTCATCGCGTCATGTTATCATGCTTTCTTTCCAATTTCCCAAGGGAGTCGGAAAGAAAACACGAACCCATAACCCAATGTTTTTTACTCTGCCAACGCTCCGTTAAGGACACCTCGTGGATCACGAGATACCCCTGCAGTACCCCCAAAAGTGGACTGCATCGCTGGGTGATGAAACAAGAAAAAGACAAACAAGCAAAGAGAAAAACAGAAAACAGAAAAAGAAACTACGTCTTCACCGACGGACAAGACCGACGTCTTCAAAAAAATTGTTCTTTTTTTTCCATTTCTGGGTTAAAAAAAAATAGGTATCATGCCATGAGATCATGGAGCGCAGAGTTCGCCTGCGAATCAGTTATCAAACGCCCGCCCTAGAGGGTTAAATTCTTGCTTTCGGTTCTTGTTTTTTTTTTCCTTTTCGTTTCGTCACAGCCCGATCATCATTTCAATCGTTAAGGTGGAAAAGCGCCGAGACGCTAAAGAGACAGCATTAGAACATCGTTCAAACATATCCAAGGCCTCCGAGGAAGAAAAAAAAAAAGTAGGCCTTACCTTTCACCGTAGTGGTGCCGCCGAATGCTCTCAGCAAGAAGACTCGAAACGTCAATGACGATCAACTTCTTTGATCGCTGAAGCATTGACGGCGGGATCGGGAAGGTGTTGGTCACGACAATATGATCAATCGACCGACATTCCTCCAATTGATCCAGTGACTCCGCCTCAAACAACCCGTGAGTGGCGATGCAGTATACCTTTCGGGCTCCACCGCGCTTCACAACGGTCTCGGCGGCAGCGATCCACGACCCGCTCTTGTCAATCATGTCGTCGACAATGAAGACCGGTCGATCACGCACCTCTCCCACCAGAGTGATGGTCTTTTCATGATCATAGCCAGCAACGCTAGCTTCGTCATCATCAGATTCCACTGCATCGAAAGAGCCACCCAAAGCATGGTCAGGGGGCAATGACGAGACGTTGGAGATCATAGAGTTCATCATGGCATCTGGAACGACTTCCGTGTTTTCAACGTTGTCGTCGCCGCCACCACTACCAGCTCCGGGAGTGGTGCCACCAGACTGGGAAGCAGAGTCAACATGGTAATCATCATCTACCAGATGACCCTGCACCAGACGGCCGGTCACCACATCCCGGACCCGGACGTCGGTGTACTCATAAGCAGCCTCCAACTCCGACGGCCGACGGGCAGCCGGGGGAGTCTCGGGACGCAGCAGAGATTCCGGCGTGCTGGGAGTTTCAGGTTCCTCCATGATAGGCGGTGTGGCATTGGCACGCTGCATGTGGATCGCAAACAACTGTTGTTCCTTGGGGGTCCGAGTGTCCTCTTCCATGGCGTCAAAGAAGACAGTGCTATCAGACATCGTCATCGGGACCTTTGGTCGCCGACGATCGGTTGTCACAATACCAAAGTTCAACTTCAAGGCATCGGCCAGCGAGGTGACCCGCTTGGTGCCACCGGCATTCTTGCTGACCACAACCCCGTCCTTCCAGCCAGGTACGTTCATCCGGATCCAGCGGGCAATAAACGGTTCGGCGAAGAGGTTATCGACGGGTTTGCCGAAGAAGCCTTGCATCTGGGATGCCTATTCGATTGCCGATCAATATCGGGCACAGGAAAAAAACATAACCCCTCGCCAGCAGGAACAAAAACGCAGGTTAGAAACAAGAGAGGTGGGACAGAACATACATGCAGGTCCATAGTGATGACATGATCGACGCCGGCGATAGAGAGTAGGTTGGCGAGCATACGGGCCGTGATGGCACCGCGGTGGCTCTTCTTCTTGGATTGGCGCGAGTAGGGGAAGTACCTCGTCTGCGCGTCAGCATCCTCTGTGATTGGGTCAAACAAGACGGGTAGCATACGGCATGACCGCTTGAGGGATCGTCAGTGCATGATGCTTTTACAAGAAATAGAGCCAAAAAAAAAAGAAATAAGAAGAAAAGGAATCTTCGGGAAACTCCGACATACCAGTAATCGACTTGGCAGAACCACCCTTGCATGCAGAGATCATAATCAAAAGCTCCATCACGCTATCGTTGATCTTGCTGCTGCCACTCTGAATGATGTAGACATCTTGGTTCCGTACCGAGGTGTTGATGTTCACGCTTGTCTCGCCATTGGCGAATTTTCCAAGGTCTGCTTTAGCAGGGGAAGTACCCAGCCGTTCGCAGATAGTATCTGCGAGGCCGGGATGGGAATTTCCCGAGAAAATTTGCACACCCCGCATGGCGGTTGAGAATGAGGAATGAGGGAGAAAAAAAAGAAAAGAGAAAGAGAAACGAAAAAGCGACGGAGAAAAAAAACTACGGAATGCGCGCGTGGTCTGCGCGGTTGGCCGTATGCCCCACGTCTCTTATCGTTTGTGCAAATGAACTCCGTAATTCCAATGGGTTATCTTTCACCCGCCAACCCTTTTGCAAAGATGTCCAAGTTTCCTGAAGTTCAAGGGGGAGGCTCATTGATTTTGGCCTGGCAGATCAGGGAGAAACATGTCCTAGTAGTAGGAGGTGGCGAGGTGAGTTCTGAGCTATCGGATAGCTTGATTTTAAGCTCCCGTCTATAAATATATATTGGCTTGCATGCTCACACAGCTCCTACGTTCCAGGTCGCCGCGGGGCGCATCCTGCACGCTCTTAACGCCGATGCTCGCGTCACCGTTGTCTCGCCGTCCGCCGGATTGAATGAAGAAGTCGCCTATCGTGTTGCTGAGAAACAAGTCGCCCATGTCGATCGGAATTTCGAACCTTCCGACCTAGATAATGCGGACATGGTGCTGTGCGCCATTGATGACCCAGAAGCATCGACACAAGTGTGGAAGTTATGCAAGGAAAAGAAGATTCCAGCCAATATTGCAGATGTTCCCCCCGAGTGTGACTTTTATTTTGGAAGCATGCATCGGGATGGACCTCTTCAAATTATGGTAAGCACAAATGGCAATGGTCCAAGATTGGCCAGCCTGGTGCGTAAGAAGATCGCAGCCACCTTGCCATCCAACATGGGAGCTGCAATCGTGAATGTTGGAAAGCTACGAAAGAAGCTCCGGGAAGTGGCCCCTAACCAGGAGGAAGGGCCAAAGAGAATGAAATGGATGTCGGCCGTTTGTGAGTCATGGAGTCTGGACGACTTGGTTGAAATGACCGAACACGATATGGATGGATTACTATCTCAATACCAGCCAGGAAATGTGCCCACCCTCCAGGAAGTGCGCAATTGATACCTATGTCTAAACGAATGTACCGAAAAGAAATTATATACGATCTATGCACCACGATATACTGCATACATAGCGCAGACGTCAAGTCTTGTTCTTCCAATTATCTTCTTACTCTCGTCAAGTAGTTTCAAATAGAGTATTGCATGGACAAAGAAACATCTTGCTCTACACGTTGTTATACATACGCAACGGCATTTTCAAAATGTATCAAAGATACTATGTACCTTCAAGGCACGTAACTAATATGTGACATACTCGAGTGCGCGAAGACCTTTCCGTCGCACCACATCAAGAGCTGCCCGAAGCCACGTAACCTCATGAGGGTGAAATCCTTGTTGAAGGCTGTCGAGGACAATACCAAGGGCCGGACTGACTGACATCGGCCCAGCCAGCAGCATTTTGTCCTGTAAAAAGTATTCCACCGACTGGCAAACATGGTAGGCCATGGAAATATAGTCTTCTCGGTGACTAAGAGGAGGTAGACGAGCTTCATCGGTAATGGTAACGTAGCCCCTAATGCCTGTCAGGAATTCGACAAGCTTGTATAAATTACACAGCCCGACCCAGAGCATAGTTCGTGTTGCCCATAATAGTATAAGTGTTTTGGCGGTTTCGATATTTGAAAAGCAAAAAACCATTGGGAAAAGATCCAGGGAACCATCCATGCCAGCGAAAATGGGCTGCTGAGAAGGCCTTGGCCAGTAGAGAGAACCGGAATCGCTGTGTTGCATCTCATCGTATATGATGTCCAAGCTGTTGTCGACTTGCCAGCATTCATGAATCAGGCTATAGGCCAAATTGAGCTGGTCATCGACACCCAAAGACGGTATTTTTCTCACGCGCTCCAGGATTCCTGGGGCATGGGCAAAGCAGTCTGTTACACGATCAAATGGTGACTTGGTATATTCAGCCCAAGGTTGCTCCATCCACTTCGAGTCGAATAAAACAGTGGAATCATTGCGTTGCAGAGCGTAGAGAATCTAGGATTGCGAGTCCGTAAGAAACGAAGTAGTAAAATTGAAAATAAGAAAGACCAAAAAAAACCTACCCCCGGGACTCGAAGCCCTAAAAAGAGCTGATGACCAGCCCCCGACGTATGTGCGTGTACACCACGGGCTTGAATCAATGCGATAAGACCGTGACAATGACTGAAATACCCTTCCGATCCCGCAGAAGGACATTCAAGAGCTTCGTAGAGGCTCAAGGCCATGCATGCCGCGAGGGTTCCGTCATCGTGCATGAGAACCGGGTCATACAAAGCCTTTTGTAGCTGACGGAGGCCCTGGGTATAGTATTTGTGACTTGTCTTGACTAGATCAGGCATATGGAACATGTTTCCGAGCGCTGAGGCGGCAACTGCCGCAGTGGATATCTCGAGGGTTTCGGCTTTCGTCGGTAGCTCCCCAAGTAAAGCGATCCAGGACCGGGGAGCCGCAGAGACCCATTGAGAAGGAAAGCAGTTTGAGAGAAAGGCCTGAATCAAGCTGTGGCATTCGATGTGATTCTGTATCAGTTTATAGGCGGAATTTCTCTTCGTGAAGGGAACAGTAGCTTGGACGCGCCGGGCCTCCTCCACTGGGGATTTGGCGTTCCGTTGAGGCTCCGGAGGCGATCTTAGATAAGTGTGTGTTTTCTCCGCCGCTGGCTGGACTAGTACAAAGACCCTTTCCTTCTCATATCCACCACATACACGGTTTGACTGTGTACACCGCTTGCATGTTGGCTTCTCCTGATCACACTAGATTATGGAGTCAATCGTTTGTTCAGGACCCTCTCGAATGTCGTGAGTCGTGACTCACTGCAATTTTTCGCTTTCGACAAGTGTTGCAACCCTTTGATTTCCCAGCCACGCCGACCATTGTGTACTGGTCACAAGAGCCTCGAGGACCCGCTGAGCTTCTTTTTTCTCAATCCTGTCAGCATTTTAGCATTTGTGCTTTCGTTAGTTCGCAAGTTCACGCCTTGATGGTGGGTCAATACTGGATGACTAAGGATCGTCGCGGTTAGTGCCAACACGGTGTGGATCCCACGCTAAACCCAAAAGGGGGTTGTTCTTGCGAACCCTTCGGCGCTGTACGAAGTATACCCTTGGATCATCATCAATCCACAATTTCGGTTTTAAGCATAGCCATGCTGCGGCAAGGCAGAATTGCTATTCGAAAAAAAGGCTTATAAGAAGCGTCTTGGTCGGTTCTTAAAGTGAATATCCATCAATCACTCTCAATTTCGTCCTTGAGTATACAAGAAACACCTCAACCCTATTCACCTGCTCATCTGAGTCTATATTATACTATACTTCAACATGCTTGCAGATCACTCAAAGATGAGCATTGCTCTAATAGTGTTCTATATACCTATGATCATTTTATCAACTTATCTTGCATGCTACCGACACAGAAGACCTCGCATGGCATGGATCAGCTTGATGTTCTTCTCAACCAGTGAGTACTGTATCGGGCACCATTAGTTCGAATTTTCATGACTGACATGTATTCTTAGTCCGTCTTACTGCGGGTGTTCTGGTCATTGTTTCAGAGCAGAAACCAAGCACCGGAGTGGAAATTGCAGCGTTGATTCTCCTCAACGCCGGTGTGTTCCCATTAATTGCAGCAACAATGGGTTTTATTCGAATCATGTAAGTGCGGAATTGATAGATCTCTCGGAAATCCCCAATTCCGTACATGGCATTTGAATAATTCTAACATTTCTTAGTACTGCTATCGAGAAGAACATGAACCCACGATTAAGTCAAGGCTTGCGCGTGTCTCGCTTGTTATTCATTGTCGGCATTGCTTTAACCGTCGCGGGCGGTGTCTTAGAGGGAAGCGACACTACCAGTGATGTCTTGATCGGCTTCAAACTAGTCAAAGCTGGCTACAGTATTGTAGTCGTCTTTGCAGCCATCTTGTTGGCTATCCAAGCCTATTTCTGGACACAGTCCTCGCTGTTTTCGAACACAAGTCGAACGGTTTGTCATACTTCCTAGGTTTGGTCCTAGATGGCGACTAACAATATCTTCCAGATTCTCAAAGCCATGCTGTTTGGTACTCCATTTATTATTGTGCGCATCACATACCTATTTATGTCGGTGCTGCATGCGACAGACCTCAGATGGAATGCCCTACGTGGCCCCATTGCGCCGTTTTTAGTCATGGGGTTATTGATGGAGTACTTTGTTGTTGGCTTTTATCTGGCCACGGGTCTTATGATCCCACCCAGGGCAATCCCCTCCAAAGAAAGCATTCCTCTTTCTGAAGAAGAGACAGTGTGACTACATGATGACTCGGGTCAAGCTCCAATGGATGGACAAGATGGAATGAGAAGCTATAGTTTGTCGGTAATTAGCCGATAGTTATAGTTTGGTCAGCTAGGCCAAAAATTGGGAGAGAGAATAAAAGACTCACACCTGTGGGCATGACGACCACGGGCCACGGCATCTTTTGGAGCTCAACTTGTATCGATCTATCTAGTATTTACTGTGATGATTTCACGGTGCGGGTCTTGGAAGAACCCCTTCAAATTTTGACGATCTTCACAATTCATGGATCTGAGTTAATGTCAGAAGTCTCTTTCTATACAAGCCTCGGAGCCAACATTCCAAGCAACCAGCCCTGGAGTTGCTCGATAGTCAAATTAACATTAGAATGGACTCTTGGAACCAAATTTGGAAGTGAACAATCCGAGCCCAAAGAAAAAAAAGAAATTTTGTCTCATACAATACAGCTATGCATCTCTAGAAAACGAAACAACTGTCAAGCCCGTAGGCAACAAGTCACAACAAAATTTGGATAGAAGAGGCTACACAAATAAAGAAAAACGCCATGATCCACCCGTATATCACAAACGGCGGGTAGGAAATCCCTAAATAATACCAAAATCTTCACTCGGCAGTTTGACTCTCACGACGGGGAATCTTCTGGGAGACGGAGCTGCGCGGGCTGATCGGGGCATCCAAAGGATTGGACGGCGCGATATTGAGTCGGACCTCGCCTATGCGGCGCAAAAGAGCTTGCAAGGCAATCCGGATCTCCGGGTTGAGATCACGGCTCAAAAGCTCAATTCCCAAGGGGTAAAACGTCTCGATGTTCTTCTCAAAGCCTTCCAGAGGGAAGTTGTTGTATCCCTCAATGACATCCACTACCACGGGTCTCCAGGCCACGATGTTGCGGTTCTGGGTTTCCTCATCAAGACGGACGAAGCTGCGGATGATGTCTGCACATAGCGGGATGAGAGCTGCCTCAGTCTCGGCGCGGCTACTCTTTCTCTCGTCGCGTTCATCATGATACATCCGGAAAAGAATGTGAACATAGGTGGCCGCACTGCCGCTCTCCTGCTTCAGAAGGTTGGGAGGTTGCTTCATGAAGCCTTGACGCCAGAGCTGCATGCGCAGTTCCTTGTCCTCGTTGAACTTCTTGGCAAACTGGTAGCTCTTCTTGAGCAGGCCCATCAGCCGCAGGAGCTCGGGGCTAGGGATCTGGGCGTAGACGGTGTCGTTGGAGAAGAGCTCATGAACTGTTTCGATCATCAGTAACTGAAGGACGCAATTTGTGATGATACGATTGAAGAATCGACGTCGCGCTACTGTGACGGCAGCGGGTTGTTGCTGCGAGTCCGCCTGAGGCCGGTAGTCCTCAAGCTCAGCGCGAGCCTCACTCTGAGCGGGCGGGTCGCCTCCGTCATGCAGAGACGCTGTACTTTGAGATCCATTGGCCTGCAGAACATCGGGCAGGTCACCGCTGGATGGCAAAGATGCGGCGACTTCAGCAGCCTCAACATCGCCATTGGTGCTAGTTTCCGTCATTTTGGTCATCGAGGCCGCCGCCGTGAATAGCTCATAGGCGGTAGTCTTGTTGAAAAGCTCAACAAAAGCTCCAACAATCTGAGTCCAGTGCTCCTGTTGGAACTTGGAGACATTTTGCAAGATCAGTTGCTGCAAGCAATTGCTGCCAATGCGTGCGATAGTGTCATTCTCTTGACAAATACACAGGGTCAAGAGCTCCAAAAATCGACCCAACATATATTCAAGAGCATCAAAGTAGTGAGTGAACAGAGTGATCATGTTCCGCAAAGCTTGAATCATGGTGGTTGATAGCCAAACAGAGAGGTCCTCGTGGTTTGGAACCTTGGACATTTCCGACTTGGACTGCAGAACCACAAAGATGGGGCAAAGCAATTGGCGCCAAAGAACATCCCAGAAAGCCCGTGGGAAATCACCACCATGTCGAATTAATGTCTCAAAGAGGTATGTAAGTGCACTGGGGAAGGAATAAATTAGCTAGTTTATCATGAGGAAGAAGGTCGGGAGATACGTACCGAGATCTGACTTCAAGGTCATCACCAGTCATGAGAACGTCTTGGAACGCGATCAAGATTGGATACCAGAACTGCTCTTCCTGGGTCTGGCGAGTAAGTTGCTTGGCGAGGTTGGTTCCCTCCTCCTGGAAGTTGGGCGCAGATCCACCACGGTGGGAAAGCGGACATTCGGGGGTGCGCAACATCTTTGTGACTGTAGCCTTGAGAGTTTCGATAGCCTGCAGTGACTTCTTCTGGAATTTGGAATTTTTGGAAAACTCAGTGAGGCAGACAATGAGGTCTGCGAAAGCACCCTGAGTGATCACGATCCCGAAGCGAGTGTTGTAAATTTGGGTGACATGGTCAAAAGCCATGTTCACAATTCCCTCTGTATAACTCCTATCAGTACTTGCAACATGCTACTTTGGGAAAAGGAACTTACCATAGGGCTCTCGCGCAGCAACTGTGAAAACTCCAAACATAGTCTTCCATCCAGACCGAATGTTGTCACCACGGGCTTGAATCATCTGAATCAGACACCGGAGAATCATATCTTTGACAGAGGCAGTCGTGCTGTTTGCCATGACATGTTCGAACGGCTTGAGGAAGTCCTTTTGGAACTTGAAACCAGGCAGTTCGCCAATTTCCATAAAGCGCATCGAAAGCTGGCGCAGCGAGTCCAATGCAAAGAACACGACAGTGGTATTGGTATGACAGCCAACCTGGTTGAAGTGCTGACCCAAGACCTCCCAGATCTTCGACCACTCAATCCTAACACGAGTCATGTTGTAATAACTGATTTCGACGAGCTTCTGGAGACTGTACGTTCTCGGAGAGTCACTCTGCCCCGAGGACTGGATTTCTTGCCAGCTAACCTCGCTCAGTGCACGAACAAAATCGATGATGGCCTCGTGCGAGAGGTTTGCAGTGTTGGTGAAGATTCGGTCTACACTACGGACCATGTCTGCCGACCGGCTCTCGATGGCGATATCCATACGGAAAGCCAAGGGACCATGAACAGAGCGCGCGCGGGTCTTGCTGCGAGTGCTTTGCATTGACTTACGTGGAGAATCTGTTGCTGTCGGCGCTCGAGAGACATCGGGTAGTGAACCTTCATCTACACCGTCACTCAGTAACTGCAGACGGTCAAGTTGACTGACACAAGTCAGAATGTCACGCCAGGAAGAACGAAGGTGGTTTCCTTCAGTAGTTGCGACATCAAGAATGGCTTTCAGGGCCTCGAAATTCTTGGGCATCATTTCCTTCACATTCGCAAGATTGGTGAATTTGGCCAGGGCTGTGACGAAAGCTACACGAGGAGTCTCCAAGTCAAAGGCACAACTGATACGAATCGACAGCTTGAGTCCCTCCATGCATAGCCGAATGGACTCAATGTTGGATGTATCTTGCATTGGTGCTGAAAGACCGGATAAGAAGGACATCCAGGTAACGTTAAACATCGAGCCGACATGGCGAACAGAGGTAGCAGTAGTGAAGCGCGAAAGAGCATCACGGGCGGCTGTCTTGCGTTGAGCCCGGATGAGGGACCGGTACAATTGCTCAGTCTTGTTGGCCATCTCTTCAGATGCTTGTGCATATTTCTCTCCCTGGATATCGCGACCCACAGTTGCGAAGACCTGCCCAGCTCGGGTTGCCAGGCCAGTCGGAGCAGCGGTTTGAATTCCAATATTTGCAGCGTGTTCCCGTTCAGTATCCAGAACAATCTCATTGTTGACAATTTCATCGTAGATGGATACCAGGTACTCAGATGGCAAGTCTTGGTTATCATTGATCCCGCGATTGTTCTTAATGAAATCCTCTTTGGTCATTCGCGGTCCCTTGATCTTGGCACTGTGCTGATCGGTGTTGAGCATAATGACCGAGTAGGAAAGAACATAAGCTGTATCTGCATTGGCGAATGCGTTGGGATTCTGGGTTGTGTACCGTTCCGCAAACTTGAGCATGAATCGATCAATCTTCTGGGCCTCTCCAGGTAGACGGAAATGTTGCAAGAACTGCCGCAGGGCATCGACGAAACGTCGCTTGGCAAATTCCATTTTGTCCACAAAGTGGTGCATGATTTCAATGTTTTCGGCATCACCCTCACCCAGGTACTCACCCAGAATAGCCTTGTCCAGGCGCTCGCTGTGAAGTAAGAAACTTGCAATATCCTCAGCGGAATTCGAGGGGATAAATCCATCTTGAAGGAAAAGCTTAATACCACGCTTGGGCTTGAAGTTGAATTGCTGGATGGCATTCATGAGGGCAATCTTGCGCTGCTTGACCTTTTCAATCTGATTGGGATCATCGTCGGGCACAGGGGTTGACCGACCAGTGGCAAATCCATCAACAGCATCAGGACGTGGAGATATCAAAGCACTGGTATCCAAAGAGTCGCGGGAGCGATCCATCGACTTGGAGGAGTCAGTAGGATCTTGTGGGGTTGGCTGGTCATCTGGACGTTGTGCTCCCCAGTTGTCGAGGGATCGGAGAATCTCCACGAGTGATTCGAGAGCCTGCTGCTTCAATACGTAGTCTGATGGCAAGTTTGGGACGGCTGGTTGTGGTGGGGGAGTGATATTGGCAGTAGTGAGGGACGGAGGAAGGGTTCCGCGGTGATGCCATTCATTTCCAATACTAGACATCTTGGTGTGATTCTCTTGGAATTGTTGCTGTTGCGCAATACTGGTGACTACTGGCACGCTAGCGTGTCGCGATAACTGTTCAATGAGATTTTGGAAAATGTTCTCCAAGGCAGTACGGTCACAGTCATAGTTGAGATAAATCTCGACCAGGGCGCGGGGGTTACCACCTAATCTCTCCAAGATTTCCATGAAATATTGTTTCTGGAATGAAGGAGCAGCACGCCTCTCGAGAATGGCGAGATAGATTTCCTTCATGAAAACTTCAATCTCCTTCTTCATCATGACTCTCAAGTGTGTGAGCATCAACCAGAAGATCTCGCCGCAGACCTTGAATACATGAGGTACTGAACTGGAGCCGTTTCGGCTCAAGCTTAGACAAAGATGCGGTCGTACAGCTTGGAGAAGTGTCATGGCATCAGGGCTTGACGAGCTGTTCTTGATAGCAGCTAGAGGAGATGTGAAAGTGTTGGTATGGTTGTTGATTAAGTAGTGAATGAGATGCAGCGAAAGGAGTTTTGATCGCATATTTTGGGACTTGAGATCTTGTTGTTGCTCATGGCCAAGAACCTTGTGACTCAGCTTGCAGAGAGCACGGAATACTAGGAACGAGTCCTTAACATAGACCTCATCCACATCATCCTCGGCAGAGCTATCATCTTCCCGGTCTTCAGGGATGCCAGAAATAGAGCGGGATGAGGAGCGCGCCGCTTTCGCGCGTGTAACTGTGGTCGGCGCATTGTCATTGACACCAGTCACTTCCTTGGGCGATTCGAAGCTCTGTAGCGTAAGCTTCTCGGCGGTCGGCTCCTTGGTGACTGGTACGTCAGGCTGGTCAGGCTGGTCCGCTACTGAGACTGAAGCAGCTTCGGAGATCTGGCCTTGGTCGCTAGCTGACGCATCCAACCCGTTCGCGGTACGGTCGACTTCGCGGGTTCGAAGTTCCTTCAGATCCAGTCGAACACGTACCCGATCAAACACTGTGCTCACCATCTGCGTCAGGGAACCCTGGGCAATTTGCTGGTTCTGACTAGATTTCGAGTAGATAAAGATGTTATACATCTGGCGCACAGCTTTCAGGAGACCAGCTCCGTGTACCACAATCTTGTCATTCAAGACCGCTGCCAGCAACGACTTAATGATCTGCTGCTGGATCTCATTGGGGGTGGCTTCGTTCTCGAAACAATCGCAGATCGCATCAATGGCCCGTTCGATCAGAGGTGATTGTTCGGGGTTGGCATCGTTTTCAGACTCGGCGGAAGGGAAAGCGAAGTAGGAGTAGGAGATAAGCTTGCCAATACAATCCAGCGCTGTTACCTGGAGGGGTACACTGAGGGTCTTGCTGGCCAGGTGAAGTGGGCGGAAGATGAGCTCCGGATCAATACGCTCCGATTTGATATTGGCTAGAGCGATTTGGACAGAATCCTCCAGCTCCTTGTTCCTCCTAGCTTCCCGCGAGGCAGCAATGGCATCGAGAGCTGTCACGATGAAGACAGCTGAACTGACAGGGCCTCCCCGTGCCGTCGCAAAGGTGGCGGTGGTGGACCGCGAGTCGGATCGCATTCTTGTGTCGCGCTCAATGTCTTCACTAGGCTTGTGTTCTTGGATCTCCGGTGGTCCATCCTCGAGCTTAGGTGTCTCGGCTTCTGGTGTGTTGTCCGATGCATCCTTTGGCGGAACCTCGGGCTTTTCGTCCTCATTTCCTTCATTTTGGGGTTCATCTTCTTCTTTGGTCACTTCCTCTTCCAACTTTTCCGTCGCCTCTTGCCATTCTGTTGCCTCGGATAGGTTCGGCTTGTCCGAAGTTAGGGCCGGGGGAGATTCAGTAGTAGTATCCACGCTAGGTTTCTCGGACTCGGTTGCGGGTTGATGAATTGGCTCAGAGCCAGGGTCGACGTCCGCCATTGTCAAGCAGACTCCAGGCGGAGGCGATTTTTAATTAGATCAAGGACATCGAACGTGGAGAAATTCGTTGAGAGAGCTGGAAGCGGGTTGCTATGGATCAAGCATATGGGGACGCTGCGTGTTCTCTTCTCTCCGAATCGAGTTTAGTCCGAGAGCACTCAGCCACGCTAGCGCAATAACACTTACATAATCAAACTTTGTCTGATTATGTCAGCCCTTCGCGGCCTTGCACGTGACTACGTCGGCCATTCCCGTTTTGGGAATAATCAATATCCGTATCAAGCAATGATAAGCCGACCCATCTACATGGTGAAATAGTTCGAAGGAGAGTAATGAAGATTGGAGAGTAGACGGAATAATTCCATTGGCATAAAAAAAGCTCAATATTTGGCATCTTAACATCAAGGACGGACCAACAGGAACAGGAAACAAGGAAATGCATGGATTCCAGGTTATGTCACCTGACATCACATGACTCCCAATGTTCCGGTGCTCGAGTGGTTCACCGAAGACTGTTAGGAGCTCAACGAAAAGTTTCCCGCTTAGAGACCATCTTTCCTCTCCCCAACTCCTCATCTCCGGCCCTCCAAGTCCTCACTTTTGTGCTGGACTTTTCTTGTTATTCTTCATTTCAGCGTCGAGGGCCTTTTTGATTTCACACACACCGGCAATTTCCGCTAAAATGGTTGCTGCCGCCGCCAGAATGCGCACTCCCAGCGCCATGTTCATGGCCCGGGGCGCCACCTCCATGCGCCGTCCCCAGGTCGCCTACAAGTTCCAGGAAGTGCTGCAGTATGTGATACCGGATGAATCCTGGCTTTCCGTGAAATTATACTGATGATTTCTTCGCGCGCAGATCCCAATTGCCTTCCGTCTCCGCTATTGCCCGCTACTATGCGTCCAAGTGTATGGCCGCTTGAAACCCCAAACGAAATCATTGGTGTCCATTTTATCTAACGTACAATGCGTCTACAGCCTTCCCTCCCCACACCATCATCAGCATGCCGGCGCTGTCCCCGACAATGACCGCAGGAAATGTCGGCGCGTGGCAGAAGAAGGCCGGTGACAGCCTCCAGCCCGGTGATGTTTTGGTTGAGATTGAGACCGATAAGGCACAGATGGACTTTGAGTTCCAGGATGAGGGTGTCCTCGCCAAGGTCCTGAAGGAGGCCGGTGAGAAGGAGGTCGCTGTCGGCTCGGTAAGAAATTTCCCGGGCTTCCCCTCGGAATTCCGAAATCTAACCCGGTTCCCCCTATCAACAGCCTATTGCCGTTCTTGTTGAGGAAGGTGCCGATGTCTCTGCCTTCGAGTCTTTCTCCCTGGAGGATGCTGGTGGTGACAAGGGCGCCCCGGCCGCCGAGAAGAAGGAGGAGCCCAAGAGCGCTGAGCCTTCGGCCCCGGCCCCCTCGTCGGAGCCCGCCGCTATTGAGCCCGAGACCTCCGGTGACAAGCTCCAGCCCGCCCTGGACCGTGAGCCTTCCATCTCCGCTGCCGCCAAGGCTCTCGCTCTTGAGAAGGGTGTCCCAGTCAAGGCCCTGAAGGGTACTGGCCGTGGTGGTGTTATCACCAAGGAGGATGTTGAGAAGTACAAGCCCAGCGCCGCCGCCGCCGGCCCTACCTACGAGGACGTCCCTGTCAGCTCCATGCGCAAGACCATTGCCAACCGCCTGAAGCAGTCTATGCAGGAGAACCCCCACTACTTTGTCTCCACCACCCTCTCGGTTTCCAAGCTCCTCAAGCTCCGCCAGGCCCTGAACGCCTCCGCCGAAGGAAAGTACAAGCTGTCCGTCAACGATTTCCTGATTAAGGCTTGCGCTACCGCTCTCCTGAAGGTTCCCCAGGTCAACTCTAGCTGGATTGAGGAGAACGGCCAGGTCGTCATCCGCGAGCACAAGACCGCTGACATCAGCGTCGCCGTCGCCACCCCCAGCGGCCTGATCACCCCCATTGTCAAGGGTGCCCACGCTCTGGGTCTTTCCAGCATCTCTAACCAGGTCCGCGACCTGGGCAAGCGTGCTCGTGAGAACAAGCTCAAGCCCGAGGAGTACCAGGGTGGTACCTTCACCATCAGCAACATGGGTATGAACCCTGCTGTTGAGCGCTTCACCGCCATCATCAACCCCCCTCAGGCCTGTATCCTGGCTGTTGGCACCGTCCGCAAGGTCGCTGTCCCCGTCGAGACCGAGGAGGGCACCGTCACCGAGTGGGACGACCAGATCATTGTCACTGGTAGCTTCGACCACAAGGTCGTCGACGGTGCCGTTGGTGGCGAGTGGATCAAGGAGCTGAAGAAGGTTGTCGAGAACCCTCTCGAGCTTATGCTGTAAAAGCTTCCACGACTCCAGTACCCGCATTTATACTGTAATCTGTATTAAAATCTTTTTTGCCCCCCTCTAGACCAGCATCGGTCCGTTTGTGTTTGATTTTAGCAACTACAATCCATTTTCTATATTCTTGAAGACATTTATCTTTCTAAGCCTGCGTATCAATCTGTGCCGTTCTTGTAAATACTAGTACTGGGTATCTACTACCTACTCAGTGGCTCTGTGTTTCTCTGATCCTGAATTGCGCTTCTCTTTCAAACATTGAATGTTCAATGTTCAAATCCTGTTCAGCTCCATTCAAATTTTACAATATAGAATTTTTTTTCATTTTCATGTTGGAAAAAGCGACATAACATTCTGAATATTTTATCAGGCAATGCGCGAAAATTTCAGATGAAATAGCCTCTATATTACAAAAAGCTTCATAACATTCTATATACTTTACTAGGCAATGCGCGAAAATTTCAGATGAAAAAACCTCTATGCTACAATGTTTGGCAGCCCTAGAGCACTGCTGATGGAGGCGAACACACATCCACCAGACTCGGACTCACAAATTTACTGACTTCGAGGGTTATTCGGTGCACATGTGCTTTGAAGGTCTCAAAATTCCATCAAACCTTAGGGGCTGTTAGGTATGGCTTCAATGTTGATCCCTAGTGTGTTCGAGAAAGCTACATATAAGTTGACGGCTACTACTTGTGAACTACTATGTACTTCCTATGTACCACCTTAATTTGGCTACACAAAAACCAAATCATGGTCTTGTGGAATTGGACAGTGAAAATAGAACAATTGATGGAATATTGCACACAAGAATGACACAATTGGCCAGGTATATAGTAGCATTTGAACCTTTGAACGGGTCGGATTTTCGAGTTGTTTTTTGAACCATTGGGAGTTGTGGTTTATCCCAACCACTCGATGTCTAGTTGACCATGCTCACGGCTTCGTCAATGTCGGGGTATTCCCTTTCAAATATTCCTTCTCCATCTGTACTAAGAGGCTCCAAGGCTACTCATATGGGATCTATTTGCACCCGCACTTGTCACTGCCGGCTCCGCAGCCGGCGACTGTCAGTGTCGGGGGTAGATCGGGAGCGTGGAAATAAGTTTTTAAACGGGGGTACAAGCCTAGCACGCTAATTTGCCCGCTTAACGGAAGTAGCGCAGTCAAACACTTTTCGGGAACTTCCCGGATGTGGATCCGTCAACGCCCCCGCAGAACCCTTATACTCCAGATTATGTCAACTCATGCGCATCTGGGCAGTCTATTTAAACAAGCGTCTTCCCGTATAAAGAACCATGTGCAGATACGTATAAGCAGAAAAAAAAGACTTCTGCTTAACATCAACAATGGAAAAGTTCGACATTCTCATTTGTGGTAGTGGCTCCGCCGGTCTTTGCGCTGCAGCTTGGCTCGCTCGTTACGGCATCCGATGCAAAATTCTGGAACGTCGCGATGGCCCCATGACCATGGGCCAGGCAGATGGCGTACAATGTCGAACCGTCGAAATCTTCGAAAGCTTTGGCGTGGGTGAGGAATTGTTACGCGAGGCCTATCATGTTCTTGAAGTGAGCTTCTGGGCAGATGATGGGTCCGGTATTAAGCGTACTGGCCGAACGGCTGATACGCAGCCGGGATTGTCGCACCAGCCACATGTTATCTTGAACCAGGCACGCATTAATGGGCTGCTAATTGAGCGCATGCAAGCATATAATGACCAGCAGATTGATTATGGGTACAATGTTACCGATGTGCAGGTCGATAGTGCATCTGCATCTGACCCTGACTCTTATCCCGTCACTGTAACTGCGGAGCGAGAAGGAAAGACAGAGAGCTTTGCGGCGAAATACGTATTGGTAAGCTTTCCCCCCCTTTTTCAGAATTGAAGGCCTTTCTAATACCAAATAGGCGTGCGATGGCGCCCACAGCGTTGTGCGCAAGGCTCTCGGGTACAAGATGATTGGGGACAGCAGTGATGCAGTCTGGGGCGTGATGGATATGATCCCTCGCACCAACTTTCCTGATTTCCGCAAAAAGACAGCCATTCGGTCCAAAGCAGGAACCCTCTTGATCATCCCCCGAGAAGGTGATAAGCGCAACTTGACACGATTCTACATCGAACTTCCCGTGGGAACAAACCCCAAAGATGTGACTTTGGAGAAATTACAGATCCAAGCCAAGAAAAGTTTCGAGCCGTATCAAATGGAGTTCACTGAGACGGTGTGGTGGTCTGCCTACTCGATTGGCCAGCGCCACGCCGACTTCTTCCACAAAGACTATCGAGTATTCTTGGCTGGAGATGCTTGCCACACCCATTCACCTAAAGCTGGCCAGGGTATGAATGTCAGTCTGCAAGATGGATACAATATTGGCTGGAAGCTTGGCGAAGTCTTGACAGGACTGGCTCATCCATCTTTGCTTGAGACATATGTTCTTGAGCGAGAGAAGACCGCCATCGATTTGATCAACTTCGATCGCTACTTTGCCAAGTTGTTCGCTTCTGGAGCCAACACAGCTGCAGAGTTCCAGGAAGGGTTTACCCAAGCGGGAAAATACACTGCTGGCCTCACAGCGAAATATGATGTTTCTCCCATCACCACTGCCTTGGAGTCTACACAGCTTGCATCAAATGTTGTGGTTGGCATGCGACTGCCCAGTGCACAGCTTGTGCGACACTGCGACTCGAAGCCTCTTCAGCTCATGACAACACTCAAGTCAGATGGCCGGTGGCGTATTATGGCCTTTGTCGGTGATCTCACAGTTGCTGAGAACCGGTCCAAATTGAATACGGTGAGACTCATTTGCTAGTTCCAAGGTCACTTTAGTTTATGATTTTACTAATGCCCATATATCTGATAGCTTGGAGAATACTTATCCTCGCAGGGTGGGCCAATCCACAAGTTTACACCGACTTCGCAATATGTGGATAGTCTAATAGAGACCATTGTTATTGGCCACGGGAAGCGACATGATGTTGAGTTGGAGCAGATTCCTGAATCTTTCTACCCACTGACAGGCAAGAATCAGACAAGAGGTAGGTTTCCAGGAAATGAAGATCTCCACCTTAGGCCGCAATCAATTACTCATAATGTTCACAGATTTGCACAAGATATACTTCGATGATGAAAGTTACAACAGGGGACACGGCCACGCATATGAGTTCCTCGGCATTGATCCGAAAGAGGGGGCTTTGATTATTGTTCGACCCGATCAATGTAAGTCTTTCCGAGTCCCAATATCTCTCGCTATTGCTGATTATCTTATTCAGATGTATCTGCGGTCATGGGACTTGATGAGTATAGGGAAATTGGCAAGTTCTTCGGGGGATTTCTTAAGCCGCAAACGTAGGTTGCCCCCCTCACGGCGCGAAGAATGCGACGGTCAGCTAAGTAAGCGTTGTGCAGGCTAGCAGGGAGCTATTCAACCCCGCTCGAAAGCAGATTGTAAATAAGTATATAGAATCATTTCAAAAGCATAACAAATGGGAAAACCAAATCTAGAGTGTTTGAAATGTTTACTCCACTTGGGTTTTTTTTTCCGCAGGGGAAGTCGAGACCGGAGCGGGAAGCACGTCAGTGGCTGCGGGTCATACTGTCCGCATCTTCCATCCTGTGTTCCAGTTTTACAGACCAGCAACCAAATAAGTAATGGTTTTATAAGTTGAAGAAGATGTAGAGGAATGTAATCAAAATTTTCAACAGATCGAAGAAAATATCAGGGGGTGGGCCGTATAGTATCATAGCGAAACCCACATCGTGGCTCCACCAGATCTATGACGTGATGTCACACGGCGAAGCTTCCAAGGTTTTGGTATAAAAGGTCTTCCTCCCCTCGATCCCTTAAATCCGGTCATCGCCATTCAAAACCTTTGCAACCTTCTATACACCTCTATACACTTCTTTCCTAAACACCTCTTTTCCTTCACATTAATCATGTCTTACGCCGACGCTGCTGCCAAGGGCCCCAAGCAGACCCCCGAGGATGTGAGTACTTTTACCAGCATGTGACATCAGCGCAGAAATGCAAAAGAAAGAAGAACCCAAGCTAATCTATCCACAGGCGTAAGTCGTGAATGCAAAAAATCACTATTGCCATGTATTGTACGGCATGCTAACATAAATTCAAGTCGCGCTCCCAATGTCGGTGGTATCTACCACGACGAGGCTGAGAGCACCTCCTCCCTGATCGACGTCGACTCCCCGCACGTCAACACCGTTGACTCCGATTTCATTGACCAAGAAGTCAAGACAACCACACAGGCTGAGCGGATAGAGCGCGAAGCTGCCGAGGCCGAGGAGCGCAAGGCTCGCGAGGCCAGCGAGAAGAAGGCTAAGCCCCGCAAGGCCAAGGCCAGCGGCCTATACGCCAACTCCAGCAACCCTGTCTACATTACCAACGCCGTTCTGGGTGCTCTTGTTGGTGCTGGTCTGGGCTTCGGCGCCTACCACAAGCACGCTCAGGGCAAGCTTTCGTGGGAATTGGTCGGTGCTGTATCTGGTGCCGTGGGTGCCTTTGGTATTGTGGACTACTTCGCCAGCAAGTAAGTAATGCCGGGGTCTTGATTTGATTTGAAAACGTCGATTCGGCTGCACTTTGCGTGCGATCGTTCCATTTATACAGATTACAGTTGTGCTAATTCCCATCTCTAGGTGGTTCCTGCAGAACAAGTACCCTTCCAAATAGAGGGGTGCAAGTCGACATTCCCTAAACCCCTTCCATTTCTTTAGTCCTGTTGTTTAATATACCATCCCTGCTCTTTTGAAACTTTGCATTCTGTATTCTTTGGCGAGAGAACGGAGTCGGATTGTCGGGCTTGTACTAGTAGCCTCAACGATACCATTTTGATGCGAATGCGGTGTGAATCAACTCGTTATCTTTATTATTGATCAGTAAGCTGGTATACTTGCAGCGATTCAGGGTAGATTGACTAGTTTTGCTGCAAGTACAGGCAGTGCATTAGAGTAGTAAGGAGAAGTATAAGTCGGTGCCTTGTTAAAGCTATGCCCAAAGGCGGTCAGCGGCCAAAACCCACATGTGGCCTCGCGCGAGGCGTGGGTTCATTTCAACCTTGGATCGCTTGAATTCTCAGCTTGGAGGTGTCTAGAAGGATCAAACTTTTCTTTGACTGTTGACACCGATACTTCTACCAGTTTCTCCCTTTATCTGTACACTTTGAACCCCCCAAACCTCCACGTGGTAGCTGCCACCACCCAAAAAAAACATGGTATGTCAATCGCCCCATACAATACGAGGTTATTGCTCATATAGAACAGAATTCCCTTTTCAACTCTGCATTGAAGCAGTCATCTGCTATTCGCCGGGATCTGGACAAGTTCGCGCAATCTCCAGCAACCTCCTCAGCTGCCCTTCAAGGTACGTCATTTCGACTCGACCTATGCGACATCGAGTAATAACTGACCATTCTTTACGCGTAGGTCAAATAGCTGCGTCCTTGGCCTCCCTATCGCGAACTGTCGATGACTACTCAGCTCTGTCGAAGAAAGAGCTGATTCCGGAGAAGCAAGAAAAGGCCTTTGATCGAGTTAAGAACTTCCGCAGCGAACTTGTGGATTACCGCACACAATTCGACCGACTGCGCAAAGAGCGAGAGGATGCAGTACGTTTCGGCCCAAAGGGAATTCAATACATCCGCAAGAACGGCTTTGATTCTAACTGCTTTGAACTTCTAGCAATCATCTACCAACCGCAGTGAACTTCTAGGCCGTCGACCACACCACGCCGCTACTCCCGAGAACCCCTACGCCCAATCAAACCTCCCCCAGGCCTCATCCTCATTTGCACCATCTTCCGGGCTAAGCTTTGGAGGTGGCCCTGGTGACCAGAGCCGCGAAAGCCATGCGCTGCGTGAGCAATCCTTCTTCTCCAACACAAACACCCAATTGGACGACTTTTTGGATCGAGGACGTGCAGTGCTGGCGGATTTGGGTCAACAGCGCGAGGTATTGAAGGGCACTCAACGCCGATTATATAGTGTTGCTAACACCCTGGGTGTGAGCGGAGATACTATCCGCATGGTTGAGCGACGCGCTCGACAGGACAAATGGATTTTCTGGGGCTGCGTGGTGATTTTCATTCTCTTCTGCTGGTTGGTCCTGCACTTCTTGCGGTGATCATGACAATTGCCATGTACTTTCTTACTCTGTGACGCTTTGTATGGTGGTTTTTTTTTTGGTCTTTTCACTTGTTGTACCCTTGGAGGTTCGACTTTCCATCAGCGACGGCGTTTTGATTGTCGGGTATGGTTGTAACAAGCAACAAATGCGATATATTGGGTTTATTCTTCTGTATGAAATTATCTCGAGTCACATGTCAAAGTTCCAGTAGCTCAGTAATAAAGAAGAAAACAAGTAATCTCCATTCTCAATTCCCAATTCCACCCGAATGCAGCTGCCAATTGCGATTCTGCCCGAGCGTTGGGGATCGGCCGAGCACCGGGACATCGGAAGCGTGCTGTAAAGTGGAGACCAGCTCACACCGGGCCCCAATCTCTTTTCCCCTTCCCATTCTCCCCTTCCCTTCCCTTCTTCTTCATCCAAAACATCATCTGGACCAGTAGACACAATGTTTGCCGCTCGCTCTACCTTCAACGCCTTCCAGAAGCGCGCCTTCTCCGCTTCGGCCAGCCAGGTATGTTCTTGATGAATTGGCTTGTATTTATTCTTTACGCGCGCTAACCTCATCTACTCATAGGCCTCCAAGGTCGCCGTTCTCGGTGCCGCCGGTGGTATTGGCCAGCCTTTGTCCCTGCTGCTCAAGCTCAACCCCCGTGTCTCTGACCTTGCCCTCTACGACATCCGTGGTGGACCCGGTATGTGATTCCTCATTGCAGGTAGCTCTGCCATTATCTGCTATTCCAATTGCTGACATGTTTTTCATCCCAGGTGTTGCCGCTGATCTGAGCCACATCAACACCAACAGCACCGTCACCGGCTACAACCCCGATGCTGCTGGCCTCAAGGAGTGCCTCACTGGCGCTGAGATCATCCTCATCCCCGCTGGTGTTCCCCGCAAGCCCGGTATGACCCGTGATGACCTCTTCAACACCAACGCCTCCATTGTCCGCGACCTCGCCAAGGCCGCCGCTGAGGCTGCCCCCAACGCCAAGGTCCTGGTCATTGCCAACCCTGTACGTGTTCCCCATCTAATCTGATAACCGATTGAGGAAGATCCATTGCTAATACCTGAACTAGGTCAACTCCACCGTCCCCATCGTCGCTGAGGTTTACAAGAAGGCCGGTGTCTACAACCCCAAGACCCTGTTCGGTGTCACCACCCTGGATGTTGTCCGTGCCTCGCGCTTCATCTCCCAGGTCCAGACCACCGACCCCTCCGCTGAGAAGGTCCCCGTCGTTGGTGGCCACTCCGGTGTGACCATCGTTCCCCTCCTGTCCCAGTCCGGCCACCCCTCCATTGCCGGTGAGGCCCGTGACGCCCTTGTCAACCGCATCCAGTTCGGTGGTGACGAGGTTGTCAAGGCCAAGGACGGTGCCGGTTCCGCCACCCTCTCCATGGCCATGGCCGGTGCTCGCTTCGCTGAGTCCCTCCTCCGCGCCGCTGACGGCGAGAAGGGTGTCATTGAGCCTACCTTCGTTGACTCTCCCCTCTACAAGGACCAGGGTATTGACTTCTTCGCCTCCAAGGTCGAGCTCGGCCCCGAGGGTGTCAAGGAGATCAACTCCGTTGGCCCCATCAACGAGTACGAGCAGGGTCTCCTCGAGGCCTGCCTCGCTGACCTGAAGAAGAACATCCAGAAGGGTGTTGACTTCGTCAAGGCCAACCCGTAAAAAAAGTCACTGTATACCACCTTTAACCTCCCCCTTTTCCAGCGTCTTTTTTATCAGAGCGTCTGGCCTTGTATTTCTAGATCGATATGATTGACTTAATGAATATCGGTCTAATCCGTGAAACATCTACTTGATTGTAAAATTTTCCTTTTTCCTTTTTCCTTTTTTTTTTCTTCCCTCGTATTCTCAAGGTTGCAATTTGTAGTTAGCGCTATCTTGATCAAAACAGGAAATCCTTGGGTAAAATAATATTGATATGTTTCCAATCAGCCATAGCTATGTTAAGAATAATATAATGAATGTAAATGCCCACCCACGTCACAGACTCCTTGAATCCAATCCTTACATGCGAGTCATCCTCCAGATTTCACCTTGGAACTTTAGGTGTAACTGCGCATGGCATCCAGGTAGCCGGTTCCGCCGCGAAGATCATGATCGAACGTCTCAGCCACGTCCAGGACCCGTTTGATATGGTCCATGGAGAGTGGCATCCTTTCGTTGACCGCCAGTGCCTGAGCGGTCCGAACCGAGTTCTTGATCTAAAAAGACGTGTTAGTTCTGAAGCAAACACATTGTTTCGTTTGTGTTTGTGCTTGAGGGGGGAAATGTTTGGCGGTGATGAGAGAGCAAACTGAGGTAAGGAAGGGGGTGCAATTGAGATCTTACCTGTCGGCCGTTGAGCGTGTGACGTGACAGTAGGTCGTAATCCTTCTCCGTGAACTCCGCAGTCTGAACGCCCTCAATCGCACGTACTCGCTCCAGGAACATCTTCCAGATACTACGCTTCGCCTTTGGTGCCAGATCGCCATATCGCAACGCCACGTGAATACGTGACTGGAACGCGTCGTCGAAGGTTTCGACCCGGTTCGTGGTCAAGAACAAGATACCCTGGAAGTATTCCAGCAGCCGGAGGAAAATACTCACGAGTGCGTTGCGGTGGATATCGTGGATGGTACGCTTCTCGAGGAAGATATCTGCTTCGTCGAGAAGGAGGACGGCGCCCCATGAGTGCGCGATATCGAGGATTTTGTTAAGCTCTGCCTCCAGAGTACGTGAGTCGGTTCCTAGTTCTCCGGCACTGACCATGTACAGTGGACGTTTGAGCAGCTCGGCGATTCCCTCGGCTGTCAGGGTCTTGCCTGTTCCAGGTGGGCCGTGAAGTACTGCGACTAGGCCCTTGCCTTTGCCCTGGATTACGTCGTCGATATTCTCGGCTGCGTGGAAGGTGTGTGACTCTACAAGAGCCTTGACGATGGACTTTTGGTTGTCGGGGAGGACCAGTGAATCGAAGGCCTCTTTATCCCATTCGATATCGCTGATACCCGAGATGGTGAACTCCAGCCACATCTTCTCCGTGAAGGCAAAGCCCAGCACGACAGGGCTGGCGATGAGGAGTTCTTCCTCGGTGAACTCACGACCAATCACCCCATCGGTACCTTCGATGCGCTCCAAGTTCTCTTTCTGAACCTCCTGTCCGTTCTCGTCGACTTCTACTTCCACGACGCGATGGGTTCCGTCGTCCCCTTCAATCACCTTGTATCTCGTTCGTGGAACATCAGACATACCGCCATGTCCGGTGTCAGAATCCGAGCCCGCACAGCAACAGCCGTTGTCGCTATCGTCTTCGTCCCCCGTCATATCCGTCCCAAAAGCATCAAAAAGATCCGAATCCTTAGGCCGGACAGTGCTAATGGCATAGTTCGGATTGACACGGCGATGAAGAGCTGGGTCCACCATCACTCGGCTATCAATGTTGACCTTGGCAATTTGATTCTTCTTCCTTTTGTAAAACGCCATTCCCTTGTGGAAGCGGTAGTTCATGCCACGCATCGCCACGAATCGCTTACCACGCTCGACCAGACGAGTCTGGAGCCCCTCGGCATCGCGGTGGTATTGCAGTGGGTAACAGGCGAGGCTGGTGATCTTACGTGGTCCTTTGAACGATTCGACTTCGGCCGACATGGTGCCGAATCCAAAATCTTTCCCGTCATACTCTAGGTATCGACCTTCAATGTCGTACCATTGGCCTCTGACGAAGGACGACTCCTTTTGTGCGTACTCGATTTTAAAGGCACGGGGCTCATCGGTGTTGCCGTAAGTTGGCGTATACGCAATGGAGTTGGGTTTGAAGATCGCCCACAGGAGATCGAATGTGATTGTGTTATTCTCCAACAGCGGGTAGAGCGTCTTCTTGACGCTTGCATAGTCGCTGTCGAGGTACTTGAGGAGGACCTTAAGATGCGCCGCTTGAGTAGCCGCTGACTTGCGTTCCTTCCGTTTCTTTCCCGTTCGTGATTTCTCCTTGAGATCCTTCATGTGCTGTCTGGTCTCATCGAGGTACAAGAACAACATGTTAGGATCGACGACAGCTGGGTCTTCGACCATGCTGACTCCCTTCACGCCATCCATCACCTTCGTCATTGCCTCACGCAGGGGCTTGCTTTTGATGTCCACCACTGTCTCGAGATACTTGTTTTCCCAATTGAACTTCCGGCGCACAGTGAAGAGATATTGGTCCCATTCGTCGGCATCAGGATCATTCACCGTCTCGGTCAGCTTGTACTTGTGGATTGTGCTGTCCCATACTAGACGAAATCAATATTTTTTTTTTAGTAAGGGTTCCGGCTCAAGGCAAGAAAGCCAAAGAAAGGAAAGACAGGGAAGGGCACATGACTCTTGGGGACAACTTACATTGATCTACACGCTTGAAGTCCACCTTGGAGGCAGGCTTCCTCTTCGAACGTCTTGAACGTCGAGTTTCGGTAGGGGTAACAGTTGATCCAGTCTCATCGCTGTTTTGATCACGCGATCGCTTATGTCGCTTCTTAAGCGTAAGCTTTGCGACCAGATGTCGCAAATTCTTCTCATCCAACGCCGAGTCCGATTCGTACGACTCTGAGCCAGTGTCAGATTCACTTGAGGTCTCCGTAACGGGGTCCACTGCCGCTGACTTGCGACCACGCTGTCTGCGTCTCTGTCGCTTCTTTTTATCCCTCAGCGCCTGCTTTGCTTTCCGGTATCGAGTCTTCTTGCGTCGCTCCAGCTCCGACTCATCGGTGACTGAGTCTACAACTGAGGTATCCGAGTCAGTGTCATCAGAGGATGACGAGGAGGATTCCGAGTCCGATGTCTCGTCAACTGCCTTTTTCTTGGTTCGTCTTTTCTTCTTTTTGATGTTATCCATCTTATCCGTGTGCTTGCATCCTTTCTTGGGCGATTCCGATGGGATTGGAATATTAGCGGGATCTTTGACCGCTACTTCAGGAACGGGCGGCGGGGTGCCATTGGCGATTTTGATGTTTTCAGTTGATGGCTCAATCTCCAGTTTGGCTTCAGCGGCGTTCGAGATGGGTTCCGCCATTGTGGAGATCAAACCTTGAAGCTTGAATCTTGATCTTGATACAAGGTGGGGAAAATTGATTGCGGAGCCTCGTGGAACAAATCGTTGGCCAGGAGGCGTGAGAAAGTGTGCGGGGGCCCCGGACTAGGGTCGGGATTGTGGAGATTGTTTCTTTCCCAACTTGTGCTTGTAGTTGCGATTGAAGACTTGAAGCTCGGGGATCGTAAAGACGCAGGTGAATAGACTGAGATTGTCAACGTGGGAGAAGGCGTTTTACGTCGGCGGTGCAAGCCTTTTGTGAGCAGATCAAAAAGATGACAGAAAAGAAGACGTTGAAGATGTTCAAGATGGATAGAAGAGAAATTGAAATGAGAAAGTGAGAGAAACATGCAGGTGAGACGGAGGGTTTTAGTTTGGCCGGTGTTCGTCAACAGGCGCTTACGAGGAATCCAAACGCAAAAACGATAGGATCGAAAAAATGTCAGAAAAGCATGCGATAATCAGCTTGAAAATGCCAAAGCTCACAGGACACAGAGGCCAATCATGTGGCCCCACGAATGTTCGGGACTGCGTTGGCTCATATCTGCTAAAGCGCACTAGACGCATGCTACCATGCGTTGTCATTTGACAAAAGCGCTGAGGCTCCGCCCTGTTTGTTCTGTTACACGGGTTGGGTTCACCCTGGTAAGTGCCCAATATGTTGGGGCTTCAATGATGGTCTTCATACTCGAGCTCTCGAGACCTTTTCTACGTGTTTTGACCTCTGGCAAAGTTAATACCAGGGCTTGGTGAATAGTCCAGTTCATTCCGAATTCAATGGTGAATTCAATGTGGCGCCAAGATTGTATGCAAAGTCGCCAACATTGAATGAGATCTCTGAGTCCTAGCCAAACCCGGGATTGCGCAGCTGGCCATTTAATATAGACACCAGTTCATTCCGGGATTTGCACTTTTGAACTTGAATCACATCTCTAGCACTGCCATGTAGAAAGGCCATCTATAACTTGCCATTGTTCATGTTGCAGCCTACTGCCTACAGGAAGATGGACAAAAGTACGCCAAATATGGGTCCACGTGATTCTTCGCTATTACGAAGACCAATCAATTTTATGTGAGAATCAGAAAAAAAAAAACCAGACGAAAACTAGTATGCTGATGATGGTCTGGGTGGATTGAAAACTGACCTAAAGCTCCGACTCAAAGGGGGAATACATTGACGCACTAATAATAGAGCAGGGAATCTATTGGATCACACCGCTCATTGACATTATCTCAGTGAGGCTGTAGCTGCTGTTGGATCCTGTATGATTCATTTTATGCTTTTTATCTTATAGTCTTAGAGCCTTATTGTCTTGTTGTTTTATGCCCTGAGTCACTGGGGATTGTAGTACTTTTGTCTCTTGTGATCCGGGCTTCTTGCTTCTAGGCTTCCAAGCTTCCCAACATTGTCAAAAATGTCTACAGATATGATCATTCATGATCACTATTAACCTGGTGAGTTTGTTTCTTTTTCTCATTCCGAATCATCAAACATGTCACCTATTGGCAAAAACAAACAAATGTCTATCCTTTTTCTCAGCTTTGTAACATCCAGTTTCCACCCGAAACATTCGCAATTCCATCAACAAGTTTGACCCGTTGCCCAGTCTTAGAGACCAAACTCCCAACCACACCAGGAAGTCGGACAACCCCAGTCGTGGAAACAGGAGTGTTGAATGAAAGCCGACTATACCCTTCTCCAGAGGGATTACGCTGAAGCGCCACCGAGAATCCACCAAGAGCGGTGGTCAACCCAGCGTCAACGGCCGTAAGATTGCCAGGCTGGGGCGCTATAACGCAGGATCTACCCGCTGGCCCGGTAAGCCGGATCCCAGCGGCGTATCCCGTCAGCGCATACGTTGGTCCAGTAGACCATCCATGAGCGTGTGAAATGCGCGCATCATCGATATAGGGCGCATAATGAATAGACCCGTCTGTCGAGTAACCCTCGATGAAAGTCGATTGGGTCATCTTGGAGTCCAGAAGCATGTATCCCCATTGGAGACGGAGTAAATCGAGTGCGGCGTTGGGCTGTCCGGCGATGTAATGGGCTTGGAGCTCGAAGCCGCCGATGAATGGGGAGATGGTTGCACCAGCCTCCGGGGCCGGGGCCCCATATGTGCCCCAGCGAGCTTTAAGAGCCGCAGATATTGTTTTGCGTTGATTGTTCGACTGGGTGATGTTTGCTTTGATGGCCCAGGTGTTTCCGTCTTGGGGATGCAGAGTGGTGGTTTCGTTGTCTCGGTACATCCCAGACGAGGAATCCCAGAGAAGCTTGTTCGCAGCGGATTTGACTCCAGCTGCGACGTTTTCCCAGTGGGGGATGACTGATGTTTTGTTCAGCTCCTTTGCAAGATCTTGCGCATCGTTCAGCACAAAGTATAGGATTGAGTTGGCTTCGATGTTCTGATTTTTTGTTAGTTATAGGACCATTGATATAATCGACGTGGCTTTCTTCAAAACTTACATGGCCTCCCATTCCATACCGAAGCCAGTCGTCAGTCCATGTTATATTGGCCAGACCGGTATTGTCGACTGCCTCCAATGCCCATTTCACTCCGAGCACGTACTGATCCCAGTAGCTCAAAGCCCAAGATGTGTTTCCCGAGAACCGATACAAGAAAGACATTCCGATGAGATTGTGTAGATGATAGGTGTAGCTTGAGCCGTATGTGAAAGGCGTACCAGCATAAGGGAGCTGCCCATCAGCTTTCTGCAATATGAATAGTGACTCTAGCCCCATCTGAAGACTGTAGAGATCACCAGTGCTGACAGCGATGCTTTCCAGAGAGATAGCCATATCTCCTGGCCAAACGAGCCGATCGCGCTTCGCTCCATCAGTGACGGTACTCGTTCCATTGGTGATTGTGTAGTTGTTATACCAAACATTCATCTCGGGAAGAACAATATCATAGGTCTGTGACGTGATCGAGTCTCCAGCTGTCGGATCAATAGTACACAGCTGGTTGGTGTATGCTCCCGCATACCAAATCTTGTTAATTAGCTCGTCGTCTGAGTGGAACCAGCCCGTATAGCTTCGGAGGTTCTGGTCTGGTGCGGAAGTGAGTTTCACATGGAGAGCATCGAGGACAACGGTGGCACTTGTATTGCTTGCGACTGTCAGATAACGGAAGGCGCCCCGTTGAAACTCAGTGGCTGGTGTGTACGTTCCCGCGCCCTTTCCAACGTTGAACCACAATGGTCTATCAAATCCAGAGTTACCAGTGGCATCACTGTATTCACTGCTGATCCAAAGTTTTGACTCGGTAAATGTGACGGATAAAAATGCCGACGACAACGAGGCGGAGCTCACATCGAGCGAGACTAGACCTGCAACGTTCTTGCCAAAGTCCAGGGTCACAGATGAGATGCCATCAAAGGTGGCTCCACCGCCAGATGATTTTGTCAGAGATTTGGCATTATTCACGGATCCGTTGACTTGGTAGACTGATGCTGGAGTCAGAGTTCGAGAGCTTGGGGCTAGAATGTACTCCTCATAAGGCACGCGTGCTGCGGCCGCTACCAATGGCAGCAATAGGAGAGTGAAGCAAAACATGTAATAAGAGCTCAAAATCAACAATGATCTTGGTCAATGGAAACAGTTCCTGGAATTAGTCTCTCTTATTTATGCAACAAATATTGCACAATTCCAGGGCATCTTTCCACATTCAATGTTGGGCTCCCGCTATCCTGTGTCGATCCCAGGGTCTTCTCGGGGTAGTCAAACCCGGGGTGCGGAGAACGAGGTATGATGCGCTTCTCTGCAACTTAACCTGAAATCTTGGTTTTGTTTCTTTCGGTTGATCAACACTCCGAACATGCTGATCAATGTGGGGTTTCCTCCAGAGGGTCCCTATCATCCCCGGACCCCGCATCATTCATTGTGCTGCCTACAGCTGTTTGCTTGGCCTTTTGGGTCACCCCGAAGTTCTGCCGTGATGATGAATCGAAGTGGTAATTAGTATCTCCCATTAATTAATGTTACATCGCGTAGGGTGTCAGAATGTTTGAAATACTCAGAGCAAATTTCGGCATCACAAGTCGGCAATTGAATCAGCTGTTCTGCAGTAGACTGTAGCGCACCATGTGGAGATACTGCTAAGAGCAAATGTATTTGCGGGTCAGCCAGAGAGGATGCGGGGAACTCACCACGTTCATAGCCGCGAAAGATTCATAAATAAGCATGGCGGCGGGCCTCGAATCACCTGTACCCTCGCTGAAGCCTTCAAACGACGCGCAGCTTAGGGGGTCGCAATTGCCTGTTGTAATTCCACAGTTAATCGAGCCACTGAGATGGTAAGTGTTCATGACGGAGTCACTGAATGCCTTCTCGGTACTTGCAAGTTTCGGCTCATCGATAGTCTGCCAGACATTAATGGTGTCTGACCAAGCATTGGAAGTGCCCAGCCTTGACCATTGCTCCGCGGATGGCATGTATAGAGCAACTTGTATAGCAGGATCAGTACGAGTGATAGTAGTCCAGTTGCCTGTTCTGTTGCCCTCTTCGTTTGAAGAATCTACTTCCAGGAGGACACTACCAATGAAGCCACTCCAGCTGACGGAGGTGAAAGGTGCATCATTGTACTCTTGAAAGTCGGTAGCCCAACCGTATGTACCGCCCATAGCTAGATACCTGTAGACCGATGCTCGTGAGACTTTGATACCGTCACTCAAACAGCCAACCCATTGAGTATTATCATAAACAAAGATGTTGGTGTTGCTATTAAGGTGAATAAAATTCCGATTGACTCGGCTGGAGTTCGCGAGGATGGATTCAATCTCGGCATTGGCAATACAGCCTGCCATCTGAGTACAGGGTCCTGGTGTAGTTAGCGACACCAGTCATCGGCTAAACCCAAGAAAAATAAATATTGGCCATAGCAGTCTGCATCAGCGTAGCCCATATAAATGGTTTACACCATCAAAACTCTGTGGGTTGTGAGGCTACGCGCGAAAAATCTTGCGCGCAGCCCATATCAATGGTTCAGTCAGCCATGGCAAATGATCATCCGTAGCTGGTCACACCAAAAACAACCTGATTGGAGGGAATACCGGCTTTTTTAATCTGTTGACGGCAAAATTTGTGTTGGCGCTAGGAAATGCAGTGGTTTTCAGTAGTTACATACTTAAGCTAACACCAAGGCGCCTATTATTTCGTTAAGATTCACGTCTGTACGTAAATAGTTGCCAGTAGGACAACCAAGCTGCGACCATTGATTGTTGGAATGCTACTGCAGAAGTGGAAATCTTTTTATGTTGGCGTATATCACCACGCATTCAAACGCCCAATTGTGACAATTGCTCATACCTGTCCGTGCAAATCGTAGGTCATATAAATGATGTAGTCCACGAGGGAAGCCATCTTCTCGATAGGGAATCCTTGCAGACTATAAAGCTGGAGCAGCAATTGTGATATCCATCGGGAAGAAGATTCCTCAATAAAGCAAGGAAGGCGAGATAGTCTGTACCATCATCAGTACTAGCAGTAGGGATGTCAGGAATATCTGGTACCGTTAAAAAGTGGTGATGTGAGTATGGACTTTATACCTTTGAAGGATCGAAATTTTAATGAGTGGCTTCGTAAGGACCGCCACCGGAGGTGTGCTTTCGCCCCCAAAAGCGACTCTGGATGAATCATTAGTAATTGGATATGCCGTCGTGGAGACTACAACGACTTTGGGAAATAACTTCAATATCCGAGTTGCAACTTGAATCTTGGAAGTGTACCTGAGTCGTACCGGTACTAGCGTAATTTACAATATACTAGTAGCCTCCTGGACCTAACGGGTTTCCCCACGAAATCGAATTTCCCTGTGGGTTTCTCTTTTGTCTTTTCCACTTCAACTCTCCTGTTTTTCGTTTCTTCTTCTTCACCGTCTGGATCCTGAGCCTCGTTACCCGTCAATTTGTCCTTTTCTTTCCACATTCCAGCTTTCTCGGCACTATGCACTCGCTATTCAAACTTCTCCAAGCCGCGCTGATAACCAGCTGGATGACCGTTGCCACTGCCAATTCTGGCGTCTTTGAAGTGGACTTGATATACCCACGCAATGAAACCTACACTCCCTCACCGCTGATGCCCATGGTGTTTGCGGTTCAGAATCCGGATATGGCTGACCCGTTGGGGGCCTCTATTTCTTGGTCATTTTTGGAAGGGGGCAACCGTAGTGCCCCAGGCTCTCTTCTAGACGGGCTCCTTGAACTGTCCCCGATGAACGTGTTGAACGTCTCGGGTGATCTTGACAAGCTTACGCTGGACATCCCCGGCTACCCTCTTCTGGTCACCCGTTACCTCGACACATTTTCCTTCCCCGACGGCACTTGGAATTTTGAATGGAGTCTGGAAGTCTATAATTGCACTTCTGGGTTCGAAGACTATCAAAACGCCTTGCAGGTGACGAACTACGTCACCTTCAACACCAGCAAATCCGGGAAAGCACCCGATCTTGTGGCGGCAACATCGGCTGGGACGTGCGACACCGCGGAAGGCTTTGCGTTCAACGCGATTTCTCTTGAATATAATTGCGGCGTACTCGAGCCTACTCAAACCACCAACCCGTGCGCTGTCACCATCGATTCGGCAGCTGAATCCAATTTAATGGCAATGGCCACCGAGCATGCCTGCTCGATTCTGGAGCGCCCGATACACCCCAATGTCACCTGTCCGTCTGCAACGCCCTCAAGCAATACTGCGGGTCAATCTCGCACCGCAGCGGCACCGGTATTGTTTATGGTGCTAGCCACGCTGACCACAATGGCCTATTTTGGATGAGAGAGATATATGCACTGCAAACCTGATCTGGCAAAGGACCACTGGCCCTTCCACCCATGTAAATTGTAATAGTCCAGGTAATAGTCTATAGTCTTAATATTGGAGTTTAGTACTTTCCCTCCTTGAATGAACACCTTTGCTGTATTTTGTAACGTTGCAACCGCCTCCCTGATTGATATCGTGTCTGTAAGACTTAACAAGTTTGAAATATTTTGGGTCATAACCTTGCACATGAGGATACTGCTTCTAGTAGCCCTGGAGGTAGACCATATGTAGCAGGACATTGGGAAACCACACCTGCACAGCACTTGGGTGTACCTAGGGGTCATGCCCAGGTGATACTAGATGTACTATAGGACGAAATACATAATGTGTACGGTAATATACAACTTCAATGTTTGAATACTGCAGTGGTAATTTCCGGGCGTAATACCATAAATCCGAGTCCGAACGTTCCAAATCATCAGATGGCAAGTCAGACTCAGAACTTGCTAGTGAATTCCATGTTTCACAAAAAAACCAATCGGGATGGTACCCTTTTTGCTAGCATTCGAACTACTTTTCCCCACCAATAGACAGTCCAACATCCCCCCCACTCGCGCGGCATATCCGCACTAGACTAGATTAGCTTCGGAATCCCCGGGCTGAGCCTCTGCTGGAAAATTGTTCTCAGGGTCCTAGGGTCTCAGGGTCTAGGATACGAAATTTGCTTCCCCCCTCTCGTCGGTCCAGCACTTGAGTGTGAGGCATTATTGGCAAAACGACCAGGGATCAGGGGAACCCGGGGGCCATCACGCTAACCTTGGAAGCTTAGTATGTATTTAAAGCAACCAATGAGGAAAAATAACTCCTTGTAGAGTCATCACATGTGCCCGTCCTCTTTGTTCTTCTCTGAGTCTCTGTTTTGACGGTGTATCCGTGTATCCGAGTACGAATCCTGGTCCATAATAACATAATGTTGTTGAGGCGGCGGCGGCGGCCCGGGGCGGCCGGAGCCGCTTACACGGTTACAGACTTACAGTACACAATCTCCGAATTGCCAAGCTGTTCACATCTAATCCTCCGCGGCTACAAAGCTTCGCAACGCTTCTCCACTCTGAAAAGGCTTCGAGAAAGCTTCGGACGCGTACCTGAACCAGAATAAAGTAATCTCCGACATCGCACTCACAACGCTAGCCCTATACCAAGAGTGCTCTAAGCTTCTGACAATGTGTATCTCTGAAATCCCGCGGTCTATTTCTTTTGGAGACGCCAATGAGCGCAGCATTAGCGTGACATGGAACCTTGGAACCTAACACTTGGGCAATATACTGCTTCATAAAATGGCTGTCGAGTTTGCACGCCAGATATCCAGAGCATTTTTCACCTACCGTCGCAATCTATGAGTCGGACTGCCTCGGTATAAAATCGCTCTATATCGCCCGTCAATCAAGACTAGTCCCCTCCGATGATCACCGCTCAGTTGAAGCTGGCCTTGGAGTTGGCCTTGACCCCCCGTGCGGTTACTTGTAACTATGAAACCGCTGCGAGCTCCGGGGATACCTGCATGTGCACATCCTTCGCCGTATGCTAGGAAGCACTGCTCTCTGTGAGCCGTCACAATATATGTATGGTAGAGTGTAATAGCACTTGAGTGTACAGTCCGTTCAGTGTTGACTGAAGAGTAGTAACATTGAAAGTGACCAATCAGGAGAATTTATTTTATGGGGCTGTGGTATTACAACCTTATTCCTAAGGCCGTCGAACAATTCGACTTTCCCATTGATAACTGCGAAACAAAATATCAACTTTGATCTCTGCATGTGCACCACTTTTGATCTATCAGTCAGATCAACTTGAAAATGCCTTTAGTGCAATATTCGGATTCTGAGTCTGACACGGATGAGGTCCAAACTCTGGCACCGTCAGCCAAGAGGCCCTGTCCCAATCGAGTAACCTTGAACAGGACCCCATCAACTCTGCCTCCCCTGCCAGCCACATTCCATGATTTATATGCCTCAACTACACGTATCAGCACACAGGATGACCCCAGTCTTCATGGTGGCCGGAAGAGGGTTATTCCTCACATTGAAGGAAACTGGCCGACTCATCACTATCTTGAATGTAGGTGTCTATCCTGCTCTCTGCCTGATAGATCACTAACCCAACTAGTTTATCCATCAAAAGAGGATCTTCCTCTCCTTGAAAATCTGATACCCTCGGTTTCATCGTCACAATCAGGGATTCAAAGTCTCTTACATAGCGATCTTGGTGCTCAACTACCACTCCATATCAGTCTTTCCAGACCTGTTGTTCTCCGTACTGAGCAGCGCAGCTCGTTCGAAAAATTGTTACAAAATGCGATTGAGAAATCTCAGATATCACCGTAAGTGTCCAAAAAGAAGAAGAAGAAGAAGAAGAAGAAGAAGAAGATCACAAGGGTGCCACACGTTAGCTAACTGCTGAGTAGGTTTGCATTGACACCCGATGGCCTGAAATGGGTATCCAACTATGAGGCAACACGCTGGTTTCTTGTGCTTCATGTTGCAAAGCCAGAAAATGACAATTTGAATAGGCTATTGCATCTTTGTAATCGCGCACTTGCTCGATTCGATCAGCCTCCTCTCTATGCGTCCCGTAGCACTCCAGAATCCAAGGACTTCTCGGACTGCTTTCATATCTCACTTGCATGGGCACTGAAAGAGCCAAGTCAAGAAGATAAAGATCTTGTTGCAGCAACGGACTTGAAATCATTACAGAATCTTCGGATCTGGTTTGATAGCGTCAAGATCAAGATTGGAAATAATGTCTCCAGTATACTTTTGCCAACGGATGCATGAAACATACTCATAATATTTCCATTCAGAATACAATATTAACTTAATACAATTTGAGATTCGATGTCCATTTTGAACAATAAAATAAAATTTGAGAATTTACAAAAATTGGCCCGCTGGCCTTCACTATTCACTGTTCACTGTTCAGTGACAGAAACAAGGCGTTACGTAATTCTAAGTCGCGCCCGCGTCGCGCTAAAACCTCCCCTTTCCAATCTCCTCGAGAACCCAAGATGCAGATCCCAACAGTCACCATAGTAAGAAACCCTCCTCCTCCGTTATCCCTACCATCCAGATTTGATGCTAATGAACGACCGTGGTTGCAGGAAGACCTCCGCGCTTTTCAAGTGCAGCACTTCCCGGGACGTGAATCACTCGGCGCGTCCGCGACCGAACTTGAATACGACGAGGACGCCGGCGACGATGAAGACCTGGGCTACTATCCCGATGGGGTGAAACGAACCCTCACTGATGAACAGATCCAAATCTTTAGACATAGTGAGATTCACGCATTGTTGCGCGCAAGACAACTCGAACAAGACGATGCCGAGTATGAAGCTCGTCAAACATCGTCTGCAAAGGACCATAACCCAGTTGCGGAGCTGAAGCCCCAACAGAAAGGGACTGTCTCTGAAGTGGAGAAGAGCAAGGAAACTACAAAGAAGGAGGAGGAGGACATTCCTGCTACAAAGAGGTCCAAACGGCCAGCTGAGCATGACATGAGCCCATCATCAGAGTTCCAACAGCCATCATCTAGCAAAAGGCAGCAAGCTCCGAATCACAATCCATACCCTGGGCGGAGAATCATTTCATACGATGACTGAACAGACGTGGGGGATCGGTCTAGAGTTACTTCGCGGAACTTCAGAGAATTCCACAGACCTCCCTGTATGTCGACAACCAGGGGGTCTTTTCTCGTGGTAAGTTCTTTTGGCTTTCTTCTTGTTTTCCTTCCTTCATTTCCTGCATAGCATGACGAACAATTCATCCTTAGTCAGAAATGCCATACCATCTCCGAATGTGTAAGGCTTTGACGACTATAATCTTCTCTCTGAAATGCACTTCAAATTCACTCTTGTTTCTTACATCCAAGACGCGATCTCTTACTAATTTCGACTAGTAGCCTTGAACATCAAATGCAGCGTCAAGACTTACGAGACTTGAGTAAGATACAAAGATCGCACTTGCTTAGACCTGAATTTTCCACCGGATGCATTCAGCTTACTATACACCAGCCTTATCCTTGGATATGTTGCCACCGCTTGACTACAACACACAGTCTTCGAATAATTGCCAGATGTGCCTTCATACTCCCCGCATGGTAATTGAGGTTTCATATTTCTTGCTGAATATGTTCACTCGACCTTTCCCTCGAGATGGCTGCGATGAGAATTGATCGCTAGAGGTGACCGCCAGCTGTGAGCTTCTCTTCACTGTTTGCAGCTATGGGAAACCACCATGTGAAATCGAGTTTCCAGAGAAGTCAAATGCCTGATGTGGAATTATGACAAGATATCACTCACAACTAGCCGGCATACTGGACTGGAGTCAACTTCGATTATTCGATTTTTTATGAACTTGAAAATGGCTAGAAAGGAAATGAAAGCATTCCACATGCACTTAATCAAACTTCTCCCCAATGGTTTTCATATTATTGCCTGCCAAACTAGTTCGTCGCCACTCGCTTCAAGCCATTGTATACTTGCTAGTACCTAGCACCATCCGCTGGAACCTCGAATACTTTCTTCCCAACATTTCCAAGGATCCCGTGGCCTACATGCACTGGCCCAGCACAAGCATCTCGTCAAGTAAACATTCTCCACTGCAGCATGTTGAGTGCCCGTAACATTCCGCACCGGTGCTCTTGCAAGAATTGATAGCAAGGTCAACACTGTTCCCTAGGTCATCAAAGTCACAGCAGCCTAAAACCGAACTGTCTCTATCATCTCTGTCAATGCAAACACGTGAATACGGGCAGGCTGTCTCCAGATGCAAACACAAATCCCGCCCATTCGCCTCAACGCAGGATCCCTCAATGCATTGATGATTCTCGGTGCATTCGGAATCCATCTCAAGATAACGACCTCGTTGGCAAGTCATGTTCATTCTCTCGGAGCAGAAGATTTTACCGCCGACATTACTGTGGCACCCATGATCGGAAGCGCACTTGTCACCGACACATTGGGACATGTGACTGGTTGAGACGTGGCCGTTGCTGTTTGAAACTTCCATTGAGATGTTGACCATCTCGCACTTGACGCTCTCAATCAGTTTACCGACGTATGATGTCAGTACGGTTTCCTCGTGTCCGCGATCCAAGAGTCTGTAGTGCGAGTGGTCGAAGGTTACCATGACGTCTTGACAGTTGGGATCACTGTTTTTGTCAGTATCTACGTGTGTGCTTTTACAGAGAAACATCATAACTTACCTGTACAGGGTGCACATAGCTTTCTTCTCGCTTGTATCGACCCCGCAGGGGATATACAAAGATCCAACATTGTGGTATCTAGAAAGTTTAGCAAGCTACTAGGCAGAAGCAATATGGCGGTGAACTTACAGCCTGTTGGCGCTTGGGATTGTTTGACACTGCGCATTCAATGGCAACGATTTCTGGGCACCCCAGTTGCCATATCTCTTACTCGCAAACAGGCGCGCCTCGGACCTGTCCCAGTCAACCGTTCGCAATCCAGATACCACATCAAGCAAAGGCGCAGCCACTGCTGCAAATGCCGACAAAGGGAGAGAGAGCAGAATAATCTTCATGGCCATCTTGAAAAGGGTATGTATCAAGCAACTTTGGAAGTCTTGGATGAGTGATTGTTGATGAAAAGGGAAGAAGAGACATCTGGAGGCAAGCCTCGACTTTATATCCAAAAAGCCAACAAAATTTCTAGTTATTCCCACTCTTGCTTTCCTATACCCTCAACCAAGTTCTATCGTTGATTGCTGGCTATTTGTGAACTTGTCGTAGAATAGTAACGAACGGGGATCCATGGAACAACAAGTAACACAAAAAATGTGCCCGCACCGGAGAATTCGGGGCATAGCCAATGGCTTCTGGTGCCGTTAGCGTATCCTATTTGATCCCAAGAGGCCGATGACCAAGATTCTGTTAGGCGTTTTGAAATTGGATCCTGATATTTCAAATATGGCTTAGACAGTTGAATATTTCCGAGTCGGTTTGGCACTTTGTATACATAGAAAAACATTGAACGGTCAACTATCTGCTGGGACTAATATCCGGGATGAAACCTTGGAAATAGGCACTGGGGCGAGTCGTGCGACTGCCGGGTCAATCCTGGTAGGTACCAACTCTACTTCACATAAACTATTTGAAATGTGTCCTGATATGTGTGTTCCTGCTTGAATGCTAGTCTATTAGTTGAAAATGTGCACTCCAGGGCCGAGATAGACGATGACTGTGTTTAGGGCGAATAAAGATCAATGAACACATTATTCTCATATAGACTAGATTCCATTGTCAAATACTGTTGACCTGTTTGACTAGAAGCCAAGGCAGAAGGCTGCATCTGGGTACATAGAACTTGAATTGTATAGATGGTCTGATCATCCGATTGATCCAGCACGAACACATTGCACGGAGCCTAGTTCTTTCCTCGGAATAGACGGAAATTTGTGACATTCCAAAGCTTGCCATTTGGTAACACATATGGGCGCACCAAAGACATGATCTGGTGTGTCAAGGCACGCTGTGTATGGTGTGCTCTTGAACTCGTCCTGCCAGCTAAAAAGTAGGTAAGCAGCGACTCCAGATGTCGAGGATCCGGAAAATCCACATTGCTAGTCTGCAGTAGGCACATATAATTTGGATATTTTTGTAGTGTGACCAGGCTTCGTGTCTCGGCTGTTCTTTAGTCCCAAAAGGTGACCAGTCGAAATTCATTTCCCCTCAGTGGCAAGTCTTTTCTCTGATGAAGAATCAAGACTGTCTCAACTTGTATGAGCCAGCGGCCCACCTAGATGGGAAGTAAGCTCATCGTTTAAGATCCAGTTTGGCGCCGCATGAATGTTCGCATCGAATGATTCATTATTAGCCAATATTGAGGTGACATAGGAGGCAGGGCCGTTGATTGTCTGCAAAACTCGGTCCACAGTCAGATCAGAGCCTGTAACTTGAGAATGGTCTTGCATAGTAGGACACTCATTCATCACCCCCGAGAGACAATACCCCCTGTCAGAGTTCGACAGCTCAAAGGGCTGTCCCTCTTCCCGCACACTGGGCTCCACTGAGGTTGCCGAGTTCAAAACCAGAGACTTGGTAAGAAAGCGCTTCGCCCGTTTTGCCGCAGGACGTCCAAGAAATGAGCGCTCAACGATGCAATCCACTTTAAGGTTGTGGCAACGGTCACAGCACGTTTTTTCGGATTGGGGGACACCCAAGGGGCCCAGTTCAGCGAGATTGGGTAGAAGACATTTGATTTTCCGGGTTCTGCAACCACGACAAATCAGGCGTGCGTATCTACCTCTTGGGCCTCGCTCAACTTTCTTATCTTCCATTCGGTAATGTTTCCTTCGGAGATATTCAACCAGATCGCCAAGGAGGGGAGTCGGGTGTGGTGTAAGGGGTGAGAATATTTCTGCCGTGTTGCTTCAACTTGTTTATCGGAAGAAAACGGCCCCCGCGGCCCAAGTGGTCTTGTTGATGCATGAGTTGGGCTAGCCTGTTTTGTCAACTGATGCCCAATGGCCAAGGCGAGTGCGAAATGTTGGCTTGTTGAAAGGGGGAACATATGGGGTTCGTATGTGAAGTTCGTACAACAAATCTTTGCAATGCGTTCTTGGCCTCTTTTCATCTACTTCAAACCCCTCCCCTTCTGACTAGTAAATTCAACTGCGGTCTTTCTGGACCGTTCAAAGTAGACTCTGTGAGACGCAAACGTGTAGGAAATTAGTCACTCAACTTAGAGTCCCGCTGACCATAATTTCTTTGAAAGAAATTCAAGTTCAAGTGCCTTGGAATGAATCCAAATAGTAATCTGTCTTCCAGGCAATGCGATATACCATAACTTTGAGTCTTAACCAAGCTTATGCAGCTTTCGCCTATTCAATTTTCCGACCTCTTCCCTGGCACCCGATCATGAAAAGATTCAAACTAAGCACATTGTGCGCCCATATTTTCTCGTCGCACAGTCTCATTCAAGGCCGTAATGAAAGTATACATGGAATGACCCATAAGCTACTTTTTCAATTTTGCATACATAATACTCTTGAAAAATTGAACGAAGGAATAAAAGATAGCGCATCTCATTGTCAACTACTGTCGAGGCCAGCTAGACAATAGTTCAAATCATATAATCTAGAGTGACATAATAAAAGACCCCAATCCCCAATCCCAACACTCTCAAGCACGGTCCCACTTAATTGGGGATGCAAACACCAGCGTTCCACTGAGTGGCACCAACGCACTGCCAGCCATCGCAGCAAGCAGTACCACCAGTCTGGCAAGAGACAGCATAGTCTAGGATCGGTCAGCGAACAGCTCTATAGATGCGGAGTTCAAAGTTAACTCACTGGCGATGCAGGAACGCTTCTCCTCGGTGTTGGAGGCCGAGGCAACGGCAGCCAGGGTCGCAATGAAGACGGCGATGAATTGCATTTTGATGGAGAATTGTTTGGTTGGTGGTAAATTGTGTGTTTATTTGGTTGGCTGGTTGCAATGTTGGTTTTTGGATTGATGGATAATTCTGATGTCAAAATGCCGAGGAAATCTCCAGCTCTTTATCCTTGCGAGAGACTCATCTTGAAACATCAATTGAAGACTCAAGGCATCCAGCTTTGATGATCGTCATACCTATTCAGGAACTGTTCTGGTATGTGATATTCCGTATATCCAAGATCGGAAGCTTTTCGCCGCGTATGTATAGACGAGGCCACCAACCCCCACAGTGGACATCAGCCACGAGATTAATCCCGTTAGATAGGCGGCAGTGGCGCGTTTCCCTGTTCTTACTAGTAGGCCCTGTACATATCTGTACGGAGTAACTTTTATTTACCTAAAATAACACTTCCCCATTGGTTCATGACATCACGATTGTGATATTTGATCTATTCCTGTTTAGGAAATATGCTGTTCCTTCACCCCCAAAAAGGCAATTCTGCAAGTAAGACAACCCGGAAAACACACCACACAAATCCCAGGGCTGTTCAAAGGGTGCTGAATAGTTCGTGGTCTATTATTATCTCTCACTGCACGTGTTTCGCCTGTCTGTTGCTTTCGTGGGGTATTTCAAACTAAATAAGCCATAAAGCTTCAATAACCTTGGCTGATATTCAAGCCGTCCGCCACATCATGATTGCTATTTAAACGTCTTTGAATAACTAGGTATAATGCATAAGTTAAAAAAAATCTACCGCCATATCATGTTCCCTTATAATTGGTCAGTTAGCCACATATGACCGGTACTAGGTAGAATCAGTCTACATACTGTTAGGAGATTGTGAACCATGTGATGTCACATGGTCTGCTCCTAGATGCTCCAGCGCGTGGGTCGGTTTTGTGCGAGAGGGTTAGGGTTGTAGTTAGTCTAGGGAAGTGAGAGCTTCTCTCTCGTTCCTTCCTTCCTTCCTCCTTTCCCCTCTCCATCCCGCTTAGTAGAAGAATACCATTACCATTGATTCTTCTCCGTCTCTTTCTCTCCCTCATTACCATTCGTTTCTCCCAGATCCTTGTGGATCTGACACATACGTTTGGACCCTGGACCAACTCAGCTGCTTGATCTGCACCGAGACCTGATAATGTGACTGCTTCCAACTTCCCCTCTTCGTCTCTTTGTCTCTTCGTCTCTCCCGTTCTTTCCTATGCTACTCAGTCCTTTTATTGTGCAAGTAAGTTAGTCACTACTATATTTCCAGATTCTAAGCTAACTTTACACCTTTATTAGGTGATCCATAATCTCCAATATGGTATCAAAAGTACCAACAAACCAACCTCCTACTGAGGAGCCTCGTGTCTGCTCTGCTTGTGGACAGAAGAAGCCACTAGCAGACTTTCGGCCAGCAAGAGGAACCCAACCGACCAAACAATGCCTTGCATGTCGCACTAGAGGACGTGTACCCCGGAAACCGAAACACCAACACAAACGATCCCTCGGTACGGCTCAGCTTTCCCCACCGCAGCGGGAGCTACGTCCATTCCATACCCCTCAGCTTACCCAAGGACCACAACAACCCTTACTATCTAGTCGGAGCTTCTCTACTACTAGTGGGCAGTCTTCCTCACCAGGTAGCAGCCAGAATAACCCACTGAGCCCCCAACTACGCTACTGTACACACTGTTGGCGTTTAAAACCGCTGGATAGCTTTCCTATATCCATTGACCCGCAAACAGCCAGCACATGCCATATGTGTCATAATGAATCACCTTCGCCATTCTCACCCTCCTCCTTACCGGCAAGTTCGTCTTCACAGCAGGGACCATTCACCCCCCTCCCAGCACCACGGACTTTACTGCCAGCACCACGGCCTTTACTCCCAGCACCACGGACTTTACTCCCATACCCACAGGTTGAGGTACACATCCCAGCACCACCTCATTCACGTATTAATCTAGGACCGGAATTGCCGTCAATGCCACGGCTGTAAGGGATTAAGCTTTTCAGAGTCGGCGCAATGATTGATGCCTTGCGGTAGAACCTCTGCAATGGCTGTCAGGGGCTGTTTGTAAAAAAACAACAAGATGAAACTGGGCCAAAAGTAGAGAATGTACCGATACCGAACCCGAAACCGAAGAAATGTACATAAGCAAGAAACACGCTAAATCTCGGAATCGGTTCGCTTTCCCGATATGGAAGCTCAGCCCATCTCAAGATCCAATCAGATCATCTTACTGGCAAACAAGGTTATAAGTGGATCTATAGGATGGATCTTGAACAAGGCTTTGCAAATGAAAGCCTCTTTGGATGATCAACTTTAAAAAAAAAGAACGCGTAGGGGGAAAATGGATGCGATGGATATAAAAGACCCTATCTTGCAGGTGTCGTTTGGTTCTTCCATTCTCAACCCTTTCATCAATTGGCAATTCCCCAGGTCCCAGGCTTCTCAATCGTTGATCCGACATTTGTTTGAACATCCTCTCGATCTATTTACTTGAATAAATCCGCATTTAAACATTTAAAGCCATGACCAACATTTCTTCAACTGAAGGTCTCGAGCTGGCCCAGATGGTCTTTTATGGTCTGGTACTTCTACCAGCTTTCGTCTGTTTTGCAGCACATGGCAAGCACGGAGTTATGGGATGGCTCTACGTGATTATTATGTGTGTTCTACGTCTCACCGGAAACGGAATGGCCTATCATTCACTATCAACGACCGGTCATGCCAATGAAACCGCGCAAATAATCACCGGCATTGGGCTGTCACCTCTTCTCCTGGCAACCTTGGGAATACTTCGCGAATCGTAAGTAGCCGAAGTCTAATTACTTACTTCAAGCATGTGGGTCAAGCTGGTCGGAACTAAGCATCTTCTTAGCAATCATTCGATCCAGCAAAGACTTCCCAAAATGCTTAACGGGCCAAGCTTTCTCCTCCCGCATGTGGCAATTCTTACTGGTATTGCCCTTGCCGCTTCTAGTAATGGGAAGTCCACCTTGCTTGAGGCTGGCATGGTTGTCCTGGCTATGGGCTGGCTGATCATTGCCCTACTCGTTGTCGTGTCTCTTCGGGCAAATGCCAGTGACCAAAGAGTAAATGATGAGAAAAAGGTATGACGTTCTTCTACTACCGTTTGCGAGGTTTTGGCTGTTGATGTGTGCTAACATTTGCGCCAGCTTCTCTTGGCTGTTCTCATTGCCATACCACTCGTCGGAGTTCGCGTGATCTACTCGGTTGTCATTGCGTTTGTGGATGGGCGAGCTGATGGAGGCAGTCTGGCGGTTCAAGTCATCTTTGGAACCATTCCCGAGTTCCTCGTTATGATTACTTTTGTTTCCGTCGGTCTTGTGACTCGGAATTTGGCATCCGATCGGGCTGGATTGAAGTCGGCATCATCTGCAGCAGGTCAGAGGACTGTTGTGTAAACAGATTGGTACAGTATGAGGGAACGATGGTAGATTGGAATGGAAAGGCCAAATTGTTCATTAGAGATCAGTGTTAGAGCATAATTTTATTTTTCGTTAAAGGAAGTGAAGTCAACTTTCAAGTATACTACAGTCCACTTGTAGACCCTTATCTACCCTTATCGCCGAGCCTCTCGGTTGGAAGCGGGTAGTGACGTTCCCTCCGATGCCAACCGAGCCCTCCGCATTTCTACCCATACTCCTGTCAATAATGAACCTGCCCCTCGGTCCCAGTATTTCTCTTTCTCACAATCATAACTCAAAATGTCCTACAGAATAGTCACTCGCCAGTCATGGCGGGCAGCACGCTCCACGGGCATGCTCCAGCCAGCCTCAATGGTCGCTCCTCGTCGATGGGGAAGCTCAATCTCACAACGGCCGGGGTCAGATCGGTAAGTGTGAGGAAACCCCAGACTCAAAGGACAAAAACACTGATTCTTCATTTTCGATAGGGTACACTTCCCGGGTGCTGTAAATAGTAAATTTACGACCGACATGACTTTCCTCAAAGCCTCAGATCTTCCCGCCATCCCCACCTACAGAGTCATCGACTCCGACGGCGAATTAGTGGATAAGACACGGGGACCCCCGGATGTTTCTGACGAGGAGATCTTGACGTGGTACAAGAATATGACAACTGGTATGTCTTGCTGAAATGGGAAGGGAGTCACTTTTCTGATCCATAACAGTGAGCGTCATGGACGTGGTGATGTTCGAGGCACAGCGACAAGGACGCTTGAGTTTCTATATGGTAAGAAATCTAAAATTCGAACAATGGGTCAATCGGTGGCATTTACATAAAGAGTATGCTAATACTTAGCATAGGTTTCGGCCGGTGAAGAAGGAATTGCTGTCGGCTCTGCAGCGGCTTTGACACCAGACGACGTTGTCTTTGCTCAATACCGAGAGACTGGTGTTTTTCAACAACGAGGTTTCACACTGAAGAACTTTATGAGCCAATTATTCGCAAATTGCAATGATAAAGGCCGAGGCAGGAACATGCCTGTGCATTATGGCCAAAATTATCCCCGCATTGTCAGTTTCATCCCATAATAATCTTTAATTTTTCTCTCATGGGACCAAAATTCTGATTCGATTACAGCACACCATCTCATCACCATTGGCTACTCAAATCCCTCAAGCCTCTGGTGCAGCATACGCCCTAAAAATTCAAGACCTCCAAGATCCCAACCGGGAGCCTCGTATTGTTACCTGTTACTTCGGCGAAGGCGCGGCTAGTGAAGGTGACTTCCACGCAGCACTCAACATCGCAGCCACAAGATCCTGCCCGATTGTATTCTTATGTCGAAACAACGGGTACGCCATTTCCACGCCCACTCTCGAGCAATATCGAGGTGACGGAATCGCGAGTCGTGGTGTGGGCTACGGTATTGACACCATTCGCGTTGACGGGAATGATGTCTTTGCAGTTTATGAAGCCACAAAAGAAGCCAGAAGACGTGCATTAAGTGATGGGGGTCGACCTGTCCTGATCGAGGCGATGAGCTACCGTGTCTCCCATCACAGTACGAGTGATGATAGCTTTGCGTACCGGGCACGCGTGGAAGTCGAAGATTGGAAGCGTCGGGACAACCCTATCATTCGATTGCGAAAGTGGCTTGAGAACAAGGGGTTGTGGAGTGAAGAACAGGAGAAGGAGCTTAGGGACACCTTGCGAAAGGATGTGCTGAAGGAGTTTAGTGAGGCTGAACGGGAGAAGAAGCCTCCTCTTCGTGAGGCCTTTACGGATGTTTATGAAGATATCACCGAGGAGGCTCAGGAACAGATGAAGGAGCTGAAGCGTATTCTGGAAACCTACCCGGATGAGTACGATGTGCGTCCATTCAAAGACGGGGTTAATGGGCTGGATTGATTATAATCTTCAGCTTGGAGTTAGTCGGGAGGCTTTTTTGTTTCATAGAGACCTCTTGGATATGATTTGCAATGCATCAACTCTTTTGAGTTTATTCAGTGTGACGACGGCTGTTCCAATGGACAAGCAGCACATGTGAGTATTGCAACCTTGGAATGTTCCAAGGTTGCCCTGCCTACTTGTTCGTCTCCACTCAAGTAGGCAGCTTTATGATAGTATCTGCTATATGTACGACTTTACTACTATCTACTAGTATGTAGGTGATCTCTAAATGATTCAATCTGATTGTGCGTTGCATTCATGTATGTTTCATTTTTGGTTTCATCATGTACGTCAATATTTGACCTGCGTCGTCGTGGTATATCCCGTAGTTCTATATTATTTTTAAACCAAGGTGTCACAAAATCGCTGTACGGCCCAACAAGTATATATCTCAAGCAAGGCGCTTAGTTGAACACAACAGTCTTGTGTCCGTTAAGGAGAACGCGGCGCTCAGCAAAGTACTTGACAGCAGTGGCAAGAACGTTGCTCTCAACGTTGCTGCCAGCGTGGGTCAGCTCCTTGGGGCTCATGCCGTGGCCAACACGGACAACGTTCTGCTCGATAATAGGGCCCTCGTCGAGGTCACTGGTGACGAAGTGGGCGGTGGCACCAATAATCTTGACACCACGGTCATGGGCCTGGTGGTAGGGCTTGGCACCCTTGAAAGAGGGCAAGAAGCTGTGGTGAATGTTGATGATGCGACCGGACATGGCCTCGCACAGCTTCGGCGACAGAACCTGCATGTAGCGGGCCAACACAATCAAATCAATGTTGTTCTGCGCGGCGAGCTCGAGAATCTGGCCCTCCTGCTGCGCCTTGGTGTCGGCAGTGACGGGAAGGTGGTGGAAGGGGATATTGTAGGTGGCGGCGAGGGGCGCGAAGTCGGGGTGGTTGGAGACGATGAGGGGAACCTCGACGCTGAGCTGTCCGGTGGACTGGCGGAAGAGGAGATCGTTGAGGCAGTGGCCGATCTTGGAGACCATGATCAACACGCGGGGCTTCTGGGTGGTAGGGTGGATCTCGTAGGTCATTGCGAAAGACTCGGCGGTGGGCTTGAAGGCAGTGCGCAGCTGTTCGAGTTCCGGGATGTCGGTGGTGCCTTCGGGGGCGAATTGCATGCGCATGAAGAAGCGCTTCGAGGTGGGGTCACCGAACTGCGACGAGTCGACGATGTTCAGGTTGTGCTGCACCAGGAATGCGGTCACGGCGTGCACGATGCCGGGCCGATCGGGGCCCGACAATGTCAGAATGAAGCTGGGTGCCATGTTGAATATTAGCGGGGATGGTGTTGAACCCGTAGAGAAAATTTATGAGTCAATTGACAAAGGAAAAGCCCTCGAGATTACAACGCAATATGTAAAATAATTGTCAACCCCACTGCCGATCGCGGCGATGACTCAGCGGAGTCTAACCTTAATCAGTAAAGACTCCGGAGCTAGTTACGTGGCTCTATACCATAATCTGAAATCAACATGAAGGCAACACTATGTAGAACGAGACTTTGTATGATGGATCATTTCTATCATTTTGAGAATTCAATGTTTTGTTTTCTCAGATCAATACCTTTGTCCTTGAAAATGATATAACGGGGCTATTGATGAAAATCAAGGTAAAAAGTACTAGGCGGGAACATAATCTCTACATATAACTGTGGGGCCCCTGCATACATAGTACTATAGAACTAGTAGATTACTTGGGCGAAAAAAACAAAGAAACTGAGCTCACATGTGCAGGAGATTTTTCTTCCCAATGAGCTAGTGTTTGGATTTTATAATTAGGTACAAAGGTTATCATAATGAGCTACTTGACCACAACCCGTTCCATTTTTCCGTACAAATTCTCATGTTCGTGGTTATTATCAAGTATAACATGGAAGCTGTCTCCTCTTCAAATCGTAAAAGTGCACATATGACCTTCCTTGGAAGTGGACATGTGGTTCTTCAAATGTTCAGTTCAAACCTAGAGTATTGATTAATCAAAGATTATTTCAAACAGTCAAAGACCGCTGGTTAGGTAACGTAGCGTTACGGAGAGATCCCATCGCAATCGAATCCAGTCCCCAGTCACCAACCCACTGGTTCATTCGCATTCCATTCTTGAAATGTTCTGCCAAGTGTTCTCCTCGAGCAGTCCACGTTGATAGTGCTTGATCGCAGAATCCACATCGGCTCTCAAGATTAGCACCGGCATTTCGCCAAGCTTCGAGATCAGGAACGGGAATTTTGGTACAGCTATGAAACTTTCGGAGATGCTGCCACAGGTAGTCCTTCCGAGTGAATGAACGATCGAATATAGGCTTGGCGGCGCAGACGTCAAAATCATGCTCTTCCAGGTGGTTTGAATCAGGAAGCACTGCATCGCAGAAACTACATTCATCTCTCTGAGCATTCCAAGTTTGTTGGAGTTCATTCAAGCTGGGCGTGCAGATCCAAGTCTCCAATGATAGATGAACGCTTTTCTCATGTCGATTCCAGTCATGTCTTTTTCTAAATGATCGAGTACAGAAAGTGCACTGGTACTGGTGCTCTTCTGATGACTGACCTCGCCGGCGAGAACGCGATCTCGTCGGCAACATTGGGAATGGTAAATTTCCTTCTCCGGAATTGTGACTCCATGCCGACGAGACACTGTCTGATGTTTCTGATACACGACTTCCAAAACTGGAGGCTGAAGAAGCAAGATGCGAGGACGACTCGTCGAGGTTGAACAGATCCATTGCAGATGCATCAAACTGAAATGGGTCCATCGAAATATCCCACCCAGCTGATGCGATCGCGTCCTGTATCATAGATTCTGACTCCACTTCATCTTCTGGTGGGGATGCTTTCCACCGTTCCATGGGGGTAAGCGAGCTCAGTGTGCTGGTAACTAATGGGGACCCGACACGGGTACGTGTGTTGGATGCCAAATTTGAGGATTGGATTTTCTGTTTCTGGCGACGGCGGGCATTCGCAAACCAAGTGGCGATTCTTTTCTCTGAGAATCCAGTTTCGCGTGAGAATTGAATTTTTTGGTCTTCAGAAGGATATGGACATTCTTGATTTTGGTAGAACCATTCTCGCAAGACTCTGGCTCCCTTTCGCACAAATTGTTTGGATTCTTTGCGCTCCTCTATATTCTCCACGCTGGGTATATTCTCCACGCTAGGTAGAACACTCCCCTGAATCTGTCAGTAAATATACCCCTGCTTTGTGATATCATAGAGTCAAATATCACTTACACCATCTTCGGCATGTTCTGGCAACCCGTGTAAGTGGCCTAATACCGGCGCAAAGGTCTCAAATCCAGAGGGTAGTCGCTTTTCTCCCTTTGCGAGACTGCACTCTCTAAAAAGTGCCACGCAACTGGAGCAAGATGAAACAGGATTTGGGTTGGCCGATGTTGTACGAAGGATCAAACACTGGAGTCGATGTCTGCGGCAATAGCTGCACGAGACTGGCGGGCGGGAAGCACCATCAAGCCACTGTGGAACGTTTGCGAGGTTTTGAGGTAGTGGTTGGCAGAAATTTGAAGGGTCATCAAACATGGTAGCCGGACATGAAATGTTTAGGGAATTCGAGGCTTGGGAAGTTGTTTGGTCTTCAAGTATCTCGAGAACCTGTGACTCATGGCCGCTCCATGTCCATTCTGAGGAAGTAGGCTCCGGCGCACAGAAGTAAAAATCGTTTAATGCATTCCCATCATCGTTTGTTTCATCTGCAAGCCAGTTCTCTGGGGCATTTGTGTCAGTCGCGCCCTGATTTTGATGGGGTTGAGAATGGCTGGAATGTTGTTGAAAATTCATTGGAATAGATGTTCCGAAAAAGCAGAAATAAACATTTGAATCTCCACGCGACCCAAGCTGGAGGCGTCGGTGGTTTGATTTCTTGTTTACTGAAACGCTCGAGTCCAAACCAAATAGCCTATAAGCGATGTCTTCAAAGACGTCAAGATTGAGCGGGGCGGAGTCATGATAGTCCATTACTAATCGCGGGTCTTGGTCCCGCCGTGGATTGAGCCTCATTTGGAAGTTTAGCCACCAATTTACTGTCAGTACTACAGATTATGAAGTAGTAAGGATTGTGCCATATGTAGCATATTCAACACGTCAAGGAATTTTTCAAATTCATAGATATTATCATATTCCAAATTCCAAATTATCTATATGTAGACCGAAAATCATAACCGTACAAAAGTAAAGACAGTAAAATCCAACGCGCCAAGCCAATGCAGTTAACAGGAGACATTAATGCGATACAGGAGCAATCCGATAGCAAAAAGGGGTATCCAGTCACTATTCAATGCGGATCTTCTTGGGCTTGGGTGCAATCTCTTTGGGGACCACGATGGACAAGACACCATTTCTCAAGCTGGCACGCACCCCATCCTGGTCAACGCGGTTGGAGAAAGAGAAGGTGCGCTGGAAGTCGCCGATGGAACGTTCCGAGGCCCAGTAATGGGGCTTGAAAGTCTGTGGTTGAGTTGGAACGGGAGTGGACTTGACCGAGGCAGAAGTCACGGAGGGTGTGGAGTCAGAGTCGTTGGAATCAGATTCATCTTCATCTTCGACTGTAGGTTGGCGCTGGCGCGGCGACGATTCACGGAGGGTCTCTGCTGAGGGCTCCAAAGTGAGCTTAGGCTCAGAGGTCTTATAGTCGCGTTCTGTGCGGCCCTTGATGACCAGCGTTGTGGGGTCGCTGAATTCAATTTCGATGTTGTCTTGGCTCACACCTGGGAGTTCGCCATCCAGGTAGTAGCCATCGTCGAGCTCGCGCACATCGAAAGCTGGGGCGAAGGTGCGGCGCGGAGCCCGGGGAGTGGAGCAAGTTTGGTGGAGTCCACGCTTATCGTAGTTATCGATGAGCCGGAACAGCGGCGAGAAGTCGGAGGCCAGGAAAGACATGGTGGACAAAAGAGGTGATTTGGAGATTGAGGAAAATCTGAAAGGCTCTTCAAGTGTTTGGTTTGATTTGATTTGAATTGATCTGATGCTTTTTTTGAGTCGGCCTTTTGATCGTATATGTAGGTTTTGGGTGCTTCTGAATCGGTGATTGGTCAGAATCTACTGGAAGGGAGGAGCGACGCCGCGCGCATTCGAGCATCTTCTCCCACCCTCCAGATCTTACTCACCACCAACACACTACTCTTGAATCTTCTAGATAGTTTCTAAGCTCATTTCCTTAATGGTGCTTAAATCTGATCACAAATCACTTTCTTGAATTAATAATCACCGTCAATAAATGTCTGAGAGGTTCTTTTTGAGTCATGCGGGTATATTTCTAATCAGTCATTGTATGGATCTACAACGACCCAGTAATATGTAGCTAGTATGTTATGTATGTATGGATTTTCATGGCTTCCAAGGTTTCTATGCTATTCTAATTCCAGGGGCAAATAGGAGCACTCAAGTGCTGACATACAACTTGTAAAAATTCCACGAACATCTATGTTATGTACAGAAAGAGTTTTCAGCCTATGGCAGAATAAGGAGAAATTCCAGGTATCGTACAAGCGCAACGCCAATTGATCGGTTAAGAGCGCGCATCTTGAGATAAACATCTCGGGTGCAATCGGAAAACTTGAATGTGTTTTATACATGGAGAGACTGTGGAACGAAATTAGCCTGTTGTTCATACCCGTGTACAGAAAGGGAAGAGCGACGCGAAACCTACGGGATGTGCCATAACAGCCATAACAGCCAAAACCTGGACTCTGGGGTCCCCTTTTTATCGGATGTTCCGAATTCCCGGGGAAGAGTACATCTCTAGCTGGCGTTGGCCCTTGCGCAAGAGATATTCGACCGTGCCAAAGTCCTTCTTGCTCACCGAGAGGTGCTTTTGGAATTCCGCTCTAGGACCCTTGTCAGCCGGGATGTACCGATGCCCAAGAGCGGGAAAGGGGAGCGGAAAGGGAAGCTTACCGGGCATAGTTTTTGAAATTATTCCTAGATTCCTGTGGTGCATCAGAGATCAAAAGGGCGTCAGTCGCGAAGGGCTAAAAATGAACAAAATGGCAAAATGGAAAGCAAGAAATGGGAGGTTAAATTATGGTAATGTGGAGCAACGCACGATTGGCTTCTTGCGGATTTCACGGAAACACTGACGGTAGAGGGACAGAACGTCCCGCTGAAGGCCGGAGAGCCTAGCCATGATGGAGAGGATGAAGAAATGCGGATCATTGGATTGGATCGGAGCGAAGCTGGGGAAAGCCCAGAGCTCCGTTTCCCGCCGGTCGCTTTCCCGGCCGAAAAGCACATCCTTATCTCCGCAATCCCACTTGCTTTCCCCATTGAACCTCTTCAACCTTGAACATATTTTAAAATCATGGCAACTTTCACAGTATGTCGACATTCTCCTGTTGTTTTTCTCCTTTTCAATTGAACTAACCCTTTCTTCTAAGCATTTGGTTCGCTTCTTAGCCAAGGATGGCCAGGTCTACTACGGAGATGCACTGCTCCCATCGGGTGTAACAGACATCTCCAAAGTTACCCAGGCCAAAGTGATCAAGGGTGATATCTTTGGTCAGCACCAGGTGACTGACCAGGTAGCTGAGGTGCGGACACTCTTAGCCCCCCTGGCCCGTCAGGATATACAGACCGTTCGCTGCCTGGGACTCAATTATGAGCAACATGCCAAGGAATCCAATCTGCCGATTCCCCAGTACCCTGTTTTGTTCTTCAAGCCAGTGACTGCCATCGCAGGCCCCACTGATGATATTCCAGTGGGCCAAATGGCGCAAGAGGGCGAAGGCCTAGATTACGAATGCGAGCTTGTCATTGTTATTGGCAAAGCAGCTCGGGATGTACCTGAAAGCAAGGCATTGGAGTATGTTCTGGGTTATGCGGTCGGTAATGATGTCTCCCACCGCGAATGGCAGATTAAGCGCGGTGGCGGCCAGTGGAATCTGGGTAAAGGCTTCGATGGCTGGGCGCCATTTGGCCCGGGTATTGTCTCCTCTCAGGTCATCACTGATCCAAATGCCTTGAATATCTCGACCAAGTTGAACGGCAAGACTGTCCAATCCTCGTCTACCAAGGATATGATTTTCAGCGTGGCCAAGACCATTGCCTTTTTGTCGCGGGGTACCACCCTCTTGCCTGGAGATGTGATTTTCACTGGAACGTAAGTGCATCCGCCCCTTGAACATATTTGGTCATATATCAGTTTTTTTTTTTGGTCGGTGCTGACATAAAATGTAGCCCTCAAGGTGTGGGTATGGGCCGCAAGCCCGCTCTCTGGTTGAAGGATGGTGATCAGGTTGAGGTTTCATTGGAGGGTGTTGGATCTTGTTTCAACCGCGTTGTCTTCGATAAGCCTTCCGCTAAACTATAGATTTTCAGCCTTGTATTTATCAGTTGTTTTCATGATTTCCAAAATTGTTCATATCATCTACTAGCACCTAGGTAGAGAGTCTGAAGATTCGACTTGAGGTTTCCGCAATAAAACATACTATAGCAACCCATGTCGTCATTCTGATCTTGATATATACCTAGTAGGTACTAAACGATTATCAACTACTACCAATGTTACGATCAAGTACAGAACACTGAAGTGTAATATTAGGAAAATACAATCAATTGATCTCGGATTTGTGGCCCATTTGTCGTCATCGGGCGATGCGAAATTTCCAAAGTTGCCAGCTCCACTACCCGTCTTTCATCCCCGTTCATTCGCCCACGGACCCCACGATGCGCCGCGGGAGTTACCAAATATGATGGACAGTCGGCTCCATTCTAGACCCTGTACGGAGTAGCCACCTTGACCACTCCCTTCCGGATCCCTTCTCCTTGACTCTCCTCAATATTAGAGACTCCAACTCCTTTCTTTTTCGCGATTCCGCGCCTGACGGTTGAATTGCAATGATCTCCCTGAGTGTGTAAGTGTCGAGAGAAGTCAATTCCCAGCCTTGGATCCGCATCCACGGCCTTGGATCGATCACCTCCTGAATATCTGTGCCCCTTGGTACAACCCCAAGTTAACTTTCATTTCGTGCAACAGATAAAACCCTCCGTGTATAACCCTTCCAATCGGCCTCCTTCCATGATTCTCTCACGGCGCGCAGTGCTCTTCCTTGGCCTCTCCTTTTTTGTCGTGATCCTCTTCACAGCCCGCCATCTGTCGCAACCATGGAGTAAATTCCCCCAGGCTGTGGGCCTAGGAGAATTTGTCTACCCTGTGGGTAGAAATGGCACCAAGTCCTCCAATGGCACCATGGGTCAGGGGGATAGGATCTTGTACGCGCCTCAGCCAAACTTTGTCCCCGGGATCCCCCACCCGCCGGGGGTGGAATATTCGAAGAGGCTTGTTGTCCCGCGCACAAAGACAGAGGATGTAAGTTGGATTGATCAGGAGCTACCTGATTGGGACACTGCTATATACGTCGCGAACGATCCTCACGCGCCACTTCACCCACCTTCGAATAAAGGCCATGAAGTCATGGTATACCTGACCTACGTGATCGACTACTACGATGATCTATCCGATATCTCCGTCTTCATACACTCGCACCAGAATGCATGGCACAACGATGAAATTTTTGACGGGGACACGGCAGAGATGCTCCGGCGTCTGAACTTGGCCCGAGTTGCGCGAGTGGGATACATGAATTTGCGTTGCGGCATGGCCCCCGGCTGTCCGGCCTGGATGCACCCTGGAGCCACCGTGGAAGATGAACAAAAACAAGAAGAGTTGATGCTAGCCCGCGCGTGGGGCGAGCTTTTCCCCGACGATCCAGTCCCATCAGTGCTCGCACAGCCGTGCTGTGCGCAGTTTGCTCTGTCGCGAGATCGCATCCGAACGATCCCTCGGGCCCGCTTTATTTTCTACCGCGATTGGCTCTTGCAGACTGATCTGAGTGACTACATCGCAGGACGCATTTGGGAATACCTTTGGCAATACGTTTTCACCGGCGAACCGGTAGTTTGTGTAGAGGAGAACATTTGTCTATGTGACGGCTACGGGATTTGTTTTGGCGGACCGGACGAATTTCAGGTCTACCGAGATAAAGCCGATCAGCTGAGATATCTCCAGCAAGACCTCAATTCTTGGTCATTCCTGGCGGATGATCTTGATTTCATGGATGAGAATGAGGGACTGGCTGAAACGATGGATTTGAACATTCCACCTCTTGGTCGTGAGGGCCAAATGCAGGAGGAAGTCAATACGGTAGAGCAGGAAGTTGTTGATCTCATCAACAATGCCCTGCGACGTGGTGAGGACCCGAAGAACCGTGCCTTTGAAGCTCGCCGTCCCTGGAAGGAAGGCGATGGTTTCTAGGCGCGGTCTTGAGGACTGTTTTTGCTGGATGATCTATCCGTTGCCTATCTCGGTATGATCTCGGTCATTTATCTGTCTGGTCTCCTGGAGAGACTTTTCTATTCTAAAAACTGTTTGATATACACTGCGTTTTTGGTTTTCGCATGTCCATATATGCTGGGATACATTTATTTCATGATCTATCACACTGAGATTAGGAATATAGACACTAATCTTGACTAGTTCCAAGGTTCTTCAGTGAAGGTGTTTTCAACATCCCTGTACTCATTCCTGTACACCCCAAGGCTCATTTCGAGTCAATTTCAAACATTACATGTACACTCCGGAGTCCGAACTATCGTGAATCATGTCCATAACTTCCATGTCTGATTGCTCACGATGACTCATCGGCGATTCGCTGGGCTTACTAATCTCGATGACATAATGCGCTGGTGCCATGGATCACAGATCAATTTGGAAAATCTTCCCAAACTAACCTGATTGCGACTAAAGACTTATTCAGGCTCTTGTCCATCTTCCGATATCTGATTTGGAATTTGGCCTTATATCTGCTATATTTCGTCTGTTGCGACTCTTTCTTCTTCATCTCTCTCGACTGTGAAAAATCCACTAGCGACCGAACTTTTCTTATCGTACCCCGCCTACGATAAAAAGGCCGTCCCACACACTTTTTTCTTATCCCACCAAGACCTCATAATTTTCACAACATCTGAAGATAAAAGCGTCATGTCGTCGAATCTTCCCTACACTTGCAACACCTGCCTCGTTGCGTTCCACCGCAACGATGCGCAGCGGGACCACATGCGCAAGGACTGGCAGTGAGTGCCCGAATTTTGAAATCTGATTATCAATTTATCACTGCAACAATAACTAATCATACCACACAGCTTGTACAACATGAAGCGCCGTATCGCATCTCTCCCACCCGTCTCCCAGGAAATCTTCAACGAGAAGGTTATTGCCGCTAAGGCGAACTCCACTGAGGCCGCCGCCAAGGCCTCTTTTGAGAAGACCTGCCACGCCTGCCAGAAGGCCTTCTTCAGCGAAAACTCATACCAAAACCACGTCAAGAGCTCCAAGCACAAGCAGCGTGAGGCCCGCCTCAGCAAGGAAGGAGACAATGCCTCGGTCATGAGCTCAGCATTCTCTGTTGGAGAGCCCGTTGGCAAGGCACGCGAGACCGACATTTCTAACGTCACTGATGACCTCAAGTCCGCTACCATCGCGGAGGACAAGGAGGATGAGGAGATGGAGGAGGTGAAGGATGAGTTCTCCTCATCACAGTGTCTTTTCTGCCGTACCGAGTCTGCCGACGTCGAGGCAAACGTCGAGCACATGTTCAAGAACCACGGCATGTTCATTCCGGAGCGCAAATACCTGGTCGATCTGGAGGGTCTGGTCAACTACCTGTACCGCAAGATCACTGAAAACCACGAATGTCTTTACTGCCATGCCATCCGCAACAACGCTGACGGTGCCCGGACCCACATGCGTGATAAGGGTCACTGCATGATCGCCTTCGAGGCCGAAGAGGAACAGATTGAGATTGGCCAGTACTACGATTTCCGCAGCTCTTACTCTGATGATGAGGAAGACGATGATGACGAAGATGAGAACATGGCTGAGGCTGGTGGAGTGAAGATCCAGTCATCAGATGCCGATGATGCCGGCTGGGAAACCGAGACCTCTGCCTCCTCTCTGGACGATGGCGAGTCCCACACACACCGCAAGGCTCCTCTTATCTACCAGGATGAGTACGAGCTTCACCTTCCCTCCGGCAAGAGTGTTGGTCACCGATCGCTTGCCAAGTACTACCGCCAGAACCTGCACAGCCATCCCAGCCCTGATGAGCGGGCTGCTCGCCAGCTTGCTATCGAAAATGGCGAGATCGAGGAAGATGAGCCCAAGTTCCGTGGACGTAACCAGAACCGTGCTCTTATCTCTCGTGGTAACGGTGGTAATGGTATGCTCACTGCCACCGCTGAGCAGAAGAAGACCGCCCTGGTCGCGGAGCGCCGTGATCGAACTCGCACCAACCGTGCCGTCAACCGCTGGCGCGCTGGAAACGAGAGACAGAACAACTTCCAGAAGCACTTCCGCGATCCCCTCTTGCAGTGATCTCCCACTTTTGGTTTTCTCTCTCTCGCCATCAGCTATCTTCCCCGCTGTTGGATCCATCGTTCGGTCAATACCAACACATTCGGCCTTGGTGGCTTGATTGTAAAACAGTTATGACCTTCCGCTGCGATTAGGGTTTTTCGTTTAGAGCTCTACTTGATACCAGCTTGGTCTCTTAACGGGTCAGTCGCGATGTCTATATCCAACCCCTCTTGTCATCGGCAGCCTTGAGTTTCGAACGACATCTTCGACTGGGGCAGATTCTGCTCCAGACCGGCGATTTGTCTTCCACTGGGAGATATCGCGCTGGTCAAGCCCTTGAGGCCTCACAAATCACTCCACCACGCATGCCTTGTTCTATGAATACCCGCTACGTTTTTTTTATGATCACGCATGTGTGTTCGTCTTGCATACTTTGGTTTTCTTTTTGATCATATGGATTTGGGGGCGTTTTCAGGATTCTAAAACTAAATGCGCATTGAATATACAATGAAAATTTTTCAACCTGTTTGATTCCATTATAAACCTCGTAGTGTTTTGCAGTAAATTCCCAACATTCAAGGAGTGTAAGTCCTGGAGTTAAGTGGAGCTCCCGAGGTCGGCAGTTGACTTGAGTGAAATGCCACTCGGCCTTAAGAAACCTTGGAAAGGGCCGAGGCTCAATCGCCGCCGAGCTTCTCCATACTTTTTTTAACTTGTACGCGGGGGAAAAGCACTCTAATTTGTACTTCTTTCATATTTCCTCTACCCACAGGCCCTTGATCATGTCGTCTCCATTTCGTATTGTCGAGCATGTGGTACCTACCCAGCATGTTCGCGAGTATCCCGGTGCCATTGCAGATGATCAAGATCAACCCTTGGGACTTGTGGTGAAACAGTATATCCCCCTAGACAACCCAAATCCTCAACCAGGTGATGTGACAATTCTCGCTGCTCACGCCAATGGCTTCCCCAAGGTATGAACGCGTAGATCCCGATACGCGACCGATGTGATCGCATCCGATCGGAGTCCGATAAGCTCTCATGATGAGTTCTAGACTAACGAGTTGAATAGGAACTATATGAGCCTCTATGGGAGGAGATTCATGCTCGCGCAAAGGAGACTGGTTTCCGTATTCGCAGTATTTGGATGGCCGATGTGGCGCATCAAGGCGAGAGCGGCGTCGTCAACGAAGAGCGTCTAGGAAATGACCGTACGAGAGATAGCCTCCTTCCTCTCGAATGCTGGCAAAGGATCACTCACTCACCATATTATAGCAAGCTGGTTTGATCACCCCCGCGACCTTCTCCACTTGGTCAATGTAAAGGCGGCCGAAATGCCCCGTCCCATCATCGGAATCGGTCACAGCTTCGGTGGCGCGCACCTGTGAGTAACCAAGACACGCTTCCATTCCCTTTATTTATCACCTCGACTAACCTTCTACGCCATCTAGCACACAATTAAGCTTAATGCACCCTCGTCTGCTACACACTCTAGTCCTTCTAGACCCTGTAGTTCAGCCCCATTCAACTCAACTCGACGGCTTCAGCCGCCAGGAGAACAAGCGCGTCATCGCAAAGACAACCCAACTATCAACCTACCGCAAAGACATCTGGCCTTCCCGCAAAGCTGCCGCAGAAGGCTTCGCACGCAGTCCATTCTACCAAGCCTGGGACCCACGCGTACTAGACCGCTGGGTGAAATACGGCCTACGCGACCTTCCAACCCCAATCCACCCCTTAGACAGCAACAAGGATCTCGATAGAGCTAACCCGCCTGTAACTCTACGCACAACTCTCCACCAGGAAGTCTTCACATTCTCCCGACCAAACTATAACCATATCCCCGGTAGCGACGCGCCCGTGAACCGCGTCACCCACCCCGATCTCGACGCTAACCACCCAGACTCCCATCCCTTCTATAGACCCGAGCCATCGCGTATCTTCGCTCAGCTCCCGTTCCTGCGGCCTAGTGTGCTGTACATCTTTGCCGGGAAATCGGATATGTGTTTGCCGAAGATGCGCGCTGATAAGCTTGCTAATACGGGCACGGGACTTGGGGGTAGTGGTGGTGTTGCGGCTGGGCGAGTGCGAGAGGTCTTCCTTGAGGAGTTTGGACACCTGCTTGCTCAGGAGGCTGTTAATGAGTGTGCGGATGCGGCGGTTTGTTGGATTGGGCCTGAGTTGAGGCGATGGAGGGAGGAGGAGGAGAGTTTCCGGAAGGGTTGGAGTGGGAAAAGTATGCTTGAGAAGAGGACTATTGATCAGGATTGGGTGCGGCATGTTCCTGCGCCGGAGCGGAGGGCGAAGAAGACAGAGTCTTCGAAGCTGTAGAGCTTAGACCGGATATTTCGTTTTGAATTGGTCACCAAGGACAAGCGCTAGATACACTATGTATATAGTAGAAACCTCATACATACCCTTCGGACTTTCATGAATTTTGACCAAGTGAAGAAGAACAATCAATGAACATTGGATTTGACACAATCTATGCAAATAACCCTGAATGAAACAATACAGAAAGCCCGAATTGTATCTATAAACCAAAAAAATTTGGGGAAGAAAAAGAGACGTGCAAAGGCAAGTCTAATTGGCCAAGGACAACTCAAAAATTGTATCTGCGAAAGGACAAAAACTAACGCTGCAAGGGAATAGACATCAAAAATTTACATACACACGGATACTCCGGGTATATTTTCCAAGACGCTGTTTATTAGTCAAACATCTTCTTCATGAACTTGTGGGCAAGCTCAACACCGAGGCTGGATGGATGTTTATCAGTAACATGTACACAGAAAGAGGCTGGGTTCCAAACGGAGGGGGGATACTCACAAAGTAGCCGCGTTGGCCGGCACAGCACGAGCCAGTGCCGGTCCGAAGCCAGGGAAGAAAGCCTTGAAACCACCGTTACCGTACACGGCACGGATAGTTCCACTGATGGTTGGCTTACCCGGTGCGCTCTGCAGCCGGGACTTGATAGTGTCGACGGGGAAAACGGGGATCCACATGGCAATACCGGCAGCACCACCGGCACACACCACAGCCGAGAGCGAGAGGTCACCGGTGACATTGCCGTCAGCATCCTTGGGGGTCAAGGACCGCTTGATGTACTCGTACGCGGCGAAGTAAGCGGCCGAACCAGGTCCATCACGGGCCAAGGTCATTGCGCTACCACGGAACACGCTGCGGACACCGCCCTCCTTGTACAGCTGGCGCACGACATCCATGCCGCCGGAGTACTTGGGCTTCTCGCCGGGTGGGGGAGGGTTCTGGCCTTGGATTTGGAGGAGGACCTTGACTCGCTCGAAGGGTGCTGTGATCAGGGTCATGGGGATGGCGGAGAAGAAACCGGCGGCGGAGATCTGGGCGATGGAGAACTGGGGGGTGTTGTTCTTGACTGGGACAGTGCTGTACTTCTCCACAAGGGTCTTGCCCACATCGTAACCCTGTCATTGTGTTAGAGGGTCTTTTTTTTGAAGCGGGGTTGGATTGGGGGATCGATTTAAAGATCAAAGATGGTGGTCATGGAACATACCCAGAAGCTCACGGCGACTGTGGAGAAGAAGAAAGAGAAAAGTCAGCTACTGAATCAAATTCTAAAGGTAGGGTTTCCGGCAATTGAAGCTCGGGATGCACTTACACATTGGAGTGACACCCACAAGCGGGGCAGATACACCCGCATAAAGACCCTACCGCCCAAGCTTGTCAGTCTATTTGTCTGAAGCGGGTTCATGGAGATTCAGATACTGTCATACCCGAGCCAGTCCCTCACGGGCAATTGTCCTGCGCACAACGTCCATCGCACCGGAATAGACACCCTTCTCCGCAGTCTGGAGTCGCACCTTGACCAAGTCAAAGGGGTGACCGACAACCACAGCGCAGAGACCACCTGCAGCGCCGGCAGCGAGCGACCGCAGCTGCACAATAGTCTGGTTCACGGCCTTGGCCTCAACAGCCTTGATCTCATCCTTGAGCTGTTGTGGGGGAGAAGTAGAGGTAGACATGGTGGTCGGGAGAACGGTGAAGCGGGGAATCTGGGGAAGAGCGGAGGGTGGGAGGGAATAAGAAACGACCGCGAACAAAGACCAGGGTTCAAAGTGAAGAGAAGAGATTTCCGCAAAGTAGGAAGAGTATAAAGGGTCAAGTTAACGAGTCAATTGAAGACGACACCAAAAAAATAAGTCTAAAGCAGATCGGCCTAGGCACGCGGACCGAAACCGAGTCAGCTTGAGATGCCCCGGACAACTGTGATGAGCCTCGGCTCGGAACCCGGAGAAACCGGCTTACCGCTATATCAACCGATCCACACGGATCAATGGGGAAACGGTGTACAAAGAAATGTAAAAGGATAAATTTGACTGCCCCAAATAACTGGAAAGAGAAATCATTAGCTATCAACATTAATTAAGCACTTATTACTACATAGAACTGCAGGTAGACAGAATCGGAGGACGCCGGGCGAACGGGAAACTTATTTAGATTCCACTTTTCCGGCGGGACTGAGGGAAGTTTCCGCTGATGGGGACTATTGTATGCAAGGAGATGACCCTCGTGATCCTCATGACCTGTATGAGATGCTAGCATCTAGCGCTGATCCATATGATCTGAATTATGTATTATCCTTATGACCGTTGACCACAATCACATGCAAAACTGATGCACAGCACGGCACGTGAGTATGACTTCATAGAAAACCTTGGAATTACGAATCAAGTACCCTAACCCTTGTCCCATCATGTTCTCAAATATTTGAAATATGATGTAACCCCCGCCCGGGTGGTCTAGTGGTATGATTCGCGCTTCGGGAATTTCCCAGATTATCTCAATGGTCTATTGTGCGAGGTCCCGGGTTCAAATCCCGGCTCGGGCCCAACCTTTTTGATTTTTGAAATATTACTTCTTTTTTTCTGATCTTTATTTCTATGTATGACCTACTAGACAGTTACGTTACCATGGTAATCTTGTACAGACAGACCTCTTAGTCACTGGCATTCAGGTAGTTATGTATCTATGGAGGAAGATCCTACCAATTGTTGGAGACATGTAGTAAAACACGAAATTGTGATGTAGTGGACTCGATTCTTCTAAAACTAGTCACGGGTTTACTTCCCCAGGTCATCTGACCTACAACTAACTAGCTAAACCGCCGTCCTAACACCGCCGGGTGTGACATCTGCCCCCTGCAAAGAAAACCGCCACTGCCCTCAGTGGCGCTGGATAAGAGCACTTCGAGCGAAAGAGACAGGTGTTGTCCGTAATAGGTGCGCCGAATGAGAGTGTATGCTGTAGCGCCCCAAGCTCTAACGTAGAACCTAGATTCAAATGGTCCTAGAAAAGCAGCTTTGATGCTGTTCAATTGATATTTGGCTTCACCGTCGCCCATTTAGTCAATGAATTGTAAGCGCTGGGTCGTCTGCCTCATGAATGATTTCAACCGAGATCGGGCGATGGAGTAGACCGTCCGTCGACGATGAGTGTGTGTCCGTGACTCCGTGGCTTGCTTCGACGTCCACCACTGCCTGCGGCGCATGCATCATGCGCAAACGAGACAAGTCCACTAAACACACAGTCAAATCCAAAACACCAGAGTACACACGAGTAAAGCTTGCAGAGTAGTCTTCCTGCAAGCTTAGACTTTTTCCGTCTCATTGCTGCTGACTTCTCCCAGGACCTTTCCTGGTTCCCGAACCGCGATCTCCGTAACACCGGTGGTGGCTGCAGCAGTCACCGCAAGTTGAGCCTTCTTCTGGGGACATGTGTTATCCATGTGTCCCGGCTGCTTGCAATTGTAACAGGATCCAGACTTTCGAAGCTTCTCTCGTTCTTCGGGAGAAAGCTTGACTTGGTTCGACAATCCGGGGCACGGGAGAATCCATCTCCCAGCAATACATAGCTCCCGATCATGTAAAGCCACAAAATTCCGTGCGCATACGCAACCGGCGGCTTGCCGCCAATCATCCGCGCAATTCGCATAGCTCCTGTGGAATCTCAAGCGCAGCGAGAATATTTGCAGTCTTTTCTCTCAGCTGGAGTTTTGAATAATCCGACATGACCGTCTCACCAAGTTGCCTTTGAACCCTGAAAGGACGTGCCACTTGAAAAGATCTCCAAGACGGTCACACAACCCCCTCTCCAACAGCTAGAGTTCGGCCTTGAACAGGGTTCTGCCCAGGTTCCTTGAAGTCCTGCAGATCTGGATCAGCATGAAAAGATGCAAAAGCCTCACTACATTTTTCTAGACCAGCACCTGGGCAGCGTGCTACCACAAAGAGTTTCCTGTTGCAAACTTTGTGCCAGGTCGTAGAATCGTCCATTGACCCAAGCTATCATGTCAAAGCCGCAGTCTCGATGGATCCGTTCTTGACCCTTTCAATCACCAGATAAGCCACTCGGACTTCAGCCTCTTCAGATGACCCGCACCCTTGGACAAATGCAACCTCTTTCTTATTTAGAAGCGCTGCGCATTGATATGTCGTCGGAACCCCCTTCTTGTCAATCCTCCTCGATTTGAAAATAAGAATGCCCACGAACTTGACCATCGTTTGCGCTGCGTTTCGCGGATGCACAACGTCCACATCATCCGTAAGAATGCGACGCATATATGTGAGCAACCCAGTTCGCTCTACGAATGCCTCGCATTGTTCAAGATCCCCGCTAGAGTCGATGAAAATTGCGCCAAGAACACTTTCCATAATGTCTGACAGGAATTTATCAGCTTGCAACCGGGCGAGAAGTTCCCATGGATACTGTTTCCCAGACCGAAGCTCCTCCATGATCTCGTCACGTAGGGCGTCAAATCTCAAAATACATGCATCGCGAGCCTCTTTGATTATCGACCCGTTGAATCGGAGGAAGCGCCACAGGCGGTTATCTTCATGCTCTGCTCTGGATCCTGGAGCTCCATTTTGCGCCATGCGTAGGGAGTTTTCTGTAGAACCGAGTTCCATGCAAAAGAATGCCAGTAGGTTTGCATTCACCACAGAGTGTTTGATCAGGGTCATCTTTCCTGGGGGCATCTCAACTGGGTGAGCGGCTAACAGTGGGATAACAAGCATGTCAAGCACCGAATCTCCAAGAAACTCAATTCTTTGGAATGACTGGGTGATCAAATCGTGTTCACATGAAGGATGAGTGAAGGCTTCAGTGAGAAGTGTCCGGTTCTTGAACGAATATCCAATAAGAGATGTGAGACGAACCGGGTTGATCAGATTGCTCTCATCTCCTGGGGCAAGAGTGAAATACAGTGAAATATCACTGGTGAATATGTCGACCTCTTTTGGCAAGAAGCGATGAAGACATGCCTGTGCTCTGTGAACTCCTCCGTCTACGTAAGCGGCACCGATCAGAGCCTCGACAACGTCCGCTAGTACTTTGCTGGACAAAGTTCTCCTGGATGGGGCGACAGTTGATTTCTTTGAGATAAACGGTGCCTCCCACTTTCGAGGCGTAAATCTTTTGGTGAGAATAAAACGATCCAATCCAGTTTCCAATGCAGCATGCGCAAGGTGTTTATTTTGAACAAGCTGGTCGCGACCTTCAGAAAGATACCCTTCATGCCATGTAGGTTGTTTGAAAAAGAGCTGACAAGCCACCGTGAACTTGAGAACTGAGTCCCCAAAGAACTCATAAATTTGATAATCAGTGCTAGCCTGCGCGAGCGGTGTAGTAATTGCCGTGAGAACATGATTGAGATTCTGAATCCCAACTCCCTCCAAAATTGTGTCATTCAGAAGCTTGGCGACCATTGTGGCCTCCATCCGGTCAATTATAGCGGATATGAACAGTCCAAACATAGCCTCCTTGGCAGGAAGCCTATCAACCGTGCATGTCGATGCAGGAATTAAATGCATCTTAGCAGGTCCAGCCCCTCCGTCCTCACCCGCCTCAGCTGCTGTGCGAGGTTGTAGGAAGTTGCGCCTTTTGGGTAGAGACTGGCATTCCGTATCAACTCGAACCTTGGCTCCATCTCCAGAAAAAACCCATTCTCGAAAGAGACGCGGTTCACTATACATGGCAGTATCCCTGATTATACCCGCTGGTGGCTCTGATGCGTGAAGTTTGTAATGCTCCAGAAGATTGTAACTGCCCTGGTACTGATTCTTCCACTCCTGCAATTGATCGAGGGGAATAGTAGGCATGAAAAGTACCACAAAGTCCCGTTCCAGCGGTTGTATCCGAGACGATGGCCCCTGGAGATAAATTTTTGTAATTTCCTGCAACAGGTGAAGGGAATCAGGTGTGAGTGGAGGAAGTCGTTTTTGAGATGTGAATGAGACTTGGTAGGTTGTATCAATGTCCCAATAGAGGGGTATACTGTCTGGCATTGTGACAGGCCCGGGCAGCATAATCGACATCTTGATATCTTCATCCACGCAGCCATCCCTAGAGAATTTCATATCGGTCTGACGGTAATCTGCTGATGACCAGGCGTTTGCCAATTCCACAAACGGATCATATTGTTCTTCACAGTCCACCAGCGCGGGGATATTACTATCTTTACCGAATCGAAGCTCGGCTTTCTTTGTCAATGGTAACAGATTATTATTCAATAGGCCGTATTTCCACAAAGCCTTGTACGCTTGGAAGGCGGCCTCTTTTCGGGCCACACGCTCTGTACACCACCAACTCTTTCCTTGGGTATGGTGAACAGCGGGGTGCACAGAACTAGGTAGTGTCACCGAGCCCTGGATGAGACCGAGATTATTCGTTTCGAAAGAGAACACAGGGCGATTTTTAACACTTTCATGTTTGGGCAATGAATCGCAGAAGTGTTGCAGGTGCTGTAATGCATCCTCAGCAGTGAGTCGGGCACTTTGAAAAACCACAGTTAGCAGATAAAAGAAAGGTGGCTGAAACAAACCACCCCAAATACATACCCTGTAGCTGGAACATCCATATACTCTTTGACATCCTCGTTGATATCTACCAGGCCCAACTCGTCTCGTCGTCGCCTTTCATCGTCTTTGTAAGCCTCGACCATCAGGTGCTCCAGTTCTTGCCATTTCTGGACATTCACGGTGGCATCTTCTGTAGATGTCATGATAACATATGTTGATTCCTGATGGCGGGCTCGACCCCGTCTTTGGACAAAGGATTTAAGATTGGAAGGTTTGTCAAAACATATCACCAGGCTGCAGCAACTAACATCCAACCCTTCTTCTAACACATCTGTGGTCACTATTAGGTTTTTTGTGCCCTCTCGGAACTCCATTAGTGTGTCCTTCTGCATATCCCGACTGAGTAAATCTCCAATAGACCCCTTACGGCCGCCATTATTGGACCACCCAACATAGGCTGCAGTTCGAAATCGATCCTTACTCATAGGGTGCTTTGACAAGAGTTGCGACAAGACACTGACCGTGGATCGTCTTTTAACGAATATCAAGCCTGAGAATCCCGGGCCATCCGCCTGCTCGAGAAAAGAGAGCAATTCTTCAAGCTTTGGGGAGAGATGAGGGGCATTGTTGTTGTTGTTGTTGTCAGTAGCCCCGGCGGAAACTTTCATTGACATAAGAATGTCGAGGACATGCGCCTTCTCCCTGTGAGCTAGTCCCGATGTTTCCATTTCAGTATCAAATGATTTTTGCAGTCGAGATATGCATGACTCGATGAAATAGTCCGTTGCGTAGCCGCCAAGCTCTTCGTAAATGTGGCAGCTTTGCTCGCGAAACTTCGTCAGCTGTTCATAACAATATGTTTTTCCATAAGCGGTCCCCTTTTCTAAATGAGCTTCCGTTTCAGGATTTTGCCGGAGCGTCTGGAAATAGGGATCATTTCGAATATCATATGACTGAACGCAGTGGATAAGCGGCAGAAGCAATTCGCTACCAGCGCCTAGACTTTCAATTGCCAACGGGGAATAAGTGATGCGCTGGAGACGGGGCTGATGAACGTGTTCAAGAAGCTCGGTTCGATGAGTGCGTGGTGTTTTGCACACGGCGTCCAGATTGGCCTCGATAATTCTTGATGGTCAGATTGTTGCCGAAGAAATTCAGAACAGCTGCATTTAACGAGACTTACTGAAGCTCCTTGGAACTAGATCTAACAATCGGACTGGCAGTCAAGCCCAAAATTCGGGGGACTGCCCCTGTACCAAATTTCAGAAGGGTTGGATGGTAGTGATTTTGCATAATTCTATTCGCCGGATGCCGACGCATGCAATGGTGCGCTATTGAGAGTTTTGGCTTAGTGGTCATTCGTTTCAAATTCTTTTGTCGGGGATATCTTACCCTCGTCGAATACAATCAAACTTAACTGTGAAATTTGTATGAAGCCATGGCTAAGAGCATCTGCAAGAACAGTATGGGTTGATACAACCACATGCATGCCCTGTAAGGCTGTATCCCAGGTAGATTGTTCTGTCCACCGATCAACATTATCTGAGCCAGTCAGTGTTCTAGTTTTCGCCGATGGTATTTGGGAAGCAATGACACCGTGCTGTTGGAGACACAGCGCGACGGTCGGGGCCAAAAACCACACGAGCTGTTGAATGCATCAATATGAGTCAAGTGTATAAACGAGATATAGATAGAGATGGGGATGATTGTATTACTTTTCCAGGGCCACCTTTCTCTAGCTCGGCCTTGATGCGCATGACAGCTCTGAGCATTGTTAGTCGGCCCATCCCGCTATTATATAGCAGTGTATGGGTAATAGATTCAAGAACCCAGGCAGCTTACATTTGAGTCTTTCCACTGCCAGTATCCATCTACAAATTGATGGTGTCAGTTTATCGGGACATGAAGTGACCAAAAAAGGCTGACATACTGCGACAATGATATTCTGTTGTAGACTTGCTTCCAACATCTCAAGTTGATAGCCGCGCGGGCGATAAGTCTTGGCGTTACTGCCATCTGAAGCGGGGACAGCGGGGTTTTGGTGTGTTCCCTCCATGTCATCCATCGTATCCATCGTGTGGATGTGGTGAGAGTTGGGAAATAGTGACAAGGAGACGTTCTCAAATGCCTGAACTAATGCTTTGTTTGCTGGGTTCGGTGGGATGTACCCGAGCGGGTAGTTGCGTCTCGGCGAATAGAATTGAAGGGAATGTGTGGAGATCTGGGTTTGATTACTAGTATTGAATTGCGGTGGGCGCTCCCGGGTGGACGGATATTCAATTTATCCGGCGTTTGCTTATACTGCCAGGGCGGTGTACCGTTAGCCCAGTCACAGTTACCACTGGCAAATACTAGCAAGTTAGTTACATATTTCAACTTTCATTATTAATACAATAACAATAACATTCAACATTCTTGTTAATCTTCCGGAAACACGTTAAGAAGTGGTTCCAACTTCATACATTAGCTGGATCTTCTGATCCAAAAACACTAGACCAATACTTCGTCACTCCGCTGCAGATATCGGTCCTGTTACCCCAGCTTCGAAATTTGGTTTCTAATTCGCAACCAGTCCAGAGGATCTCTGCCCAAAAGTGTTTTTCAACGTCAGACCCAAAAGCTTTGATCTTATCCTCGGGTATTGTCCAAGCACGAGTGTATGTTCCATCGTCATTAAAAGCTGGGTTGACGGCCTGCTTGGAAAAGACAGTCGCTGGATTGAACTTGGGGAAGTTGGCGTGGATGAAGAATGCCTTGGGAGCAGCCGCTGGAGACCCTTTTGCATGCGCTTTTCCACTTCGCGCCAATTGATAATCTTCAATCGGATCGAATTGAAGCATTGCAGAACCAGCAAGACCGCCTTCTGTCCTGTGACCCATTGCGCAAATAGGTTCACTGACTTGGTAGAACGGTTCGTTGACCGCAACTGCGGCATTGATGAATGTTTCTTTGTCTCCTTCTCCAGCGGCGCCTTGAGAGAGAAGACGATAATAATGTGTTGGACCCCAAAAATTGTAGTAGGTGCAGAGAAGGAGGGTCTTTAAATGTGTTCGTTTTGAGATAAGAACCTCGCCAGATTCGGTCGACTGTCTGGATTCCATTGCCGGGACGCTCTGTGAGGCAATTTGGTAGTAGAATGGAGAAGCAGAGGATGCCCAGAAGTCCGGCCAGGTGAGGAGCTTGGTGCTCTTGAATGGTTCCTGTTCAAACAGCGACTCGGGTTTGGAAATTGGGAACGCATCGGCATCTAGAAACAGGATCTCTTCAAACGAAGAAAACATCATCGCGAACGGTTTCAGTTGGTATTTTTCAATGCCACTTCCATTTGACCCAGAGTTCATGATTTCTGACAGCACGACACATTTGGCGTTGAGCGACGGCAAGACCTCATCGCAGATAAACTTTTCGTACTCGTCTGGCGTGGCCAAGAATACCTCCATAGGTAGTTGTGAACCTGTGCGACGTAACATGCGTAGTGAAATCACCAAGACCGGGAGATATGGCCCTCCTGCCGTTGTAACCAGACCTCGGGTCCCAGGTGTATAAGGTAAAGCGGGTGGATGAAGTTCAATTGCGTCGACAAAGTCTTCGTGGGCTTTCTTCATCGCGCGGACATCTCGAGTAGTCATTTTCAGCAAATCAGGGCGGGGTCCGGCACCGGATGACTTAAAGCCGGTAGTTTCTGCATTTTTGAGTCGTTTTGGGGAGTTGCATGTTGGCTTGTGGGTCAACAGCAGGGATTGAAACTGACGCCAGAAATCGATATATTCTGTCGTGTTTCGAGAGCTTGCCGTTGACAAATGATCTGTTAGATAATCCCGATAACTAGGGCCCGTAACGGCTCCATGCAAGTACCAAAGCGAGATGGCCGCAAGACAAAAAGCAAGGGTTATTCGAAATCGGCGAGTCATCATAATAAAGGATGGTTGAAATGATGAGGCATGGATAGTAGAGGGCGATGGGAGTGAACAAAATCAAGGGGAGATTGAAAAGAGCCCAAGGGTTTGAGATTGTTTGGTAAGTTTACTAGTATGTACGCAGGTCAACCCAAATAGACCGGAAGCGGGTACGCCGCGGTATAGTGGAAGATGCGCGGCAGGGAGTCGATGACTACCAACTCTCAGGGTTCCCGCTTGCGATTACCACCAATAGCTCCAAATTTACTCAGTATGTGTATTTAGTACAATGTGACTGTTTTAAGGCCATCAGTCTCATTCATTTCGTGTTTCATGTTGACGTTCGCAAAAACGCGTGGGGAGGATTTTTGGATTACCGGATGCGGAAATGGGGGTGCCTTAACGCATTAGTATGCACCAGCGACCAGATACATTCTCTTCCACCCAAATTAGTGAGTTATTTCACAAAACTTCCGGGTGGACAGTGAGTTATTTTACTCTCATTTCATCTTTATTTCATTGATTTTGATTGATCATATCCATGATATTACTTGTGGTTGTCTGGAGACTTTTTGCCGATCTCGGGAGATAGCATAGCCTTGGAGACTTCAAATCGGCGGCTAAACGACTCAGGCGATCATTGAAAATGATGTAAGTTCATATGGTGGCTTCATTTTTCCAGTTGTTTTACTAATAATGACCAGCAGACTATCTGTCACACGTTTTAGACCACTACATGTGTTATTGATCGCGGCCACCTTGATTGTATCATGCGTGGTGAGTCCAACATGCATCATACGCCTCTTGAATTAGGTCAAAAGCTAACCAAGTGTATTTAGCTTCTACTAAGTCCCACTAGCCACCCAGCCCCATGGTCACGATGCCTATTCTGTACAAGTGGCATAGATGGAATGGAAAGTCACCAAACCAAGACATCTATTGAATCGGCCACCTATCAAGCAACAGCAGAAAAAATTCACCAGATCTTGCCTGGTTGGCATTCAGCAAAGAAAGCAAAAAATATCGTCATGGTGACTGGGAGCACCGGCACAAATCGCATGTTGGGGATACCACACATCAAGGACATGATCTACGAAAACCGGAAGACTTATGCCGAAAAGCACGGGCTAGAATTCATGTGGGCGAACATGACAAGTTATAACTTCCCTGACGGCACTCCAATCTATTGGAACAAGATCCCTATCTTGAAGGAAGCGTTTGTACGCTATCCAGATGCGGAATGGGTTTGGTGGATGGACATGGACATTATCATCATGAACATGTCACTCAGCATATACGACCATGTTCTCTCACCGGAGGGCATGGCACGTAACATTCTTCTTAATGAAACTATGCATGGTCCTGGTGGTGGTGAGATTGGCCACAGAACGCCATTGACGTACAAACACGACGATGTCAACTTCGTTATTTCCCAGGATAATTGGGGCATGGTCGTGGGAAACTTTCTCATGCGCCGCAGTATATGGAGTGACTGGTTACTGGATCTGTGGACTGACCCCCTTTATATCGCGCAAGGCTGGGTATTTCCCGAGCAAGATGCATGGGCTCATATGTGGAAGTATCACAAGAAAGTCAAGGATCACGCAGTTTGCATGAAGCAGCGTTCCATGAACGCGTACCCGGAGTATAATTTGCTTGGGGATCATTGGAAACCTGGTGACCATGTAATTCATTTCGCAGGCTGTGGGGGTGACTCGTCGTGTGAAAATAAGTGGAACAAGTATTGGAAATTGCGTGAGAAAGTCGAAGTGCCTGTCTCTGTACGGACGAAGCTACAGAATGGTACTGCGGAAATTGAGAACGTCCAGGCAGGAGTGGGATTGCCGCAGGACATTTGAACTTTGTATACCAAAGAAGATTATGTTTAAGGAACTTTAAAGGCCACCTGACAAGTAGTCAGTGAGATTCACTTCGATAATTTCATATACGTGCAAATGCAACGAAGCCTCGACAAATAGCATAGGTTCCTACCCCAAGTATGAGTAGTAGGTATCATCGTCCATGAACGACATCTGGAATATTGCTGCGTGTCAGATGGGTGCCAGAATCCAAGACCGATAAGCATAAGTTCGACGCCATGTCGCTTACTTAATTTCATGTCTGTTGATATTATTTCATCTCACTTTTTGCAGCGTGATTACTATGGCCCCCAAGAGCATGTTTGGCGATCCTGGAATGTTGACGCGTGGCTCTGACAACGCCACGTAACTGTCTCGGCGCCCCCGCCGAAAAGCCATTAAGATGATAGAATACATACAAATATCTCAATGAATGACATGAGCAAATGGACCACAGAGTTCACTTGAACCACAGAGTATCGTTACATTGTGATTATGTAAAATCAGGGTTGAGCCGGGTCCGCCGGGGAGAAGTAGAAGTATGCACTCAACAGTTGATCACTGCCGCAAGTTCCGCAACCGGTAAAAATGACAAACGTGAATGCTTTCAGAACGCACATGCAATTGATGAAATGATCTTCCCATTAACTACTCCAAGACAGTCAACTGCTCAAGTGTTCAATTTTTGTAGAGTAGGTAGTCGCCTCGGAACTTTCCACCTACCATATGATTCAGCCACCACCTATAAAATACTTCGTCACATATGTCTCGCCAGGGGAGATCTGACAACTGGATCGACGTGAGTTCGAGTTTAACCTCGTTTGAATCTCAGTTTACTCTCATTCTCAACAACTAACAGTCACTTAGGGCCTTCGTGGCATTGCCTCGCTCACCGTTGTGACCTACCACCTTTGCTCAGCTTTCGCAAATTGGCTAAACTCCCCAGCTATTAGGGAGGGCGGCGAAGTCTTTATCCTTCAGCAACCATTTTTGCGGCTTGTTGTTGGCGGTCGATTTGCGGTTACTCTTTTCTTTCTCATTGCTGGATACGTGAACTCTCTCAATTCGATCAAACAAGCTCGCAATGGAGATCAAAGTGGCGTCCTTGCGAAACTCTCTCGGAGTATCATCATTCGAGCTGGAAAGCTTGTCATACCAACCAATATTGCGATTTTGATGGTATGGCTTGTCTGTCAGCTGAATGGATTTCAAGTTGCAAGTCAGGTTGATGCTTCCTGGATCAGAGTGGTCGCCGCGGCGCCTGGTCCTACCTTTCGCGATGCGATTGGAGGCCTGTTTAGTAACTGTGTGTTGTTCTGGACCGGTGGTATATCGCCATATGATCCCACGTACTGGACAATTCCTTTCTTCCTACAGGGTTCGATGCTGGTCTACCTGACCCTGATGGCGACTACGTTCACAACTACGAGGTTTACGAAATTCCTTCTTATATCTCTTTATTGCTTCGCTTGGATGACCAATAAACGTGAGTTCGAGGGAGATTGATCTCTACTTATTCAAATTGAACGCTTTTAATGACTCAATCATGACAATAGCTCTCGTCGAGATGACCACCTACGCCGGAATGTTTCTTGCTGAGCTGAATGCCGACTACGGCTCGCAGGCCCCCTCGATTATGCCCGCGCCTATCTCATTCGTTATGATTCTAAGTGGACTTTTCCTCGCTTCAATCCCTGATGAAAATGTAGCATGGGCACCATGGAGCCAGACCTTGGACTCCATAGCACAATATGTTGTCCCTGCGGGTGGTGAGGTGAATCGATATATAAACTCCTTCGGAACCACACTGTTCGTCTTCGGCGTGTTCTTCTCTCGTGATGGTCGACGGCTTCTGTCGCACCCGCTCATGAATTTCCTGGGCCGGATCTCGTTCCCCATCTATCTCATACATGACACTCTCATCCGTACAGTTCTTTCATGGTTTGTTTATCGACAATCGATTTTCGAGAAGGGACTGTATCCGTCGGATGAAGAAGGGAATCCCACGTATTTTGAGAGGGGTGGGACTAGCACATTTGTTGTCGCTATACCACTGTTCTACATGGTCCTAGTGTATGCAGCATATCTATGGACATTGTATGTGGACCCCATATGTGAGAAATTGGTATCATGGCTTGGAAAGAAAGCATTTGGCGAGGATGATGAACCTGAAGCTTTGAGAGATGTCCCGCCAGGTGGGATCTTGAAATATTGACGGAGTACATAAGCTGTGTAGTATTTGCAAAGGGAGTTACAATTGAAAGATTCATGTTCGGAATATTGATCAATTGATTGAAATGCTTTGCCATACTTCTCATTACTAATTACTTGTACTCATTAATAATTGTGTTATTCTCTGATCCCATCGGGTGGTCCTTCTAAATCCAGGCGTTGTATGGCAGAGCGTGTATTACCCTTACGTTATCCCCCGTCCGGAGCGATCGAGCAAGCTTCATTGGTGGAGACCGCCGAATGAACCTCGGCCTTAGCTTCCTTGTCGACAAAATCACCGAGACCTGTAATCTATGAAATTGAAATACAGAACCAACGACAGCTGTGGATGTCGGTGAGAACAACAGAGTCTAAAAAAAGAGGGATTTTAATTCATACAATTAAATGTTTGAAGAGAATAGCAGAATTCTGAGGAATTGAGATACTTGAACAAAAGAAAATGGTAAAGAAATAAAGAAAAAGAACATACAAAATCCTGGTCAAAGGGATTACACAGAGATCTCCCGCCAAAAGTTGGGGAACCAATTCCCAGAAAGCGAAATGACATCAATCCCCGCTTAGCATCCAGCTTCCCTTCTGAGCTACAGCATCTCCATCGGCACAATCTCCGTCCTCGGTGCTTCTCGGGCTGAAAGATCAATCATCGTCGAGTCACACGGAAAGTTTGGATTTTCTACCCCTTTGCAGAAAAGTACTCAAGTACTTTAAAAGCCTCCGTCTCCAACTCCCCGCACCGAACTTTGACTCCGCTCCTTGTTCGTCCTGTATTAGTAAAATCGCATCTTCCCCCCGCCCGAGTGTCGGTCCCTCATAATGGAGCGTCTTATCCGTCCCGTCTCCCGGCAACTCCTGCGATCTCGTCTACGCTACCCTTACGCCATCCCCCCGCCACCTATTGCGAAGAGACTCTACACCATGGGACACAGCAGACCTGACGTGAGTTGTGATCCGAATGAGAGCTGCAGGCTGAGGAGGCTGGCACAAACTGACATTCCATGCTGCAGTTGAAAGACAAATCTCTCTTCATTGAGAAATGTTACATTAATGGTGAATGGGTTGGTGCCCAGTCCGGCGAGACCTTTGAAGTGCACGGTAAGTACCAAGACCGAATCAAAGATTCAACACCCCCTCGGGCCCCTCCGCCCAGGGTCGGATTTACAGAGATGCTAACAGATGGGCTCGTTTTTCCTATTGCAGACCCTGCTACCGGAGAACTTATCGGCAAGTGCCCCGAGCTCGATTCCTCAGATGTCGAGAAAGCCATCCAGGCCGCCACAGAGGCCTTCCCTTCCTTCCGCACAACTTTGGCTCGCGAGCGCGCCCGTATGCTCCGCCGGTGGTACCAATTGATGATCGACAACGCAGAGGATCTGGCTAAGCTGATCACATGGGAGAATGGCAAGCCATTGGCCGACGCCAAGGGCGAAGTGAACTACGCCGCTGGCTTTTTCGAGTGGTTCAGTGAGGAGGCCCCTCGCATCTACGGAGATACTATCCCGGCCTCGGTTCCTGGTAACCGGGTCATTACTCTCAAGCAACCTGTTGGTGTTTGTGGTCTGATTACCCCCTGGAACTTCCCCGCTGCCATGATCACTCGGAAGATTGCCCCGGCCCTGGCGGCTGGTTGTACTGTGGTCGCCAAATCACCCCAGGAGACCCCCTTCACTGCCAACGCGCTGGCCGAGTTGGCTCACCGCGCGGGTATCCCTAAGGGTGTTGTGAACATTGTGACTGCGTCAAAGAATACTCCAGCTGTTGGTGAGACAATCACCACACACCCTGATGTGCGCAAGGTTTCGTTCACTGGATCGACAAATGTCGGTCGGCTGCTGATGAAGCAGGCTTCGTCCACTATTAAGAAGGTCTCCTGGGAGCTGGGTGGCAATGCGCCATTCATTGTGTTCGATGATGTTGAGGATCTCGACGCCGCCGTTGCCGGTGCTATTAACTCCAAGTTCCGCAGCTCTGGACAGACTTGTGTCTGTGCCAACCGGATCTATGTGCAGAAGGGTGTCTACGACGAGTTTACCAAGCGCTTCACCGCTAAGGTCAAGGACTTCAAGCTCGGAGCCGGTTTTGAGGAGGGTATTACTCACGGCCCTGTCATCCACGAGCGTGCTGCCAACAAGGTGCACGAGCACGTCCAGGACGCTACGAGCAAGGGTGCTAAGGTCTTGATTGGAGGACAGAAGGCCTCTGCCCTTGGTCCTAACTTCTACGAGCCTACTGTTCTGTCTGGCATGAGCAAGGACATGCTCATTGCTTCCGAGGAGACCTTTGGTCCCGTGGCTGGTATCTTCCCCTTCGAGACCGAGAAGGAGGTTGTTGATCTGGCCAACAAGGCCGAGGTTGGTCTTGCCGGTTACTTCTTCAGTGGCAATGTGCGCCGCATTTTCCGTGTCGCCGAGGCCCTGGAGGTCGGCATGGTTGGTGTTAACACTGGTCTGATCAGTGATGTCGCTTCGCCGTAAGTTCCCCCCCCCCCTTGAAGAACATAACTCCGATTTTATGTACTGACAGAAATGTAGATTTGGTGGTGTTAAGCAGAGTGGTTTCGGCCGCGAGGGCAGCAAGTATGGTATCGACGAGTTTATGGTTATCAAGAGCGTTACCTTTGGTGGTATGGGAGAGCCTCTGCAGGAATAGAGAGCTTCACTGGCATACCGATATGAAAAATACTACGATATATACTACATACTACTATCTTCTGGAAATAGATTAACTTTTCGATTTTGCTCCTTCTTCTTGATTTCAGACTTCCGGAAATTGATATGAACAGCAAGTTAGTAACGTAAGATTCAACACTGAATGTTTGAAGATGAATATTTCCACATCGCAGTTGTTGCAGCTTTGGCAGCTTTGGCAGCTTTGGGTGCTGTCGTTCTAGAAGCATTTTGAGTGCTATGTGGAAATTGCACAAAATTGTAGTAAAATGTACCTAGTGGTAACTACCGTGAAGTGGCTCCAATACTGATTCTCAAGCTTAGATGACCCCGCGATAAGCCAGCCCCACCATCCCACGATAACAAATATCCTTCGCAGCTCAGTGAAACTTTACCTTCAAGCTACCATTGCTTATAACCTAGAATCTACAACTCACATAATGTCAACTCCAGAGGCTCTCATTTCAAAGTTCCAAGTGACCAAGCTCTTAAAGCAAGGTACACTGAATCCATTCCAACCCTTGGCGACGAACCCCAACCACTAAAATGACCTTCTCATAGATCAAAATGGCCGACGTATAACTCTCCTCGGCACAATCGACGAGCAACAGGGTATCCTCACAGCTGAGCGTGCCGCATTCGCCACCGAGTCCCTGGAAGTAATCCAAGCCTTCCACGCAGCCCTGACCCGCATCAACAACCTGGGCGACAACGATATCTACCGCTGGTACCTCGCATCCTCAAACGGAAGTACAGATGCCACCAACACCAACCTCCAGCACGACCTAAAGCTCAACCTAATCTGGCCATGCACTGAGCAGCATATCAAGAAATATTCGGATCAACAGGTCCGCATGGTCACCGAAACGCCGGAAATCTACAAGGAACAAGTTCGCCCATACATGCAAGCGAAGCGCGAAGAAGGCCGCTTGAATTGGGTGTTTAATATCCTCGAAGGCCGGACAGAGCAGGAGGATGTCATAATGCGGGACTCCGGACATGGTCCTGAGGATGCGTTCCTCATGCTGCCCGATCTGAACTGGGATCGGAAGACGCTTAGCTCGCTGCATTTGTTGGCGTTGGTGCATCGTCGCGACATTTGGAGTTTGAGGGATTTGCGTAAGAGTCATGTGCCTTGGTTGAAATATTTGCGCCAGCGTGTGCTTGAGGCTACGGTTTCGATGTATCCGGATTTGGAGCAAGATCAGCTTAAGCTTTATGTTCATTGTGAGTACTTAGTAGATACTAGTGATTTTGGATCAGTCGGGGAAATCTGCTAATTGTTGTTGCGACTTAGATCAACCAACTTACTACCACTTTCACATTCATGTTGTCAATGTCATGTTGGAGGCTGGTGCTACACAGGCTACTGGTAAGGCGTTTGGCTTAGAGAATATTATTTCGCAGCTGGAGACTATGACTGGTGGAGAGGATGCTAGTATGGCCGATGTGAGCTTGACCTACTACTTGGGCGAAGCGAATGAGCTATGGACGGGTATTTTTGCGCCGTTGAAGACGAAGCAGCAGTAAGGGCGTGTGTATCTGGAACATCTAGGGATTCGTGATTCATAGTAATGAGAAATAGAGAATATCGCTCAACTTTTGATTTCCAAATTTTGATATTATAGGCACATGAATGATTTCTATAATGCAAGCAAAAACATTGCTTTAGGTAAATGCTGAATTTATTCCAAAGATGCAGCATCCGAGCTGATCGACTTCTTGACTTCGTCCATGACCTTGGACCAGGTCTGCGACCAGGCTGTGAACTTGTCTTCGGGTAATTCCTCGTTCCAAGGCGCCGTTACCAGCCCAACAGCCTGTGAAGCATGCTTATATGTTTGCTGCAAGAACCCGACAGACCGGCTGATATCCTCTTCGTACAAGGCCCCAGCAACCTCATCTATCTGGTCAGGAATGCTCTTCAAATTGCCAATCAATTTTTCCAATCGCGCAACGCTTGCCGTGGATGCCAATGGCGCATCCTTTGCATTCTTCAGTCGGTGGGTAATGATAGCAGGGTAGATCTGCGCGATAGGCTTCAGGAAGCGGATGGCGATTTTCTTTTGCTCTTGCATGGCAGCCACATCCTTCTCGTTGTCAGAGTCCTCATCTGACCCGGCATCCTTATCGTCGTCCTTCTCCTCGCCCATGATCTCGTCAAAGAAGTCGTCTTCTTCCTCCGGGTCCCAGTCCTCAAGTTCCTCCAGGGCATCCCGGACAAGATCTCTCCACTGTTCCACGCGGACAGTGATGAATCCCACGACACCGTTGTTTGCGACGTTGGCTACCGAATCGCATGCATCCCACACGCGACCAGTCGCGAGGGTCAAGGCATCCTTCTCGGTCTTGGAGATGTCCTCTTCCTTTTTCTTGGGGTCTGCCTTCTTGGCCTCATTCTTCTTATCGGAGATATCCTTCACTAGCTTCAAGAGGGTGTTGAAATCGGCGAATAAGTTCCTGACAAGGACCAGGGTCTCGGAGTGGAATGCTTTTGTGTACTCGGCGGGGTTGACTAGGAGGGCCGCGGTCAACAACGAGGGGAGGACGGATTCGTTGCAGGCGCGGAGCACGTTGGTCACTGCGGAGTGCGTGAAGGGTGTAGTCATGGATAGTAGTGAAAGCTTGGTGACTTGGGCCTTCAGGGCGTTCGATGAGGCTGAAAGGAGGGGCAGGGCCTTTGCATCTTTGGTAGGTGTCTGGGTGGACTGCGCGAGGGTGGATGGGGAGAGAGTATCTTGGAATTGAGTGACGAGGGCGAGCGATGTCGCGAGGACAGTCGCGAGTACTTGCGACATGTTGTGCGGGTTTTAAAAGAAGGTTGGAATGTTGACGAGGGGGAAAAAGTTGATCGTTAATTTCTGAATATTTTAGATAACTAATCTTAGCCCCACATGGAAATGATTGACCCCTCTTATGTATGTGCCATTTTTGGAATGGAATCAGGTACATATACTTTGGATTTGGGAATTTTGTGATATACAAAATTGCTGCTAGGGATTCCTTTGATAATGATTGGCTTAATGTACAGATATTTACAGATGTCCTTACCGGACAAGTTTCTCAAACCACTGCGACTCCCGAGCTTTCCTCTCCTTCATTTTTTTCATGAGAACATAACCACATCCAGTTCCAACAAAGTATCCACCAAGATGGGCCGCATGGTCCATTTTGGCGAGTCTGGACAAGGGGAACACTCGGAGGAAGCGAGCTGGTGTCGCCATGCTCAGAATCTCAGTACCAACGATGCAGGCGAGGAAAATCCAGCCTTGGGTCCAGATGGTGTCTCGTAAATCATGAGGGAGAATCCAAAGGGTGATTTTGTCACTAGAGAAAGTGTCAGTTGGCTGAATAGAATAGTATACGTTTTGGCATGGTCTACATACTGGAAGTGATACATGCACCACGCGGCAACAATTCCACTAGTGGCAGCACTGGCGCCAAGGGAGGTAGTGGCGAGAGCTCCCAAGAGCACGCTGCGAGACAAGGACACTAATGATCCGACTGCACCAGACGCGAAGTAAATGGCGAGGAAGTTTCCACGGCCAAGCTCATCATGGACTATGATTTTGTCAGCTGGCTATCCAGGGAAATGAAAGATGGAGGGGCCTGCCTACCTCGGGTTCCCATGAGACCCAGCACGATCATGTTTGTGGAGAGATGTCTCCAGGTTTGATGACTGAATGTACTACCTAGCATACTAAGCGCACTAGGATAGAAGGGGACGATGATAAAGAAGCGGTTAAGCAGTCGCCATGAGGGTGGGACGTATTTCCACATCAATGTGACGGCCACATTGGCTCCAATGATAGCTCCCACTGTTGCTGCAGCGGGAGGAACATTGGGCCAAAGACGATCTTGTCTGGCTGGTGCCTCGTAATTTTGGGAAAATAGATAGCAAAGACCGAGGACACCGATAGTAAACAGGATTGAGGACACCAATCGCTGGGGCTGATATCAATTCGTTAGTTTACAATTGTACCACCAGGAATTAATTTATGAACCGCACATACCGTTGTAATATCCGCAGCATCGACTTGGTTATGTGTTCCCGCAACATGGTGCTTCTGAACCCAAGCAAGATACGGCCGTTCGTTGGGGTCCGCCCGCGGACGCGCTATACATGTCAGTATCAGTATCCCCGAGTAAAATTTCATTGAGAAACAAACCTTCCATCAAAGCCGACTCCTGGTATTGCTGCAGCTCTTTGCTGCCTTCAATTTGACGTTGCAGTTGCTCCTGCTCCTCGTGTTCACCTTCTAGCCATTGTTGGCGCTTGCGTTCTTTTTCAGCCAGCAAACGTTTCTCATTCTTTTCGCGCGCCTCTTTGAGCACACTCTTTCCATAGATGGAGTTTTCCTCGCCAAGTTCAGCACCGTATGAGCCACTCTGTGGCTTGTAAAGGCCGAGTTGTTCGGCGCGGCGCACCAATTTCTCCTCTGCCTGACGCTCTTCCCGTTCAATGCGAGCTAGAATCGCAGCATCCTCATCAATCGGGTATTTTTGCCGTAACCATTCCAAAGCCGTATCAAGCTGTGCTTGGTTGACCGCACGAGTAATCTCGACGGGAAGATCTAGATCCAGTGTGCCCTCTAATCTCCGTGAATGCAAGACTGCCAAGGTGCGTTTGGCCAATTTCGAAGATATTTGTGATTGCGGAAAAACGCTCGTCAGCTCGGTATCGGAGGCAAGGTTCGCGGGAGTTGAAGGGTTGGACGGCTTTGGAGAAGATTTGCGAGCCAGGGTTCTTTTGGATCGGGTCCAGAGAGGGGTGGGTCCGGGTTTTTGAGGTGAGAGAGAGGATATCAGAGGTCGTCCTGGTTGAGGAAAGGGGCTCAGGGAGCTCAATAGGCGCAGATTGCTGAGTGGGTTGCTATCTATGCGGCTTGGCTGTAGGCGAAGATCGCGAAATCGAGGACGAATGGTCGTTGACAGCATACCCGAGGATCGAAGCCCCGAGCATGGGATCTGCCATGCGACTCCAATCGCGTTACTCATCTTCCAGAGGCTGGCGAAGAACGCCTGGAATATCGGATTGATCGTATTTCCGGAGATCGATGTATAGGGAAGCCGGAGCCCGCTGCATTTTGGTTGACATGCAAAACCCGGCAAATGGGTTGTTCCGGCCCCGGATTCCTCTTTAACCCCCAGATTCCAAGTTACAACTGTGAGCTGCCACGAAAAGAATAAGCAGGAACATCTTTTATCAAATGATATAGGACATACGTTCTATCAAAATTCCCAGTCTTTGAGTATCGAAATTTAGAATACTCATTCTAGAAAAATGGGCTATCAAGATTGACTTGGAGATTTGTGAAACCTCTCGTTGATGCATACTGTCAAGACTCAACATACATACTCCATACATGTTCTAAGCACTTGATTGAACCGGCTCTCCCGGACTTCTTACTTCTTGGCTGTTACACTGCATGAAAAAGGGCTCTGATCTACTTTGATAGATCTGTTGAATACTTCGTCATCGACCATTCCATTTCTGCCATGACGGGCAAACGCGAAGCTATGGCCTAGCCTATGATGTCTGGTTTTGCTTTTGATTACTAGTCTCGCTACCTACTATCTTCATCTATCAGTACCACGAGACTCTCTCTCTACTAAGCCATTCATGAAGTCCAATCTGACCGCTTCCCAGACGAGAAGTTGCTCGATGTGAGCAGGTGAATTTGAAAGTCATGTCCCCCTGACCCCTGATACCTTCAAGGATTGTGATACTTATTCCATCAGTGCTTTTCCCCAGTATCGAATATGTGAAGTACTGAGGGAATTCCCTCAGTCAGCTGCTCCCAATATTGTCATCTACTACTTTGACACCATCCTAGACCATAGGCCTCCATAGTTATCTATGACTGCCGTGATGACCCGAATGTGGAGCGTACAACATATGCTGAGTCACTAAACAATTGGGAGGATTTGTCAAGGGGAATTGGCCTGAATAATCCTGTCGTGCTTGTGTGACATGCATCTATCGCGATTAATTCCAAGATCGGCGTAAATGATTACAAGGTTGTATCACGCTGACCCAGACCATTGCATTCTTGATTCTGTATGTACAAGGGGGGTTGCTGCATTAATGTTGTGCATATACCCACACCGCTACACCTGTCTGATACCTGGTAGGTACATACGCCAGTATTAGTACGGGTCTTCAAGTAAAGCAACCACTTGAACATTGATTTCATGTGTATATGGAAGATTCAAATGTTGCTACCGGCAATGAAGTAAATAAGAATCACCAATGGTCATACTTGTAGTGATGTGAATATATTGCAAGGCTTAGAGGTACTCATTGATAGACTGATCCCGTTCTCTTCTCAATCAATTAAGTATCAATCCTCAGGTTGGGCAAGAATTACTGATACTTCTAATGAAACCTTCAAGAAGCTTCAGAACACCTATGTGCTAGAAATCCAACTTCCAAGGTTCAGGACTTCAGGTTCGAGTGACTTGATGAGGGGATTTCTTGACCCTCACACATTGAAGATTTTGTGTTCGAATCAATTCTTGTGGATAACAATACCGTATTTAAATGTTTTTACTGGGAATTCGCTATAGTACCAGTAGTCAGTCTCAAGAAAATATTTCCAACATGGATCGGGCCTTGTCGGATACTTGTATATCCGTTTCCTTCTGAATCAGTCTTCAGTCATCCTTTCACTCAACCCTCGGGAGTACTAGTAAGCTTATATTGTTTTTCGTCTTGTCTCTCAGGACAAGAAATCTCTTCTCAATAATTTTTTTTGTCTTCTTTATCTTCCTCCTCATGCACAGATACTAGTACTCAGGCGCCATATTCATCACATCAGTTGACGGGATCGATTAAGAATTTCATTCTCTCTACTTCTCAAGATATTGAATCTGAATATCCATCATGGTTTCAGAGCCACTACATGTCGGTGTTCTGCTCGTGGATATCGTTCAACTTCTTGATCTGTCTGCTGTTGACCTCTTGTTTATGACCAGCCCCGAGTATCTGACGGAACTGGGGGTTCCCAAGCCTATCATAGACCTCGGCCGTCCTTGCAAGATCTCTTACATTAGCCTCAACGGACCAGCAAAGCGCAATGATCTCACATCCCATACCTCGATTCCTATCACGCATTCTTTGAGCGATGCCGAAGTGGCCCCTGGTAAGTTGGACTTGATCTATCTCCCAGGGCCACCACCCAAGCGCATGCCACCGGCAAAGGAGTACATCGACTTCCTACAGAAACACAACACTGCAAACGTGACAATTCTTAGCATCTGTACTGGGGCCTTGGTTATCGCGCATGCAGGTCTTGCTAAGAATAAGATTGTCACGGCCCCACGATTTTTGATTCCTGAATTGAGAAAGAATTTCCCCGATGCCAAGATCTGGGATGATACGGTGCGAGTCACCAAGGATGGAAATCTCTGGATGTGTGGTAAGAGACACTTGTCCAGTTGCACCCTCACTTCTTTTCGTTTATTCGGCTTGACCCTTATAAATGTCATTGACTGACTTTGTGCAGGCGGCATCACAAACGGCCAAGATCTTATGATCGATTACCTTCGCCAAAACTACCCAGCGCCGGTAGTGAACGTTGTCCTCACCGCAGCAGAAATTTCGCCTCGTGACTTGGCATATCCAAACGGCCCCATGGCTGACTTCCTCTATATGTTTTTCCAAGTAGTTCGTGCCCTTCCATACTCAGCCCTGCGGTTGATTAAGGGCAGCTAAATGGCCGAAGTCGATTGTTCATCGGCAAATCTATCCTCAACCATTTATTCTGAACTATCACTCTCAATTTGAGACCCATCTTCACTCCCCGGATATTGTGCACTCTTTGAATATTGTTTCATAATATGAATGTCTCAGTAGTCGAGAGGTTAGATACTTCAACACAGTGAATATACTGAATGGAAGGAGCCAGGTAGTCAGCCTGATTCGAAGGTTCAGCATAACATTGAATAAATCGACATTGAAACTTCCAGAAGGATTTTTATTAAAGGGAGCCAGATATAATTTAGTTCATTTAAAAGTTTTGTGAAGACATCAATAAATTCCACCGATATGAGAACCAGGAAGATAGATTGATACAACATTGAACATTTGAATGGACCTATTTCGACTTCTCCAAATAGCATCTAGCATGGGACATCGTACCTGGCCTAGCACATCTTGAGAACTTCCAGATGTCAACTTCAATGTTCGAATTACATTGAAAATACCCATCTCACATACGAGCCTTCTCCACACTCCGTCCATAAATTCGATGTATCCGCTTCTGATTCAGGCTATCCACCTCAGACTTGCAAGCCTGCATGCTCAACGGACCACCAACCTGTTTCAACCAATAAGATTTCCCGCAATCAAATAACCAGTTCCTTGAAGCAATCTGCACCATCTCAGCCAAAAAGCATTGCGGTACATCCCGGTCCTCCGTGAAAATAATCTGGGGAAGCTCTTTTCGAATAGCCGGCGGAGCGTTACTATGCACAATATCCAAGTACCCGTCGAAGGTAAATGATACATACAGTTCTGATCCTATCTGCACTATTCCTGTAGTGCGAGCCGCAGCGTGTAGAAGACATGCATTTGCGACAAAGTCAACGGGTATCTCATCGATGATGTTTGCACCTGTGCTGTACCCTTCTGCCGAGTGCCATATCTGTGTTGCGCCTCGATCTTCCATAAAAAGCTGGAAGAACTTGTTCATCGGCGTGGAGTTTTCCAGACCGTAGAGCGGATATGGGTCTCGGATGGCCTGGCCGAAGATTGTGGGACGAAGTAGCAGAATTGGGAGGAGCGGGAACCGCTGGAGGATGATTCGTTCCATTATATACTTTGCTTGGGCGTAGCTGGATGAGAACCTCGTTGTGTGTGGTGACTTATCTAGCGACAGGACAGATGCGAGCTCTTCCTCGGGATCTTCGTCCGATAGATTATATGGTCGTTCTAGGACTGGACCGTCGGGGAGGAAACTGTTCACGTATGCGGTTGATACCTGGACCAGGAGCTTCAGTCGTCGGAATCGTGAAACTATTCGGGCTAGCTCGAGTGCCGGAAGGCAGTTGTTCTTGAATGCCTCTTGTGGGCTTGCGTCGAGAGTTATCTTTGCTGCCGTGTGAATGACCAAGGTAACGTTGTCTTGTAGCTCCTGTAGTGTGGCTGGGTGAAGGCCAAAATCAGGTGATATGATGTTGCCAAACACGAATTCAACTTTTTTGGAGGCGAGGATGGCCTGGAACTGATTGGGCATGGACTTCTTCCATTTTGCAATTGCTTCTTCGGGCGTTCCACGGATCAAGGCATATATTTTGCGTGTGGGTAGCTGTAGTGCTAGTTTATACAGAAGACATCCTCCCAGAGAACCCGTGCTTCCAGTCAGAAGAACTGTGTGGGATTGAAAAGTCTTTGCGTATCCCTCTCGGAGGATTTGGTCAGCGTGAGAGGATGCTTGAGCAGAAAACGTCGACATGATAGGACTTGCGGTATGGCTCGCTAGGAAGGATGGCCTTGTTGAATGAAGGGTAGAGGATGCTCTCTTTGTTCTTTACCTTCAAGCACATATCTGTCCCGTTAATATATGGTAACAGTCAGGGCAACAGTCAGGTACTCGACCCCTCATCTCGGAGGATTCTGATAGAGTAATATTGTTTTGTACTACGCCGTACTGGCTTTGACTCCGATGTCTTTCAGTCTTATAGCCCCACAAGGCATGATTGACAAAAGGAAGAAAATAAATACAGGGATGAAAGAAGTTATAGAAGCTGCCATGTACATAGACTTGATTATTGATTATACTTCAACCTTGGAAGTTCAGAGACGAGTAGAAGCTTCGGATGGTGGAGCCACATTTGGCATCGCAATTGAAGGGCATTTCATCTTTCCTAAAATGGTTGCTGCAAGCTTGAGGCTTTTGTTTTCTGGGACTTGATGAAAATTGCCTAAAAACCACATGTATGCAGGAACCGCTCAGATATGATAGCAGGATAGGGTGGTTGTACGGGTACTACAGTCGCAGCCCGAGGTATGTTTTTAAGGGTAATAACTTACATGTGAATGGTGTACTATCAAGCTAATGGAATATCCGCCTTTGAAGATATCGGCACTCAAGTGCTAAGGACTCGGTGCAAAGCCAAGCAAGACGATAATCTACCTGCCCAGGTAGTCAAGCTGATCTAGTATTGATAGTATTGATGGCATGTGCATGATCTTGCTAAGTAAGGGCCAATAACCAGTGCTGCAGCGTAGCCAAAGTCAGACACAATCTTTTGCACCACCTACTAGTTACATACAAAATACTACTACTTAACAACATTGGGCGTCTTGCTCTGACCTTCACTTTATTAGAGCGTATCATTAATTAAATTATAGGTCCACGGGTGTCATTAACGACCTTGGAAAGGGCTTCAACTCCGATTCAGATACTGGGCGATATGCCCAACAATTTGTTCGACCCTGAAGATTACCCTGCATTATCCATTCGCCAGAAAGATTGAAATATGCATTCTTGACTGCTGTCCAGATGTGCAAGTCCGATTACTTTACGTTTATATACCTTGATATCAAGCATCATTCAACTTCCCCCGCAGACGATCTTGATAATAACGCAATGGGTATGCGCGCAGCTTACTCGGCATAGCCGGGTATATAGTCGCCGAGAATCCCATCCAAACACGATACAAGGCACGAGTAGAGCCAGTCGATCTCAAACCATAAGCCTCACGCAATTTGGGCGGCAACATCTCGATAGTCACAACGCGTATAAAAGGTTTAATCCGTTGCACCCACTTCGGCATCTCGGTACTCTCCCGAAGTGCTTTCGCAAAGCGTGCCGCTTCACTCGAGACAACCAGTTTCCCAACCTGATCATCCCAGTAAGACCAGAACTTCTGTCGGGTCTCGGGCCAGGTGCCTGGGAATATACCGAGACAGTTCATCAGCATAGTGAACTCGGCGTATCCTTGCTGCGCAGTCTGGTAGTTGACACGGCCGTAGACGCGCTGGTAAAAGTCCGTTGCGGTGGCGTATAATGTCGCGGCCATCCAGAGCTGGAGCGATGGGTAATGTGCGAAGCGGTTGTTACGTCCGCCGCCGAGACCTGGAGCTTCGCCGCGGTGTAACATTTCAAGGAGCGTTTTCCGTTCGGCACGTGTTCCAAAAACTAAGGTTGAGGTATAGCTGATTTGGGCTTGGAGTGCGTCAAGGAGCTCGGTGGCTAGATCGTTGGGGGTTTCGTTGTTGCTTTCCTCTTTGCGGATTTCGGGCATCGCTGCTTGGAAAAGGAGGGCTGCTCCTGAAGCGGCAAATATGATTCCTTCTTGGAGGATCTGGGGCAGGATCTCTAGTTGTTCGAGGGCGTGGAGGCGTCCGGAATCTGTGGTGACATCGAAGTCATGGTTCTGAAAGACCGAATCAGCGCCGGCTTTTTCATCCTCCAAGGATAAAATCGAAGAGCTAGACATTTTTCTCATGGAATAATATAAGAAAGTTGCCTTTGTTTGCTGGTGAAAATGATAAGTGTCATAGAAGCAAGTCAGTACTAGTAGGGAGTACAAGTGGAGTTAAATGAATGGCATTTCCCCGCAAAATATTCTCCAGGAACTATGAACCTAAAAAACGGCATCAAAAACCTTGAAATGCACTAATTGTATCCACATGAAAGTAATATCGGTCGGCTCGGCTCATGTGAACGCCTTGGAAGCAAAGCCGCGGTTTGCAGATCATCGTGACGCGTCCACTAATGCTCTTATCATGCGCTTATGCCCCCCTATGCCTACTTTAGACCAATAGCTTCGACCGCCACTCAGAATACAGTCAGGACTTGGCTCAAAATGACGAATACAGAGATAAAAGAGGATAACATTGAAATCAGGTATTTGTCTTTTCATTAACATTGCTCATGCTAGCTTATTGTTTCCCGCTTCGTACCTGCTGCACGACATGGTTTTCCATCTTCGCAAACCCTTCAACAGCCATGCCATACTGCTCAAATACGCCAGGCTGGTATCCGTCCGCGATTCTTTCAATAAATTCTTCTTCCTTCCACCGCTGACCAATAAGATCTTCAAAGGTTTGACCGGGCTTTTTCTCAATACCCCACACGGCTTTGTATGCTGCACCAAGGGCACAGGCATTGTCACCAATGTCAAGCTTATAAACACCCTCAACGCCACCGAGAATCTCACCTGCGATCTTGGCAATCGCCTTGTTCTTAGACCCACCACCTACGAGATACACTCGTCGCGGTTGGGCCGGAAGTCCGTTCCCAGGACTCTCTGTGAGACCCTTGGAGCGGAGTCGGAGCGAAAGCATCTGGCTCTCTATAATGGCGCGTGCTTCGTCCTGGGGCACTGTCCATCCCTCTGTCGTCTCGGTTATTGTGGCTTTCTTTGGGTCATAGGTGAATCGCCACTGGCCCGAGTGGATGTTCGGGACAATCTCGGGTCGTGGGAAGAAGAGGCCCATCTTCATGGGCTCAGTTGTGATTGATTGTCCAAGTGCCGGTGAAGTCATGGCGAGCTTGTCAAAGATGGCCCAGGGTTCCTCTGAAGTATCCTTTAGACCTTCGTTGATCGCGTCGCGGACATGTTCACGCGCGAGTCCTCCGTTCTTGTAGCAGAGCATGAACATGTATAATCCGGCGGTTGTCGGGTGATTGAAGAAGTGGGTAGCTGGGTCGGGCTTGTAACTCGGAGTGGACATAAGGAAGGTTGTGGAGGTACCCAATGATACCATGGCGTCCGAGGGTCGGAGGGGCAATGCGAGAATGGTGGCTGGGTTGTCTCCGGTTGCTGGGATCACGGTACAGTTGGGACTGAAGCCGTAGCGCTTGACATAGTATTCATGAACGGATCCTAGATGAAGCCCGCCATCCTCAGGCACATCGCCGAGCTTTTTCTTCAGGTCTTCGACTTCGAATTTACCAGCGCAAAGTTGTAGCAAGCGGTCATCGTATGCGCCCTTCTGGATGTTCCACAGGTTCATGCCACACACGTCGGAGATATCGAAGGGGGCAACATGGCCCAAGAAAAGGGAGGCAAGGAAGGATGAAACGAGGGAAATGCGGGCTGTTTTCTGGTAGATTTCAGGGTACTTTCGTGTGAATCGGAGGACCTGGGGACCGGTGAATCTCTAGGTATGATGTCAGTAGATTGTCCACAGCGCCCAAAAAAAAAGCACGTCGGCTTGGAGACGTACGTGGTGTGCCTTGCTTCCAGTAGCTTGCGCAAGCTCCTCTTGACCTCCTAAGATGGCATCAAACTCATCGCACTCTTTCTGGGTGCTTGAGTCCTGCCAATTGGGACTGAATGGGTGCGAGAATGCGGGTTGCAGTTGTTCCTCTAGGGACTTCCCCGCATCTAGGTTCTGAAGCAGCGAGTCCGCCTCCTGACCCCAGTAGACACTCCCATGTTGTTGTCCAGCTCCACTGATGCCTTGAATGCGACTAAAGTCCAATCCTTGTTTGCGCAGGTTCTCCAGCACGGTATCCAGGGCCTGGAGCCATAATGCGACCGGGGCGAAGACTTCATGTTCCGCTTCGTTTACGAGGACTCCCTTCTTGATGGGGAAACCGGTAGAATCGGCGTCGAAATCGAACTTGGCGATGTAAACGACTTTCAGGTCGGAATTGACCACTAGGCCTTTCAATTGTTGGGTTGATAGGTCGAACCCGATGTAGAGGGGAGATTGCGACGCCATGGGGTAAGAAAGTAATATGACCGCAACGTCGCTAGAATAACACAAGGTGCAAGAGGACGAGATTGCCGGATGGATTGTCGGGCTTATATTATTTTGTGATCCGGTGGGGTTGATTGACTCAGGTATGAATTTACCCTGTCGGGCAAAATGCGGCAAGTTGACTACGAGCCCCTGCGGGCCTTGCGGGATCCGGGGGACATGAGTCCGTGATGATGTCAAAGTTCCGCCGAGGTGGATCTTGTTCTACGTTGAAGACACAAACCAGTTCTGTTTCCAAGGTTAATGGCAGGCACTGCAAAGAACCTGTTGAAGGTCGAATTCCAATCTTTGGTGTCAAATGTCTGGGGTTTTCGGTATTGTAGTTAGGAAACTATTCCCGGCTAAATGCGAGCTCTGCTAATATTGAATTTGTAGCTAAACTCGGTTGAATTCAGCCCCACTAATGCTAAATGCTAAATGCTAAATCCGATATTAACCTGACGAGTTCTAGAATCGGTTCTCAGTAGAACTCGATTGGGGAAAGTGGACTCCGTCATATTATTTTAAAACAGTAGCATCCGATATTCTAACACTTGCAACATTAGAATAAGATGAAACATTTCTATCTTATTTACCATGCTGAAAGTCAGTTGCTCTGAATATGTATGAAATCTCGGATCTAGTGGTAGCATCGTTCATTGTGACGTAAATTTGCCTTCAATGTTTGCCATAACAGAGGCAAGAGGCGATGAAAACCTCTTCCTCATAATCGAAATTTCATTGACTATATTATGTAGCTAGAGAACAGAATAATACCATACCGTCCATAGCACCTCACTACTCTCTGCTTAAACTTGGTTTGTCTATAACCGCTGCGCCATGCCGATTGACGAAGGTCGGGATTTGATCGTGGTATCCAACCGTCTTCCCGTATCCGTCAAACGAGTCGATGGGGGATATCAATCATCAATCTCGAGTGGAGGTCTCGTCACGGCCTTGTCGGGTTTGAAATCCACTCAATTTCAGTGGTTTGGGTGGCCAGGCATTGAAGTAAAGGACACGGCGGATAGAGAACAGGTATCGCAGAGCTTAGCGGAACACAATGCCTGTCCCATTTTTTTGGACAGTGATCTTGCAGATGAGCACTACAATGGATTTTCTAGTGAGTTTTCTCCGTTCAACAACAAGTTCCTGGACTGATGTCGCCATTCGACCGGATGCTATGGCCAATTCTTCACTATCAGTCGGGAGTGATATTCGATGATGGTCCTTGGCAGGCCTATAAGCGTGTCAATGAACTCTTTGCCGACAAGATTGCTGATACCGCTGGCACTGGCTGTTTGATTTGGATTCACGATTATCACTTAATGTTGTTGCCTGAATTTTTGCGTTCCAGACTAGAAAAACAGGGCAAAGCTTGCGCGATTGGGTTCTCCTTACACACGCCATTCCCAGCAGGTGATTTCTGGAGAGCTCTGCCTGTACGAAAGCATCTGATCGATGGCTTGCTAGCCAGTGATTTGATTGGTTTCCATACAGATGAGTACAAGCAGAACTTTATCGACACTTGCTCGAATTTACTGTGAGTGCAGTCTTTCCTTCATGACCTGTCGAGGGGGCGGGCACTCATGATGACCAATCTTCTCTTCAGTGGGGCTCGCACGGAAATTCCAAATCAGATTCAATATAAGAATCGGCTGATTTGCATCGGTAAATTTATCGTTGGCATTGACCCACAAAAATTCACTGATACACTGCAAAATCCCGAGGTCATTGATCGGATCAAGACACTTGAGGAGAGGTACAAGGGGCAGGCGGTCATTGTTGGCGTGGACCGGCTAGATCATATCAAGGGCTTGACGCAGAAGCTGAAGGGATTCGATTCCTTTTTGGATGATCACCCAGAGCTGCGGAACAAAGTCGTTCTAATCCAGGTTGCGGTACCTAGTCGTGAAGATGTCAAGGAATACCAGGAACTGGAAACAGAGCTCAGTACACTGGCTGGAAAGATCAATGGAAAACACGGTTTGTGCCATGTGTCCCCGAGTTGGTGTAGCATGGTATGGACCAAGCTGACGGGGAAAAGCAACGCCCGAGGGTACACCATTGCTTTACATGCATCGATCAGTTCCTTTCAACGAACTAGCAGCTCTGTACTCGATTGCCGATGCCTGTCTCCTGACATCAACTCGAGATGGGATGAACCTCGTTTCATTTGAATATGTCGCTTGTCAAGAGAAACGAAACGGTGTTCTCATTTTATCCGAGTTTGCAGGCGCAGCCTCATTTATGCGAGAAGGGAGTATTTGCTTCCACCCAGCCAACACGACCGAGATGTCCGAGGCTATCTTCAAGGCGCTGAACTTGGACCCGGACGAACGCAAATGGAAATCCGAGCAGCTTCGAGATTTCGTTCATAAATATACAAGGTGAGCATCTTGTTTTGTGCCCAAATAGGTCCGCCTGCTTATTTCTTTTTATTTCCCAGTTCACGATGGGGTCAAACTTTCCTTGAAAAGCTGAATGGAAGAGTGGGGGATAGGGCAAAGCGCAATTGCTCATAGTTGAGGCAATTGGTTGTAAATTGTAGCGGAAAACCTGTACTGGTACAACACTCCATGATTCATGAGTGAACAGGTTGGATCCGAGTGCGGTTATGAACAGATCATGAAGCAAGTGATTGGTTGAAAAGGTTTGGTTTTTCTCCACTAGATCAGTGATGTCACCTGACCAACTATATTTGGATCATCCTCTTTTGCCGTCCAAGTAGTCAAGCCAAAGTTGTAGGGATAAGGCGAATGAAAATGGATTAAAATTAACAAGAGGCAAAAAATAAAAATAAAAATATATGTAAAAAATACATGTAAAAATCCTCAATTGTGGGAAAATCTGACTGATCAATTGATGCAATGTTGACCAACATTCGAAGCTGTTTGTTTGTTTGCTAGGGCTTTTTGCCGTGTCAGCCATTGGGCTTTCCCCAACTGCCTCTTATCTTATCGTTCTTCTTTTCCCCCACTGAATTTCCAAACTTCCTCTTTCCCTGACACACCGTCATGGATCAAAAGAAGCTGCTTAATTGGTATTTTGCTTCTGCCTGCTTCAATTCAATATCGAGCGCTAGTTGCTAACTGTGGATTTTTTTTTTCGCAGGTATGACCAACAATCCTCACGGGTCGTAGACCTTGTGGGAGACTTTGTCGGCCGCGAGCTTTTCATCATCGATGGTGATTCGCTTCTGCTCGAGTGCTTCGCCAATCAGAAGCTAGATTTTCACCCCGGCTTCCAGCTACTACATGCGACATATCTTGTGGAGAAATACTTGCAAAAACTTCAACAGCGCAAATGTGTTTTTGAAATCGTGTTCTTTGCCCAAAATGCTCATCTCTGCGTTCCGAGTGGAGTTGATGAGGATGTGCAGAACCGATATCTTCTCGCCCGAGAGGTTATCATTCAACATCTCGATTCAATCTCTCTTCAATCTGGAAACTCCCTCACAGTTCGGAAATTCGAGAATTTCCGGTCTCCACAATTCGAAGAACACTTGACGGTTTCGGGAGCTTACTTGTTCATGTGTCACGATGGAGCTTTTGGAGACTCCGATAAGAAGGGTTCAAAGAACGAAGAGGCTTCTGAGGATGGACAGGATTTGGAGGATGAAAAAGAATCGGAGGTCAAGGACAATTGGTGCTCAGACTCCGAGATCAATAGCGACGACGACGATAATGACGATGACGATGACGATGACGATGATGACGATGAAGACGACGAAACTTTCGATGATGCAGGAAGCGACCAAAGCGAGGCTGACGCTCCTGCAAGTAAACCAACATCTAGAGTGCTACTCAGACAAATGATCTATTGGTTCGTTTCTCATGGGTGCAACATCTCTCTCATCAATAGTCTCGAGTTTCGTGATACAAAGGTATGCTAAACACTCGAACTTGGAACTGATGTCAAATATTGACAAGCAGCAGGTGATGTCCATGGTCGTCGAGGGAACTTCCATCCTGACAGATCAATCTTCTTTATCCGAGACCTTTGGGCTGGGCGCACTTACCCTGGACAGCCAATCGGCGGGAATCTCGGAGACGGACACAATCACTGCTCTGGGAGCTTTAGACCTGGAGGCCGTTAAAACCATTATTGAGAAGGTGATCCACGAGCAACCGTCACTGACTCAACGTCAATGTCTTTTGATCGTTACCCTTGCGACCATTCTGGGGAACGTTACTGCCACCAGCGCTAAAGATACACCGGGAGCCCAGGCCATGATTCTACACCTTATCCTTCTACAAGATACTCGACTCGAAGACCGAGCTGTACGGGCCGCCAATTCAAGTGACCCCAAGTTCTTCGATCTCTTCTTACAGGTGGCCAAGGTTGTACTCCGCTCAAAGGATTGGGAAAAGACCATGAAGACCCACAATATTCAGTGTGATCTTTTGGATCTAGTCGATGGAAGAATGTTCTTTGAGATTTACACTTTGATAGAGAAAGTTGGTATCAATAGCGCCATCTCTCCAGATACCCTTTCACCATTCAACAACATCGTATCCCTGGTTAACCAACTTGGTGGCACAAAGCTTGAACTGGCCACGCTTGGCACAAAGAAACCCATGAAGGAGATTAAAAAGCAAACTGCGCCCCAGGGCGACATGAGAGTCCTCCCATTCAAGAACAAGGTCTTTGATCATCACCTTGAACCTGTCCATATTGAGGTAGACGACTCTATGGACACAGAGGGAGATCTCAAAGCTTCCAAACTTTTCACAGATGGAACTCATTGGCATAGCTCGAAACCCCTTGATCCCAAAAAGGCTGAACCTAAGGAGGTTGCTCGGGCCCACAAAAGAAACCAGTTTTATATGACAGAAATGAAGAAGTATGCCGAGAGCTTGCTGGGATCTGCAGGAATGTCTGAGGTGGATGTTATTATTGCTGGTCCCTCAACTCCTGCAAAGGGAACCCCGGTTTCAAAGGGGAACCCGTCTTCAAAGGGAAATCCTGCAAAGGGAAAATCGACACCATCCCAAGTGAGATCTAACCCAGTTAGAGAACTTGCTGCGGCAGCTATTCAACAAAAAGCTGTTGAGGCAGAACGAAAGCAAAGGGCGAAGTGGGTGTCTAAACTCGAGACTATGGCGAAGGGCCCGCAAGATCCAATGAGCCGGTTCTATATTGCGGATGAATACTTGTCAAGCCTATCGAAAGACAGTCGCATTGTCCTAGAGGCCCAAGTCCTTGTTTACATGCTCGATGCATCGGTTCAGGCTATTACTGGTCATGAAAATACCAAGGGTGGAAAGCACATTACGACAACCCACATCTGGGGAGTGCTGACTCGTCTCATGAAACTCAAACGGGGAATCAGTGCCGACATGGTTGAATATGTCGACCACGTCTGCCAACGTCTCGAACTACCAGCTGTTCGTCTCCAAGCCCAGACCAGCCAAACGTTATGCTTCAAGCCTTCAGTCATACGCCAGCAGCCTAATGGTGCCATTGGAATGTCTGGAATAGATTTCCAGCTTATGCATGGCGGTCCGTTCATGGAACGTAGCATAGGTTCATTGCCAGACCCCCGAACGCCCACTTTTGATCCTGATCGATGGCAAAGAGACGTTCTCGATCAGATTGATGCAAAGAAGAGTGCTTTTATTGTAGCTCCCACAAGTTCCGGTAAAACCTTTATCTCGTGAGTTTCCTTCTCTTTCTCTTATTCTTTGAAAGGCGTATACTAAACAACGACAGTTTCTATGCAATGAGGCAGATCCTCAAGGAAGACAATGAGGGAATTCTCGTTTATGTCGCGCCGACCAAAGCTCTCGTCAATCAAATTGCTGCTGAAGTACAGGCTCGCTTTGCGAAATCCTATCCTGCAAAGACTACTGGAAAGTCAATTTGGGCCATTCATACCAGAGACCATCGCATCAACAATCCCATGGGGTGTCAAATCCTCATCACTGTCCCCCACATTCTCCAAATCATGCTGCTCTCTCCATCAAATGCCAAGGCATGGACCCCTAGACTGAGACGCATCATCTTTGACGAGATCCACTGTATCGGCCAAGCCGAGGATGGTGTCATCTGGGAACAATTGCTTCTTTTGGCCCCTTGTCCTATCATCGCATTGTCGGCAACTGTTGGTAATCCGGAAGAGTTCTACAAGTGGCTCAACCATGCGCAGGGGACAAATGGGCATGATTTGAAGATGATTCAGCACAAGTACAGATATTCCGATCTCAGGAATTATCGTTACTGTCCTCCTCAAAGCTTTGTATTCAAGGGATTCCCTAATGTTGGTGGCTTGGATCAATTGGGACTTGACGAGGCTGATGATATGGAGTTTATGCATCCTGTTCTCAGCTTGCTGGATCGGTCAAGAGGCATCCCGAATGACTTTAGTCTTGAACCACGGGACTGTTTGACCTTATGGAAAGCAATGAACAATGCGCAGACAAAAGACTTCCCAGTCGATCCCCGTCTCAATCCGTCCTCTGTCTTCTCGGATGCCATTATTGGCAAGAAAGATGTTATCGAATGGCAGAAACCGTTGATTGAGCTCGTCAACACTTGGATGAAAAACAGAAACTCTCCATTCGAAGCTGTCCTCTCTGAGCTGCATCGGCAGAGTGCCGGTTCTAAAGCCAAGGCTGATGGTGAAGATACTCCGTCGAGCTCAACTCAACTATCTGTATCGCAGGAAAACCCCCTCCTATCCACGACCCTTCCATTGATCTGCTCGCTTCAGGCTCAACGTGCACTCCCGGCATTGTTCTTCAATTACGATCGCCACAAGTGTGAAGAAATATGCGAGCACCTTCTGAACCAGTTGAAGGAGGCAGAAGAAAAATGGAAAGCAGAAAGCCCAGCTTGGAAGGCCAAGGTTGAGAAGTGGACTGAATGGAAGAAGGCCAGCGAAGACGCGAAGAAGAAGACCGCCAAACCTCCCAAGAAGAGCAAATCTGCGGATAAAGACGATCCAACATCTCGTGCCGATGAGATGAGAGATTCAGCATCTAGCGAAGGCAGCATGTTGGAGTTCTTCGACCCTGAAAGACCCGTGGAGAAATTCAGCTTGGCCAATCCCAAAAAGCTGTTACGTTCGGAGTTTATGGAGTACGCTGACGAACTTCAATGGCGTGAAATTCCACAATGGCTGATTGATGCCCTCGAGCGAGGAATCGGTGTGCATCATGCTGGTATGAACCGAAAGTACCGACAAATCTGTGAGATCCTCTTCCGCAAAGGGTTCTTGCAGGTGGTTATCGCAACTGGCACTCTAGCATTGGGTATCAACATGCCTTGCAAAACTGTGGTTTTTTCGGGAGATTCTATCTTCCTCACGTCACTCAACTTCCGCCAGGCCAGTGGACGAGCAGGTCGTCGTGGCTTTGATCTTCTGGGTAATGTTGTTTTCCAACACGTCCCCGAGGCCAAGATCCATCGTCTGGTCAGCTCAAAGTTGCCCGATCTCAATGGCCACTTCCCTGTCACGGCCAGTCTGATTCTGCGGTTGTTCATTTTGTTGGATGGCTCTAAGCAGGCGCCCTCGGCGGTGAAATCTATCAACTCGCTCCTGTCGAGTCCGCGAATTTGCCTCGGTGGTGCAGAGATGAAGAGTACTGTGCTTCACTACCTCCGGTTCTCGATTGAATACCTTCGACGGAACCACCTTCTTAGTATCACAGGATCCCCACTGAACTTTGCAGGCTGTGTCTCCCATCTGTATTACACGGAGAACTCTAGCTTTGCTTTCCATGCCCTCCTTAGCTCCGGATACTTCCATCGTGCGTGCAAGGACATTCACTCGAAGCCTCAAAAGACCATCCGAAAACTTATGCTTGTCATGTGTTACATCTTCAAACGGTACCCTCTACGCCAGTCCACATTGGAGTCATACCGAGCTCCAAATAAAAAGACATCATCTATTGTGATACTTCCAGATCTGCCAAAGGAAGCAGCTAAGGTACTGCGGGCTCACAACCATCAAGTCCTGGATACCTACACTGGTTACGTTTCCACCTTTATTGATCAGCATGTCACCACACGTGATCGTCATCTGCCATTCAGTAATTTCAAGTGTGGTGGAGACAAATCTGCTGCCGAGCTTGGCGTGATGGACACAGAGTCCATCAACTCTGCCCCGAAAATCACATCTCCATTCTATGCCCTCTCTGGGCAGGGTGACTCATGGGGCACGGTTGCTGACTTGTGCGAAACAGTCGGCAATGGCGTGTGGCTTGAAGAATCAGCCATTCCATACGTACCTGGCCCCTCCAAAACTCACCCACTGAACGCATACCTTTATGACTTTTTCAGACATGGAAATGTTCACGAGCTGGAAAAGGGCAATGGAGTCCGTCGAAGTGATGTTTGGTTTGAACTGAACGACTTTTCTATGATCCTAGCAACCCTCACCACCAGCCTAAACAACATCCTGAACCCATCAGGAGCAGATATGGACATGCTCAATGTCGCCGGTGGTGGTGATATCCATGAGGTTCAGACCGAAGATAACATTGCTGAGGATGAGGGTCAGTCTGCTCAAAAGGAGGCTGCAAAGAGACACGCGGAAAGACTTCACCCCAAGCCGGCGGCACCACTGGCCTCGGTCAAAAAGAGCCGAGCATCATCCGCTGATACGTTCGACAACTGGGAAGACGAGATGGACGATCACGAAGAAAAGGCTGCGGTGCAAGCTGAGAAACAGGCTGCGGCGAAGAACAAGCCTAAAGCGGTACACAAGGCGGGACTCAAGGATGACAAGAAGTCCTTGCTTTTGGTTCTCCATGCATTCAATTGCCTCCGGACTGAGTTTGACACAAAGTTCAAGAAGATGTGGGCTTAAGTTTCAACTTGCATGGATTGGGAATTAAAGGGAATAGAGAAAAAGAAAACACCAAAGACTCAGAACGCCATCGCCTGTACAGAATGGACAGACAGAATACTCAGGTGGAGAATGCATTACATAAAGTTTCCCTATTGAGTCTACATACCCTATTCTTACCGTATACTGAAAGGCTTGTGGAAAAAATGTAGTAGTAATACTGTTTGAATGGCTTCATTATAATCGTCAAGGTAATCTCTTCGCCAAAGGCCGAGTGACTATACACGCTCAGGTACGAGCATGACTTCATTAAATCGACATTACAGAGATACCATATTCATAATCCCATATTCATATCCATATTCCAAATCTCCACTTATTACAACTACTGTTCATCCCCAGGTTTTGGTCAGAAATCCCCTTACAGAACCATCATGGCAGCCAGGCCAAGAACACCGAAAGCACCAGTGCCGACAGTGGCCATGGGGTGAGCAGCGCCAGTGCTGGTAGACGGGGCAGATCCAGAGTCAGAGGTGGAGGTCTCAGTGCTGGTGGTGAAGGCACTAGTCTCAGTGGTAAGAGTGCCAGAGACAGAGGTGGTGATGGTGGTGGAGCCAGTGCTGGTGGTGGTGATCAGAGTGGACTCGGTGCCGGTGATGGGCTTGGTCTCGGTGGTCAGGGTACCGGAGACGGAGGTGGTAATGGTGGTGGAAGCAGTGGTCTCGGTGATAGGCTTAGTCTCGGTGGTGAGAGTACCAGAGACAGAGGTAGTGATTGTAGTGGAAGAGACAGTCTCGGTGATTGGCTTGGTCTCAGTGGTGAGGGTGCCAGAGACGGAGGTGGTGATGGTGGTGGAAGCAGTAGTCTTGGTAACAGAGCCGGTGGAGGTCTTAGATCCGGATTCCGAGGCGGAGCCTGTGCTGGTAGAGCTAGAGCTGGAGCTAGATGAAGTGCTAGTACCAGTGGAAGAGGCAGAGGAGGAAGAGGAGCCTGTTATCGATTGTTAGCATATACTCAACATCAATTCTTGTTCTGAATACCGGGGTGACGTACTAGGGCAGCTCTCCAAAGCCATGGAGAGGACAGTCTCGGCGTTGTCATCGGGGCAAGCCTCCTGGGTGCAGTCGCGAATACCGTAAGAGTAGTCGGAAGACTTGCACAGACAGGCCATGTCACCGGAGGTGCAGCCAAGCTCAGAAGCCTTGGCGTTCATGTTGGAGACACACATTTGCTATTGAAGGCATGAATTGTTAGGTGGATTGATCTTGAAGAAATATCAACAGCCACATGTAATGAGTGAAGTACTTACAGCGCAGTCCGAGCTAGAAACACTGGCGGCAGAGACCATACCAGCAGCAGCCAGCATGGCCATAGCAACGGAGAAAGACTTCATGATGTTGGCTTGATGTGAAGGGAAGATTTCTCGAGAAGCTCGGTGTGAGTCAAGGACAAAGAAATGGATGAGAAGGAGAGGGGGAGAGGATTCGACGCCTCATGAGGTGCGTTCAGCTTTGCTTTATACCAAAGGGGGAACAGGAATATTCCAGTTCAGAAAAATTCAAGCTGCACCAAGCTGCACGTATCCATTGGGATCCATTGGGATCGGGTGGAAACCACTGATGCCAGATGGGGAAATGATCATGAACAATTCGAGCTAAAAAAGGCAATCAAAACAAAAACTACTTCGTAAAGCAAAAATAAAAATAAAAACAAGGCTCCACCAGGTCGAAATTGAAAGCTGCAAGCCGTAATTCAAGCCGATCGACTGCCCTGATTGCCTGGTTGGTCTCCGCTTGGTTTATTTTGCTTTTCGGCTTCGTTGTCCTGCATAGGTGCTACCCAGCCAACGTGGCTGAAGTGAGAGGATGCATCTACCCACGGGCCCTGTGGAGAGTAGAAATGAAATCATAAACATATGATCCAGATCTCGATTGGGTCCTGATCGGCAGCGGAGAGAAGCGCGCTTTCCAATAAGCCCCACCGTGAAGCCGAGCTCATTGGCTCGTCTGAATTGACCAAGACCCCTGTGGAACCCTTGGAGCTCGGGATTTGTCTTTTTTAGAGATTTTCGTAAAACTGGGGATCTATTTTCCCTGGAAGACTGGATGATGTATCGTAGGCTGCAGGATTCGTCTAATCGAATCGAAGAGCCTTCTCAGCCTTTCAGAGCTGCACGTTGGACGCATCGTCATCATCCGCCCTTTGAACTTCCAATTACCGGGAAACCTGAGTTACTAGACTGCCAGAACTATCGACAAAGGAAAAGAACTGAAAGGGTGATCTCAGGTGGCGCTTCGGGGGGATCGACAAACCCAGATTGTCGGGCAACGCAAATCCTGGATAGGAAGTTAAATAGTCGCAAGATAGATCATGTCGGAGTTTGAGCGAGTCCCCGATCACACTATTGAAATTTTCGACGTCACCGCTAGTGTGGCTGCGCGCTAGGGTTGATACCTGCTTTGCCACACTACGTTGGGGTTCCTCCAAAGCTTGGTTTTTTGGGTTGCGAGGAACAGGGAAGTCGTCCATTCAGACTAACTTGATGATGTTGTTGTTGTATTTTGGTCTTTGTTTGTCAACTTTGGGCTCGAGAGCTCGTCAGTACTAGTACTGGTAGTACTCGTCCTGACTCTCTAGACATGTTCCTTTTTCATATTAAGATCGTCTTCATAAATTGACCCTCACATCGGAATACGAACCTTGAATTGCTTTTTGATCTTTCTGACCCCTGATAAGGGGTCATCGCTTGGGAAATTAGACATTGGGAGGGAAATTGGAGAGAAACTGAAAGCTGACTGTACATGCATGACCCTGTCGTTGACGCATCCTGATGAAGACGTGCAGGTACTTTCAATCAGGCTGGCGAGTCTAAACGATTGGCTTTGGGCTTTTGCACTGGCACTTTGGCTTTTCTTGACTTTTGTTTTCCTTTCCTGAAAACGCTGTAATGGCACGAGCAAAGCCACGCGTCGCAACATTAAAAGTCATGTAATGATTATGCATAAGAGGTTCGCATAATCGAGAGGTTCCCTGCAAAGCCCTGCAAGCGGCATGTACAGAGATGTCACTCAGCATCAAGCGAGAAGCGGCAAGAGGCAACAAGCAATAAACTTGCTAATTGAGCTCTGACCGTCAGGCTGGACCCGGCCAACTGGTCGTTTCATCTGTCGGTAGAGCATACTATATGTAGGAGCTTTCCCGCGCTCAATGCAAGGGGCTCAAGTGCTTGAACTCACCGATTCCTCTCAATCCCACACGTTGCGACCTGATTCTGCACTGCAAAGATTGACCAATTTGCAATTTTAAATTGTCCAACTTCCAAGGTTCCAAGGTGCTCTTTGTCAAAATAAATTTCAGATGATGTATTGTCTAGTACATACTCAAGTCATGGTAATAACCCCAAGCCAACATAGCTTAGCCCAACTCTAAAGTAGGCCCCCAAAAACAGTGAACAATAAATTACTCCAAATTTCAAAACGCCGTAGAAACTGCAACCCGGAAGCAATTAAGAAAATGACATGACAAAAACCTGGCACAAAGGCAAATTTACAAACAGAATGATTGGATGCTCGCTCGCGTGTTCATATCTCTTATATATACCAAGTCCAAGTCCACCTGATCCGAGATAGATGTTCCCTTAAATGGACCTGCAAAGGGTGAATGCTAGACCATCTCTGTAGATTGGAAAGAAGAAAGAGAAAGCTTCAGTCAAGGCAGAACAGCCCAAAGAATATCTCGTGGGTGCATGTCTTGGGATTGGGAGATGATGTGGAGGTGGGTGTGGGTATCGAGGTAGGTGGAGGAGTGATGGAAGGGGTGTTAGTCGACATATCCCAGCATCCCCAAATTACACCTGGAGTTGAGCAGGTAGACGATGCTGGCAGGGAATGCTTCGTTGTCGGATCATTGCACCCAAGCCATCCTGGATGGTGACAGCTGGTTGAAGTTGCTGTCGGAATTGTTGTAACAATTGTAGGCGCTGGGGTAGCCGTGGCCGTAGTGGATGTTGGATCATTACAGCCAAACCAACCGGGCGTCTTGCAAGTTGAAGTCGCCGTGGTTGATGAAGATGTCGATGTGGTACTGGTGGTGGTGGTTGTTGATGTGGTGGTGGTGGTAGTGGTTGGGTCGTTGCACCCGAACCAGCCCGGGGTTTTACAGGTAGAAGTGGAGGTAGATGTTGCTGAAGTTGTCGTGGTAGTGGTCGTGGACTCATCAAGGCAGCCCCACCAGCCCGGAGTCTCGCATGCCTCTGTTCGGGTAAGAGTAGGTGATGTGGTCGTCGCTGAAGTCGTTGTAGTGACCTCAGAGCCATTGCTTCGGAAAAATTTCCAGAGCACACAGTCATAGCACTCCTCTTCGGGTATACAGGGCGGAACGTCATCATATACTTCCAGGACATCGGCAATAACATTCTTGATCTTGTGTGTACCAATACCCACACGCCAACCCTTATCAGCCACGGTATCATAAGTACACATCTGACCAGTATGGCATGCGGACTCCATGGCATATCCACCCCATGTGCAGATCGAGTTTATACCGTTGCAGGTGCCCATATACACGGGATCTGCCGTATGTCCAAAATGGAATGCTCCTGTGTTCTGTCGAGTTTGCGGAAGCCGTGAGTCATGACCTGGGGGACTTGGAAGACCCAACCGAGCTGCTGGGAGCGCTTCAGGGATAGCCTCGAATGTGACGACCGGCAATCCAAATGTAAGGCCAAGCAAACTGGTCATGGCACCCCCCAGGGAGTGACCAGTCAGCCACACGTTGGCGCCGGGGTAAAGCGCACTTGCGTTGGAATAGAGATCAATGGCAGCCTTATAGTATCGATTTTCATCATGCATGGCCTCGACGATGCAAGTGACATTGGCAGTGTAAGTCGTGTTCTGGCAATCGCAAACCTGTCTCCACAAGTACGAGCCCCCTTGTCCGCAACAGCAACTGAAGAAAAGATTATCGTTCAGCTTGTCATTCGTAGTAGTCCCTGCGCCATCAAAAAGTGCTGGAGAGGTGCCCTTCAAAGATATGACGACCGTACTGTTATCTTTGTTGCTGTAGATATGCCCTCTCAGCCCATCTGTTTGCCATCCAAAGCTTGCCGAGTAATTAAAAGTACCATGGATCGTCTCCCAATCCGCAGTACCAGGTTCCTGAATATAATCATTCGCGGTCATCTTGGCAAATGTGAGAACTGTCTTCTTGTCTTTGATGTTGGGGCCCGGAAGAGTATCCATGACCCATTCCGAGGGCGACATGGCTTCCACAGCCCCCGAAACCCGTGCAGCAGCCATATGTTCTTCAATAACCGATATGCGACGGTCCGCCAGGCGGTGGATAGTGAGGGGGCTGGAGGTAGCGATCAAGGGTGTGTGTGCGGTAATGACTTCCTCGATGCCATCTTCGGAGAGAGCCAATAGGCGGGTATCGGGCCGAACGTCTAATCGCGCATGAAGATCGGGGTGCTCGGTGGTGCCTCGGTGGAAAATGTGGCGGAGGGACTAAGGGAAAGGTCAGAGTACATCCCATGGCATATCTCTTTTTTGAGATCTGAACACTCACAAACTCGTGGGTTTCTGATGGTGGTTTCTCCCCCAACGGTATCTGTGGCGGTAGGATGGGAGCTTGTTGAGAGGGGAGGCGATAGTTAGCAGACACTGCCTCGGGAAGCAGCATAGCTGACAAGAAGAGTCCAGCCAGGGTTGGCCCTTTCCAGAGGCGTCCCCGAGACCGTGACCTTGACCTTGAACGAGCCATGATGATAATAATGTATATTGTGGTTGAGAAGTGATCGGAGGTGCTATGACGATGAGGAGGTTATCAGCTTATCGTGGGGGGACCTTTCACGTGAGGCGTCACGTTACGAGGCACCGTATCCTAAAGAGGCTTAGTACAACGGATCCCGGTTCCAGTTTCTCCATAAAACACTTTGCTTATCTCACTCTTATTGCTCAATTCTACGCCGGACTTGGTTTAGGATGAATCTTCGGTCTATATTGTGGATCCTCAAGGTCACTTGGAAATCCGCTAGTAGCTGACTATGATTGAGAAGTTAAGACTGCCGCGAGGATGCGCGCGGCGCGCAGTTCAAATTCCAGGCGTATCTCTAGCCTTGGAGGCTGGGGGTATCCAACCTCGTAGTGTGCATACTAACTCAATATTACTAGCAGAGCAACCGTGTAGGTCTGGGGGAAATGGGAATCCGATCAACTGTGTTGTATTCTTCTCATGAGAGTGGGATGGGGAAAGGAAGGAGAAAAGGAGAGAGAATCTCTCACTTTCCCAAACTAAAGTATCTGGTCTCACTACGTTGAGGTAAAAGATGGTGAACTCTTCTCCATGTATTGAAGACGGGCGACTATGTCATTCACTTCCCCGATAAGGTCGTCATTGGTGAAGTCGTTGTACAGTTTGTCTCGTGACTCCAACCTTTTCAGTACCGAATATGTGATGTATTCGTTTTCAATCTGTCCCAGCATGATAACTAGGACAGTATATGGCCTAACGAAATCACCATACTTGGTTGTGATCTTGCAATATTCTTCCAGCACCTCTGTTGCAAAGACACTTGGTTCAGGGAAGTGCCCCGACTTCATGTCGAAGAACTCTCTGATGGGATTGACAAATACGAACACCCCGTCACCGACCATAATACTCTCAAGAACGTCCCAGATCTCTGTCGCTAAGAGAATCCGTTTCCCGGTGTTTCGACACTTCTCGAAGACCTCTTGGGTCATGTTTGTGCAAATCCACGACGCTACCAGTTTGGATAGCGCAAACCAGTTTTGCGCACTCGGTGCATCTTGTTCCGGTTCATCCTTTGTCTTGTCAATAAGTTTGGCAAGACCTGCTGCACGAAGAGTCATCTTGACTCGGCTCTCAAATTCTTCGAACTCCTCGGGGGACTCAAGCACATCCTTGAATCGTAGCAATTTGACGTCTTTAAAGTCCGGTAGTCCTGCAGATTGATCATTGTCTTGATCATCCAGCATGTCTATCCAGTTCTGCTTGCCCCGACCCTCCTTTTCAACTGTGGACATTTTGTTGATTGGCACCAGCTCTGGTGTCTTGTTTCTTCGGTTCCCCTGTGTCGGTCTTCGGTGTCGTCGTCGTTCCTCGATTCGCAGCGTCGGCTCCGGTGTTGTTATCGATCTGTTGCTGCTGTGCTGCCTCTGCTTTAGATGCGGCACGTGTTTTCCTCGCTGTTGGCTGTCTTCCGGTCATTCGAAATTGACAAGATTTGTAGGTTAATGAAAAGAAAAAAAAGAATACTCTTGTTCAGAGCAGACCGGGGCTCATAACCTAGCAGGACTACCGTGTAGGTCCGGTGGAAATGAGAAGGATCAACTGTGTGGTATTGTTCTTATGAGAGTGGGATGGGGAAAGGAAGGAGGAAAGCAGAGAGAAGCTCTCACTTTCCCAGACTAAACTATCTACTAGTAGTCTCACTACCGGATCGCGCGCTGCACTAAGACTACACCAGGTGCGGATCATGTGACTGACCATCTAGTCACAGGTCTCCCACATCTCCTGTGAACTTCTTAGGATGAGCATTGATTACCTACTCAGTACTTGAGATAGGTATTGTACTTACTACTCAGTGACTACTACCTCCAGATCTTACTTTTCGACTGCCAACTGGGGGAATCATGTGATGGAATTTTTCGCAAGTACCCAAGTAGTAAAGGGAGGGAAAGGAAACACTAGGCAATCAGTGGAATACTGGCCTCTGGAGTCCCCCGACTCGCGATTGCTGCGACTCGTGTTTGTGGCCCGAACTAGGGGCAGTGCCTTCAATAATTATCCCCTGCACATTCATGAATCATCAGTCAAACGGCCTCTGAGGTCTACATCAAAAAGAATCCTTTCAATATGACTTACAGGGCCAACGAAGATTTTCCTTTTCCCACCATACCAGAGAGCCAGAATAACGACCGAGATACCCACAAGTACCACGCTCACATAATTCATGCTCCCGACTGTAGTTGGGTTTGTGGCTGGGAAGCAAAACATCAACGAGATAAATGCTACCCATAGAGTGCTGAACCAATTGCAAAAAGTTCCAACGCAACGTCCGAGGCGGAATGGGCGCTCGGGAAGTACTCTATCACGTCCACGGTAGACCGCAATCGCTTGAGGCACCACGTAGGTAATGTTCAGTGACATAATGGACATTGAGATGAAGCTGTTAAATGCGGTGGTAGATCCGATATAGATCAAGCCATATATACTGACAAATCCAAAGCATGCCAAGGTGGCATTGATAGGCACTTGGTTCCTCGAATCCACTCGACTGAAGAAAGATGAAAAAGGGAGGCCGCCATCGCGGCTAAACGCATATGTAAGCCGTCCTGTAGTGACGATACACGATACCAGGGCCCCAGAATAAATGAAGAGAATCCACACCGTGAGAATTGTGGCGGCAGTTTCGCTGTTGGTGGCCTGACTATACACCGTATGGATCGGGATGGCTGAGCTGATGACTTTGTCAACATCTGTCAGGGTGAACAGAAATGCGACCGTCCAGGGAATGACGGTCAACATGCCAATCAGCATGGTCATTCCCATCGCCTTTGGCACACTACGTGATGGACAGGGGACTTCTTCGGCAATATGAGTTGCGCCATCGATGGCAAGATAGGCGTACATGCACGTTCCCAGTCCGACAATGAACGAAGTCCCATCATTCCAGCCAGATTCATTCTTGTATTCGGTAAACACGGCTTGGGCGGATTGTGGGTGTCGCTGTGTGGCCAAGACTACAACCAAGCTTGCCACGAAGCCGGCAACACTGCACCAAAGTAGGACAACTTCACCCCGGGGGATCGCATTCGGACTGAAACAGACAATGGCCGTTGCCAAAATCATGATCAGAAGATATATAAGGTAGGTGTGCCAGGCCTCAGCGGCATATTGTGGATGATAAATGCTAGCAAGGCTACCGGCCATTTGAGCTAGAGTATGGCAGAGGAAGTTAGCAAGGATCTCAGTACGTTGCTGCTTTCTGTTTGAAGTCTTACCACACACAATGGCCGTTGATGCGCTAGTCAAGCACCACGCGGCAATGCTCAACCAGCCGATTACAAAGGCAACAAGTGAGCGATACTGAGGGCTTGCTACCATGTATGCAAAGTGATATTGTCCACCACTCGAGGGGAAAGCAGAAGCCAACTCGGCCAATCCAGCCGCTGAGATCTCAAAGTCAGATTCATCGCTCCAAAATTGAGGATTCCAAGGACTTACTGATAATGCAACATGCAATCGAAGCGACGATCAAACCAAAGAAGACCATTGGACTACCTCCCATCTCTAAGGGTGTGATAAAGGTTGCAGAGTATCCCAACCATGAGTTTGTCATACTAAACCCCAATGCCAGAGTTGAAAGAATGGAGAATCGCTGCACTAGCTGATGGCTCTCGGCAGGTTTCACGCTTTCCTGGTCCTCTGCCAGGATCTTCATGTTACTCGCACCCATTGTAGAGTATAGAGAAAGATTGGAATGTAGTATCTATTCCATTCCAACAATTGAGATTCAGCTATTCTTATGATGGATGACCGTTCCTCTGTTATCTCCTGCCCTTGCCACTTGGGGTTTCCACATCATCATTTACGCGTGATTATCAGATATAGAACTTTGAGGGTAAGCATTTGTCCAATCAAATGGATGTGATTGATGAAATCCATGATGCGGAGACGGGAAGTGTACTGATAAGGTGTTGGGGCTCATTCAAGTGTTGGTAGCGTTCGTCCTTCAACTCAGATATTTACCTAAAGGGGAAAGGTCCGGGTTTCCCCGGGTTCTCATTCACCTGCTTAACCGAGCATGTCCACCCGAACTAGATATCCCTGGGATATTTGTATCGATTGGTCGGTATCTCCTAGGATTGAATCTGAATGCATGACTAAAGATTAAAATATAAATAGATCATCTTCTTATTCTTATCATGGTGTCAGCCAGCAGACCAGTGCTGCGGGCATACACATTGGCACACTAGTTTCAGGACCTTGAAAGGACGTCAATTCATCAAATGTCAAATCAATATCAGTTGGTCGTCAACCCTTGGAGATACTAGGTACTTGAAGGTAAAATTGATTGAGGGTAGTTGCTTGGAGCCCAGGTGGAATCTGGGGTCTAGTACGTATTCAGCCGTCTGGGGTCCGACGCGGGGTTTGAAGGTTCGGGGCGCCTCCTAATCCACTAGATACCTACTGAGTACCCACATGAATTATATAATGAACATTGAATATATCTAGTAGGTTACTAAATACTATATACCATTATCTTGAGTTATCTTGGCAAAATGGAATGTTGACTCTATAGGGCAGCCATAATCTCGCAAGATTTGATGAATATGAGATATGAGGGTCTTTGCCGGGTTCTCATCTTCCGAGAGGAACTCCCTACTGGTATCAGGTAGCCCTGGGTCGCTGGAGCTAGCACTTCTAAAGGGATCAATACGGTAGAGGTATTCTTCGATTGCCATCTCCCCTTCAGCATCTTCGGGTTCTCGTAAAAGACGTCTGCGTTTGCGTGAACTCGGTGGGGGGAAAGAACCAGGCGGACTTGGTTGTGGATTAATCCTGAATAATGACATTTTGGAGGTAGAGGCAAAAAAAAAAGCTGCGAAATTAGAGGTAGTTGGGTGGGTGGTTCTCCTTGTTATCTTGAAAATAAAAAGATTCCAATATACAGAAACTTTCAAATGTTAGGATAACATACATGTAAATAGCACATATGCAGGTAGAAGCCTGCACCAGGGCCTGATTCTTTCAGATGTCTTCAGATCAATACCACTTGACATGTCCCCTCGTTGGGTACTACATGTAGTACTAGTAGGTATCAACATTTGAATAGAGACACCTGGAGATTTTCAATACTTTACATCATACCCACTACATGTACCTATATCCTGGGATGTATATTTCAAGAGGCTCCAAGGTTCTCAGGCGGAAAACATTCAATTGTTTTCAAATGTTCCAAGGCTTAACACCTACTCAAGTGCTAGTACAATTTCAACAGGTAGAGCATGATGAATTTCTCCAGCGCCCAAGTTCAAAGAAATAGTGCATCTTTCAAAATATTTTGGGAATAAACCTAGTACATGATGGATGTACGGTAGTGATGTTACCGTCAACTGGTGTACTTACGTACTCACCCGCCTAAAGCCGAGACAAACCGAATGCCCTCCAAATCCTCGGTGCTCTAAAACAGACAAAAAGGCTTCAAATATTTTCGCAGACTGTGAGAAATGCCGAGAGAACCGAATGAAGACACCGAAAATTTGAACAGAAACAACGATTACCTGCAAATTACGATCAGCTGGGGGGGCAAAGTTCTCGCACAACGGTCAGAGTGGGGCGGGGGTCAAAAATACGTGACAGGTGTGAAATACCAAAACGCCGATACGGATAGAGCTCCTCGACGTTTAGCGGTGCAGTTTTGCCGATAACAGGCGATTGTGAACGGCATCACTTTTTTTTTTATGGAGATGCTCCCGTCTACGCCGCATAACCCAGCACGTTCGTCCGGACAGATGGAGAATTGATACGATTTAATAGTCCCCTGCGCACAATGTTGACCTCTGTCGACTAAATACAACTTTTCTTTTCTCTCCAGTGGCAAACCGAGTTACCTCGGCTTCTGGTGAGGTCATTGTCGCGACACAGCTCTTTGTCGCTCTCTGTCACTCAAAACAAGTGATTCTTGAGGTTCAAACTGAGAGACAAGGACTCTGAGCCGTACTTTGAGCTCCACCCGGCCGCTTCACCCGGCTACGTTTACTTGACCTTGCCTTTGGCTTCCGCGACAACCTTCTTCGTCGCCATGGCTGCTCCTCGATTGACCATGCAGCCGCTCTCACGGTCTATCAGCACAATAGTCGGCACACTTCGAAACGCTCACCGAGGACCTCACACTAATGCCCTCGCCCTCCGCTCTCCGTCCCATACCTCCCCCTCCTCGCCGCTTTCCTCCCCTCAAGTCCGATACAGCTCCTACTCCTCGTCGGAGGCTACTCCCAATACCCGCAAGAAGGTCACACTTCAAACAATAAAGAACCTCTATAAGAAGGGCGAGCCGATTGTAATGCTCACAGCCCATGACTTCCCCAGTGCCCATGCAGCTGATACGGCCGGGATCGATGTCGTGTTGGTCGGCGATAGCCTAGGGATGGTGGCGATGGGCCTGGACAACACAACTGAGATGGTGATGGAGGAAATGATTTTGCATTGTCGGAGCGTAGTCCGTGGCGCGAAGAGTGCTTTCATTGTAAGTGTAGCGGGTTCACGTCTGGCAAGAGACATAAGCTGACAGGTGCTCTGCAGGTCGGCGACCTACCCATGGGCTCATACGAAGTGAGTCCCGAACAAGCCGTGGCATCTTCCATTCGTCTGTTGAAAGAGGGTCGCGTGCATGGCGTAAAGATTGAAGGAGGATATGAGTTGGGCCCGACCATCAAGCGAATCACCCAAGCTGGAATTCCTGTTGTTGGTCATGTGGGACTCACACCCCAACGACTGAATGCCCTTGGTGGATTCCGGGTTCAAGGAAAAACATCCACCAGCGCGATGAAGTTATTACGCGATGCACTGGCCATGCAAGAAGCCGGAGTGTGCATGTTTGTACTTGAAGCCATGCCCCCGGAGGTCGCCACACTTATTACCAACAAACTCAAGGTTCCGACGATAGGCATTGGCGCCGGCAACGGATGCTCGGGTCAAGTGCTCGTCCAAGTGGACATGTCTGGCAACTTCCAACCGGGTCGCTTCGTGCCGAAATTTGTCAAGAAATACGCCGATGTGTGGGGTGAAGCCACACGCGGAATCACGCAATATCGGGATGAAGTTAAGAGTCGCGCCTTTCCCTCGCCGGAATACACTTATCCTATTTCACCGGAAGAACTGGCCAAGTTCGAGAAGGAGGTGGAGGCACAATATCAAAATTAAGAATTATATGTGGTTATGATCATCATTTTGTACATAGGGTCATTCATCGGTTCGTGTATTCGTACTGGGAGGCGCTCAGTGAAAGTAGCTTCTTAACCGAATGCAGGCGTCATTGAGTAGGCGACAATTAATTGATCGTCAGATTTGAAGCACTGTAAATATCGGTCAGATGACGAGTTCCAATAAAGAATAAAGTCGGAAAGTACCCTCCAGAGTCCACCGACCCCTTCATCGAGGCCGGGCGCAAAGACGCTATTAACATAGCAAAATACCGAGTCCGTGTCCTTACAGTTCAGCTTCTTGCGGAGGAACTTAACCACCGTTTCAAACTTTTGCGTCGCGCTGACCCTAAACACCCGAGTTTTGAGGATTGGAGCTGATGGCAATGGTTGAAATCGAACGGTAACTGAATTGTAGTTAGCAGGAAAGAAACGAACAGAGGGAAGTGGGAGTCTTGGGCGAAATATGCTGGATGGCGCACAGAATTGGTGGTGCGGGGAATGAAGCTCCGATGCTAGATACCTTTGTGAGAATCGATGCGTTCCACATCAGCGAGTGCCTGATGGGCATCACGAGGCAGGCCAGTCAGCATAACTGATGCAGTCATATTCATTGGTAGATCAGCTCCATGCTGGTCGTCGGGAATCGGAGTATCCGTCATGTTTGGTGACGAATCTGGTTGAGGTTGGCCGTGGCTGGGACGATAACTGAGACTACTAGAGGCAGATGGAATGGCGGGGGAGTTGGTCGGGGAGCGCTCTAGTGGAGATGAGGAATCCATGTCCAGCGTTGAGCTTCTTTCCTTCTTTTGGATGTTAATCAGCGAGCTTCTCGAATATGAAATGGCTGGTGGTTTCTGTGGAGAAAGTGGTGGGGGGAAAGGAAAGAGCTCTGGAGATCCCGGATTGCTATTGCTATTGCGACTCTATCCGCAAAGCCTTCATTATTTAGTAGCAAATGGGGTATGAAAAGTTTTGAAGTTCTACTACATACCTTCGTCCACACTCATTCCACATTTATTGGTACGTACGTAAATATGAAGCACAAGACAATTTGAGATTTAAAGCTACCATTAGTATATCGCCTCATTACTCCGCATAAAGACTCAAAGCTATCTACTAGTACGCTCCTCAAATGCTGAATACCATCACCAAGCCAAAATCGCCTTCTGGGCTCCACAGCTTAGAGCAGCACAAATCGCCTCATCCTTGTCACTAACCTGAGAGTTGCATGGCACCTTCTGCTTTGCCGGCCATATCTCCCGTCCTTCAGCCTTCTCCCGCTCAAAGTGTTCCGTGATAACCTCACGAGCAGTGCTCTGGAAGAAAAGTGGCGCCTTTTCGAATTTAGGATGTAGTTCTCCACTAATGAAAACGTTCCGATCGAGGTTCTTCTGTGCGTTGTCACAGAGAACCTTGTCCTCTCTCATGACGCGCTCATACATATCACTGATCGCGTGGAAATCTTCATCGCCGGAATTTTTGTTTCGGTAGATCTCGTACGCCATCTTGGAGGAGTTGGCGCTTCTGGGAAGGAATTTTTGAATCATGATAAAATGTGGCCTAGTCGTCAGAGTGTCGTTAGTTACTTCTCTATTGGATTTCTTATACTTCATGAGGATGGTAAACGTACGAAACAACCATGGCTGACATTGGGAAGTAGTAAGTGCTAGCAGTGTAAAGACCCTTTGCCTTTTGCTCTGGGGTCGAGACGCAGTGGTGTTGAATATGTCCATCTTTAAGATCGCTGTCGAAGGAGTCGAGGTTAAGGAACTCGGGGATGTCCGGGTGAGTTGTGGGACAATGATAGCATTCATTGAAGTTATCAGCCAAGACTTTCCAGTTATATTGGCCCTCCAATTCATATGTATGATCGAGGTCATAATCATCGAAGTTGTATTCCTTGTACCGCTCCTGGGTATCGACGTCGCGAAAATGCTCTTCCCAAGATACCTCTGGGGTCTCGTTTGCATCCAAGTTGACCCAGATAAACCCATTGACGTCAACTTTGACATGGATCCGGAACAAATTATTCTGGTCCTTGTTGAAATTATCCAAGTCTTTATATCCGGGCGCTTTGGCAAGTTTGCCATTCAATCCATAAGACCAGCCATGATAGCGACATGATAGGATTTTGGAGTTTCCAGATCCTTCCTTTTCAACCACAGGGTACGCTCGGTGTCTGCAAACATTGTGGAATGCATTGACATCCCCTTGCCGGTCCCGTGTGATGATAAAGTCGAAGCCCGCGATGTCGTAACGGAGCCAATCGCCTGGATTCTTGACTCGCGAGCTATGGGTGATAAAAAGCCATCGTCTTGAAAAGATAGCTCGACGCTCCAGCTCATACATTTCCGGAGATTTGTACCATGATGCCGGTAAAGCACGGACTGGCGTCTCTCTCGCTTGCACGGTGGAGGGAGGAGCCTTGTTGCCGAAGCCGAGATAGTGGAGCATGGCTGTCAATAATTGCGATGATGCCGGAAGATCTGTAGGGAAATGCCTTGATGGAATAGACTCCAACCCATGCCATCTTTTATGTGTTACAGCTAAATTGACTTGAAACGGTGTTCATCTGTTTGCTCCGATCAGGTGGGAAGCTCTTTGTTCCAACGGAGTAACCAAGCCCACGGATAAGGGCCAATATAGGTAATGGAACCCACCGACCAACGGGTCATGTTGCCGAGACGAGAGAAACAACCCATTCACTTGATTTCCCACCGCAATCCTATCTTTCGAAGCATACCAGAGTCCCGCGACCTGCGGAATAGTACGAATTCCAGAGATTGGCAGCGTACCGGTACATTGAATTTGATAAGTGGTGGATAAGCAAGAGCGATCAGGATGTCTTGTTTTTGAGGAATTCCACGCGCAACCAATCGGCGTTACTCCATCAAGTGAGAAGTTCAGAAAACCCATGGATCGATTCCCCAATTGGGGAAAACCGTCCCCCCATACTTAACAGTGTATACGACGTGCACGTTGACATGGATCTCTCCAAAAGCTCCGAGCGATTGAGATTATCACCATGCTTGACGTATCTAGAGTATTACTTATAATGCATAAGATCTTTGACGCTCTGAAAATTTGACAGGATCTTCAACGTATATTTGGCTTGGATTTTGCAGCTTCCACTCCTTCACAGTATACTTTGAGATATCGACGTCATTGTCCCCACTTGATCTTGCCGTGTGCAGTTTTTATGAACGTTTAAATTCCGAGACTTTTGTTTCTAATTCCAACATTACCATCAATCCTGACTGCATGTATTCATCATCTATATCTAACATCTAGCAGATGTATCGTGTATCGTCTATATTCGTTATGTTGCACCACTACGACTGGGCGCTTGATCAATGTTGGCATCATACTTTCTCGCTCCATCCCCAGATCGACCACCAGCATTTCACAGCCAGCACATCTCCATCGGCACCTTCCCAGTCATCGTATCCAAGCTCCTCACCCTCCTCAATCACCGCCAGTCCAAGACCTGCCATCCGATCGCGGAACTCTTGCACCTGGGGTAGATAAGGACCACGCAGAGGCATTTCGGCTACCACTCGTGCACCTAGTCCCCGTCCAAGCCAGGATCCGATAGTTTGTACAAGCCATTCGGGGTGAATGGGCGAATACAGCGGGTCCGCGACAAGGATCACATCATATCGCTCTTCCGCGGCGGGTTGCGGTGTGGGAACAACCGACCAATCGAGGACACCCGTGGTCACCTTTGCCCCTGTATTATTCAGAAGCTCTACATTCAGAGCACTGTTGTGTGCAATATTCGGGACGATCTCAGGAAGATCAGTCAGATGTACCGTTGCCGACTTGCCATGAAGGGCTGCGAAGGCCAGGCCCACCAATCCTGTACCGGAACCAAGTTCTAGAGCCCGAATCGGTTTTCCTGCTCGCTCGGGCGTAATAGAAGGATCTGTTGGACCCGACGGTACGAGATCTTGAGGACATTCGATGATATTATGGAGTCGGCGGGAGAGGAGGTATGAGGATACCCAAGTTTTCATGCCGAGGTTGTCCGCAGTGATGGATGGCTCGTGTAAGGTGATAGAGTAGTCTTCGCCAGAAGATGTGGGAACTGAGAAAACTCGCGACATGGCTGGCATGGCTAAATCGAAACCGAACCGTGACTGGGTCAGCCTGGCATACCCTATTTGAGAACCGCTTACACAGCACACTTACCAGCACGGCCAGAGCGCTCGCTCAATCGAGCCGCCGCAGCATCCCACACTGCCTCTCGCAATTCATCGGTCTCAAGCCATGATAGCGGACTCGAAATGATTTGAGTCAGATACCTATTCACCCCCGCGGGCTGCACAGCAGGGCCCTTGACTACCTCGGGACTGGTCCCAAACACTTTCGGCTGCAATGCTAATAGGGCCAGGGCTTTGATGAGTTCGGTGCCCGAGGGTTTCTCGTAGGTCTGGGGTAAATCGAGCACTGCGCAAGGGAGGCATTCTTATCAGTTCCACTATCTTAGTGGCTTGAATTGTGGATTTGGGTTGACTAACCGTGGAGAGGCTCATTCTCTGGAGCGATAATCATGATGAAAGATAACAAAACCTGAGATACTTCTCGGTCTTGAAATTGCTGGAGAAATTGGAGAGGTGACTTTTTTTTTCTCTCTCAGCGGACACGCCGCTGTGATTCACGGCCGCGCCACTGCGGGAAAAAAGAAAATTCCCAATGAGGAAAGGTTGGCTCCGGTTCCGCGGGTATATTGACGCCTAAAGGCCCAGGCACCTCATACAAAGAACAGCAAATGCGATAAGATAAGTAAAGATAAGATAAGCATTATTTTCAGATAAGATAAGGACATTGTTTGTGTACTTTGAGATTCGAGACTTGAGATTGCCGTGACTGTCTTGATGAGTTAGCATCCTATGTGAGTAACTAACTAGTTAACTAACTAGTTAACTACTAGTAGTACTTAGCTCAAGTTCCGTCATTGATGTGTTCTTGCATAGCTAAGTTCTCGCAATCGCTCCTGGGCACCACCCGTCCGATTCATAAGGTTGTACAACCGTCTTCATCACGACTGACTTGTGAGATTTTGACAAGTCAGCGTTTTGGACGCTTCAGAGAGCTTGGTCTACCGAGAAATTCACTCCGATGAAGACACAATGACCGGAAGTTAATAAAGGTCATGATCGACGAAAGCGGGAGCTATGGAATGCCGGGTCGTGGTCGACTTGCCCAACTAGGTCAAGAAAATTGGTAGGGAATGTCCTGAGTCCTGACCAGGAAGTACAGACTACAAACATTTGGATCAAGGGCGGGCCGGATTGAGAAGCATACCAGTTACAAATGTTCCGAGATGGCTTCCACTCCGCTTGGGTTAAGTGCATTTGATGATCATTGATGACTACTATACCATACAGGCGTTATTATATGCTCCATGAATGGATTGGATAACATGGTCGATCATAGTATCATAGCCAAAGCCAACTTGAAGTACATAATAAAACCGAGGTTGACTTTGCATGTCAAAGATCTTATGTCATCTGGGAAAAAAATCATCCAAATCAGGTGATTTCCAGAGGCAAAAAGTTGCCGAAGCAATTAAGTTCATCATTTTACCAAGTACCCGGAGACGTCGCGCACGTTCCATGATCCACCGGATCGATCGAGACTTGCCCTGTTCACGAAAATGTCAGCCTTGGTTGAGTCTGAAAAGGATTCTGAGAGGTCTACTCCCCTCGAAGTACTCCACAACGCCCCGGATAGAGTCCCCACTTTATGATGTAAGATCACTCGCTGGACACTTTCCGGTTCTGTGCAGTGGCGGACCTGGCGGTGACCTAGTTCGAAGCTCCCTTTCGTCAGCTCAGGCCAAACTCCTATTTTTTTTTCTCTCTTCTTCTCTTTCCCCTTCTCTTCATCTCTTTCAGCATATTGCTTTTTTTGCTTGTCAATTCATACCATCCAAAATGGCTCTGAAGCTTAACAACCAGAATCTCCAGAAGATTGCCGCCGCCGGGGAGGCTCCAGTCAAGGTTCCAACCTATGCTCGTGGTGGCGCTGTCAAAGAAGGAATTGTCCACGTTGGTGTGGGCGGTTTCCATCGTGCGCACCTAGCATACTATGTCGACCTGCTGATGCAGCAAGGCGTGACTGACTGGGCCATCTGCGGTGTTGGTCTGCAGCCTTTCGATGCTACGATGCGAGATGTTTTGGGATCGCAGGACTGCCTTTACACCCTCATTGAACGATCCGCCAAGGGTAGTTCGTCCCACGTCATCGGTAGCATCAACTCTTTCCTTTTCGCCCCCGATGATCGCGAAGCCGTTATTGCGAAGATGGCCCACCCAGATACCCACATCGTCTCCCTCACCATCACCGAAAGTGGCTACTATTACAATGAGAACACCCACGAGCTCCAGCACGAACACCCCGATATTCAATTCGATCTCGACCCGGCAAACGAGAAAGCTCCTCGAACAACATTTGGCTTCCTTTATGCTGCTATGGCCCGCCGCCACCAGGCTGGTCTGAAGCCCTTCACCGTTATGTCGTGCGATAATATGCAGAAGAACGGTGCTATCACTCGTAATATGCTTACGTCATTTGCGCGTCTGCGCGACCCCGAACTTGCGAATTGGATCAATGAGCAAGGCCACTTCCCGAATGCTATGGTCGACCGTATCACTCCACAGACATCGGCTGCGGATAAGTTATCTCTCGCCGAGAACTTCGGTATTCAAGATGGATGGCCCGTTGTCACCGAACCCTTCACACAGTGGGTCATTGAGGATCACTTCTGTGATGGTCGCCCACCATTCGATAAGGTGGGTGTTCAGCTGGTTACAAACGTCCATAAAGTCGAAGAATTCGAGAAGCACAAATTGCGTTTGCTCAACGGTAGTCACTCCGCCATTGGTTACCCTGGTCAGCTTGCCGGCTTTAAATATGTTCACGAAGTAATGGAGAACCCATTGTTCCGTCGCTTTGTCTGGCAGATGATGCAGGATGAAGTCAAGCCGCATTTGCCTGAAATCCCCGGTGTCAATATTGACGAGTACTGCAACACGCTAATGGAGCGTTTCTCAAACCCAACCATCATGGATCAGCTACCTCGTGTCTGCCTTAATGCATCTGGCAAGATTCCCCAATTCATCATGCCCTCGATTGCTGAGGCGATTTGGGATACGGCGCCTTTCCGCCGTCTATGCTTCGTTGCAGCGGCATGGTTCCGTTACCTCATTGGTGTTGATGATAGTGGTAAAACTTTTGAGGTCGAGGACCCCATGCGTGAAGAGCTTCAAGCCAAGGCTCGAGCCGGTGGCACTAACCCAGCCGAGCTGCTGAGTATCACGAACTTGTTCGGTGACGATCTTCGTAAAGATCAGCGTTTCATTACGGAGATTACCACTGCCATGGAGGATATTGCCCGGGATGGCATCATGAAGACGCTTCCCAAATACATTGATTAATTGTGGACATGACTGGACAGTTATCGGTAAATAAACATTTGCAAGCGAAAATTTGAACTTCGATCTTTTGTATCTCCATTTTACACCATTTATTATCATGTTTATTGTGTATATTATTATATTACAGTATGACATTCCTCACATGTGCAAGGTTTATACAGATCTTTTTGATCTCATTATTATCATGTCAATCTGTTGACGTTATCGGTCATGTTGCTGATTTGATGATTGAGCATTTAAGCTTGTATGCTCGAGGAATCCAGTACTTCTTGCTGGAATTTAAGCCAAAGATAGCAGAGATTCCTCTACTACGTTCTTTGTATATAACTCGAATCTCATTCTTTCTTCTAGAATCCTAGATTCCTTCTGCCTTTCAATGTTGCTCTTTCTCCTTGAACCTACTAGATAAGTTTGTTCTGTTATCCATCGCTAATCAACGCAAATCCACTGGCGAACTTGTCACATCCACATTAGCATTTGAGTCTCTTCAGACTCGCGATTGTAAAGAGATCTGACAAGCTTTGCCGCTTTTGTGAGACCTAACGCGAGGGGTCCTGGTCCTCTGTAATGGTATTATCAGTACCTCGATTTCTCATTCTGCCACAAAAGACATCTGGAGTGTAGAGAGTACCATTATACTCAAAATAGGGCAAAGAATCCAGAGATATCAATATATGTATTAGTAACAAAAAAGTGAAAAGAAAAATCACTATTTACCCTGTATTCCCTATATAGAGTGCAATCTGAGAATTTTCGACTATAACACCACCTGGATAAATTCAATGTTGTCTGCGAGTCTCCGAATCCCCGTCTATATGCTACGTTAGCTTTCAAAAGAATATTTGTTGGGAATTCTGGACCACAAGGATGACAATCTTCAAAGTTGAATACCTTCGTCAGAAGTAACTTGAAGATAAAATTCACAAAAATAGTCATGAGAGTCTTTCCTCTTACTCTATCTTCTCTGAAAAGAAAGGGCTACTAGGTTGTAGAATAGTACATAGGTTTTGAACGATACATAACAGGCCAAATTTGCCTTACAGATTCTTGATCAAGTCGAAACCCACCCCAACGTCTTGTATCCATTGCTTCCGTCACCATCGGCCGAGTCGTCGAAGTATGCCTGCATGCGTTGACTACGGAACCTAGGAAAGAGCTGATTCTTGAGGTTGACTGGCATCATTCTGACTGCAGGATGCTAATTGTCTGGCATTCGTGGAACGTTCGTCGGTTGCTGCTTCATTTCTTGCTGTCGCTCACGTCCGCACAATGCAGATTGTTGAGGGGTTTGACGTGGCTCATTCGAATCTCTTATAGACGTCAGCTGATAGTTCTTGACTTGAAACTAGTGCTTTGGGAGTACCGGCTTACCGAAGAAGCTTCTTAGCGGCGAAATAGCCAACAGTGCCTAGCAGGCCGATCTTGAGAAATGCCATCCCTCTTCTGGGTCCGTATGGTCGGAATGGAAGATTGCCGCGAGCAGAGAGTTGTCTGGCATAAAACCGACCGTACCGGCGAGAAGGATAATCCATGATTTATTGTTGAATGATTCCTTAAAACCTCGCAGGTGGACACCGAATGTTTATAGGTAGATTCAAGCCGAGTCCGGAACTCCTCGGCCGAGCGGGGCCGGCTTTCCCTTTGAATAGCCCGGCCTCGGGCTCGGCCTCGGGTGTGCCGCAGCGCCTTTGCGCACATCACCAACGAACAACATCGGACGTCCGGCCTTTTACTTAACATTGAACGTCGGGCATTGCTAGTGGCAGCATGTATGTCCGAACTCTTTCTTATGCAGAATTTTGCCTCTTGCCAGAGGTATATAGAACTGGCCATGTTCTTTAGAATCAAAATCGTTATTTTATTAGACCTCAAAAGCACAACTACCATACACGCCCTATCAAGCACCTCACAGCAACTATGCACGACGACCCCACTGCTGAGCTCGAGAAGGGCAGTTCAACCTCTTCAAGAACGTTGAGTCCAGCAGAGGCCAAGCCTCAAGCATCTGTCCCACCAGAAGCACCTGAAGGAGGCACAAAAGCCTTCCTATCGCTACTCGGAGGCTCCTTAGGTCTTTTTATCTCATTTGGATGGGTCAATTGCATTGCTCTGTTCCAAGCTGAATATGAGACCAACCAGTTAAAGACCTATAGCAGCTCGGAGATATCCTGGATCACTTCGTCCGAATGTGAGAGCCTTCTTCCCCAACCGGTCGTGAAACAACAAGCTCATTTGAATCTAGTTTTCTTCATGCTGTTCATGTCACCGTTGTCTGGATATCTATTCGACAACTATGGACCACGATTACCGATCTTTATCGGTGGATTGATGCATGTGTTTGGCCTCATGATGACCAGCTTGTCAAACAAATACTACCAATTCTACTTGGCACAGTCGATTTGTTCAGGGACCGGCATATCGCTCATCTTCACTCCGGCAATGACTGCGGTTTGTGTGGTCACTCTTTGAATTTATCGCTTATCTTCTGACAAGCTTCACAGCCTATGACTTACTTCAAAAAGCGCCGCGCTTTGGCAGGAGGATTGACCGTTGCAGGATCGAGTCTGGGTGGTGTAATCTTTCCCCTCATGGTCAACAATCTCCTTCCAAAGGTCGGCTTTGCATGGACGATGCGAACCTGCGCTTTCTTGATCCTTGGGCTCTGGGCTATTACCATGCTCACCGTCACCTCCAACTTGCCCCACGGTCGCAAGCAGTTCAAGCTTGCGAACTACCTTCGGCCTTTCACGGAATTCAATTTCTTAATCTTGTTGACGTTCTGCTTTTTCCTTTACTGTAAGCCTTCTATCATTATATTTCATCAAAACACAGCTAACCAGAGTTAAGGGGCATTGTTTGTCCCCTTCAACTACCTTGTCTTGTCTGCTGTGCATAACGGAATGTCAATGACTATGGCCTACAATCTGATTCCAATCATGAACGGAGCGAGCTTTTTTGGACGTACGATTCCCAATGTCCTTGCCGACAAGTACGGCCGTTTCAATGTGCTTATCATCATGCTCCTTTTCACTGGTGTCATCACTCTGGCCTTGTGGCTTCCTGGTCGCAGTAATGCGGCCAATATTGTCTTCGCTGCTTTGTTTGGTATTGGATCTGGCACCACCATTGGCTTGACAGCGCCACTTGCAATGACTCTCTACCCACCTCAGGAGATCGGGTTTCGAATCGGGCTGGCTCTTGCTATCGCAGGCCTCGCTGCCCTTACGAGCCCTCCGATTGCTGGTGCAATTGCAGCGACAGATGGAGGCTCTTACCGCTTTGCGGCTTTGTTCAGTGGCGTGAACTTCATGATCGCGACAATCTTTTTGGTGTGGCTGAGGGGTAGATTTTCTGGTTGGAATCCCCTCACAAAAGCTTGATGCCTAGGCAAGGACATGGAGCGCAGCAGCCTGCTGCAATTACAACGTCTGGTGAAGAAGAGGAGACTGGCATGGAGACTGAGAAACATAAATTGATATACGCACGATATGGCATAATCCCTTCTGTAAATACAGAGATTTTGATTTTACCTAGTCGTGCTTCAAATGTTTCGGATCAATCTCTACATAGACGAACAGACGACATCTGGAATATGTATTGATAGATTTAGAGCTCTGAAAGTCCGGAAATTGATTTCATGACCATTCAAAAAGATCTTAACTTCTTCGATACGTGCCTGTCAAATACATGTGCATACATGTAATGACGCCTCATAATTTGATCTAGGTGATTCTCTCGAGTCATCAGCGAGGCAGCAAATGCGTAGGAAGCTGATCAAATCAAAATTGAAGTAGAATATGTAGACACCAGTTGACCTGGGACTGCAATCAATAACGGCTCTGTTCGCGACGCCATCATCGCGCAAGACGGAAAGGAAACCTGGACAGTCCACGATTATCTAGGTTCTGTCTACAATACAGACGATGTGACAGCTGAGAAGACAGTCGCCCGGGTCCTTGGTGGTATGGGCTCACACTACCCGATTTCTCTTGATGGAATCACTGCAAACTCCATCCTCACGCCGACAGTAGCTCTCGCCAAGACATGGACCGGAAATCATCAGCGCGTCTTCCTCGCCGGAGATTCTTGTCATCAGACAATTCCCTCGGGCGGCTATGGAATGAATATGGGCCTTGCTGATGCTTGGGATCTTGGCTGGAAGCTCGCAGCCACTGTTCAAGGCTGGGATGGCACTCACTTGCTGAAGACATACGAACAGGAACGTCGTCCTGTGGCTGCGCTGATGCAACACTGGAGCAAAATGCACTTGATAAAACTCATGGGGCTTTCAACGGCTGTGAAATTGGATCCGGTCGTCATCGAATCCATGCATGAGCACGGCATAGCTCTGCGTGAGGGGGTCGATCAGTACGCTCAGTTAAACGATGACCATAACCAGAGCTTCGGCGTTGAAATGGGTTACCGCTACGAGTCGAGTCTAGCAGTACTGAACGAGCAGGTGGATGCTGAAAAGGCAGCACCACAGTTCGACTCATGCCACTACATCCCAGTTACGTTTCCTGGTTCGCGCGTACCGCACGTGGCTTTGTCGGACGGCAGCACCATTTCCGATGGATTCGGGAAAGGCTTCACCATGGTCGTGTTTCTGCAGAAAGAAGTAGTAGCAGCCGGAGAACAATATCAGGTGCCCATCGCACTGGCCAATTTTGAAGAAGCAGCACGCAAGCACAGTATTCCTTGAAAGAGCCTTTCTTTGACAAATGAGACTCATGCGTTCCGAGTTCGGGATGCTTGTCTTGTCCTCGTGCGGCCTGATGGAGTTTCAGCGTGGTGCCCAGACAGTCTGGACAAGGTGCACAATGCATCACAAGTGTTGCTTCAAGCAACAGGTCATACCTTACCTTTGTAAGAAACACCTTCCGAGACACATGGGCAGAGACGATCAAACATAGAACGGAATAAAAGAATGAACGTCAATCAATCACGATCTTGATTTCGCGACATAAATCTTCCTCTGAGCTTGCTCTATCAAATAGTGGGAACCAAAAAGGCCGAGAAATCCAGGAAGTTGAAGTCCTGACTTCAGTCAGTAGTGCTATGTAAGAGGCGTATATTTGGTAATTTGTACTCACCATTGCGCCAATATCCAGGCCGTCAAGAAGCCCATTATCTATCACCTCCATTTCTCGGGGAGTGTTGGCAGCCCTGTAGGACTGTAGTACATCGTAACACTCCTTCACGCTGGCCTTTGCAGTGTTCAGCACAGCAGACAAAACGGGTTGGCCGCGTTCCATGGCGTATATCTGGGAAAGAATGCCAGCAAGAAAGATGTAGCGCTTCAATGTAGGATGGCCCAACTTTATGATCTGCAGTGATTGTTCGTTGATGTGTTCCAAAAGTCGAATGATGGGCGCTCGTTGGGTGCGCGCCAGTTCAGCGAGAGGATCAAGGACTAATGTGTGGTCGAGACCAATCGAAGCAGATGACGGACCGGAACCCGTTTCCTCCAGCTGAGACACAACCTCCAAGCCCAAGACTGATATTACGTCCAGGCTCAAAGGTCCACGAAATGACCCTGTGCTCATCACCATCAGCTTGGACAGATCGTCAAGAGAGTCTGCAGGTAGCCGAAGTCGCTCGGCATAAGTGGCGATAATCATTGCAGACTCCTGACAAACCCTCCGGGAAAAATAGAAGCGTGGATCCTTTTGCGCTTGTAGCATGAAAGGCCGATGCAGAGCCAGAATATACCGACGAATCTGCATATCAAGGAACGCGTGATGCATGCTTAGAAATTCCGACCAATGTGACAGACAATAGCTTGCAAGAGTACGGCAAACTGTCTGAAGTTTCGTAGCTAGCTCAATGGCCTTTTCGTATGAGTGCTCTAATCGCTCGTTTTGGACCGCCCTGACAACTTCAAGTCGTAGCGGCAGGGACTGGCGCATGAGAATTTGTACTGATGATTCCGTATAGCTTGTCAACGGTTGTGGAGATGGAGACTGTTTGCTGGCTGAATCTAAATCAGCATCGCTGACATTAAGAGGCATATGATCGTCAAAATCGTTTGAAGAAAGAAGCAAAGGGATGGAACAGTCCATTGAACCATGAATTACGAGCTCTAGGACTGTTGTCCAAAGCCTTGTTCGTATCACGGCTTGGAAAGGAGACAGAGAAAACAGTTGTGGATCTCGGTGCAGGCCCATAGCCATAGCCACGCGAAGTAGACCACTTTCCGACAGCCACGGTGAACGGCCGATCAATGTTATCTGCCGCGAAACCAATAGAAGACAGAAAATTTGAATTCCATCAAGATTGTTGGTAGTTTTCTCTGACGGTCCAACCATCCAGTATTGGGCAGCTTGTATCCAAGTACGCCGCGAGCGCTGTATAACTTTGTCGTCGTCGTTGCTGAAGACGCTTCCGATGGCCAACACCAAACCCAACTTGATTGCAAAGTTGGTAACTACAAGCCGCGACTGGCTGAAGTATTGTTCGTATTCTGCCCAGAATGTGGGAATGTGAAAACAACGATAGATCAACTCGAAAGTCCGCATGTAGTGATTTACTAGTCGGTCACAGATTGCACGATCCGGGATTGTACTCAGAATTTGAGGAACGGGGTCATCCATCAGCGGCACCTGCTCATTTTTCATCGTGAGTCGCAAGTTACGTATCTCATTCACCGAATCGACCAGCTCGGCCTTGTCATCCACGAATGTCAATTCAACGTCACTGTCCCCGACATGGCTGACTCTAAACTATTGATACGTCAACATCAGTCAATATTTTCATTAGAAAGGAGCTTCGACGATACCTTCTCCGCAGTGTGCAGCCAGTGGCTTGAAGGAAACAGTTTTACCTTCATCGGGTTGTGGCGAAGTCGAGGGATGACAGAAGGAATTGTTAGAGACTTATCGCCCGTGACAACTGAGGGCGTAGGACGAGCTTGGGAGAGCTCGGCAAGCCGCTGCTCGACGTTTTGGATGCGATCAGACAATGCCAGCTGCGTGAGATTATTGTTGCTGCTGCTGCTGAGGCTGTGCTGCTGGGGATCTACTTCTGGTACAACCGAGTGCTCAAGCTGCTGTATACGTCGCTCTAGGCTCCGAATTCGCTCCGATTCATGCGTTGTTCGTTGCCTCTTCGCAGGGTGATCGATATTGTTTTTTGGGGCAATGCTGAGCGAGCGAGGAACTTGTTGTTGGACATTATTGCCCTCGCTTGCACGGTCTTCCAGTACAAGACTGTGCTGCTGCTGATCTCCTTGATATGTGCACGTGACCGAGATTCTGGAGACTTGACAGGCTGAACATGGCGATTTGAGATCGCAACGTACCTTTCGGCGACGGCACGGGTCGCAGGATTGCACAGCTCGGCGGCTCCGACGAGCGGGTGGAGATGCTGACCGGGTACTGCCAAGGCTCTGGTCCCCAGCCATCTTGACGATAGTGCAAACTGCAGGTATTGAATGAGCGGTCAACGGACATCAATGACGTTGGAAAGGTCGGAGGGAAAGCTCGGGGTCCGCAAGCTGTTGAAGTGAGGTGCTGTTTCATCTTGAGCTCGGACTCGGACTCGGGCCCGGGTCCGGAATGTCCGGGGAGTCCGGGCTCGGGGCTCGGACATAATCTCAACCTTCACCACCCACCGACCAATTCAACCTCTTGACTCCTGAGTATAGCTATTTTCATACCGCCCTTATTGGCGTCAATAGCTAGTAGGCTGCGAATCCCTTGCCGATCATTGATGATACACTGTCGTCGCTTTCAATCGTCGGACGGATCAAGTATACATATCTCATTACCTGAGAGTGATTTATCCCAAAAGCACAAATCTGACAAGATACATAGATGAATCTATGACTCAATTTTCCGAACTTCCAACTTGCATATAGCACTGACAACATTTTCCTTGTAAATCCGAATGCATGCAGCCTGCAGGTGCGTGGATCACTACGTAATTCCAAGTTTGGAAAGACCTTGTCCCCTTGAAAACCCCGTCTGCTCACAAAGTGGACTCTCATCTCTATTTATTGTGTATTTGTATTGGCTTTGCTCACTTGGGTAGTGGTCCTTTATACATTGATATCTACCATGTAAATGACTCTTCCAAATACTTAATGCGGTACCCTTGTCGCATAGCGAGATGAGCAGCTGCTCGTGCTTCGTCGGCCATGCCAGCAGGACCGCAGGCTAAGACTGCCAGCGATATTCCAGCAGAAGAGGCGTCGCACGCTCGGCTCATAATAAGTGATTGCAAATGAGGGCGACCAGGTGTGATTTCATAGCCAATCGCACTCATATCCTCCGGCGGTATGGTGGAGGATCCAGTACTATAAAAGGAGGCTTGGAAGTCTTCGCGAGCCAAGAGGGGTTTCAATTCCTTGTTGGTTACGTGTTTGATGAAGGGAATTTGCTTCGTGGTCCAGATCAGCTCGATATCCCGGATGTGGGTCTTCTCTTCGGATCCTTCTTGCCAGTCTTGTCCTGATCGCCGGAGGTGGTCTTGAAGGTATGGTACTGCCGATGCAATCCCAGTTCCTCCCACAATCATTAAGACAGACTCGTACTTCCACAGCGGGAAGTGGTGCCCGTATGGTCCTTCCAACAGGATGGTGGTGTTGACGGGCTGGACTTTTGAGCAAAGACATTGTTCGCGCAGATTTCGTGTCCAGCCATCATATGGACGAATCCAAAAAATCGCCTTTAAACAGGGTGTGTTGACATCTGTGATTGATTCCTCTGTTGGGATCTGCTCTTCCCGATCCTGAGATCCACTGGGCAGAAGAGGAATCTGAGAGACATGCAATGCCTCGCTTGACTTTCCGAACATTGCTGATGGTGATGACATCGGTCCGAACTGGGATGACCAGGCACCAACAGTGAATGGGTGGCTTTCCCATCCTGTCCAACGAAATGGCTGGTACAAGAAGAAGTAGTCACCCGGGGTGGAACGAATGAGAGAAGTAGCAATTGAGACTTCTAATCTCACCACGTCGGTCTCCTCGTCATATGTCATTTGACTCAAGGAGGTGCGGATTATGTTGCGTCCAGTAAATCCAACATGGATATTGCAGTAACACAACCGGACTATGCGCAAAAGTCGGTCAAAGGCCCATATGCCGACTGAAGGCCATAGATACTGCCAGTATTCATGCCCCTCAAATATGGCAGTGTGGCTGCGAAAGTTAGACATAGGAAAACATCTGTTGTGGAACGCATTGAGCTTACTAGAAACACCCGACGAGGGTAACCACTGAAAGCACGATGTGTATTATCAAGAAGATTTCATAGTTTGAAAATCGAAGTCGGTCCAAGGATGATAAGAGTAAGAAAAACATCACGAGGACAGCCTGTTAACATTAGTCCTTGGGTTCATTCCGCGCATTGCATGTGGAAAATGGATCTCACCAGAATCCCCCAAAGAATATAAACTTTGTAAAAGATTTTCCACAATTTGTTGGCTATGTGTTTGGCTTTGTTTTAGTACCGCTTTTCAATATAGGAAATTAAGGTCCACTCACCTCTGATATAAATCACTAGATATAGAGCGGCATGCGCCAGTGCCTGCACAGTGGCCACGCGGGCTACGTGACGGTGGAAGATGTTATAGGTTGCAAAGCTCCAACCAGTGGCCCATATTAAGATGTTGTTACGTCCACCAAATAGCCATAACAAGGGCAAATTGGCAAACGCCATTATGCCTGTTCGGTCTGCCGAATATCGGAGAATTTGACTTGTGACATCGGGCCAGCTAAATTCTGTCAGCAAGTGCCAATCGTTGCTTGAGGTGTTCTTGTTCTCCCTACTAGATATTCCCGTCAAAGGTTCGATATCCAACCATGCTCAGGATGATGCTGAGAAACCAGAATCCTCCGACGGCAAGGGCCTCCGCCCGGTTTGAGAAAGTACATAGAAGTAGCTCTCGGCCTCGGGAGGCAAGTGGAGCTGCCACGATCAGATGTGTTTGCACCCAATGTACGCTATGGGCGACCCAGGGTATAGTGCGACATGCGGAAATCAGTGGATATGTTTGTGATTCCACTCCATGTTGCATGCGAGGCTTTCGATGATAGATGGCCCAACGGCACAATCGGTAGCTCATTCCCAATAATATCAGTACTCCCCAATAGGCATACCCGATATAGCTAGTTGATCATCAGCATATCCTCATCTCCTCAGAATCTGATATAGAAGCACGGCAGAACTCACCCAAACGCATGATGGGACCAAGTCTCGAACTGCAGCGAATCGATGGTATTGTATACCCGGTTGAAGTAAGATGCAGAAATCATGATTGGCGCATTGGCAACTTCATCTCGAGACATCTCTAGATAACTCACTGTCCGCATACCGCGAATAGCATCCTCGGTCAGATTCTCTGCGACAGCCTCCCTTGGAAGTAGCTCGCAATGACCGAACTCTTCACATTCACTAGCCATCTGCGCCAGACCCGCAGCTCGCTCTGTATCACGACAGTATATCTCGGAGGCTGCATAAATGGATGTGACTTTGAGGGGGTTCTGGCATCGGGTATCCCACATCCCGGTGGCCGGTTCCCCCGCAAAGGAGATGTAATTGTATGCCGAGTAAATGGCCGTCACACATCGCTCGTCTATGGGCAGGAAGTCACCCCAAGCGCATCGGGCACTCAAGATGAGTACCAGCCATCCGAGGCGCAACATGGTTACGTATCGGAGCCAGATGGCTGTCCAGAGAGCGAGATGAATTGAGGAGAAAAAAGCGGAGCGGACGATCGTAACTTGGTCAGATGGGGGACCCACATGGTTTCGCCCCGACCACAGATGATAATTCTCTGGATTCGGTTCGCTTCTCGGGGAAGACAGGGGACTTTTTTTTGAAATTTATTTTGATCTGAAAAGCCCCAGCACTGAATCCGCCTCGGGAAAGATTCCGGTGCAACCCGAAAAGCTGATGAAATGACCAAGTTTACCTTTTGAGTTGCCGTTTGGTCGATCATACATTACGCTTATCCTTATCGATCTGATAAGATGCTCCTCTTCAGTGCTTACCTTGCTCGGGGTAGTTGAAAAAAACACTAACATAACAACATTAAAATTCTTATTAAAGACTGAGACTTGGGATTCTAGTCATTGTGATACTATTCCTTTCACGTATGGAAATAGCGACCGGCATATCTCCCAATTTTTGTATTCACCGGTCGGAAATTCATCCAGAAAATAGCTCTTCGATAAATTGTGCCTTCCGATATTCAAGTCGGCCACGAGTCTTTGACCATATGCGCACTGTTAGTTGCACTAGTCGATGCATTATGAAAGATACGCCGTCTTCTCCAGTGGCTATCAGTGAAAAGTCAATGAGGATCATTGTATCATCTTCAAAATCGGAATCAGCGTCGTCGTTAGACTCACTGTCCGAATCCGAATTACTTGAATTATCCTCAAGTGATTCAAGAAGGGAGCCCTCCGGCCCCTCCCTTCTTTCCTGATTCTGCTGATTGTGAAGAATATTCTCAGCAATTCCCTGCCGGTCAAAAAAGCTCATCAGAGAGAGTAGATCCCCTGCGGACTGTCTCTTCCCACAAATATAAATGAGATTTGCAACATTGAATGTGAGCAAAATGGAGTTCTTGGACTCCCAGTCTCGGTGAAGACTAGCTTCCTCATTCAGCACTGTATGCGCACTGCTTCGTGGTCACTTTTCTGGATTTTCTTGAGGTACTGCAATACGGAAAAAGAGGTGATCGATGTGTGATATAACTGGCAGCCTGTACGACCGCAAGTGGCATATATTCAAGCTCTTGAGCTAGCTGCGCTAAGATCTCATGCTCTGTAGGAGTTCTTAACTTCTTTAGTAGCAGGTCCAGCGCTTCAGCTTGGTCTAGTGGTTGCACTTCGATAAGATTCCTATGATTCGTAATGTTCAGTGCAACTCTCTTGTTCCGAGTAGTGACAATGAAAGACCCACTAGAGCCCTGGAGGAGATACCTCATTGGCAGTTACGCCGAGTCATTGCTCTGTAAATTGATCTGGCCATCTGCGCTGGTCGTCACAGGTCTGCGGGAGGAGCTCATCATCATCAACATTATCGAGGACGAGAACCCATCTACCGAATTGTTCATCCTGTAACCAGTTTCCGACGAGTTCAAATATATTGACATTGGGAATCTTCCGACTAGGAATCTTGACCCGATCCGCCAGGTCTCGAAGACTTTTCTCGCAGCGGGCCGTTTTACTTGCATGGATCCAGAAAACCCACGTTGCAGCTGACTGGAGCCGGACCTGGTGAGCGTACTCGATGGCAAGTTGTGTTTTCCTACTGCGCATCAGCATTGAACGAATTCCCTAAATGGTTGCTCTTACCCAACCCCGCCGAGGCCGACGAGAGCGATTCGAGACCCTGGGACCGAGGCCTTCTCGTGAATCTGATCCAGGAGTGCCACTCGGCTGACAAAGTCTGGATCATGCGGGAACGGAACAGCCGACAAAGGCTCTGGCCGTGGCTCTGGTACGTAGTTCTGGGGATGGAAAGGTGTTGTTAGTTGAGCTGGGCCCCTCATCAACGCTATTGATAACTCACCCGCCGGAAGGTTTACCACCCCATTATTGATCCCCATCTGGTAGCCTGAATACCCATTCCAAAAATTCACGGAGCCCATAGTCAAGAACTAAATGAACGCAGTTCATGCGGCTGCGAGAGAAAGAATTGTGTCGACCCTCAAATAGTGTACCTTCCAGTGTCCACAGCCCCGACCCCCAGGTCACGGTGACTTCATGGGCGCTTAGCATTCGCATGTTTTTAGCCGGACATGTTTGTACAGAATTCTTACCCTACTGCAAGCTAAATCGGTACTACTGTAAGCCAACCAAGGTAGATACTCAACAGTGCCAGTACGCCCTTTGTCATGCAACAAGTAGGTGAAGTCCAAGGCTGCGAAGGAAACTAAACATTGAAAGTTAAGATGAGTATCAAGCCAGATCGCAAGATTTCCCCTTCTACTAGTATAGAACTATACGGTAATTTACAACAACTGATCTGACGAGAAAACCAAATTACATTCCACAGCATGCTGCATGATACTACGGTCTTCAGCCTTGAAGTGTACATCATACGTACATAGTACTTGAAACAGGCATATACTCAGTACTAGTACTTGAGATAAATATTGTACTCACTGCCCAGTGCCAATTTTCAATTCTTGATTCCTGTATTACCAATGGGAGACGATGAAGTGTGCCAAGTCAAAAGTTGACCACCCTTGTTATTTAAGGCGGTGGAAGACTGTCATATTTGCTTTTCTCAAAGCCTCTAAAGGGTTGAAAACAGTCCCAAAGCCCCTGAATCTCCTGAGATCTGCTACTAACTGCTTCAAACATCTGGTTGCACTTTAATTCTCCGCCCAGACTGATCTGCTCAGCCTACCATCTTGACTCCATCCATGTCCGACCCCGATGTTGATCCTCCACGAGGAATGCGCGAGTCTGTTCCAAAGGATACAACATCCTCACATCACTCGGTTGATCTGCAAGAGCAAGAGGAATGGACCGCAAAAACAGCCGAAAGACAATATTATCGTCGTGATGCCATGTTCATCAAAAGGAGTCTACGACCTAGCGAATACATGACTACAATCAAAGGGAACCCTCACATCCCACGGCTAGGAAAAGAAAGACTCCAAAACGAGGCCGAGGCTCTACGATTTATCCGCCGTGTAAGCGACATCCCCGTTCCGACTGTGTACGGTTCATTTGAAGTGGACGGTTCCTACTTTCTCATCACGCAATACATCGATGGTGTTGGCATGTCTGAGCTTCCAAAAGATCAGAAAGAGCTCGTATGGCCTGAGATCAGTCAGCATCTTAAGACTCTTTATGAGATCAAGTCACCCAGAATCGGCGGGCCTTCTGGGATCGTGATTCCCCCATATCGGGTTATGGACTGTACTAAGAATGACTCCTGGACCCTGAAGTTAGCTGAGACCCCGGAGTATGTTTTCTGTCACAATGATCTTTCTCAGCACAACATCATCATTGATCCAGTGACGCTGAAGATCAACGCCATCATAGATTGGGAATATGCAGGTTTCTTCCCAGAACACTTCGAAGCACCATTCTACAAAAGACGTGGTCCTTCGGTTGCATTAGATGGTGAACCGGATGATGTACCGGAGTTACTTCGATTTCTCAATTCCCGTTCGACATTGGTTGAATGATCTTAGACTTCCAGGACTTCTATCCTCAGCCTTTGAGGGGAACAAAGTAGTACGTTGAAGTTGGTGGTAAATTGGATAAAAACGCTCAAGTGCTCAATTCCGGGTATCTCGATTCTTTCTGGCTTGATGTATTACAATCCCAGAGCTAGATAGGCTGCTGGAGTAGCATCGAAGCTGTGATCTGCAATAGAATATCAATGCATCCCGTCTCCTCGGGGCTCGAATATTGAAATTCACAACACTTCTTCGGTCTCGCTTCTTCCATCCCAATTCCTGATCTTTGTTGTTAAGCAGAGTAACACGGACCAGCTGGTTACTTGATTGGATCAAGCATATGTCTTCTTTCTCTGTTGTTGGATGATAGCTAATTCCTGCCCATCAAGACGATTACATGTCATCGTCATCGGGGTCGTAGAGGTCAAGATCCAGCGTCGCACTTGGTTTTGGCCTCGGTGCCGGGGCAAAGCCTGGCGCCGGTGCCCGTACCGCAGCAGTCACCGTCGACGCAGCTTGAACAGCCGCGTTGGCGGCCTCCTCTTGTCTGGTATCCACTGGCGGAGCAGGCGCAGGAGGTTCCGCAGCTCCAAGACCCTCCGCTTCGCGAATCAATCGCTCCACCTCTTTATCTGGGTCATCACCCGCTGCAAGCTGAACCTGAGCCATCAAGCCCATTCTTATACGTTCCTCCATCGGGTATGGTAGCATATACACTTCGCGCGTGACATGGGCGGAGTCATCGAGCCATTGCGTCGCGTTCTTGGTCACCGATGAGACTGGTTCTGCGCCGTCCGGGGCCGGTTCTCCATTAGTACCCGCCATTGCCACGTCCTTTTCTAGTATCCGCGGTCGCGACACTTGTCGTTTTTCAGGGTTGGAGTCGCTGTTTGCAGCATCGGCGGCGGCTTCGTGATTGTATTTGCTGATTCGGCGGGCAAAGTCGAGGAGAAGTTTGTAATCAATTTCCTTGCGCGATGGCTTTCGGGTGGCCTCGTCGTCGTCGTCGGAATCGAGTTCACTGTCACTATCGTCGTCGTCGTCGCCACAGGCTGCACGGATCTCCTTGTCGAATTCTTCCACATCTCTCACAATCCCCTTCACGCGATCTTCTAGCCTTTCGGCCTCGGCTCGAAGTTGTAGGATCCTTGCATAATTTTCTTGGTGTTGCCGGAGGGTTGTAATGGCGGCCGATAGGTTATCATCAGCTTCGAGTAAAGCGACTGCAGCAGCGGGCGCTCCTGCTGCAGTGGGGGAGGTGGTGAGGGTGGTGAGGAGAGCATTGAGCTTGGACTCGACTTCCGACAAAGAAGATTGCACGATTGTCTCCATTTTGAAAGCTTCCAGAAGCAATTTGTTTGTAGTGGGGAAATGTCGCAGAGCTTTGTTAAGCTTGCGCAGGTTCTTTTTGGATGGGTTGAGAGCTTGAGTTCCCCGCAGGTCGAAAAGTGAAGTTGAGCGATCTGGTAAAAGGTGGAGTTCTTGCGGAGTCGGAATGTGTTATTCCGCCGCCCGCATATGTAGAAACCCAAGTCAACAGCTCTGGAAAGATGGAAATGAATCATGATCATAAATTTGGATGGTTATACACAATTCATTATTTCCCCAAATATACAAGATCCGGGAACTAATTATCACTTCTCAACATTTCCTTTACAATTCATCATGTTCAAATGGCCCTAGTGTGTTACACACTTTGGCATATTCGCGCATATTATTCGGAATGGTCTCTTCCCACAATTCATCGCCCTGCAAGAATTGATGTTGTTCTTTACATGCCGACTCCGATGCCATGGGCAGCAACACCGGGAGGTGCTTGATCGAAGCCTTGACAAAGTTGCGCTTAAAACAGTTTCCAAAGTCTGCTAGAGTGGTCGGATCAGAGCAGATGTGTCGGCCATGTAGCATAGGCGCACACCGGTCCTTGATAATGACTGCCACGTCGTCCCCCATCTTTAACAGCGCTTCTTCCTTGTGAGGCACGTTCATGCGGGTCATCATGCTGCGTACTGCAGGGACAAAAGAGTTGTTGCGCGTCCAGAGATCCCAGTGTGGGATAGTAGGTTGGCATCCACGCTCGCAGATTTCGCTTTGGAACTTATTGAACAGATGGCCCGGTCTCCCGACGAGGGCAGAGACAACTTTGAAGCATGAGGGACCGACGGCGACGACCGGCGCAAGGAGGAGGAAGAATAGGAATAGGAGGCGATCAAGTGGAAGGCGCATTGTAACGGCAAATGGTGGAAGAGATTCACAGATCAATCAAGATCTGGAGATAAGAAACAATAATCAATTGTTTACGGGCGCGTAGGTAACATAAAGATGAGAATTCAATGTTGTTTCCAATGTGTCAAGGAAAGAGGATTCCCCGCGATTGTGGAGTTCCAAGGTTGCGGAGGAGAATCTCAGGGTCAAAAGTCACGTTCCGAGCTAAAGATTCCAGTATGTGATGTGATTAAGCTAGTGGATATTCTATATATACTGGTATCATATCAAAATTCGAGACATTACATTGTGATACCTGATTCTTTCATATTAATTTGGAATTCTCGCAGATCTTGTAGCTCTTGCAGCTTTAGAAATGAGTTGATCTGGTTCATTGCCCAGTACACTAACTAAGAAACATCGATCAACCTCGGCATCTCTTCCAAACGTTCTCTGCTACACATAAGATAATTTTAGGTAAGATAATTTTAGGTAATTGAAATTCCCTTATTTCATTTTTTCAGATATTTTTTGTTCTCATTTCTCATATTTTTGTTGGTAAATATTGAAGAAAATACTGGATTGTATACTTGCAGAAGGGGAAATGAATTATGGTGTTTTGTCCGCCTTGAAAGAGCTCGACGCGACGTCAGTACCTGAATCCAATCTGAGCTTTCCTTCCGCTCCAACTGACTGTCAAACCAGGGCGAGATAGGAAATTCTGGATTTCCAATAATGCTGTTTTCTTGAACAGATATTCCGCGTCTAGCGACCACCTCTATAAACGCCACATCCATCGCGGGGATGAGTGCGTCGCAATCAGACCCCGAGAGCGACCGCCGCGATACGCTGGTCGAGGAGAATCAAGCTACTCCAGCTACCCCAGCTACCTTAGCGACCGCTACCCCACCCCATGCCGAGCGAGACCAAAGCCCAAGCTCAGAGGGGGAGCGACCTCCTCTACCTCCACGGCCAAATACCCTCAATCTGCTGAATAGCGAGTCGCCATCCCGGGCAACTTTACAGGCCGGGGCCACAACGGCTGTGTCGCGGGCGGAGATCGATTCACAATCACCGGCCGGGGCAGGGAATGCATATTCATCACTAGCGATCCGCGGTCTTTCGCAAGGCTTGAAGGCAAGAGCAAGCCTTGGCCACCTGGCGAGTTCGCGGGGTAGTGAAGCGGGGGACACGGCGAGCATTCGAAGCTCCGTTCAAAATGGCGATGTGGGAGACGTAGAGGCCTTGTTCAAGGACTTTGTCACATCCGCGCCAGAAGTTCATTCGGGCGCAGGAAGCTTGCTTCACTTCCCCGAATTCCCCGGTGATGATGTGGACGATGATGCGTTCCTATCTGAATTTGAGCCGGTCGGGGAAATTGATGAGGATGCCGGAAACGAGGGTATGGCTCCCAATATTTTCTGGAAGCATTCGGCGATATACAAGGTTATACTCATACATAATAGATTTTATCCTACAGCGCTTTAAGGCCAAGCAAAAACACTATATGATTCTATCCGCGGCGGGAAAGCCCATTTGGACAAGACATGGCGACGGGGGATTGATCTCCAGCTATGTGGGAGTGATCCAAACCATCATTTCTTTTTATGAAGATGGCGACGATCGTCTACGGACCTTCTCTGCTGGGGACGTCAGATTTGTCATTGTGACCCATGGGCCCTTGCATCTGGTCGCAATTAGCCGGATGATGGAGAGTGAGCACCAACTTGCACTACAGCTCGAAGCGTTGTACATGCAAATCTTATCCACATTGACTCTGCCTTCTCTGACTCACCTGTTCTCCGTTCGGCCATCTACTGATCTCAAACGACCGCTTCAGGGCTCAGAGACTCTTCTCTCTTCCCTAGCTGATAGCTTTACCCGTGGGTCGCCATCTACATTGTTGTCGGCGTTGGAATGCCTCAGGATTCGAAAACAGCACCGCCAATCGATTAACAGCGCTCTTCTGAAGACCAAGGCAAGTAATCTACTCTACGGATTGGTCGTTGCTGGTGGACGATTGGTCAGCGTCGTGAGGCCGAAAAAGCACTCACTACACCCCGGAGATCTTCAACTTCTATTTAACATGGTCTTTGAGGCCGACGGAGTCAAAGCTGGTGGTGGAGAGAGCTGGATTCCCATCTGCCTCCCTGGATTCAACAGCAGCGGATACCTATATATGTATGTCAGCTTTCTTGACCTAAGGGGTGATGTCGACGAGAATGAAGACATTTCGAAAGACGAATCTGTCGCCATTGTCCTCATCAGCCCGGATAAAGAGAGTTTCTTTGAAATGCAAGGAATGCGCGACGCCTTTGTGGAACAGATGGAAAAGAACGGGAGTCTCAAGGTGATAAAAGCTGCAATTGACGAAGGCCGTCCTGCCACAACAGACATCGTACCCGGCGCTGTGCTTCATCACTTCTTATACAAATCACGAGCGAATGTGCAGTTCACCATGTCTTCTTTTGCTCCCACATTCTCCTCCATCTCTCGGCGTCGAAGGTCAGTATCGATCCTTAGAAGCACTCACTGCTCAATGGCTCCCCTGTTATTACAGAGACTAACATTACCCACAGACTAATGTCGATATATAATAACCTCCACTCGAGCATCCATGCTAAAAACACACACGTGAAAGTGCATCATTGCGTTTCCCGATCAGCGAGCTCATTTGGTTGGGTGACCCCACGGTTTGAGCTTTACTGTGTCGCTGAGCCCAACGCGAACCGGAATGCCTTAGTACAGAGTGCCACAAAAATTGCGCAGTGGGTACAACAAGAAGAGGAAAGGCTTTTCATTATCGGTGGAGCAGTATGTACTGCCAAGACTACTATCTAGAAAAGTTACAAGCTAACAAGCACTCTAGGTCTTCTAAACCCACGCAGAAATTTCAAGGCCTCACAAAATGGAGATCAATTGAAATGCAAGATAATTGTAAATATCTGACAGCAAATATATCCGAATATGCAAATCGTCTTATAGACTTTCTCAATTTCTTCCGCGCTCAGGGTACTAGATTTGGCATTGATCTCATGCATGTACCCAATTCATTGAGACCCACATGTGCAAACAATGACGACCTAATTACTCAAGTGCTTCAGTCAATAGTATCATCGCGCAGAGCGAAGAGTTGACGCATAACTTCGCCAGACTTGCTCCGCAGTGCATCATGATACATCGTGTTGGTGATGAACTGCTTGATACCCTTGATCTTTGCGGCAGTCTTGGACGCTAGATCAAAGTGCACATACATATCATCGATATACGTAGCAGCGTAAACTGGGACTTCGTTCTTTGCCAGCTGTTCCTCATTATATAGGGCAGGCCAGTCCTCGGCTTCAGCCAAAATCTGTGCCACTTCTCGGATTTGATCAAGTTCCGAGTACGAGTCGAGCATGTTTTCAAAAACCTAATCATCAAATAAAATGTTAGAATCGTCCAGTTACACAGAAGGGACCTTGTTTTTGCGAATTCGTACCATCTCTCCAGTAAAGAAGATCTCTGGCTGAGAGCCGCTGGTTTGGAATCGAACATCCTCGCTTATTTTTCTGTCGGCAGACCACCGCGACGATTTGCTATCTTCGTGTTAGTAATTTGGCTTAAGAAACAATTTGAAGAACCTAGGCTTACCCTTGGCAGTAAATAGCTTCGTGCAGGATAGCGTAAATGACATTCTTGTCCATGCCACCGCTACCATCAATTATGGCCAGAGTCGGCTGCGTGAGAGAATCAAAAATCTGGAGATCGTGCCACGTCCGGAGAACAATATCTGAAGCCATGCTGGTTAGTACACCGCCCTTCGCTGACTATGGAAGACTGAGACAGGTTTATTTACCGTGCACACTATCGATACCACCTGTAAAATGTTAGAATTGGTGCATGCTTTTCTTCTGATGGTACTCTTTCTTACCGTGGAAACCGAACATAATACCAAGCTGTTGGAATCGAGCTGGGGTGAGCCATCCCGAAGGCAAGGCGACCTTGTTAGCAGCCAAATACTTCATGATCGTCTTGACTCGCTCTGCATCCTCTGGGTATTTGTCATAGTAGACGATGTTTCTCTCCAGGACCTTTTCTATTTGGACATTAGTAACTGTCCGGAGAATTCGAGATCAAAAAAAGAAAAGAAAAGAGAAACGTACCATAGGTCCGGGCGTAGACTGGATCGGGGTCATTGACCATAGGAGGCAGTCCAGCACAGATGAACGCTTCCTTAAGAGATTCGGGGCTTTTTGAAAAATCAAAACATTAGCTATACAGTAACAACGCAAGATCGCAATGAGAGGCTGGAAGTCATGGCGTACTATTTCGAAAGGTAAGTGGTGGCGCAGAAACCACCGAAGCTCTGACCCATGATGCTCCATTTCCGTTGGTCCTCTGGGTAGTCCTTGGTGAGGTCCAAGCGAAGAGCCTCGCAGTCATTGACAATATTGTCCGCACGGAAATTCTTGAGGTACTCAGCCTGCTGGATGGCATTGCCTTGACGAGCAAGAGTTTCCGCAGTGATGGTCTGGCTGAGACCAGTACCACGTTGGTCTAGGAACAATACCTGGATTTCACAGTCAGTAACGATTGGTTTCCACTCGATACAACCAGACCGAGGAGCTCTCCGGTCAATGGCTATAGTGTACATACATGGTACCCCTTATTAAGCACTGAATCAACCCAAGCGTAGTTTTGTGGGGGACCACACCCAAAGCCCGGTCCACCTTGAAGGTAGACAAGCCATGGAATTGGAGATTTGCTTTCTTCCTTGGAGGCCTGCTCAACGGGAGTGTCTAGACGTGAGACACTGCGAACAAACAGCCTGAGTGTGTTACCCTCAGCCGGTAGCTTGCTGTAATCGACTGGAACGTCGAAAAACCACTCGGCCACCCGCATCTTGCCTGTGTTTCGTCAGTCTGTTGTTTTCTTATGCCATGAGAGTAGCCTAGTTCCTGGCTTTAGAATCATACCGGGCACATTGTGGAGTCGTTTATCAATGAGTTTGGCTGCCATTGTGGTAGTTGTTGTTGGAAGGATTTGGTGTGGAGCGCACGGGAACAAGTCGACTTGCGGAGAACGTAACAAGTCACTCACTTTCTTCCTGGCCTTATCCTCAATCCCGCGCCAATCCACTTATCTTAGCGTCTGACGCGGCCAACGAAGAGGCTAAAAGCAGCAGCCTTGAAAATACAAAGCGTTCATCTGCCATCAAATCCACTAGAGATTCTTTCGGGAGGTCCAAGCGTGATTTTTGGATCGTGATTCCCGAGTACCTTTGTTATTGCAGATCCCGAGCCTCCTACCAGATCCCGATTACAACTATAAATGAAATATACCGTCACCTCATATTCTTTTGGAGTCATACTTATTTTTTGAAACCTTTCACCATGCAGGATCAATTTCTACAACATTTGTGGCAGGTTGCCCAAGGAAAATGGGAGTCCGGTGTGCTCCCTAGTGCGGAGAATTTAGCCCGCGCCCGCTCGTCGATTCCCACCACATTACCCGACATCGGCTCCAGCCTGGAATCCGTTCAACGACATCTTGTGGAGGACATTGTCCCCGCATTTAATGGTGGCAGTATCAGTCCAAACTATTATGGCTTCATCACCGGTGGAGCGACGCCGGCGGCGTTGTTTGCAGACAACATCGTGTCGGCCTACGATCAGAACGTACAAGTACACCTTCCCAACCACTCAATCGTCACCGACGTCGAGTATCATGCCCTAGGATTGCTTGCCGACCTGTTCAATTTGCCCCGTGATCAATGGCACAATGGAACCTTTACCACTGGAGCCACTGCGAGTAATATTCTTGGTCTAGCCTGTGGGCGTGAATTCATTCTCCAGAAAGCCGCTGAGAGAAATGGAAGCGAACTGACCAGTGTCGGTGAACATGGCTTATTCGAGGTGCTACAGGCGCTGAACCTCTCCGGTGTTCAAGTTCTGTCGACACTACCGCATTCCTCTGTGGTCAAGGCAGCTGGTGTTTTAGGAATCGGCCGCGCCAACGTTCGCAATATCTGCCGTGCTGATGATCCGCTCCAATTTGACATAGTACAGCTCGAGAAGGAGCTGGCCAGAACGGACAAAGTCAGTATCGTGGCCATCTCGTGCGGTGAGGTTAATACTGGCCGATTTGCGACATCTGGAATGGAGCAACTGGGTCAGATCCGTCAATTGTGTGACAAGTACGGGGCTTGGCTGCATGCTGACGGTGCATTTGGCATATTCGCTCGAGTGTTGGATGATAGCGAAGAGTTTTCAAACATCAAAAAGGGCTGCGATGGGATTGAGTTGGTGGATTCAATCACCGGTGACGGGCACAAGCTGCTCAATGTGCCCTATGACTGCGGTTTCTTCTTTACCCGTCATCCAGGCTTGGCCGCTCAAGTCTTCCAGAATGCAAATGCTGCCTACCTGAGTGGAGGACCGGTTGATGGCCCCCCTATTCCCTCTCCGTTGAATATCGGACTTGAGAATTCCAGGCGATTCCGGGCGTTGCCAGCATACGCCTCTTTGTTGTCTTATGGGAGACTGGGATACCGAGAGATGCTTGAGCGTCAGATCCGTCTTGCTCGGGGTGTCTACGAGTGGATCTTTGATCATCCTGCGTACACACCCTTACCAGAGGCACATTCCAAAGCTGAGCTTGTAGACCAGACGTTCATGAGTGTATTGTTCCGTGCCAAGGAGGATGCTTTGAATCGGGAACTCTCAGCGAAGATTAATGAGACTTCTCGAATGTTTGTGTCGGGAACTAGCTGGAAGGGCGAAACAGCTACTCGAATTGCTATTTCTAATTGGCGAGCTGACGTCGAACGGGATTTGGCCTTGATCACGGGGGTGTTGACTCAAGTGGCCCAGAAATGATTTGATAAAGATCAAATGTATTTTTTTTTCGTCTATACTCACTAAATACTCCAGTTGATTCCCTCCTTCGATTTCCATGGGCTTGTATATTAACAATAATATACTATGTAGTACATGTCATTATTCAGAGGTGGGGCCTTTCCATGGTGCATGGGCGCGTTCATGTGACGTGGGGTAAGTACTAGTACACTTGTAGCTTTGAAGGTCAATGTTGTTGCTTACTGAGAAATCATTTCTCCCACACATTAATATCTCTACTATCCTTGCTCTCAAAGTCTCTCTGTGATAACTCCAACCTTGGAATCTCCTTGTGGTCATATATCTTGTCTGAATCGATGGCATTTGATTTCGATGCAGCACGCATCGAATCATTGCCCACAGATGCCTTTTACATATCCGATTTCATTTCCGAAGATGAAGAGGCCCGGTTGATCTACAAGGCAGGTACCCAGTCCTCGATGGGCCAATCACAGTCTTGACTTCAAATTTATAGCTCATTTATGAAATATTCTTTTTTTGTTCTTTCATTCGTTGCCAGGCTTATCAATACTGATACCTCCATCAATAGGTTCAATCGGCACCTCTCCCACACTGGACTCATCTGTCTCACCGCCGCCTCCAAAGCTGGCCATCAACACTTACAAAATCTGATACGCTTCTTGCATCGCCACTACCCTCTTGGCTGGCAGATCCTGTCATGGACCGCTTTAACGACCTGGGCGTTTTCACAGACGCTCCGCATGGCGCGCCGAATCATGTTCTTGTAAACGAGTATCATCCAGGCCAGGGCATCCTGCCCCACGAAGATGGCCCTGCATACTACCCACTGGTAGCCACTGTGAGCTTGGGCGCGCCTATTGTTCTTGACTTGTACGAGAAGAATACTCATTCTCCTCGAAATGATCATCGCCTTTCAGAAAATGTGCAACATCCTGCGACACCACGATTCCGTATCTTACAAGAAAGACGAAGTCTTTTGATTATGCAAAAATCCATATACACCGACTTCTTGCATGGAATCGCCGAAGTATCTACAGATAAGGATCTGGGCTCTCATTCAATCTGCAACTGGAACTTGCTGCGAGAACAGAATACATATTGTGCTGGATGGTATCCACGGGAGACGAGGACAAGTATAACCTATCGAGATGTACTGAAGGTTGCCAAAATGGGAGATACGTTGAAGTTTTTGGGCAGGGCAAGTTGAAGGCTTCCCATTGGATTCCAGGCGTTTGGCTATCTTTCATAGGGTGGACACAACAGTTTGGTTGAATATTATTGTGGCTTTGAGTGTACATTATTCTTTCTCTTCCTGTTCATGTTCCTCTCCATGTTCCTCTTCTTTGCCCTTTCCATTTACCTTTCCCTCTTCATCTTCCTTCCCCTCCGACTCCGCCTTCTTTTTCTTCTTGTTCGGACTCGCTGACTGCTTTGCAGTTCTCTTCTTGCTCTTGGAGGGGCTAGAATCTTTCACTGTGCCATTTTTGTCGCCATTCGCCTTATCCCGCAGCCTGCCAGATTGCCGAGTTTGAACTCCCTTCTGCTTCTCGTTCCCTTCTTCATTGTCGTCCTTGGAATGCTCGTTCGAAGAGTCAACTGAATTGCGACTCGCATTTTTTCTAGCGGACTTTGCTTTGGTAGTATTCCCAACGAATTGTTTCCCTTTTTTGGACTCTTTCACCTTTTTATCCTCGGTTTCCTCCTTCTCGTCATCACTCATATGTTCCCATGCCTCCTTGGGCAAATATCTCTTGCGTGTACCATCGTTCTTTTTCGCTGTACCGGATCCTTCTTTGGTCTGCCAGTCCTCTTTCGTCCATTGATCTAAATGTTTCTGTGTTTCACTTTGATCATCTTTGGAGGTGTTGTAACTCCCTCCTCGCTTCTTGTACTCCGAGGCCATCATTTGTGCCTAAATAAATCAGTAAAATGGTAGCTTGATGATGTTTAGTCCGATTTTGTCGAACCTTGCGTGCGGACCATTGGCCAGGCTTTCCGCCTTTGTCGCCTTTATGGATTTCTTCTTTCACTTCATTCCGGAGCTTGGGATCGGTGTATTTATCCTTGGGGGCCATGTTTGGGGGAAATTCAAAGCCGCTCAGATATATTAGGGTAGAGTGAAGCTTTCAATGATTTCTCTTTTATTATTTTGTCTTATTCTCACACTTCTTCTTGGTCGATCTTTATAAGTACCTATAGTCGATGACATCGCGATGGTGTCGTGATGTGACATCATCAACCCAGATGAAGTACAAGATTTCGCGAGCCACCTGCAGATCCCAGTTTTACCGATTGCATGCTTGAAAGCATTCCTCGAATGCTCAGTTCCAAGTTTCTCCTTGGACATTTTCCGGTGCTACTTGCCTCTCCGTTTTAGGTATTCCCGACCAAGCAACAGGTTTCCTTCCAAGGTTGCAAATGTGAGTACTTGTCAATTTGGGGAAAGAAAGATTTGAAGAAATAATGATTTCAATTACAAATCAGTGTCAAATTCATGCATTGTCCTGGTATCAAGTATTTAAAGTAAGGTATATCATATCGTCAGGTCGCGTGCCCAACATGCACGTCCCGACGTCGTCCCATTTACAATTTCTTGCTGGCAGCCTCACGCTCCGCACGGATCTGGGCATCGCGCGTGATCTTCAGCTTCTCGGATTCCTTGCCACGAATATACTCCTGCAACCAGAGCGGAAAACCTCGCACCAGGCGAGCAACGGTCTTGGATGCGGGCAGGATCACCTGTCCACTGTTCTGAGTCAAGATCTGCTTGCAGATGGCATCTGATACGATCTTGACGGACATGATGGGCTGGCCGAACTCCTTCTCGTAATCAGTGAGAATGGTGATCATCGGGGTGCGAACCCAGAACGGGTGAATGATACTATGGAAATGTGTTAATCCATGTCTATATTTATTTTTTTGCCTAACAGGCCATAACAGGAAAGGAATAACGAAACGCAAGGGGAAGATAACGAAACTGACCTTGTGCGCACTTTGGGTGCCTTATAATAGAGGCGCAACTCTTGTCGCAGAGATTCGTGGAAAGCCAGGGCGCTGGCCTTGGTGCAGCAGTAGTCGGCGATTTCACCCAGGGCGACGAAGCTGGCCATACTGGCCAGCGTGATGACATGGCCGTGGTTGGCGCGGATCATAGCGGGGAGGAACTCGCGCACCATGAGGAAATGGGCGATGGTGTTGACTTCGAATGTATTGCGGATTTGTGCCTCAGTTTCCTCAAGAATGGTGCCATCGTGGCCGACGCCGGCGTTGTTGATCAAGACCGTCGGCTCGCCATGGTCGCTGCGGATGGTCTTGGCGACCTCGGAGATATTCTCCGAGCTGGTGATGTTGGCTCGGTAGAATGTGACATTGGCGGGGAGTTTGAAGTTGGGCTCGTTGATGTCCAGAATGATCACACGCAGCCCGGTGCGCGATAGGTCCTCCATGACTTGCTTGCCAATTCCACTGCATCCACCCGTCAAAAGGATGAGCTCCTTGGAGGGGATCCATGGATCACTTGAGACCCAGTTGTTAGCGGTCCATTGTGTGAGAGAATTGTTGATTGAGCGCAAGACTCCGAGGGCGAGCACTGCGCCTGCAGCTTTCTGGGCGATCGGGTTCTGCAGCAATTGTTGTGCCGGGATGGGTAGCCGCGTCAGAGCGGTTTGTGTACATTGTTGGATCAGATCTAAGGCGGCGGCCATGGTGCTCAGGGGTTCGGGGGGTTCAGAATAGAGAAATAAAATAATAACGATGCGGTATGAAATGTGCGATGAGGTGGACTCTTTATGAAGATGATGATCTTCACAAAGTGCCCACGATGATTTACCAATAAGTTCCTGTACCAGCCGAGGCCTGAGTAGCCAATGAAAAGGAGGTTCAAGCGGAATAGGCAAGCAATGCGACTGCCGATCCCTAATCATCGACAGCTAAACCACAATGAGCATTAGACCAGTCATTGTGGGGTTTTGCTTTTGGTTCGTCTCTCACATGTCTTTGATGTTGGATCTCTCGTCCTTTGCCCCTGATACCTTTTTCCCCGCATATCATCAACATTCGCTAAAATAGAAACGTCAAATCTGCCCCGAGGCTAACAATGCATTGTCACATTGTCACATTTTCACATTTTGCTAATGATCTCATGAACTTTGATCTCGGACCTTTTTTTCTCTCCAGAATTCACAAGTGGATCCGGTCGGCACCGATCACTGACATTGCTTTTTTTCTCTCGCATATTCTATCCTGTATCTACTGCATTAGTAGCATCAGTGCTCTATAGTTAGTCACACTAACAAGGTCAAAGATATCCGATTCAATCAACAACTTTTTACCTTTGTATCAACCAGACCAAACACTGAAACAAAGTAAAATGTCGATATACCGAGGTCGCTCTCAAAACTTGGACCTTCCCCATTCTAAGGCTCCAAGTGCCGATCACCAAGTGGGGTTCGCCCGTGCAGGGTTATAATACTTAGTCTGGCGTTGGGGCAAATATGGGTCGAGATTCCCCAAATCCGGGCACTTTGGTCATTTCTCCCCTGGAATCGCTGATTTCTTCTATCTCATTATCTGGTCAGCCTATTCTGTATTGAATAGGCAAAAGAAAAAGAAAAGAAAAGACTGAACTAACCTTGGTGTTGAAAGTCATGGCTGGTGAAAGCTTCCCGGCCCTGGTGGCCATTACCCTAGTTGAGGCCTATCTCCTGCAGCACATGGTATTTACTGAGGAGAGCCTCCGTCTTGTTTGTCTCGGAGCTTTGGGAGTTAATCTATCGCTTTTGGGAATATGGAATGTCGTGGTTTGGCCTTTCTTCCTTAATCCGCTACGACATCTTCCCACCATTCCTGTGAGTAGTCATCAGCACTGTACATCGATATAGGAATGCGATTGCTGACCGCATCCAATAGGGGTTCATGAGTAACTTGACAATTATCTTTGACTCACCTCGTGGCCGTACTCCCCTAGAGTGGATGAAAACAGTCCCCAACGACGGCCTCATCCACATGCGTGACCTGATCAGTCACAGTTATCTGCTGGCCACAAACCACCAGGCTCTTTTGGATATAATGAGCACGAATACTTATGACTTTGAAAAGCCCAAGCGCATCCGCAATTTTCTGGCTCGAATTATCGGGTTTGGAATGATCCTGTCCGAGGGGGCCGCACATAAGAAGCAGCGCAAGGCGTTAACCCCGGCCTTCAATATCAAGAACATTCGAGCAATGTACTCTTTGATGTGGGACAAAACCAATCAGATGCTTGAGGAAATGGAAAAGGAAATCAAGTTGAATCCATTGGAAGGTACCGACCCAAAGGAAGAAATTGGCAAGCTCGAAATGGGCGTGTGGGGAAGGTAAGAGCCGATCCAAGCTTAATCTCCCAGGATAACATAGCAACTAACAGCTTTCCAGTCGTTTTACTCTAGATATCATTGGTCCCGCAGCCATGGGCCGTGACTTTCGCTCGTTGCAGAATAGCGATAACAGAGTGGCCGAGAGTTTTTTAAATATTCTCGAGCCGACCCCGGAGAAGGTGGCTTTCCTTGCCATGAATTTCGTGTTGCCTCAGTCGATTGCCCAACGCATTCCTTGGAAGATGAATGATCTAATCACCAAGGAAACAAATTTCCTGCGAGATCTCTGTAATGATATTGTGCTTGAGAAACGCCAGACCTTGACCGAATCCAAAGCTTCTGCTCAGGATCTCGAGGCCGATATTCTGGGCACAATGATTCTGGGAGGAGACTTCTCTGACACAGAGCTAGTGGATCAGATGTTGACTTTCCTAGCTGCAGGGGTATGCTGTTCCCTGCTGACTCCCAAACCCAGAAACACTCAAATGAATGCTAACTTATCTCAACAGCACGAAACGACTGCCGCTGCCCTTACCTGGGCCTGTTATCTGTTAACTCTCTACCCGGATGTCCAGGAACGGCTTCGCGCTGAAATTCGGGAGAAAATTCCTTCGGCTAGTAGCCCAATCACATACAGCGACTTGGAGTCCCTGCCTTTGCTCAACGGCGTTTGCCAAGAGGTCATGCGTCTCTACCCGACAGTGCCCGCCACAATCCGCGAAGCCATTCGTGACACCATGGTCGCTGGCAAGCATGTTCCCAAGGGAACTCGAATCATTCTATGCCCATATGCCATCAACCGCTGTCCTCTGTTCTGGGGTGAGAACGGCGAGGAGTTTGTACCAGAACGCTGGATCGACACCGACAAGAACGGAAATCTCGTGCCTAACAATAACGGTGGCGCGTCAACAAACTTTGCCCAGATCACTTTCCTGCATGGACAGCGATCTTGTATCGGAAAGGACTTTGCACGGGCGGAACTCCGTTGCGGAGTTGCAGGCTTGGTGGGTCGCTTTGCGTTTGAGATGCAGGATCCGAAGCAAGAAATTCATATTGCAGGTGCAGTAACCACTAAGCCCGTCGAAGGTATGCATCTCAAGATGCAACGTGTGGCTGGGTGGTAGGCCTGCTGTTCGAGTGCTTGAAGGGGATATTAATTCATGGATGTGTGTGAGCCTCCAAGCCTTGAAGGGCGAGGACTTAATAATGATTGAACGCCTTGATGAGTCTTCAATGTCGCGACTTTGTCTGATGTATAATGTAGAGAGATGAATTGGAATCTCTAATAACGAATCTGAAAGGAACCACCTCGCTTCGAACCCATACAGTATCTAGTCAGGGCCAACATTTTGAAGGTTTCAAAAATCTTCATCCTGAGTACCCCAAAAAAAAACACAGGTAGTACCTAGTGAGGACCGTGGGAGTAAACGGGAAGGGGGAGCGATTCGAACCTACCAATGTTGGGGTGTCGTCTATTGTGAAACGTGACTATGATTTTTTTGCCTGCGCGCAACTCAGAATACTAGTATATCTGCTTGCATGACTATTCCAGTGCTTGAACAAAATGAACAAAATTTCAGTCGGATTTGCCCATGCACAATATGCATCAAAAAGAAGTCAATCTATCTTACAGTCCTGAGGAATAGGGTGTCGATCAGGCCCTAACCCAATGACTAATCAGCTTAGTGGGGTAGTTAACTAGTTAGGTTTGGCCGACACGTGCCTCGGCCTAATCGGCATCCCCACGCTTCCAGCATTTGTCCATGTCTCATGACTCTCATCTTTCTTTTACTTCTTGAACATTTCAACGTGATTGATTGCATGTTTCACAGTCGACCTGGCTGAGCGACTAGGAGTACCCCGGTTTTAAGTTATTTATCAATATCCTCGAGTTTGCCGCGCCCAGAATCACAAACCCCTCATCATGGCCGATTCGCTGTGCGGACCCTCCAATGCACTGCAGAACTTCCAGAAGCATACATCGGTTGACAGGACCCTCCAGCAAGACCGGCTAGTTTCTCGGCAGTCATCTTCACAGGTAGGTCATGTCATGGAGTACATACACATCTTTACTTTGGTTGACACATCTCTCTTCTAGGGATTCCGATCGCAAGGCCCGCGGGATGGTATCCTCGACCCGGAGTTTGCCGCATTTGAAGCCAACCTCGGCGGTCCTTCCTTGTCGAATCTACAGCACCCTGCAAATTTCGGGGCACCAATTCAGCTGCCAACCGCCCCTCATCCGAACGCCAGCTGGGCATCCGACTTTCAAAATCTCCACATCTCCGGGCCTGCGCCACCCCAACTACAACAGCACATACAACGTCCATCGGGCATTCAAGCCCAAGGAGGGTGGCAAGATGAATTCTTTAAGCACCAGCAGAGCCAACAAGCCCCAGCGACACCGCAACTTTTACCGAACCATCAAACTACAAACCATGCATACCAACCTGCATTCGCCACAGGCTACCACCCTATGTACAATTCCTCCATGAATACTACATATCAGGCCCCCCCTGAAGCTCACGCGCAACATGTTATGCCAGTGGAGAAGTTTGATGAGTCTGCCTTTGAGGCGGCATTCGATCAAGCCCGAGCTACACTGGAGCTACAATCAGCCGAGGCCACACCGGCCCCTGAACAACACATGCAGGACGCCTCCCCCATCGACCCCTTCGAGACGGCTCAAGAAAACCTCCAAATCGGATCTGATACTATCCTTGAATCTGAACAGCAAGATCCGCAAACTCAAGCTCACGACGCCGATGCTCTTGCCCAGGCAGCCGGACAGATCATTAATAGTGTCAGTCATGACCAAAGCGACAAGTTCCAACAGAGCAACTTCCTTGCCCTGATGCGCCGAATTCGGGACCGTGAGGTTGAGGTGAAAGGAGAGGATTTCTGCGAAGTCAGTAGCAACCCATAAACGATTTGAGTCATTTGGCTCGCAAGCGCAACTAGATACACCGGTATCATTTTGCGATCTATGTCGGCGCCTGTCCTTACTCATCTTCCCTTTGCAGACAGCGCAGTCTCTTCATCCTGGTGGCCGTTACTACCCCGGTCAATCTCCTCCGCCGCAGGATTCCGTCTTAGAATCCGACAGCGCCAGTAAGGAGTCTCCCTTTCTTACCGACAGGGTTTAATCTCTTCAAAGAGAGAAGAAAAAATCAGAACATGATCTGACCCAGGTTTTATGGGCAGACGATCTGGCAGATACTTTCGCGGAAGAACTTCCCCGTCTGGGCACCAATCCATACAATCCTGGGGACAACAACAATCTCTACGAAGGTTTTTTCCACAGCCATGGACTCGTTGATCGCCGACGACCAACCTATTGTTTCCGAGGGGAACACGAATTGTGGCCCTGAATAACCAAGGTGTGCCCAAGAGGGGCAATGCGTTTCCAGCTGCATTCGATTAAAGCGACTGATTGGGTCAATCATCAACTATCATTTGTTCCTGCTAAACAAGATATTGAGGCCATTTTTTTCCCGACAGGCCTCGCCTTGATTCTTTTCACTAATACCCATTACATGTGTGATCGAAGCGTTCGATCTTTTCTATTTATACCGTTGCATGGCGTGCGATCTTCAACCCCATCTATTTTGTTCATGTATTGCTTGAATTTTTTCGCTAGACCTCACTTCATGTGTACATATTCAAGATGAGCCCGCAATACATAGAACTTCGCAACATTTGAAGGGTATCATTGTTGTTTGTTAACAATCGTAACATGGTACATGATATACAAGGGGCTCCATACCCTATACATAAACTATACTTTTTCTTCCAGAATAAGCTCGCGGAGAAAGGACTCAGCCTTGGGCGCTTCTACGCGACCTTTTTCACCTGTGCGCATCATTTGACCCACAAACCAGCCCAGTTTCCCTAACTGACCACCACGGATCTGCTCGATCATCTTCGGGTTTAGTGCAATGACTGACTCGGCTAATGTGATATATTCCTCACGCGACAAGGGACGGAGCAGGAGATTATCTTCCTCCAACATTTGGGGTACCGGCCGATGATCTCCATCGAAGATCGCAGCTAGGACTTGTTTGGCCGTAGGTCCAGTTACAAGATTCCGGTGGATATGGTCAATTAAATCAGCGAGAGACTGGGCTGGCACGATATCTGAGCGCCAGGTTTCGTCTGCTTTGGTCAAGAGTCCGCCTAGCTCGTGGAGGACCCAGTTACCTGCCGTTCGCGCGAGAGCCGCCTGCGTAGGTTTGTCTAGGTCGTCTTTATGAAGAATGTCCACAACATCTTGGTAGTACTCGAGACGAGCACCGTCGTCTAATTCGATCAAAGGTTTGGCATCTTCAAGTGGGAGACCGTATTCTGGCCCGATCAGCTGCATCAGTAATGTATCGGGCGCCATGGGAAGAGTTTCTTGGAGGCGAGCAATGAGGTCTTCGCCAATGACCAGTGGGGGGATATCCGGATCTGGCATGTAGCGATAGTCGACGGCGCCTTCCTTCCCTCGAAGTAGATGAGTCTCAGTACTACCGATGGTCCATCCTCGCGTCTCGCCTTGTACCTTGCCGCCACTTTCGAGTAATGCGATTTGACGGTTCTTCTCAGCCACAATGGCGTCCTCGACGGCCTTGAAACTGCTAAGATTCTTGATCTCGGTGCGCTGGCCTAGCCCGCCAAGTGTCTCGCTCCGTCGTCGAATCGAGACGTTGATATCGGCACGCAAACCACCCAATTCCATCCCAGTTGTCACGGCTCCGCAGGCCAGTAGGATGGACTGTAATTTTCGCACGCAGGCTGCAGCTGTTGCGGGGGTATGAATCTGGGGCAGGGTGATGATCTCGATAAGGGGATGAGAGACACGATTGAAATCGAGGAGTTGCGTGGAGGTTGGGCCTGGGTATTCTTGGGATTTGGCGGTATCCTGTTCCAACTGGACTTGTTGGATGTCTATGCGAACGCGTTTCCCATCCTCCGGTGCGATCCCGTCGTAGTCGAATAGGTCGATATAACCATTGCGCGCAAATGGCTCTGCGAGGTGTTAGTCGACTGTCAGTTTGGCTCGATCGATCGAGGAATGACACCCACCATAATATTGGGTAATTTGGTATCCCGAGGGCTGGTCTTGGTAGAAATAATGTTTTCGGTCGAAGCGGCTGACAGGTTGGATTTGGCAGTTTAAGGCGATCGCGGCGCGGAGGGCTGGGAGAAGGGTGGCGGCTTGAAATTGAGGCTGGCTACCTGGGAATGCCAGGTCGAATAATGCGACATTGGAATTTGGGGTAGCACTCGTGGATGTGGCCGCTTCTGTTGGATGAAAGATGGTAGGTTAGACGAGAAGTGGACCGATGGTGGGTTTTTGCCTAAAGACGTACTGGAGAATAGCTTTGCAGCCGTGTCCAATTGCGCGTGGATCTCCACGCCAACTGTAAGTTCCCATTCTTGCCGTGAAGCCTCTTCGTTCTCCCTGCGTTGTTTCTTCTGGGCCTTGAGGCTTTTGGCTTCCTGCTTGAGTTGTTTGCGAAGAGGAATGCGGTCCGTTTGGAGGGTAAGAGCGGAGGAGAAATTATTACACGGAATCAACAGGCGAAATAAACAAGGTGCCCGGGAGACTGTGCGGACAGCGCCGCTGGTGAGCCATGGCCGGAGCATGAAGGCGAGCTGGAAAGATGATAAGGTCGGAAAGATGAAGCGGAATCCCAGCGCGGGAGCTCTAATCTGCCGATCCAGGTGTAGATTACCCAGCACTATGTAGTTTGGAGTACCACCAAATTCTTGATATTTATACTTTACTTCCAAAAATCAATATACAAATGTCTTCATGAATAAAAAATAAATATTGAAGAATACTGTAGTAGTTCATTGCTTCTAATGGAAAAGGGTAATCCAGGGTCTACACGTCGTTTGATGAAATGGGTGCAGAATATTGGTGGCGGATTAAACCGACACTTAATTACCGAGAATAGACTAGCATGCTCCCAATCTGGACTACAGCAGCATAGGTTTATTTGGCACTGAAGAAAGCATTCAAGTTCCGAATAGACTATAGAGAATATCTAGTAGCAATACTACAGTACTTACATCAATTGATTGGTCAAACAGTTACGCAACCTAGAGGTTGAATTCTACTATGTAATGTTACCATCTACAACTAAGCCCCACCACTCCTGGCTATGACGAACTATGGTCAGCCCCACATCTCCACATGCAGATGGACAACATTGAAGGTTACAACTTACAACTTACAACTTATAGCTCATTCATCTTCACATCAACCCGAGAAAGATCTGTTCACCCTTGATCAATCCTACTTGATCCACTAATGCAAGATGGTCGAAAAAGAAGAGACCGTTCGTCCAGCATTCGCCGGTCGTGAGCGCCCTCTACTCTCATACGGGATTGACTTCCCAGCTGCCACAGCCCGCCATGTTTCAGAAACATTCCATGCCTCTCGAGTGTATGTGATTTGCTCAGGATCACTGTCACGCAACACCGATGCATTTGACCGCCTTACAGATGCATTGGGCTCGGAAAAGGTTGCAGGATGTCGTATTGGGATGCAGAGCCACACATTGTGGTCGGAGGTGCTGGAGATTGTTGACGACGCACGAAATGTGCAGGCTGATTTGATTATTACCCTCGGAGCTGGCAGCTTGACCGATGGCGCAAAAATAATTGCACTGGTATGCGTTTTCTGGGGTTCCTTCTCACCTACCGATAATACTAATATCTGTACTGACAATTCTCAGGCCCTAGCCAACCAAGTGCATACTGCTGAGGAACTCGAAACTTTGGCCGAAGGCTCCAATAAGCGGGCCCAAATTCATGCGCCAACTGTTCCTATCATTTCCATTCCGACGTCACTCTCAGCCGGGGAATATTCCAACTTTGCGGGTGGCACAGATGACCGCTCACGCCGCAAGTTTAGCTTCCAGGCGCCTCTCCGTGGCCCTCAGCTCATAATTCTTGACCCCAAACTGGCACAAACAACCCCTGATTCTATATGGCTCAGTACAGGCGTGCGTGCTGTTGATCATTGTGTTGAGACGCTTTGCGCAATTGTAGGCGTCACACCGGAATCAGATGAACTGGCTAGGCATGCACTCAGCCTATTGGTCCCGGGCCTACTACAGTGCAAGCAGAACCGCGCCAACGATGATGCTTACCTTCGGTGTCAGCTTGGCTCAGTTGATGCGATGGCAGCTTGTACAAGTGGATCAGTGGAGCTTGGGGCCAGTCATGGTATCGGCCACCAGGTAAGCAATCTATCCATTTCTTGTTTGGGTTGATGAGAATCATGAGCTAACTGCTCGGATTAGCTTGGTCCACTAGGTGTTGGCCATGGTGAGACTAGCTGCATTCTCCTGCCCGCTGTGTGTAAATTCAATGCTTCACATAACGCGAACCGAGAGCGCCAAGCGAGTGTTCGTGAGTTTTTGATTCGTGATCCAGTTGTTTCGCAAGTGCTTCAAGCTCGCTCCTTGAGTGTAGAAAAGTCGGATCTAGGTGATATCCTGGATGCCATCATCCGTGAGCTTGGAATGCCAAGATCATTGAGCGATGTTCAAGTCAGCCGTGAAAAACTTGACGGACTAGCAGCGCACAGCTTACATGATCGCTGGTGTCAGTCGAACCCAGTGCCTCTGAGAGAGAAGTCACAGGTGCTGGAGATCCTCGAGATGGTTGTTTGAGGCTAGAACTACCTGTTCTGGAATTGAGAATGAAACACAGAACAATCATCAACATTGAATAAAACCATTTCAAGGAGTTCTAGGCACTTCAAACAAATGTTGAATGTTGCACAGATTTCAAGTTTGTTGATTGAGGGAAATGCCCAGTTGTATATATAATATACTACATCGCATTCTATAGAGTGAGATGACATCATAGGATATCTGGAAGCAGTCAACTCCGTCTTTCCCCCCGGATTTGTCTATTCATGGGTGTAAATTCCACTGTATTTTATAAACAGACCACCAATGATATGGCAAGCTCAAGCTCATTGCCTGAAGAATTGAATCGTTCGATCAAAAACAGTTGCTAGTAACCAGTAGCCTGTTGGGCCTTGGTGTTGAAGGTCACGTGCGCCAAACTGGAATCGCGGCACCGCCGTCAGTAACTTTTGTCCGGGCTCCGGAGTTCGAACGCAGTTTCTGGTACCTCACCTAGTATATTTTGTCCGCCTGATTTGACTTTCATTTTATCGCAATGGCCGACTCCCCAGAAGGCCGCGGGGAGCGCAGGCGCACATTCTCTCGCTCTCCAGATGCAAGTCGCGACCGCAGGCGAGACGATCGAAACCAAGAGCCAAGGAGCTCACGACGACGAGACGATGATCGTGAAACATTCCACAAGCGAAGCCACAGACGAAGATCTCCTCGCAGCAGCTCAAGGGATGGAAGGACACGAGATATTCATGATAGGCGCGACCGTGAACGCAGAGAACGATCAACGAGCTCCGCAGATGAGCGCCGCCGAAAACGCAGCCATCGCAGCCATCGACACCGTGAAGACCGGGATCAAAATGGAGAAATGTCGTCTAGAAGACATCGCAGTCCCCGTCCTCGATCACGCTCCCCACGAAGATCGCGCAGCCCCCAGCGTGCATTACAACGAAGCGGACCTCTACCTTCACAATCCGATGCATTTACCGGCGAAGTAGCACAAACCGGTGAAAACCCTCTCCCGGAGAAGGAGAAACCAAATTACAAAAATAGCGGGCGACTTGCGGCCGAAACCAATACAGTCCAGGTTGAAGGTGGCGAAGGAATTGTGCTGAAATACCATGAGCCGCCTGAGGCGCGCAAACCACCAGCCAAAGAGCCGTGGCGGATGTACGTCTTCAAAGGTGACGATCTGCTGGAGATGGTTGAACTGAACGAGCGGAGTTGTTGGTTGATCGGTCGTGAAAGAGCCGTGGTTGATTTCCCTCTGGATCATCCCAGTTGCTCAAAGCAGCATGCTGCCCTGCAGTTCCGTTATGTCGAGAAGCGAAATGAATATGGTGACCGTATCGGAAAGGTTAAGCCATATCTCCTTGACCTGGAGAGCTCCAATGGGTCTACCGTGAATAAGGAACCCATCCCCGCAGGCCGATATGTTGAAGTGATGGATAAGGACGTGATGGGATTCGGTACGAGCACCCGCGAGTATGTGCTCATGTTACCGAAATGATCAATAATCCACTTCAAAGACATCATTCATACTGAAAATTGGGTATCAAGCCTGTGGAACGAGATACCCATCCGGCCATGGTGCCTGCAGAGCCATTGAGGTCCCTACCCAATTGCCCTACATGTAGATGCATATGTGAAAGATACTGTGCCTCGATAGCCTTCGTGGTGGCATAATATCTTATTGAATAATAAACTAAGTATTTCCAGCATCCATTCATACTTCATAAATATTAGTATCACTAGAGATGAGGTTAGTCTTAAACATCCTTCGATAATCCCGGATTGGCTACTTACAAAGGCTGCGCGAGCCTCTTTCTCCCCTTGGCCTTGCTATTCACCCAAACGCTAATACTCATTGCAGCAACCGGGAAAGTCCCATATCCACGGTGGTCAATAATGACTGTCTCGATGCACCAGTCTAATAGATCCGTCCACTCCTCTCCTCTGTGCTTGACGCCGACGTACATGCGCTTATAGGTTGCAACGGTGTTACTAATGATGCAAGCGAGACCCCAGGGGTACTGGACGTTGCCGTAACGCACGAAGCCTTGTCGTGGATAGGGTTAGTCAGGTTGTCTATATCGCGGTATCTATCAATTGATGAAACATACCAATGCAGTGCCGCTTGTCAAAGTAATCACGTTGTTCTCCATATGCGTACAGTTTGCGAGCCTGCATCAGGATCGGAAGCTTGCCCGAGCAAGCTGGCGAAGAGACATGTGCTGGACCACTTCGAAGGCCGTATAAGTCTCCATAGAAAACACAGGGCTGGCCTTGGCTGCGAAGTAAAATTAAGCCGTAAGCAATTGGCTTGAAGAATGGGATGATGATTGTCTGCGAATCAAGGTAAGTGAGACTGCCATTGTGTCTGCGTAAATTCCAGGTCGAATTTACCTCCAGGGATTGGCCAGGTTGCTTTACGAATGTAGAAGTTAGACTTTTGCCTTCTCCAGTGACTTGAGTGCCTGATCTGAGACTTACAGTGTCATGATTTCCTACGAATGTCTGCCATTCTTTTAGCATGAGTCGACTGAAGTGGAGAGGTATGTAGACCGGTGCCTTACTACTGCATGATTTGGGCTCTGCTCCAGTAATGTGCCTTTGAAGATTTTCCGCAGATCGGCCCCTTTGGTCTGTGAAGTGACTGCGAAACGCCCCAAGAGAGGTACATCAAACAAGGAGACTTCATGGTCCATGGCTTTGAGGTACTTCAGAAGAAGGTCCACTTCGCCTCTCCAGTATTCTCCCACCAGGAAGTAGTTAGCACCCACCGTTCGTCTCAGGTGGTAGACAAAGTCTCTCTGGAACGCAACTGAGTAATGTTTGGCTGCATCGATTCGCATGCCGGTGATTGGTAGTTCAGTTCCAATCCATTCCGACCATTGAAAGATATCGGCTCGGACTTCCGGGTGGGTGTGATCCAGATTGGCAAACATCAGATAATCATAGTTACCGTGTTCATCGCTCACATCCTTGGCCCAGTCTTTCCGAGCTCCGACAGTCTTATAGATTCCATTCTCCTTCCGTTTGTCATCCCAGTCGACACCATTGAAATGCTGATGATGATATCTCATAGAACTGTACTTCCCTTTGCGGCCAGAAAAGTCGAATCCAACCCAACCAGAGATGTTTTCCGGAGGTGAAATCCCAACCGTTCGATCTGAGAGGATTAGTGAGGTTTGATCTTTCTTTGACATTTCTCATCAGATAAGCACAGATACCTTCAGGATCGACTCTCGTTGCTTGAAAGGTTTCAGTCGTGTCTGCTCCAGCTTTGTGATTCAATATTGTATCCCAACAGATTCCGATACCGAAATCCTGAGCGGTTTGCACCAGCTCTAATAGATCCTCCTTGGGACCCCAACGCGTTGCTCGCGACCCTTTTTGGTGGAATTCTCCCAAGTCCCAGAGATCATATAGATCGTAGCCAATTCCTGATGCATCCATTCCCTTGCAACCCGGCGGAATCCAGATGTTGTCCACCCCAATGTCTCGAAGGCTGGGCAAGGCTTTTTGCAATCGCTTCCAATGTTGTTGATCGGCGGGGACATGCCATTCAAATCCCTGCATCATCAATGAATTGGGAGGAGTAATCCATGTGGATGTTTTTTCTGAAACATGAACATCTAAAAGAAGATCAATTGGTGAGTGCTTTCAACTTTTGCAAAAAGACTTCCTGTCAGAAGAGAAGGGAGGAAATAGGTTGCCAACCTTCAATTTCTTTCCACATGTTTGGTTTTGTTCTCGTTTTCAAAGAACAGCTGAGAACAGACAGCATCTGAGCCGTGGCCACGTCTGATGACGATCGAATCAGTTCGGTGGCTAACTTTGTCAGAGGTTCTTTCAACATTGGCGACAGACAACAGCCCTCCAAATTATTCTTCTACGATCGATAACTCAAATGCAAGATCAACGATCGCAAAAGGCAGGGCCGGACAAGATTGAAAACAGTGACACTAACGCCCCCTGCTGTGCGATTGTACTTTGAGCCTTTGACGTCTAACTCATGGATTAGGAACTTTTGAACAATTGGTCATGGATGTCAAGCGTTGAACCGAAAAAAAAGCTAGATCTCATAAAAGCTTCTCTTCATTGGTTCCATCATACTTCAGCCGTCACGCCTTACGTGTCGCCTCTTTCAAGGTTATTGTGCTGGACAAATCAATTGACACGATAACGAGGCGTTAACAAGTACTCGAGACCCGATAGCAAACAACCCGAGATTCCGTCCATGCTTTGAAACATTGACGCTAAAAATGGGTTTCTAGGCGGTTAGAGATTTGACAGATATCAAGGGTTCAGGGCCTTGGAGTACTTGCGGTAAGCGGGTTTGGATCCTGCGATCCGAGGCTGTTGTCCAGCCAATCCGCGGTTTACCTCGAGTGGCTTTAATACACTGGTAGGACCGGATATATGTGGAAACAGGGTCATATTTGAAATCAATAGATAAGGGGCCTGTTGCAGAGTGATACGACTTGTCAAATTTATGCGAAATCTTGGCTTCGTTGCGATCTCAACCGTTGATATGTGACTACCATACCCGGAGATATGGGACCTTGTAGAATTCATGTAGTTAACGGGTCGCCGGAGTCTATGTGGCTTTTCAAAATTTGACGTATTTTGGCTATAAAATAGCCAATAATGAGCTTATCATTTTACTTGGAACAACCATCCTCGCCGCAGAATGACACCGTAAGACTGTGCAACGTGCTTTGTCCGGTCTCTGGTGAGCCTAGCGGCAAATCTTTAAATCTTGCCACTGTGTTCAAGTATAGTATTCAAGCTTTGAAAAGGCCAAGACCCTGTCATAGTTTCAGATTGCACTGCAAGCTTGATACTTGACAATGCATGTGGGAACCAGCACTTGAAAAGCTTTCAAATAAGTACCAAGGAAGCCAGAAAAAGAGCTCTACCTCACTCTACGTAACATGTTTCGGCTCCCGCTTTCCTATCTTAGCTGCCGCCGCTTTTATGAGGGCGCTCAGAGTCAGGCTCACTCAGTAAATCTCAGTCCGGACTCAGTGAGGGCTCAGTGGATATGATTGGCTGCTCACCGATCTATTACTGATGAGAGACATCTATCGAGCACTCATACGCTCACATGTGCAGTCTACATAAACCCAAAAGAGCACTTCACCCTATATCGTTGTTTATTTTGTGACTTAACTTTGGACCATCAAGACATGTCTTCCCAGTCATTCACAAATTTTTGAATCCACTTCCACAACTGGGGAGAAGCGACAAACATGTCTTTTCGAAGTTTCGGTGGATGATCGGAGGTATGCTGTGCTTTCCACCCGGACACGAGGGTCAACTTCTTAGCTATTGTCTTCCTAAAACATTGCTTTCGGAAATATTCTTCTTCATCCTTTTCAATTTTCGAAAGCGGCTGGTCCTCCTGTTGAACGTCATTATAAAGCCGGATGTAGTGAGGCGAACGCCGCTGTGGTACAAAATGTTGCCCGAGGTCCTTTTCAAGGCCATTTGCAAAGTACCAGACAGTAGCAAAGAGGTCAACTTGTAATCACTGATTGTGTCAAAAGTGAGCAGTCGGCTAAATCTCCAGGAGACTTGGCCTCGCTCAAGTGTTTCGCGATACTTTTGTATCAACTTCTCTTCGATCGATCCTGGCATAGCAGCAATAAAACCATTTATGAAGGGTACATGTAACTCCGAATCAATTTCGTCGCGGTATTGTGGCAATCCTGGCGTGGCCAGCACCATGAACTCAGGGATGGATGAAGCGAATGCCCAGTCGATGACACAGGTAATGTTGTAGTTATCATCAACATATATGTTATTGACACTCAGGTCAGCATGGCACAATGGAAAAGTCTCCGGATTGATAGCTGGGAGGTCAAATTTCCGTACAATATCACGAAGAGCGTCGCCTGCGATAATATAATCTAGTCTGTTATCTGACGAATCGGTCTTGCGTCCAATAGTAACGAAATCGTTCCATAGGTCTACAGCGCTCTCATATTATACGCTGGATTGATAGTCTCCATGTGAGGGAACAGGTGCCACAAAGCAATGATGAGATAACTGCAGAATTTCTGCATGTTCTAAAAACGCAGAAACAAGGCTGTCATAAAACTCTACCTCAGAAGTAAAAGGTCCCCGGGGGATCTCTAAGGAATATCGTCCATATAACATGTGACCACGTGAAAGGCATTCCTTGATTTCGAAGGACTCATTTTCCTCAAAGAGTGAGCCGATTGTATCGAACCGCAACTGCGAAAGTTTCCAGGTGATATCACTCAACTGGGAGAGAACTTTGGCCTTGCTAAGAGTGTCTAGCTCAGGTCGAGAAGAACCGGCTGGTCTCCAAACTTTTGACAGTGGCCAGCCAGGCGCTTCACTCATAAAAATGAACGGAACCCCGATGGCATTATCAGAGGAGGCACTATGATAGATTAGGACAAGAAGAATTTGGTATAGGAGAGTCGGTTACCAATAATCATAGACTTCTGGGACTGGAATATCGCTATGGGCCTTGAGGTATCGGAGCGTGGCAGCTTCACTTACCAGTAGCTTCATCCCCATTTCCATCGGCATGAACGTTCTAGGGTGCGGAGATCTGAGTATCCAGCGTACCCTGTCATCAAAACAAATAAAAATAGCCCAGTTGAAACTTCCCGAGGCGGGGCGTTGATCTGGATCACAAGCACATGGAACACCCCCGCGCAGAATGCTCGCTTGACGGCACACAGCTTGAAGATCAAAGTCGGCATACGTGAATATGTCGCGTTTCGGATTTGGGGACATCTCGGCGGAAGATATTGGGGGAGAAGTGGGAGGGGGAAATAATTGGGGATCAGAAAGGATACAGGGTTGTCACGCTTCCAAGTCGAAATTTAAATACTTCAAGGGATGTTATGTTGTTGGTACCCGATCAGGGCGCTCAGGGGTGTGCTCAGTTGTACTAAGTGAGCAAAAAGCGGCAAGGACTGAGCACTAATCGGGAAGTGGAAAGTAAAGAGTGAGGAATAGTATCATCATTCATGGATGTAGCAAGTAGACGCGCAATTTCCAAGCCGGGTCTTCTCAGATGCTCTTAAAGTAGAAAGGAAGTATTTTCCAATCATGAGTGCCTTGGTTTCCCTGCCATGTCTCATAGATGAACCGGTACAACGCCTTCTTGTTGACCATAGCACTCGCTTCCCTGGAAAACAGGTATCGAATTGTAAGCTGATGTGGGAGCAGCATTGTCAGCGCCAGGCTCCAAGGTTGACAAGCAGGTGCAGGTTCAAGTATCTTAGTAGATAGTTGGTTCATGAAAAGCTGTGGCGATAATCCTAACGAGCCGCACTTGACACTAGTGGATTGCGTCTCGTGACACAGTAAGATAGTTCCTCGGCTCTCCGCATTCTGCTATTTCCCCTTCCCCCGAATCCCCATAAACTTGGACCTCCTGAGGTCTTTGCTAGTATTTTGAACACAATCAAGCAAAACCTCTCCAACTCTTTCTTTTTCCACTTGTTGCTTAATAATAACACTAGGTAGGTTTTTCCTTGTGGGTATTATAGCACAATGCCGACCGTGAAATATCCCCCTCATCCGCCGAGATCTGCGCGGTGTTCCCCATAGCCGATGTGGTCAAAAATGGTCCCGAGTCTCGAGTGCGGGGAGTCCGATCCAACTCATATACATAAATTCAAGTACTCATATGCTCAAACACACCTGATCTCTTCCTTATTCATACATTCAATCCATTTGAAACCATCATACTACCCACCATGGCTGAACGACCCCCCAAGAATATGCGCTCGCTCAATCGGTACATCACCACCCACAATGCTGCCGGTGAAGCAATCTTCTCTGATTCCTTGTCCGAGGAAATGCCCATCCAGCATATGAAAGATGGTGCAGACTTCGGCCTAGCTTATACATCCTCCCACTTCCCCGCTCAGCTTAGCGGGGACACCGATATCACCGAGTACACCTCATACCTCACCAGCCCACCGGGCATTACCATCTCCACTGGAAACGTCTGCCGACTCGTGGACATGCAACCTGGAGCTACCAGCCCTATGCACCGAACCGTCTCGTTGGACTATGGCGTCGTGTTGGAGGGAGAGGTGGAGCTTGTTCTGGACTCGGGCGAGACAAGACTGTTGAAGCGGGGTGATGTTGCGGTGCAACGCGGAACCAACCATGCTTGGCGCAATGTTACACCTGACGTTGTTGACCCGGTTACTGGGGAGAAGACACCACAGTGGGCGCGCATGCTCTATGTGCTTGCCCCGGCAGAGGATATCCTGGTTGGCGATAAAAAGCTGGGAGAGAATGTGGATGGTATTGGTGTCCGGACCAGCACTTGAAGCCTTGGCAATATTTGAACAACTGAAAGTATATTATGTATATAGACTAGGTACAATATGTGAACTTTGGATTCTTGATAGATTCAAATGCTTGAGACTACTACATTATTGTCTTGAAATTCAAGAACATTGAAAGATACAAATGTTGGATCATATGTACTTATACTAGTACCCATGCGATTCGACTCCAGGGTTTGGGGCTATTTGAAATCCAGATTCAACGTGAACAGTTACAATTAATTTGCTGGTCTCAAGAATACAAGAATGATCATAGGTATTTAGTATGCACATGGGATATTTGTTGACAATGACTACCATTCTCCTCCAACTTCGTAGTGAAAGATCTTATCGTTGATTCTTCCTCCAGTAAACCTCCATAGGCGCGACACAGCCTATCAGGTTGTTAGCACGATCAATCAACCCATTTTCTGACCTCTTTGGAAATTGGGGGAGGAGACCAGGAAAAAGACATACAGCGTTGAGCCACACTCCGTGCAACATGACTTGAATAAACACAAACTCCCCAGCACTGGTGCCTGCCGTCCGTTCATTATAGTCAAGGTTACGGTTTACAGGCCGATGAGCAGGCATGCGACGGTGATGGGTTGGCCAATCCGCTGGCTGTGGTGTATTCACGGATGGAGCAGGGGTAGAATCTGAGGTAGACGGTCCGCCGCTGTGGTGTAGTTCATAGTCGGCAAGGACCGACAGCGAGGTGGCAGTAGAGGTAGCAGTGACGGACATGATGAGATTGAAGATCGATAGAAATGGATTGAACATGAGACTCTAAAGGGTTGGAAATACTATGGATATTCAGATCTGAGATGTGGAATCCGCCTTCGCCTCTCCGCACCCGCAATCCCGCAACCGCTTGCTTTCCGCCCGCTTTCTCCCCCACATCCCGACTTCTCTATGCCAACTCGGAGATCAGCTGCAGCTAAGCTCCGAGACAAGAAAATGCGGAGAGCCAGTATGCTTTAGGGAAGGTGGGCGCGTTGAAGTATTATTCTTGATCTCGTTTTTTTCCCCATTCTTTCTCGCTCAAGTTCTCGTTCTCCTTTACATCAACTCAAATCTGGGCATCATGGATCTCTCACGTATAATAAACGCCAACATTGACGGTCGTAGCCAGAATACGCGATACCGCCAATCACAGTTCCATCGCCTCCAGTCTACCCTTGTGGAGCACATCGCTGAAATCCAAGATGCAATTCGCGCTGACTCCGGTCATACACAGCAGGAAATCCGAGCGGAGGTCGTGCTGGCCCTGCAGGAGCTTCGCACACACTATTCCTCATTGAATCTTACCAAAGACTTGGAAGTTGAATATCGCATCGCGCAAGGAAAGGACAACTTGGATGGCTCGCGCGGTGTAGGCATCGTGTATATTGTGCCATGCGTTCATACTTTGTTCTTCTCGGTCATCTCGGCTTTGACCGCGGCGCTTGCGGCAGGAAATTGTATTGTTCTTGAGGTGAGTTGATCTGTTCTCGGTGATTAACAGGAGTATACCAGAGACTAATCAATTTAATGAGTAGCTGCCACAAACAATGTTGGCCCTTCCTGCTCTTCTGCGCCAGATTCTACCGGAGGCATTAGACCATGACACCTTCGCCATTACCGCTCAACGGCCCGATAATTCGTTCTTAAACAAGGCATTGATGGTTAACCAGACCGAGTCTGATGCACCAAATGGTCTCCTATCTCCGGCAACAGCAAGGACAGTCGCAATTGTCGATCGTACAGCAAAGATTGTGGAAGCTACACAGTCATTGGTGGCAGCACGATTTGCACTGGGAGGCCGATCCCCGTATGCGCCCGATGTAGTGCTGGTAAATGAGTTTGTGATAAAGCCTTTCGTGGAGTCAGTCATTCAGCATGCATCCAAGTATCTTGCTGGTGAAAATGGCGAGGCGCGGCAAGGATCTGGCTCGTCTCGACGATCGGGATTACTTGAATCAATCTCCAAGGACCGAGGTGCACGAGTGCTGGTTTCTGGAAGCAACTGGGCCATTGTGGAAGTTCAAGATCGGAATTCACCTTTGCTCAAGCAGAAGATTGATGAGAAGGTATTGCTGGTGCATCCCATCACCAGTTTGGACGATGCCATTGATATCAACTTGTTTGTTTCCCATATTCAAATTAAGTCAAGTGAATTTTGCTAACGAACACTGTAGCAACCAAACCTTGGCTGCAACTTATGCTTTTGCGGCTCCAGCCTCGGCCAAATATTTGACTCAATTTATCGATGCCGACATCTCGTGGGTCAACCATGTCCCGGCCCACATGCTAGGTATGACACTAAGGCTCAAAGGATATGTCGATCAAGCACTAACCAGCACTAGTTGGACCGGCCATTCCCAGAAACTCACCGTATGATGTGCACACCCGTTATGCGACCGGACAATTCCAGCGACCGCGGCCCCAATTAATCTCGGTCTCGGCCCCGGCACAGACGGCTCAGATCATTCTTGAGAGTGCGAATACGGTTAAATCCGACTTACTCTGGCGACAAGCCATTGCTCCATTACCTTCTACAAATCAGCGACCGGGATTTAAGATTGGGTACTTTGAACAGGGGATCATCACTGGTGGAGTGCTCACGTTGGCATCGGTAGTCGCCACATTGTCTACACTGGGTTATTATACATGGGTTTTTGTGCGGACGCGAGCCTAGTTATATGATGTTTTTCAATGTTTTTCTTTTTTTTTTTTTCATTTTGCGAAGAATCTGTATAGTGTAACTCAATCCATCGAACCATTACTGCTACTAGTAAGCATAAAAAGGTACATTTAGACATAACATAAACCACGACCCCTCACATGGGTAGCCCGGGCCTCGGTTGATCTCTATTTGTAGTCCAGTCCCAAGCCCCGCGTTCAACCGAACGCATGCAGGCTATGTCATGAGCAAAAAAATAAAGGACGATCACACCGACAACTCGTATTCTTATTCTGTTTTCTCATCTTCCAAAGTTCCTCCTTTGTCAAACACTTGGTGTGACCAAAGTTGCGTTTTCCCCTTCAACATCCCTTTCTTCACTCCCCACATCTCAACTCTCCCCTCGGCCCCGCAATTCTACCCCGGATCCGTAACCAAATCCACAATGGCTCTCAGCTTCAGAACAAGTCGCCATGCCTCCAAATTGGCCCAGGTAAGAGATTCCTCAAACTCTGATCCCCTTAATCTATTGTTTACATCGCGACGGGCCATTGACTGACTTCAATTGCCAGGTGTCGCGCCCCCTCTTTTCGGCCCGACGCTATGCGACCGCGGAGCCGGACCTGAAAACCACATTGAAAGAAGTCATCCCAGCCAAGCGAGAGCTGCTCAAGCAGGTTAAGGCTCAAAGTGAGGAAGTTATTGGAGAAGTCAAGGTGGGTAATGTGATCGGTGGTATGCGTGGCCTCAAGGCCATGCTGTGGGAGGGCTCCGTTCTCGACGCCGACGAGGGTATTCGCTTCCACGGAAAGACAATCAAGGACTGTCAGAAAGAGCTTCCCAAGGGCACATCGGGCACAGAAATGCTCCCAGAGGCCATGTTCTGGCTGCTCCTGACCGGCCAGGTCCCATCCACCGCACAGGTGCGCGCATTCTCCAAGGAGCTCGCGGAGAAGTCACATGTGCCCCCTCACATTCTGGACTTGATCAAGTCTTTCCCCAAGACCATGCACCCCATGACCCAATTGTCTATCGCGGTTGCTGCACTTAACACGGAGTCTAAATTTGCTCAAGCCTATGAAAATGGCTTGAACAAGGCGGACTACTGGGAGCCCACTTTTGACGACAGCATCTCGCTCCTAGCCAAGATTCCTCGTGTTGCAGCCCTGGTCTTCCGCCCCAATGAGATTGATCTCGTCGGAAACCAAAAGCTTGATGTCTCTCAGGATTGGTCATACAACTTTGCTGAGTTGCTGGGTAAGGGCGGCTCGGAGCACGAGGACTTCCATGATTTGCTCCGTCTGTACCTGGCTCTGCACGGTGACCACGAGGGTGGCAACGTCTCTGCCCACGCAACACACCTGGTCGGAAGCGCTTTGAGTGACCCCTTCCTTAGCTACAGTGCCGGTTTGCTGGGTCTTGCTGGTCCGTTGCACGGACTGGCAGCCCAGGAGGTCCTGCGCTGGATCCTGGCGATGCAAGACAAGATCGGCACTAAATTCACTGATGAGGATGTCCGAAGCTACCTCTGGAACACTCTCAAGTCCGGTCGGGTCGTTCCCGGCTATGGTCATGGTGTTCTCCGCAAGCCCGACCCGCGTTTTCAGGCGCTGATGGACTTTGCTGATACTCGCCCTGATGTTCTTGCTAACCCAGTGTTCCAATTGGTCAAGAAAAACTCTGAGATTGCGCCCGGCGTTCTGACTGAGCATGGCAAGGCATGTTATTCTATTCGTATTTATTGTTGACTGTCACTGACTGATTCCCGCAGACCAAGAACCCCCACCCCAACGTCGATGCCGCTTCTGGAGTCTTGTTCCACCACTACGGCTTCCAGCAACCCCTGTACTACACCGTGACCTTCGGTGTGAGCCGAGCTCTTGGACCCCTTGTCCAATTGATCTGGGACCGTGCCTTGGGTATGCCCATTGAGCGCCCCAAGAGCATCAACCTCTTGGGTCTGTTGAAGAAATAAGGACATAACGAATGTGTGAGTTACACGTCACATTTGTCTCTTTGATTCAGGTTATGAAAAGGCACGAGCGAGCCTAAATGGATTTTCTTTTTTCTTTTTGCAACTATTATGGCTTGTAACCTATTGATAGACATAGAATAGCATGAAAATGAATTTGTCTATCGGATTCCAAGGTTTGAGATGAAGCACAACCCTATCTAGACTTTCTCAGCTCAGCTATATACCGAAATCGAACTGGGAAGGGAGATGGGGAATGTATGTTAAGATAATACAAAGAATGTTCTAAGTTTTGCTTTACTACATGGAGATGACAATTGGAATCCATCATGTCTTTCTAGTTATCTCCTGGACTGCACCTTGAGATGTTCAACGCCAACCAAATCGGCCTCCTTGTTCAGGCTTGCAATCTCAGCCTCTGCAAAAGGGATTCCCTCGACCAATCTTTCCTCCTCGGTAATGATCTCCAATTCTCCAGGGAAATAGATCCGCTCCACACCCGTCATCTTCTCTGACTCTACAACTCTCTTGTAAAGATAGTCCATCCGTTCCTTAAACTCCTCCATACTCATGAATAAATCCGGCTTGATAGCCACAATGAAATGCCCAACATCGGCAGGCTTCGACGGATCATAAGGATTGGTCACATGTCCAGCAAACGCAGCCCCAGAAAAGACTCCCGAGAAGACATCCATCATGATCGATAGCGCAGACCCCTTGGGTCCCCCCATGGGTAACATGACCCCGTCAAGTGCCTTGGCCGGATCATCCGTCCGATTTCCATCTTTATCCAAGGCCCAATCCTCGGGAATCTTCTCCCCTCTCCTCAAAGCCTTATAAATCTTTCCTCGAGCCGCAATTGAAGGCGCCATATCCAAGATAAACGGCCTCGTCCCGTCCCCGCTCGGAGCCCCACACGCTATCGGCGAAACCCCCATCAGTTTCTCCCGTCCACCCCAGACCGGAAGCGCAGGCGAACTATTCGTAAACACAAGTGACATCATCCCCGCGTCTAACGCCTGCTTGACGAGCCACGCGGACATGCCGAAATGGTTCGAGTGTTTGACGGACACCATTCCCATGCCGAAGGTCTGTGCCATCTCGATCGCCCGCGCCATGGCCATGTGAGCGGCTACAAAGCCGAAGCCATTGTGGCCATCGACTTGAGCTGCCACGGGCGTTTTTTGCTCGATTGTCGGGGTGGCCGTGGCGTCGAGGGCTTTTTGTCGGATGCGCTCCATGTAGGAGGGGATTCGGTTGCTGCCGTGTGTGTCTACGCCGCGCAAGTCGGCGGAGACGAGGCATTTGGAAACTATCTCTGCATGTGTGGTGGAGGTGCCATTTGCGACAAGAATTTTGGTGACGAAAATTTCAAGGTCGTTCGGATTGATGAGTTGTAGTTGTGACATGTTGATATTGATTTAGGAGCTTTTGGAGAACAAACTTTTGCAATGTTGGATTTCCAATATTGGATCTCGAGTTTGAAACAAAAAAAAAATTGAATGTTGTTGTTGTTGTTGCCTTCGTTGTTTCCCTTTTTTTGCGTTGAAAATTGAGCCTGATGTTGTTGAGGGTGAGACTTATATAGTGCAACATTTGAAGCGGATGTGTCCCGATAGACGGAGTGCTCCCGCTCAAGTGGGTTCTGCGGTTTTGCAACTACGCCGTGCTTTCTGGTCCATAAAATTCCGCGTGATTGTTCAACATTTCAACCCGGTGTTGATAAATAATAGATTTGTATTTTGGATATCTCAAGTGGCTGGCTTCCGAGGCCAGATGTTGGTTTACCACGATGTGCATCGGCATGTGTACAAATCACAAACATTGTACGTTGTACTCTTAGGCTGTGTCAGATTGGTTGGAACTTGAAGGTTCTCATTCATGGTCATTAAATGCCCAGGTATAGTTCAACCATTCAAATAAGAAAAATATACTCAAATCAACAGAGTGTTCTAAGTTGTTTTACATGGCAATTGTCGCGAATCAATGATCGACGCGCCTCCATCTGTAAAGGGTCTCAAGGGTGGGGCCAGTTTGGGGGCCATCGCTTTTAAGGCGCGCCATAACAATTGAAATTGCCAATGCTCAAATACAGTACGGAACACGGGAGTCAGCTCGGTCGTGAATGGATAAGATTTGATTAAAAAAAAATTCCAAAGGAGATTACTCCCTCATATGCAATGGACGGCTTGTAAATCTTCAAATTGAATGTACCAAGGGGGGTATAGGCGGTTCACAAGGTGCGTGGATTTACTAACAGGCTCGCAGGTCCCGGGCCGACGCCGATTTGAAGCCCGAGTTTAGGGAGAGGCCTCTGCCCGAGCCTTCAGGTCCCGATTGAAGACGTCATAATCGGCTCTCATCTTTTTGCCAAAGATCGATGGACTGAAGAGGAAAGACATGAGTCCCTTGGAAGTCTCCGACTGCGTGAAGATAGTGCCTGCACCATCTTCCGTTGGCTCGATGTGGAACTTGTGTGAACCGGCAATGGTGAAAACAGGTGGACCCTGCCACGAGAAAAGACTTTCGGTGTTTTCCTATAGCGATAAATGTTGATATTGTCCAGCGTCTGTAAGAGATCAATGTTCTACGTATTACTTACCACGACCTCAGCAACAAACTTGAAACCTTCAATGTCCACTTTGACCTTGTCACCTGTGCCGAGAGATTCACTCGCCTTGCCTTCTTCTTCAATCTCGATGGACTTGATCCACGTTGTGTGCCATTCGGGGTAAGCTGCGAAATCGAGGAGCTGGAAATGGTGAGCGTTGTCTTGGGCCCGCTGGACTTGGAAGGGGGTCACTTACAATTTCGCGCACTTTTGCTGGTGCGGCGGCAATCTCGATCTTGCTCTCATTGAAAGGCATGTTTTTTCCGGGTTCCTGATGCAAATCCAGAATATTTGGGCAGAAGAAAGGGGGTGAAACGCGAACTGACGAAGCACGGAAGCTTACAGGGTGCGTGGATGTAAGACGCTATATCATCAATGCAGGGCCCCACTTGATCAATTGGAATTTGGGTTGAGAACCTAATCCGCCAGGCATCTTATCAGCAACAATCAATGTAAATACACCGTCCTCGTATAAGTCTGCTCTCAAGTGCTCTATGATACAATTAATAATACATTCGACTGTAAATCTAGGCAGTACCTAAATATTACACGCCCTCGACCTGCTCCCCAGGCGCCAACATCTTGATGTACCGATGTTCGCCAGTCTCCAACACAGCAACTTCGTCTCCAACTTTCATCAGGAACTCTTCGACAGCTGGCACGAGCTGCATTCCAAGGCAGGCGTTCGTGCGATCGCCATCGTCAATTTTCCGATATGACTTCAGCGCCCGATCCGGCTCCGCAGCATGCCTCACCCCTGTAAGAGGATCGACATTGGGCAATTTACACCGTACTGTCCGACACGCAGCGTGAATTTCGACTCCACCAATGGAGATTCGTTTCCAATGGTCCTCGGCAAAGGCACTAGGTCCTTGGATCACGATGTTTGCACGGAAACGCACGATGCTCAATTTTGGGATCGCGTACGCGCAGCGGGCGGCAACGTCCCTGTGACTTGAAAGACTGAGTAGGTGGATCGGGTAGGCATCTGCGAATGCGGTGTTGGGCTGAAAGCCTATGGCTTCTTTGCGGGGTGCGTTGCGAAAGATTTGGCGGGTGTGCACGGGACTTGCGCGGAAGAGCCCTAGCGGAGATGCTGCCGGGTTGAATCCTAGATAGGCATGCAGAGATGATGGGATGAGAGCACTGTAGTCGTGCGCTAGGGGCTTGTCCTTCCATATTTTAACGGGGAGAAGTGGGTACTCTGATATTGAGTCTTGCGAGGGAAGAAGCGGGACTTGGAACGAATGTCTGGATCTGAGAATACCAATTGTCATTCCAACTTTCTCAAGGGCCCTTCTTGCACGGCCTGGTAGTTGAGGCCGAGGGTAAGAGATGATCATGATGCCCTGCGATTGGATTCCTGGGAGTGAAGGATCATAGTCCCGGGCGGATGGATCGGGAACCCATATCTCCGCATGAATGAGGGCGAGACGTTGGAATCCTGCGTTGCGGAGGGTACGGGTGTTCCAGCCCTCGGCTCCGTGCTCCGCAAAGACAAATTGACGATCGAATTTGAGTCCCGTCGGTACAATATCGGATGTCTGCAGCTCAATGCCACCACAGGATTTCAGCGGGTATGTGAAAAGGGCCTTGATGCGCCAGGCGGGAAGATCGCCATCTTTCTCCGTCGGTGGGACACCAGAGTTGTACTTGGAATCGAATTCATCATGTAGATTGCTCTTACCCGGTGGAAGACCAAGTCGTCGACATCCCTTCGGACGGATCTGGGGTTTAGGACGAGAACAGAAGACAATTATGGGTAAGCAGCAGATCAGTAGCGTGAGCCAGGATGTCATATCCCCCCAATGAGCTTGCAACGCCGACATGAGACCTCTTGCACTTTCACGCCTTTTGATGAGGGAGAGCGAAAGTTCTATATCCCAAATTCCGCATTTCTCCACGATCCACCATTCACAATTTTAGGCTTGGCGCGGGTAAACACTGCCACCACGGTAACAAATACTTTTTTTTTTCGAATCTTTCTGATTCAACATTGAACAGGCGCTGGTAATTGTGGTTCTCAAGAAAAAGATAAGAGCAAACCCAACCCTCCCCCGGAATCTTTTTTTTTTCCAAAAAAAAGTCCAAAGAGACAAAAAAAGCGCACGCCCTGTTGGCGGAGGATAGTTCTGATGTCTAGCCTCGCCGGGAATTCGTCCTGGGGCTATTCCCTGGAGGGCATGAGTGGACAATGGTCTGTAGCAGGAGTCGAAAGTGTGTGCGCTGGGCGCGGTCGCTCACGGTTAGTGAGACTTTGGGCGAACTAAACAACAAGGTCAAAGGGAGATGCACCCTGATCAGTGATGGATAACAACTATTTTGATCTGATATATGCGCCACATTTTCAACGTTATGCTATCTAAATCATTTTCCTCACCTGGGACTCTTTCAGGTATTTCAAAATGAATCCAAGTGATCCATGTATCCACGATTCCACATGGTTAACCTTGGAACCCGGTCTCCATAATTCGAGAAGGAGCTCACATCCATAGCTCGCTGCTTGAAAAAAGTTTCGGCGCATGTGGGAAAGGCTTTGAAACCTTTTTGATTGCTCAGATAGCGCCGATTGTAGGACATCATGGATCCTCCGGAGTCCGGACGTCTCGGGATGAGAAGACAGATGCAGCACATACACTGGATCGGATTCCTCGGACAGCAATCAGACAAACAGGATTCGAAATGACTTTATAGATTGACCCGTTTGCGATTGAATGAATGTTGGGACTTGTTTCATCAACCCTGGAACAACCTTGCAACAGCTTGCCTCTTGAATCGAACGTTCATTACCATATAAAGACCCGTTCCATCTCCATATCAGCAGTGGGAACAAACAGGATAGCCATTCGGTTCTTCTATCTAGTCTTCTATCCTGTATCACTTCGTGAATCTTCAAACAAGAAACAATCTGTATGATCATCTTTGTCGGTAAACTCAACTACTCTCCTTATGCCTCGGACGAGCTATTCTCGGTCGTCTTCCGAGACAACGTTCAGCTTGGCGACAGCGTGACTGTCATTCACCAATGGTCGAAAGATGCCAGCGGAAAATCGAAAGCTAACTCTGCTCATCACGGCACCGTCAACAAAGTGACTCTTGTTGATACGGCGGAGAAGGATATTGAAATCTTCTCGGATGAGAAGGACCTGACTTATTATTGGTAATCATCACCATTGCCTTACCTAAATTAGTTTATTTCCCCTTTTTTCCCTTCCTTTGCTGTTACTAAATTGATATTTTAGGTACAAGGGAAAGGTCTTGGGTGAGAAGTTGACATTGTCCATGTTCAACAAAGGGGGAGAAGAGGTTGCGAAGAATATTCAGCTGCAGATTGCTTTCTTCTGATGCTAAATCAAACATTTGAAATAGAATCCACAGCACTTGAAATTTTCACTCCAGATGTCTCCAGCGCATCACTATCCTAGCTCTTTCTGGACGTGAAGCTTGAAACTGCAGCTATGGATGTAAACATTTGAATGATGCACATTAGGTATCTATTGAAGATTTCAAATAATCTGAAAGAGAGTCCATAACAGACATAAACTTTGAGAATCCGAAACAAAAGTTCGCGCATGATCCATCATATCATGAATGTACAGTCTTGGAATACAAGGTCGTGTAGCTAGCCTGCTCCAGTATCAGTTCCACTGCCCAGGCGGCTACAGCACACCCATGTTTCTTGTCCATGGATGCATTTTCCCATTTCCATCTAACTTTGCACCCATACCTCGGCAATAACAGTTTCATTCTGCCTTATGCGGCCGGCGCCGGTGCTCTTCGCCGTCGCGTGATGTTTGCAGATCCGACTGTCAGGATATAGAACACTCCAATAACTCCCGCGATCACGCCAATCGCAATTGCCGCACTTCGAGGGGCGTCGGGGTCGCCAATTCCTGTGAATTGAAATCCAAGTCCAACATTGATCACGCCAAGAATAATCATGATTCGCCCAAACCAACGATGCATGTAAGCAAAGGGCCCTTTGCCGCCAGTCTTACGAAAGAACCGGTGCTGGAGAAGACCCATGGCAGGCTGGAAAAGAACCAAACTGGCAATCACGATGATCCCGATTATGATATGATAATGAATCAGGTTTTGGATCTGCCGGGCCATTGAGACTCCCAGGCCAAGTCCTGCGATAGCCACAAGAAGAGCGAAAAGTTGCAGACCTCCATGAATAGTCACAGTGTTGGTAGACGAAGATAAATGGAGAAGCAGTGCGGAGAAGGGGAACAATATGACAAAGGCAATAACCATCAGCACCCCGTGGGCAATCTTCTTGCTATGGAAGACTGATTCTGGAAAGGGATAGTCGGGATTGGCATTCAAGCTGGTGCTGATGATGTCGGCAAAAGGATTTACACCGGTCTGTCCAGTCGCTTTCGTCAAGTCCACGGTTTCAACCCCCATCACATCATGCTCAAGGATGTTTGCCGAGAGACTGCGTGTTTTCAAAGGCATCCCATAGCGAACCCCCCAGATCCATGAGCTGCTCGAGCTGCTCGGATTCATGCTACCAGGACCCCAATGAATACAGCTGTCACACTTGATATTAGCCGTAATCATTGGCCCGTGAACCCCGCTACCATTCATGACTGTAATCTGTGCGGCAGGGTTATACAATGGCTGGACATGACCCACACTGGACCGTGGGGAAACAGTCACATTGTCACCGGAGGTATAAACCACAAACATGTTAGCCCCGGCCATGTGATCTCCCTGGCCTAATGCAAACCATTCTATACGGCGAGTCGAATTCATTTGAAAGTATATCGGCCCATCAATGCTGGAGTTCGCAGAGGCAGAGGGAATATGGATGCTATAAGTGAGTCAATTAGGACCCAATGGAGAAAATGTGTGAAATTGTGCCCGGACAGCGATAGCCCAAACAAACCAGCTCAAAGCATAGATAATCGTCATTGCGGAGGTGACTGATTGGCCTCATCATTCAAAGTAGAGGGGAAATGGTGAATCATATAGACTTTTCCTCCGATGATCTCACTCCTCCGGTTACACGGAATCCTTCAAAAAAAATAGGCCGGTTTGCATATCGACTGCGAATACCGTTGTGGCCCCGGTATCTAGGTTATCCCTCGTATGTGGAGTTATACAGTTGCTCGAGCCCCCAGCTGGCTTGGTACCACCACAACCAACTCAGCCAAGCATCTTCTAGAAACTGTAGTACTCGAGATACCGAATCAGGTATGACAGATTGCCAGTTCTCGATGGTGATCTCTGCGCAATCGAAATTTAAACCTTCAAGAATGAGCGCTCATATTGCACTTTCACCTGTCGATAGATTGAACGGATCTAATAGACTGTGGAATTAAATTTTGGTTGGCCACCATGCTCGTGTGTTCTTCAAAAGATTAAAAAGAGAATGGATTTACCACTCTGGAGTGACCACCATTCGCATCACTGGAATCCGTCTTAATTCCCGAAGTTTCAAAGGTTCGTGCGGCCTGAGCTTAGTGATGGAGCTCCGGATGGTGATTGTGGCTATGTAATGCAAATTTTGGCGCCCTTGGACATTCAGAATTGACAGTAAGAAGGCATTTCTGGGTAGGAATCGTCAGGTAGACATGGTAAATATTAGTTGGTCAATCGTTCTTTCCAACTCGTCAGAACAGATCAGCCCAGCACCAACCTTGGAAGCTGCTGGGTTACACGATAATCCCAACCACATGGGTCAATAAAGATGTGCCGTTGTGCAGATCATCGCGGGCTCAAGAAAATGATTTTTTCCAATGTTGGACATATGCCTAGACTCGAAGGCCGACTGGGAACATAAACATGGGAAGATGGTTGGAACTGGCTGCTGCTGTACCTAATGCACCAGTCTTCCAACATGAGCCCAATGGGTAGCATGTTGCCGTCAGCTGAGCTGATCAATAAATGTCAGTCACTGTGGGTGAGGCTTGCATTATTAATTCAAATCAGACGGGGTTGTCACAAACATCATCGCTCGTGGCCTACATAGTTCCAGGGTCACATGAAGTCAACATTTTGCAAATTCAAAGGTTTGATTCAAACCGTTTGAAGATGTAGTGTGTATAAATAGTACGGAATATGGATGTAGAGTCTAGACTGTAGTAGCGCGTAGTTGGTCAGGAGCGACCAGTTGACTGTTGCTGTCACATGACCACGCGTCGAGTTGGTGTCTTGTGAATCTTAGTAGTAGCAACGCGAACCTCTCTTCCCCCTTTGGAAACACCAACCTCATCCAACCCCCTTCCACACAACCAGGTAACAATATCATGATGGTGATAGCGAAGTGATTGATCAGCTTGAATTGTTGTTTTTAGGAACGTCCGCCTAACCGAGGGTTTGTTGATACGCGTTGTTGTCCAGCGATTGTCCCGCTTCAAACCATCCAGCCTCTTGCCTTCCCAAGGCATTTTGTACAGCCAAATCCTCTTCTGATCCAATTGTCCCGCTTCGGTGGGCAGTTGGGGTCAAACACCCTAAACAGCACCTCAGTCGTGTCTTTCAAGACAAGTTTCGCGGGAAATGCATGCCGAGATCACAATTAGCCACTTCAGTCTTGACGGACAGAAAATGCGAAAGTTTTGTCGGTCAATTTTTATTCTGCCCAGACGGTCTACTATTTCAGAGTTCCTACGAGCCAGGCGTCAGTTCTCCTATGCTGGACAGCATGCAGGTCACAACAGGATGGCCAACGTATGTCGAGGACGGATATTCAGGAGAAAAAGGAGGTGGAGCACGTCGGACACCTCGGCATGAGAGGTTGTCTTTGGGAGCATCGACAGCGCAGCGAGCATCGGTGGATTTATGAAACGGGCCGGTATTGAATATCCATGGGCATCCTTCTGAAGTGGTTCAGAGATTCGGCGCCTAGAGCACGACGGGCACTATTACACACGCCTCACAAGCGACAGCTTACCATGGTCCACTCGTCGGAATCTGTCCTCATCTCCCTGAACTTGCCCAGGCATTTTTTCACAGATAGGATCGTCGCGAGGCCATTCTATTTTGTCTGCTGTGAAGGCTGTCTGTTGCTCACCAGGGCTTCAGACATTATAGACCGTTGGCACGCTCCGGATGGCAATGTATCTTCCCATGACAGTTTGGTGTTTTCAATCTTGTTCGTCTTTGTATCTTCTTCGACGTTGTCAACTGTCAGTCGTCCCGTACGTGTTTCTCCGATGGGGATACCTGGGTATCTTGCCCCTGCTTTTCACCTCTTCGATTCTGCTCCGGACCCGCGGGTCACTACGCGCCTTGAATCCCGGCATCAGCCATCCGATTCTACTTTCTCTGAAAGATCCAGACCAACCGTGTCAACCATCTCTTTACGATTTTATTTTGCAAATTGATTGATGGGCGACGACTATTTCAACAGTGAGCTCCGTTCATTGTTCCTCCCCAAGGGAGAAGGAAGCGATCTTTTTCAGGATGTTCTTTGTGCGCTTCATTATCACGCCTTCCAGTTGCGGAAAGGAAACAAAAACTTGTCCCCGAGGGTTCTGTACTACACACAAGAGACCGGTTTGACGATAGAGACTTTCGCTTTCGACAGTGCGGATTCATCAATACCCGAGGCGCGGATGGCTTCATTACACAATTCGATCAGTTGCACTGCGCCCCCACCCAACCTTGAATCTATTTGCGATTGTGCCGGGATTAGGATTCGGTTGGTCGTGCTCATTCGGCCTCGTTTTGATACCAGTCGCCCTTCAGCTATTTCTACCAAGTCCACGAGTTCTTCGTCCAACAAATCACGGTTGTTCTGGCCAGATTTTGAAGTAAATTACCCTCTCTGTTTCTTCTTGTCGTTTAATCTTGATCATGTGGTCGTGGTTGGGACATCTCTCACTATCTAGTGGATGGTGTGGGACCTCTCTCGAGTGAGGATCAAAGCTTTGGCTTGTCCATGCCACCTTCTAGCGAGTTATGTTCTCCGCCCGGTCTCTTTGATTGGATTGAATGAAGCGACCGATGAAAATTATACCGAATTTCTGATACCAAGGAACGTCTGAAAGATTTTTTTGGAAGTCGGACTGGAGAAATTGGGTTGAAAGCGTTTCTGGGTCGGATGGGTGCTGGTGAGCCCTGCCGTTTCCCTTTGCTTATGGCTGAGGGGAACGGCCCTTTTTTCCCTCTCTCTTATAAGTTGCCCCTCAGTTCTTCATTCCATATTGGAAAGATCACTAACTATGCTTCTCAGGGACGGTGTGACAATGCCGTGCAGCCCGTGCTGGTTTAGCTCCGCACGGGTAGCCCCACCGGGGGGTGATTCGGCAAGACGCAGTTGTGATTGGTGGGCCCACCGGGGCACAGATGCCTGTATCGCTGAGAGCGGGATCCTTACGCGAGAGTCTCGCCTTTCTTTCTTGTTTCCCCCCAAAGTTTGAGGATTTATGCTTCATGGCCCCTGTTCCTATTAGCCAACCATCCCATGCTTTTCTATGTATCCTATGGCCTATGAACCGACTTCGCTTGACTAACCGCTTTTGAGGTTGTAATGGTGGATCCCTCGTTTGCTTCTAGAATTACCTCCACTATCCCGTATTTCGCGTAGCTTAACCTACTGGGGCCTACCGAAATGTCATGCTGGAGGAAGGGCCCGTCGCCACTTTCCCTGAAATCAAAGGGTTACGTCGCAGGCATGCCACGATGCCAGTCTAGTGGATCCACTCCCCCCTGCTTGCTCTTTGACTAGGTATTGTATTGTGGAGTTCTCTCGGGTTGATAAGCGATGCAACAAAATCTGAGGTACGTGGTTTGTGCCGAATATCTCCTCGGAAGGTGGGAGGCCTAGTTTCTTTTTTATAGGCTAAATGTCTGCTAGGGCCTACCTTTTTCTTGCCAACTACATATCAAAATGTATCTGTCGAATGTCGCAACACACCGTACAATTTTATCCTCGAGGGGACCCGGATCCAATATGGAGGTTCCGCATACTCACAAGGCTGTCGATGCGGATGAATACCATAAACTGAATAATGTCCTCTCCTTGCTGTTCCCCTCCACCGTCCACGTACAACAGTCGCAAAATATCAACGCTCAAGTTCATACTCTACGCCTTCTTACCCTGTCAAATGGAGGTAGACTGCTTCTCAAGGGCTCTCCATTACCGGGAACCCCCCTTCTACGACACGAGCGGTTGTTTCTTGAGACCGAAGCCCGTTTCCTGGTCCTCCTGGGCCAAAGCGCAAATCCCTGCATTCCACAACTTTATCATTATGACCCGCGAGGGGGCCTTCTTGGCTCTGCCTATCTAATTCGGCAGTATATCAAAGGCAACAGTCTGGCAGAGATGAAAATTCATATCACTACCCAGCAAAGAAACGATATCGACCGCCATCTTGGCTTCTTAGCTAGCACTGTCGGCCAAAATGTGGCCCCGGGCTTCGGCTCCTTGCAGCAAGTCGCCATGGGCGCGGGAAAGCGCTCCTGGCGAGAGGCGTTCTGTGGTCTTTTTGAAGGTGTCCTCCGTGACGCTGAGGACATTTTTATTCACCTTCCTTATGCCGAGATCCGGCATGAAGTGGGCCGTCTCTCGGGTGCATTGGGTGAGGTGACCTTACCCCGTCTTGTGGTGGTTGGTTTTGGCCGCCCATGCCACGTCTTGTTAGATGAGAAGTCTCATCAACTGTCTGGTGTGGTGGACTTTAGCACCGCTTTCTGGGGCGATATTTTGATGGCAGAGTTATTCGAATATCCCACCCCTGCTGTCCTAGAAGGGGCAGGTCTACCATTGTCCAGGACTAAAGGGGAGGAGATACGTCTGTTAATGTTAGTCAATCCCGGTTATAGGTTCCCTGCTTGGCTTTCCTTATGCTAACCATCTTTTTTTTTGAATAGGTATTCATGCTACCGACTTGTGTCGCAGATTACTTTGCAATATTATCGAAATCGTGATGAGACGACAGAATTTGATGCTCGTCGGAGACTCCTAGCCACCATCTCGGAGTTGGTTGGTCTGGCACCGATCTGAAAACGAGATCCAACACGATGGTGAATAGATCATGATGCAAATGTTTGAGGCACACATGATACCCTTGCTTTTCCAGTACATAACTACTATAGATATGCCTTCGATTTCTGTTGATCGGATCGTGAAAGTTGCAACTTTGGAAAAAAAATTTACGCCCGGCTGTATATATAGCTTGGTGATTTTAATTAGCGTTTCGTGCTCAAGTTACAGATACTAGTACCTTGGGAACATTTGAAGCGATGAACTTCGTTTTCGGGTTTTTAAAGGAAAGCTATTACTCCAAGGACTCAGTGGTGTGCTCTTGTAGAAGGGGGATCTTAAATGAGGAGGGTTATCAACTGTTGGTTAACTACTACTAAGTAGTACTTGGTAGTTACATACTACTAGTACATCATAGTAGTAATCAACTGGTGTCACATGCAGGAAAATATACTGTGGCCTGGTCCCCCAGGCGGTCAGGCCGAAATTCTCGGGCATTCAGGCATTTTCCAGTCCCGTGCCCCGGATTACTCATCCTATTCGTCCCATGACGTCGCGGTTCTTTTTCCTTTCCCTTCAATTTTGTAAAGAATTCAATCCATATTTGTTCTACAAGACGATATGCTACTTTACCTTCTACACTGCGAAATTCCTTTTTATCAGAGCTCCATTCCCATAGGATAATTTTTACTCCGTCTTTCTCCACCACGACAGCGCCCGAGATACTACTAGTACGGATTTTTCTTTCCTCTCTACGCCCTTCCTTCATCTCACCCCTTCCACCATGCCTGATCTTCGTCGCCAAATCTTTGAGAGCGGCAAGACCGTCTCTCGCAAAGCAGCTTCCCGTGAGGCCTCGAGAGCCACCTCGCGTGCTAGTTCGAAGCAGTCCTCCCGGGCTGCAAGCAGACAGCCATCCGACGAGGAGGATGCAGGATATCTCTCTGACGATACAGCCATGAGGTGAGCTTTTTCGGTCCTGATTTTCATTCGTCCCTTTTTCCTTGTTTCATCTTTTTTCTTCATCTGTGTGCATTTCAAGGCATCCCCACAGTTCCACTTCGTGGCGGGATGATGTCACCACCGCCGGGGACATGGTTTTCCCTATACAATTTTATTTTTTGGAATATCCCTTGGCACAGTAAACTGACATATTCACCCATGTAGTATCGGCTCGCTGGATGATGAGAACCCCGAGCAAGATAATGCCGACTGGCCCCAGGAACTGGCTGATCGGATCCAAGAAATTCTCGACCGCAAGCGCTCCAGTTCACAGGGTCGTGAGGAGGCCTTGGCTGCATTCTGTCGTCTTACTAAATACCATTATGCGGTCGAAGAAATATACGCATCTGTCACTGATTTACTTGTCGCATTCTCGAAAAGTGCCCGGTCGGATTCTAGTGCTCGAGAGATAACCCTGGCACTGCGAGCGATCGAGCTGCTTGCCATCACAGCTAGTGATAACAAGGTCTTTGAAAACACCGAGCCGCTTTTGACTCGCACCATTCGGGATTCGTCGTCCAATGCTGTCAAAGCCGCAGCAATTCAATGTCTTGCAGCTTGCACCATCTTCGGTGGTGCTGGTGAAGATGGCATCCTCGACCAGATGACTTTTCTTCTCGACATTGTTGCCTCCGATGGGCATTCCATCAACGCGCCCGATGACCCAATCAGCGTGACGGCAGCACTGCAGGCCTGGGGATTCCTAGCAACTGAGATTGAAGACTTCGAAAGCGAGAGCGAAGAAGCAGTGCAAATCCTCATGGACCAGTTAGATAGCGGCGATTCGGCTGTGCAGATCGCAGCGGGTGAAAACATCGCTTTACTTTATGAAAAGAGTTACACGCCCCAAGAAGATGATGACGACGACGACGGTGACGAGGAAGACTCTGAGGACAGCGACGAGCATGAAGCTGCTACCAACGGTCCAAAGCTTGTCAAGCGTTACAACGCCTACCACAACACCCCTGACCTAGAGCGTCAATTGCAATCCCTAGCGCACGTACACTCAAAGTCTATTAGCAAGCGTGATAAGAAATCCTTGCACAGCAATTTCGCATCGATTCTTACGACTGTTGAGAACCCTCGTCGTGGGCCTCGTTACAACATGGCTATCAATCAAGATACGAACCAACACTACGGCAGCACTTTGACAGTCAAAATCGGACGGCATGGAATCATGGGTATCGATCGCTGGTGGAAATGGACCCGCTTGACGGCACTGCGCCGAATCCTTCAAGGTGGATTCAGCGAGCACTATTTCCAGGGAAATCGTGCTGTTCTGAACAATTTGCCTGTGATGCTACGCAGCGTTGAGCCTAGCCAAGGTTCGGTCGATCGTCAAAGTGCCAAGAAAGCCGCAAAGATGCGAAACTCGAGACGATGGACAGCTGCCCAGGATTCCGATGATGAAGAATAAGCTTTATGTCTTCATCTCTCACTTTTAGTCTGCATCTCTTTCCTTACAAAAATATTTGCGTTCAGATTCACGATAGTTATGATCATGATATTCAATGTTACTTTCTATTGTTATTCTATACTAGTTAGATTCGCACTGTCAATGCCAGCGTTTCCACCTTCTCCATTCTGAAGATTTGAAGCAAAAGTGCAGTCAAATTTCAAAAATGTAGCAGGCAACCTTGGAACTTCGTTGGGCCCTGATTATGCTCTCAGCCCCTCCCCCCGGTGCATCTTTGTTGGAGACCTCGGTCTATATCCACGCACCAAATCCCGATGAATCTTAGATCAAGCTGTAGAGTCGGAGCAATGATCTGTATTCCTCTGGAGATAAGCCATAAGCACCAATGTTGGTTGGGCATAATAAGTCTGAATGCTACTAGTACTGAGTAGATGGGGAACACACATTGGTTCTATAATATGGCAGGTATCTTTCATCGAAATCTATAGCGATGCACATTTTATTTTGAAGAGACTGTGAAACGCTTTCTCTTTTGGTATTCTTAGATATGTACAGTACAAGTTGGCATTTAATCCCTGGCTCCAATGCATCAGATTCCTAAAAAACTCCACTCCCAAACCATTTGAACTTATGTCATGATGTATTTGGGGCCCTCTCCACCCTGAGGAGTTTGCCAGTTAATATCCTGAGTAGGAACTTTGATATCGCATGTCTTGCAGTGGATGCAACTAGATCCCTGTGTTAGTGAATAGATTCTGAACCAAAGCAAAAGGATCAAAAACTTACTTCTGAGCGTTGATCTGGAACCGGACTCCATGCTCTTTGCTTGGGTCCTCAACGTACTCGTATACTCCAGCCGGACAGAATCGATTCTCAATGCCCTTGTAAACGGGCCATGCCAGGTCCTTGTGTTTGTCCCAGTCCTCTACTTGGAGATGCACAGGCTGGTCCTCCTCGTGGTTGGTACCCGTGCGGCTCACGCTGGTTAAGATATCGAAGCTGATCTCGCCGTCAGGTTTGGGGTAGTCAATCTTGTTGTATTGCGAGGCAGGCTTGGTAGCCTCGGCGTCCGTGCCATGGTGACTGAGAGTCCATGGAACACGGCCCTTGAAGATTAAGGCCTCGAGTCCGGAGTAGAGCAGTCCACCGAAGAAACCGAGGGGGGTGTTGAAAGATGGTCGGATGTTGCGCACTTCATACAACTCCTTCCAGATGGATGAATCGCGGAGAGCTTGCTCGTAATCGAACAGGAAAACTGTGCCCTTATCTTCGCCCTTCAGGGCGGAGAATGCTGCCTCGGCGGCCAACATACCCGACTTCATCGCGGTGTGCGTGCCCTTGATCTTGGGAACGTTCAAGAATCCCGCGGTATCACCAATCAAGGCACCGCCGGGGAATGCGCACTTGGGGATGGACTGGAAGCCACCTTCGTTAAGCGCACGAGCACCGTACGAGATACACTTGCCGCCCTCGAGAACCTCCTTGAACATGGGGTGATGCTTCATCTTCTGGAATTCGCCGTACGGTGACAGCCACGGGTTGGGGTAATCCAATCCAACGACAAGACCAATGCTCACCATGTTGTCGCCAAAGTGGTACATCCAAGCGCCACCGTATGTGTCCTTGGGCAACGGGTACCCCATAGAGTGAATGATCTCTCCAGAGCGGAACTTCTCCGGCTGAATCTCCCAGATTTCCTTGATACCCAAGCCGTATGTCTGGGGTTGACTGTTCCGTCGCAGGTCGTATTTCTTAATAACTTGCTTTGTCAAGCTTCCGTGGCAGCCCTCAGCCAGCAGTGTGACCCGCGCGTGGAATTCCATTCCCCGTTCAAAGGTGTCCTTAGCCTGACCCTCACGGTTCAGACCCAGATCGTTGGTGGCCACACCCTTCACAGACCCATCAGGCTTATAGACCATTTCGCTGGCGCCGAAACCGGGATAAACCTCCACACCAACCTCCTCCGCTCGCTCGCCCAGCCACTGTGTCAACTCGCTCAGACTGAGAATATAATTGCCATCGTTGTGCATCTGCGGCGGGGTTGGAAGCGGGTACGATCCGGTCTTGGTGAGGAATCGCATCTTGTCGCCTTTGGCGGGGGTTGCACCGGTGAAGCGCGAAGGGTTGTCTTCGGACAACCAGTCCGGGAATAGCTCATTCATGGCGGTCGGCTGGAGGACATTGCCTGAGACGATATGCGAACCAATCTCACCAGCTTTCTCCAGCAGAATAACGCGGAATTCCTCGTTTCCGGCTTCATTGGCGAGTTGTTTCAACTTGATGGCAGCAGCGAGACCGGCGGGACCTATTGAAATCCAATGCGATTGGTTAGATTGTTTTGGGAACTTGACGGGGAAAGTTGGAGGATTGCCATGTGATCACAACCCATGTGAAGAGATCGGCCTGCACATACCACCACCCACGATGCACACATCCACCTCGTCATACTCTCGGTCCAACTTCCGAGGGTCAAAGTTGCCATTTTCGTCAGTAAAGCGGCGTGATACTGTCTGGGAAAAGGCACGGGTCTGGGGAGAGGCGAGGGCGACCCGGCGGGCTACTCGACGGTCGGAGGTCGAGAATGGACGAGCGGGACGAACTGAAGAGGCAATAGCGGTGGAGAAGGAATGGCTAGCTCGTGCGATTCGGATGGAGGATCGCATTTCTCGCCTCAGCAGAGGCAAGATGGCGCTCTTGGACGCCATCGCGGGGCTGTGAAGACGGAAAACGGCGGGAGGGTAAGTGTCGGTAAGCGGAGGATGGCAGGATCAAATTATAGGCATGTGGAATTAAAGCATGACCATTGAAGAAATAACGATTGAAAGCTTATGTCAAATCCCAACACCTTCAATAACCGAACAGCTTTTTGTTCTGGGTTTCTTCGCAAACGCCGAAAACCGCCTACCCGAGGCCCAGTGAGGTGCTTTGGGGCCAATCAGAGCGGAGGTGATTGGCAATTCCCCGCTCATCCGGTTCGCCGAGTGCGGCGGCTGTTATAGAATACAGTGATGATCGTCAAGCTCCAAGGCACTTCATCTTACCCTATTTTCCACTAAGAGATCTCAACGAAAGATCTCCTTTCAATGTTTCAACCTCCACTTACTCGGACAATTTAGTGAATTCAGGACCAATCCACCCAAAAGAGGCTCGAAGGTACATACTGACATCGGCTCCTTATCTTCACTTCTCCAAGGGTGGGAATAAACGCCGAAATTTGCCGCTTTCAGTCCAGAAGCCACCGTGACTAGTTCGTAAGTGTGCCATTTGTACATTCAAACGCCTAGCTGTATCAACTCTATTCTAATACGATGACTGTCAAAGACTGACTGTTTTCTTTGTAGAACTGTCCAATCAGTGACCTATGTCTATGATTTGATTCGTTTGGGGGTCCGGGGTTGAATCCCGACTTCGGCGATCGTGGTTATGTAATCGGGTTTCTGCCACCTCCAGCTCCACGTTGGACCCTGTTGGAGAAGGCGGTAAAAGCCAGCCTGGCTGAACATACTACATAGTACCGAAACTAGCCTCTGATATTATATTCTATCGTCCTAGTTTCATTATCGCAAGGTTCGAAATATAAGTCAATTTCTCAGTCGAGGTCTTCTGCATAGCAACTCTAGATGTGTTTTATAAATGATTAAAGTTCAGTAAAAAAAAGCTCAATGACGAAGGAGTTGATCAATACAATCCTCGAACACGTCTGGGCTGTGCCAGGTAGAATTCAAACTCGGTAGGCAGGATTGTCATTGAAATACCATACATAACCGTCCCCGTAAATCCTTTCTCTGATAATGCTCAAACATTTCATTGATCTGATCAACAGAATACGTCTTCTCAATATGTGTCTTGCATCCATTTTTCGCATGCAGATCAATCATATTCTGACTTTGCTCGGGTGTACAGATCAGCCGTCCCTTGATAGTCTGTTCCTTGAAGCTGAGCGCAAACGGATCAACCTCCAAAAGCTGGTCCGACGGCAAACCGACATCGACCAACGTTCCTCCCTTACGAAGGAACTGCTGAGAGAATTTGATCAGTCCCCGTGCTTCGGTGTTGATGACGACGCGATCAACTCCAGGGTTGGTATCGTAGAACGAGGACTGAAGCTCCTTGATCACGTTTTGCTCGGCGTCAGAGGAGTCGACAACAAACGTCTTATCTGGCTTGAGGTGCGATGGTACATTGAGAGCTGTCTCGATTCCCTCTTTACGGTTATCAATTGCGATGACCTTTGCACCCATCGTTTTGGCATATTGGACACCCAGGTGTCCCAGTCCACCAATACCAATCATCGCGAGCCAATCGTCTTTCTTAACGCCCGAAGCCAAAAGTGCTCCATAAACAGTGGCGCCCGCGCAGAAAAGAGGTGCAGCTTCGTCAAAGGAGATGGACTCAGGGATCTTGGAAACAACACGGGCGTCGGCTTTCATGTATTCTGAAAAGCCACCGTTGATCGTGAGGCCGAGCATGCCAACGAGCTTCTCGCAGAGCTGTTGACCTTGCTTCTTGCAGGCGTTGCAGGTGCCGCAGAACCCGTACGTGTTGATGGACCCAACTCGGTCGCCGACGTGGATGTTAAATTTGCCTGCATCTGATCCGACTTTTACCACTGCTCCAGCGGGTTCATGGGAGCCGATAAGTCCTGGCTTGGCACCGCTTGACTCGTAGACACCTTCCATGACTTGCAGATCGGTGTGGCAGTAGCCTGCGGCACCGATCTTCACGAGAATATCATTTGGTCCTAGGTCACTAGGGACTGCGACGTCACGGACTTCATAGCCTTTTTTGAAGTCCTTTACGACCGCGGCTTTCATCGTTTCGGGTATTTTGTCTGACATTTTGATGTAGTGGCTGCTGAGTAATAATTGATGGATTGGATAACTATTGACAAGGTGTATAAAGTCAGGTTGAACACAACAGCACATGGGCTCAAGTGCTTTTAAAGCATCTTTCCCCCTCCCAAAAGGCACTGAGACTGTGCATGATTAATTCTATAGCAAGTCCTTGGCCTGATTGACATACTTGTTACGTCAAGTATACAGGTCAGTGGTGATGTACGATAAAACTTGCTCTCGGCCTTACCAAATCCGGGATCCCGTGTCAACCAGTTCACCAGTTCACCAAGCTTTCCAAGATTCTTGTCGAATGGACCCACATCTATATCCCTCCCAAAGAGGTTAGCGTTGCGGTACCATCCGAGCTTTGGGAATTGGGGTAATTCAATTTGTCCAAATCCACTCGCAACGCTACTAAGAAACAATCCTATGGATGGTCCGAGTAGGTTATGTGTCATGACAAAATGTATTGAATTTCAAAAGTCCTAAAGTTGCGCTCGAACGCTTGATCTGAAGCGCAGATAAATCTGAAATCGCGATTGCAATGCAAAAAGATTCCCAGAGTCCAAAAAACAAACAAACCGAACGTTGGGCAGCGTGCAATCGTCGCCCCGGTTCTTTTAGTGGTTTCGCCAGGAGCTCACCGGAGACACCGTGTCTTCGTCTTCATGAAATCAAGATTTGGGTGCCTCGGGGTCACCTTCAGCAACCAGCTTACCAACAACCAGATACTTCTCCGTGAACCGTTCCTCCCACGACTGGAGGTTCTCCAGCTGATCCGCATCCAGGTCCTTGAGCTCATCCAATGGAGCCGAAAGGTCCTTGGTCAACATTTCTTCGTCAAAGCTCTGGTGAGCCAGGCCGCGGGATGCATCCCGACCTGCGAAGTTCTCGTAGGGACCACCCTAAATCCATCGCATGTCAGCCTAGGAATTTGAAGACCCTGATCCATCACACATCCACCTACCGGTCCGTAGAAGTTTCTGCCAGGAGTCACATCGAAGATACGACCGCGCACAGCCAGATACACAGGCCGATCGTTCTCGCCGTTGAACTCGATCAGTGTTTTGGGGGTGTAGACGCGGAAGACGGTTGGGGGCGGCCCGCGCGGGAGCTCGATCGTTTGCTTGGGGCGGAAGTGCCAGTAAACCAGCACGACGAATATCGAGACAAGAATAAGATTGATTGGAGAGCCGATCGACATGCTGTTCGCGATTGAATTAGCTGGGGTTGGTTTTGGGGAGTTAACGACTGAAAGATAACGAACACTTCGGCTTGGGGTGCGGAGTCTTCTAGAGATTTAACAAATACGTCAGCAAAGTTTACTAGTAGATGATGCAGATAGTATAACAGTACCTGCAGCGGTCATGGTGGATGGGGTAAAAAAGGTTGCGCGATTGTACTAGTCGTGGTGAAAGAGTGGATGTTAGTAAGAAGGGAAATGCCTCGGGTTCTGCGGAGATAAATGACATCGACTTCCCCCGCCCCCACGTGATGCTTATATAGCAAACTTACTAGTAGCTATGCAGATGGAAATTTTTCGTTGGCAAGACTCGTTGACTGGGGCTCATTTACAGAATAAAATATACAGTACTTTTCTACAACATCTCGAAAAGTAGGTGAAATGATACGTTCACAATCCATAAAGGCCATTGACTAATCAACATCGAAGCAATCGATTCCAATTTCCGCAGGCTGTATCTCACGTGCGATAAGCCGATAAGCCGATAAGCCGATAAGCCGATAAGCCCCTCGTCTACCGATTAAAATCCACTTGTACCTTCTACAGTTCAACTACTTTGCGACAATGACCAAATTCAGACCATGCATTGACCTGCACTCAGGACAGGTCAAGCAAATTGTGGGTGGTACCCTCAGCAATGTGGCGGAGGATCTAAAGACCAATTACGTCTCCAAGCTTCCAGCCAGCTACTATGCGGAATTATACCAGAAGCACAATTTGCGTGGAGGACATGTGGTGAAGCTTGGTCCGGGTAATGACGAAGCTGCGAAGGAGTCGCTGAGTACCTGGAAATCCGGATTGCAGGTTGCTGGTGGCATTACCGATCAAAACGCGCAGTACTGGATTGATCAAGGCGCAGAGAAGGTGAGCTCTCCCCGCACTATAATATTCTATAGCATTGGTGATTCGCGAAGCCTAACCGTATCCAATTACATATGGGTTATAGGTCATCATCACCTCATTTCTCTTTCCTTCGGGCAAATTTTCCCTAGAGCGGCTCCAATCCGTCCTTGCAGCACTGGGTGGTGACAAGTCGAAGCTGGTCTTGGATCTGAGTTGCCGCCGAAAGGATAACACTTGGTTTGTGGCGATGGATCGTTGGCAGACCATTACTGAGATGGAAATCACCGCTGGTATGAGGACTCAAATCTACAGTCCCGAAATCAGTAAACTAATGAACGGATAGAATCAATTGCCTTCCTGGAGCCCTACTGCTCCGAGTTTTTGATCCATGCTGCAGACGTCGAGGGATTGCAGCAGGGTGTGGACGAGGAATTGGTTTCTAAACTAGCTGATTGGTGTAAGATTCCCGTCACATATGCTGGTGGTGCTCGCAGCATTCAGGATCTGGAAAAGGTTCATGTTAGCAGCAAGGGCAAAGTGGATTTGACCATCGGAAGCGCCTTGGATATTTTTGGCGGCTCCGGAGTGACGTTTGATGAATGTATTCAGTGGAATGAGACCCACTGAAGAATGAATAAATAAAATAGAATATCAAGATTGAACCTCAGAACCCAATTTGTCCCAATATTATAACAAGCTCTCTCTTCAAAGATCTCGTTGCAATCAACGAAAAGCATAGTACATGTGTACTTCTATGTATTTCATTGTTGCTTATCGGGCATGGGGCGGTAATGTAGTGATGACTAAGCCGTAAATCTTTCCCCACGAAAAGACTCACATTTCTCAAAGGTCAACAGGTTAGCGTGCGACGCACTGGGAAGCGCCAAAATGGTTTACTACTTCACCTCGAATGTGGTCAGCCCGTCTGCTTTCATTTATGTTGGAAAGGACAAGTTCGAGAGTATGCAACCCACAACCATGCCCGAAGGAATGCGCCTGACAGTCTCGATAGATGAGGATTTGATTGAGTTTGGGTTGGACTCTGACGTTTGGTATGGACCTGCTGGCTGATATTCCATTTCCTTGCAAAGACTAACCACTTTATATGATAGGGTCGGTCTCGCGTCGCACCTGCGCAACCATTTTCTACCGCAATCAACCAATCTAACGGTATCTTCAATAGTTCCACGTCGATAATTTGTCCAGCGCCCACGTTTACGTGCGTCTACGGGAAGGAGAAACATGGGACAAGATTCCGGAAGAGCTTCTTGAGGACTGTGCGCAGTTGACAAAAGCCAACTCCATTGAGGGTAAGTCCCTCAAGTTCCTTGCGCGTCAAAGCCCCCCGCCTTTCCAGGCTAATTGTGGGGCATAGGAAACAAGAAGGACAATGTAACAATCATCTATACACCATGGTCCAACCTTCAAAAGGATGGCTCCATGGCTACGGGACAAGTCTCGTTCCATAACCCCAAGCTCGTCCGCAAGGTGCTTGTGCGCGCGCGCGAAAACCCGATCGTCAACCGGCTCAACAAGACCCGCGTCGAGAAGTCCCCCGATTTCCGCGCCGAGAAGGAGGAATACCTGAAGAAGAAGCGGCATGCAGAGCGAAAGACCCGAGACCAGCTGAAGGAGAAGGAGAAGCAGGAGAAGCGGGAGCGGGAGCAGCTCAAGTGGCAGAAAGATCATGCTTACGACGACATCTTCAGTGAAGAGGCCATGGAGGCTAGCAGCAACCAAGACCGAGACCCGGATTTCCTTGACGATTTTATGTGAGGAATTGTTTCCAAAAGATCGGATATGAAGTTATGAACTCATTGTGTCATTTTCTTGTTCTTATTGCGCAAAAGCTATATACACCAAAACAAGGAGAAGTCGCTCAAATCTTGTCCATGTTACTAACAAATGGAGGAGGGGGAAGTTTTAAATATAGAGTATAGGCCAAACCATCGCATTCAAATGTTCCAAGTGCAGTCTGCATCTAAAGTTTCGCTCGGAAATCTTGCCGTAAAGATTCAAGGCCCGAGGGCCCGTCGAAGATCTGTTGTTCAGCCATGCGAGTGTTGATCTGGAGAAAAGAGTACAAGTCAGAATTTGTCACAGCAACATCAAGAGACTTTCAGATCACATACGTATTGAGGTCCAAGAGCATCCACAGTTTCCACACCAAGTAGGCGCATGCAGGTCTGGCTTTCATCGGACAAGACTGTTCCAAGGTTCAGATGGTTAGTTCGAACATGATAACCGGGAGAAATAAGAAGAAAGCAAAGCATTCTGTCAAGCAAGAAAACATACTCTGCAATACGCGACGGACACCGTCCGTACCACCGGCTCCCAATCCCCAAAGAGCAGCACGTCCAATACCCACGGCTTTGGCACCCAGGCAAAGTGCCTTGATGATATCAGTGCCGCGACGGATCCCACCATCCACATAGACCTCGAGCTTATCAAAGACTTCAGGGCAGTATTTTCGAATCTCTAGCAGAGTGTGGACTGCTGGTGGTGCTGTGTCCAGTGCTCGCCCACCATGGTTGGAGAGGATAATGCCCTTGACTTGTGGAGTGTGCAGTGATGCGAGATAAGCATCTTCGTGTGTCTGTAGACCCTTGAGAACGATGGGCAGATCAGTGTGTTGGGCCAACCAAGGTAAAGTCTCGCGCCAGGTCAATGTCGGGTCTGTGCCGGCGAAAAGGGTTTTACCCACACCCCCGGATGCTTGAGAAACATCAGGAGTGTCTTTTGACCTGTCAGCCTCCTTCACGGCTCCCACCAGGCTGTTTCGTTCATCTTCCTCACGCTTGCCTGGGACGGGGGCATCCAAAGTCAGGACAATGAACTTGATCGCTTTGAGCTTGTTGATGCGCGCCAGCATGGCTGCGCTCTTCTTCCGGTCAATCTGAACATAGAGTTGCCACCCGAACACTTGATCCGGCGCCGCATCCTTCACAATCTGCTCTGGGGTCATGGAGGCATTGTTGGAAATAATTTGCATTGCGCCAAAGCTGCGACAAGCCTCTGCAATGCCTGCTTCACCATCCGGGTGGCCGAGACGAGCCATGGCAGCGGGTGACACATAGATCGGCAGACTCAGTTTATGACCTAGCACAGTGCTCGACAAATCACAGCGCTCGCAGTCTCTGAAAACCCTTGGTCGGAGGAGAATGGATCGATAGACTTGGTTGTTGAAGTTCTTGGAGAATTTGTCGTCGGAGGCTGACCAGTAGTATGCCCATGCCTTCTTGTTCACCTGTTTGGTTGCAACTTCCTCGATCTCATCGAGATTGAGCAAGGATTCCACGGGGGGCGGCCCTTGCACGGGCTCCTGTGTCTCTACCGGGACCTCTTCTTTGGGCAATGTACTGGCATCCACCGTCCCGATACACTGCTCTGACTTGAGCTCTTCGTCAAGAATACCCGGGGGGTGGATTGGATCATATTCCTCCGTGGCATCCTTGCCCGCCAGCTTCAAGATGATCTTGGCTCCGCCCGGGTGACTTGATAGGAAATCGGTCACCTGCAAGTCTCAACGAGTCAATGTCGGTCGCTTTTTTGCCCAAGCTTGAGTGGAATGAAGAACTCACATCGTAGACCTTGCCATATAGAATTACCCAACAGCTCTCCCGAGTATTATGTTTCGCGACTGTGACAAAAGAAACAAAGCCGGTCAGCGACAGGAACGCAAGGGGAAACAGCGTGCGGGGAATCCAACATACCTTCTGCCGCATCGAATACTTTTGCCATTGTGTTTAGGATTCAGATAATCCAGAATAGACAAGTGGAAAGCTGTTACAAGGGAAGAAAAAAAGCAAAAAGGAAAAGACCCTAGAATGAGAAGAGAAATGCATGCGATATGCATCAAAGTGTGGGGAAGTGGCGGCGATTGGAAGTTCCACGTCGGGTAAATTCGATACCCGACTCGCGGCATTAGAAACTCTTCCCCTTGATTGGTGGAGAAACTCATCAAGGGAAAATCCCCGGATTGTGTCCTCCGAAACGGAAGTCATTCTCCACAACAGTCAATTGAAATGGATCTTGCAAGTTCCGTCTGGAGCTACAGTATGTTGACTTCAATCTTGACCTTTCTCCAGGATATTCAAATGGTCCAAAATCCATTTCCAGATTGGGCCTCGTAGCCATGTCAACTGGGGTGGTCAAGATGGGACAAGTCCTTCCAAGGTCACTTTGGCAATTCAAATTGTTGCAATTTTGCTCAGGTGACAGTCACGACTATCAGACTCAGAAGAGCGAAGAGTCTAACAGAGGGAAGTTATTGAGTATTAGTAACTTCAAGTTACTGTATATGAATGAGTACTATATGCATGTTTCTACATGAGTTGTCCGGGTAAAGGGCTTTTCCGCCCAGTGCGGGACACAACTCGGTAATGACGGAGAGGAAGATTGGAACCCCGCGATTCGGTACAAAGAAATTATCTACACTTCAACAAGAGCCAAAGCTTGACAATCTTCTCCAAATCCTTACCAAGACTACCCAAACCCTCTCTCTCTCTCTTCAATACCCTCACAAAATGCGTCTTCCCTACGCCCCCAGCAACCCACCGGCCGATGCCCCCGCCGACACAGCCGATATCTACGCCCGCATCGCCGCACGCCGCAACCCGCGTCCATTGATCCCTCTCGATTTGTCTCTCCTTCACAGCCCACCCGTCGCAGATGGCTGGAACAGCTTCCTCGGTGCCATCCGCACCCGCACCATTGTCGATCTTGGAATCTTGGAATTGGCAGTGTGCCGTGTTGCGGTCCTGAACGATGCCGTTTACGAATGGAACGCCCATGCGCCATTGGCCCTGAAGGGTGGCATTAAGCCCGAGGAGCTCCATGCTTGCCGAACCCTGCCATCCACTACACAAGGCGACCTCTCTCAATTGGAGAGCAGCCCATTGACCCCGCAGCAACGAGCTGTCTTGCGCTACACCGACCAGATGACGTTGACCGTCAAGGTGGACCAGGAGGTTTTCACCCAGCTGCAGACCGTGGGATTCAATGACCGTGAGATCGTGGAGCTGACCACTGGTATTGCCGGATATAACTGTGTGAGTCGCTTTTTGGTTGCGCTCGATGTTGGCGAAAACAACGATCGGGAGATGAAGAGCGTCGATGAGTTGGTCGAGGCGCTCAAATAAAGACTTCCAGGGTTCAGGAAGTTGGAGAACGTAAAATATTGGTGTCCAAGCAAAAAAAAAAAAAGACACCCCAATGATCTGTTCATGAACAATAGGCAATGATGATGCCTTGTACATATTACCAGATCTCCACTTCCAATTTGACTCTCTCCCACTCTAGTGGGTACATCGTCAACGTTATGGATTTTGGGGGGAAAGAACCTTTGACAATACATAATGAAAACGGGTTGATTGATGTATGAAGAAAAAAATGTCTATATTATATTTGAAGCGCATGAATCGATAATATCAGAATTGATCCCTGAGACCATTCTTCTCTTCCTCTTCAAGTCTCTCCCCATTCAGCTTGAACCACCAAGCATGCGAGGCATCCTTACTTTGCGCACCCGTCTCTCCAGCTGCCCATTCATCCCATGGCTTCGGACTCAGGATATAGTGCACGTTTTTTACACTTTCATCCCGCCAGATGGTATCATGCACACCTTCCCACCGAAGGGTCTTGAGCGCGTTGTAAATATATGGAAGTGCAACCCAACGCCCGTGGAAGAGATCTCCCAGAAGCGATTGGTCCGCAAAGTCGTAATCGAGTGTTGCCGAGGTGTCGAGCTGATCCACAATCTTGTCGTAGATTTCTTTGGATGGATTTACGACTTGGAGGCCTCCGTTGGGGATACCTAAAGCCGCATCCGCTGCTGGGCCGGTTGTTTGCGCAATGTCTGGGGTAGAGTGTTGTACCGTGTAAGCACAGTTGGCCGGGATCCTGTGCGAGGGTCAGTGTCGGTTATTAGTGAAATATGAAGCTCTCACCCATAGCAAGATTCGATTCTTCATCATACCAGTCCGAGGGGTAATGGGGCTTCTTGAGCGGATTGCAAGCACAGGCGTGACTGGCCGCAAACACTCGATTGCCATTGCCGGCTGCAGAAGGCGGGTCGAGTTCAAGTTCCATAAGTTCATCCATGTTCTTGAGGACGAGCATATCGCTGTCGAGCTGGACGACGCGGTCATATTCCACGAGTGAGAAGGGAGTGAGCTTGGACCAGCAGTCGTAGAAGCGCGGGTCGTTTGTGTATTCCCTTGGGGTCGAGGGTAGCAGATATGCGACATGCTGCTTGAGGATCCCACGGGCATCCAGGGCCTTGTGACCCTCAACCGGAAATGAATCGGTATACAGGGCCACCAGTGGGTACTTGGAACCGACCTTCTTCAGCGAGTAGTCCAGAGTGAGGAGACCTGAGAGGTAGGCGGTGTTGGTGATGAGAGTTGTCCATACTGCGATTGTTACTTGGGATTTCTCTCAATTGGGACGAAATGAGTCGCGTATGTACCTTTGGACGGACGCGCCAACTTCCCGTCAAGCATAATGAAGAATGTAGCTTTCAGACTGGGCAAGGGATGTTAGCAAGTTGGATTGAGGAACTGAGGAACTGAGGAATCGCAATTGAACGTATTACCTTGGTCAACTAATGAAGACAGGGGGATGTGGAGGGTGAGGTATATGATTGAGAAAGTGGAGGGGGTTGACTCCGAACGTTCCTGAATCCTGGTTATCGATCATGCGGGGGAAGCGATAAGGAGGAGTTTCTACTACACATATGTAGATGACGTGCTTCATCCCATTTCACTTGGAAGAAGCAAAAGTTTCCAGATGCCCCAGGGTATTTACATTAGTATATTTGCTTGCTTTTATTATGGTCTCAGCCGGTAATAGTCATTCAATCTCATATATATGCGCAGGGCTCCTTATCCCTAGTAACTGGTAGAACCAAGATCAGTATACACACTTCAACCACGGGAATTCCTCCTGGGTTTCCCTCAAGTTCCCCAAGTTCCCCAAGATCATAGATTCTAATTATGAGTCTTTCCAATATGTAAGTCGCGTGGTCTAATGGTCATGATTTCTGATTCACATCATCTTCTTGATTGAATCGCTCAGAAGGTTCCCGGTTCGATCCCGGGCGCGACTATCTTTTTGCCTTTTTTCAACTTTTTAAGTTGACATCTACCTAGGCATTACAAGGCACTCGGGTGAAGCACTCGGACTCATTGTGAGCAAAGATAGTAGATTCAATCATTTGAAGAAGGCATCATGCATGTGGATGCAATGGAAATCTATTAACAAGAAATAAATATGACTAGACTGAAGGGAAAAAAATGAATATGCATAGAACAAGGTAGAAATAGGATGCAGCGATGACCACCTGCAACCCCATGGAAAGCAGGCTAGATCTTTGAGAGTGGGGGTTTGTCCTGTTTTAATCGTACAACACCCTGGATGATTTGGTCAGTGTAAGTCAATGCAGGAAGACGGGAAAGACCGTATACACACCTCTTGAGTACATGTCGCAATCAACGTTCCGTTTTGCGACCAAAACTTCTGAATCGCTAATCCGCGTCCCTCTCCGGCCCATGGGCTCTCCGTTTCATGGAACATCCACTCATCGACACGGAAGGCCCGGGGATTGTGGAAGTAGATTGAATGGTCAAGACTGACCATCATGCCTACTTCTTTATGGTCCTCTTTATTGGCGTCACTCAGGGCCCCTTCGAGTTGACGTCGTAGATCGGCCGCTTCTTCCTCTTTCAACTCCTTAAAGGCCTTGGTGATATCTTCGTCGTCCAAGTCGGATGGGTTCTTCAACGCCTTGAGAAGTTTCTCAAGCTCGGCTGGGGACGAGAAACGGGGAATATCATGGACACGAGAGACCGTTCCAATGAAAAGACTGTCGGTGATATAAGCCAAAGCGGACAAGTGTGCCTGGAAGCCTCCTTCGTCGGAGATACGGCTACGCGCCCGAACGAATCGTCGAACTCGCTTATCTTCGGGGTTCTGATCGCCTGTGATTTTGTGAGCTCATGAACGATCGTGTTCCCGGTGAACGGGGGATATAACAGAACGTACGGTTGATTATGCCCGCTTTCTTCGATTCGAATGGGCCACCCCCGGCATCGCTCAACGCCTTCAGTGTCCCCGGCAGTGCATCTGCGGGGAGCGAGACATCTGGCATGGGAGTTGAATGGTTCAGTGTCTTCTCGCCTCCGCTGCCCACTCGGCTGAAACTCAGCGTGGTCGTGAAGATCGGACGGCCCCGTTGGCGGGCTTGTACGGTTCGGGTGATAAAGCTGCGCCCGTCGCGCACACGTTCAACGTGGTATAGGATAGGTAATTCGGAGTCGCCCGCGAGGACAAAGTAACAGTGCATGCTGTGGACGGCAAAGTCGGCGGGCACGGTACGCATCGCAGCGGATAAGGACTGGGCGATAGCGGCGCCACCGTAGATTCCTCGGGCACCGGGAGGATGCCATAGAGGCCTGGTGTTTGTGAAAACATCCTAAGAGTGGACCATGAATCAGTCTCTGGGTCTGTAATTCTGCGCGCAAGGGGGAGGGGGTGTTACAGGGCCGAGGTCCACCACTGGAGTCAAGTCGAGCACATTCTCGATGAGTGCCCTCGATTTATCCTGGGGCGGTGGATCGAAGAGAGTGCTGTGTTTCGCCATCGCTTGTAATAACTATCGACTGTAATGAAGAGAAAAAAAAGGAGTGGTGTAGAGTCGGAGTTCAGCGGAAATGAGAACGGATGGCGATCAACAACTTTCGAGGGCGGTACAACCTACGGTACAGCTTCCAGAAGCCGAGGTTCAATATGCTTGGCAACATGACAACCTACACAAGTCGTAGACTCGTAGCTCCACTATGATCGATGTAACTCCACTCTGAACTCTGATCTATCCACAGATTTCCGTACACCTGTGGATTTCCCCAATTAATCTTGTTGTGATCATATTCAGCGTCTATGATGTCTCATACAGTGAAAGCCAAAGGCTCAAGTGTGTAAATATGATGTGCTTGGAACGAACCACGAAAACCACGAAAACAATGCAAATAATTCGTTAATTCGTCACAAGATAGAAAAATGCATCGGTTCTTAAAGAGCCGGCGCTTCCCATGCGTCACGCTTGATCCTCATCACAGCGGATTGTTTATGTGGGAAGCTGACCTCCCCTTCCTTATAGAAGCCAACTTGCTGGAGATATCCGATAAGTCTAAACAAAAGAACAATCCAAGTTAGAACGCGTGATACCGGATGGAAGAGAGAGAGGTAGGTTCATAGCTTACTTTGTGTTATCAACTCGGGGCTCCAAAACCACCGATTCAGTCCTCATGTCACTCAAGAAGCAATAATGCACTAGAGCAGTCAACCAGATCACCACTCGGTGCGGTCCTCGGAATTCCTGCTCGCCGACAAGGAGGTGAATACCCCGATCGTAATTCTCCACTCGGTCCAGCAAACGGCCCAATGGATCCTCTTTTACCCAGTAGATCTCAAAGTAGCCAAATGGTTTTCCATCCCAGCACCCAATCACAGGGAAACTGTGTCGACTCGTCAGGTTGTCCAAGAGAAACTTCTCCTGCACTTCTTTGGGGCCTCCAACTCCCCACATGGCCTTGACGCGGGGATCATTCATCCATTTATGCAGGGTGTCCAGGTCAGATGGAATATCCTGGCAAAGATGTTGTTCGACGCCCGTCACAGATGTGCTGACTGGTTTGACTGGCGTGGAGGGCCGACTTCCACTGTCCGTACCCGGTGCCATTTTGGGTTTCGTCATCGGCAGGAATGGAATACGAAAGGAAAGATACTGTGTCACACTGGGAATATACCGGGAATAAAAGATCTCCCCTTGATGCGGGGGTTTGGAGCGGACCGGGTGGCGGACCCCGTTGGTGAACTTATACTGTGTCGGTGCTGGAGGGAAATATGTTGGCAAATGGCTGCTAGACGTAAATGGCCCAGCCGAAGTAAAGGGGCCCACGGTAGCGGTATGAAAGGTTGCCTCGGTCGGCGACAGTATCGTCGAGGCGGAGAGGCCATCCCGTGCCGGTGAGGCATGTCGGGATTGGAAGGGAGTGAGAGATGGAGATGGCGGTGCCCCTCGCGGGGTCAAGGTGAAAAGGAAGAGACGCGGATCTAGTTGCCAGAAGCTGCGTCGGCTCACGAACATGTTTGACCAGGGGCTCGAGTCCCGCGTTTCCACGGGCTGCAGGCCGACCGAGGAGTCTTCACTCGCAATGAGGCCCATGCGCTCCAGCTTCTGAAGGAGATTCCGGCCCTTGAAGATCCCCTCACGTTTGATGTTCACCCGCCATTCCCCCTTCGGCCGTCCATCGTGAGGTGTTGCGCTGTCCGCCGCGGTATCCAGGTGAAGATCCGGTTCAGGTTCGTGAAAGTACCACCACAAGGTCGCCCAGAGCATCATGGCGATCTGACGGGTTGGTGAAGAAGCCGGCTTGAACTCGCTGGAGGGGGGATTCACGATGTAGGAGATGTACAGGCAGTCCCGACGGGAGGTCGGGGTGGTAAATCTGGTGATATTTTGATCGGCATTGCTAGAAGACGGACGCTCATTGCCCTCCGTGTCCGTTCGACCTCGTTCGTCCTCTGGCAGCTTGGCAGCCTTTTCGCTGTGGATGATGATCGTCCATCCCGGCGGGAAGGTGGAGTTGTTCACATTCAAATCGTTGGATTTGAAGGTGACCCCACCAAAGACCGGCGATACGCTAAATGTCAAACCATTTGGGAGATGGCAGGTGTTGTGCAGCATGATGGTTTTGTGACCTTGAAGATTTTTCCTCCACTGAAAGAATGATCAATTGTTCAAAGGCTCGACAAGGGCACGAGACTCTTTATCTTTTTTTTTTTTTGCCCCTCACTTTTTGCGCGGGGAAACTGATTCCAGCCCCTCACGACACACGAGTGATGGGTAATAATGTACTTATGTCGGGAAGAAATCAAGACAATCAGAAGAATCAGGGAAATCAAGGAAACGAAGCTTCAGTCGAGTCAAAGGGACCATATTTTGGTCACGGAAGAAATCAGGAGAGGGAGAGCAATTGATTGTGAAGGATGATGACGCATTCTCTCTCCCGTCAGGCCACAAACCATTCAACGGCATTTGGTCATCCTACTAGTAACTACTAGTAAGTACTATCTTACTATGAGCATGACTGTGAAAATGAGTAGTAACGCCTTGGATTTGATTGGATCCTGGATCCTCTTTTTTACTCCTAGTTTTCTCTTTTGTTCTTTTATTTTATTTTTTATTTTTTATTTTTATTTTTATTTCTTCTTTCTCATTATGGAGTCAAATAGCAATAAATGTCCGTGCGAGCGCTAACGGCGTCTCTATTAGATAAAAGAAATTGATGGCCAGAAATTAGAATCCACACCTCTACTGACTAGTCTGTGACCTTGGAATCAGGCAATGGCGCATGGACTAAACATAAGATTATGTCGATCATAGTAGTGACTGGATCTAATGTTTCAACCTTGGAAGGCTACTCAAGTACACAAGAAAAAAAAAATATCAATTTTGAACATTTAAATGTCCATTCCAACGAATACACTTCCAAGGTTGAACCCAATCAATCTGCATCTGCTAGGAACCACCCCTTTTCAATTTCATACGAGTTAGAACTGCCAAGCTCGCATCCATGCTCCGTGAAATGTCATAATTTGATCATGATGGCGTGAACGCGGCAAAATGAATAGAGGCCAAAATATCAAAAAATCCCCATGGCAAGAGCATTCACATAAACCAATTTCCTCAGGGTTTGAACATTCGTTCAGAAGGTCAAAATATGTCGGGATTTCGCTATCGCCCAGAGATCTTGGCTGGGATGCCAAAGGAGGAGACCGAGTATCTCAAGCAGTATGAGGATTGGTTCATCCTCGAGGCAAAAGACCTGAAGCGGATTTCAGATCATTTCGTGACGGAATTGGAGCAAGGTCTCACCAAGGAGGGAGGGAATGTTGTCAGTTATCTCCAGCGCAGACCTTTCAAGGGTGTCCCTTCGGATAACATGCTAACTCCAGACTCTGGGAATGGCATAGCCCATGAATATCACCTGGGTGATGGGATTTCCATCCGGCCATGAGAAAGGTCGAATATTGACACTCGATCTGGGTGGAACAAACCTGCGTGTGTGCAGAGTCTGCCTGTGTAACCGCAAGAGAGACTTTGAACAGATCCAGCGAAAATTCAAACTCCCAGACGGAATCAAGTCGGGTACGGGGGAACAACTGTGGGATTTTATAGCTGGACGGCTGGAGTTATTCCTGCAGGAATATCCGGCTGACACAGAGGGCATCATGCCATTATCCTTCGCCTTTTCCTTTCCGGTGGAGCAAAGGTCCATCCGAAGTGGGATTCTGCAACGTTGGACGAAGAACTTCAATGTGTCCGGAGTGGAAGGACAAGATGTGGTTCCACAACTCGAAGCCGCTTTTCAGCGAAAGGTAAGAAGTTAGAGGAGAAAATACCCAGGATATATGTTGCTGAAAGTCAACTCTAGAATCTCCCGGTGAGAATAGTAGCGATTCTCAATGATACGACCGGAACCCTGATTGCATCACACTACCAGGATCCCCAAGTTAAGATTGGGAGTGTCTTCAGTACAGGGTGCAATGCCGCTTATATGGAGGAATGCAAGTTGATCCCAAAGATTGCGGAGGCTGGTCTGCCCAATACGGCCAAGGTCATCATCAACACCGAATACGGTTCATTCGACAATGACCGGAAGGTCCTGCCCTTGACCCCATTTGACCGGCAAATCGACCAAGAATCAGTACACCCGGGGGCTCAGATCTACGAGAAGATGGTCTCGGGGCTGTATATTGGAGAGATGCTGCGGCTGATCCTTGTCACACTGCACGAGGAAGGCAGACTTTTCAAGGGCCAGGACATCACACGACTTCGAACTGAGAATTCGCTCGAGGCGTCATTTCTGTCTGTCGGGGAGCTGGATTTGTCAGAGGATCTTGATGCCATGCGCGAAGAGTTTGAAAACACCCTGAGTCTGACACCCGCACTCAACGAATTGAAGATTTGTCGATATCTAATCGGCCTCGTCGCGACACGGGCTGCGCGTCTCTATGCCTGCGGAATCGCGGCCATTTGCAAGAAAAAGAACATGCGAAGATGTCATGTCGGTGTGGATGGCTCGGTGTTCAACAAATATAGTGGGTTCAAGGGAAGAGCCGCACAGGGACTTCGAGATATCTTTGACTGGCCACCCGATGAGCTAGAATTGATTGCACTTAATTCGTCCGAAGATGGCTCTGTTGTTGGAGCAGCGTTGGCTGTGGCATTGGTTTTGGAAGGAGAGGAAAAGGCCAAGCCATTGTTTTAGATGGACACTTAGAAAACATGGCTAAATCACTTTCAAATGTTGATGTACTCACATGCATGTATCCTACCCAACGACAAGGTCAGCGTCTTGAAAGAGAAAAGCCCAATGTCCAAAGAGAGAGAAAAAAAAGAGTCCCTGCACATGTGCTTTTGCGGAAGTTTTCTTCAATGTATCAATTTCTCTCCAGATTTTATTGTTGTTTCAAATTCTTCAAATGTTGTGGATTGTCTCCTGATACATCCACGGTGATCCACCTGTAAAACGAAAATTCAATGTTACTGGTAGTTTGACAAGACAAACATTGAACTTGTCTACTACCTAACCTTTGAGGCAAGAGCCCCGTTATGTAGACATCAAGTTTAAACATTGAATGCTTGATCAAGGGGGGATAATTGAGGGAGAGAGCACGCGATGGTACCGGAGAAAGCAAAGACAAGCTCACCGAGTCTTGCCCACATGCAGGTGCAGTGTTGATGCACACATGCATGTGGCGGCGACCTCAAGTGCTTTGAGCGGTTACCAAGGAGACGTTGACGCGGATATCGTAATACACAGTATATATTTCTGCCTTCTATATTCTATCTTCCAACATTGGTTTTATTTTTGTTGCGAAACCTCCTCGGTTGTGCGAACAATGATATCAAACGCGTTACGGATATATTTTTCCTCGGCCATCGGGTTGGCACTCACCACACGAATCACATAAACACCATCAACCACAGTTGAGGTGATGAAGATCTCGCCTCGCGAGTTGATCAATTCATAGACTTTCTTGGTGATCGCATCTGCTGCCTCGTCCTTGAATATCGCGCCATTGGTCTCGCTTGAGGCTGGGCCTTTGATACGGAATACGGTGAGACCAAAGACTGGCTTGGTGACGATCTCGAAAAGATCAGACCGACCGCGGACCAGATCAGCGAAGGTGTTCCCCAAGCCAATAGTTTTGCGAATGTGCGCTTTCATGCCATTTAAGCCGTAGCTGCGAATCACGAACCAGATCTTCAGGGCGCGGAATCGGCGACCCAGAGAGATGGACCAGTTGCGGTAGTCAATCACAGTGCCCATATCGGAATATGGGTTGCGAAGGTAGGTAGGGGTGATGTCGAGGGCATTTGTTAGGTCAAGACGATTCCGGACGAACATGACGCTGTGAGAACGTTAGTCAAAATATGGTGTCCTGCTGAATCGGAAGCTACTTGCCTTGCATCAAAGTTGACCAGCAACCACTTGTGCATATTCATGTTGAAACTGTCCACACCCTCAGCAAAATCCTTGGCGATATACTGCCACTCATCCGCGACAAGAGAAGCACCCGCATAAGCCGCATCAACATGCACCCAGATGCGCTGCCATGCAGGCTTCTCCTGGAGCACGGCCTTGATCTCGGCAAAGCGATCGACACTGCAGGTGTTGGTTGTACCAAAAGTCATGGTGAGCTGGTACGGAGTCAATCCATCCTTATCACACTTCTCCAATACTTCTCGCAGACGCGCCGCTGTCATCTCCATGTTCTCTTCCAATCGAGTGGGCACACTGCGGAAACGGGTACCCGCAATCAACGCGCCCTTGGCTGCGCTGCTGTGTGTCTGATCACTGGCAATCGCCACCAAGCGTGGTTGGAGATCCATCTTGCGCTCGTCATATTCGGTGGTTCCTTCCTTGAGACCTTCAGCCAGCACCATCTCGCGGACTCGTCGCTCTCGTGCCGCAACGATGATGGTCGCAATGGCATCGCTTGCACTGTTCTGAATGACGCCTCCACCCAGGTTCTCCGAGGTGCTCAAGAAGCACTCCGGGAGTCCTAGTGCCTTTGCCACCCAATCCATCACGATGGTTTCCAGCTCCGTACAGGCCGGTGAGCAGAGCCAGTTGAATGCCGGCGCGGTGAACGCGGCCGAATACATCTCTCCCAGGATACTCGGGTATGTCACACAGGCCGGGTAGTAGGCCATGAAGTTTGGCGACTGCCAATGGGTCAACCCGGGTTTGATTTTTGTGTCCACATCCTGTTGAATTTGGTCCCAGGATTCTGGTTCGGTTGGAGGGTTGGTGGGGATGAGAGGGCGCAAGTATCCGGGGTCAAGAGCCGGGAGGACTCTCCGGTCGGGGACGCTATCGAAATATCCAATGACTGTAGAGGAAGGATCGCATTAGCAACCTGCGTGAATCTGCGGTTTTCGCTTCAACGCTCAAGTGGGATCAATTGCGGGGCTTACTATCGTCAATCGCCGAGTGAGCCGCTGCTCGGAACTCTTCACGGTCCATTTTGGGTGAACGACGTGCGATGTAAGTGGGGTGATGCGGAGGTGGGATTCTGCTCTTGATAACGGAGGAAAATATTTTACTAAGGATTTGAAAGAAACAATTGAGGGACCATAAGCACAATTGTATCGAAGTCTTAAGGTAAGGGAGAAAGAGTAACTACAGGGTTTTTCTCATGTCACGAAAGGGCGTGTGCCGGAACGATTCCGTCGTCCCGAGAAGATGCTTTCAAACACTGCCAGTGGGCAATGCTCTGCATGAATCACAAATAAACATGGAATCTGGGGTAAATAGCCCTGGATATCCTGGATTATCCGTCTTCTAGAATATTCATATCCCTTCCACACCTCCAAGCCTCTCATGCAGTAGTACATGCATACAATACCTGCCAAGTACATACTAGTCGGGACTCGGAACCCTTGAGTGGAGTGGTTCCGCAGTCACCATGTTCTAGACCTTCAAGTCTGAACATTGCAATACATTGTCTGTTCAAATAATGGAGACAATAATGGAACTTGTATATTGATACCAGTTGACTTAACCCGGCTTGGAATTTCTTGACTTCTTAAGGATCGCCATCTTCAAAATGCCTCCTCTTATCACCTCGAGACGCCGGGACCTACTCACAAGTAGGTACTAGCTAGTAGTATGTATAATTGAACTTGGAATACAGGTGCAAGGTCTCATGGTATCGGATTCAAGATTGAATGATTTTGATACAACTAGGCTAATCCACTATGGACAAAAAAAAAAGACAAATTCACCAGAACAATGCTCAAAGAAAGAAAAGAAATGGGAGGAAAATAGGGTATTCATGATCATCAAGTCCACATCATCAAAGCTTGGCAGCCGAACCAGCCGAGGAGATCTCGTTGTACAGCAAGCTGGTCAAGAAATCAGCGTAATCCTCACCGGTCACCTGGCCAGCAAAGTACCGGGCAGCAAGCTGGTACTTGTTACCCTTGGCACCCTGGGAGGCAAGGCTGTCAGCCTGCTCCTGCAATAGACGGAGCGCATATGCCTTGTCCACCCGCTTGCCCTCGGCAGTGGAGACGTTGTGCTTCACCCACTGCCACAGCTGCGAGCGCGAGACCTCGGCGGTGGCCGCATCCTCCATCAGGAAGTTGATGGGGACACAGCCAACGCCGCGCAGCCAGCCTTCCATGTAGCTCAGACCGATGTTCAGGTTCTTGCGGATACCTTCCTCGGTAATCTTGCCGGGAACGTTGGTGTTGAGGAGATCGTTCGCGGTGATGTTGACTTCCTCGCGACGGACGAAGAGCTGGTTGGGGGTGGGCATGTACTTGTTGAAGACATCGGAGGCAATAGCGGCAAGCGCTGGGTGAGCGACCCAGGTACCATCGTGGCCAGCACGCACCTCGCGGAGCTTATCGGCGCGAACGCTCTCCATGGCCTTGTCGTTGGCGGCGGGGTCGTTCTTGACGGGGATCTGCGCAGCCATACCACCCATAGCGTGAACGCCGCGACGGTGACAGGTCTTGATAAGCAACTTGACGTAGGCGTCCATGAAGGGCACGGTCATGGTGACATCGGAGCGGTCGGGAAGGACAAAGTTGGGGTTCTGGCGGAACTTCTTGATGAAAGAGAAGATGTAGTCCCAACGACCACAGTTCAGACCGGAGCTGTGGTCACGCAGCTCGTAGATGATCTCCTCCATCTCGAAAGCGGCAGTGATGGTCTCAATCAGAACCGTACCACGGATGGTACCGCGGGGGATGCCAATGTAGTCCTGGGACAGGTTGAAGACGTCATTCCAGAGACGAGCCTCTAGGTGAGACTCCATCTTGGGCAGGTAGAAGTATGGACCGGCGCCGCGGGCGACAAGCTCCTTGGCGTTGTGGAAGAAGTAGAGACCGAAGTCGAAGAGACCACCGGAGATGGGCTCACCATTGATGGTGAAGTGCTTCTCATCCAGGTGCCAGCCACGGGCACGGGCGATAAGAGTGGGGAGGGTGCGGTCGGTGCGAAGCTTGTATTCCTTGCCGCCCTGGTTGAAGTCGACCTGGCGGCGAATGGCATCGTACAGGTTGACCTGGCCGTTAATCATGTTATCCCACGTCGGGGCAGTTGAGTCCTCGAAATCGGCCATGTATGTCCAGACATCGGAGTTGAGAGCGTTGACGACCATCTTGCGGTCGGTAGGACCGGTGATCTCGACACGGCGGTCGACCAGACCGGGAGCGGGGGGAGCACCTTTCCAGGCATCGTTTTCGCGAATGTGCTTGGTCTCGGGCAGGAAGTCGAGGAGGTTACCCTTGTCAATCTCGGCCTGGCGGTCGATACGGCGTTGCAGCAGGGCCTTGCGGGTAGGGTTGAAGGTGCGGTGCAGGATAGCGAGGAAAGCACAAGCCTCCTTGGTCAGGATCTTGCGGGCGTCATTGGGGATGTTACCGAGGATGGCAACATCCTTAAGTTGAGTTTCCACGGAGGTCATTGTGTAGGATTGGCAGCAAGGAAGTGTAGAGTATGTACTAGTATGTATAGTATAGTGTAATCTTGTCCGTTGATCAAATGTGATTCTTGTCCATCCAATTCTGCGTGGAACTTCAAGATGGAGCAGAGTGAAAGGTTGAGGAGAAGAGGAAAAGGAAAGATCTCCTTACACCCGTGGACCTACAAAAGGGCTTATATACAACCTTTTTCATCGCCATCCGACCGAAGGCGGAGATAAAGGTCGAATAGAATACGTCAGAGCGAAGTGTTACCGCGGCTGTTTGCTTTCCCCATCAATTCCCACTTGATCCCTCGAATTCCCCACATTTCCCATTGACTCTCCTCCTATCAGCCAATCAGATCCAACCATCAGGACTTTCCCGACGGGAAACTGCCATTGCTTCTCATTTCTCTCATTATTCTGCCTCCACTCGGCCGACATCGCCCGTTCCCCGGGATTCTGCCGCCAGAAAGGCGGTCGAATCCATTGTTTCACTCTCGGGATGCGCCGTATACCGAGTCTTATCGCTGCGGAATTTCCTTTGATATTCGTCGTGGTCTACTGAATGTCTGATACATTTTTTTCTCTTGTGGGTTCGTACAAAAAAAAAGGAGAGAGAGAAAAAGGGAAGGGCTTGTTGTTTTATCATGGGCGGTCTGACTGAAGTAAAACAGAGTTCATTCACTTCACGTATCATGTCGCCTCCCCTAACACACCCGAGACTCCGAGAGTGGCTGCAGCTCCCAAGGTAATTCCTGCTCTCCCCGTCCGAATCCAAGCCGCGGTTCATCCTACTCTGTTTCTGACTGGAGTCCGGCCTTTCTCGGTAATCTATTCTCCTGGTAGATTGACCGAATTGTTCCGACTCGAGATGGCGGGGGATCGACATGTGACGACATGTGATATTGAATATTCTTGATCGAGTCCAGACCCATCAGATCAACCGTGAGTGATAAAACAAGATCGACAATCCAGTAACATCAATGGCTCACCTGGGCACCATGCTCAGCCTATTCGGATTCCGAATGGCCTTCAAATTAAACTAACCGTGGAAGTTGGAATCATCTTAAGGCAGCGGAAAAGAGCCTCCAGTCTGCCTTTTTGAGACAGGTCATGGTAGTTCTAGGGCTGAAAGGCCAAAAAGGCCCAAGCATCCAATCCAAGGGATCCAAGACAATTGACTTTGAATTCCAACAAAATCATTTGCTAATTGCGGATGAATTGTAACTGTTGACGCCAGCATCATGTATACATAAAAGAACATCACCGTCCTTGGTAAATGGGGTACTACTTCAGACATCATATCGCACATCACAAGACATAACTAATGATCTCCATTATACAGTCTCAATATAACGCTTGACCTCCCTGCAGAAATATTAGTAACAGGACCCAGCACAGCAAGGTTTTGGAAAGGGAAGAAAAATTGGGGGGTGGGGAGTCAAACTTACCAGTCCGTAACAGCTTCCTCCCACAAGCGCACTTCATGCTCCCGTGTACCACCAAAGTGATCCACAAAAGCGTCCCCAAAGACCTCTCGCGCCACACTATCGGGTCGCATGAAGGTAGCAATCGCCTCCTTGAGTGTCTTGGCCAACCGAACTCCTTGATCACTAGCCCCACCCATATCCTCACCCTTGGACAAGGGTGGTACGGGAATCTCGAGCTTCTTCTCAACACCACGCCACCCTAGCGCCAAAATGGCTGCAAGGACAAAGTGCGGGTTCGCGTCGGCACCAGGCACACGAACCTCAAAACGAGTGGCCTTAGCACTGGCTGTCGGCGGAGTAATCAATCGAATAGAAGCAGCCCGGTGCTCCAATCCCCAAGAGACGGTGACGGGGGCCCAGAAATTCTCGACCAGACGTTTATAGGAGTTGATTGTCGGCGCGAAGAGTGGCATGATATCCGGCAAGCCGACGAGCAGACCCGCCAGGAAATGTCGGCCAAGGTCCGACAGATGGGCGACATCTGGGTAAGGCGGCGATGGGTCAGGAGAATCACGGATGAAAGCGTTCTTGCCTTCGGCATTCACGAGAGAGATATGCATGTGACCACTGTTTCCTGGAAGTCCTTGTCTCGGTTTGGCCATGAAGCAGGGTGTGATGCCATGCTTGATGCCATAGGCTTTGACAACGTATCTGCAGGCCGATTAGTCTCTTTTTTTGTCTTGGTCCAAAGTTGACTCCGCCGGGGTATGTTTCATACTTGAACAAGCCGGCCTTGTCAGCCATATCTTTTGCCTCGCCGAACTGCAATGCCTATTGTACCCGTCATTAGCTTGGGACACAACCATCTTTTGTTTCGCGGCTGTAACGTACAGCTTCATAAACACCGGGCCCACTCTCGGTATGCCATCCCTCAATATCGCACCGGAATTGCTCGCAAGCATCGAAAATACCGTAGTAGTAATCTTGGTTGTGAAGGGGACGAGTGATGGAGTAGCCAAACATGCCCTCTGTTATGGGCGGAAGGCTATCTGCTTTATTTGATTGTAAAAATGCTGCGGTTTGAGAGGCGGCTCGTTCAGGCGTAGGGTGGTCTCCTGGTGCACGAAACTGGTAGAACTCATACTCCGCTGGAACTTGGTCAGCGAGTGGGATCCACAAAGGGTGTATGTACATGGGCAACCGATAGCTTACCTCCCGCCATAGCGCGGTATCCTGCGGCCTCTGCCTTTGCAGCGGCAGTCTTCAACAACCCCCGCGGACATGCGCAAACCGGCTTACGAGTGTCCGGGTCTAGGAAGCTGACCAAGAAAAATGGGATATTCTTCTCCCAAGGGATGCGACGGAAGCTGCGCAGGTCCGGCACGGCCACCAGATCACGGTACCCGTTCTCCTTGTTACTGATTGAGAGCTCCTTGTAATAGGTCTGATCATGTTGATCCCAGCCAAAGATGACCGAACAAAATCCAAAGCCTTCTGTAACAATGGACAGGAACTTGGATTTCTGCATCAGCTTGCCGCGTAGCACTCCGTCCACATCAATACCAGCTACCTTGACCATGCGGTCATGCTGGAGCACTTCAGCCACATTCTCAGCGGTTACTTCGTCTGTTGGAGTTGACATGATGCAAAAATGACAATGGGGAAAAAGAAGACCAAGGGTATCAGAGAAACTTAGAAAAGACAGAAAGCTAGGATTTGAGCTTCAGGAAGGATTCAGGGATTCTTGGAGTTCGCCTTTTGGGAAACCTGAATGCGAATGTACCGGCTTATCAGGAGCTGATCACGGCGCTCTGAGATAAGAGCGATAAGAGCCAGCGCGGTTGCGGACCGCCGTCACCGCCTCATGAGCTCCACTATGCCCCGCGTTATACAGAGCTTCCTCTGTTGAACTTGGAGGGGATCTTTAGTCAACTATCGTATCTGGTGAGTCTGCTGGGTTTCTACATAAGAGGACTGATCGAAGCGCGTTCAAAAGTTCCATTCCAAAATCTGTCGAACTTTTTGCTTCTGAATCTCGATTTCCTCTCCCAAATACCCCAGCTAATCTATTATCATATCCGTGTTACCCTAGCCTCCATCCAAAGATTGCAAACTCCCTTTTTCTTGTTCATCAATCACAATGGGTCGTCTCGAAGGCAAGAATGCTATCATTACCGGTGCCGCAGGGTATGTTGTACTGTGTTACCACCAGGGCATGTGGAATCTCGTCGCTAACGATGTCGTTACCTCAGTGGCATCGGTCTCGAAACTACCATCCTCTTTGCCCGGGAAGGTGCCAGCGTCCTGATGGCTGACATCTCCGAGCCTGCTCTGGCCAAGGCCATCGCCAAGGTCAAGGAAGTTGTGCCAAATGCTCCCCGCCTGGAGACCATTCGCTGTGACGTGTCAAAGGAGGCCGACGTACAGGCCATGGTCGAGTCCCAGGATAGCTGGGGTGGTGTGGATGTGATCTTCAACAATGCGGGTATCATGCATGCAGACGACGCGGACGCCGTCGACACCAATGAGAAGATCTGGGACTTGACACAGAGCATCAACGTGAAGGGTGTATGGTTTGGTTGCAAGCACGCTGTATTGAGCTTGCGGCGTCACAAGAAAACCCGCGGCTCTGTGATCAACACTGCCAGCTTTGTTGCATTGATGGGTGCCGCTACCCCCCAGTTGGCCTACACTGCCTCCAAGGGAGCTGTCCTCGCTATGACAAGAGAGTTGGCAGTTGTGCACGCCCGCGAGGGATTCCGTTTCAATGCGCTCTGCCCTGGTCCTCTTAAGTATGATACCTATCCTTGCCATTTTGCCATTGCTGTTGAGGGATTCTTTACCTTGAGTCGTTACAGTTGCTGACAATTCATTTCTAGCACCCCTCTCCTCCAGGACTGGTTGGGCGATGACCAAGCCAAGCGATTCCGTCGTGAGGTGCACTTCCCCAGTGGACGCTTCGGTGAGGCCGTGGAACAGGCTCAGGCTGTCCTCTTCCTGGCCAGCGATGAGAGCAGCTTCGTGAACGGAACAGACTTTGTTGTTGATGGTGGACTGACCAAGGTATGTGTTATGAGAAGTGGAAGTGAGATGTGGGGGGGTCAGAGTGAGATTGCAAGTAGCGCTAACACAACGTTAAACTTTAGGCATACGTGACCCCCGAGGGCCCTGCCGCCGCGGCGCCTAAGAACCTTGCCCAATAGATGATTAGTAGCAAAATTGTTAAAGAAGTCGGCTTTAATAAGATTCGAAAGTAGCTAGCAGAGGTAGACTAGCTATTAATTATCTTACTAGATAGGCCATTAATTTTAGGTATACTGTCTTGATAAGAAAGTCTTTTGATGACGACTTAAAAGAGGGAGAGGCCAGAGACTTACATATACTAGTAGGCTAAGTAGAGAGCGTATCGAGGACTACACGCTGAAAATCCCAGATGTACTCTCCATCTTCCCACCAACGAACTCCTCCAACAAAGGTAATTCTGGCAAGCTTTCACCCTTTTCTAGGACCATATGATGATACCAAAGGCCCTCCGCCCCATCCAATGAGTCTCGCTGGAACCAAGTATTGAACAGGATCCGTGAATATGCCTCGCCACTTCCTAGATGTTAGCTTTCTGGGTTGGCAAAAAAGTTCAATGCGCTTTTGTAAAATCTGATACTGCTGTTTGATTTCCCCATCGATGTGCTTGACGTGTGTTGATCTCATGCGAGCGTTCAGTCTGTAGCTGTATATCGGCGTGGGAGGCGTCACGTAGTTCTTTCTCTGTAGAAACCTCTTGTTTTCATCTTCAGGAATCAGCAATTGGTATCATTGATCCATCGAAAGTCCAGTCGGCCATTGGCTTAGCCGCTAATAAGTCCAAGCTGGCTCGAGAGGTTGCTATACCGGCATGCGTAAGTTGCATTACCTGCTCAGGCGAATGGTTCAATAGTAGACTACTAGGCTTGTCGCTTGCTATAACCCTTGTCACGGAGGCCTTCCGTCGGTGTTCCTTATAACCCTTGTCTAGTGGCGCTCTCCCCCACCTAACTACTACGTGTGCAAGCCGCTTCAAATCATTAATGAGCGATCAAGTACGATGCTCTGATCCTGGCATGTCCTCGATTCTAACGATGATGCCTTGCTCGAACATGTCGTTCTCGTTGGCTACCTCGATATTCGGGTATTTGGTGATGCTCGGTTTACCATATGATGTTCTGTAAGTTTATCATTATATTTCTCATTTTATCTTTTTTTTTTTTTTTGTGATTTCTTGTTTTTTCGTTTTCATTTTTCAGTTGGATTGTTGGGTCACGGTAGTTTTCGGGGAAGAATACTGTAGTGGAGAACAGGCTATTGAACTCGGCACTTGATAAGTGTACTAGTAGTATGATGAATGATATTGAGCCAGCCTGATCAACGAAAGAAAAAAAAAGGGAATAGGTAGTATATGGGAATGATGGTCCCACCTCTCAGATCATGTTACAATGTACAGTGGCATGATGAAGAAGATGAACTTGAGTCTTGACGGCTGATTTGCTGAGGAAGAGAATTACGTCATGCAAGAATCCCCCGGACCCCCCGCAATACCGCATTACCGCCTTTCGTAGCCGATCTTTAAATGCCCTCTAATTCCCCCTTCCATCCCGCTCGTCCGGTAAAGGCCATATCTACTCTCCTTTGCGCTTTGTCAATAACACCAAAATTAACAAAATACAAAAGACTGCATAATCCTCAACATGTCTCAATACGCATTTCCAGGCCCCAATAAAACCTACAGAAGTCATTCCAGTGGCCCCAGCTTTAAGCCGAGGTATGGCCGGTGGTACGTGGAATTGCCCCTGGGCGCACGCGACCGGGACTGGTTGCTAATCTGATGAATATAGGTATCTTCCTCTGGTTGCAGTGCTCGGTCTCGGTATGTTCTGCCAATATGCCTGTCGGATCTTTACTTGATCGCCTTTCTTCGATCGAAAACTTTGGTCACTGACTTTATACCGCCCCTGGCTAGGATTCGCCGGGTACAACTACTATAACGATGTTCAAGTACGGCGCGAGAAGATGATTCGCGAAGAAGAGAAACGCCTCGCGATGAATCAACAGCTCATGGACGCGTATGGAAGCAAGGAAAGCCTGCATGACGTGCAGCAAGCTCTGGATGCGTACCACCACCAAGCGTGAAGTGTGAGATTCAGTGTGAAATATGATGCTCAACTCGGCCCGAGTCGTGATGCTGGTCGTCACAGCCAAAGGGGGGCATGATTATATATTATTTTCAGGCGTTACGGGTCTGCGGTCTTTTCTATGGGACTTGGAAAACTTGCATGAGCTTCCCGCATGCATTGAATGCGCGGGGACTTGTTGGCATAGGGCAGGGCGTTTAATAACCATCAACGTGTCAATATTTTTTTTTTCAAATCACACCACTACTATGATATTGTTTCTTTATGACATGCTGAAGTAGGATCCCATGGACCGACGTATCAGAGTCTCGACTCTTTTGCTCCCTTAACGGCAATGATTCCTGCAGCTGCCCTCCCGGCCCGTCGTCCAAAGACAGTCCCAGAGGTCAACCCACTTCCACCAGGATAGTTATCGTGGAAAATTCCACCCAGCATTTCTCCAACAGAATACAATCCGGGAATCTCCCCGCCCGTCGTCTCTGATATCACAGCCGCGGTCTCCGGATTGACAGCAAGCCCTCCGAAAGTAAACGTAATGCCAGATGTCACACGCACAGCTAAGAAAGGCGCCTTGTCTAATGGCAAGGCCCAGTTCGACTTGGAAATGCTCAATCCGACAGTAGCCAGTCCATCTTTGACGGCGGGATCCCACTTTTGACTTCCTTCCCGAGTGCAAGCGTTGTACTCGGCCAGGGTCTCCAGAAACCGCTGCCGATTCACCAATCCGGCTTCAGTGCACGCATCCGCTAGTTCCTCTACTGTCGATCCTGTGAGGTGTTTCGTCACTTCAGGACGATACTCCTCGGCCCGTAGCCACGGGGTCGTTCGTGCATCCCAAACTTGAAATGCGGACTGTCCGGGTTGTGCCAGGATGCGCCGTCCAATCATCGCATAGGTGTAATTTCGCATGTCGGATCCTTCATCGACGAACCGTTCTCCGTCCCGGTTCACCATGATACCCAGGGGATATCCTGATTTCGTGAACTCGTTGGAGACTTCTCGGTCTCCGGCATGCGCGGGGGAATCGGCATCCCATGCGACACTGTGGCAGCCGGACCAGTTCCCCACGGCTTTGGCAGAAACGTCGCGCTGGGCACTGAGGAGGAGGTCCCCGGTGTTGTAAGGTGTTCCACGGACCCGTGCGGCATCCCACCCTGGGCCAAGGTACTGGGCTCGCAGTTGGGCGTTGGCTTCGAAGCCACCAGCGGCCAGGATGACGGCCGCCGCATGAATAACTTGTTTTCGAGGGGCGCCAGAGGGCGAACGAGGAAGTACTTCAACTCCGATCACCGCCCCAGTGAGAGGGTCCGTTATGAGCTTCGTAGCGGGCGTATCAAAAAACACACGAATGCCATGCTTCTTTGCAGCGGCAAGGTGGTCTTCCACGAGACCTTTGCCACCATCTTGCGTCTTCAGCGCAAGACCACCCCAGAATTTGATTCGGCCATCTACCTCGTAAGCCTGTCGGTTAAATGATAGCTGGAAGCGGATACCATTTTGAGCGAGCCAGCCGATGGCAGAGCGAGAATCCTGGACCAAGATCTTTGATAAGGCAGGATCAGTGCGACCACCTGTCATGCGGAGCAGGTCGTTGGTAAAACTCTGCTCGGAGTAGATTGGAATGTCAATCCTCGATGCTTTCTCCGCGGTTGTATTGTTGACAATGGGTAGGAGGTCGGAGAGCCCACTGTGGGCAGTGCGAAAAGCCCCGGCCGTGAAGTAAGTATTTCCTCCGACCCAGTTTGAGGGGCATTTATCGATTACAATCACATTGGCTTTGGAATTCGTTTGTGCGGCTGAGAGGGCAGCACTAAACCCAGCGTTGCCACTGCCTACGACCAGGACGTCGCAGCTCGTAGGGAGGACCATGGTACATAGTTGGGATTATTCAGGTAGTGGGCGAAGCAGTATATTGAGGAACTGAGAATCATAAAAATTGATTGACCATTTGAAAGCGGCGAACATTGGATCTGCAGGGGGTAGTGAAGATTGTATATAAGGGTGGCTATCATACTGGACAGTAGGCGTAGCTTGCACGGGGAGTTAATCCCCGCGTCGTTTTCCCCACAATCCCCGCAGGCGGAGGATGAAGCTCCGTCGGTTGTGTTCAGAGTCAACTAGCCAAAAAGATCGGCAAGAACATTGAGATCATACAACATCGGGAGATTGACGCGTGAACAATAAACAATACGAACGTTTGAGCAGTGGCCTCAAGTGCCTGCATGTGTGGCCTTTCGTACGCAGAGCTTCTCGAACCCATGAGCTGATCCTGGGCCCAGTGCTGCGGCGGGTGGCATTTGTGCCTGTACGAACTTGCAGGCATATTAATCAATGTCCATGTGTATTCTTTGTATTAACATTTTATGGTCTAATTAGGAGCACTCTTGAGGCGTGATAGTAGTTGGGTACCCGTGCTTGCGAAGCATACAATATTTGAAAATATTCAAAACGAAAACCACTCGTACACGTCTATATCCGATGGTATCTCATGGCGTTTGCGAGTTCTCTGTGCGGATTCCGAGAATTGAGACGGTGGTGCCCAAGCGGCATCCCATACCTTTGGGTCACTGAGGACGCTGAGGTTTTTGAGCAGACCAAAACGGAAATCTAAAGGCTCGGTGCCATCTCCCGGCTCTGATGGCAACCGCATGTAGTACCGAACACTTTCGGGAATTTCCTCCTTGACGTGGCTAATGAGGACAAGGGCTTGGTCCTCTGAAAGGCCCTTGTACCGAGAGAGTCCTCGACTCGAGGCCCGATTAAACGCAGACGGTCTATCGCCGTGGTCTATGTAGTGTAGACATTTGTCACGCTGGGAAGCAGAAAGGCCCGAGAAAGGCTCGTCGAGGACTACAATATCGGGGTTGTGGATGAGTGCTCTTAAGAAAAGCACAATACGCTGTTGTGCAGTAGTGAGTTGGCCAAATGTCACATTGTCGGCATAGTCAATATCGTAGTCGGACGGAATGTAAGGCTTGTTGTTTCCGGTGGAGCCAAGACGAGGAAAAATATCGGTGTTGGTGGTGATGAAGGGGGGCCCTTGCTTCATCGTGACACTCGCATTTGGATCAAGCTCGGCCTTAAAAAACCGCAAGGCTGCACTTACGTCAAGGTCACGCTCATAATTAAGCACGGGCTTGGATAGGAATGTCTCTGCGAAAGCTGACTCGAGGGATTCCCGCACCGTCAATTGACGTGGGAAGAAAGCATGGATTTCGGGAGACGAATGTCCGAGGCGAGACTGGAGTTCGAAAATGGAGATGCCAGGTTTGCCTACTTCTGGTAAACGCGACCGGCCGAGAATTTTGATGGGCTGGGCGTATGCTTGCGGGTGATCAGAAGTGATGAGGGAGAGTAGAGTTGTTTTGCCAGACCCGTTGGCACCGAGAATCGCCCAGCGTTGGCCTTGCCGCACACGCCAATGGAGACCCTCCCTGGGCTCTCCATTCACGTTCTGAGTCCAGTTGCCCAGAACAACCTTATCACCATACTGGACACGAACACCATCCATTTCAATCAGTGGCTTTCCTCCCAACACGGGCGGGACTTCCTTCCAATTTGGTTTCGTAACATCTTTGGCACTAAGGTCTTGAATCAATTGTTGATCAAGAGCACCCGACTTCAAGTCCACCTTAGCCTGTCGGATAATACTCTTCTCTGTGTCATTCAAGCCCTTGATTGAAGGGTCACCACTCGTGAGTTGCTTCCAGATAGCCAGCGCTTGGCTAATCTTGGCGCGCGAGCCCTGCTGGATGACGTGGTGGTTATTTCCCACCACAACTAGATGAGTAATCCACTCCGGGACTGTGTCCTGCGGACGTAAGGCTAGGACCAATCGAGGAGAGGACTTTTGAGCCAGACGATGGAGCAATCCAGAAATGCTCCGGACGGTGGCCGGGTCAAGTCCCACTTGAAAAAAAAAACCAAGTTAGCTAGTATACGGTGAGAATAACCATCTTGAACATACTGAAGGGCTCATCTAGAAGCAGCAGCTCGGGCTTCTTAAGGAGAGCCTTTGCAATGCGGGCTCTTCGAGTTTGGCCATTGCTGAGGTTCGCAATAGGCATGTCAAGCAACTCTGACAGATGTAGATCGGCGATCACCTCTTGAATGAGATCTTCATCATGGATTGTTCCCTTCTCTTCTCCTTCCATAGGATTCAGCGACGTTTGGCCACGGAGAAACTGCTCTACCGTCCAGTCGGTTTCCTCCCGCAGGCTCTCGTAGCGTGCACTTAAGTATGCGCCACGAGTGCCACCAATAGCCCCAGAGCCTTCCCCACTAAAACCGATATACCGAATTGCATTTCCAACATAGCGCAATTCCGGATCCTTGGCGGCAATTTCGTCTGTGAGGAGGTAAGGATAAGATCGCGCGGTAGGTGGAAGACAAATATGCTGGCCACGGAAGACGTCTAGCAGATCAGTCCGTCCCGATGTACCGATTATAGCCCAATGTTGCAAGGGTGTTTTTTGGGTTTCCAAGGCTGAGATTTGAGAGGGGAGAGTGAAGCTGAAGTTCGCATATAGAGGTGGATTGGTCGAGGTATCGTTCTCTGTCGGATATTGCCGATAAAATGTGCCATTTTGGATTTGAATAAGCGGTGCAGATGATACGGAGCGAGCTAGATGGAAGTTCACCGGGCGCGATACCGATACCGATACCCGGGACCTCAGCGCCGTTCGAAGCAGCATAATAGGTCACAGGTTGGTAGCTTGAGCTTCATAGGGAAACAATCCGATCTCGGAATCGCTGGAAAGCCTGTGAAGCAAATATTACATAATCCCTTCTCCGCATTGCTGCCCCAGGCAGCCGCATCCCCGATGTTTCCCCGAGGTTCAAATCAACATGGAATCTAGTAGGATTATGGCAATCTAGTAAGCCTTATGACCAATGTGGGATTGGTCGGATCGCGATTACTGCGGCCGCTCATCTGCATTTGATAATTCATTCTTCTGATTCCTCTTCGCCGCGCCATCGCTTCATTGTAGCTCGGGCTACCAATGTTCTAATCTTCCTGATCGGCTTTCGTCTCGTGAATGCGCTCACTTCACGCACCTTTTTCAACCAGATGAATTCTTCAGTCCCTTGAACTGGCTTGGCAGATTGCGTTTGGGAAAGACCAGCGAGCCTGGCTAACATGGGTGAGTGTGGTATAATTAAATCGCACGACACAGATACTAATCCATGGTTAGCGTAGGAATGGCGGCACCGACTCCGATCCTCACTCTACCCTCTTCTCTTTACCACTATACTATATAAAATGGCTGACTACTGCTAATCTATACTCTTCCTTCCTTCCGCCAGGCGTGCGGAGCTCTTCAACTTGATTGCTAGTACCAAAACAATGCAGGCCGTGTAATCTGCAGTGGGCGATTTCTATACATGGAAGCTCGCGAGTCGTATCTACGGCGAACATTCTCGTGGCGCATGGGCAACAGTAAGTGTCAGGCAACATACCAATCAAATACCATGCATTTGATAAACTACTGGCTAATTGTTTGGCAGTTGGTTGCCACAACCATCAGTCCCTGACAATGGTTCTGCTCGACATGGACTCTATCAAATTGCTTAGGAACAACATTGACAATTGTCGCGTTGGACTTATAGCCATGGCAATGGTCAGCTAATCCTATTGCTGATGATAGTTGTAGGGGAAATGACAATGAGATGACCTAAGTTAATGCTACTCAGCTCCTATGGAGGTATGACTTGACCAGAGCAATACTATTTCCTGAAGCCGCCACTGATGCACAAACACCAGCCTTCGCCAAGGTTTGTTACTGGCCGCAGTTGCTTGTATCCTCCATCCAACTAATATCATAATTTGGACGGCCTCAGCCGCAATCACATTGATTCGAGGGACCTGGAATCAACGCAAACGTTTCGTGCGTGAGGTTTTGCTTTGCGGGTCTGTGCTTTCCCTTGGACTGCTATAGATCTCCGAGTTGACTTGTGTTGCAATAGATCTACAATCTTGATGGTCTCGGGTGTAGCAGATCGTCTGTTCTACGGAGTTTGGACCTTTCCCCCACTGCGCTTTTTATACTTTAATATCGCCCAGTCACTGGCAGTTTTCTACGGACGCAACAACTGGCATTACTATGCGACGGAGGGATATCCGCTCCTCCTCACTACTTTAATTCCATTCGCTATACCAGCTCTGTATTTCGCACTGATTACTCGAGACTTTTCAGCTTCCCATCGAGTGCAGAATACTGCCAGAGTACAGTTGGCCCTGATCTGCATCTTGATGCCATTCTTCCTTTCTCTCATCTCACACAAAGAAGTCCGCTTCATCTACCCTTTACTACCTTGCTTACATATATTGGCTGCGCCTCGTCTAGTGCACTTCTTTTGGTCAGATGTCACGTCAAGCTCTCATGCTTACCCTTCTGGGTGGTTAATGCTACTCTTCCTCATATTTGTTAATGGAACCATGGCTCTATACACATCTGTATACCATGCCTCAGGACCCTTGAACGTTCTTGAATACTTCCGCCATCAGCATGAAATCCATTCAGCATCCCACAACGGCCCCGCCGCTTCATTTCACTCGCCCGAGTCTAGAATTGCAGTTGGGTTTCTAATGCCATGCCATAGCACGTCATGGCGCTCCCACATGGTATATCCATCCATTCACACGTGGGCACTTTCTTGCGAGCCCCCGATCGACCTCGATGAGACGCAAAAAGTCGCCTATCGCGACGAAGCCGACCGGTTCTACGACGACCCAGATCAATTCTTGCGCCAAAACATGGCAGGTGGGCTTAGGCATCTACCCCGTCGAGCGAGCTATCTGACTGAGCCCCGAGCGACAACTCCTCTTCCTGGCAGCTCGATGCTTTATGAGTGGCCTGATTACCTTCAAGTTGTTTTCTTTGCCCAGCTCGAGCCGACTATGCGTCAGCTCATCCGAGGCTCTTCTTAAGGCGAATGCTTGCGCACCTGGAATGACCCCTGGAATACCGCCTGGCATGACCACTGGCGTCGCCACGGGCATATTGTGGTCTGGTGCCTGGACTCCGCAGAGCAGGATGCATGGCGCTCACAGAAGCATCGGCGTGCGCAAGAAAACCGAGACCACCAGTTCGAACGCATCTTGACTGCGATAAAACAAAATGCGAGGCCTCAACAAAAACGCGGCTTGGCGTCTCTCATGTCAGGTTCTCCGTCAAACTCTCAATTCTCATTTGCGTCCCTACAACGCACTGCTCAATCAATCTTTATACTCCGGTCCTCAAGCCCTTGGCCATGGGGCAAACGCTCTCGCGTGGATGCTTTCTTAGCAAATTTTCGGCGGGAAAATACCAATTTCCAAGGCCTGACCTAGTCTTGGACTTCGTCTTTCCCTAACTGGTCATGGCCAGAATGGTTAGGCGGTCCGCCTCATAGAAAGATTAGCAAACGCGAGCGTGAGCTATGGTCATAAGATCCCGGGTTCGTCTAGCCTACTAATATAAATATCAAACTTGGCCACTCATAGTCTCCCAAGTGATTTGTGGATCTCTTATCATTTGCATTGAGCCTTGTATCAATCAATACGCAGATTGAATTCTTGCTTCTCATCCACGTTGGGCTGTGCGGCTGCATTCCACTACCACGCAAGCACAGGGCCGTCACACGTGAAGCCTAGCGGAATTATCAGAGGGTATGGTCTTTCGGGAAACTATTAGCACCAACCCCTCTGTTTGGCTGGAGGGTGCCAGAAAGGAGATGTGATTCCACCACGTACGGTCCACCACTAGACGGACCAGGACCTTCCCAGTCGCCGCAAATCACAAGCTTCATTTTTTGGAACGTTTACCCGCTGAAAAGAAACAACTGGTAAGCTCGTAGAGTTTGTGCAAGCCACTCACACTAAAAAAAAATACAATACCTTCAGGCTGAGATCGGTGTCGTTGTTGCAGCTCAGCGATCTGGTCGGAGTCCACGTGCGGGTATCGTTCAAGATCAATGGGGGGTAGTCGGCATATTGAATACTAGTAGCACATGTGCAAGGGTGCACATGTGCAGGTTTCTATGGAGTTTTACTAGTTTGTAAGCACTTGAGGGCATAGTATATATTGTACACTAGATGGAATCATGCGATCGATAAAATACATCAATTGATATGTAGCTTCAAATGTTTCAACTCAATGTTCCATTAACAAGGTTGAAGCGATTATGTAGACTGGAATGAATAACACGCTTCTACTCCTCTTTGATCTCGCCCCTACGGGTGCTTGTCCTGGGCCTCTGTATGAGCACATGTCTCAGAGGGCTACGAATAGTGCAGGAAGGAGAGCCAAGCGGAGGAAGAGTCGGACTTGGATAATTGAGCGAAGGAGAGAGGAAGAAGCGGCAGTCTGAGCGCTCTTTTTAGCGCAGAAGAAGCAGCCGGATCGCTCCTGCTAACAACAATCTGCAAACGCTGAAGCGCTTAAGCATGCAAGGTGTCGAGGACCACAGGTCTCGGATGTGTAGCCTGAGTGTGACGAGGCAAGCAAGAAAACAATGGAATTGTTCTAAGGTCCTAACTGCAAGGAAAACACAGACAGAGGAGAAAAGGAAAAAGAAAAGAGAAGGAGACAAGGAGACAAGGAGGAGTCAATCCTTAAGTACCTGAGTACGTTAAGGTTTGACGACAGGAACTAAGCTTAAACCTAACCCTAACCTTCTCAGCCGAACAAAGGAAACCTCTGAGAAAACCTTCTCAGAAAACAGCAACTGTCAACTCGTGACAACTGACAACTGACACTACGTGTGACACTGAGGGTGTGACGTGGCAATCGAAGAAAACAATGTAATTGTTCTAAGGTCCTAAAAACAAGAAAAAAACACAGACAGGAGAGAAAGAGAAAAAGAGAAAAGGAAACAGGAAGGAAAGGTCAACGTTAAGTACTTTAAAGTTGACACACGACAGAAACCAAGACTAGACTCCATTCGGAAATGGGACAAAGGCTGTCGACCTGCAGTGTCAACGTGTGACAGAGGGTCTTACCAGCTTTCCCTCGCTTCGTCTCCCCCCTCTTGCTTGATTTCGGGTTGCTCCTGGTCGTAGATGCTCTGACTGGAGGGCCAAGAGGGCACGGAATCCTGGCTAGGCGGCATCTCCTTGTTGTAGCTGTTCTTTTGTAACGACATAATAGCCTGGAATATGGGATTCTCTCTGCTACTTTCAGGTTGTATCTCCTTATTGTAGCTATTCTGATGTGACGGCAAAACAGCCTGAAGCATAGGTGTGACAGAAGAGACTAGCGGCATATTTGCTTGATAATGTGTGTTGGTGGTTGTTTGTCCTGCTGAATCGACCTGCTGTGGCGGTAAAACGTCCTGAAGTATAGGTGTGATAGAAGAAACTGGCGGCATCAAATTTCCTTGATAATGTATGTTGGTGGTTGTTTGTCCTGTCGAATTGACCTGCTGTGATGGCAAAACAGGCTGAAGCATAGGTGTGATAGAAGGAGCCGGCGGCATCAAATTTCCTTGATAATGTGTGTTGGTGGTTGTTTGTCCTGTCGAATCGACCTGCTGTGATGGTAAAACAGGCTGAAGCATAGGTGTGATAGAAGGAACCGGCGACATATTTCCTTGATAATGTGCGTTGGTGGTTATTTGTCCTGCCGAATTGATCTGTATATCTCCGAGTTTGCTGCTGTATGCTGCCTCAGGGAGCAACGTCCGGGGGTAGAAATAGTTATAATATGAACCGGGGACCATAAACAATGGTGAATGAGGTAACGATCTCATCTGATCCAGTCCACCTTGGGCCATGTCTATATCCTGTTGCTTCTTTAAAGATTCCTAATCAGCCTGGGCCAAAATAGTAGAAGGAGAATCTAGTAGTATATTAATAGGTACTTACTACTAGCCCATGTTGCCGTGGCTGTTCATCCTTGTCATCTGCGGCTGTATGTGTTTCCTGACGCCGTTTTGATATAGGTGGTACCTCTGGCTCAGAAAGTGCCCGTTTTTGGCTACTACCCTTGACCAAAAACAGTGTCTTCTCAGAAAATTTTTGTAGTTGCTGCATTTGTACTCGTACCCATGGTAGTGAGGCCTGTGTACGCTCCTTTTTCTCAGTATCTGATCTGTGTACCTTTTTGTAGTGGTTCTGAGCACTTGTTCTGCTGCTCGATAGCATAGAACAGTCTGTACATTGGTACCCATTAATGATATCTAGGCCTTGGAGCGGCTTGATTGGGGTCTCTGGAATCCTGATCTCGCTGACGCGTTTGACGCGCCGGCGAAATTGGCTGTAATGTGCGCTTACTGTCTGCCAGTTATAACCTTCTTCGCGCTTGTGGTTGCTCGTTAGGTGAGGTAAGATCTGCCTATCCATCACAATGTCATGGCATTTCTTGCAAAACATGACCTTGAATGTTGAGAGATAGATAAAATTATCTTTCACAGACTGTGGAGTCGGTTTCGTGCAGGTCGTGGGTGGTGGCATCTTGGAGGTGGTATGATCTGTAGACTGTGGGTTGATAACTTGATATGGTCTGTTTGAAATCTTCGGAAGGTCTATGAAATCTTTTTAAAAGACTTTCCAACCGGCCCTGGAGTTCAGCTAGCCCTGTGCTCCAGATCAATACCCACAAAAGGGGCATCGGAATCGACATATCTAAAATACATAGGACTTTACTACAGAAACAGGTCACTTATAGTCTAAGACAGGTCGTATTTTTTAGTTAGTAGTTAGTTAGATGTAACATTTGAACCAGGCTACATAATAGGGCACACAGGATACATCTGGTTCTGAGGATAGCGAGACGGATTCTGTGGACTCGAGTTGTGAAATTTGTGATGGGCCTGCGACGCCTACTCCAGATGTCGTAGCCAGGTTTAGGCAGTTTTAATGTATTCATAACCTACAAAAGTAGGGTATTTTATAAGGACATCAGAAATAAGATACCATCAAAATAAATAATATATAGTAGAGTGGCAGAAAAAAAGAAAAGTTGGCAGAGAAGTAAGGCTGAAGCAATCTCCTTAGTAAAAAAGAATCCGACCTGTCTTGGACATCAATACAGGTGAACTCAAGTTTCTGTGGCAAAGTTCAATACCTAAATCTCAACAGTGCGCCACTGTATGTATTGACTTCATACCTGTCTAACTTATACTGCAGGAAACTAAACAAGGTACGTACATGAACAGTATGAAGATCGATTGGGTCCAGACCGCGATCAATCCAATCTTGTATGAAGTAACGATCTGGTTTTCACTACATATGCATGAGACTCGTTCCATGAAGGCTAAGATTTAGTCTGCAGAAGGGGTACATATGTTTCATGAGATACCATTTCATCCTTTCTTTTTCCGGGCCAAACCCCTGGCAGGACCATGAATGGATTAAAACAGAAAAAAAAAAAAAAAAAAAAAAAAAAAACTAGACCCTTCAATGTTTCTTCTCTTTAATAGTCACTACACATGGGTAGTACTATACACACATGTGCATGCATGTGCAGTAAAGACAGGTATGGCAATACCGTAATGATATGTCGGGACATTGATTCCCCATATATAGTATAATATGTGATTTCAACTTCGTTTTTTGATGTATCCAAACATTAGTATATACGTAGTTGAAATTAAAAACAATATTCGCCATACTTCATGGACATGTTCAAATTTGAGGCTATCCTGATTCCTCACCATGCAAATGAGAAGATCTTCGGCGTAAGATGGCCGGGCGGTAAGCGACTGCGAGGTCTCTGGTGACTCCTGAGTCCTGAGCGGTTGTGACCACGCCTTTGCGGCCGAATCCCCGTTTCTTTCCTTGCTGGTGAGGTAGATTCCATGACGGCTGTCGCAGAACGAACCACATTCTCTACGACATTATTTGCGTCGTCCAGAGAGTGTAAATCTCATCCCAGGCACTTTGAAGTTTGAATGAGGTAGATCTCGCCATTGGTCTTCGGGGCCCTAGTAACTAACCCGTGCAGTACATACCTGGTACCTACCTAGGTCTATGCCAGATGCCACATGGATGAGACTGGAGATTCCATTCGACCTCGATGGCTCAAGTGCTTAAGAAATATTATTGTGGATAGTACTAGTAGATACATGCTTTTCATAAGAGGCGGAGCTGAAATAGACAAGACGAAGGCGATGACCTTGAGAGCCATGTAAAATGTTTTGTAGGGTCGCTTCAGCAGAAAGGCAAGCCAAAAAAAGATATCAATGAAATCATCAGAGAGTGAAATCGCCATAGAAAATGCACAGGGCCTTACTGTGACCCTCCACGCAGTAGTGCATCACGGTAGCTTTACGCCCGTCTGGAACGTATTTTGCCATTTGCTGAACGTCCGAAGTTCGTGGCAAGTACAAAGCCATGTGCTGTGTAAATGCTGAATATTCCTTGAAAAGGGTTGCGAGAGAATATGGCTCCATGGTGCGCAAGTTGAATACCTCATCCGATCGATATCCAGGGCCTATCATGATTAGAAACGGCTTGATTGCCAAAATGGAGTGGAGGGGGGTGGTAAGATGAAAACGTGTAAGATGAGAACGTACCTCCCCAAGGAGGACTGGCAAAGATGACACTGTATGGCGCAAGATCTTTGAGTTGGTTTTTCAGGATTTCGAAGCAGTCTCCTTCGAACCAAGTGATCTTATCGTCGACGCCGTAGATCTTTGCGTTGTGCTTGGCGCATTGCAGGACGGCCGGGTTCTTTTCGATTGCATAGATTCTTTTCCATCGGCCAGATTTGGCAAACGCGATGGTATTACCACCTGCACCTGCAAAAGCATCGACCAGGATACATCGTTCAATGGGGGCTGACTTGGCAAGATCAGCTGCGATTTTACTAGTCTCCGAATTAGCGATATACACAAAAAATAAAGATGAAATGTCAAAATAGAGTGTTGTTCACCTACTTGGCAACAGGTTCCGGTGTCACTCCAAACCAAGCATCATCCGTCAGCCAGATGCCCTCATCGTACTTGGAGAAAATACGATAGCGTTGCGACCAATAACTGCAGAACCAATTAATACAGATTTTCAGAGGGATTGGACCAGGTGGCATATTACTTCTGAATATCCCATGGAACCTCATGAAGACTCTCGTAATGGTGAACCTCTGGGGGTGCCTCCTCTGAATCCTCCATTGCAAAGAGGTTGGATGCAGGTCTACAATACAAAAGGAAGCGTCACGGTAAGTTGTCCGATAACCGCGATAAGGGATAAGCGTGGTGATGTTTGTGATGTTTGCATTGCATGGGGCCAGCTCTCTCTCTCTCATGCCCGCGACAGCTTCATCTTAGACACCTCAGAGCAGACTCACTTCAGTTCGCTCCCAGTTCAGATCACCTCAATGTTTGGCGCACTCAATCGTTTTATCGGCCGGCTTGATGGCGAGCCCACTCAACAACCTCGGAATGGACCAAGTGACAACGCTTTCGGGTTTCAAGTGCTCCGCAACAAAGATCCCGAGCTACCTTTGGAGCCCTGGTTTGACTTCATCGTGGGAATAAATGGCCATCCCATAGTATGTAAACATGAGACTCGGACTGTTTGGATTATCTTACTAACTTACCCCTGTAGGAAGACCCGGACCCAAATCTATTTGCGACTGAAGTTCGCAATTGCGCCGGAACAAGCTTGACCCTAGAAGTCTGGAGCGCCAAGGTACGTGAACAAATGGCCTGTCTTTTTACTAAGAGGACATGCTCTGGCTAATCCATTGAAATTTGCGCAGGGCCAACGAACACATACCTATAACGTGCCGGTCCCCTCCACCAATCCATCCCTCGGCCTCGCCCTACAGCTTGCCCCTCTCAATTCCACTCAGAACATTTGGCATGTGCTTGCCATCCCCTCATCTCTGAGTCCCGCTTTCCGTGCAGGGCTTCTTCCCCATTCAGATTATATTATTGGAACACCAAGCGGGACATTGCGCGGGGAGTCCGCACTTGGGGAGTTAGTGGAAGACCACCTGGACCGTACACTGATCTTATGGGTCTACAACAGCGAATTTGATGTGGTTCGTGAAGTGGAGCTTATTCCCACTCGTGGATGGGGTGGTGAGGGTGCTGTTGGTGCCGAGTTGGGATATGGCGCCTTGCACCGGCTCCCCGTTGGGCTGGGGGAAGAGGTGGAAGGACCTGGTGAAGTCGTCTTTGAGACTCGCGAGGATGAAATTTCCTCGCCTATTGCCGAGTCAGCAGGCCCCGGGGCAGCTACTGGAGTCGTTGAAAACTTCTTGATACCCGCAAACATGGCATCTATCCCGCCGCTCGCGGGCCCAATGCAAGTTACTTCTCCTCCAGAGGGTCGATCACCCTCAAACCGCCGAGGTAAAGCACGCCATGGAGTGTCGCCGAATAATATGTTTGATGATTACTTTGCCGAGGGTGAGGAGAAGAGTCGAGAGCAGGATTTCGCGCCTTCACGAAAAGGAACCCCCCTTCCACCACCTCCTAGAGTCGGTATATCACCTCACACCACGGCCACGGCACCCGAATCTGGAGAGCCCGTGGAAGGATCACCGGGACCGACACAACCGGCATGAGCAATATACCCTGAAGAAGCGCGTTACATCTGGATATGTAAGAATCATTTCTGTCTTTAGCAATGATATATGTACTTTCACCTGGGCATTCGAACAATATTGAACCTTGGAACTTTGATCGGACCTTTAAAAGTTCGACGGATAAGATAATACAACACATTCATGGATGTGCACATGCGTATACGAGTTATGACAGGGCTTCGAACATTTCAAATGGTATCCCACTGGGCTATGTCGTACAGTAGTACGTACATAGTTCATGATACTACGTAGATACAGTGTACTAGTATGTACGTTGAGCGGGAAGACCGGATATGCAAAGTATTAAATTCAAATGAATGTATTGAATTTGACAGAAACCAGCATTGGGATCATTTGAATAATCAGATGTTGACTTTACTACTAGTAGGTTCGAGTGGTTCTGCAGTCCACTGTAGGTACTTGCTGAACTTACCGCCGATCTCCCGCCTTACTACTACTAGTACCTACCACCTGTGACCTTCCAACGCGCCAGGAGCCCGCGTCATACTATCTTTCCAGCCACAACCCCCTCCACATATCTTCTCCACAGTGCGATCTAGAGGATATTTCCGAAAATGTCCTTACGGCAGTCAGGATCAGGAAGAAACGACCGTTCGCGCTCACCACCATTCAGGCGCCCCCCGGGAGACAACCGAGAATGGCGCGACCGCCAGAACTCCGATCGAAGCCGGAACGATGATCGACAGCCAAACCGAAACATGCGTGATCAGATGCGCATCAACCAGCTGCAAGAAGATGAGCAGGTGCGGGAATGGGTTGCGCAGGAAGACGTCTTTGTGTTGAAACAGGCCAAGAAGAAGGCTGAGATCCGGGTGAAGGATGGTCGCGCAAAGCCGATCGACTGGCTAACGGTGACGCTTCGTGTGATCGATCCCACACGCGACCCATTGGACGACGAGATTGCAGACTCGGAGCTTGATGTGGTGGATCCTGATGGGGTATTTGAAGGATTGTCTCAGCCTCAGCTGCAAGAGCTAGAACATGAGATCGAGACGTTTGTGAAATTGGAGACGAATGCGCGCAATCGGGATTACTGGCAGGTATGGCAACCTCTCTGTTTATTTCAGTCCTTTGGACAATGTACCGAGCTGATCATCTCTCTACTTCCTCAGACCATGAAAGTCATCTGTCAAGACCGCCTGAAGACCAATGCGTTGGAGGGTCGGGCCCTCAACTCTGTCGCCGCTGATATCAACCGACTTCTGGGCCCAAAAACCTACGAACAATTACAAACTTTGGAGGTACAGGTGAAGCGAAAGTTGAACTCGAATGAGCCCATCGACACAGATTACTGGGAGGAATTGCTACGCAGCTTGACCGTCTGGAAGGCTCGTGCAAGATTGAGAAATGTTTACCAAGCGGTCATCGATGAACGCGTTCGTGAGCTAAGGAGTCAGCAGAAAGAGGAGGCTGAGTCGATCCGGGAGAAGTTGGCACCTCTGGCACCAGTCGTTACTGGGAATGAAAATCATGTAGACTTGGCCGAGTTTACGGGGCTAGATCCTGACCCGTTGCTTCAAGTGCGTGCAGAAGACAAAGGTCTTGAGATCATGGACGAGTCCATGTTTCTTCGACATGTTGCCCGTGAACGTCAGAAAATAATTCGCTTGGGATTTGTTCCTCTTCGACAGCGAACGGCCGAAAAGCCGACCATGGCCATCACTAATTCCGGGTCATCTAGCATGGCCGCCCCTGCCGTATCGACTCGCTTCTCGTCACTCCCCAACGACGATTTCTCACAAGCCACCAAGGCCTTGTACGAGCGAGAACTGGCCAAGGGGGTCAGTGAGAACGAGGAGATCTTCACCGGCGAAGAAGCTTTGAGCACAGCGGCACAGCCCTTATGGGCCAACAAGTACCGACCTCGAAAGCCTCGGTATTTCAACCGGGTTCAGATGGGTTATGAGTGGAACAAGTACAATCAGACTCACTACGACCATGACAACCCACCACCTAAGGTCGTGCAAGGTTACAAGTTCAACATCTTCTACCCTGACCTCATCGACAAGGCTAAAGCGCCAACGTATCGGATTGAGAGGGAAAATGGTCGCAAACGTGGTCAATCCTTTGCCGAGGCTGGCGAAGAAGACACCTGTTTGATACGATTTATGGCGGGTCCCCCTTATGAGGACATTGCCTTTCGAATCGTCGACAAGGAATGGGACTATAGTGCGAAGCGTGAGCGTGGATTCAAGAGCACATTTGACAAGGTATGTCTGGTTTCCCTCATTTCAAGGAATCAAGCTCTAATTCATCATCACTCTTTGTTTATACAGGGCATTCTGCAACTCCATTTCCAATTCAAGAGAGTGAGTAACCGTGATATTCTAACATTCCGCTATCACGAACGATCGCTAATTGATCATCCTAGATTTATTACCGAAAGTAAAACATTGGGACGACCTTTCCTTCCCATAATGGCAACATGGGTGCTATATCGAGATGGAGGATGAGTTTGTATGATGTATATCGTCTGAATTGGGGCATAACATAGTACATGCCTAGTCAATTCGGCATTATAGAAATCCATACCCGTGAAGCTCTCAGTCCGATTGCCTGGAACGAGATATCTTCTGTAGAAAAACAAAAACAAATTAAAGAGTAATGGCGTGGAAAGGTCAAGGGGAAAAAATACATGTTCGTCCGTGTCTACATGGTACTAGTACGGATTCAAGGCGTACTAGTAGATCAAGACCCTGACCGCCCAGTTGACGGGGCTCACCGCCCGAAAAATCTATGATCGTCACCTTGCATGGTATGGCTGACTCGTCTTGATCGCACACATGAAACAAAAATGAAGCGCAAGACAGATGAAACAGGCTCCCGGGCCAATGGACTCTCGGGTTCCAAAAAGCGTGCACTCTCTAGCCAAGAAGCCACTGTGCGCTTTCGTGATGGCTTGTTCGATACTGCGGAGCAGCAGAAATACACTGATGAATACGCTAAGTCGAGCCCGTACGTTTATATACATACCCCTTGAATGGCGTTCCATGAACCTGGGCTGGAACTGACTCAATTGGACTGGATTTAGCTACTACCATGGAGTGATTCACGAATTGATCGAACCGTCGCTGCTGCGATCCGTCCGCGAAGAGATTCAAGAGCAGGTGGACTTCACTGAGAAAGAGACCGACATCTATAAGATTTTCCAGTCAGGCGACCTGGCTAACTTGGATGGCCTCGACGATTCCTCGCTGTCTAAGCTGCCGTTTCTTCTGAAGCTCCGCGATGCGATGTACTCCGCCCGATTCAGGGAATACTTGTCTGCCGTGACTGGCTCTGGCAAGCTTAGTGGCCGCAAGACCGACATGGCTATCAATGTCTACACCGAAGGTTGTCATCTGCTGTGCCACGATGATGTCATTGGAAGTCGACGAGTGAGCTACATTCTCTACCTGACTGACCCTGATACCCCCTGGCAAGCGCAGTGGGGTGGGGCCCTGCGTCTTTACCCAACCAAGACTGAAAAAGATGTCAAAGGAGAGGCAGTCACGATCCCAAGCCCAGATTTCAGTCTCTCCATTCCACCAGCATTCAACCAACTCAGCTTCTTCACCGTTCAGCCCGGTGAGAGTTTCCATGATGTGGAGGAAGTGTACCACCACGGCGAAGGGGAGGACAAATCGAAGAAACGAGTTCGAATGGCCATCAGCGGATGGTTCCATATTCCCCAGGAGGGTGAGGACGGATATGAAGAAGGCCTCGAGGAGAAACTGGCCGAGCGCAGCAGTCTTGCCCAGCTCCAAGGTCGCGGTGACATTTACGATCTGCCTCAACCGCAGCCTGTATCATGGGAGGAACCCGAGGTGGAGGGCAAGGGCAAGGGAAAATTGGAGGAGCAGACCGAGGGGACCGAATTCAATGAAACCGATCTTGAATTCCTGGTGCAGTACCTCGCGCCGTCTTACTTGACACCGGACATTGCCGAAGAAATGTCCGAGGCTTTTGCTAACGAATCGTCACTCAGCCTTGAGCGCTTTCTCAATGAAAAGTTCGCTTCGCGCATCAGTGCATATATTGAGGACCAAGAAAGACAGACTCTGCCTGCCTCGTCAGAGGAGATCCAAAATCAGACCGAGTGGACTGTAGCTCGCCCGCCTCACAAGCATCGGTACCTGTACCAGCAACCCTCGGCGTATGATACATCGAATCCCATCAAAGAATTGCTCAACGTCGTCTTCCCGTCCCAGGCTTTCCGAAAATGGCTTGCTCTGATCACCGGCGTCGACCACCTTCATAGCCATAACTTCCTTGCCCGTCGCTTCCGTCGCGGTGCTGACTACACATTGGCCAGTGGTTACACTGGCGAGGAGCCGCGCTTAGAATTCACCCTCGGTCTGACTCCGACAACTGGATGGGAAAAGCAGGAGGACAACGAAGAGGATTCCGATGAGGATCATGAAAATGAAGAGGCACAGTCTTTATCGAAGCCTCAAGAGAAGGTTGAGGCCGAGCTTGCCGAGCATCCTTCCGTGGGTGGTTACGAGATCTACATGGCTGGTGACGACGATGACGACGAAGATGAGGAGAATGAAGAAAATGCAGACCAGGGGCCCCGGAAGAAGACCAAGGCGGATCCCGCTATCTACCGTTCTGCCGGCGCTGACGAGGATGATGGAATTCTCTTCAGCACCCAAGCCGGATGGAACCGACTCAGCATTGTGCTCCGTGACAGTGGCACATTGAAGTTCGTCAAGTACGTGAGTGCATCTGCCAAGGGAGACCGGTGGGATATCAGTGCAGATATTGGGGTTGAGTTTGAAGATGATGACGAAGAAGATGAGATGGAAGACGATGACGAATAGATAATCTTCGCTGGCTTCCAAGTGCTGTCGAAATATGTATAAATGATCTACTGTAGAACAGTAAAACCCTTTTCCAAGGTTGTTGCACATGTGCACATGAGCGCACCTGAGCATTCAAATGTTAGTACCTAGTACCAATACGTACAATCAATCAATCCAACCCTGCATAAACTTACTAGTTAGTCAAGTTCTAGGCAAACAATTATTTCCCCAGTCAACCGGTCTGGTCTGACAAATCGATTTACCTGGTCATATTTGAGATCTCAGAGCTTGGGGAAATCATGTTGGTTCCTGGGCCTGGGCGCCCCAATTGGATCTGCTCTTTCACTGACGTAGCCGCTGGTCTAGATTGTGAGCGGCCAAGCGCTAAGAAAGGACTGGCCCTGAGCCGCTCATTCACATTAACCCCACTCTACCCAAGTCATTCTCAAGAAAGCACTTGAGCTTTTTGATCCGACTCCATCTAACATGTTGATATATTCACTTCATCACCTTACATTCGATTCTTCAAGATGACATTCCGTCCAGAGAATATTCCTCTAGTCGCCCAAAGATTTTGGACATCTGACGAGTTACCCTCCTTTTGTTCCAACACACTGGCCTGTCCGCTGTCTGGAGGCCATTGTCAAGTTTACAAGCTTGGATTTTCTGATCAGACCACCTGGGCTGTGCGAATTCCAATACATGCACGAAATGCTCCTAAAGAGGTCGTCATAACTCAACTCCAATGCGAAATAGAAGTTCTGAAACGTCTTAATGTTAATGGATTCAACTGGGCTCCAAAACTTATTGGCTACGACCTGACCTATGATAATGAAGTCGGCTTCCCACTCACTATTTTCTCTTGGCTACCAGGTGATCCATTGGAATGGAATGATACTATACCTCTGCACCGATGTGACCGCGACAAAGTTTTGCAACAGATTATCCAGATTGTACTGCAACTAATTCAATGTACCAAAGTCAAAAGTAAGTATACTATGATGAAATATGATATTAATTACTTACAAGAAAAGTGGTATCTACTCTTGACTTCCTTACAGATGCGGTGGACCGAAAAATCATTCGGGTTTATCGGAATCAGTTACCAGAAATTTCACTAGAGGACTGCCTGATACTTCGAGCGTTACTCCCCGAGGTTATACATCAAAAATTACACCACGCTCCCTTCCTCATTTCACATGGCGATCTATCGAGCAATAATATTCTGGTAGACAGCAATCATAATATCACTGGGTAAGAGACCCTAAGACTTGAGAGAAATACCTACTTATACACTGTAGGATAATTGATTGGGGCTTTTCGACATATCATCCCTTCCCAATCGCCGCCGGTCTTCCACGATTTCTTATCATGGAGAATGAAGAAAGTTTGATTCCATCACCAGTTGCCCAGCAGGATCGAAGAAGCCTGGTCACGCATCTCAGTCAATGCAGTTGTGAATATGCGCCATTACTGGCTCTTATGTATGCCGCAGCAGATGTAGACTACAGGTGGATGGTGCTGGAAGCAGTTTTTAGTAAAGGAACTCACAAATGGTTGAAGGACCGTATGTGGTTCAAGAGTGGCTCCACCTTCCTGGTTGATCATGAAATTTTGGAGCGCGAAATGGAGGCATTTCTAAATGGTCGTGTAAATCTGAACGCGAATCTTACTAGAGAACAAATTGTCAATGTATGGCATGGAGGAGCGAAAACTAAATAATGAATGGAAAATAACTCCTAGAAACTACTGAGGAAGAACAAGCAAAGGAATGAATATGGAATATTGATTGTTCGAAGGAAGGAAGAAGCGAGACGCAGCCTGCAAACTGGAACTAAAAAGGGAAGCACTGACAAACTAACAGAAGCGAAGGAAACAAGCAGTGGAATGAATATGAATCTTGATTGTGTTCTAAGCTAGGAAGAAGAGAGAAGAGAGCCTGCTATCTATAAGGAAGAACAACAGGCGGTGGAAACCGGCAGAATCAGGGGAAACCGGAATCAGCCGGTGGAATCTGCATGGTCATGTGATTCCAAGAATAACGATGATCAATCAAAATCTTTTTGCAAGTGATGGCCCGATTTGCCAGTAGGGCACTAGAAGATAGCTGGTAGTATATCACAAGATTTTTTTTTTTTTTGAATTCATTCATGGATCTGTCAGGCTTTTGGCCCGATTTGCCAGTAGGGCACTATAAGATAGCTGGAATCACTATATCACAAGATGCATTATGCTGTTGTATGGTGTTGGGGACTGGCGGGTAGAAACAAACAAAACAAACGAACAAAACAAGCAAAGGATACAAACAAGCCTCACGTGATCATGTTGGGCATGCCATGTTGTTATGGTTGTAGCGCTCGGGCGGTGACCGAATGTGGTGGAGCGGGGATCCACCACGTGCTTAGAGCAACCTACATACGTATGTACTGGGTCCCGACTCGTTCTGCCGACTGATCGCTCAGTCCTAGCTCAGTGAGCCTTGTGACTTGTCCACTCATGTATCCCGTGGCTTGTTTCATGCTTCCTGGGAACGGTTCATCTCTTTTCTGAGGTCTTGACCAAGTGGGCCCGTAACAATTACCTACATTCGGTAGTAATTTAGTATTTTTGTAGTATCACAAACATAGGATTTTCCCGTACTGTATGTACTCCTAAATTGCTAAATTGTACCCAGAAGACTTCGAAGAAAGAATAGAAAGGAAAATAAGGTATCAGATGGATCCGCAGTCTCAAACTTGATTTGTCAAAGAGCCAAAATGGAACCGACAAGCTCAAAGATGAGAAACAATGTCTAGGACGTGTACTGCTTCTGCAGCAACTTGGCAATGGTAGTCAGCTGGATGTTACTGGTACCCTCGTAAATGGCACCAATTTTGCTGTCGCGGAACATCTTCTCGGCAATGCCCTCACGAACGAAACCCATGCCACCCATCCACTCAACCGCAGAGCCTGATACACGGCCTGCAACCTGCGAGGCATAGAGTTTGGCCATGGCGGCATCCTGAACAAAGTCTTGGCCAGCTTCCTTCTTACGCGCGGCGTTGTAAACGAGTGCCCGGGCGGCAGCGATTTCAGTGTAGGCCTGAGCGATTTGATGTTGCATGCCCTGGAAGTTTCCGATCAACTGACCAAACTGCTTGCGGTCATTCCAGACGTAGCTAGTATATATGAAGCACATTAGATAGCGGACAGAATACTTGGGAAACAGATGAACTCACCGAGCAGCATTTTCCCACGCGCCGAGAGCCAGGCCCGTCATCTGGGCAGCAATTCCAATACGACCCTCATTCAAGATATTGATAGCATACTTGTAGCCCTGACCTTCCTCGCCGAGAAGATTGCTCTTCGGAATCACGACGTCATCGAAGTTTAATACGCAGGTACTGCTGGCGCGGATACCAAGCTTCTTTTCCTTCTTCGCAATGGAGAAACCGGTGGTTCCTTTCTCGACGATAAAAGCTGTGATGCCCTTGTAACCCTGGCTAGGGTTCAGGTTGGCAAAAACGATGAAGATACCCGACTCCATAGCATTAGTAATCCACATCTTGGATCCATTCAGTTTGTATCCGTCTGCAGTCTTCTCCGCCTTGGTCTGTAGTGCAAATGCATCCGAACCGGACACAGGCTCAGAGAGGCAGAAAGAGCCGACGGTACCGGTGCTCAGCTTAGGGAGCCAGGTACGGTGAGATTGGGCATCACCGTATCGCATGATCGCCGTGTTGACAAGGGTATTGTGGACATCAACCATGACACTGACACTGGGATCGACACGTGCAAGTTCCTCGATCGCCACGATAGCAGCAGTGAAATTCATTCCGGCACCTCCGTATTCCTCGGGGATCTCGATGCCCATCAGACCTTGTTCGAAGAGCTGCTCTACCAGAACTGGATCCATGCTTTCAGCTTCATCCATGTCTCGGACCTTCGGAGCGATTTGCTCATTCGCGAACTTGGAGACCGAATCAGCCATCATTGATTCGATATCGGATAAATGGCTGATCGGGGTAGGGGTGAGGGACGAGAGGTCGGCATCCCGCCGACGGGGCGTGGTTGAGAAGGCATAGGAACTGTAATAAAAAGGACAAATAGCCTGATTAGCACATTGAGGAGGCAAGATCCCAACATCATGGATGGGAGGGCGGGTTTGAGGGGGGTTGGGTGAATGATAGTAAATACCTCTGGAGAGGGCGGCCAGTAGCCAAGCGTTTTGAGGATACGCGGACTGAGGGAACAGTACGCGACAAGGGCCGCAATGCACGAGAGATGGAGGCCATTGCTATAGAGACTGGAATGGTGAATGAGAAGAACGATGCAAGCAATCCAAAAAGAAATGAACGTGAAAGGGCGATCACAAGGGAAGCTAAGAGCCTCGGTTATCAGCGGCACTGGGGATTCGCGGGGAGTAAGATCCAGGTGGGGCTTATGGCTTTAACCTAGGCTATTTCCACCATTTGATCCGGGAACATGAAGGAGCAAGTGAACTTCAAAGACCTCAAAATAAGACAAAATTGAAGCAAAAAACTACAAACCTCTCAGCTCAAGATCTAAAAAAATACCACGGCAATCGGACGATGAGAAAATAATGTACTTGGAAATGCAAATTCTCGGGGGGTTAACAAGGGATATTATATGCAATGGGTCCGTTTTTTTGGAAACCGATGACTATGTACAAAGAGAGAGCTCTAGACAAAGAGAGAGAGAGAGAGAGAGTATTGAGAATTTCTATAAACAACCAACAGAAAGAGCCTCACGTCCGTGACCTGCGCGGATCAGTGGCATCCTGTCGTCGCCACTCGCGAGACTCCTTCGACCCCAAGCTACCCACTCCTCCTTCAAGGCGTCGCTCCCAGCCGCCTAGTCGAATGACAAGACAAGTGGCATTGTCACCTTCCTTGGTAACTTCGGTCGCAAAGCTGACAACATCACGGGCACCTTGTTCAGGGGTCCTGGCCTCTTTGATAATATCAACAACTTCTTGGTCAAGAAGCGTGCCGCTAATACCATCGGACATCATGACCAAGAAAGAGAACTCGGCGGCACCCATCTCGATACGATTCACTTCTGGCTCAGCGGAGACACCGATCCGCTTTGACTGTACGTCGCCAAAAGCGCGGGTGTTGGCGAGCCCACTCATACGCTCCTCACCAAAGGAGTCGGTGACGAACGTGGCTGCATAGCGGCGAAGACGACCAGCCTCGATGGGCGAGGATGGATGATGGTTGGCTGTCAAAGGAATAGCCTCACCGGTTGCGGTCGAGCAGAGCAGCACCTTGGTGTCCCCCACATGCGCAACAAGAAGACTGGAGGGACCAGCGGGGTGCCAAAAGGGGGTTGGACTGGGCGGGGATATCATAGCAACACTCCCAGTACTACCACCCTTGAACCGCGAGCGACCGCCAATCTTCGGGGTTCTGGTGAGGCTGGGCGAGTGGAGGATCTCGTCTTCGTTAAGTGGTTTCTCGGCCAGAGCCAGATCATCATCCCGTTTGGCTGCTTGGGCTTTGACAAAATCCAGATCGGCTCGTAAGAACGCATATTCCATGACCTCCTCGATGGAGACACGGTCGGCAGATGCGGAATCCTCGGATTCAACACCAAAGTACGAAAAATGAGGTGGCTTAAATCTTTTGAAATAGCCACCGACCAAGCGCCTCCAATTTGCCATTAGACTCTTCTCCAGCTCCCCAATCCGACGACGATTCCCCTCCTGCATCAGGGGCAACGAAGCGGAAGCATCAACGCCAGTCACCGATTGTTGATTTGGCTGCAGGCTCGACTTGAGCTCGAAATTGGCGGCAGCGTTTTGAATGTACTCATGCAAATAGTCTCTTAGAAATGCACTGCACTCCGCTCCTCCATGACCGTCAAAGATGCCAAAGTAGAAGATCTGGGGATCTCCGCTAGCGGTGTCTGCAGCGCGAGATTCCCGAGGTGAAGATGCCGAGTCCCGCTTGATCGTCAACGATGCTGGAGGCCGTTTGGCAAATGCCGGTATGTCAATCACGCCGGCCTGGTATGTATCCTCATTTGCTGGGCGAGTGCCGCGGGCGGTGACGGCACCGAAATGATGTTTTGCGCTGCGCAAGGGAATCCGTACCACAGTGGTTTCGCGGTCGACGAACGGTTGGAACGAGGTTGGCGAATGGGATGTCTCCCCTGTATGTGGGACTGACTCGGAGCGAGGGAGTTTATGAAAGGGTGAGGTCGGCCCCCGAGGGTCGGGGTGAAGTGATGACGACGGCAGATGAGTGACGAAATAGTCGCGGAATTGGGGGCACTTCTTAGGGATGGCGGGCGCATTCGAGGAGGCAGCTTCCGAGCTGTATTGTCGCAACCTTCGAGGGCGGGAGAGGGCTGCTAGATTGGAAGCGCATGGTCAGCAAAGAGGAGGAGCTCAAGGATGTTTCAGGGGATATGAGCGGGTTTGATAGGCACGTACTGTAACAGCCAGCCAAGGACCAGACCTGGCCTGTTACTTGCCTCGCTGAAGTGACAATCATGAATGGCCCATTGAACTCGAGAGGTGTGAGGATGAAAGAAGGGAACATCGGATTACGGGGGGGACATCGTGGGGGTAACCTTCTGGCCCGAGCGTCGGCAGATAAGGCGACACGTCCCGGCAGATCTATCAAAATCTGTTAGGATGGAATTGATGCTGTAATGTTGACACTGGATACTTCAATATTATCACTTGATGGCATTCAATCCGGAGAATTTCATCTGTTCTGTATACTAACGGTGAGTCCATTTGAACACTTGGGTATCATGCATTTTTTATTAGTACTGGTACTAGTATGTATACACTCTGCATGTTTCTGCCTTAAGGCATCAATTCAACCCCCCAGACCGATAAGACGATAAGCCCCGATTTTTTTTTCTTCCTCTTTCCCGTACGAGGGGCACCCCACATTCATTGATTAACTATGGCCGACGACGATTTTGAGACGGGTGACCTGTTCAAGGACCCTGAGGGGTTCTACCCTGAAGAAAAACAGCCCACATTTGCCGAGCACCGCATGCTGTCCGGACAGACGGTGCGCGTGCGGCTTGTGGGCGACCACCCACTCTACGTATGTCCTTCACCAAGGTCCAATTGATTTCTTCTAAGACTTACTGATTGAATTTTTTTTACCATATAGGGGAATTTGCTTTGGAACGCCGGTCGAACTAGCGCACATTATATCGAAGAACGGGCGGATTCGCTCATCCGCAACAAGGATGTCCTTGAGATCGGCGCCGCCGCAGGCGTCCCCAGCATTGTGAGTGCGATCCTAGGGGCTCGTACCACAGTGATGACCGACTATCCGGACCCGGACCTGGTGACAAATATGCAACATAATGCGGATCTGTCGGCGGATATGATTCCATCCCATTCCCGTCTCTATGTCGAGGGCTATGCGTGGGGCAAACCGGTGGAACCTCTACAAGCGCATATCCCTTCCTCCCAGGGTGGCATCCCTGCCACCTTTGACGTTTTGATCATGGCAGACGTGGTTTACAGCTGGCGCGAACATGCGAATCTTATTAAGACTATGCACATGACTTTGAAGAGGGATCCCAAGGCCGTGGCTTTGGTCATTTTCACTCCCTATCAGCCATGGTTGTTGCCGCAGACTGAGAAGTTCTTTCCGCTGGCGGAGTCGAGCGGTTTCACGGTGATCAAAATCTTTGAAAAGCTCATGGACGATGTGCTATTCGAAGATGATCCAGGTGTAAGTCCTCTTCCCGAACCTAAGTAATTGATAGAATACTAAACGTCCCACAGGATGAAAGACTTCGGCGCACGGTGTTTGGATATGAACTCCGGTGGGCACCAGACCAACTGGAGAAGGATGCTTGAAACCTTGGAGTTTGGTTGTGTTTTGGCATGATACCCTTGCATTTCATCAAGACAAAAGCTCAGAGTTATACAATTGATAGATGATGGGTGAGTGGTGGTTTCAGCGCTGCTGTCACTCTCTAGTTACGTATCGTTTTGGTGAACGGATTTGGAATATAGATGACTGAACTAGCCCGGGTGACGTAGTCGGGAGCATATCTCATATTTCTATTTTTCCGACTCAATTCCTGCATAGTATGGATGTATGAATGATGAATGCGTTGAAGGCGGGAAACATTGAAAGGGTCGGCCGCCAAATTCTCGACTTCAAATGTTTCTTCAAATGTTCTAATTGGCATTTGGCGGGCAGCCTACCTCTTTTGGAAATCGGGCCGCTTTCTTCGAACTATCCCGACAGCCCTACGTCAGACCAGTCCCGCAATTTACCCCATACATGCAGATATAAAAGATCCGTTAAATCCCCACGAAGACCTCCAGATGTCGTTTATATGTCTTTTCTCAAGGGCGACACCATGGTATCTCTTACAAATCTCTCAAAGTCTGCCATTCGCACAGCATCTACAGCAGCCGCAGGACAAACGACCAAGGCGGCTGGCGATATTTCATCGGTGTTTCCTAGCCTCCAGCCAGGGTATCAGCCGGAGCAGCTTCCGTCCCGATTTCAAGAACTAAGAGAAAGACTTTTTGAGAAAAATGGCCGGGCTTTGAAAGAAAGTTGGCAGAGGCTCCTTCCGAGTTTGGAAGGTGAAGTGGAGAAGATTAAGTCCAAAGGGAGCGATGCAAGTAGGATTATGAATAATTCAAAGCCAACGAGAACTAATGAGAAAAAAAAGATCATCCCGTCGGTAAATTATTCGGATATTGTTTCTTGCAAGGTCCCCGAGGCAACCTTGAAAGAGATACGCCACCGAGGTAGCGTGGTCATTCGAAACCTCGATTATAATAAAGGAGTTTAATCTAAACACACACTAACACACACCCACGTGACCCATTAAACCTAATCAGGATAGATTGATACCTGAATTTGCCTAATTCTGTCTTAGGCAGAAATATTTTCTGACCGCTTCTCTCACCGCCTTGAAATTTTTTTACTGCCTTATTAATACCGCCCTACTACCTTCTCACCGCCTTACCGCCTTATGCCCCAGGCACTAAAACTAGGCACTAAAACCCTCTTGAGTGACTGAGTCGAGTCCACTCTCGAGTCCACTCTCGAGTCCATTCTAATTTACGTACTAAATCCTACAATTTACATGCAGTTTCTTCTCGATAATAACGCTCAATAACAACGAACGCTTAACACTCCATAACAATGAACGCTCAACGCTCCATAACAACGAACAATGCATGTCCTGACTCCTGACCCCTTACTACTTAGTAGTATACAAATGAGTCATCTGAGGCATCAGTGATCACTTTCTGGCTCACTTATATGTGCAGTCTGACTCCTTTTTGCCATACCAGGACGTGTAGCCGGTGTAGGACGCTGTGCTGCCATACTAGGACGCTCTCTTCCCCGCCCTCTTCCACCACGGTCCACGGCCTCCACGGACCACGCCCTCCTGTAGGGCCCTCAACAACATATTCCTAAGCTGAAGCCTCACGCTGTGTTGATCGCTCAAAGGGTGTAAGTGCAATTGGGTCAACAGATGACTCACGACTCCTCATCTCTGTAGATTCCTCTTATACAATGTCAAGTGTAGTCTCCTGAGGCTGTTCCTGTGTAAGTAGGCTTTGAGACTGGGAGAACTCCTGTAATTCAGCACGACTAGGCTCTGAAGGCCTACCACGGCGAGTAATTAGCAGCGGGTTCTTAATAAGAAGCTCAGGTTGGATCTCAGGGGCTGTTCCTGCAACATAAAGATGCCAATGCTGGTGGTACAATTGATCTAGGAGAGAGTCACCTTGATCTTTATATGCCTTAATAACATACTAGTTACAAGGTACCCCCATGGTTGTTAGTGAGTCGCAATCACATTAAGGCGGAATCGGAGGCTTCTTCTCCCCTTCTGGAAGATATTTGTCATGCTGGATTTGAGTCAACTTTATCGCCTTTTGGCTTATCCGACATATAAGCAGTCGATACAGAGGCTCAACAATTGTAGGTTGTCTGATCTTTGCACTTGCAATTGAGGTCTTGATAAAATGAAGTTGGCGCTCAACAACATGCTCAAACCTTTGGAAGACTGTCAAAAGATCATTGGTTGACACACACAAATCCTGTTTAAGAAGCCAATGAGCGCCTTCACATCGTGAGGTTACTGTCTCTCCCAAATGGCAGTAACGGCGTGTAATATGGCGTAAGAATGCCTCAGGGCAGCTATTAATCCAGGAATGCTGGATATAATCAAGAACAGGGTCTGTCACGATGTCGCTCAAGGGAACGAAGTGAATCGATTTAGGTACGGTGTAACGAAAATTCTAGTATGAAGAGAGAAAGAAAAAGAACTAAGTCCCCAAGCTTCAGCAAGTGTTAAGCACTAACTCAGTAGTAGCTTGGTGAAGTATAGACCAGAGTGAGGATTGCAAGGATATGCTATTAGCAGTTTATGCCTGGTTGTCTGTAGACTAATCTCTAGGGTTCTATCCTTTCCCTGATCTTCCCTAGGTCTGTGTGGTCATCACGTGCTTACTTAGGAAAGCTAGTATGGCTGCCTTAGGGGCTAGGCTAGTATAGCTGCCTGAAGGGTCAGGCTAGCAGGGCTGCCTCTCCAGTCTATAAGATCCTCACTTCTACTAAGAAGCACCGTCCATAATATGCTAAGCCTTTTAAAGTGCTAAGGCCAAATCCAGAGGGTACTGGCTTCTGGCCTTTCATCCGACCTGTTCTACAGCGATGCCAGCTCAAATTCAGGCCACCAGAACCTTGGTTCACTCCGACTCAAATATTCATAGTGATGGTGGAAATTTCACCAAGAACCGCGTTCGACACCGAAATTGGCTATGCTCTCTGGACGTCCATAGACCAAATGCTGAAAATGCAGGAATTTCTTGACTCAAAGGAAGCTATCCTGGCGAAGATTGCTCATAAACTTCAAAGAGAAGTTATGGTGCAACCAACCTTGACAGGCTTTCTCCTTTTTATAGAGAAGATACAAAGCGGCTCAATACCGAAAGATGCATTTTGGAAATTATTGAAGTACATCGTGACTTGCAGTATGAAACTACGGGCTGGACTATCCACTCTACCACCCACCAGTTTTACGATTACACCGAGTCGGGGAATTTGTCAGACCTTTGTGATTTGTTCATTTGATTTTGTGTCTGCGTCCCATTTTGGAATGTTGCCTTCCAAATCGGCTGTATCTGAGCCCTTCCGATCGAGGCTGCAGCTGCTACCGAAATGCTAGATGATAAATTCGGGATACTCGAAGAGCATGATGCATTCTGGATCATTATTAATACCTAGAAGAACAAATGCCCAGACTAGCCGATTCGAAACCCTCCAAAAATAAGGCGTTTTTGATTCTATCTTTTTTTTCCCAACTATTTCAGCTGAACCAACTCCTAGAAACCAGAACACAATATCAATTTAGGAAAGTCAAGCTTCGTCCCCCAAGGTTAATTCACATCACCTAGCTCATGAATGGAAAGACCCTCATATCGTATTGCAAATCAATGGACGAATATATCCCGATGAGTTTGCTTGATCATATCCGCGCCCTTTTCAGCAACCATGTAAACGGAATTTTGAATTCGACAATCAGGAATGACGGGAATCACAGATGCATCAATGACCCGTAGGTTCTTGATTCCAAAAACACTGAGCGCAGGGTCTACGACCCCTTGCTCAATGCTCTTGGCCAAACGGGCAGTGCCACAGGGATGGAATGAAGTCTGGGAGCGATCTAACACCGTTCGCTTCATCAGATCATCCGAATGTAACGGCATTTCCCAAGGGTACTCATCAACAATGATATCCTTAAAACCTTCACCATTCTTCAGAATATCATAGCTGTATCTGATCCCCTCGCGGATTGCAATGATATCAAGATCATTATTAAAATAATTCAAGTTGATGTTGGCTTGCTGGAGAGGATCGGCGCTATTCAGTGTAACCTCACCAGGATCGGACACCGGGCGGACAAGATCAACCATCACGGTGATGTGGTCACCCTTGCTGGGAGTAGGGTAGTGCCACTGGAAGGCACTGCCAAATAGACAGACGAAGTCGAGCTCGAAATGAGGTTGATTATAAGGGCAGAAGGGGTCGACTCCACCGTTTGAAGCCTTAGCCTCTCGATATTCCGGACTTCTCTCGAGGTAATCATCAATGCGAGGGAATCCAACCATCTCCAAGAAACCCGATCCCATCGGTCCACCATGATCCTTGCTATAGCTCTTCATGGCTTGATCATGCTTAGCGCCCTTTCGCAAAACGTGGTCATCCATTCCATACCCGTCTTTGACACGAAGGACAAAGGGCACGCCGGGATGGTCAAGCAGATGTTGGCCAACATGGGGGGAGTTGACGATTGTATCGATGTTATGTTTTGCCAACTCCTTTGCTGGACCAATACCGCTCAGCATCAAAAGCTTAGGAGTCTCAAATACGCCTTCGGATACAATAACTTCACGCATAGCAAACAGATTTAGCTCCTTTCCGGAATCAGTGATAACCGTTACGCCCTTACAGACGCGATCCGCCGTATCGATGATAAGTTGCTTGGAATGGACTTCTGGTAGAATAGTGACATTTGGTTTGTCGATCACACAGAGAAAACTCCCCGAGCGTTGGCCTTTATAAATTGTGTTGACACTGTGTGTTAGGCCTCTCATCGTACCATCAAAGATATCTTCCGTGATAGGATGACCGGTGGACTCCCAAGCCTTAATGAGAAGTTCGCGGAAAGGCTTCATCTCAGGGATCAAGCGCGAATGAGAAATGGGGATAGGGCCATCCGTTCCAATCTTTTTGAGAATTTCGGGGTACACGTTGTCGTCATCATGGTAGGTAGCACATTTTCGCAGGTAATGAACAAGGTGATCCCACGTCCACTCCTTCCCTCCATACTCTTCCCACAGGTCATAGGTGCCTTTGGATCCAGGGGCCCATGTGAAATAGTTCAAGGATGAGCTACCGCCAAGGGCTTTACCGCGAGTGTTGGGCTTCTCCACACGCTCGTAGTCGTCACGCTTGACCATTGTGGTCTTGTAGGCCCAGTCATACTTGCTGTTGCGGAGCTCCATGGCCTCTGCGGGGGTCCTGATCTCCTCGATTTCGTGAGAATTTCCCACGCCGGCCTCAATAACCAAAATTTTGACGTTGGGATTTTCTGCAAGTCTACCGGCAACCAAGTTACCTGCAGTTCCCCCACCGACCACAATGAAGTCAAAGCGAGATCCGTCCTTGACCGTCATGGTAAAAATATAAAGATAGATAATCTCCTTGATTTGGATGTGCAATTTTTTTTAAAAATATTTTCCAGGTGATGCTTCTGACACCTGCTGTATACCTACCAAGACCATGATTTATATACGTAATTTCAGAAACACCTGCCGCCCACCCGTGAACCCACCGATTATTCACATAATCTACCTCCATGTGTGCAAAGGCAAAGAATCAATGATTCATTCAACAATATTGTATTTCATTACCCATGGATAATCTCGAAGTCTGATTTATACGGAGGTTGGTGTGCTCCAATCAAAAGTAACACAAATTCTTTGCTCAACCTTAGAATCAAGGTCAACTTTGATAACTCACCTAGACCTGATATTGCGTCACGGTCAGCTTCAACTCTGATTTGAGATTTTGTCTATACTTCCAGTGGTCGTCATACCTAGTAGGTAACCTCCAATTATGGCAGGGTAAATAGTTCCTACTAGTGGAATATAAGTCGGTCCTCGATCGTATTAACAATGTTTCCGGTGTTTCCTAGAGGGCTTGCTAACCATGGCTTGCTTAAGAAGATTGAGACTAATCTACAAAGATCTCTTAAATAGTTAGATTTTAACCGTCCCTAGCTGGCCGCTGAGCTCGCCACTCGACTTTTTGAATGAACTATCAAGTTGTTCTTCCAAGGTTTTCAATGCTCACTTTCTTGATTGATCCATGGATTATATGGGGGTTAAAATTACAGCTCCAGTTCAATATAAATGTATGGAAATTAGGTGTGGTGAACAATTGATATAATGTTTTCCGAAACCATCGCCATTGCCGTAAATGGTGAAGAAACTGAAGTGAAAGTGCACATTAATCCATGCCGGAACGCATGGAATATAGCTTCCAAGGTTCCTTGAAGTTTGGATGCTGGGATACATGAATTTTTCCTATTCCACTGCCATAAAAATTACACCTCGTTTTGACGGCCTTCCACATAGATTTGCCCTTGATTATCCATTAATATCCATATATTTCTCCCTCAAAAAGTAGTAACCAGATAGAGTTCCGTATTGTTAATTAACGTTAATTAACAGATGAATGGATGGAAGAAGAAATAGATCAAGGACTCTGATGTCTAGACTAGTTATATCCTCTACGATCTCAGTACCTTAGGATATAATTCCGAGGTTGCTGGAATCTGGACTCTGGAGCAACTTGAGACGACGAATGTCACGATGTCGCTCAAGGGAACGAAGTGAATCGGTTTAGGTACGGTGTAACTGAAAATTCTAGTGTGAAGAGAGAAAGAAAAAGAACTAAGTCCTCCTGCTCCAGCAAGCAGTCTTTATACAGTATTCCTCTTCTCCATTGCTGGCATTCTCCAGCATCAATGTCAAACGTTCAAACAAACAAACAATCAATCAATCAATCCTTAGGCATGCTATTCCTGAGCCTTGAGGCATCCAATGTAAGCCTTGTTCCAGAGGCAGCAGCAAAGTCAGCAGAGTTCGAAGTACATTGTGGTATCATCACAACGAAGGGCCCCGGCTCCCGGCCCATCCGGGGGCCGAGGTGACCTTCAACCTAGCCGAGTGTCTGGACTCTCGAGTCTCGCTGTCTATTGAATCATCCTTTTCCACTATCACGGGCCAATTCTCTCTTTTTTTATTGGGGGAAAAGTTTGGATCACTTCGCAATCAAGATCTTGAATCCATGATTTTCCAAAGGAAAACTCAGATTCTCAGAAGATGGTTCAAAAAGTCGGTCCCGACTCCCGAGTGTAAAACGTCATGGTCATGGAGGTCTCGGGCCAGTGGCCACCTAGCCCATCCGAGCCGGTGCACCCGGTTAGGTATCGAGCATAGCTTTCTGCTTTCGACACATCTGTACCAGTACCACCCGGCGACATATTCTTCAGATTTTGATGAGTGATCGTAGAAGAGCAGAATAATCGAACTGAAATTCGTTGTGAATTTCCAATAATGGAGAAATTCTCCACGCTAATTATGCCGGAGGTCACAGGTGGCTACGTGGGAACAGATCACGCAAGAAGGAAAGTGCAGATAATCCGAGGCGGCCAGTCATATGATATCTCCATATTGATTTGTTTTGATCATTGCATTAGCTTGAGAAAAGTAAAATAAGCGGATTTCAGAAATCAAATTTTTGAATGATAGAAGATTATTCTACGTCACAGAAGCTGTCTAGAGCTTATGGTGGGAGATTATATCAATTGTTCCGATTCTTGACCAAAGACAATACTTCCAATTAACTAACTCCCTTAAGCAGAGGAGAGCTACCGTAGGAAAGATTTATTTTTGAATAAAACTCTCAGTCGCCTTCTTTACCCTTGCGCCAAGATCCTGGTTGACTCGGCTAAACAGTGCTGCAGGTAGTAGGTCAGTAAGATCATGCAATCTGCAAGCAACAAGAATTTTGGAAAGACCAACCATATACTGCACTGCGCAGTTGAGGTGATTTGACCCCACTGATACTCCTAGCAAGGTTGTTAATAGTTCTGTCCTGGTGTCCTGGATCGCGACCAATGACATCCCATAACGCCGCAGGCTGGAGGAAATCATCGTCGTTTATGTGACTGGTGTATGTTATGACTTCGCCAACCCACTTCTCGTGCTCGGTATGTAGGCTCAGGGACGTAGGGTTGCTGCCTTTGACTTCGGGGTAGAACTTGGTGGGCTGAAGAGAAGAGTTCACGTAATTCGGATCACCATCGTAATTACCGTCAAACCTCATTTTGCCGTCTCTCTCAAAGGGGCAGTATACGGGTACCTTGGCTGCATTGGTGGGGAGTTGCTGGTAGTTGACGCCAAGGCGGTAACGGGCTGCGTCGGGATAGGCGAACAGGCGTGCTTGCAGGACTAAATAAGACGTCAATGGGTTTTCCTACTTATATGATAACGCTCCCAATCAATGTATCAATGACTAACCAGGATCGGCTGAGGCTGCAAAACCAGGTACCATAGTAGACGGAGAGAAGGCCGCCTGCTCAATATCGGCGAAATAGTTGCTAGGCTAAGAAACGGTTAATTCCAGTCAAAACCTCCAACTTTGGAAGGGATTCGGATAACAAACGTTGCGATTCAAGGTCAGTTTGCCGATCTGTCTCAGTGGAAAGTCCTCATGGGGCCAAATTTTGGTCATATCAAAGATATTCCAACGATAGTTCTCGGCCTCGGAGGGATCCATGACTTGGACAAATACATCCCATGAAGGGTAGTCCTTTCTCTCAATAGCCTCGAACATGTCCCGAATCATGTAATCGGGGTCCTCGCCTGCAATCCTAGTTGCCTCTTCTTGGGTAAAGCTCTTGACTCCCTGTCGGCTCTTCATATGGATTTTGATATATTTGAATGAACCATCCTGGTTTTGAAAGGTGAGCCAATGCCGTCATATTTCACAAGATCCGCATTGATTTTTCTAACCTCTTTAGTAAACTTATAAGTATGACCACTGTAGGAGTTCAAAAAGCGGACAGATTTGGGAGTTCCACGGTCACTGAAAAGAACCAGGAGCTGATGAATCCCTTCTGGATTGCCGACATGGAAGCTAAGGAAAGTAAGTCAGGAAGCATGCGATTTCCAAAGGTTCAAATGGACTTATTTACTCCCAGAACTTATATTTAGTTAGCTTCTCATATACATTGAATCATTTAACTCGAAACTAACACATACCATATTCACATCAGGAAGGTGAGTTCGTGGGTGTCTCTTGTGTGAGCGGTTCATAGAGGGAAACTTGATGGGGTCCCGAATGAAAAATACCGGCTTCATTATTTATAAGCACATACTTTTGGACATGCATCGATAACCTTGGAACTTGCTCACAGTATTGTTAAAGACCCAGTCTAGGTTGCCTTCATCCGTGTAAAGTTTCATTCCCCAGCCATGAACATCTCGTGAAGTATCAGCCGAGCCCGACTCTCCTCCAACAGTGGAGACTCGAAGGAGAACAGGAGTCTTCTTGCCAGCCTTATTAAGAAAGCTGGCAGATGTTAGATCGGAGCAGTCGGCAGTGGCTTCGAATTCTCCGTACGCTCTTTGAGTCGCCAATATTTTAAGGTTAGCCCCCTTAGATAGTAAAGCGGAACAAATTTCATTAACTTGATCAACATACCCGACCGCTTTAGAATGGACAACACTGAAAAAATCTCATTGTTAGCCATAAAAAGACAAGCTTATTATTTTCTCTATCTCTTACCGTTCTGGGATTCTCTCACGAGAGAAATGTGCCAAGGTTTCAATTAGTTGGGTATCCTGTAGCAGACCAAGACCACCACCTTTTCCATTGCGCATAAGCACAGCGGTGCTGCTGCTTGCGAAGGGACAGCCTTTTCTTCTCAATGACTGTATCAAAATACGATTGATGCATTCTGAATTCGCTTACCTTCAGCAAGAGTGTAGTATTTGTCAGCGGACATGACGAACTCCCAGATTTGTATTTCTCGCAGAAGGAATCCGAATATTTTGGAACTGATTGAGACATTTATTGATATGCATTATATAGGGAAGTTCTTCATCTTGATGGCCAAAGCTGTTTCAAATCAAACTTTGTTCCAAGGTTTCACTTAGGTGTCTGGACTCTGGACTCCGGGCTACTTGTCTGATCTGTTACGTCATTACCGTTCATCCAACGCAAGACTCAAGAGACATGTCATTTGCCGTATAAGCGGAAATCGGACCCTCGGAGTGTTTACTAGTAGGTGCAACCCAAGGTTTACCTACTAGATAGGTACCTAGGTACGAGCATTTTTAACAGATGTTGGGTCGATTGATGGCCTCAGCCCACTGGTTGAACGAGGTCGGAAACCTGGGCATTTACGCGTTCATGCACAGGCTTATTTGATATGTCTGCTCTAAACATTGTCTTGACATCATGTCCATCGTATTTCATTCTCTAGGTATGTTCTCTAGGTATGGGCACATAAATTAGGGACCTACGTATATAGGTTCCTAATTTATCTGGACCCAACATTTAACCAACCTTCCATTGGCATTATTTATTTATTTTCCCTCGTCAAGTCCGGGTGCTGAACAAACCTGAGGTCACAGAAATCAATATCAATTGATCAGAAATATTTGAAAACCAAGAACTCTGGAATCCTACATTTTCCCAGGTGGAAGGTAGCTCGGTACTTCATTTGAACAACAACGTTTGAACTTTGGAAAAATGTCCCAGCCTCAAAGTTTGTAATCCTCGTTACTACCTTTGCATACTGTCGAATACAGTCAATATTGACTTGGTGCAGAAACTCAACCTTCGCCGCATCACGAAAATATCGTGGAAAGGCTATTTGAGCATCACAGTCATCACCACGAGAATGATGAACAGAAGAAAGACCAATCCGAATCGCAACCCAAGGCTCCACATGAAGAAAGCGAGAAGGAGAAGTACATGCATTGGTATCATGACGAGGAAAAAGAGGAAGCAGAGGGAGAAACATATGGTGGTTTAATGTAAGATTTATCATTTCTACAATCAATGCCCGAATACTAGTCCCGCGCAAAAACTTTCTTCGCACTTTATTAAATCTTTCCAACCTTTTTTTTTTTTTTTTTTTTGAATTCATTCATGGATCTGTCAGGCTTTTGGCCCGATTTGCCAGTAGGGCACTATAAGATAGCTGGAATCACTATATCACAAGATGAATTATGCCGTTGTATGGTGTTGGGGACTGGCGGGTAGAACAAACAAACAGAACAAACAAAGGAAACAAACAACATAAACATAAATAAGAGGCCCGCCAAGGCCATACCAAACAAACCAAACACCAAAACCTCCAAGCGCCCCTTCTTCTGCGCCCGGCAGTCTCTCTCCCCTACTTGCACCCCATCAACGCGCTCGTTTCGCTTCCAGTTCACATAATCTTACCAACTTACATACCGCTAACGCTGGCAGAAGCAGATTGATTAACTGACAAGCAGCAGATCCACGGCGTTCGGGGGTATTCCCCATGGTGCTCAACCGCGCATAATCCTCCGTCCTCGATAAATTGCAACGTTCCTCACACGACCGAAGCCAGCATAAGGGGGTGGATGAACAATGGTGTCTTGAGGCCCGCAGGCACTCCAAGGGGGTGTGTTTTTAGGCCGCATCGGCGGCCGCTTTGTCGACTGTATTATAAAACGTCTCTGGAAGGTGGCGGAACTGGCCCAGAAGGCGCGTTCCGAGCATAAATGATGCTGCTTTAGGGACTAGCTTCGGTGTTGTCAACCACCGTGTCCAGTCTCCAGGATCTCGGTTTAGGCCCAGGATCTTAGCCCTGAGCTCGGCGAAGTTGGGGCACGTCAGCAGGACATGCTGCGTGTTCATCTCGCCGCGCTCGCAGTGGTGGCAGTCTGAGGGGTTCCAGTCAGGGGCTCCTTGTTCGTGCGCCCTGGCTACCGCCTCATCCCGCCATGCGGTGATGGTCGCTAAGTAGGCTGGCAGGGCCAGCTTCCCTACTTGCATCTGGATGAGTACTGCGCTTGTCGGTCTTCGTAGGGGCTCATGGAGCAGGAATACGGTCTTGGTGGGTGCGGGGAACAGGTCGCGAACGTAGCCTCCATGCTCGGAAGACTGCCATTCCTGAGTCCATTCCTCAAGCGCTTGTTCACGTAGGATCGCGCGTGCCGCAGTAAGAAGAAGCGGTGTAAAGATGGTGTTATTTGTAGATTCTGCGGCCTCTTTAGCGAGCACGTCGGCGCGTTCGTTGCCGGCGACGCCTTCATGCCCCGGAAGCCAGTGGATGTGAACCTTCCAGAGTCTGTGGACTCGATCCAGTAGCTCAGCAATCGCGCGTAATACATACTGGCCAGAGCTACGGCGTGGCCGCGTAAAGGCCTGGATTGCGGCCTGGCTGTCAGTGAAGATTGTAGCGATCCTTGGTTTGGTCCCATCTCTAGGACCTCCAATAATCAGACGAAAGGTGACTTTATGATTAAACAGGCCTAGGGCCAGCTTAATACCGTACAATTCAGCAGTGTAGATTGAGTCAGTAACGTCAAGGGTCACCGTAGCGTTCCCTGCCGACGTCACTGCGGCGGCGCCAACGCCGCCTTCATCACCCAACTTACTGCCGTCCGTATACGCAATTGCGGCGTTCGGATAGTGCCGAGCACGTAGGATCTCGTCGTGCTCAGCGATCGCAGTCTCTCGATCTGGGGCAATGCGCATAATTGGCGCCCTCCACCACGGCGAGACGGCGAACGGTTTGATGAGTTCGAGGTCGCGCACGTAGATTCCACGCTTGCGGAGGTGGCCTTCCAAGCGCTGCAGCGGCGTAGTGAGAGCCTTCATAATGGGGTCCAGATTGCGGTTGCGGTCGCGGCCTCGGCAGTATGTTATAAGCGTATCCCTGCTGACAGGGGTGCGCTTACGGAACTCATCTCTGAGGGGATGAGTGTGTATGCGTAAGCATGTGAGTTCAGCGAGACGCTGGATGGCGATCGTCGCCGGCGGGACGTACAGTAGAACCTGTAACGCCGTTCGGGACGTAGTGCGGAACGCGCCAGCGATGCGGTATAGAGTTTGGTACTGCATAGACTCGAGTGCGCGGTTGACCTCATTCTCAACGCTTTTGGTCTGATATGCGCCACGCGTATACCAAGTTGAGCATCCAAACGAGATCTGCGGGAATAGGACGGCTGTCCACATGCGACGCAGATGGAGGGTGGTGACGCCCCACGTCATGCCGGCGATCGAACGAAGCGCAGCGACGAGGACGGCGGCGCGCTTGCGGCAGCGTAATAAATGGTCTTTGGCGGTCAGATTCTCGTTCAAGATCACACCCAAGTAACGCAACGAGGATACAGGCTTGATCTCGGCTCCGCAGATTGTGACTGAGTCCAGAAGAGCGGGATCTGACGCCTGGCCGGCCGGCATATCTGCGGGCCGCAGTGCGCCAGCGCCCTTCTTCCAGAAGTGAATAAGGCCGTATTTGGCCGGCGAGAACTTAGACGCATGCTGCGCGGCCCAAGTCTCCGCCACTGTGTGGAGACGCATAAGCGCCGCACAGTTCATCCACGCATGGCTTCCCCACACAAGGATACAGATATCGTCAATATATCCCGTCACAAGGACTTGCCCCGACGCGGCGGCGTGGATATCATCAATAAGGTCGGCGTTATAGAACAAATAGAGGATTGGGGACAGCGGGGATCCTTGGGGGATGCCGGTTGCGACGGCCTCGTTGGGGCAGCGGCCCTCTTGCAGCAGTAGAGCAGTAGTGCGATTTGTAAGAAGACCGGCCAGTAATCTGATAATAATCTCAGGGATTCTGCGCTTCCGCAGGTTATGAAGCAGCCGCGCATGACAAACGTTGTCAAACGCACCGCTACCGTCAAGCGTCAAGAGCGATGCGACCCGCCGGTCCTTACGCCACGCATCATAAACTGCCTCGAGCAGTAGATGAATTGCGTGATCGCAAGAACGGCCGCCGCGGCCCCCGATGTGCGTCTCCGGCAGGAGGCCGTGCTCCTCCGCCAGGTACGCAAGACGTGTTGCGATCACAGACTCGAAAGCTTTCCCCAAAGTTTCTAACAGAGAGATCGGGCGCCACGCGCTCGGATTGGAGTAATCCGGCTTGCCTGGCTTGCGGATGACGACGGTGAGGCTGTCCCGAAATGCCTGCGGGTAGTATCCCAGTGCTAAACAAGCGTTGAAGAGGGCTGTAATAGTTTCCAAAAAGCCAGGAACTTTCGCTGCGTGCTTCCACACAGCATTCGGGATCCCTGAGGGTCCCGGCGCGTTGTATGGCGCTGATCGACGGATGGCAGCTTCGATTTCATCTGCGGAGAGTTCATCGGGCATAGGAACTTCGTCCGGATAAATATATCCGGGGATGTCGTCCAAGTTGGCGTCGGGCGATAGTGGGAAAAGCGCCGTTTTAAGACAGCGCGCCTTTTCCTCGGTGGTCGTGAACTCACGATCACCGACCCTGAGCGTCGGCGTGAACGAGGAACGAGGCATGCCCCGTGTTCTCGCCTACTTGGCCAAGCGCCAGAAGCCATCAATCGACGCCGTGGCCTCTTCCACGCGGTCTCTGTGGGCCTGCCGGCCCTGTTTCTTGCTTTCCCGGCCCAATTTGTGCCGCAGCACACGGAAGGCCTCATGATCTTCCTCATTGCGGGACTGCTGCCAACGCCGGCGCGCACGCCGCACGTCCTGCCGGACTGGGGCCAGCGCGGCCGAGTAGGTGGGATATGAGCGGCCCGGGCAGACTGAGCGCACCGGCACTGTGTCCTCAGATGACGTCGTGCGCACCGCGTCCATCACCAGCGCCACTGCGGCGTCAATCTTTGCAGTAGAATCCAGCGTCCAGCTGGGATCCTTCAAGTTCCACTGCTTGACATGGGACTGGAAGGCCTTCCGCCAGGCCTCCCAATCTGTCGCCCGCCAGTCCTGCCGCTCGCGAGTCTCTGCACGAGAGGCCCGCAGATCAAATTCAGTGAGCACAGGGACGTGGTCCGCAGCGTACCACCAGTCTCGGCACGGCGTACAGCGCACCACACGATCTGCCAGCGAGGCCGCAGCCCACGTCAAATCCAGCGTGCTTTGCACATCGTGGCCAAACACAGGACCTTCGAACGTCACCGCCCCGCACTCTGTCAGGAGATCGAGGCCAAAGTCCCCCATCATGCGGATGAGGTCATCGGCGTCATCGTCGGCGATCTGCGCTTGCGCGATGGTGGACCACAGGGGGTGGTGCAGGTTGAAGTCTCCCACAACCACATGCTGACCCACCGCGCATGCACCCAGTGCGGTGCGCAGCGTGGCCAGCCCCTGCTTGGCTTCCCGAGCCAGTGCGGCATCATTGCCAAACTTCCCGCGAAGATATATATTGTGGACATGTAACTTGCCCACCGCACCCAAGTCAAGCGTTAGCGTACTAACGTCTCGACTGTGGTGTTTGACGGACCAGGTCTTTGGATCAATGGTCTTTGAGACGAAGAAGCACACGCGCGGCTGCGTTTTGTATGCTTCCTCGCGAGACGCCGTGGGTGTAGGCCGTAGAAGTGTGTGGAACCGGCCACCTAGGGTCTGCGAATGAACGCCCATCTCGGGCTCCATCCAGTGGAATATCTCTGGCTCTTGAATCGCCAGGATATCGCACTTCCGCACCCCTTCCTCACCGAAGAGATGCTTCGCTACCGTGTCATTCGACTTACGGCAGTTGGCCTGCAAGATCTTCAATGTCATACTCATTGCGCACGGGACGTGTTCCGAGTGGACATCTTCTGCGAGGTGGTTGCTTCTTGGCTGAGTTCATCGTCCGATTCCTCTGAACGCTCACTGCGGCCTCGTGCCTGCGTACCGGTAGAGCGCAGGCTGGCAGGGTTGAGGGCCGGCTTGAGGGCCGGCACATCATCGGGGACCTCGTAGACATCAGATCCTGAGTCCATGACGTCGTCAGGGCTGATCTCTACAACGTCTTCGCTGTTGATCGCAGTAAGGCCGTCGGAAGTAGGTTCAACTGGCCATTTCTTCTGGTTGTCCTGTAGAGTGCGCGTTTTGCTGTAAGTGATGGGCTTCTTCTTGATCACGCGTCCTCGCTGGGCCTGAGAGGGCGGGATGGGGTCATCTGAATCCGATGATGAAGACTCGATGCGGGGGCGTTTGCCGGGGCTTCCAGCGCGTTTGGATTCGCGAGGGGGCCGGATGACAACTGCCGGGTCGGAAGATGAAGGAACAGCGTGTTGGGATGCATAGACATGTGCATTCCCCATGGGTTTTGACCATGGGTCTGCCCATATTGACCCATGGTTCAAACCCCCATGGGCCATTTGTTCCATGGGCTTTTGTCCCATGGGGCATGGGCAGGACCCCTGCCCATACCCATCCCATGGGTTTACATAAAAAAGATATGCATAGATTTTGTATGGTAAAAAAAGTTATGTAGTATTAGAATGGTATGATTTTAGGATGATACAGATCTGGATTATAGGTGTATTATATATGTATCAGGGGTGATTTATGTAGTAAGAAAAAAAATTGAATTCAAAAACATAGAAAACAAACTAAGGTGCAATAAAAAATCCAGGAGCCTGAGAAGGAGCTACCCTAGCTCGTTTTGTACGTACAGAGGGTAGCTCATCTCCATCTTCATCAGAAACATTAAATACATTATTGCGCTTAGCAGTCTTCTTGCTGGGCCGTTTCCGTTGTGTTTCAGGTCTGATGGTGGCTTGACTCGGAGTTGAATCCCCCGTGTTTGAGGCCTCTCCAACCACCTCCGCCTCATCCTCCGCCTCATCCTCCACCTCATCCTCCACCTCATCCTCTACCTCATCCTCACTAATACCATCAAGTTGACGTTCCACATGTATAAACTCTTCTTCTACTTCTTCCCCTACATAATTAATATTAAGCTCATGATCAAAAGATCCAATTGTGGCTTGTTCCTCCAACACTGATTCCCGTATGAATCGTAGCCGATCATCCTCTGATTCGAACTTTGTTGAGCACATATACAACATCAGATCCTCAATTGTCTCTGGCTTTAGAGCACCTCGTCGATAATGACAGATATCCCGAGCATAGTTGAACATTCGCTCAACACCTGCTCCAGATGCTGGGATACAGAGTGTATCACGGGCGATTCGAGCCAGGGTCGGATACTCATCATAGTGTTTTCGCCACCAATTACAGGGTTCATCATCAATAATCCCACTTTGGAGGTAGCGTGTAAGCTCATCATTCTCTTTGGTTTGGGAATGGGGGGTGGGGAGAAGGTTTTTGAGAAGATTTTTTGTTTGGGTCGCACGTCTCATGGGTGGAGGAGGGCCGTTTCGCCGGTAAACCATGTACTTATCACGTAGGAATCGCTCATACTTGGGCACCCACTCTTTATCTTCTTTCCATGCAGATGTTTTAAAAGCCTGTAGCTTCCGAGATGGGGCCAAGATTGTTACACAAGCATAGAGAAAACCTGAATCACCATTGGTTTTTCCATAATACTCTTGAAGTTTCTCTTTCCCTGCAATCAGAGCATCTCTCATAGAAAGCTTCCAAGATGCTATTTTTGACCCAAGCCGCTGGATAGATGTGTCTAGGTGGTCAAACAAGCCGTTATAGAGGTCGAATACCAGGTGAATCGTAACTGTTTTGGATGATGAGATCACAGTGGTAAAGTTGAAAAATGGCTGGAGGATTGAAAGGAGATAATCCACATGTTTCCATTCTTCTGAACTTAGACGGAAGGACTCGTATTTGTGTGTAGTACAGTATGAACCATATATGGATCGGAGGCGTTTCGCACGTTGTAACATCAAAAAGGTGGAATTCCAGCGGGTTCTGACATCTTGAATTGGAAGGAGTGGACGACGAATATTAGGTTGGAGGGTAAGGAATTGCTCTCGGCGCTTTGCACTTGCTCGGATAAAGACAGCAAATTTTCGAATCTAATAAAAATAGAGATTAGTAAGGGGGACCAGGTCTGAATCTGATAGGAGTAGGAGATGAATCAGGGCTGGAACAAATAGGAATCATAGGTATACCTTAACCAATGATCGCTGAACTTCAGTATTAGACACTTCCCAATGTTCACCCGACCAAGTTTTTTCAACATCTTCATTATCGGGGATAAGCTTAAGCCGGTCCAAAAGGGCATTGAGTGCAAGTTGAATCACATGTGCAAAGCATGGGTTTCGAATCATGGAAAACCCCAAATCTTGGTTATTATCCATATATGCCAACAACTCCTTGATCATTTTGCCATTGTTTGATGCATTATCAGCTGTAATTGCAATTACACGTGATTGCATATCATACTTATCAAGTACTCGCCGAAGAAGATTTGCCATATTTTCACCGGAATGCGTCCCAGTCATAGGTGAAAACCCTAGGAGACACTCCCGAAGCTCCCATGAATCATCAATAAAATTTGCTGTGATAGCAAAAAAGGCTTGTCCAAATGGTGATTGCCAACCATCAACTGTAATGGCTATCTTTGCGGTTGGGGGAAGATTTTGAAAAAAGATATCTTCTTTTGATTTCACAGCTGCTTTCAGGTGTCTTGCGAGGGTGGTTCGGTTCGGAAAGGGGGGCGTTTCGGTGTAGCTCCGGGCCAACTTGATCAATTTTTGGAAATCAGGGTGTTCAACCATACGGAAAGCCACTTTTGATGTTGCAGCAAACTCTAAAAGTGCATCGTACCATTGGGTTTTGTCCACAGCCTGGCGGGAGAGGCCTTTCGAGTCCTAGGAGTCATAGATGACTCGGGTTAGATACACCTCTGTAGCTGGTATGAATAGGATAGGAGACGACTGACCATAAGATCAAATGTTGCTGTAAGTGTCCGTGTAGCTGGATTTGGTGTACACGGTGGGGATCGCTTAAGATGTCTGTTAATTGATGAATTATCAGCTTCTTTTGCGCCAGTTTTTGACCAATTTGGATGTTGGAAATGCTTAGAACATATTTGACAAAATATGGCAGGCTCTCCGGTTTCTTCATGGGCACACTCCACCACCCGGTTCCAATATGAACCCATTTTCTTTCGAGTCCAATTCAGGGGTGTAGCAGGCTTGCTTTGTGCCGGGTCGCCATATTTCGTATTCTGCCACCACTCCATAAATATCTCCTTTGTTTCCATCTCAGGATAAAGGATAAAAGGAAGATTAAGAAACCGTTCAAGTTCTGGAGGTGCTTTTGTTGGTAATAATGAGTAGGTTGTTTGGCTATCATCATCATAAGCATTAGATTGAAAGATGCCTAGTGAAGATGGAAGGGTATCTGATAAAAAAGACATGGTGTTGAGTGGTCCGGAGGGGAAAGGGATAGGAAACCAGTATGTTTATGGGGTGGATGAGATCTGAATCTGGAGGACTTGGAGGTTCAAATGTTGAAAAAGACTGACCTTTCAAATAATATTCATAAAGATAATTTTCTTTATCCTAGAGAATCCTTAAGAGAAGAAAAAAATTGATAGATCTCAAAGACAGTAAATAAGTTAAAAAAAGAAGAGATTATAGTTGATTATTGGCTTGAACCGGACCCACTCCACCTCACATGCATATATGAAACTAGCCTAAGCCCATATAGCCTATGGGCAGTTTAAAGACCCATAGAAATCAGGGTAAATCGATTCCCCTCCAAAAAAAAAAAAGTTTTTAACATATCATTCAGCCCACAGCATCATAGAGTCATCTATGGGCCCCCATGGGCCTTTCATACTTGAAACCCATCTAAATCAACATTCTCATTTTCTATATGATCATAATTTTTAAATTATTTTTATAAATAATCTAAAGAATAAAGATAATATATTATTCTTTAAATCTAAAATATTAATTATAAAAAAAAATATATTAATAAATAGGAAGTAATTTAAAAGTTGAAGCAGAAATAAAGAATATGATTATATATTTTTGAACCTGGGAATAGTAAAAACCTGGTGCGACCTTTGGGTTCTTTTCATGCTAAATTTACCTTGAATCTGATTGGTTGCTGGGTGGATACTAGTCTGAATCGGGTATAGTTAAGGCCGGAAAGGACTATTTCCCGACTCCCGAGGTCGATCATCAACAATACATACGCGTGTCGCGTAAGAGATTCTAAAAGTTATACTTCTCTAAGATTTCTTTCTTTTCTTTATATTTTTATGAAATCTGCAACCACATACAGCTATGTATAGCCCTCGGTTCAAGCCTTTACCCACTATGTTTCAACAAGGAATCTACCCTCTTTGATAAATTATGTTTGTTCAAGTTCAAGCCCCAGGCCTCAAGATACCCTTCAATTCAGATTTTTTATGAATATTTGCTAATAATATCTTGTTTGATTGAAATATATAATGAATCATCATGATCCTTCTTCTCTTCTCTGTTTTACAACTGCAGAATCCTCCTTGATCCAAGCCATATTCACCTCCTACCCACCTCCGAATCAAATCCGCAACACTGCTTCAAAATGGCCGCACCAGGCGCAGCTGCAATTATTGGAGCCCTTGGTCTTATTCCAGGACCCCCAAATCCTGCACCACCTCCTATCCGAATCAACTTTGTCCATCTTCCACGCTTAAGCATCACTACTTGTATCCGATGCCTTCATAGGGCTGTTTATCAGTTTAAACATATTGATCGACCAGCCTTCCTAGCTGGAGGTCTACCTCTTACAATCTTTCGAATGAATTGCCGATATACCAATATCAATTCAAAGAAATGTGCTAAGTGTACCAGCTCTGCTGACCACTGTACTCAGGTATGTAACATATCCTATTCACCTCTGGTTCTTAAGAATCTAAGACTAATCTAATATATAGTGGATGGAGGGGATGTTAGGAGATTGGCTTGATTTCCATGAGATTCTTGGATGGGCTGAGCAGACCCAAGGTGTTGCTGGGGTTGCTGGAAACGCCCTTGTATCACCTACACTTGGTGTAGGATTCGCATGGGCTAACTACCCGACTGCTGCTGCTGCTGTACCAGAAGCAACTGGAAAGCTTGCCTTAGCATTGGATCATGCTGTCAAAATGCATGCAAAGGAATATGGTTTACATACAGGAGAGAATGCTAGTAAACATACACAAGAGGAAAAGGCTGTTTATCAAACTGCAATGAATAGTCGACGGGCTATTCATGCTACATTAACAGCCCCCCCGGCCCTGGCACCACCCGCAGTTGTACCAGCAGTGAATCCTCTACCAAACGGGCCTGTAGCACCCAATCGGCGGACATTTCTTCGACTTGCACCACAAGATCCTGGATATAATGTCTGGCAGATGGCTATCCAGTCCTTTTTTTTTGAGATTGCTCTTGCTGCTGCTCAAGATGCTGCTGCTAATCTTGTTGATTGTCAAAATCTTCGAGATACAGCTCGATATTGGCTAAAGGAGCTTTGATTCAGTTGTGATTAGTACTTGTTTTAGGGGGGATTCAGATGTAGTTTGTGGTCTTTTATGTTGTAGTTATGATTTTACTTACTTCAGAATGGATTTGGATATATTTTATGGTCTTTTGTGTTGATTCAGTTATGATTTGTACCTGCTTCAGGGGGTATTTAGATGTATTTCATGGTGTTTTATGTGTATTAAATTGATGTTTTTTTTTATATATCTTTCCCTAAGTAATTTATGTTATCTAAAACAGCTAGTATTTTTCTAACCAGATTAGGAAAGGTGTAAAAATTTATACATCTTGGGACCCACCTATGGGCACCCATGGGAAACCCATGGTTTGCTGACAAAGACCCATGGTTTCAGGCCCCATGGGTCATGGGTCCTTACCCCTGCCCATGGGAGAGGGTTTGCACATGTCTAGGGATGCAGATAGGGAAGATGCAGCAGGGGAAGAGGCGGTGGAGGGCGTACGATGCAAGACAGGGCCCTGAGCGCGCGAGATGCGCAACAACTCGAGCTTCTCGGCACGCCGAGGACACTCCCGTTCGTACGCGAAGTGGTTGACGGCCACTCGATCAGTAGCGGTCTCATTGAATCGAATACACACTGCGCACTTGGCAGCCGCATGATTGCGAGGCTGCGTGCACTCCTTGGAGTCGTGCAGACCCGCGCAGTACGCACATTGGGCCTGCCTTCTGCAATTGCGAGCGATGTGGCCATACATTTGGCAGTGGAAGCACTGCTGCAGACGATGACTGCCGTCGAAGAACTGGCAGTCGTGATCCCGGCCATTCAGCGCCAAGCCCAGTCGAATTGCCGAGTTGGCGGCGTCGGCGGCGGTGGGTTCGAAGTCGAGGGGAACACCGTGGGCCACAACAGCGAATGTTGGCAGCTTCAGGTGGGATTTGGGGCCGAAGACGGCGCACCATGATTCGTCGGGGGTGTCGAGCTCGACCAACTGGCGCACGTCGGCCACACTGTCGCAGCGCAGTAGGACGTCGCCGCTGGGGAGGACGAAGCCGGTAGAGGCCCGGATGGGCGCAATCTTCTTCGGTTTGGCGGCGTCGCATGCATCTTTGATCGTACGGTTGGCGCGTTTGACGACCTCATCGGGATGGTCGCGCAGAGGGTTGGTGAGCGAGGCGGTGGTGCCGCGGATGATCAGCTGCAGATCCTCGCGCAGGACGCGCTGAGGGGCCGGGCTGCTGCCGCTGCTGAGGCCGTTCGAGGGGAGGGTGTTGTTAGTCTGGGCCCTTCCAAGCCAGCCAGAGACGAGCGACGACTCAGGATTACTGCGCAACGCAGCGCGGTAGTCCATTGGCTGGCGTTGGCCGGGTGGGGCGACCGCCGCAGCGGCCGCAGTGACGGTTTGGTGG